GGCGGCAGCAGAGCCGTTGAAGCTGCTGGCGGAACGCTCTAACAGGGGTGAGAACATGGCCGATCGGGGTGTGACTTCAGCATGGCCGGGAGATGACAAGGTGTTGGTATCGAGGCTGTAGGGCTTGGCAGGCGAGCTATCCGGACTGTTGCAGCAGTCATGTAGCTGACTCAGCCACTCGTTCCCCTGGGGCGGAGACCCGCCGTGACGTGGGGGTAGCTGTAAGGGCTGCATCTGCTGCCGCTGGTGCATCTGGAAATGCTGCTGCAGCAGCTGCTGCTGTTGCTGCGGCTGCTGTAGCAACTGGCACTGTTGTTGTTGCTGCTGATGCATGAGAAACATAAGCTGCCGCTGTTGTAGATGCACCTGCTGTTGCTGCTGTGATTGTTGTTGTTGTTGTTGTTGTTGTTGTTGTTGTTGCACCTGCTGTTGCTGCGGTTGTTGTTGTTGTCGTTGCATCTGCAGCTCCAGCAGCAGCACTGGGTGAGGCATGGGGGTCCCGGCAGCAGTCGCGGGCTGGGGTGGAGGATGCATCGCGGGGGCCGGTGCCGCAGGCGGCAGCAGCAACGGCGGCAGCAGCACGGGGGGCAGCGGCGTGCAGCCCTCCATGACATTGCGGGGCGGGGAGCCCGACGGTGGCGGCGTGCGCGCAAAGTGAATCAGCGCGAGGGGAAGGTACAGAGGACAGACATGTTTCTTGGGGTCTGCGGTAGGGCGGGGCAGGTAGGTGGGAAGTCACCTTGGGGAGGGTACCGGATCAACATGGGGCGTTCATGCGCCCCTTAATGTCACTCCACAGCGACGCCAACACAGCTACTTTTGCTGCCTCTACCATAGTCGTAACCTGGCCGCAGCAGATGGCATAGGAAGCGCATAACATGGCCCATGTGTCCCTTGTGACCCCTCAGTGACCCCTCAATGACAAGGGCCCGCATGATCCGCGCAACACCCAGGCCACCTGTCCAACTCATGGCACCAACCCCCCGGTTCCCCGCATGCCACTCACCGGCGTGATATTTGAGCGTGAAGATGCACGTGCGCGGGTCAAACCCCACAATGGTGGCCGGGCGCCATGCGCCCACAGCAGGCGCCTGCGGGGCGGCTGCGGTGCGCTGGCATGGCAGCGGCGGCACGGTAGGGGCGGGGCTGTCGGGCGTGCGATCCCACCAGAAGACGCTGAGCTGCTTGCGCTGAAGGCTCTCGCCCCCCATGTGGTAGGAGGCGGCTCGCAACCAGAGGGATAGAGGCACCTGGTGGTGGTGGTGGTGGTGGCAAGGGGGGAGGGCGGGAGGAAGGTGGGGATGAAGGGGAAGATGTGAGCAGCTTGTATAGGGATGCATTCTGGGGGCCAGGGCAGCGGGAAAGTAATGGGAGGAGAAGTATGGAAGGAAGGGGCAGGATAGGGTACCGGTAGATACACACTGACCCTGATCATGGTATACCGGGGCGTAGGGAAAGGTCTTCAGAGGAGGCAGCAAACGGTCGGGAGGAAGGGGAGGGGATAAAGTAGGGGCTTCAGAGGAGGTCTATGAGAGCCACAAGGCATGTCTCATGGTGTGAACGGGCGAGGTTTGGGGGGGCTGGGATCCGTGAGATTGCGTAGAGGAGGCTTGAGGCCTTCGTGACGGAAAGGGCGCGGGTGGAGCGGCTATCGTAGCCTTGCCGTAGCTTGGCACTGCTTTATTCAGCAGGTCTTGGGAACACAATGGGGTTAACATAACCGTGGTGGAAGGAAGAGTGGTAGACGTGCGCCTCCGTAACCTACCTGGTGGTTTGTGCCCGCTTGTCGCACGGATAGACGCCCACAGCACACGCTGGGCAGTGACGCATGCAGGCACCACTCGTGAAGCGTCATGACCCGTCCTGTTGGGCGGTTCCGGTCGCGGAGCAAATAGCAAAACATGGATCGGGAAAGCCCACTGAAAGGAGTCTTCCGAAAGGGTAGCCGACCAAATGACGCCCCATAAGTAACGCACGCGCATCTCGCTGTGTTCAGTCGGTTTGCACGCAGTTTGCAACTGATGAAAGCTTGAGAGTACGAGTGTTCTCTCTCCCAGGCCCTCCCTTATGCCCACATGCATGATGCTTACCTCCGTTTCTATGCAATTCGGCTCTTGGACGTCCCATGCAAGCACCACAGCCACATAACACCATAATATTGGTTGCAGATGCAGTGTAGCTGCCCAGGATGCGGCACGAAGCCCTGCGTAACAGCACACAGGGAGCAACAAACTTTAGCTTATGGTTACGACAAGAGGGCATTGCGTCACCGCTTGCAATCTTCACCACCTACGAACCATCAGGTAAACGGACAAGGACCAAGATAGATTTGTAAGCGGCAACGGACGTTTCACGTGCACACCATACGCATCAGTTCAGCTCACTCTAGCCCTGAGATCTTACTCGTTGAAGACGATTTCAATCTGCGCAGGGAGATTTGCTGACTCCTGAAGGAGAGTGTCCACGCCAAGGGAACCATTGTCTGCTAACGCCGCCCGTGCCATTCCTGGGAAAATTTCAGCCCAGCTGCGCTCTGCAGCACTGCGTGCCGCAAATAGTAGCCCTTTTACGCGTTTATTGAAACAACTCCCTGTTGGCCGGGAGGTCACGGCGCAGCATACGTCGACCGAAGCGTCGACATGTCAGCCAAGCAAAGCGGGTCCGTTTCTCCAAGGCAAAGATGTTCAACAGTTGGACAGTCACATTTTCAGATAGTATGCGCTTTTATTCTCACCTCAGGCCCCCAGCTGTAAGCCAGGACCCGTCGACCTAATTGTGCGCGCTGAAATTATTAACGCTAACAGGACGGGCTCAACAATACCTCCCGTAAAACATTTATACGCTTGAGTTAAACCGTTGCCTTTTGGATGGGACGTTCGCATCCTCGCTCGTTAATGGTACGGAGTAATGCCGTAGGCACCAGCACGTTTGCCCGTGCAAAACTGGAAAGGCAGAGTAATGCGTATTAGGGCATATTCACCTTCTTCCAGGACAATTTAACTTATATTTATTTTTTATAGGCTTGCTATTAGCGGCACTATTCTACCGGTAGTGCCGAAGCAAGCCATGCCATGGACACCCGCTGTCGAACTGAAAATGTCAGGAGACAAGAGTATCCGCCGTAGATAACAACACGGTTGATAGTATTCTTGCGCCTTCATTTCGCTTGACATATGCCTTCGTCCCTCTCATCCAATAATGGCATACTGATACTGTATTTGCGCACCTCCCCGGCGCAGGCCTTCTTGCCAAAGGTCATTAATTTAAGCATTTACAGCTCGACTTGCACATTTCTGCGCTGAAGGCGCATCGAGCACTATCGGTGGTCACATACAGCATTGGTCACATGAGGCAAGCTATACAGAGATGAAACTTTGGCATCTACTGAGCCTGGCAGCCACGCTCTAGCACGGTATGTATGAAACGTTGTAAACGCGCGCTGTAATGGCGCCTTTCAATTGTCGTTATAAGATGGGAAAATACGAGGAGATAGTAGCTTGAGCAGCCTATCTGGTACTTGTATAACCTACTGGGCAGTTAACAATCGGGCCTCACTATCCCGGCACCACAGCCGAGCCTTTCATTTCCTGTCTTCCTTCATGCAACGTCTTGGACCCTGTCAGGGCCAATTGCTGTCACTGACTCGACAGTCAGGCCTCTGACTGGGATGGATGCGCGTCTGGTGCGATTATGTTAGGCCCCACCCCATTTCACGGTTTAGCACGTTTCAAACCGTTGGGGCATGACAGTGGCTGGAAAAGCAGGCGCAGCTCCCCTCCGTGTGTGGCCCACCGGGCTACAGGGGTAGCAGCGCAGCTGGGCACGACAGCCAGACGGCAGTACGAGACCCCCCCAAGTTAGGGCAAACCTTAGGTAGCGGGCACATGCGAGCCTCCCCGATAGCGTCGCTTCGGACGGGCAAACCAGCCACATATTCACTTACCAGCATTACCGGTAGGTACAGGAGGTATTTAAGCCCAACAGGCGTGCCTTAGGCTACACTCTGCTGGGCTTAGTAACGCCGATGGCCTATATAGGAGCCTACCTCCTCAGCCGTAGGGCAAGGCGGGGACCCCAAGAACACGGCTCACATGACCGTGTGATGTGACTCCCGACCTGCGTCAAGGTACATCCCAAACTGTGCCCGCCTAGATACTTAACCTGATAAGTGCAACTATTAGTTGGCAAACGTGTCAAAACCAGGGGGCATATCGCTAGCTGTAGTGCCGATGATGCCAATCGCCAACCGAGCGATCAATGTGTATGCCGCAGCGCGCCAGGGCGTAAGGGATACGCTCTAACCCATACCGGTAAGCAGCATCGCGAGAACGTACTCCTCAAGGCTTCCCGATATCATCCTTCACACTCCTTCATCGGCTCGCCCTTCTGTACGGCACGAACAGGTCTTTGTCGCACGCCAACTTAGGTGCCATGCGGGCGTCGTGCTTGAGTATTGCTGCGCATGCGTCTTTCCAAGAGGGTTCTATGCACGTACGAGAAACCCCCAAAGTACTGTTCCGGCCTGCTTCAGCTGTGTCGCCTGTGTGCTTTACAGCGTTTCCTGTTATCATGTTCTTTGTGTGTAGTTGAGCAGAAATAGGAGCAAGCAGTTGGGATAGGTTCGCATGTGAACCGCGAGTACACGCAAAAACAGAAGTAAAACAGAGATAACCAAACCTGAACCTGTTTCGTGTGTCTCAAGGCCCGAAACATGGTACGGCAGGTTAGTCCCATTCTGTTGCAACGATTGCGAACCCTGCAGCGCGGGACGGTGGTTGCTGCTGAACTGCGCTGTGAAACACCATCCTTGTGATACGGCCGTACGATATACACCGGTAATTGTACATGGTTAGGAAACGGTACATGTAACCAGATGCTACCGACACTGCAAGCCTCAGACAATCCGAGCCTTCTCCCCAAACCCCTCTCCAACCCCAAAGCCCCCCCCCAGCCTCGTTGTTTCACTTATTTAATTCCCCCCCCCCAGCCTCCCCACACCACCCCTTCACAGCTGACAATTATGCGCGATCTCAATGCAGGTGCCGTCAGGTGCCAGTCGGTTGACAAAGCCGATGCGCAGCGTGCAGCCCTCCAGCAGCGGCATCAGCGCGGCGGCCTGGTCAAGCAGCAGCCCGCAAGCGCGACGAAAGTGCTCCGGAGCGACCCGTGGGTCACGAGCCAAGCTGCGCAACCGCAGCCGTTGTCGCGTCTGCACACACCGAACACGGGGAGCCGGGGACACATGCATTCAAGCGCCATTCCGGAGCATCAACAATACCGTTAAATGCACCGTTGCTGTGTAACGGACCAGCACGTGTCGAGGCGCGGACTACAAAGTCAGTGATACCAAGATATGCACGCCAGTGCGTGCTTAAGACTCCACCAGCCCCTTTCCTTGATCCTCTCCCTGTTTTATCACCTGCGTCGATAGCTACAGCCCCACATGGGCTCCCTCCCCTCAGTGGTCAGTGGCTCCTCGTGGCTCAGTTTACCTAATCCCCTCCCCTCCCTTCCCCTCCCATCCTCCTCCCGTCCTCCTCCTTTACCTTGGTCGTCAGCTCCTGCAGCTGCTTCTCCACCTGCCGCTGCACCCGCAGCGCCGCCAGCGCTTCGCCGCTCAGCGCGCCCACCTTGTCGTACAACTCCCCAACCGCCACGTCACTCCGTACCTGCAACACGCCCGCACTGCCGCTGTCCAACCAAACCGGCTCCGCCACCGCGCCTGGCCCCCCAGTCCTGCAAGTGCCACCGCCGCTGCTGTTGCTGTCGGCCTTGCTGCTGCCGCCTGCTGCAGCTGTAGCATCAGCAGCATCCGAGCACGGAGACACGCACATGGAGAGCTCCCGTACGGCACCCCCCACCATAGGGCCCCTGTCGGCCGCCGCCGCCGCCAGCCGCTCCAAGAAGGATCTGTACGATGGATCCAGCAGGTTGCCGTACGGTGTGAAGATCTGCGCCAACCCCGCCGCCGCCGCCACCCGCGACTCCAGGTTGCGTAGTGCCTGTTGTCGTGGTGGTCGTGGAGTGTGGGGTCATCAAGTGGTGAGTGTGAAGGAGGGGTCAGTGCAGGGGGGGGGTCGTTGTACGGGGCTTGCAGGGATGAAACGGCGTGCAGCCACGGGGACGGCAGCGTTTCGCCATTTGCCAATGCATGGACTATCGTCAGCAGGCACCGCTGCGCCCGTCTCCCTGCCCTCGCCCTAACCGAGCACCCAAGTCCTCCACCCGCTCCACATGTCTTCTCGACCACCGGTGTTTCCGGTCCTCGTCACCCCACCTTCTCCCGGGCCCCCACCTGCAGAAAAACCCCATAGGTACAATGTCCCCCCCCCACCACCATTATATGCTAACCCAAATATCCAGCCTAATTCGGATTCTGTTTCCAAATTACCCCCACCACCACCACGCGAACCACCACCTACAGCAAAACCCATACACACGTCGTCAAACATCCCCCCACCTTTCCCTCTCCCTCCCCCTTACCTGCACGTTCCCCCGCTGCTGCAGTGCAAACTCCACGTCCACCCCGCCCAGGAAGTCCGCCCACACGGAGTCGGGCTCGGAGGCGGGCAGGCACAGCTGACCCAGCCTGTCCAAACCCAGCCTGCAGGCGGGAGGTGAGGGTGTAACGAAACCTAGCCGCGAGTGGCAAGTGGCGAGAGGCGTGCGTTGGGGGGTGGGGTGGTGGGGAGAGGCGGGGCCAACAGCATACAACACCAGGGGAAACCACCACAGGTTAGGGCAAAGCAGTGGGGATAGGAGGTAGGGCGGGGGGAGGGGGGCAGAAGAACGGGTTGGCTTCCCCCTGCCCCACCTCCCTCCTCCCCGCCCCCCTCCCTCCCGGGCACCCACCCACCTGTCCCCCACCACCACATGGCACCCCGCCAGCACCAGCCCCCGCAGCTCCCCGCCCTCGCCCAGCAGCGCCGCCAGCCGCTCCAGGCAGGCCACCTGGGCTGCGGGGGGCGGCTGCGGGGGGGAGAAGCTCACCATCAGCTGGGGGCGGGGGCGGGAGGGGCAGGGAGGGGAGGGGCAGGGAGGGGGGGAGGGGTGAGGAGTAGGGAGGAAGGAAGGAAGAGGGACGGAGACGGAGGAAGGAGGGGAGCGTTAGGGGGATAAGAAGCCAGCCCGTTCCAGGGCAGGTGAGGAGATAAGGTGGGACATACAAGGGGTGGGTGAGGGGATACGAGTGAGGTGCAGACGGGGCGGGGGCGCTCCGCTGCCAAAGGTACTTGACACCTTTCTCTTTCCTATACCTGCCTATCCCCTGTCTACCCTCGGCCACCTGTCTCACATGGGCTGGGCTGGCTCACATGTTGCAAACACCATGATGATGCCTTATCACACGGTCAGATAGTTGTTTCCTCTTTACACCCCCCCAACACTTTGTCTTGTGGCACCCTGCCAACTCCTACCCCCATTGCTTTGCCCTAACTTGTGGTCTCCTATGGTTTGGTATGGTCTTTGACCCCCCACACCTGTCGATGCATCCTCAGCGCCCCGCGCAGGTTGGCAACCCGAATGGCGGGGTCCGAGGGGCGGGCCGCCTCTGCCTGGAGGGGGGTAAAGAGGGGAGAACTCAACCAACCAGCCCAAACCCATATGTTTGTGTGCGTGTTACCACACAACGAGTCAACTAGTTTCTTAACTAGCCTGGAGAAAGGAGCAAGCGGGTTCCAACGGTAAGCTACCCCAACCCCAACCCGCCACCTAAACCCCAACCCCAATCCCTGCCCAACGCCAGTAGCAGCAGCAGCGGTGGTGCTTCTGCTGGTGGCCAGTCGCCTTCCCTTCTTCCTCCTCCCCTTCCTCCCCCCTCCCCCCTCCCCACCTGCCGCAGGGCCTCCACCGCATCCGGCAGGAAGGCAGCCAGGCTCAGCGGCCCCCCCGCCTCGCCCTGCCCCTGCCCCTGCCCTCCCGCCGTCCCCCCCTCGCCCTCCTCCTGGCCCGAGGTGCGAATGCCGCATGCGGCGAGCAGCTTGGACAGCGCCTTGCGAGTGCCTGCGGGCAGGAAGGAGGAGCCTGGCGGGGCGGAGGGAAGGGGGGGGAGGGGCGGAGGTAATTTGCGTTCGGTCGCGGTCGGGCAGGGAGGTGGTGCCGGCTGGGTTGGACACGCGACACGGGACATGCAACGTGACACGAAACACACCATGTCTTCCCCCCCCTCCTCCTCCCCCTACCCCTCCCTACCCCTCCCTAGCCCCCTTCATCCCCCTTCATCCCCCCCGGCCCCACCCGGAGCGCTGATCTCCGGCGGCGGCAGTGTGACCTCCACTCGGTGCAGCGACCCCGCATGGGTGCCGGCGGGACCAGCAGCACAGTCATGCGCCTCAGCACCCGCACCACCACCACCGTTGATGCCAGTGGGAGAAGCGGTAGCGGCGGGTGAGGCTGGGGCTGGGGCTGGGGCTGGGGCTGGGGCTGGGGCTGGGGCTGGGGCTGGGGCTGGGGCTGGGGCTGGGGCTGAGGCTGGGGCTGGGGCTGGGGCTGAGGCCGGGCCAGGACGTGCGGGGCTGCTCGGGCGCAAGGGTGGCCGCAGGGGGGGCGTGGCGGGCTGGGCTGGGGGCTCTGGGACGAGGCAGCGGTGGCGGTGGGGGATGTGGGGGCGCGGGTCGGGAGACGGTGGCAGGCAGGGAGGGAGGGAGAGCAACAAGGGAGCTAACGAAAACGCGGTAGCCCTGGCTAGGCTCCACCACCTGTTCGTTGCAAGATGCCTCCACCGACAAGACTCTCGGCGGCGTGTGCTGTATATTCCCTTTTCGTCTTCTTTCCTGCATCCACCCACTTACCCCACTCCCTTCCACTCCCCTCATTCCCTCCCGCTCACCCTCCGCCTCCACGCGCTCCCCCGGTGTCTCCCGCATGTAGAAGGCGAACCTGTACGGCAGGCGGGCGGCAGGGACCCGTGGGTCACCTCCCCGCGCCAGTGCCACGTACTCCTGCAGCAACTTGAAGGAGCGCTCGTTCTCGGACTGCGAGGGGGCGGGGGCAGGGAGGGGGAGGGGCAAGGGTAGGTAGGGGCGAGAGGGAGTAGGGGCAAGGAGGAGGGTTGGGGATGCGGCGGGGTAAGGGGTAAGAACCACCGATGTAAGTACGAGGAGGGTGGGGCGAAAATAGAGTTGTAAGAACTGATTAACCTACCAACCCAGCTTACCAAGAATTCTCAATTCCTCATCCGCAATCTCGCATCCCCAGCCGCCGTATCCCCAGCTCCTCGTGCCCACCACCCACAACTCCTCCCCGCCTCCATATCCCTAGTGTCTTTCTCCCTCATCAGTGGCTTGAATGTGCACGCACCCCTACCTTGGCCTGGGGTATGTGGTGGAAGAGGTCGGGGTGCACTCGCTTGTAGAGCAGCCGCAGAGCCGCACGCAGAGGCAGCAAGGGGGGCTGCTGCTGCTGCTGCTCTTGCTGAGGAGGAGGAGGTGGAGGAGGTGACTGGGCGCCAGCAGCAGCAGCACTACCGCTGCTGCTGCTACTGCCGTTGCTGCTTCCACCGTTGCCACCATTATCATGGCTGCAACCCGAGCTGCTGCTGCTGCTGCTACGTCTCGCTTCTATACCGGTAATCACCGTGCTACCTACGAATATTACACCGCCTGTCGCCGTCCCAGCAGCACCTCTTACGCCTCCTCCGCCTCCTGCTGCAGCACCTCGGTGTCCATGCGGGTGGTAGTGGTGGTGGTGAGAGTACCACAGCAGCCGCTGCTGATTGGGGCTGCGCTGCTGCTGCTGGTGCTGGTACCGCTGCTGGTAGTAGTAATAGTGCACCTGCTGCTGCTGGTGCCGCTGCTGCTGTTGCTGTTCCCTGCGTGTGTCCGGGCACGCAGGGCGGCACAGCAGCGGATACGGGTCCGACTGGACGGCGCCCTGGGCGGGGCTCCCAACACATGTCCGACCCGCCGGCAGCGGCACAGCGGCCCCCCGGCGCTGTTCTGTAGTGCGGCCTGTAGTGGCCGTGCTAGCGGCTTTGCAAGCTGTGTCGGCAACATGGTGGAGGCAAGAGGGGGCCCTGTTGGAGGAGGAGGAGGAGGAGGAGGGGGCTGCTAGGGGCGATGTGGAGGGGTGGGGGCCAGCGGAGTCACCTGCTGCTGCTGGTGGGGGCAGAAGTGGAGGAGAAGAAAAGGAGGAGGGTTGAAGCGATTGCAGAGGTTGCAGGTGGTAGGTTTGGAATTGTTTTGCGTGGTGCAAGCAAGTCGAGGCTGCTGCATAGGAAGGCGGAGGAGGGCAAAGCTATTAAGCAGTGGGACATGGCGACATGGTTTACGGCGGACAAGCCATCCCAGGCGGCATGAACTGCTTGGGGCCGGAAGACGTACTGGGTGAGACAGGAACGACGGTGGATTATTGGGTTCTGGGTTTGCGCGTACTGGGCGTAACTATGTTGTCCGCATTGTGGATAATACGACAGCAGTTTGGCGAACCATATGGCATTTTGGCACACCTTGAATCCGGTACAGCAGCCATTCAACTTGAGGACCGAAGCGGCGCAAGTTTACCGCTTGCAGTCGCGTAGGCATGCCTCCTTTGGCAGTGCTGCGGCATACGGCCAAGAATATCCGTGTTGCGACAGGATTCGTTTTCCCTTTGTAATCACTATGATCAGGAAGCACAACCCAATGTCAGGCCTAGCCCTTGCGTCGGTTGGTGCAGAGCTGATACGGAAAGCAGTGGATTCGGAGCGGGTGCCTTCGCGTTGTTTCTAGTGTTCTGTCCTACTTCAAAGCGCTCGGCAAATCCTTCGATCACTTGCCTACGTTGCTTAACTGGATATACTTGTGATCAGCGCCCCCCGCTGGGTGTAGGTCGCATAGCCTACAGGTGTTACTCACCTACGCTTGCGCTTTTACGTGCTGATCTGAAGGATCCTTAGGAGTAACTTACGACCATGGTAAGTACTAGACGCATAACTTTAGGTGCCATCTCCTCGTCTACCATCCTGGCAGGGCTCAGACCTTGTCACATAATGTCACACACAGGCTCTCGTTTCGGTCGTCGGTTTTGATGTTGGCAACGACACCTCTTGCGTGGCTCTTGCCCGCAAGAGAGGCATTGATGTGCTAATGAACAAGGAGAGCAAGCGCGAGACGCCCGCGGCGATCAACTTTGGTAAGCAAAGAGGAATGGGTTGAATTGCCTTCTACTGTATGTTCGTGCGCTGTCCTGACAGTCGAGTCCGGAGCGAAGCTTGGCGGCTCCTTCGGATCTGGACGCTTCCAGGCGGACAGGTTTTGGTTCGCTTAGTATGGCCATCGCCGATAATCCCGGCGTGCATCAAGGGCTCATAGGGGAAAGTAGTATCAGCTGGATTATGATGGAGGTTATCAGTCAAAGCGGCATCAAATAGGCCATGCGGCATCCGAGGAGTAGGACTGAACGTCGCGTTGCTCCGTATGCTGCCAGAGCCTGGACGCCAGCGGCGAAACCCTTTTGCTTTCCCGCTGAGGACTGGCTTAGCTTTTTACTCCGGAGCTCGCAGCGGCGTTGACCCGTACCATCTCCATCCAGTCTTGAGCCGTGCAGCGTACAGTGGCTTAAAAGCAAACAGAGCCGCTCTTTTCTCAATTGCCTCGGCTAGTTAAGCCGAAAGCCGGTGCCAAACGGCGTGTGACCTGGGCTTCAATAGGGCTCTCACGGCTCCGCGGCCTGACCGGTTGCTACCCGTCCTGCTGTCCTATTCAAGTACCTCCCTCCCCTCCCCGACTCCGGTCCTACCCCTGTTGCTGTAGCCCACAGCGCATGGGCCATGCTCGCCTAGAGCTAGTTCAGCCCCCGTGCCCCAACAGCCGAGCTGCATGGGTACCCTAAGACTCGTAACCATGCCCAGCCCCAAACCAACCCAGATCGATCCAAAGCTATCCGCCAGCCTACCTACCTGCCTTCCTGTCAGCCTACCCAACTACCTGCCCGCCCGCCCGCCTGCCTGCTTGCCTCTCTCCGCAGGTGAGAAGATGCGCTTCCTGGGCACTGACGGCGCCGCCAAGTTGGGCCTCCAGCCGCAGAACACGGTGCACCAGCTGAAGCGCATCCTGGGCAAGAAGTTCCAGGACCCGCAGGTGGGGTGGAAAGAGGAAGCTGACTATAGCCGTGGGGATGGGGATGGAGCAATAGCAAGCATCAGCACCTCTGTTCTCAGTCCTGTGTTGGAGCGCCGCAGTAGGCTTGCGTTACTACTGGCCGGTGGCAGATGGTGGGGTTAGGTCAGTCGGAGCAGGGAGGGCAAATGCGAATGCAGACAGCAGGCAGTAAACGATGGCGCCGCAACGGCGCCCATTGTTACGGGGTTGGGTTACCTCGTACTCTTGTGTGGGCGAACTGGGTTGGGGTGATTCTCTGCCCCTATGCTCCTCTGCTCCCCTCTCTCGCCTCTGCAACTTTTGGTTGCGTTGGTGTCCAGCCCCTCTCAGTTTACCTAACCTCCTCAACCCCCCTTCCTCCCGCCCTGCTCTCCCCACCCCCACACGGCAGGTCCAAGCCGACATCGCCAAGCTGCCCTTCACGGTGCTGGAGGGCCCCGACGGCGGCTGCCTCATCCGCGTGCGCTACTGCAATGAGGAGGCAACCTTCACGCCGGAGCAGGTGCGGGGCAGGGAGAGGGAGAGGGAGGGATGGGCGGGAGGGAGAGAGGGAGCGGCACAGCGAAGCCGTCGGCCACGTGTTGTGCACGTGTCGTATTGAAACCAAACACAGCACGTAGACCGAACCCTGTAGTGGGGACATGGAAGGATGCAAGGCGAGGGGAAGGATGCAAGGCGAGGGGGTAGTACCGTTCAAGGGCGCGGAGGGTTGGTACCGTTGCTACAATGCTTGGGTCAAGAGTTGTGCTACTGCGAGCGGACGTGCAGCGCGGGGGGGTGAAGGGGTTGGCGGTGGGGGCAGGGCTGGCACAGCTGCCTGCCTGCCAGCTACCCAGGGTGCAGGCTCTCACAGACGGTTCGAGAGCGTTCCTGGATCCGACCCACATTCCTTACCCAGCTGCCCCATCCCTCACCGCCCTTGCTACCGTCTGCTTGACACTTGACGCTGGAAAAGTCCTCCCGTCCCCTTGGCCTCGCCACGTTGGCTGGGTGCCGCGTTAGCTGGCTGCTTGGTTGGCCTAATTGCACCTACCTTCCCTTCCCGCACGCGCCCCGCCCTTCTAACCTCATTCCTTGCCTCCCACTCCTCCCCCTTCCTTCCCCTCCCCCCCTCCGCCCCCCCCCAGGTGATGGCCATGGTGCTTGTGGACCTGAAGCGCATCGCGGAGGCGGAGGGCGGCATCCCCGTCACCGACTGCGCCATCTCCGTGCCCACCTACTTCACGGAGGCGGAGCGGTACGCCATGCTCAACGCGGCGCAGGTGGGTGGGTGGGGGTGGAGGGGAGGGGAGATGGAGGGGGAGAGAGAGAGGGGAGAGGGCACGCAATGCTGCAGTGGAATATTCGAAAGCACATAAAAGTTGCTGACACGGCTTGCTGAAATCGTTGATTTCCGTTGACTCTCGTTGACGCCCGTTGACTCTCGTTGTCAACCGTTGACTCCCGTTGTCAACCGTTGACTCCTGTTTTCAACCGTTGACTCCCGTTCATTCCCGTTGACTCCCGTTGTCAACCGTTGACTCCCGTTCACTCCCGTTGACTCCCGTTGTCAAGCCTTCTGCCCTTTCGTCACGTCCACCACCTCCTTGTGGCCCCGCTTCACCACCTGCCTCCTCCTCCCTTGCCCCCCCGCCTCCACTCCCCCCCACCCAGATCGCTGGCGTCAACTGCCTGCGGCTGATCAACGAGACCACCGCCACCGCCCTGGCGTACGGCATCTACAAGACCGACCTGCCGGAGAACGACCCGGTGCACGTGGTGTTCGTGGACGTGGGACACTCGCACACGCAGGTCAGGGCGGTTGGGGGGGTTTAGGGGCTGGAGGTGGAGGTGGTGGTGGGGAGAAGGAGGGAAACATCCGGTGTGTGTGTTAAGAAAACTGGCCGCGGGTGTATGTGCGAGAGGGGATATGGAGAAAGAGGGGTAAGATCCCATGCCCGACTCGTGCAACAAGTGCGTGCTGTCTTCTTCGCGGGCCTACGAGCAACAACCACCAACCACTCCCCTCCTCCCTCCTCTCCCTGCTCCCCCCCCCTCCCTGCCCCCCCCTCCCCCGCCCCCAACAGGTGTCGGTGGTGTCTCTGAAGCGCAACCAGCTGGTGGTGCGGTCGCACGCGTGGGACCGCAACCTGGGCGGCAGGGATTTCGACGAGGTGCTGTTCGACCACTTCGCAGCGGAGTTCAAGTGAGGCGGCCGGGGGAATGGGGGGGGATTATAAATAAGTGCAACAACGCAGTCCCAATCTCGAATCCCGACTCATGCAGTGAGCGCATAGATGGGGGGGGGCAGGAACGGGGTGAACATATCGTAATATTGGACACGAGGCAGCTAACGAGGGAGAGGGGAGAAGAGGGGGGCAGGAGCGGGGATGAAGAGGGAGGGGGAAGAGGCTTTGCTGCGGTGCAGCAATAGGAAAGGGGGAGGATTGGAAGGGAGGAGGGCGACCATGGTGCTGGCGACTTGCATCCTCGAAAGTTACCCGCGATGCAGCCCCTTGAGTAGGATGATATCCTCGACCCGCCGGTTAACACTGTGCCTGCTGTTGCTGTTGTTGTCGCGGCTGCTGATGCTCCCGCTGCTCCCGCTGCTGCCTCGTGTCCGTACAGGGCCAAGAAGAAGCTGGACATCCGGGACAACAAGAAGGGCTCCTTCAAGCTGCGTACGGCAGTGGAGAAGGTACGAGCCCCGTCCATGCCCCTTCCTTCCAACCCCCAAATCTGTTCCTCCTTCCCCTTCCCCCCCACCCATCCTCCTCACCAGGAGCTTGTCGTCTTGTTTGCCGTCCTCATTCAACACACTGGGTATTCTTCTTTTTCCCTCCCGCCCTTGTTTCCTCCTTACCTCCTCCTCCCACCCCGCAGGTCAAGAAGATGCTGAGTGCCAACAGCGAGGCGCCGCTCAACGTGGAGTGCATCATGGAGGACGAGGACCTGCGGTGAGGGGGGGCGGGGAAAAGGGAGGGGAAAAGGGAGAGGAAAAGGGAGAGGAAAGGGGAGAGGAAAAGGGAGGGGGGTGGGGTTTGCAGGGCCAGGGAGGAAGATGGGTTCCAAGGACACCAAGGCCGTCAGGTCATGCACACATGCACATACACATGCACGTAACAAACAGACGTTGCAGCAGTTTAGTGGGTGTATATAGTGCTTCCTTTGCCTCGAAAATCCCTTCGTCCCACCCACTCCACTCCACCCCCGAACCCCACCCCTAAATCATGCCTCCCCCTTCCCCCCCCTCTCCCCCCCAGCGGCATGATGACTCGGGAGCACTTCGAGCAGCTCGCCGAGCCCATCCTGGCTCGCCTGCGCGCGCCCATGGAGGCCGCCCTGCGCGAGAGCGGCGTGGCTCTGTCCGACATCAGCAGCGTGGAGGTGGTGGGCAGCAGCACGCGCATGCCCGCCGTGTGCCGCGTGGTGGAGGAGGTGTTTGGCAAGGCGCCCAGCCGCACCATGAACAGCAAGGAGTGCGTCAGCAGGGGCGCGGCGCTGCAGTGCGCCATGCTGTCGCCGGTGTTCAAGGTACGGGGGGGGAAGGAGGGGTGGCATGGGGTTGATGTTGGGGAAGGACAGGCGGGGCGGAGGCGGATGCAGAGAGGGTGGGAGACGTGCTAGTCCCTGCATCTGAGAAGGCGGTGAAGAGGCGACCCAGTAAACCCCCTGCCCTAGTGCCTTGCTGACCGGCTGCTGCCCTCCCTGCTGCCCTCCCACCCGCAGGTTCGCGAGTTCGAGGTGATTGACGCGACCCCGCTGTCCGTGTGCTTCTCCTGGGAGGGCAAGGACGGCGGCGTGGTCACGCAAACGCTGTTCAAGCGCGGTAAGCACATGCACACACCCGCCGCCGCGCGGCCGGATTCCCCGACCGTCCACATCCCGGCATGTTGACGTGTTCGTCTGCGGCATGGCGCCGCTGCTGGACTCGTCTTCCGGCAGCAGAACCGTAACAATATACGTTCCTATCCGCGGCCAGTTGCGTTATCATGTGCTCACATGCTCAACTGCACATTAAAACAATTGGCCGTCCCCTTTAACCCACCCGCCCACCCACCCACCCACCCCTCCTCCCTCACCCCACCCGCCCCCCCCTCCTACTCCCCCCCAGGCGAGGCCTTCCCAAGCACCAAGATGGTCTCCTTCAACCGCGCGCAGCCCTTCGCCTTGCGCGCGCACTACGACCTGGACACCCCCGCCGAGCAGCTGGCGCCCGCATTCGACAAGCAGCTGGGAGTCTTCTCGGTGGGACCCTTCCAGGTGCGGGGGCGTGGAACACGGGGAGGGGAGAGCGGGGAAGAGGTGCGGGGCAGGGAGGGGTGCGCGGTAGGGATGTGCCAGGAATGTGCAAGGCAGGAGGGGGGGAGAGGGGTAAAGGAGGCAGAGGCCTGAGCTCCTACGCCTCCTTCTTTTCCCCTCCCCCCTTCCAACTCGAATACGATCTTCCAATGCATGGTTTACATAGTTACCAACCTAGGTTAATCCCCCTCTCCTCCCGTTCCTGCCCGCCCCCTCCCTCCCACCAGGTTCCCCCCGGCTCCGAGACCGCCAAGCTCAAGGTGAAGATCAGCCTCAACCTGCACGGCCTGGTGGTGGTGGAGCAGGTGCAGGCAGTGGAGGAGATCGAGGAGCCGGAGGTGAGGGGGGGAGGGGAGCAGCGGGGAGGGGAAGGAGGGAGAGACTGCTCACCGGCTCTGTGTGCGCGGAAGGTGGGGAAGGCCCAAACCGGCAACCGGCCTATTGCCCGTCTCCGCAACTCCCTTTCCTCAATCTCACATGGAGCGCATCGCTCATTTCAGGCCAGCGCGCACCGTCCTACAGTGACCCACATCCGCGACCTCCCACTCACCGCCCCACAGGCCCCCGCTCCCTCCCCCGCTCCCGCCGCCGCGGACGCCAAAATGGACGACGCCGCTGCTGCCAACGGCGAAGCCGCCGCCGCCGGCGCCGACGGCCCTGCTCCCATGGACACCGCTGCCGCCCCCGCCCCCGCTGCCGCGCCCAAGAAGAAGAAGGTGAAGAAGAGCGACGTGCCCTTCCAGTCCAGCGGCGTGTGCGGCTACAGCAAGAGCCAGGTGGACGCCTACTTTGAGCAGGAGCACCAGATGCAGGCCGCGGACCGGCTGCAGGAGGAGACCAACGAGCGGAAGAATGCGCTGGAGAGGTAAGGGGGCTAAGGGGGGGACAAAGACCATACCAGACCATAGGAGACCACAAGTTAGGGCAAAACAATGGGGGTAGGAGTTGGCAGGGTGCCACAAGACAAAGGGTTGGTTAGTATTCCCTACCGATACCGGGTCCGCGTTGCTGATGAAAGGGGGCTAAGGGGGGTAGGGGTGCGAGAAGGGAAGGATGAGGGAGAAACACCGTGCCGAGAGGGAGGGCGGGCGGGAGGGAGGGAAGGAGGTACAGCGCAAACCATCCATGATGGCTGTTGGCACATCAATCAGTGCTGATGTCACAGAGGGCACAGTTTCCCATGTTTTAGCCACAGGTGGGGTTGGGTTGACGTATAAGGCGGGTGGTGGTAGCGAGGGCTGTGGAGGAGGTTCCCTGACCGTTCCCTTCCCAGAATTCTTTGCACTCGGCATCAGCCAACTGTTGTGCACGCTCTGAGCCCCCTGCTGCTACCTTCCTCCTGCCGTACATCTGCCGTACAACAGCTACGTGTACGATCTGCGCAACAAGTTGTACGACGCCTACGCTCCGTACATCAAGCCGGCCGACAAGGAGGCCCTGCAGGCGGAGCTGACCGCCATGGAGGACTGGCTGTACGACGAGGGCGAGGACACCACAAAGAGCGTCTACATCGCCAAGCTGGAGGAGCTCAAGGCCAAGGGAGGACCCGTGGAGCGCAGGTGGGGCTACGGGAGGGGAGGGGAGGGGGCGGTTGGGTGGGCACACCGGTGCAGCGCCTCCACGCTTTGTTGGTTCGCTCACTGTTTTGAATCGAACCGAGGGCTTGGGATTCCGGTGCGTTTTTCGCAAGCTTTTTAAACCGGTACCACTGCCCCTGCTGACCTACTCCTCTCCCCCCGCCATCACTGCACGAGTTCGGATACGGGAAGAACCGGTTGCTCCAGTTGCTTCACTCCGTAATTAAATGTCTCCCTTCTCTTCCCCTCCTCCTCGCAGGTTCGCGGAGGACCAGAGCCGCGGTGCCGCGCTGGACGCGCTGCGGTCCACCCTGGAGCACTACCAGCAGCTGGCGCGCTCCGACCGGCCGCAGCTCGCCCACATCAGCCCCGAGGAGCGAGCCAGCGTGATCAAGGAGTGCGATGCGGCGGCAGGGTGGCTGCGTGAGTGGCGGGAGAGGGTTTGTTATAATTGTATTTTGTGTGTGTAATGGGTAGTGTGTTTTGGGTCCGTGTATTTGCGGACATGGGATGGAGTGATAGGTGTGTGTATTGCCATCAGTGTGCATATCCACGCCCAGCCCTGTGCACTTGGTGTGCGTGTGCCGGCACCAGAAGGTGCACAGGGCTGGGCGTGTGAATTCCATTTCCTGCGGCGTCTACAGGACGACTCGCGTGTCATCGTGCCCCTGTCACTCGTGACTCTTGGTGATGACACATCTCTCTCCCGCCCCCCATCAGTTGCATCGTCAGTGTCTCATTATATCTTTTACCCCGTCACACCACCGCACTCGCCGCCCCACTCACCGCCTCCGCAGAGGAGCGCCTGGCCCTGCAGTCGCAGCTGAGCAAGGCGGACGAGCCCGCGCTGCTGACTGCCGACATCAACAAGAAGCGGGAAACGGGTGAGCGGCATGGACACAAAGACGAGACGGCCATCGGGGGAATGCGGCTTGGGAAGTGAGCTGCTTGTGACTGTTGCGTGTGTTCTTGACCTCGGCTTGGTTCTGCACCGGTCGCCAGGCCTTGCCGCTGCCCACACAGGGTCGCTTTTCCTCCTCTCCTTTCATCCTCCATCTTCTCATGCATCCTTAATCCCTCCTTGAATCCAACCTCCAATCCCGCCTCCCATCCTCTCTTTCCCCCACAGTCGAGCGCGTCTGCAAACCCATCATGTCGCGGCCAGCGCCGCCACCCCCGGCACCCGCGCCGGCGGCTGCTCCCGCCGCCGACGCTGCCGCCGCCCCGGCTGCCGACGCCGCCGCCTCTCCTGAGCCCATGGAATCCGAGGCATCGCCCGGGCCCGAGGCCGCCCCCGCTGCTGACGCCGCCGCCGCCGAGGGGCAACCCATGGAGACCGGGAACTGAAGTACCGAACTGAAGTGAAGGCCGGAAGTGATGCGTCTGATGTGTGTGCGTTGTGCCGTGTGTGATGTGCAGGAGGTTAAGTTGGGAGTAATGTGGGACGACAGCTGGTTTGGGAAGTCGGTGTGTTTCTTTGTGGAAGCCCGCCGTAAGACATGAACTCCTTCGCATTTCCGGTGGCGGCATCCGGTGGCGTGGTGCTCGGGCATTTTCTGGCCTGTCAAGTCCACCAAATTGCTTTTTGCGCTTTTTATGACAGCCGAGGGTAAAGTTGTTTACTGACCTTGGGACGAAGATCCACCGTGGGCTGCAGAGGGGTGGCAAGGACATTCAGGGTGGTAGAAGGCGCTTGGTTGCGTGTTTAGCTTTTAGAAGGAATCTGGAGCAAAGCGAAAAGGACCAGCTTAGGTGAGAGGTGGGCTTTCGATTGCTGTGAGTGCCTCTGGGTGCTGAGGGTTTGAGCGGACGGTTCGTCTTTTTTGGGGCACTGCAATGCAGGTGAGGCAAAGGGAATGTAGGCTCGGTGGGTATGGCGTGCCCCAGTGCTTTCTTCTGGAGAGAGGAAGGAACTATTCGCACAGGAAGGTGAACTTCAACTTGGGCGAGAGGATAAAGTAGTTCGGGACTTGCGCCGTTGGAAAGACTGTTGCCCGAGGTTCCGTTGCCGATTGGATGGGGTCCCTGCCGCATTGGTAAGGGCTGCATTTCGGGGGTTTGCTGGCCTCACGGCGCAGCCGCCGGGCAAGAAGGGGCGACATATAATCTAACGCTGGGGTGTGAAAGCGTCCCTGCGCGCGGGACTAACCGTACATGATGCATCCTATCTGCCAAGCGTAGGATGCCTGCTGGAGGGCTGCCTCGAGGGTATATTAGTGCACAAAACGCATGGCATGCACTCGGTAAGCACCTGGTATGACGCCGTCTGGTAAGAGGCGAAAGAGGCTGCAGACGGAGCACCGCGCGCCATAATCAGAGGGATGCTGAGCGCAAGGCTGTTGCGGTTACACGTAGCATGATGTTTTGCGCTTAGGCCTTCCTGATGTGCCCACAATAACCAACAGCCATCACGCGTAATGGTAAACCAGGTGACAGGGATGCACCAGCGGATGGTGACGCCTGCAGTAGAGGCCTCTGACGGAGCCTGGTAAGGCAGCTGCCCATCCAGCTTAAACTCACGAAAAAGATTGAAATACAGTAACAAACACCTATTAACATGACTAGATGAGTGAAGGGTACAACAGTATGGAGGCAACGGGACTCCAGACGCCATGCGCCTAGTCGTACGGGAATTTATATCGTACACTTCCGACGTCTGCAAGCCCCAATGGATATCGCACACCACGCATGACTGGCTTATGCGCAACGTTTCGCGCAACTTCTGAGTACCGGACACGCGCCCTCCTGCTGCTGCTGTTCGACACAGCTTTAAACCCCCTTTCATGAACGTGCCTTGTTGTACATTGCAAGGTGATCCCCGTATGTTGCATGCCGCCAGCGTTGGCAGCCCTGCAAGCACGCCTGCCGCCGTAGCACACCAGCCCTTCTTCGTACTGCGCCCGCTACACATTTGCAGCATGTCGGCCCTCATAGAACAGCTCAAGACCCAAACCGATTCAGTAATGCAGCACCAGAGCGCCCAACCGGACCACGCTGCTACTTTGGCACTTGGCCTCAAACGCCATTGACCCCCCGACCACCCATGAACTGCTTCACTCTTGCTTTCCATACTACGTACTCCCTCTTCCCTACAAAACAGACCCTTACATAATTGACATAATCCACACGGTCTGTCTTTTTTATGGTGAAGTAAATTATAAGAAACGCCTTAGGTGGCGTTCCTTCAGGCTTAACACAAATACATGGGTCGCGGCCTTTTTGTGTTAACAAAGGCTCGGTTGTCGAAACACACGGTTTCAAAGTCCCCCCCCCATTCATCGATATGGGATCGGAAAGGTCCCCAACCTCGACCCCAAATCTCAACGTTTCAGCGACGAGCAACCAACAAACCGTGGAAACGTAACCACATAAAGGGGATCATTCAAAGCGGCGCGCGTTCACATGTGAAAACACATTCACAGTGTCAATTCTGCGGCCAAGATTTTCCTATAACACAAACGCACGAACGAACGCATGTTCACATTTGTGCGGGCCCATTGAATCCACAACCACACAAGCCGGAACCCCAGCAGCAAAAAGATCACAAGCAACCGCCGCGTTTCGACAGTAGCGCGGCGGGTTGGTGTGATCAACTGATTCAGCAATGCAAAGTAGCATCAATACACACACTATAAACGCATGGGACACACCACCGTCACCGGCGGCCGAAACGCTACGCAACACAACGTGCCTAACACGTACGCAACAGAGAGCGAGGAATCAGACATGGTCGCCCGAGAATTGAGGCACATAACAGCCAATCGCAAAAGCCCCCAAACCAAACGTTGCCCCCGGTGAAAGAACTATAAATAATAGCATGACACATGCGCAAAGCGCTCGACAGAGCCTGACATCCCCTGTCGCAGCAGCGTGACGAGTTCTCCGGTGTTACCGGTCTTCTACAATGGTTACGGCCAGTGGCTTATCGCGGCTCATCAATTGCAACACACACCTCTCCGTCTGTTGCAGCACCCAGCAGCACCAAAGAAAGCGTTTTAGAGCCTGGCAATTCAGAGCTACGCACCCATACTCTCACCTCTCTCACCTCCACTCTTAACATGCCGACGGGACGCGGCGCTTCACACATCAGCACCGCCGCCCCTCCAATACACACCCGACCAACGCAATCCGCAAAACACGTGCATGCAGCTCACACCGACCTGCACGTCCCTCATCTCGTCTTTGGCTCTCCGCACAAGGGTACACGCAACCTCTTCTTCATGTCGCTTAAAAGACTTTCAATCATTTCTCATCCGCTACACTGGCCATACATGCTATATCGCTCACAAAAGGCAGTTCAAGAAGCTTATCGAGCGGATGCCCTAACAGCGCCCCAACAGCACTTCCGAGCTTTCCGGGGGGCTGTTAGGTCTTGTAATTCACATGGAGTCGCTGCCCCATCACGGCTCCCAACCCATGTACAGTACCCCAGTGACACCAGCGGGGCCTACGTGCATTTGCCCGGTTACCCAAACCCATGCAACATGCGTGCTGCGCAAGCCGCTACTGCTCAGCGGGTGGCGTGAGGAGGTAGGTCTTGAGCGTGCCCTTGCCCTTTGCCTGCGAACATGTGGCACAGCGGCAGCAGCAGCATCAACTGACATGCGTACGGATGCGTACAAGTCAAAGGTCGGCATTGGTTTGTTCTTGTGCACAGCTCTGTTGATCGGTTGCGACATGAACACAAAGTACAACACAACACCTGCATGGGGCGCTGCAGCTGGGGCACGAGCCGGAGCAGTGCAAGATGTCTGGGGACACATACCGCAAGGGAGCCTGCTGGGGTTCCCAGCTGAAAGAGTGGCAGGTATACCACTGTTTAACAGTCATTCATGCTGCCTCATGGAGGCACCGGATGACCGAAACGTACCTCCACGCCCCCTGTGGGCTGCCAGTCCTCTCCAGGCACCAGGTCCCGAGTGGCGGCGCTGACATGGATGGCGCCCGGCACCCCCGTGCTCTCCATGCGGCTGGCCGTGTTGATGGTGTCGCCGAACAGGCAGAAGCGGGGCATGCGGGTGCCCACCACGCCGCTCATGGCGGGGCCGCTGTGGATGCCCACACGCAGCCGCACGGGCTGACCCGTGGTGGGCAGTCGCACGGTGGCAGCACAACGGAGCAGAGCCTGGAAGAAAAGGAGAACAGGAAGAATACAATGGCGTGAATGATAGGAAGAAGGGCGGCGGAAACGCAGGCAAGAACGCATAAGGAAAGATTATCAGGAAGAGGATAAGACCAATGTGCTAAAGCCTTCGTAAGCCCAAAGCCTGTGCAGAATGACACCTGCTGCGCACACACCCGCACGGCCAAAGTGCCCCACTCCATTCTTAGTACATGCAGGTAGACTTACCTTGGCAAACTGCACCGTTCGGTGCGCGTGCTGCGGGTCCACGTCGTCCGAGCGCACCGTGACCGCGCCCGTCTCCTCGTCCACCTTCATCAGCCCGCCCGCCACCATGTAGCAGTCGCCGATGGTCTCCACCTTGTACACCCCGAACGCGTCCAGCATGGCGTCCAGGCGCGTGTAGAGGTCGTTGAGGAAGGCCATCACGGTCGCGGGCTTCACCACGTTGCACATGGCGGTGAAGCCCTGGATGTCGCAGAACAGCACAGTGAGCGCGCTGTGGGAGGTTGCGAGGTGCAGGAAGGTATCGCCCGTGATGTGAACTGCGTGGTCGTCCGGCGCGGGCAGTCGCATGGGGTCCGCCAAACCAGCCGTTGCAGCAGCAGCCGCAGCAGCAGCGGCTGCTGCTGCTGCGGCCGCATCGGCGTCAGCGGCTGGGCCGCCCTCAGGCGCGTTGGTGCCGTCTCCCGTGCCATCCCCCGCAGTATCGTTGTTGGTGGTAGCAGCGGCGTTCGCAGCCATGAGCGCTATGTGCTCGATGACTGCACATGGGGGGTGCGTGAAGAGAGGAGAGGAGGGGTACAAAAGGGGGTCAGGCGCCTGGTCCTGATAGTGTTGCTGCTGGTGGTGGTCAGAGGTGGTGGTGGTTTCACCAGTCTCGCGCCCAGGGGCCCTATGACCCGTACAACCACCCCCGACGCACCGCACCTCACCCCGCACCCCACACCCCGCACGCACCATGCATGGGAAAGATGTTCTCCAGCAGCGAGTGCTCAGCCTCCACCACCATCGCCAGTTGCCGCTCCGCCCACACGCGAGCGGACACATCGTTCTGCGCGTGCGGACGGTAGGCAGGCGGGCAGGCAGGCAGGCAGGCAGGCAGGCAGGCAGGCAGGCAGGCAGGCAGGCGGGCGGGCAGGCAGGCAGACGGGAGTTCATACCACACAGCGAGCTATCCTGAAACCAGCGTAACAACCTCTTGTCACCAACACACCCCCCTCGCATGCAAGCAAGCAAGCGTGTGCCAACACACCGGCCGGCACCCTGCACCCACGCACACACCCCACACCTGCCTCGCCACGCACCTGAGACACCACGATGAGCCGCTCAGCCGTCTCCGGGTGGCTCAGACCGCTGACAACCACTTCGTGCCATCGCTCCATGACAGGTGCCGCAGCCGCCGACAGGTGACCTGATGCCGACTCGCTGCGGCTCCCCGACTCCTCCTCTTCCTCCTCCTCCAACTCCTCCTCCTCCTGAGGCCGCTGCTGCTGCGGCTGTTGCAATGGCCGCTGCTGCTGCGGAGGAGAAGGAGGCGCTCCCCCCAGCTGGGAAGCCGGTGTCTTCAGGGCGCGTGGCTGTTGCTGTTGCCGTTGTTGCTGGTGCGGGTGCTCTGACTGCTGGAGTTGCCGTTGTGGCTGCATCGGTGGGCGGGAGCTGGTTTGCTGGAGGTAATGCTGCTGGGGCACGCCGACTGATGCATTGGAAAGCACTGTCGCCGCCCCTCCGCCGCTGCTCGCTGCATCTGCTCCCGCACCTGCTGCGGCGGCGATGCTGCCACCGCCAACAACCGACTCCTGTCCAAGCGTGCTTCGTGCGTAGTAGTTGGGTTGCTGCCCTAGCGACATCCCCGGTGTGCCCCAACCGGATAACACAGATCCTGACGTGTCATACACGTTGCCCGTGACATGGGCATGGCTGTTGGAGGTCATGCCAGTGCCGTTCACGTGCAAGTGCACGGAGGATGGCCCAACCTGAACTTCCTCATCATCATGCGGGTGACCCATGGGTCCGACAACATGGCTCGTGGACGTAACCAGCGCACCGCCAGCAGCGGCGTCAAAGTTGTGAGACAACGCTGGAGGTACTGCGGCGTTGTTGTTGTTGTTGTTGGTGGTGGTGATGGTGGTTGGGTGGGGGATGGCGAGTGCTTTCGCAACTGCCTTGCCCAGATTTGTTGCATGGCTGCTGCTGCCGCTGTTGGTGGCGTGTACATGCAGGGAGGATACGACGGCGCTGATGGAATCTTGGCGGTGGCCGGAAGAAGGGTCATCCATTTCAGGTACGAAGAGCCCGGGCCCGCTTCCCAAATCCTGTGAGCGGAGCGGAGCGGGGCGGAGCGGAGCGGGTATGAGCGGTATCTAGTGACTGTTTAAGAAACAGGAAGGACGGCATATCTACGTGATGTACAGGAAGTGGCGTGTGACGCCACGCTCGATATCTCAACCTCCTAACACAATCTGAGCGACAAAGCTCTCCAAGCCCATCCTTCCTCCATGCTTTCCTGCCTTCACGACACCACGTTTCGAGTAACTCTATACACACCACCCACCCTCCCTCCCTCCCACTTTAGTTGTTTGCATTTCTGATATAATTTTTTCCCTCCCTCCCTCCCTCCTCCGCACACTTACCGCCGCATAGCGCCCGCTGGTTGCCGTACTGCTGTCGCGTCGATACGTCAAGTCAACTTCCAACCGCTCCACACTTTGCGCACGCCGGAAGCTTCTACGGCTCCTGGACGTCCTGGTGCTCTGGCGCGACACTTTCTGTTGCTGCTGCACCGTTGTTACTGCCGTACAATTCGCACTGTTACCACTCACTACAACAGACGTCTGTTGCTGCTGCTGCTGTTGTTGTTGGTGGTTGTTGTTTTCCGTTACGTACGGTAAATCCCCACTAACGGCTTGAGGTGTCGCAATGCTGCTTCCCAGACTGCTACAGGCGGTCAGGCGACGAGGGTACTGCGCGTACGACACCTTGCTTGCAAGGCTGAGGATGCGCGGTAACACGCCTTGCGGTCCCGGCGGCATAGCTGCCGTACTGCCGATTGCCGTACTGCTTGAATTATTGGAGTACGGCATGGCGAAAGGGGCACTGCCGTCCGGGTCCATGTCGCGGCTCACGGCCATGGTCATGGAGCGAGCCCGATGCGTCACCAGGAGTGCCGTCGGGACACCGCCGCCGCCGCCTCCGCAAGTAGCTGTGCCGCCGTCGACCGCTGCCCCGTACCCGTAGCCTACCATGTACGGCGGCGGAGGCTCCTGGTAGGCTACGGAACCCCGGCGAGCGTTCCTGCCTCGGCTTCCACTGCCGCCGCCGCTGCCGCCGCCGCTGCCAGCGGCCGCGGGGACCCCACCCATGCCCATGCCCTCGCTCTTCGCGCTGCGGTTCACGGTTTCCAGCTCCTGTGCCGATTGCCGCTTGAAGGGCGTAGCTGCACAGGCCGCCGCCACGCCATGCAGGTGCCTCAGTCTCAGCCCACTGCCACCAGCAGCAGCACCGCCGCCGCTACCCAAGCCGCCCGCTGCCAACTGCAAAGCAGAGTCCGCCACAGGCGAACGTCCCAGGGGTGCGCCACCGCCACCTTCACCGCCGCCGCTGCCATAAGCCCCGCCTGTGCCTTCTCCTTGCTGCGTGCCGTACTGTTTGGCAGTCTCCAGAGTACCCCAGGGGGACGTTTCAGGCACGGGACGCAGCAGCGCGGCGCCCGAGATGTCTTGCATGGCGGCTCCCCCTGCAACCTCGGCAGGTCTGGGGTGACTGGGGCTGCCCACTTCATCGCCAGGGCTGTCGTCCACCGGCCAAGCGGGAATGCCGCCTGAGCCGGAAGCTCCCGACCCAGATGGCAAATCCTCGCTGGCTACGCTGGGACCCATGGGTCCACATGTGGAGGGGCGTCTCAGAGGCGCACGGCGGCCGCGAGGGCCGATCAGGGTCCCTGGAGTTAAACCAAACAGAGAGACACACAGAAGGGGCGAAAGGGAAGGGAAGGGAAGTTGGTGAGCGCATGCATGGAAGCATGGACACGCGTTGGGCTTTGGGTGTCCACGTGCGTGTCGCACGTGGCATGCCATGCTCGCGCGGAACATTCCGTACGACATAAAGATGCGACGCAAACGAGATCCGTAGAGGAACAGAACTACACGTACAATACCTCCCGAGCGTCCTCAGCGGCAGGCGCGTCATTTTCAACATCGCCACAACAGAAGTGCACACTGCGCGGACTTCACCTTCCGGTATTCGCAGTACGTTCCGACTCGCGGCCAGTTCCCTCAACGCTTACCCCAGGCGCTCGTCGTCAGAGCCTCCAGCATCTGCTGCTGCTGCCGGCCGGACAGATTGCTGCGTGTGCTGTTGCGGACTGGCGGTCCATGCGAGGCGCGCGCAAACTTAACGGCCAGCGGCAACGGCAACTGCTGCTGCTGCAGCGGGTGCTGCTGCTGCTGCTGTGGGTGCTGGGTCTGGGATGTTGCTTGGGCGGGTGAATGGGCGGCGGCGCGGGTGGCACTGCCTCCAGATCCCGTCACAAGTGGGGGCGCTGCCATGGCTTCGTTGAAGCTGCCGCCCGTTTGCAAAACGGTGTTGAGGACTCGGCTGCCGTCAATGGAGCCGTTGTCTCGTCGGCTCATTCCATGGCCGCTGTTGTCGGATCTCCAGTCCGGAGAGTCCTCTCGAAGCAGCAGCCGCGAGGTGGGGGTTGGCAGCTGCGGGTGGGAGACACCTGGCGAGGCGTCAACAGACAGCGCGGGTGTTGTGGCCATCGCGGTTGTTGCCACTGCCGCAGATGCTACGGCGGCGGCAGCGGAGCCGACGGTGGTTGCAGCGGCGGCGGCAGCCGGTGCGGCGGTGGCTGAATCGCTGTTCAAACGCGCCGGAGAAACGCCTCCGCTCAGGCTCGTCTGCACTGCACCCGCGCTCATGGCCCGTGGGGCGTACATGACCCGACCCGCGGCACCCAGGTGGCCCTCACTAGCTGGTTGCACTGCGGGTGGATTATAAGATGCACCAACGGCATGTTGTTATTTAGCTAACAGAGTGTTGGGAAGGCATGCCCATGAGGTCGTCAAACAAGGGTGCGCAATGCGCAATGCGCCCCTGCTCGCAGACATGCACGGGCTATCCTCCGGATTACCCGGACGCCCCGGTTAGCAGTCGTCCAAGGCCATCCATGAGCTATCAAACGTATCTAGGCAGCCCCGACAGCTTCCCAACTGGCGCCCTGAGAACAGTCACAACAACACCCAAAACCCGCGGCGCATGCCCCACTTACCAGCGCCCGCGGCCCCGCCCATCACGCCGCCTGTCACCACGCCCGCGACACCCTGCCCGCACAACTCCTCCCTCCCCACAACGCCAGCAGAAGCATGGACGTCCCCGGGTGCGCCACCCGAACAACCACCGTCACCACCACCACCGCCGCCAGCAGCAGCAGCAGCAGCAGCGCCGGTAGCATGCCCTCCGGCGGAAGCGCCCGCATCCTCTCGCATGCGCGGCAGCCCAGCGCTGGCCGCCGCCTCCTCAGCCGCAGCTAGCACTGCAGCTTTGGCGGCTGCAGCCGCTTGAGCCGCCTTTGCCACCGCCTCCGAAGCAGCTGCTGCTGAGGCTGCTGCAGCCGCCGCCACAGTCGCCCCTGAGCCCCCCCAGAGGGCCTGATGCTCTGCCGTACGAAGAAACGTCGCAACATCCTGGGAAATGCGATTCCGGTAGGAGGTGGTGGTGCGTCGCAGCGGAGCAGGTGGTGCGGCTGCTGCCGTCCGGCAACCTGGCTGCTGCTGCGGCGGCGGCGGCGGCGGCGGCAGCGGCATTGGTGTGGAAGTGGAAGTACCAGCAGCAGCAGCAGCAGCAGTAGCGGCAGTAGCTGCATCGGCGGGGTCCGGAAGAGGGACGCCAGTAACAGGAACACCACCACCACCAGCAGCAGCAGCAGCAGCAGCAGCAGCGCCGGATGCAGGGACGCTATCCGGGGAGGCGTGCGCTTGCTGTTGCTGCTGCGCTAGCTTTGCAAGCCGCAGCGCGCGCTGGCTGGGTGTTTCAATTGGGAAGAGCTTAGCGAGGGCGCTACCGATATGATCAGCAGCCTCTCTTCCGGCTGCTGTTGTTGTTGTTGCTGCTGCTGCATTGTTGGGGCTGGTGGAGGCACGGGCTGCAGCTGCATGTGCGGCTCTGCACCCGGCGACGCTGCGGGCTCCAGCAACGGCAACCAGAGAGGGAATGGAGGTGGAGGAGATCTGGGACGAGCCGCAGGCTGCTGAGGCTGCGTGGGCCTGAGGTGCATCCGTTCCGCTGTGCGCGGGCGCTGCTTGCGGTTCCCGGATGAGCTCAGGTGGAATGAGAAGAAGGCCTGCAAGGGCGTGGAACAAGGGAAAGGGAGCGTGATATTGGCTTGCTGCTGCTGTAGGTTCGATGGAGGGGCTGGATGGCTGTGTTGGGAAAGTGGCGGGCCATTGTCCATGTCATGGAAGCGCAATGTGGGATGTTGCGAGAGAGCGGTATCACCTGTGGTGGTTCCCGTTAAGCCCCTCTGCCCTCAACCCTGTTTTGGATTGCAGGTCTGCTTACCCCTCCACACGGTGCCCTCGGCGGCAGCTCGGTATGCCTCAGCAAGCGCGGCTGGGTCGCGACTAAAAAGCGTTGCCAGTTCTTGGACGCCATCACTGAGTAGTGCCTTATTGGCCTCATTTTGCTCAAGAAGCATACCATCATTCGCTCTGTAGAGCGCAACGGCGTTTGCAAAATCGTTGAAGAGTGCCGCATGCAGAGCTGAGGGTGCGGGAGGGCGTTCAGCTGCAAGGGAAAAATAGAAGGCGCAACATATAGGTAAGGGCATAGAGATAGCAGGCACACATACATTATATGTGCGTATGCACATATCTCAGGCAGACGGATGAAGGTAGGCCACGAAGGCGCCAGGCATACGCATGCTGTCAGCCCCATATAACAATACAGAAGCCTTCAGACATAGCTTGCAGCCTTAAACAGCGACAGCGCCTAAAGAAGTCTTACGATGTATCGTCCGTCGCCTCCCGCGCGTCCCTTCCAGCGGGCGAAAGCACGACCCGCCTTGGCCCATCACGACCAAGGTTTAGGGGTCGTCCTATCAGTGGGACACAGTAGATGACCAGCGCCACGGTCTCACTCCCAACGTAACTGCTTGCAAAGGTAAAGGATGTGATAATACATGATGGGGATTGCAACAATGGGTGCTAGTCTGCGTGCAGATACAACCTTGCCATTCAGGTTACCTTTCAGGTTCAGTTATTTGTCATCGTATACCGCATTGCACCGTCTGGGAATGCAGGTCCCAGTGCCCAAGCATGACTTCAACTTATATAGCACGGGGGCTTGTACTTACTAGTGCTATGGTTACATGCCAATGCAGGTCGGCAGGCTTGATGAAAAGTGGAATGGTGTGTTCCTTCGCGACATGCGTTTCGCGATTTGCATTTCCCCAACATAGTAGTAAATAAACAATTAAATAAAAAGGCGTCATCAGCTCTTCGTCCGTGTTTCGCTTCCCTGTAATGCATAAACCTCACCCTCCAAACCCAAGTCAGTGACCCCACTCGCCATGTGGCTGCTGTCTGAGCCGTTTCGACCAGCACATACAGCCCTTCACTCCAACAGTATGCTTTACATCCGGACCAACTGCATCCCAGAGTTCGGGCTTTCAGGACGGCTGCTCCTCTGCGTGCCAAGGACCCCACCCAGCAGGTTCAACACGCCTCCAGCAGCCCTGCCCTGCTAAACTACCCTACACGGTAGCCACAAGAAGCGACCCAAACACTCTGCCTCCTTTACAAATGTTGTGCGTCAGAACCATCCCGGCGTGATCCCCGGGCTCAACACGCAGCACCCGGCTCGGTGTCTTTGCCCGCAGCCTTCATCGCAGCCTTCACCAACTCCTTCCGCCATGGCTTCAGCAGGTGCTCGTGCAGCCATTGCTCAGTAGCCCGTTGCATGGTACCCGTCTCCGCATGACCCACGCCTGCATCCACCAGCACTCGAAAACGCGTCTCCACCAGCGCTGCAACCGCCAACCGCTCCAACCGAGCCGCCTCCGCCGCAGCAGCGGCCGCTGCGGCTGCCGCCGCAGCCGCAGCCGCAGCCTCCGCCGCGGCAATCGCGGCTGCCTCCGCCGCCGCCGCCAGCGCCGCGGCAACCTCATCCTCCTCCGCCGTTGCCACCGACGCCGCCGTCGCCGCCGCCGCCGCCTCCTCCAGCATCGACTCCAACACGCCGTACTCAAACACAAACACCTCACTAGCCGAGCTCGGCTCCTCACTCGTCTCCGGCGGCTGCGATGACTCCTCTTGGTTGCCGCTGCCTCGCAGGGAGGAAGGCGAAGGTGACAGAGCTGAAGCGCCAACACTGGCGCCGTCGCCCTTGAGACCGCTGCCCTCGGACGCAGAAGTACGAGCCTCACTCGCCTCCGCACTAACACCACCGCCGCCGCCGCCGCTGCTGCTGCCGGCCGACTCCCCGACGCTTCCGCCAGAAGACGGCCCCGCACCTAGCGCTCCCGCGCGCGCGTTGCTCCCCTCTGCATTCAATGCCGAGGATGAGGCCGATGCACCCAGGTGCCTGCCTCCCAACGTGTCAGCGGGTGCTGCCGACGCCGCTGCAACGCTGACGCTGCTGTGCTCCTGATCAGGACTCCGCTGCTGCTGGGCTGCTCCCCCGCTGGAACTCTCGGGTGCAAGCCCAACGCAAATCCCAACACCGGTACCATTACTATTCTCCCGCGCCAGCACTCCATCTGCCGGCTCCCCATCCACCGCCGCCTCCACCGCCTCTCCCTCCACCTCCGCCCTGGCTGCTGCCTCCGCCGCCGCCGCCGCCTCGGCCTCAGCCCGCGCTGCCGCCTCCGCCGCCGCTCGCGCCTCCTCCGCTTCCCGCTGCACTCGTCGTACCTCCTTTGCCCACTCCTCGTACGGCACTGTCGCCGCCTCCGCCGCCTGCAGTACCCCCTGCAGCGGACAGCGCGGGTCCAGCTCCCCGGTAGCCACCAGCAGCGGCCGAATGCCGATGACGGGCAGCGAGAGGTGCGCGTCGTAGTCGGTTAGGAGGCCTGGCGGGTGCGGGAGAGGACAGGGAGGGGTTAACAGGGTAGGTAAACTGAGCCGCGGAAATTACAGATCCTGACCGTGCCATACCGGGGATGATGGCGGCGTGCCAGACAGGGAGGGGTAGCATAAGCCGCGAGGAAACAGGGCTGACCGGTGGTGGGAAGCAGGACGAAGGGTTGGAGAGGCGGGTGGGAAGGGGCTGGGAGCTGAGGGCTGGAGCACATCTCGTCATGGAGACAGAGAGACGCAAGGGCGCAGCGTGGGTGCAGCTTGCACGAGAGTCTTTTACGGAACACAACAAAATAGCAGCATTACGGTTCGTCGCTAGCTAGTATATACTGCACGGTATAAGTATAACACACACACAGGGCTGTGCGGCGGTTTTGTGGGGATTTCATCTTCCGACAATCACAGTACGTTCCTACTCGCGGCCAGATTTCTTAACACACGGGGCTATCCATTCACGGGGCTTACCCGGCATCAGCTTGCACCACACCGCTCGCACCGCCTCAGCATCCACCTGCAGGCGGGGATGGAGGCAGGCGGGCAGGGGGGCAGGGTGCAGGCAGCCCATGAGGGGACACTGTGAGACGGGGCCTGAAGCCTCATGCGCCCATCTCATGATGCATCCCCTACACCCTTTCCAAGCATTTGCGCCAACAGCTCGGCACCCATGCGTGCGCACCTTGCCCCCCTTGCAGCCCTGCAGCTCATCCGCAGCAGCCTGGTACACCAGCGGCGTGCTTTCCACGCGGCCATGGAAGGCGTTGTGCTCCAGCGCCCAGCCAAAGCTCTGCACGCCCAGCACCGGCGCCACCACAGCGACCCGCGGGTCGGCAGCGGCGCACAGCCAGGCAATCGTGCCGCCCATGCTCAAGCCTGCGGGTTGAATCAGCCACACAAACACGCACACAGATGGAAGCATGCAGTAGATATACGGGTTAACGGGTAGCAGCTTAAAAAGCTCAACAGTTGTAGTTGAGTATACATGCATGGCATGGGATGATGTGCCGGTAACAGCGGGTGTCGATGTCGTGAAGACCGGTAACGTCATGACAACCATGCACGCGCTTTCGAGTTCCGTACACTAACCACGTACCTGTGATGCCGATGCGTGACATGTCCACATCCCCCCGGGTGGCCAGAGCATCCAGCAGCAGCACCAGGTCCCACACCGTGTCAAGGTACAGCGGCCGCTCGCCGGAGCCCCGCCATGCAGCAAGCAACGCCAGCTCGTACACATCCCGCCGTACGACAGGATCCACGGGGGCCACCCGGCGGCTGTACAACGGGCCCGAACGCGCGTCGGCGCCGGCGGCGGCCGCTGGCAATGCGGCCGCCGCCGCCGCTGCGGCGGCGGCAGCCGCCGGCGAGATGGGCCCACCGGTATGCAGTACCCTTGCCGCTGCCACGCTGGCAGCGGTGGCGAGGACTGCCTTGGCAGCCGCACGCCCCTTCCGGTCCGTGAAATCAGCCATGGCGGCAACCCAACCGTCAACGAACCGCTCGTGTGCGCGACGCGCCTGTTCCAGCGCCCGCTCCTGTCGGGCGGCAGCAGCCGCTTGGTGCTTCCCCATCGCCACCGCCGGCGCCGCGCGCGGTTGGCCCACCCTGGATTCCAGGCTGGCTTGCGGACTGGGGCTGGCAGTGGCGCTTGCCGTAGCGGTGCCGCTAGGTGCGCCCAGACGGGGGCTGCCGATGCCAAAGGGGCTAGAAACGCCACTGCCGCCACCGCCGGCCCCGCGCGTCAGACCCGCAGCGGCATCAGCGCGTTCCAGGGCTGATAAGATCTTGGGGTTCAGATTTCGAACCGCCGTCACGACGTTGGATGCGGCTGCGGCGTTGGTGTCACCGCCGCTGACGCTGCTGCAGCTGCTGCAGCCGGCAATGGTGGCGGCGGAGGGAATGGCCGCTGGCGGCGGCGGTGGAGATGCCGACGAGGGCGGCGGCGGCAGTGCCGCGGCCGCTTGGTTCGTGCCGTCTGCCGCCAGTACGGCAGCTAGTTCGTACGGCACGGTGGCTCGCAGGCCATGGTAGCGTGCGTCGATGGCGGCGGTGAAGTAGCCCAGGCGTGCGAAGAGCTCCTGCCGGTGCCGTACGGAGTCCTTGCACTGGCCTGTGTGCGTGCGCGGGGGAAGAAGGGCGGGGTTGTATGCGCAACGAGGCAGGGTCGGAGCAGCTGTGTCAAGTGTGTGTGTTAAGAAAACTGGCCACGAGCGCGTGTGCTTGTATGACTAAGAAAATGCGTGCATGACTGCATGCCCTCAGCGGTTGTGGCGGGCATGGGCGGGTGCCACCAGAGCTACCGGTACATGTCACAATTCGCCCCATACGGGCCCTAGTGTATTTGCCCTAGGCCACCGCCGCCTAGGTCAGAACATGCGTTCATGCTGGAACCCAGGACGGTGCAAGGTCACCTCCGGAAACTGTCGTACCCGAACCAGAGGCCCTGCCGTACTGTGCCCCTACCGGTAGCATGCACAAAGATGACCACCGGCCGCCGCAGCAGCCGAGGTTGCGGTGGGCCGGGCTCCTCCGCCAGCCCCTTGCTGGGACTGCCTGGCGATCCCAACACATCCGAAAAAGACTGCTGCACTTGCTGCTGCGGCTGTTGCTGTTGCGGCTGCTGCGGCTGCAATCGCTGCAGCGGTGATGCTTGCGGCGGCGATGGAGACGCTAGCACGGGTGACGACAGCAAGGCGGATGGCGAGGGCGATGCGGGGCTGCTGCCCTCAAGCAGCTGGTCGGGGGGGCGGATGATGCGCAGCGGCACCCAGCCCTGCGACCCGGACTCCGCATAGTACTCCAGCTCCTCCACCACAAGGCCTGCGGGGCCAGTTGGGGGGGCAAAGGGGGCAGCGGGGTGGGTCTGGGGATGGGCGTGACCTGGACAAAAGGCATGAGGTATGACGGGACCGTGAGTGAGCGTTACGGGTGGGGGCAATCTTCGCAAGCACCACAACAAGGCGTCACGCAAGGTGCGGAGGGCGCTATGAGTCCAAGGCGCAGCAGAAGCAGCCGCGCTTTGGACTGTGCTCCGAGGGCGTACCCGGGGGACTAGGGGAGGGTGTGGGCCACCTGGAGGAGGCCTTGTTGACCTGTTGCCGTACAAGGGAAACAAGCAGTTCGGGGGATCAAAGGTAACCACAAAGCAGTTCGAGGAAGTGCTCAAGGGGGCAGGAAATGGCAGCGTTTCATGCTGTCGCATAAAGGGGCAAAGGATGGCAACAAGGGCTGTAGTAAGGTGTAGGGTGAAGGCTAAAGGTGAGGGAGGTTCGAGCAGGAAGCCGGCAGGGCACCTGCGGCTTTGGCGTGATCGCACCGCGCGCCAGGTCCCCCGCCAACCGGGAATGTACACCCCTCGACCATGCATGTTCGGAAAACTTACGATAGGTGGGGAATGGCGCTCCCGGCCGCGTTGTACCGCCTTGAGCAAGGCGTCGGAAACATTAAGCGACATGTGGTTTAGTATGTTAGTACTAGCAAGTCTGATTGAATAGGTGTAAGCCCATCGTCTTGGGCGGAACGCTGTAGGATGCCCGATGCAACTAGTTCGCTTTCAATCTCGGCTGCAAGGTCCTCCTCACTGAATCATCTGGCCTAATTAGTACTCTAGTGTTGTGTGTGATAATACGTTGTTTCGTCTGCGTTAAGCAGGCACCGTGGCCCTTAGATAGGTATAGGAAGTTCTATGGGCGGTGCCGCGCGACAAAGCAAAACGCCGCAGTAGTACAACCTGTCAACACGTCAACAGTAAACCTCTACCTAATTATGTGGCAGCCTTCGATGGTAGCATCAGAAAATGTATTTTGCCGTACATGCATGAGTGCCGCACCCCGGTCGCCCACGCCCACGCCAACGGACAGCCTCCTGCACATTACTTGGGTTCATCGTCCATAGACAACATCCAGCAAATACTAGATATATACCTTAGAGACCCCATGCTGCTCGCCCCCACTTACTTTGCATTATGTGGGGTGACTGATGCTGGCGTTGTGCCCCGTACCCGTTGTACGACAACTCCAACCCCTGCAACCTAGTGTCATTTTTTTCTACACTGTCTTCTGAGTGCATAACAAGTCACAACTGTCCCCCCATGGCATCCTCCACAGTGTGCCGGTTGGAGGAGTGAGCAACCGACAGCTCCCAGGGCTACCGTACTCCAGGCATTCCATTTAGTCGTACGAACCATGCGAAGGGGCGCCGCACAAACGACCTGAGGCGGGTAACCATGCATCAGGCAGGCATGGCTACCCCGTGGGCCGTGCGTGGGGCTAGGCACTCAGCAACCTGGCCGTCGTCCTGAACGTGCCGGTTATCCGGTTTGGATCATGCAATGCATCGTCCGAACATGTATGAGGGTATCGTCGGTGCCTTATAGGTGCATCCCTTCTTGACAGCTCGTCATCTTGGGCGGACGACCGGAGGGCCGGTGACGATTGCCGTGCGCATTCCCATCTCGTGGATACCCTGGTCGCATAACTGACGCTTCTCGCACAACTTACGTTAATGTATAGGATTTTTCTTGCATATCGTCGAACCTGTCATAAATGTCTAGCGAAGGCGTTCCGCCCGCGAGCAATAGCAGCAGCCATACCGGTGCCTCCGCCCAAATGGCAAAGCCAGAGTGCTGTCCTGTAAGCATTAACACCAATGATGCGCAACTCGGTATCCGTATAAAGTGCCCAAAGGTCCTAGTTGGGCCTGTCGAGCTCGGCATCGCAGCGACCTACTCGTTAGACGCCGCTGGTGACGACAAGGACGAGAAGCTCTCCGCACTATTGGCAAAGCGGCTGAAGCCAACGCTGACTGTGAAGGCGAGTTTGTTCTCACGGCCATCGCGCAACATTTCCCAAGCGCAACCGTCGAGCAATCGGCATTTCGCGTGATAATTGTCCTAAGCATTGCGTTAATCTCCTATTGGCATGTTACTGGTCGCCATCCTTACTGAGGGTGTTCCAATTTTGCGTGCCATGCTTGTGATGACCATGTCCCCAGGACACCCTTCTGCGTGGCAAGCTCGAATTAGAGCCGCAAGCTCGCAAGCTTCATTACAGGTGTGACACGATCAGGCCAATCTGCCTATCGAGGCATTCTTGCCAGTAGCTACTTGACCGCCTTAGCTACTTGACCGGCCAGCTCGATGCCAGTCCCTTGACGGATCCCCCAAGCCCCAACTCCATCTATCCCAATCAGTCAGCCGCTACAAGCTCGCAGCTGCTGCCGGGCAGCTCACCGCGTAACGCACGCACGCTAGGACTGTACCTCCGTACCTCCAGCCCTCACCTGCTTGTATCCCACCCACCAAGCCGGGACTTCCTTTCCATTCCTTACCCGAATCCACCAAGCCTCTCTTTTCCCCCCAACCGCACCCAACCCAACCCAACCCATCCCGGTCCCCACCCTTCCAGCAAGAAGCTCCGCCTGCCCTTCGCCAACACGGAGCTCCTGCGGCTGCGGCTCACCGCCCAGTGGCCCAGTCGGGAGGCGGCCGGGGGCCTGCTGGGGCGAGCGCTGGGGCTCACGCTGTCCTTCGAGCCCGAGCGGCTGCACCAGAAGACACTGAAGGCCCCTGCCGCAGCCGCGGCCGCCACACCCAACACCTACAGCATGCAGCTGACGCCGCGTGTGGGGCCGCCTCAGCTGATGTACAACGCAATCGGCTTCCCGGGCAGCGTATACCTCAAGGTGTGTGCGATACCGTATTGCGGGGGCGGAGAATGGAACACGGGGTGTAGGGATGGCTTGTGGGTTGTTGCTGCTGCTGGGGCGGTGAGGTGGCTGCTGCTGCGGTGGCGCCCATGGCCGTAGTCAGCGGAGGTAGTCAGGTAGGGTCAGCGGGTGCGGTGCAGTCCTCACGTCATCGCGTGCTTTGGTCAGCATGCCACACGCCACATGACACGCACACGCACACGCACACGCAAAACACTTCCTGTGAACTCCGGCGTGCTGCCGCCACATGCTCTGTGCTGCCCCGCGCTCCCCCCCTCCACAGGCCAACACCACCCTCACGCTCTCCGACTCCGCCACCCTCAGCGGCCTGCGCGCGCACCTGGACGTGCAGCGGGTTAACGCGGTGGTACGGCTGTACGACCCGGCGCACATCAAGCCCTGCCGCCTGGCCCGCAGCCTCACCCAAGCGGCGCGGCAGCTGGTGCTGGAGGACGTGGGGGAGGCGGCAGCTGGGGAGCAGCAGCTGAAGCCGGCAGCAGCGCCCGCGGCTTCGCGGCCGGCTGTGAAGGTACGTACTAAGATGAGCTGCTGCCGTACCGGTGTGCGTCTGCCGTACTCTACCGATACGGTACCATTCCCTTGCAGTTGCTACCATACGGTGTGTTTTGTGATAGTCACTTAGGGTGTTGTTTTGGGGCTGCTGTTTGGTCTAAGGATGAGAGGCGTTGCTACAAGACTTGCAGCAGCACGATCATTTGCGATGTCCGAGTACGGCACACCATGCGTGTGTATGTGGTCAAACCGAGCCGCGTAGCTAGACTTTTAACCCATTCTGTGAAAGGAGAGAAGGAAAAAACGTGCACTGTCCTCTTCTTCCTCTAGTGCCGTTGCCTTCTTGTCTACCGTTGTACTGCTATCTGCAGGAGCTCACCAACACACTGTTGCCCCCCGGCCTCCCGTCCCGCAGGTCGTCTCCGCGCCGGCGCTGCTGGAGCCCCACACGCCGGACGCCATAGACCGCGCCGCCGCAAAGGTCCGCGAGTGGACGTACGCGGTGGCCGTCAACTCCTGCGTCGCCACGGAGCACCTGCGCCACCAAGCCAACATGGCGGGGGAGAAGCTGAGGGCGCTGCTGGCTGCGACTAGCAGTAGCGGTAGCGGCGGCAAGGGCGACAGCAGCAACGCAACTGCGGCGGAGGCGGTTGAGCCGTCTGCGGGAAAGTGCAAGAGCCGCGGCAAGGGCCGGTGCTAAGTAGGTGCTAAGTTGAAGGCGATGGGGGTAACCCGGCGGGAGGCCCCATGTGTGGTTTTGCGAGGTCGCGCAGGTTGCATGGGCTTCCCTTCCCGGGCTCATGCGGAGTTCAATGTTGCTGCTGTTGTTAGGTGTTAGGCGTCAGCTAGCATGGAAGATGACTAGGTGAGGCATCCCACCAAGTTGTGTGCGCTAGCTGCAGGGATCACTTTGCATGGGGTGCAGTGTAGTCCTTTGTAGGGCCGTGGACGCCGGCGAGCCCGGGGGGAAGTGCGGGGCGCCTCTTATTAGCTGGAAACGGCTGCTGGGTGCGCGACGGCTGAATGGGACGCCGTTATCACTCGCGTCACACCACTTACAGGCCCCGTTGGGGCTGCAAGGTTTAATCCTTTGCCGCATGTGACGGGGAAGAGCCGTGTGTTCAGGATGTACGGCAGTGCGGGGTTGTCCGGGCTGTATGTGGACGGATGCAGTGTGTTCAACTGCTGCTATGCTGCTAATTTGCAGCGCAGATGCGATGCATGATGATTGCTAATTCTTTGGCGGGTCGGCTTGCTGGCTGGCTGCACCGGGTCTTGTTGGTGCCCTGCTGGACCCGAGAGGCTGCGTCGTGCCGCCGCCCCAACGCTCTTCTTTGCTTTATGTGTACTGTGTTTGTAGAGTGTGGGTTTGAACGTTTCGCGTCTAGTTGGGCTATCGCTTTGTGGCGAGGTCGTCATGATTTTATATGGAAGAATTCCTTTGTGCGGTTTGTGGCTAATGCACTTGAGGCGTTGTGGGCTAACAGCCCTATACCCCGCTGTGTCATGCCGTGTTGTGTGTTAAGAAAACTGGCCGCGAGTAGGAACGTACTGTGTTGGCCGTGTTGTGTGTGTGTGTGTGTGTCGTGTATTGTTTTCAGACACCCGTGTTGGTGGGGCACTTGCGCATTTGCATGTGTCCGGTTCCAAAGCTTTCTGTGCAACCGTCCGAGCACCCGTCCTGCCCTGCCCCGTACACAAAGACAGGACAAAGCCTCCGTACAAGGGCGTATCCACACCAGAACTTGGGGCTTGCGGGGGAGGTTCCGAACCCCCACCGCTGGCGCCCCCTAGCTGGCGCTGGGCGGCAAGGAGCCTTCCTCCAGTAGCTGTAATGCCACCTTCTTAGCTGCCTTCGTGATGGGCATGACATGCATGCCATCTATACCGCCACGCTCAATAACCTGTAAGCAGGAGGCGGAGGACGCATGAGGACGCAAAGTTTTTCCCATGCAGGCGTGCACCCAAAGCCCTTACTCGTACAGGTACCTACCCATAACGCGTCAACCAGTCGGCTCTGCATCGCTCCCCTCGCGCCAGGTTTCATATAACACACCCATCCATCAATTCACCCGGGCTCACCCGGGTAACCAGCTCCCGGTTGTACGACAGCACATGCGCCGCCGCCGCCTCCCTGCCGCCCACCTCTGCCCGCGCCGCCCCCGCCAGCAGCTGTCGAGCCGCCGGAGAGGCCCCGCAGCCGCTGAGGCTGAGCCAGAAGGACAGGTTTGCGGCGGAGCTGACCATGGGGTGACCCACTAGCAGCCTTAGCGAGCTTTGAGGGCTTCGGTTGGTACTGTTGTTGCCGCTGCTGCTGCTGCTGCTGCTGTTGTTGCTGCTGTGTACGGGTCCGAAGGCAGCTCCCTGCGGGGCAGGGTACCGGTAACACACCACAAACTCACGGACACAAGCATGGTGCCACCCGGCGATGTTTGCACTCTGTTTAATAGGGGCTTCCGTGGGTTCTGATGAAAACTGGATGACAAACGACAGATGTGTCCAAAGCCGCCCTAATTGGTTGGGCATATCATGTCAAAAAAGGTTCCGTCCTTACCTTAGCACACGCAGGTAACGCCGGCAGCAGCAGCCCCCGGCGCTCAACATCCGCCAGCCAGGTGAGGTAGGCGGGCCAGTCCAGGGGCGGCTGAGTCAGCACCACGCTGGCGCCCAGCTCGGCCTGCCGTGCATGCCGTACATGTCGTTTACACATGGACGTTAGGATGGTCTTCCAGGATCAGCAAAGCCTGATGCACACCACAACGACACACCCATGGTCGATGTGTCGGTTCTATTTACGCAGTGTCCTAAGCGGCTCAGTTGCTCCAAACACGGGAGGCCATGTGGTTGACAACCACCAGGACGACCCCACCTTGCGCTCCAACAGCGCTCCGCCCTGCTCGCAGTTGGGGTTGGCCACCACCCAGAGCTGCGTGTCGGGCGGGATGCGGCCGGCCTGCCGCAGCCGCTGAGCGATGCGGAGGGTGTCCAGGCTGCTGCGGAGGAACCTGGGGGTGGCGGGGCCGGACAGGGGCAGACAGGCAGCGGGGGGCCGGGATGAGATGAGATGGGAGCATGGGACCTCACAGGATGTGTGCGGCAGCAGGAGGCTGTGTACGAGGCAGCTGCTGGCATGTCCCTCCCGTACCTGCGCCCGCGCGGCTGACCCGTACTACACCCCTTCCCGAACCAGCGCTACAAAAGCCCCTGCTCAGCGGCACTTAGCTCCGACACCACTACTCAAGAGTCAAATACCCATCCGCACAGCTCCTTAGCAGTCCACGTCCCCACCTGCTCGCCAGCGGCAGCGAGCGCACCGGGTGAGACCCCGACACGCACAGCAGCACCTCCGCCCGCTGCCCTCCCGCAGCTGCACCTGCTGCGCCCGCCTCAGCCCCTCCTGCTCCTGCTCCTCCTCCTCCTGCTCCTGCTGCCATGCAGGCCTGCAGAATGCGCTGCTCAATGTCGCGCTCGGTTCGCAGGTTGGCAGCGATGGTGGTGACCTTGAGGGCGCCGGGGCGGGTGGTGTAGTGCGTGAAGGCGGGTGCGGGGGCGGCCGTCGCGGAGGCGGCCAGGCCACTGTGGGGTTGAGGTGGCGGGTCACGGGCGGGGCGAAAGCAAAAAGTAAAGATGGCAGCACTGCCGGCACATGCATGCTTCTCCCACTTGGATCACATGAAGCTAGGCGTGACAGCACGCCGGGGTTTGCTGGATGTTGGGTAGACAGGGGGGGGGGCTACATCCCTGCTTCCCACTTCCACCACCCCCTGCTCACCCCACCAACGCCTTGCCCAGGTTCTGCCAAGTGGTAGCGATGGGGAGGTCAGGGAACACCTCCGCTCGGAATGCCCGTGTGGCCTGGAGCTCCGCCTCAGCGCCGTACGCCTTGCCGATGCCGCGCTCCAGGGAGAGGGTCCAGCCCTCCGCGGGAGTGCCGACGGCAGGAGCGGTGGGAGTGGCGGTGGCGAAGGCGCGAAGTGTGGTGGAGGTTTGGGCAAGCCCGGCAAACCTTGATGGGTGGTATATGGCCAAGGGGCTCATCTTGCTAGGAGGGATTTTAAGCTTGTTTGATATGAGTCTTGGGCGGGGAGTGTAAGGGGGAGCAAACGCCATGTAACGGGGTAATGTGCAAGCGGGTCATCAGGGGCCCATGTTGGGCATTCGGCGTGGTGATCCTATAGATATAGGAAGGTGCAATTGGGCAGAGTAATATTATGTGGATGTGAATTATCTGTAAGGAGAGGTAAAAGCATAAGTGGTGATTGCCAGCCTTCCCTATCCTGACTATCCATGACTTCTGCCGTGTTCGCACGGCACATGGCAAGGCATGCAGGCCGGATGAGTCACTGTTAATTTCCTTTAACGATTGCTTCGTGCTGCAGTAATTAGTAGTGAATTCTACCTAGCGCTTAGGAAAAGCGTGTATCAGGATGGTATCATTGCAACGGCAGTAGCCGGCCTAGAATTCAAGCCTAGTACGCAAAAGGCATCATGTCTATTCGCTTACAACAGCTGATCAAGGCGGTCCGCGCCTGCAAGACCGCAGCGGAGGAGCGCGAAGTGATTGCGAAGGAAAGCGCTGCCCTGCGTGAGGCTTTTAGGGAGCAAGATCAGTCCTATAGGCATCGAAATGTTGCCAAGCTTATGTACATCCACATGCTGGGCTATCCGACTCACTTTGGCCAAATGGAGACGCTTAAGCTCATCGCGGGCTCGGGCTTCCCGGAAAAGGTTAGAAAGGGAGACTCGTGTTCCCCAACAACTTATAACTTAGCACCCGCTGTCTGCATTGCACCTGCGAGTACCTGACCGGGGGCTGTGCGATGCCTTGCAGCGCATTGGGTACCTGGGGCTCATGATCTTGCTTGATGAGCGCCAAGAGGTGCTCATGCTTGTTACCAATTCGGTCAAGATGGACCTCAACAACACAAAGAACATGTACATCGTGGGCTTGGCGCTCGTGGCGCTTGGAAACATCTGCTCAGCTGGTGAGCCGCTACCATGATCTGCGACACAACAACACGTTCATAGTAGCTAGGAAACCTCAGGGGTAGCCCTGCGACCTGCGGCCCGGCCCCGGTCCTTGCACGACACTGATGACCCTGGGGTCTTGCTACATGCAGAGATGGCCAGGGACTTGGCGCCAGACGTGGAGAAGCTCATGGACTGCCCAGCGCCGTACATTCGGAAGAAAGCGACCCTGTGCGCCATCCGGTGCGTGTCTCTCTCGGCATGATGCTTCCTGGGCCTTCCTCATGCTGGGGCCGGAAGAGGGGCCAAGACAAGCGGCCAAATGCATGGGCCAATCATCCACCTTACCTTACTTCTGCCGTCTCTGTGGTGTCATCCAAGCTGTTAGCGGGTGTCTCACCTGCATTCCTACCACGTCCTGCCATATGCCTTCAACCCTTCCTCCCAAAGTGCTACCCTCCTCCTTCCACCCCCCTCCTGCCCTCCTTCTTCCACCCCTCCTGCCCTCCTTCTCCTGCCCTCCTTCTTCCACCCTCCTCCGGCCCTCCTTCTTCCACCCTCCTCCTGCCCTCCTTCTTCCACCCTCCTCCTGCCCTCCTTCTTCCACCCTCCTCCTGCCCTGCCCCTGCGTGCCGCAGGATTGTGAAGAAGGTTCCGGAGCTGTTGGAGCAGTTCGTGGACAAGGCGGCGGAGCTGATGAACGACCGCCACCAGGCGGTGGTGCTGGCGGCGGCAACACTGATGCTGCAGGCGAGAAGGGCAGGATGGAGGGTGGCAGCAGGGCGCTGCGCTGCAGATAGGGGGTTAGCAGGGATACATATTCCGCATTAGTCTGTTTTTTAAGGATTGTGTATAGTGCAACTTGACGTTGGGGGACGGGGAGCGGAAGGAGCTGAAAGAACCGAGCTGCGATGAATGCTGGCTGTGCGGAAGAATCATGGAAGAAGGGCCCCACTGGGATCCCTCCTAGTGCCCGACCCATGACCCTGACCCTCGCCTCTCCCTCCCTCCTCCAGATCGTGGAGCTGGACCCCTCCCTGGTGGACAAGTACCGCCCCTTCGTGCCGCACCTCTGCCGCATCCTGCGCAGCCTGCTGCAGCCGGGAGGCTCGCCGGAGCACGACATTGGCGGCATCACCAACCCCTTCCTGCAGGTGGGCTGACGAGGGGCGCAGCAGGGGGGAAAAGAAGAATACCCAAGCAGAGGGGGCCGGAGGGGGAGGGGGCTGAAGAGGAGCAAAGTGGGGGGGGGGCCAGAGGGGACAGAAAGTTAAAGGTGGGTATGCGAGGGCGGGGGGATGCGCATCAGGGTTTGTAGACTTGCAAAGGCTATCAAAGTCTGTCCCCGCCTCACGCCGCGCGCTGCCCCTCCCCCTACCCACCCCCACCCCCCGCAGGTGAAGCTGCTGCGGCTGCTGCGGCTGCTGGGTCGGGGCCATGCGGACTCCAGCGATGCCATGAGCGACATCCTGGCGCAGGTGGGGGGAGTGGGGCGGGGGCAGGGACACAACGAGCTGGGTGGGCACTGGACAGGCGAGGGGGCGGGCAGATGCCGGTGATTAGGAGGCGGCCAAACCGTTCGTAACTTGGTGGTGCTAACCGGAGCGCGACCATGGGGTTGAGCTGAAGAAGCAGGGATTGGGGCGGGAGTCCCTGCATGTCCGCATCGCCCCCTAAACAGTACCCGTTGCTTTGCCCTTACTGTGGTTTCCCCTGGCTTAGTACGGTCTTTGACCCCACACCTTCCCACTTCTTCAGCTCGTCGGGTTCTTCCTTTTTACGCCCCCACCCACACACACTACTCGCGGCCAGTTTTCTTAACACACTTCTCCCTCCTCTCCCCTCTCCTCCCTCCCCTCCCCCCTATTCATCCCCCCTACTCACCCCCCCCCCCAGGTCGCCTCCAACATCGAGGCCAGCCGCAACGCCGGCAACGCCATCCTGTACGAGTGCGTGCAGACCATCATGGGCATCGAGTGCATCGGCGGGCTGCGGCTGCTGGCCATCAACATCCTGGGCCGCTTCCTGGCCAACAAGGACAACAACATCCGCTACGTGGCGCTCAACACGCTGGCAAAGGTGGTCAGCGTGGACACGCAGGTGCGGGGGTGGGGTGGGGTGGGAAGAGGGGAGGGGGCGGGAGGAGGGAGGAGGGAGGAGGGAGGGGAGGGGACTAGATAAACTGAGCCTCGGAAACACTGTGACCCTGACCCTGAGGAGGAGGCTTCCACCCTCTTCCCCCCTCCCCCCCCTCAGGCCGTCCAGCGGCACCGCGCTACCATCGTGGAGTGCGTGAAGGACGCTGACGTGTCCATCCGCCGCCGCGCGCTGGAGCTGGTGTATTCGCTGGTGAACGAGGCCAACATCCGCACCCTCACGCGCGAGCTGCTGGACTACCTGGCTGTCAGTGACGCGGAGTTCAAGCCCGACCTGACGGCCAAGATTTGCATGCTGATCCAGAGGTGGGCGGAGGGGGAGGGTGGGGGGGGAGAAGAAGTGGCTCCCCGAAGGGGAAAGGGATGTGTGGGGCTGTGGGTGGGGCGAGGAGGAGCGAGTGCTGAGTGGAGGAGTGAAGGGCGTGTTAGGGGGGGTGGGCATGGGCACGGTTGGGGGGTGAGCACAACGCTGCCGCATGCCCGCACTCATGTCGCCTGCATTTTCCTCTCACCCCCCCCTTTGGTGTGACCCGCGGGTCGGCAATCAGGTTCGCCCCCGACCGGCGGTGGCACCTGGACCAGCTGCTGGCGGTGATGCTGCAGGTGAGGGGTGGGGGTGGCTGGGTGAGAGGGGTGAGAGGGGTGGGGGTGGGCGGGATAGGAGGAGGGGTGTGGGCGGGGTGAGCTGTTATGGGTCATCGGGGGCCTTCAGGGCATTGGGGAAAGGGTTGAGTTCAGCCACCCCCACCCCACCCCATCCCAACCCCCCCACCAGGCCGGCGCCTACGTGAAGGAGGAGGTGGCTCGCGCGCTGCTGGTGCAGCTCACCAACACCCCCGACCTGCAGCCCTACGCCGCCCGCGCCATGTTCCGCGCCCTGGCCGCGCACGGCGACTCCGCGGCTCCCACGCTGCTGGCCACCGCGCTGTGGGTGGTGGGCGAGTACGGCGAGATGCTGCTGGCCAGCATGGGCGGGCCGCTGCTGGAGGGGGAGCCGGCGCTGGCGGTCAGCGATGCGGATGTGAGCGGGAGGGGGGAGGGGAGGGGAGTGGAGAGGAGGGGAGGGAGGGGGGGTGGTGGGGTGCGGTGTGCGGGCGCTGGAGCGCAGGGGGGGGTGGTTGGCGTGGCTGTTGTCATTGAAACCTCACCCCCAACCTGCACCTGTCCCTCGCCCCCTCCTCCACACTCCCTTCCTACCCTAACCCTCACCCCCTTCTTGCTGCTCCTAGTCCAGCCCAGCCAATATGTCTAGACGCAATCCCAATGATCCAGCCCAACGCCGAATTAAAATCACCTTCCGCAGGTTGTGTCGCTGCTTGAGACGGTGCTGCGGCGGCACCGCTCCGAGGCGGCGGTGGTGGAGCACGTGCTGACGGCCGCCATGAAGCTCACCGCGCGGCTGCCGGCGCAGGTGCCGCGGCTGCGGGCGCTCATCGGCCGCTTCACCACCAGCACGCAGCTGGAGGTGCAGACCAGGTGGGTGGGGGGGTGGGAGCGCTGTGGGGGTGTGCGGGGCTGTGGGGGTGTGGGTTTGTGTAGTGACTGAGCCGCGCGATGGAGAAGACTGGAGAGGATGGGAGGGTGGGGCGGAAAAGCTGCTGCGAGGGGCGGTACAGGCAGGGGGGGATTGAGAAAGGCAAAGGCATTGCTGTGCGCTTTGCTCTACCTTCATCCGCTCTCACCCACACGCCAAACTCATTCGTACAAACCCCCTGTACGACACAGGTCGACCGAGTACGGCAAGGTATTCTCGCACGAGCGCATCCGGGCCCAGCTGCTGGAGCGCATGCCGGCGCTGGATGAGGCGGAGTACCTGCGGGCCAACAACCCGGAGGGGGCGGCAGCCGCGGGAGGTGCGGGAGGTGCTGCTGCTGCCGGCACCGCACGCCATGCGAACGGCAGTGCGGGGGGCTCTGCGGGCGCAGCTCCTGCTGCTGCGGCTGCTGCCAAGGCTGCGGGCGCGTCGGACCTGCTTGGAGGGCTGGACGTGCTGGGTGAGCTCCGGTACTAGGGTGGGGGGGGTGCGGGTGGTGGCAATGGTACCGGTACTAGGGGTGCTGCCGGCGCTGGTGGTGCCGAAGGGTGGTCGGTGCTCTTGTGCGCGGCGCCGCCTTCCCCATGCACTTGAGTCGCTACGGACCTGTGGCCCTTTCCCTCTCCACGCGCATGCTGTCGTGCGCCATCCCATCCCACCCCACCCCCAAACCTGGCCGCCCATGCTGCTGCCCGTGTGCTCTGTCACAGGCGGCGGTGGCGGCGGCAGTGCCCCCGCGGCCGCGCCCGCCCCCCGGGCCCTAGTGGACGACCTGGATGCGCTGCTGGGCGGGGTGCCGGCGGCGGCGCCCGCAGCAGCAGGAGCCGCTGCAGCCGCCGCAGCCGCGCCCGCGGTGGCGGCGGTGTCCGATGACCTGCTCAACCTGCTGGGAATGGGGGCGGGTCCTGCAGCGCCGGCGGCGGTACCTGCGGCCGCGGCAACAGCGGCGGCGGTAGGTGTGGGTAGCGGTAAACTGCGTGGGGGGGGTATGGTGTGGCGATGCGCGACCAGCGACATCCTCGTGCGCTGGGTTACAATCCCAATCATGGATTTCAGGTTTTTTCAACCATGCGTCGAAACGTGTCGACAAGGGACCCCTGAACCTCTAGCTAACCGGACACTCGTCCATGCTCCCTCCCCGCCCCCCGACACCCTCCTCAGGACCCGCTCGCTTCCATCCTGGGAGCAACCGCGCCCCCAGCGGCCCCCGCCGCACCCCTCCTGGCGCCACCCACAGCCATCCCTGCCGCCCCCTCCTCAGCACCCCCACCGCCCCTGCCCGCCCCCGCCCCCGCTGCGGCCCCCTCCGCCTCCTCCCCCGCTCCCTCCTCCATCGTGGCCTGGCAGCAGCACGGCCTGGTGGTCACCTTCAACCTGCACAAGCACCCCACCAACCCCGCCGTCACGGAGGTCATGGCGGTAACGGTCAACAACACCCCAACCGACGTCAACGACTTCACGCTGCAGGTGCGGGGCTGGGCGGGGGGTCGGCTGCTCCCGGCTGGGAACAGCAGCAGCGGGAGGGGGGGCCGTGCTAGCGCTCGGGGGCGGGTGCTGTGGTCGGAAGGCATTGCGCGCTGTACGCACTGTTGTAATGCTTCCAGAGACGAGGGCTCGTGTAGGTCCCGGCCCCGGCCCTCATTTTTATGCCCTTCACCTTGAGACTGGTGACATTGGAGCCCGTTCGTGTGGATCACTGCACTCGTCGCTCCAACTGCCCGTGTCACACACCTGAGCACTGCTGGTTAGGAGGCAGAAGAGGAGTTCTTCTTCTGCCTCCTAACCAGCGTGCGACTCCCCACTTGCTGCATTGGTAACCGCCCACATGGTGCACTGCTAACCCCTGTTGTGTATGCTATCCAGCCCGTTGAGAGTACCGTGACCCCGTAGATGTTACCCCACGCCTCCCCCACTCCTCCCGCCCACTCCTCCCGCTCAGTCAGTTAGTTGTTTCCTCTTTACCTCCTCCCGCTCCCCCCCAGGTGGCCGTCCCCAAGTTCATGCAGGTCAAGCTGGAGCCCGCCTCCGGCACCTGCCTGCCCGCCCGCGGCGGCAGCGTCAGCCAGAAGCTGTACGTGAACAACACGCAGCACGGCGCCAAGCAGCTGGTCATGCGCCTGCGCATCACGTTTGCGGTGGCGGGGGGGCAGAGCCACGAGGAGCTGGCGGAGGTGGCCAACTTCCCGCCTGGATTCTGAGATGGTCTGACATCTGAGAGAGGCGCGCCTGGGTTGTGTAAAGGTTCTTAGGCAGGTCCGTGTAGGTGGTTCTGAGTTATCCTGAGGCATCCGTGAAGGTTCTGAAGCCCGTGCAGGTTCTGAGGCGTCCGTGTGGGTTGTGTGGACAGCATGCATGCTGGCTTTGTGTGTTTGTTGGTACGGCGGGTGGCGGTGTTATGCGAGTGGGGACTGAAGCATGGAGCTGTGGTGGTGCGTTGCCGCATGCAGGGCGGTGGTGAGACACACCGCAGGGCGCTGGGAGCAGGGTTGGAAGGAAACGCGAGGAGAGGGCTTTACGGTGGGGCTCGTGCCTTTTGTGACTTGGTGGAAGTGGCGAGAATGAGCGGTGCACTGCTCTCAAGATGGAAGGCTGTTTGTGGCTGTCGGTTGTATGCAATATGGACAACCGGTACTGATAGCTGGTCAAAGTGATCTCTTCGCCCAAGAGCCGTTAATGTGCATGACTTAGTATCGCCTTCAGTATCGCCAGTATCTGGGGTGCGCGTTTTCTTTCCCACAGCTTTGCATCCATTCCCTACTGGACTACAGCCCTCACCTCTGAAGGTCAGAACCCGAAAGGGGTGTGGGAGGTGGGTAGCATGGAAAGCGCCATGGTCAAGGTAACTCGAGATCAGATGCTCACCGCTGCACGACTAGGGATACGGTACCCAGCCGCTCACACATTTAGGACAGCCTCCATGGTATAGGCGACCAGCCGGCGCTCGTGCTTGGGAGACGTGGTTTCCTGGTCAGGACGCGGCAAGGCTTTGGGGAAGAGTCGTCCGGTGGACTTTAACCGAGGAGCTTGGGGCTGAAGTCCCATCTGCTTGCTGGCCCATGCCAGCATGCAACAACTTGCCGATGGTGAGGCAGTAGCGGGGAAGATGGCCACCCAGGGCTGCATGTGTGCGTGCATACCAGGACTGTGTGGGCGGGCTTCTGGGCGGGAACTGCCATACACTTGCATAAGGGTATGAAGAGTGAAGAGGAGAGAAGGGGATGTACCACCGGCACTAGCGGCAGGATGAGAAGTGAGCGAGACCACGATGCGCAGCGTGCGTTCTAGAAACGGTAGAGAGCATGCTTGTGTGTTGCCACACGGCGTTAGTTGGTTGGTTGAACACCAGAACACGAGACTTGCCCAGAGTATTGGGAGGGCAGTCTATACACTAATGGTTCTAGTAGGTAGATCCTTACATGTTTGATAAGGTCGACGGAAGTTGACATAATTGCAAGTCTACAAGGAAGGGTTTTAAGTTTAGTATGCGCTCACTGGCTTCACCAGGGCTATGTGCTCGCCATAAAGATCTGCAACTAAGAAGCCGACGCACCAGGGCTTGCGTAGTCTTGTCGGCTTCCTCATCGGGGAGCAATGCAGGATGGCCCTCGCAGCAGCCTCAGCCGATGGGCATGAAGCTGCCGAACCAGGCGGACTCAGTATTTAATCCAAAGGATTCAAGTGACCTCCTCCTTCGGACACCTGTGCTTGACGCGCCGACGAAATCGGTATCGGACCTGGACTATCTCTCGGTGCGTGGCTGAAAGGCGTATAGAACATATCCACGTTATGATAACCTTCGTGGACTGCCCACTAGCCGGCGTCGATCATTGAAAGAAGCCTTCCGGTAGCTGACAGCTGGTTCCACAACCCACAGGAACTCTTGGCGATCCAACAAAGCGACGGGCCCAAAAACTTGGGCTTCTTCGGGACGCGTAACATGGGGGTCACGCACCAGAAGCTCGTAGAAATCCTTGCGTACGCATACGCGTCAACTGTAAGTGCGGGAGCAAGCTGGGGTTTGCAAGTTGCCAGGGCGGGGACGTGGATTCTTGCGTGTGATCTTGGTCTGAAGGCATACCCCGCCGGCCCTGCTTCCAAAGCCCTAACGGTTGCTGCTGTGGGAGCCGCAACGGTGCCTTGCATGCGATGCTTTGCGCTGGTTGGCCCTAGGACTGGGCGCTGGATCACACGCATCCGTATGCACATCAGTGGGGTCAAAACACACACACACACAGATGGGACACGTATATCACCCAGCAGCACCGACACGTGGCAACAGGCCACGGATCAGCGTCCCCAACACCCGACGCCCTCCATTCCAACACTCCAACCTGTACTTCAACGGATGCCTGCTTTCCTTACCTTGCTTACCTTGCCTGCCTTGCTTACCCGCTGTTGCCCCCGCCCCTGCTGCTGCTACCGCTGCTGTGACGCCACACGTGGGGAACCCAGGGCAACCACATCTTCACCTCGGGCGCCACGGGGACCAACGCGGCGGTGATCAAGGGCGCGTTGCGGGCTAACTGTCCCGACAAGCTGACGGTGCTGCTGCCGCAGAGCCTGCACAAACAGCCGTACGAGTCGCAGGAGCTGCTGCAGCAGGTGTGCGGCGGCACAGGGGCGGCAGGGTCGCCACATGTGTATGGCGGGCCCAACAAGTGCATGCACAGTGCCTGGGTCTACTTAAAAGAAAAACCGCACACGTGTGCAAGTGTGGCACGTGTGCATGCGCTACACAGATGTGCAAGTGTGACCCGTGTGCATGTGTAGCCCAACAACTCCTCTAATGCACTTGCAGGTCCAGAACTTGACAGAGATGCCGCAGAACGACCACCTGCCTCTCATGGAGGCTAGCAGGTGGGGTGCTGGGTAGCCTTGTGGAGCATGTTTGGGCAGCAGGGGGGTGCCGAGCAATGTGGGGGTGTCTGAAAGCCACATAATAATGCCGGTACTACACCGCAATGCTGACCGCTAATCGTCTTACAAAAAACAGCTTGCTCGCCACCTTGGGCCGCCACCTGTGGAGCGTGTCTTACCCCTCCATTGTGCGCACGATCTCATTGTGCTGCCCATTGCTGCTGCACCATAACACGCTTGCGTGTATCGTGTTCTCGTGTTCCACCTAAATACGCTATATCCTGCGCCCCACCTTCCACCCTGCCACTCGCCTAACACCAGCCGGCTGCACACAAGCCGGCTTTATTCGGTTGTACCACGCACACCCATTCGCTCCCCAATTCCTCCCTTCCCCACGAATACCCTCACAGGATCTGCAACCGGAAAATCATTTCCCAGATTCAGCAGGTGGTCTGCTTTGCTTTCCATGACTCCCGGTTACTGTTGGAGACGTGCCAAGAGGCCAAGGAAATGAAGAAGATCGTCACGCTCTTCTACTTAGACTAGCGGCATCCCTGAAGGTGGAGAGGGGCTGCTGACGCCTGGCGGCGTTAACCCAAGCAAGTCAACCTTGCAACAAGTGCCGTCTCTCAACCCCCTTGTGTGTTAGGAAAACTGGCCGCGAGTCGGAACGCATCCCTCTTGTGTGTGTAGTGCCGAAATAAGACAAGTGCACACGCGGCATAACCTGGACCATTGTCTTCAAGCAAACGCCTCATTAGGCACTACACATCGTCGTACAGATATGTGTCATGTACCGGCACGTGGCATCGTGTTGTCACTATTGGGCTTAGCTGAGCCCTGCAGACAACATTGCACAGCTCTTGCCTTGAGCTTACAGCACATGTCCGTGGGAATGGCGAACGGTCGCTGTCTGGGTGACATGGGCTCTCGCCCGTCAACTAGGGACGTTAGGTTGACGTACGCACGCCACTTGTTTAATAGCCCTTCATGCCCTTCAGGGCTTACCTGGGGCCAGAACCAGCGTGCCTTGCTACCGTTGCAAGTGCAAAGCATGCGAACACGCGAATTCACGTGCTAAGGGGGCCTTAATCTTAATGTAACCTGATTACCTAGATCTAGCGTACTGTATGTACCTACCACATTTCCCCACATCTGACAATACCACGCGCCAGACCAGTAAGCGGCTCTGAGTGCCGTATACTTGACATCAAGTTTGGCTCTCTAGACCACTTCTTCCCATAATTTGTCCGAGTGTAGCCAAGCTTCTCGACGCAGCCAAACAAGAATCAGCGCGCATAACGGCATAGTATGAAGCTAAATAGACCATAAGCAACAGATCACGAATGCCATCTCGCTTGGTGCACTGGCTGTGACTTGGAGGCCGCCACGCACAATGACGGCCACAAATCCCACAACACATGTACACACACCGGCCAATTTCCTTACCACACACACGCACGCACACATCGGGATCACACCCGGAAGCACACGTATGCCTAATGGAAAGAAAGGCTAAGCAAGGGCCCATTTTCTCCCTGCTGCACGTCTGCATTGAATACCTTATTGGTCATACCATAGCTACCGGTACCGGTAATTGATCGCACGCAGCATAGGCATCGCGCGTGCTCTCCCCTTGCACACCTACCGTCATCACCAGTTCACCACCGCTATTTTCATCGGACGGCATCATGCATTCAGGTTGCTTGGATCAGCCACACACCTGATCCGCAGTGCACCTGGTTCCGTAGCTCGCTACACATTCGCGAGCCAACACACAACACATCAGCCAAGGCACCAAGTATAAGCATTTCACGCACGAAACAAAAAGCGGGAAAACGTTCGTCAAGCTGCGGCCTTTTCACTCATTCACCTCATTCACTAGGCTGCCACTTTCTTTCCACAGCCCGCTCCAGCTACCCTTCTGTAGCCATCATCTCTGGAACCATTACGTAATAGTGCAGATCGCCATGCACCCCGCCTCAACCTTCGGCTGCTGCTGTTGCTGCTGAACGCGCTTCAGGTCGGCATAAGACGTCGCTCGGGAGCTCCTCACTGACCCACGGGTCGCCAGATCACAGCCGCTGCACTCACTCCTGGCCGCACCCCATCGAGTCGAATCTCCTCCCAGTGAAGCAGCAACTGTGGCAGCGCTCGGTTGCGACACCGCGCTTGCAAAGACACTGCCGTGCTGGCTGGGGCTGAGTGCGTGCGTGCTCGCCTGACGGGAGGTCCTCACACTACTGGGGCTTCGAGCAGCCGTCACTGGGGTCCTGCCGTCGTAGCAGCAGCCCAGCAACGCGTCTTGCGACATGCCGGCACCGCTGGTCAGAGCGGTGGTGGCGGTGGCGGCCGAGCAGATAGCCACCTGGCCGCCGCCGCCAGCCAGAGTCCCGAGCGGCGCTGCCGCCGTGCTGTGCCTCCGCTGCTGCTGAATGTGCTGCAGGTGCAGGTGCAGTGGCTGCTGTTGTTGCATGGGGAAGCAAGCAACTGCCTGCAGATGCTGTTGCTGCAGCTGATGTTGCGGCGACGGCATTGCAGCTGTTCCCAACACCGGGCTTGAAATACGACGAGCGGAGGAGTACGTCATTGTCGTGCAACTAGAGCTCGCAGCCGGTGAGGGCAGCCCGCTGGGCCCTAGCAGGAGCGGCTGCAGCAGTAGCTGTTGTTGTTGTTGTTGTTGTTGTTGTACAACAGGGAAGGGGGGCACAGGGGTGGTTGCGGTAACGGTAACTGTTGTACCGGTGGTGCTGTTACCGGTAATCCCAGGGGTGCTGCTCGCGTGGTTGCCGAGCCGCTTGACGCTGATTGCATGCGTTAACGCGAGCTGCTGCAGTTGCTGGAGTTGCATCCGCAGGTGCTGCTGCTGCTGGTGCTGCTGATGGGCTAGTAGCTGCTGCTGCTGCTGCGTCTGCTGTGCTTGTTGTTGGAGGTTGACGTTGTACATTTGGTGGTGGTTGTGTTGGTGTTGGAGCAGCACGGGGGTGCTAACATGCCGCTCCAGCAGGCCTCGTGGTTCTGTCTGCTGCTGCTGTTGATCCTGCAGAGGCTGCTGCAGTTGCAGCGATTGAAGTGGTTGCAACTGTAATGGCTGCTGTTGCAACTGAAGCGGTTGCAACTGTAATGCCTGCTGCTGCTGCTGTTGCGGCTGTTGCTCCGCCGGCAGCAAATACCGCTGCGTTGGATGCATTAGCTGCTGCTGCTGCAACAGCGCCTGTCGACATTGCTGCTGCTGTTGTTGTTGTTCCTCGGAGACCGAGGGCTTCAGCGGCAGGGGCACACGCGGTGCAGCGGCAGCGCAGAGGGCCTCCCGGAGGTGTTTGACCACGGTCGCGAAGTTGGGTCGAAGTCGGGGTTCCTGGCAACAGAAAAAACAGGACGGCAAGGGGCAGCGGGCAGCACTTAGTACCGGTAGTTGCCATTAGGGAACCACAACTCCTTAAATGCACCGCATGTGCATGCATGCGTGCATGGCCCACAAAGAAACACCACACCAGTATGCCCAGTCGCTGCCAAGCGCTGCAGCCCACAACCCCTGCAAGTCTGCATACGGTACACATGCAAAGCTCCAAACCCGCGTGTCTTCCTGCATGTGCCCCGTGTCTGCCCCGCCAGCCCCCGCACGCACCCACCCGGTGCCAGCACAGCGAGATCAGCAGCCGCAGCTCCCGAGGCAACCCGCTGGGCAGCTCCGGCCGCCATCCGCTCCAACTCACGCGGCTCAGGTACGCCATGGCCGCCTCCACGTCACCGTTGGCGATACCGTCGGACATGAGCTGCCGCGTCAGCAGCTCGAACATGATGCAGCCGAAGGAGAAGACTGGGAGGAGCGTGGGGAGGAGGGGAGGAGTCGGGACAGGACGGGGCGAGTGTAAAAGGGAGACGAACGAGGCGGTGTCTTCCGCCCCTCAACTTGATCATAACACCATTATACCCTGCCCCCCCTTCCTCCCTCCTTACACGCCACTAACCCCCAATGCCGTACACTCACTATCGGCCTTCTGGTTGTACGGCAGCTGCCGGGCCACCTCTGCAGCAGCAGCAGCAGCACACGTCAGCAGTCAGCGGGGAGCACACCCAGACAGCAAACAGCAACATTAGTGTGATTGAAGCCCCTTTCAGGTACAAAGACGCTGTGCGCAACTCTGCCTCCTCTCCCATGGCCACACACCTACGCCCGCCCCTCGAATCGCTGTAACCTTACAGTTGGCAGACCGCATCCCTTGGCATGACCGCATGCCCGCACCCAATGCCCTGGCAGGAACACACCGGCTAGAGTACCGCCACCGCCCCCAAAGCAATCCCAAAGCCAACGCGAGCAGCTCCTAAACGCCCCCCCAAAGCGACCCACCGGGCGCCATGTAGCATACGGAACCGCACTGCCCTGCATGGCGGGGGGTGGGTTGGGGCGCGATGGGATACCGTGACACCGCAGTCTAACGGAGGGTGGCCGCAGCCACGCACGGGCCGTTCAACGGGGCGCGCAAAGACACGCGGTGGGGTGATATCACTGGCCGGTGTCATGCAGGCACACTTGACGTCCGGGCTACGGTGCGTGCGGCCGCGCGGTTTCTTACCGGCATATGCGACCGTGCCCTCGACAGCGATGGGAGGCATAAGGTGGTCGTGGGCATTGCTTACCTGTGAGCTTGAAGGTCATCTGGAAGATGTCGGGCAGGAAGTCCGCGTGGCCCTTGCCCCTCCGCAGCAAGCCGCTCAGCTGGCTTAGCCTCACCTGGCAGGGAGAGCGCGGCAGGCAACACAACATGTTGACAACATGCACGCACGCCGCCTTGCCTGCCCCTTTATGAGCAGTAGGCGCTCTCATGCGGTACCCTACCGCCGCCAACACCGCTGCACCTGCCGTACCAAGCAATACCGAGGCGGCCAGTACCAATACTACAACACAACCGCATCAGACGTCCGTTCTGATATACATGCTTACCTGTACATAAACCAACATGAGCCCCCGTTACGCCCCCAATGCATTCCCTACAGTCCAACCCAAGCCGCGCGCGACTAGGCCTTCCCCGGTGCCTTCCCCCACCAAAAACCCACCAAACCGCCTCCCACCTGTGAATGCCCCGTCTCCGACATTCGCGGCCCGGGTAGTGCCTCTGGCAGGCTCGCCACCCCTGCCAGCACGCCATCTGGCACCGCCCCAGGCCCCGGCCCAAGTCCCACCATCCCGCAACCGCCACCGCCGCCGGTTGCCTTGCCGCCCGGGCTGGCGAGCAGGCCCCTCGGGCTGACTGATCCGGAGCAAGGGCCACCCAGCACGCCAGCAGACCCCATGCCAGCTCCGGTCCCAGTACCGCAGCCCAGCCGGAAGTTCTCATGCGTCAGGGGCTGGGGCATGGGTGACGTGCTGCGGTGGGCTGGTGCTGCTCCCGCCGCTGCTGCTGCTGCATCGGGGCCTTGTATCCATGCAACACCGCTGGGCCGGGGGCCAGCAAGGCTGATGAGGGAAGGGCAGGAGTGTGAGCGCCCCCGCGTGCGGTGGCGAACCGGCAGGCCGGCAGCAGCCGCACCTGCCGCAGCCGCCGCCTCCACCGCCGACTTCTCCTCTTGCTGCTGAGCCGGAGACTGGGCCTGGGCCGGCGCATGCGGGGGTTGCTGCTGCTGCGGCTGCGGCTGGCCCCGCGCCGCCGCTGCTGCTGTCGCCCCCTGCTGCTTCTGCGCGGCCTGCCGCCCTCCGCCCCGAAGCAGCAGCTGCGGCCAGTTCCAAGCTGGCGCAGCTGCAGCCGGGGAGGGGTCCCGCTGCTGCTGCTGCTGCTGCCGGGGCCCCAGCTGCAGGTCGCGTAGGCTCTGTCCGGGCGCCCGGAGCACCCGAGGGCTCGGCAGCTTCTCACCCGCATCGTTAACGGCCTGCGATGAGAAGTCGGTGAGTTTGCGGTTGGTTGGCGGTAAGGGGGGTTGGGTGGCAGATGGCATGAGGGGAGTGCCGAGCTGCGGCGGTGCGAGTGCGGCAGTTGGCGTCATGGCATGGGGGCAGAATGGGGTTGCACTTGCAGTCGAGCAGCCCGGCAGCAGCGGCAGCAGGAGGAGCAGCACCTTCAGAACATACCGTGCCAGCAACTCACCACCATGAGACCAAAGTCAGACAGTTTCGCATGCAGCACGCCGTCAGCCTCCCGGCGCAGCAGCACATTCTCCAGCTGGGGCGGCAAGGGGGCGCGTGTAGGGAGCATGTGAGGCTGAAAGTGGTTAGGAGTGGGGGGGGGGGATTCAGCAGGGGGCTCCAATCAGAGATAGGACGGCAGAAGGGGCCTCATTCTACAGGCTCCGTGCATGCAAACGTGTTACCATGCAACCGTCCACGACAGCATGTTGCGTGAATACCATGACTACCATTAGGGGAGCCGTGTATCCCGGTAGCCCGGTACGGCTCTGGGCTAGCGGTACCGTACCTTCAGGTCTCGGTGAATGAGCAGCGGCTGTCTGCTGTGCAGGTAGGTCATGGCATCAGCCAACTCGATCAGCCATGTCAGCGCCTGCGCGTCACTGTAGCTCCCAGGCACCAGAGCTGCTGCTGCTGGTGCTGACCCTGCTGCTGCTGCGTGCGCCTTTGCTTCCGCCGGCACAGACGTCCCAGAGCCGACAGCAGCAGCAGCAGCACTGCCAGTGCCCGAAGCGCCAGCTGCACCCCCGGCAGCAGCAGCTGCTGCTGCTGCCGCATGGACTTGGTCGAATAGGTTGCCATCCTGCAAAGAGGAGCAGCGAACACATTGCGGTGCGGGCTGACATACCTGTGTGCTAAGAAGACAATACCGGTACCCCTGTGTGTGTATCTTATCGGTAAATGGCTTCACTGAAAGATGACGACATGTCGTACACATGGCTTGTACCAAGACCCAGCAAGATCCACAGCGCGTTCCCTTGCAGCCACATCTCTTCATCCCTGCAAGCCCGGAACCATCTCCCACCACCACCACCACCACCAACAACAACAACAACATCCCCCACTTGCCGGCATCAGCTCCAGCACCAGCGCCCAGCAGCTGTCCAGCCGCTGCTCCGCAAACCATTCCCGAGCTGCCTTGGCCCTGGCATTGCGGCCCCCCGCGGTACCCGTGTCACCGCCGCCGGCGCCGGCAGGGAGGAGTATGCCCGGGGGTGTCGCGCCAATGAGCTTCTCAATCGGGACGCTGCAGAAGCCCAGAGACCTCACGATCGACCTGTGGTGATGTGATGTGGTTGGGTGCGGTGTGGGAGGGAACGTGTATGCGTGAGACTGTGTGTGGAGGGGCGTGCTTGGGCGGCGTGTGCGTGCTTTGCGTGCCATTGCGCTTGGGTGCTGCAGCAGCAGGGCTATTACCGGGTGCGCAGTGCGATAAGAAGTGGCGGGATGCGCTGCAGGTCAGCAGCTGAGACTTACGGGTGGGACAGGGCGGAGTGGAAAGCCACCTCCTGCAGGAACTTGGTGTAGCTGGCGGGCCGCTGATGGTTCTCCGGCTTGAGTACTGCGGTCGCAGACAGCGGAAGCGGGTAGGGTTGGGCTGACGGGCGTGAGAAGGTGATGCTAGGAGGGAAGGGGGTTGCGGAAGGTGTGGAGCGGAAGTGTTGACAGCTGGGTTGGTTCACTCTTGGGAGTGCAGCAGAACTGGTCTGAGAGTGGCTGTTGAGACAGGTGTGGCGGGGTTTGCAGATTGGGAACGCGGTCGAAGGCATATGGAGCCTAACACAGCGCTGACAGTACCAGCAAGGTGCATGCCATCCACTGTAAGGAGTGGAAAAACGTTTTGGATAGATGCGCCGGCCGGCAGCCATGGAGTTGGGAATTAGTGCGAGCGGCTAACAACATAAGCAGCGCAGACTACGTAACAAGGTTGTGTATCATGTACACCACTGCACAGTGATGCCCTGAATGCTGAGGCAACAGAGCGCGGAATATACTTTCACTGTGCCATCCATCCGCACCTATCCCAAACCCCGTTCCCAGCACAATTTTCTTGCGCGCAAGCAACATACATATGCAGAGAGGACCAGTGTTATGGTATGCATTAGCCTCACATCCGAAAAAGGCAAGAGCGATGTTCCTGCAGCTAAAGGCTTACCTTTGACTGCCACTCGACATGCTGTACCGCCATTGCATGAATAGCTTGCAACGAATACCAATGCGAAGCCGCCTTTACTTATGTACTGGAAGTCGGTGAGGCGGTCCCCATCTACAGTTGGGTGCCCGAAATCTATGAAAGGTATTCGTGCGTCCAGCCCCATCCCATGCTCTCGAGTTATGGGGTCGCAGTGAAAGGTCTCGGTATAGTGACACACTCCGCCTCTATGGCACGGAAAGCTTTAAGCTTTTCCAGCCCATTAGGTTTAATGTGTAAGCAGTCATGCATTGTTGGGTAAGCAGCACAGACATTTTGTGCAAATTGCGCATTGAGGTTGGGGCCTGCACGGCACATTCCGCACATAGTAGTCAACTAGGCAACTGGGCCCCACGACCTGGGTCATATACACCTTTCACTCCAGGGTATCATTTAATTTATACGAAGCATTTATGCAGTTGGATGAACAAGAAGGACTGCTGTATGTGTAATTGAGGTACACCACGACTCTCGATACGTACGCGAGCTCTAATAAGCGCATACAAGATCTGGCCTGAAGGCGATGACGGCTATGCTGTAGAGCCAAGTTTTCATACCATTTTGTCACGCCTTAGGCTTGCAACCCTAACAATGTTCAGTACCGGTACGTCGCCAGCCGTCGCTAATCCTTTAGTTGATAGCACGGCAATTCCGACCCGAGCACCCTTTAGGCGCTCGGTTTGCACATACACGGCGCCCACACCGCTAGCGCAAAACTGGGTATAGTGTAAAGTAACATCCTCATCGACTCCTAGCACTGAACCTTGAAGCGGTGCGGCGGAGTCTGATGTTTCGTAGCCAGCTGGGCTACCTCGTTTCGCCAGCCTACGGAAAGTTACTCGCCAACACAGCATGGTTCCGAACCGTACAAGGGCGATGAGTAGATGCTGCTGCTCGCTCCTTGATGATTTTCCCCTCGACAGCTGCCAGCCCGAGCAGTGTCGTGGATGCTATGACATGGACAGCGGTTGTTGCTGTATCTTCCGTACGTTGGACCCTTGGTTGATGCCGCACGAATAATTCTGCATGGTTTGCACCATTCTTTGCCCCTTCTGCTGCGCCGTACGACAGGCTGTACTGCTGCTGTTTGTTTCCTGTTGAGGGCCCCGTCGTCAGGCAGTTCAGGGACCTTGCACCCTGCTATGTATGGTCCGCCGCCGCTGGGGCCTTTCAGGGCCCTGACGCCTCACCATTCGCACCGTTCTCAGCTCTGAGGCTAGCGCTACTACATGACGTCCTTGCTGGGCCCACCCACCACACCTAGCGTCCCGACACGCTAGACGGCCCAGGGCTAGTGCGCTCGAAAGGCCCAACAAGACCCGACAATCGCCACTCAGCTTCCCAAGCCAACGCAACGTCTTTCGTTTATGACCCGTGTTCGCCCAACCCCGAAAACGATAAACGAATCTACGACTGGAAGGCCTGGTTGAGCCAGAACTATACTCCAATATCGGAAAAGTGGTCTAGCAGACCCAAATCGTGCACATTGCATGTACCGGTAAGTGGGAGACGACTAGGGATACCGGTACCCCTCTCTTGCACAAGTAATACAGGCCCCTCTTGACTGCTGCAGGCCAAAGTCTACCTTGCCTGCATAGTCCTTTGCCGTTTGACATTCGGGCTATCCATGCTTCGCCAATTTCCCTAATACTACTGGTATTCATCTGTTAGCGGCCCCCATTTAACGATCCACGCAGCCCATATACTCTCATGACTTATGCTCTACCCAGTCGCACCCACCCGACCGCACGCCTCCTTGTGCCCTGCCTTCCAATGCGCCACCTGGCACTCCCTGCAGCAGTAACCCACCTGCCCGCACCGCCCACACGCCTGCAGCTTCACCTCCGCCTCGCTGTCCCCAGCCAGGTTGCTGCAATCCGGGTTGCCGCAGCCCCGCAGCAGTCCCCGCCGCCGCAGCTCCGCAGGCTCCACCAGGACCGCTGCTAGTACCGCATGCTCAGGGCAGAGCAAGGCATTCCCGGCCCGCAGCAACCGTGCCCGCCACTCCTCGTCATCCACAACGTGCCTGCCGCGACCACCCCCGCCGCTGCCGCCACCACTGCCACCATCCCGCCACTCCTCCAGTTGCGTCGCCAGGGCCTCAGCTGCACCACACATGACCTCCAGGCCGTTGTCATCACCGCTGCTGCTAGGGCTCGCGGCGCCGTAACCGCCACCGCCGCTGCTAGGGCTCGCGGCGCCGCTGACGCCACTGCTGGGCTGCTGTCCAGCCCGCAGCACCCGTACCAGCGCGCGCAGCAGCTCCGGCCGCCAGGAGCCCTCCACTGCCGCCTGCCGCACCTGCTGCGGGCATGCAGCCGCAACAATGCAGCAGGCGCCAACCAGCTCATCAGCCGAAAGAAGCTGCGAGACCCCCGTGCCGCGTCCACCTTGCAGCGTGGTCACGTACAGCTGCAGTACGGAGCCCAGCAGCGGTACGACACCCACCTCCGCCAGCAGCAGCCGCCGCCACTCGCTGCCGCTGCCAGCGTCACCGCCACTCGTGCTGTCGCTGCCCTCGCCGTCCTGGCACTCGCCGTTGTCCTTGGCATCACCGACGCACCGAATCGCAATCGCCGGCAGCCATCGCAGCACCCGTCCCGCGAGGATAAAAGCGGTGCGCCTCAGATAAGTGTCGCCGTCAGAGCTCGCCTGCCGCAGCATTTCTTGTGCCCGCTGCGACAGCGTCGGCAGCCACTCCCATGCAAAACACGACGCCAGGAGAGCACTGGAGGAGGGAGCTGCTGCGGACCCTGCCCTTGCTGCCGCTGTTGCCGAAGGGCCATCACCGGCCCCTCCCGCCGGCTTTTCTTCTCTAGCAGCATCAGCAGCAGCATCGGCAGCAGCATTGGAATCATCAGCAGCACAAACCGCGATGTCCACCTCTGTGGTGCTCAGGAACGCGTCGGCAACCGCGTAGACGTGCCATTGCGGGCTGCCTGGGGCAGCAGCCCTTCCCGCATAAGCGACCCGTGGGCTGTTCCGCCGCAGTATCTTGCCCAGGGTGACCATTAGTGCAGCAGCCTGGCGAGGCTCGCCGCCCGCAAGCACCAGGCCAAGGCGCTTCTGAACGGTGTTTGCATGCCTGTGGCACGCATGCAACAGCCCTTGCTGCGGGGCTCCCCCAGGCGAGGTGGACCCGAGCCCACCGGCGTCGTCGCCAGCAGCTCGGCCCGCGGGGAGGGCTTTGCAGGCGGGTTGGCTGGTTGGAGCAAGCAGTGCTACGATCACGCCGGCCTCGGGGCAGGTAGACGAGCCAGCCCGGCGCAGCAGGAGCTCCAGGCAGGGTAGCAGCCCGCCCGACAGCGCACCTGGGGGTTGGGGTTTAGAGAACGGAGATGATATTAACTACCAAAGCACAAGGACAACCATGCGATATACCATTAACCACTCGCCACACAGCTGCTGCTTGTCGTGTGCATGCGTGGGTTCGTGCCAGCGGCCGGCAAGTGCGGTTGGGGCCTGACATGCTGCTACAGGTAATGTCCGCTGCCTGCCCGCTTTCCCACATGTGCGCCTATTGCATGGGGCACCCGCACGCACGCAGCACCCCTAGCGTGCTGGAGGTCGGGTGGTCAAGGGCGGTCAAGGGTGTCCACTTCGATCGCCTACCTGCCACCAGCAGCCGCTCCGAAACCTCCTCCGACTCCCCCTCCCCCTCCGCCCCCGCCATCAGTAGCCGCTCCGAAACCTCCACAGCCAGCTGCGTTACTTGCTCCTCCTCGTCAAATAAAGGTACGACATGCCGCACCACCTCCCCCACCAGCCGCCACCACTCCGTCTCCTCCGCCACCCAGACAGCAGACGCCTCGGCAGCTGAACCAGCAGGGGGCGGCCGGGGGAGTTGCCGTGCACGTCCGACCGCGTTGATGGCTGCGCCCGCCAGGTCTTCAGCTGACAACACAGCATGCAGCGGAACCCCGCAGGCAGCGGCAGCGGCAGTGATGGTGCTGGAGGTGACAGCCGTGCCCGACGTTGGGTTGGCGGCCCCTCGGGCCCCCGCCACCGCCCTCCCTGCGCGCATCTCCTGCCACACCTGCGCCGACCCCACCGCCAGCCGACCGATCCGCAGCGCCAGTACCCGTGCGGCACACCTGCCCGGCGGCGACACGCGGAAGTCAGGATCCAGTGTACAAAGTACGGCAGGAATGAAGCCGCGATCCAACACCCGGGTGCCCCTGCTTGTGTCCAGGCTACCGCCCTTCAGAAGCTCCGGCGGCAGGCCGTACGTGGACCCCCCGTCCGCCGTACACAGCGCCGCCAGGCCGTGTAGCAGCACCGCGTGTTGGGCGCAGCGGCCGGATAGCACCTCACTAAGCTGGCCGGCGACAACAGCGGAGTCGGCGCGGCAGCTTTCAATGGTATAGGCGATGCCGCTGTAGATGACGACGAACAAGGTAACGGTTTCGTGCAGCGCTTCACGTTGCAACCTGGCCAGCTGCGGCTGCTGCCCTCCTGCCGCCGCTGGCACCGCCGTCACCGCCGCCTCAAGCCGCAGCAGTAGCTTGGCCGCGTGCTCCATCACGCAGCTGTCCCGCAAGGCGGCCGCTAGCTCGGAGCGGTAGAGGCTCCGCTGCTGGTGTCGTTGTTGCGGAGCGGTGTCTGCATCAGGCATGGCAAAAACCATTATGCCCTTCAGGAACAGCATGGTCGAGTTCGCTTGGCTAAAGCCACGCCTGAGCGCATCGTTGAAGGCCCTGGACTCCTCCTGTCGCCGCTGCCGCCGCTGCTGCTGCTGCCCCTGATGCTGCTGCCCCTGCTGCTGCTCATTGGGAATGCCTGCTGCTTCATTGCTGTCGTCGAGCTGCGGCAGGCTCGCCGCCAACGCAGCCATCTGGCGGCTGAGCGCCTGCAGGCTCTGCATGCGCAGCAGCTTGAGGCCAAAGTCCAGCACGTGCGGGGGTAGCGGGGTGCTGGGGCTGAAAGACCTCACCTCCAGGAAACGTGAGGCGCAGATCGCGACGAATGGAAGCACACCTCCGATGGGATGCACCATGTCTGCCTTCTCCGGGCGTTCCCCAAACCTGGGAAGCGCCTCCGGTGCCTGGCGCAGCCCCGCTGGCAGCAGTCGCAGCAGCGCCACGCGAAAGGGCTCATGGGCCAGGATCTCTTCTGCGACGGATGCGGCTGAGGCTGTGGTTGAGGTGGTGGTGAAGGCTCCTAGGGTTTGCGCACCCGAGCAGGCTGCTACGATGAAGTTTTCTACTTCTGAAAGGTCTTCCGCCACAGCTGCCTGCGTTGCAACCATTACTTTCACGTGGCCGCTGTTGTTAGGGCGGAAGGAAAGCAGCATCTGGGTCGCAGCCGGCACGCGGTGCAAGCAGCCCCTGATAGTGGCTGGGAGGAGGCTTTGTGCGGAGCCGGGCCGACTGTCGGGCCCATTTCGGCTGCTGCTATTGTTGCTGTTGCCTGTAGGTGCTTGTTGGCGGTTGCGGGGCCCCGTCTGTCGGCGCCTTGTCATCTTTCCGCAACGTGAGATTTGGCGCGAAGAGCTCAAGAGCTCTCGAAGCGCGGTCTCGATCGCAAGCCTCTGGCGATAGTAAAGCCCTGTTCAGGAGGGCCGGCGTTTGAAATTGGGTTTCATAAGGCCAGGAGCTGTGCTGGGTCTGCTGCTATCTTCTTGGCTACGTGATTTCTAACGAGACGCACCTTTTCTATTCCGACCTCCTCTAGCGACGTTGAAAACTCTTCATCTTGGGAACGCTAATCGCATAATAGAGTGTATCGAAGCGGGTAAAGAGTATGAAGGTGTTGGGCGGGGTTACTGGGAAGTCAAAAGCGCGATGTCAGCTTTCGAAGGCCCGTGGGTCGTGTAGCGCTGCGCTGCGTGCCAAGGTGCAAAGGGCGTACTACATTGCTTCAGGGCAACATCTATAGTCCTTATGGTGAACTCTTGGCATACAAAGCTTTCGGCTAAGCCATGCATCGATTGCCGTACTCGGCAATTAGGCCTCCACGGATATCCAGCAACTGTGCGTACGTTCTAGCAACAGAAAATATTAATAACCTTGATCCTCAGCATTTCCGCAGCTTTTCTTTCCGCCTCGCTCTCGTGTTTCCACTGCTGGGGTGGTTCCATATTTTAGCTCGCCAGGACGGAGGAGGATGAGCGCATTGTGAAATGGGACCAGCTGCCGCGTTTGCTGTAGCAAGCTGCTCTTGGCAACCGCTGGCCCGTTACCAAGCTGGATATTTCTTGGTATTGACTTCCCCGGGACTCCCAGAAACCGAAACCGGTATCCCGAATGGTGCAAACCGCGTATTCATACTGGCCTTGGGTACGAATGGGGCTCGGATTCTTACAAAACCCCTGCTATGCCGAGTTTGTCACGCAGTCGTTTAAATGACCTCCACGCGAGGCACTTGGCAGGCCACGATCGAACACAACACAATGTCTGGTTTTCAGCAAACACAGGTAACCAACGAGCTTCAACGAACCGGCCACGCACCACCTAATAAGCTCCTCCTGGCATTCACCCAGCACGGCAGGATGCGCGACGTAAAGCACACGGGGTGCACGCGCGACCTGAGGCACATGCGCCCTCGAAGCAATGCAGTACCATGCGCCCGCTTCACAATCACTACCTATGAAGCCTGACAGCAACCAATACGAATGCCTCCGACCCACACGATTGCTTTGCTGTCTCGGTGGACTGGGACCCTCGTACGTCAAGTCCCAGATCAGGGAACGCACTACCGGCAGCCGCTGCCGCTGCAGCAGCAAATTACTCTTAACCACCTCCTAGTGGCTAACTTGCAACTCTCGCTTACTCTACTTGCTACATCTGAAATGGCCACAGGGGCAGGGTACGGTATCAAAAAAAGACATCACAGAAACTGGCCGCATCCATAGGCCAGACACACTTTTAATGCTAAGAAGCCAACAGGTATTCTCACACGCACTGGGCAAGAGAAAGCATCATGGATAGCGTACGTAACGCTGCAGGAGCAGCCGTGGTGGCTCCGGACCTGTGTCCCCTGCACGTACTGACCCATGGGTCATAACAGTCGAGAAACCCCCATCGCAACGCACGATAACCTGTGGTGCCAGGGCAACCTGGATATTAACGAGACTATGTGATCAAGTCACAAACAACCCTGTTGCGAACATCGAGACAGAAAGCCACGACTGACTCCAGAACACCGCAAATGTTTCCAATGCGCCGCCCCGGAAGGCGCCAATCCTGAACATAAAGAGTACCCCCACTTGGTGCATTGTCCGGTAATGCATGCATGCAAGCCCTCCTCTGCTGTAACACTCGCATACCTCCTCTGCGATAAGGGTCCTTTCGTCCACCCCGTGAAAACACGCCATGCGACACAATCGACATGCACACCTCGTCAGAGACCCAGTTAACAGTTGGATCAGACCGACCCAGATCGAGCAATTAAAGTGTGCCGTACTAAAATCCTGGATCTGACCGCAGACCTAATAGCCTGATTCCCGCGCTACACCAACCTCGTCTACTTCTTTTACTAGAGCCCTAGCTTTAATGCTCTTAGCTGCTTTAAAACACAACAAGGTATGCCTGCAGCTCAAACTCAGGACGTCCCACTAGCAAGCAGACCACCTTCGTCACGTTAATGCCTCCCATCAAAGCCACAATAGACTGTACGAAAGTAATGGAAGAGCTAACATGCAACCCACGGGTCAGCCAGCAAGCGTGAGGTTTCTTCATGGACAGTACAATGAACCAAACTGCCACCGACGATGTCTGCCTGCCGCGGTTGCGCACCAACAGACATCATCCTATGCAGCAGCGAAAAGAGACTTGGAAAATAACAGTGAGCACAAACTTTGAACTAATACAGCAGTGGAAGTTCACGCGACGGCAAAGTACGACGACAGCAGAAGACAGCAACAGCAACAGCAGGACTGAGTTGCCAGGCTCTGTAACTGTTATGCAGCCAGCTCAAGGCTCCCGCCTTTTCGGGGCAGGCAATCTCCTATTCCTTCATCTCCCCATCCTACCCAGCCACCTCAACGCTGATTCTTAGATCTTGGTAGCAACACAGTGTCGGTTTCAAGATCAGCTCCGTACGGCACATGCTGACGTGGCACGCTGGTGTTCCCGCTACCCGTGGCAAGCAGATCCAAAAACGACTTGGCCGCCTGCGCCGCATGCGCCACTCCCCACATGTGCATTGCACTAACCTGCAGGGCAGAGCAGAGATCAAGTCAAACACAAGGTCCAAGCATGTCATGAGCAAGCAATTATTAAGCCCACCCTCCCATGAGGGCCATGACCGCTCCCGCTTTCCCACCCACCCGCCAGTTGCGGAATCTTCATCCCTATTAACCCACCCGCCAGTTCTTGAAGTGCCGCCCCTTGATGTGCAGGCTCAACGTGTTCCGGAGCATCCACCGACACGTCGCATTGCACCGCCCATGCGTCAGCATGCCCATCGGGTCCCACAGGTAGCCCTGCCCAAAGTGCGCCCCAAACGTCACAAAGTGCGGGTCGTACAGGTGTCGTACGAGCGGTCCTGGATCCGTAAATGCGATGCCATGTCGCCAGAGGCAGTTTGCCACCATGAAGTCCCCGCCGGAGGCCTCTTCGAAGGACCGCAAGCAGGCGAGGGCGGTGGGGTAGGGCAGCATGCGTAGGAGGCCTACGGAGAAGATCATGCCGGCGCCGCCGTGGGGTACAGAGGCCTGGGCGGGAGAGGGTGAAGATGAGGTACGGTTAGGGAGGAAGAAGCGAGATAACAGACCAACGTTGCTGTCAGTCATCAGCTCCTCCATGAACCTCATTCCGGGCGGCAGACCTGCCCCAAGCCTCCTCCACCTCCCTCCCCCCTCCTCCATCACCATCCCACCTTGCACTCCGTCTTCGCGCTTGTTATCGGTGCACACGCGGCTTGCGGGGTGCAGTAGGGGCAGGCGGGCTGCGGCATGTAGCGCCGCCCCGGCACCTACATGCAGGGGAGGACAGGGACGCCGCAAGACGCCAGGTAACTAAAGACAAACGCAAGGCTTCCCATCATATTACTGATACGGGACACAATACAGGGTACAAGGTGCATCAGGGAGTACTGGGCCAAGAGAGTGGTGCCGCCGCCCCGGCACCTACCTGCGTGGGGTCCGCTGCCGCCGCTTCCAGTGCTGCCTCACTGGTGGGCTGCTTTGCAGCCGCCAGCTGCTTGCGGAGCGCGGCCTGTGGGGGGGAGGGGGGGTGAATGAGAAGTGCAGCAGGAGGTGCAGGAGGCGGGATGTGCAGGAGGGGTAAGGACCGGGTTTCGTGGGCGTCGTTGCAAGCGTGTGGCGTGTGACATGCACGTCGATCTTGCGCGGGGCGCATGGGAGCGGAGTCATTGCGGGGGGGGCTGATTAGGGGAGGAAGACAGGAAGTAGGCGCGCGCATGGAAGGACTTTGCCACTCCGCCACCAGGCCCACCACCAGCATGCCCACATCTCGTCACCCTCGCCCCAGTTGATCGCCCCCGCACTCGCCCTCACCCGCCCACCACCCCAAACCATCCTCTACCCGCACCCCTCCATCCTCTCACCCTACCCCCGTCTCGTCCACATCCAGTTCCGAGTAACCCCTTATGCGCTAACCCCCCGCCCCACCGCCTACCCGCGCATAGTGTGTGCTGAGTATGTCCTTCAGCGAGGGCAGGCTCTCCCCCGCCAGGTGGCAGGGCAGGCAGCGCGGCGCGTGCGGGTTGGGGTGCGCGCCCAGGTACCAGAGGTTGTCCGAGAAGGCGAGCGGCAGGTCGGGGTCGAAGGAGGCCAGCAGCCGCTTCACCGCGTCCATGAAGAAGAGCGTGTCTGCGGGGGGGAGGCGGAGGGGAGGAGGGTAAGGAAGGGAAGACGGGGGCGAGGAGGGAGTGGATGGGGGCGTAGGGGGAAGGGAGGGAAGGAAGGAGGGGCAAGTGAAGCATGTCGGAGGAAGGCAGGGCAGGGCAGGGATGTAGGAGGATGGGCTATGGTATGCGTCCTGATATACAGGGTTAATTGAGTCCATCAGGATGCTGGTACAACAGTAGCAAACATTTTATGGGCCAGGGTCCCCCCTAAGCTGTTGCCGTCGTACCGTCATCTCCGTACAGCATCCACTTGTACGTGTCGCCGTAGTGCCTGGATGGAAGGCCACAAGGAGAGCGCATCGGGGAGGGTAGGAAGCCCGGGGTTGGTGAGGAGGCAACCCCGGACAGAGGGGGGAGCTACCGGGGACGTTGGCAGCATCCTGCACCAACGTCATGACCCTCTGCCCACGCCCCGTGCCATGCTTTTCAGATGGGAAATGTCCTACGTGATTTGCATTGCGCTTGGTCTATTATACAATAGGGAGAACGTACGGCTTGCCCAATTCAGCCTGTTTCCCAACCTCCCAAAGCGTTTGCCAACTCCTCAACTATGCCCCGCGGTACAGGATACGACCTGTGCGCAGCAAAGGGTGCCAGCGCCGCCCGCGTGTCGCCCTGCATGGTCCCATGACGTGCCATGCCGAGTAGCGGGTCGCCGTCGTTGGGGAAGAATGCAAAAGACTCATTGTGGGGCTTGCCATCGGCATTAAGCCGCAGAAGGGCTTGCGTCTCGTTTTGGTCTGTAAGGATGAAGCCACGTATACCACGTCGCCAAGCACGCGTTGACTTCGCAAGACGCATGCGCTCGCGGCAGGAACCGGTGGCAAAGACAAAATCGCTATCCGACAGCTGCTGACTCTGCTCCAGGTGAGAGGGTTGGTCAGGTAATATCGAAGATGCCGTTTCCTTGTTGTCGCTGAACGAGATAATTGAGTCACTGGTAGGGACTTGTGCGAGCTCCAGCAGCTCGTTAATTGCGACATTTCGGTACCCTGGCGGATGGTACTCCTTGCGCAGTTTACACCTTCCATATGGCACCAATATCCACAGCCATAAAAGGGTTGTAGCAAAGTGCAGGGTAACTGTACGCGGGTTCATTATTTTTCGCTCGGCAGGAACGACAAAAGTTCAACTGAGCCTGACTGAGCAGGAAGACTAATGCGGTGTGCCATTTGACTAGCGCTATTTCCTGCTCCTAGGCATCGTTTAACCTCCAGGGTATTGGAGCACTAAGGTTAAAGTTGTAATAATTCATGCACAAAGCCCGCCCTAGAGGATCATAGTTCGCAAGAAGGACGCTCGTTTATCAGTTAACCTGCGGCCAGGGCGATACCTCAACAACACGTCCAGAGTTCATACCCATTAACGTACGGCTGTTTTACAAATGCACGAAGAAACATTCGCAAACCCGCAACATCCTTAAGTAGTATTCCTTTTCCCTAAGAATCAAAAATAGCCTTAGCAGGAACTGACAAATTCCGCGAGTTACCAACGCAAGCCTACCACATACATCCTTGTGTGTCCAACTTTTTCCAAGCAGTCAATTGAATCATAGTGGGTGTTCATGCCTTCCAGATAGGTTGTTTAAGGTCTCAAAGGCCGCACAGGCCATTCTACGCGGTAAATGTTTAATAATAAGCCCTTCGCTCTTGCGCTTCGCGCTTTACATCTACCTATTCCACACGTTCGGCCACCGCGGCACCAGCGTAGCACTGTCGAGTCTCGGCGGCAACTATGCATCTCAGCCGCTCAGGCATCTCTAGGACCAGTTCTTCAGACTATCGCCAAGTCAGGTGTCCGATGGGGAGGGTCTGCAGCTCTCTTTGCCAGCGCAGCTTTCGCGCTGGCGCAAAACAACCGCGCGGCAGACTCGGAGGACCATGAGGATTTGTCATCAGAAGCCCTTCCTTGGGTGCGCGAGCTAGCAGCGGATGAGAATGTGGAGGAGGTGCTGTCGCCAGGTCAGCAGCTCCGCCGGCATCCTGTCGGGAAGTACGTCGTGGACCAGGACCACCTGGTGGGTATAGGGGTACGGCGGCATGGGGATGAGCGGTGAAGCACAAAACTTGGAAAGGCTTGTACCACACTTGTATACCGGTAGGCTGGCCGCTGCGATAGCTAGCCACGTAATCAGGCGCTTACGGAGGCATATGCACTGCACGGTTGTCGGTGTGCCGGTGCGGGTGGCTTACACAGGCATCGTCACGCTTTCCTCACCTGCCCCGTGTGTGGGGGGTTACCACACGATAAGGACCCTGGTATACCTCTACAGCCCGCTGGTTTGCCTCCCTGTCCCTCATGCTGCCGTATTGCTTCCTGGTCCCGCATGTTGCCGTATTTTGCCACGGCGTCGCTGACCCACATGGATTCCAAGTTCCCAACCCATGCCTCCATCACAACACCCCCAGGCCCCACCGTATTCTCCTGACTCCTTATCGTGTGGCTTTTTGTTTCTTAGCTCCGGTCGCCATTCGGTGTGCCCTTCTTTGGGTCGCCACGCACACGCGGGGTCAGTTTTATAACACACGCACCCCTCCGCAGTTTGAGACGATGGTTCGCAGCGGCCAGATAAAGGAGCTCCGCTGCTTCTACGACACGCAACGCCAGATCTTTTACAGCGTGGTGGAGTTGGGCCGGTGAGTTTTGCGAACTTGAAGGGGGGCTGTAGCCTTGAGGCTCTTGCCCATGAGGCCTCGCGTACCAAGCAAACGCAAGTTACGAACGACATCATGCCACGTCCTAACACTCTCCGCAATCACTCATCGCATTTCCCCCTATCCCACAACCCTTCGTCCCGCCCCCGCTCCCGCTTGCTCCCCTTCCCACCCCATCTCAGCGAGGTGTGCGGCTTCCCCCAAACGGTACACGGCGGCCTCACAGCGGCCCTGGTGGACGAGACGCTGGGGGGGCTGGCGGTGGCGTTGTGGCGGGCGGGGCAGCTGGGCTTCCGGCCGCCCGCGTACACCGCTCGACTGGAGGTCGACTACAAGCGGGTGAGGGAGGGCGAGGGGGACGAGGACTTGTAAGCGGGCGCGGGAGACGAGGGGGGGCGAGGAGCGGGGAAGGAGGGGGTTGTGGTGGGTCTTAGCGTGGTTGGGATTTCCCGTACGGCTGTGTCATGGCTGCGGTTCCCCAGCACTCTCTTCCCTGCTCTGCCGGCCGCCCCCCCCCACCACAGAAAATCCCCAACGGCAGTGTCATCCTGGTGACCACGGAGGTGGAGAAGCTGGATGACCGCAAGGTAGGACATACACGACTTTGCGTGATGCAGCGCACAAGCGCCGTACATCATCCTCTCCCTCGGACTGGAATATTCTACGGTAGTCCCCGCTTCATTCGTATGAACCCCGTCGACTCTGCTATGCCTGCACCACCCACCTGTCCACTCCCGACGCCCCTCAAGCACGCACCAAACCAGTTTTTTATTCCTTCGTACCCCACTTCACGCCTGCTCTCCAACACCCACGTTCTTACCCCGCCCACCTCCTCCCCTTCTGTTCCCCCCCGTGCTCCCTCCCTCCCTCCCTCCCTGCCCCCCTGCACCCCCAGGTGTGGTTGCGCGCCAGGGTGTGTAACGGCAAGGGCTCCGTGTACGCCACCGGGAGGGCTCTCTTCGTGGCGCCGCGCTGGCTGCCCGACTGGGTCAGAGCCATCACGGGGCGGAGCGCGGGGCCGCGGGGGTGAGGGTGAGGGGCATGACACATGAGGGGGGGGCTGGTGGGGAAGGGTGCGGCAGCAGTTGTGACTCTTCGACGTAACCGTAAGGTTTTGACGGTGTGTGCGCGTGTGTTATTGTGCGAAGTTGGGTGCATGTGTGGTAGCATGAGGTAGCATGGAGTGTTGTCTGCACGGGGGATGCAGTAGTTGAGCCGCGGCTGGCAGGTCTGTGGTGGCAGCTGGTGCTACAGGAGCGTTGAGAGAGGAGCATGGAAGCAAAGCATGAGCGGCTTAGGGTCTTTACTGTTGGGGGTGCAGCTGCAGGATTGATTGAAGACGTAAAGGGGCAAAGACCCTGCCAGACCCTTACATCCAACGTATACTGAGGAAAGGTGTGCGCTTTGGCACATGAGGATGGTTAGACCGGTTAGTACCGGTGACACCGACCTAGTTGAGCCCAACATACGTCGTGTGGGGCGCAATCGGACTTGCGATGATCATGGTGAAAAGAATTTGTGCACTTGACCGGTGAGGGGGCTTGGTGCCACTGCGGCTCATGTTTGGGTCAAGAGGACCCTACGGACCATGCGTGAGCGGCCTGAGAGTCAAGATATGCAGAAATGGTTTTCCGCGCCCTTTAGTAACCGAGGTTTGCGTACTATGGGGAAGTTGCTGTATGCCTTCGTACGTGTGGCACAATCGTAGTCGTGGTTGATCAGTGACTGTGCTGTTTTGTATGATCAGTGGTCGCAAGCGCTGCTGGTTGTGTGTGACACGTTTCTTTACCGTGTTATTTGCGATGTCGCGTTGGACTATTGCTTACCTGCTCTGGTAATGGGCTGATGACAAACCCAAAGAATGAAGCACTAAAGCAAACCCACCGAACGAGAACGGGAAGGGAGCGACGCGTGGGGTGTACGAGGTGTTTGCTATGCTGCTCCGCTTGGAGGTGCGAGGTAACGGTGTCGGAGGCCCTGCTAGCCAGTGCTGGGGCTAACCTGCCGCTCCATCCTACATTGTTCGATGGCAGTTATTAGCACAGTTGGGGGCGTCGTACAAGGGACGCCACGCTATGTGTGGCGGTTGTGGGTCAACTGTCTAACTGGCAGCATTGTCGGAATTGTATGGTATGCCTGGCCCAACGACTTTCCGCGTACCTACATGCCACTTTTCCTGACCCACATGCCCACTAACAGCTCTGCTGCTCGCTTAATGAGCCACGACGGCCGAGAGTCCGGTCCACACACGGCCCGCCTCTGCCTGTCCCTACAGCAGCCGTCTGCTATCAAAAAAGCCCGGACGCTGCTTCCGTGTCGCCTCCAACCCGGCCCAACTTCCAACCCGCGACTCCGCTTCTGCCTCCCAACTCGCCAGTCCCCTCCCACCCCCCGCCACCCGCTCCTTCTTGCTTCGACTAGACGTCCCCCCGCTTCTGGATTGGGGTGCCTTGCTCGGCCCCTTGCTGCCGGCCCCGCTACTCGGCCCCCCGCCGCTGCCACCGGCAGCACCGCCCCTAGCACCGGCCACCTTCCTACCAGCCGCATCCTCCACCTCTTCTTCCTGCTCCTCCTCTGGAGGGCTGCTGCTACCGCCGCTCCCAACCTCCTCATCCTCGCCTCCATCACCATTCCCACCGCCGTCCTTAGCGCCGCCATCCCCACCGCCCTCCTCGCTCTCCCCATCACCCACCCCCACTACACCACCCGAGGCCACCCCCTCCTCCGCCATTAACGCCCGCACCTCCCGCAAGTCCTCATCCCGCTGCGCCATGAACGCCATCCACTTGTGAGCCGCATTGTACGACGCCATATTGCTGTACAAGTACGCCGCACTCTGCGCGGCACTCTGTAAATGCCGCCCCCGCCCATGATGCGAAGCCGCATGCCGTAACGCCCACCTACACCTCGTATCGCACTTACCCCGCAGCAACACCGTCAACGGATCATGTAAGGCCCACTTGGCAGCCTCCGACGAAAACGTTACGTAATGCGCGTCGTACAACGCCAGAGTCGTACTGCCGGGATCCGTGAACGCATAACCGGCCTCCCACAGACACATAAACAGCAACGCATCACCTCCGGGCGCCCTAAATTTCCCCTTTATGCAGGCCTTGATGCGATCCATGGAAAGTCGCCGCAGCAGACCTACTGAGAAGATCACGCCCGCTCCGCCGTACCCGCCCGAGGGGGAACATGCGGCCTTGGCAGCAGCAGGAGGAGCAGGCGTGCATGCCGCTTCCGCCGTACAGAAGGGGCAGGCGGGGCGGGGGGCGTAGCGCAGGCCGGGTACCGAGGCGTCGGGCGCGACGAGGGCGGCCAGGCGGGCCTGCGTGCGGGCAAAGTCGATGTAGCCGCGGTTGCGCATGCGGCGCTTAACGGCGGGGGAGGACATGTCCTCTTGACTGCTGGCGCCGACTAGGAAGCGGCCGTAGCTGGGGAGGGGAGGGGAGGCAGGAGGGGGTGGGCAGGGGTGAGGGGTACTGCAAGGGGCTGCATACAACTCCCGGGGCAGGCAACCGGCGGGAAAAAGGCCGGAAACGTGTTGCCTTTGCTCGGGACGTGACCTTACCAGCAGTACTGCACGACTGTCCCATTGCGCCCAAAACGTTTGGCAATGATAACCACACAACCTCCTCGCACAGCCAACGCTCCTCACCCTTCCACAAGCTCCGTCACGTTGGGAATGCGCACCCCACTGCTGCGGCGGCTCTCACCACCACCTCCACCTCCAATCCCGCTACCATCGCCACTACCACCACCAGCGTTCGCAGCGTTCGTGTTGCGTGCGGGCGGGTCCGCATCCACCGCCAGGTGGCAGGGCAGGCAGCGCGGCGCGAAGAGGTTGGGGTGGCGCGTGCGGTACCACAGGTTGTCTGAGATGGCGTACGGCAGATCTGGATCCAGACGGGATACCAGACGCTGGGGCCGAGAGGGATGCGGGGACGGGAGGGCGGGTGGCAAGGAGGGGATGGAAGTTGGGTTTCGGTGCTTGGTGGCTGATGTTTAGGAGCGGATAGTTAGTGAGAATACCGGTAGTGTTGAGAGATAGAAGGGCAGCGGCTGGTGAAAGGCGGGAGGAGCAGGAGTCCCGTGAGAAGGCTCCGAAGGCACGGGGCCTACTTACCTTGACTGCTGCCATGTAGAACAGCGTGTCATCATCTCCGTACAACATCCATTTGTACGACTCGCCAAAGTACCTGCACGGAGGCGAGATCCGGATCAGGATTCCAGGATCAGATTCCTCCAAAGGGCGCAGCAATACACAGCATGGATGCATGCCACAAGGTGGGATGGGTCCCACCATGGGTCTCCAAGTGCGCTCAGCCTCACCAGCCCCCACCACCCCCCCTCCGGGACTCACTTGTGCGCCATGAAGGGAGCCAGGGCCGCCCGACTGTCACCCCGCATGGAGCCGTGGAAGGACTCGCCCAGCTCCCCGCTGCCCTCGTCGGGGAAGTAGCCGTAGCGCTCGCCGTACGCCTGGTTGGTCCGTTGGTTGCGGAGCAGGTTGGGTTTTAGGGTGTCTACACGGGTGAAGCGAGAGAGGAGTGGAACGGTGCATTCCTAAGACTGCACTGGCTGGGGCCTGGATAGAACCCAGTGTAGGATATCTCTCCCTCACGCGTTTCCCTCCCTGACATGATTGACAATGTTTCGTGGTGACATGCATGCAACAACCCACCGCATTTCGTTCGTTAAGCACCGGAAGGTCTTCCGTGTTGTTCACTGCAATGAAGGCGCGGATGAAGCTGCTTCCACTGCCGTCACCGTCCGCCCTGACCCTCCGCCAAGCCCTCGTGGATTGCGCCAGCAGGTAACGAGCCGGGTAGGAGCCCGTCGCAAACACAAAGTCGCTGTCGTTGTACGACACCGCAGGCCGTTTGTACGGCTTGGTTGGGTCATGCGGCAGTCGATTGGACAGCAGCAGCTCCCGCAGCGCGAGCTGTGCGTCGGGTAGCGTTGCGGCTGCGTTGGCTTCGTCTAGGAGGAGGAGCGCTGTGGCGTTTCCGGCGGGGTTCACGTCAACAGGGATGCGACCAGCGCTGAAGGTCACGGTCTGGGCAGCGGTGGCCTGGTGCTGCTGCTCGTCCTCTGCAGCTACCCCGTCTGCATCCGCGTCGCCCGCATGCCTCTTTAGCGGCAGGCCTTCTTGGCTGCTGCTTGCACGTTTACGGGCGGTCTTGGAGACGACACGGCCCCTGCTGCCGGCCGCGGAAGAGGCGGAGGAGGAAGACACGGCCGCTGAGGCTGGTGTGGGCTCTGACAAGGCTGCTGAGGAAAGGTCCAGAGCTGCGTCGGACCCATCTGCAGCAGGGGTGCTGGTAACAGGAGCAGCGGCATGATCCAATGCGCGCTGGCTTGTTACTCCATGTTTACTTGTCCAAAAGTTGAAGGGCAGCTGCCATGCCGATGCGCAGCTGAGGCCGGCAAGTAGCCGGTTACCATTGTTGTCACTGCTATCACCTTGGAAAGGAAGCGGCCCCGCGAGTAACAAGATGAAGAGCAACAGCAGGTGAAGGCGGGGCGTCATGGTCTGTTGGGATTGGCAACCAAAACTGTGCGGTCCGCCCGGGCGGGGATGGAATCGGCGTGGGTCATCGAACCACCGCCGTGTTTCCCCTTCTCTTTGTAATAGGTTAGTCCGCGCGCCAATGTCGACGCCAAAGAATTGTTAGTGTCTAGAATGCGTGTGATGCATCGCTCCGTATCCTTGCATATGTTGGACTTGCACGCAAAAGGCTTACGGACACCATAACATTTGCGTCCAATCGCTGCATTCAATCACGCGAGAGGGATAGAGTGAAGTCAAAGCTTTAGCATTGCGGGTTGTGATGTCTTCAGCAACCACCACGGTGCGCTAGCCGTACTGCTTGTCTTGCGTACGGTATAGAAAGGCGGGAATGCCTTGCCTTCCCCCAAATATTCTCAGTTCTTGTCGTCCCAATCATACTCTTTCGCTTAAGCCTAGGTGTTACCATGGAGGACCCAACGCCGCGCGTTAACTTTGAGACGATGCAACGATACCACGGCAAGACCGTGATCTTGTGCTGCCAGATTAACCAGATAGACAATGGAGTAGTGCGCGTTCTGACGTCCGACAAGGGGGAGGTGACTGTACAAGGAGGATCCTCACCCTACGAGGGTCGCTTCGTCGAGGTTCTGGGCACGGTAGTGAACCCCAACACAATCAAGGAGGTCGACCACACAAACCTCAGTGACAACTTCAGTAAGTCACACCCTGACGCCGGCAATTCAAACTGCAAACATACAACTTTACCTCTTTCTTTGCCCTCAGGTCTAGACATGTACAACGAGCTGGTAAAATTGTCCCACAAGGATAGTTACATCGGCATGTTCAACGCGTAACGTGCTCAGGAACTACGCAGCATAGCGCAGCATGGATGTGTAACATCCATATCAGCGTTGCAGGACAAGTTATTGCGGCGGCTCACAAATTTAGGACACTATTATGGCTAGAGATGCAGGCTTTATTGTCGGATGGATTACTTGTCCCCTTAGTCCGAACAAACGTCTCTAGGCGACGTCTACCACAGACATAGTTACGGTGGCAGTCCAGCTCTCGCCGGGTGCGACGATGGCCGGCTTGCCAAACCTGTAGGTGCAGAGGGGTGATAAAGCATCGGAAGTAGGACGTACTATTGGGAGGGAGGCATGGACGAAGGAGGTCGGGAAGAAGTAGAGAGACACGGCAGTAAATGCCACTCTGCGGGGCTTGCTTTTTGTCCCACGTGCTATCGGCAATCGCTGCATCACGTAATGGCCCATTAGCTGAAACATTTGGTGTATTTGATAACCGCGAGCCGGTATCCATGGCACCTGAGGCCGTGTAACCTCGTCTCGTCGGAACTACTTTTCCATGGAGGAACAGCTAGCTGTGGCTGTTTCGCATATCCCGAACCACCACCCCTACGGTCAAGATCACACGCAAACCAGCATCGCCCAAATCCCAACCTCCACAGCCTTCCCAGCTTACTTGGCATTCTCGACGCAGCAGAAGCTCTGGTAGCAGTCCTTCATGGTGAGGTGCGGGTTCCACACCACCGTGTCCTCCCAGCCGTACGAGTCGAGCGCCACCGCGGCGCCCGTACCAACCTCCAGCTCCACGTGCGCGGGGGAGCCCAGGTACACTGCGTGATGATGTGGGTACGACAGCGGCTTAGGTTCAACTACCGCATGTACAAGCGACGCCATCGTCCCGAGGAGGTAAAGAGCAGAAAGCCAGAGAAAGCCCCGCACCTGAATCCGTGTAGCCGTCAAAGGTGACCGCGTCGCGGTCCTCCTGCTTGGTCTCCGGGTTCTTGGGGTCCTTAGCCTTGCACAGGTAGGTCAGGCCTGCAGCACGGGAAGCAAACCGCAGCCAGGGCATCTAAGAAGCAAGAACGCATACGTCCACGTACCAACGAGGCGGAGCCCGCAACAGTCCGCTTCAGTTCTGCGGGTTTCTAAGCAAAGCAAGCCAAGACTGCACAGGTCTGCACAAGGGGCTGAGGACGGTCCCACCACAAAACCATCTAAGGTCAACACTGCCGCACACCTGCCGTACCTTTCAGGCCGGTCACGCGGGCCTTATCGATAGACAGCACCTCAATGTACGAGTGAAGTGCCGCCGTGAAGTCGAAGGGCCTGTGGGATGAGTTAGGAATGAGCCCCCGATACGCGCCTTCAGAGTGCTTACGGCGACCTTCGGGTAGCACAGCAAGACCTGTCGCTCCTTTTTCCTCACCCCCAGCCCCCCATTTCCTCCCGCCCAGCCGCCCCCTCACTTGTCGTCCGTGTTGATGACCCGCAGCTGGCAGTTGAGCTGCTCGTTGTGCAGCGACACGCGGTATACCGCCTGGAAGCGGAACGGCCACATGCGCTGCGTGTATTCGCTCTCCCGCAGCACCAGCTCAACAGCGGGGTCCTAAGGGGCGGGCGGGCAAGGTGTGGGCACAGAGGGGGCACGGCGGCAGGAAAAGAAGGACAGCCAATGTGTTGAATGAGAATGGCAAACAGGACGATAAGCGGGACGACGGGAGGACCGAGGGTAACCCGGTAGGTCGTACGGGTGAGGTGGTATTCATGGGTGAAGTGGCGTGGATGGTCTTGATGAAGGTGGCCGGGTTTTGTGGGGCAAACAGGAGCAGCTGGTGGAATGACGTGTGAACCATGCGTATGGAGAGGTTGCCAGGAGGCTAGGAGAGTGGTTGGGATGGGGAAAGGAGGAGGAGCCCCAGCTTGAAGCAGTTGGGGGCAGTGTGTAGTGGCGAGACCCCGGACCCATGGGTCACCCGCACGGCCCAGTTCCTGCCGTACCTTCTCGTCCGGGTTGGGGTCGGCGGAGGTGGTGGAGACGGCCCAGTCCAGGTTGCGAGCAAAGCCGTGCTGCTGCATGGGGCCTGGGCCGAACTGTTGGCAGGTGGGGAACGTGGGAGGGGCCCGGTTGGGAACAGTTGGGGGTTGGGCAAACCGACCCACGAGTTGGGTCACTACGGCCCACTACTAACAATGCGGGCATTGCGCAGAGAACAACGCCGGAAAGGTAATGACAAACTGAAAAGCGATGGCGGTCCCGTGCAGAGGAGGAAGAGGAAGAGGAGGAGGAAGAGGAGGAGGAGGACCAACCCTGCCCCTCCCTCCTCGCGTGCCTGCCCACCTGCGGAAAGCACAGCGGGATGCCGCCGGAGATGGGCTTGGTCTTGTCGAACACGGCGTCCGGGCGCACGTAGAGCACCTCATCTCCAGAGGACTGCTTCCAAGAGGTGACGCAGGCGCCGAACAGGTACACCTGTGGTGCCGTACCGTGTGATTTGCGAGGCAAGGATGCTCTCAGTAAATACGAGCAACACAGCTGATGCCAGTAACCCCACCAGTAACGAAGCCACATCCGGAGTAAGCAACTTGTTTGCAAGCCCAAGCTTTTCTGCTTCCCGTAGCAAGCAGCCCGTACCCCACCAACCAAACAGCCTACGAACAGCGTACGAGCAGTCCACACCTCCGCGCCTCCCTCCCTCCCCACCTCTGCTGAGGCCCCGCAGCTGTGCTTCAGCGTCACCATGGGAGTCCCGCTGCGCCCCTCCTTGAACTCCACACTGCCCGGGAGGCCTGCAGGCAGCACAGCGGCGGCGGCAGCGGAGTGGCAGAAGCAAGGAGGCAGCAGCCGTAGTTGCAGTGGCAGGGGTGGTAGCGAAGGCAGCGGAGGGCGAGGGGCAGAGCGGAGGGACAGAGTGACAACGGCATGAGGTGCATGGGTTAAGGGGGCCAGGTTATCAGGAGCAGGCAAGAGGGAAGTGCAGGTGAGCCAGCTGGCCAAAGCGCCCAACGGATTGAGGGATGCGGCGGCCCGGGCAGGTTGTGATGCAAGTTCCCAACGCCGTACGTGGGTGTCGTATTCGACAGCCGCGATGCCGGCAAGTTGCTTACCAAACTTTGCGTTCAGGTCAGCCACAGAGCTGGCCATAATAACAGCGCGGCGCACCGGCACAGCAGGGCGAGCAGCAGCGACCCTTGCGCGGGGCCTGCAAGCAGGAGACAGATCCGGGCGGCATCGGCCGAACCCAATTACTGGCTAATAGCAAAGCTTTCAGTTGTCCAAATAGGCCCCACGGAACGTCGCGTCTCCGGCTCTTAAGCCCATGTGCGAGAATGCCATCGTCCTCAACAGGCTGAAATGTGTGTAATGCGGTTACCACAGCCGTACCTGATATGGCCGTTCACCCTAGACGACAAGCTGCTTAGCGCCATCTTCTTCAGCTGCAACCACGGGGAGTCGACTGGCGATTGATCGGATGACAACTCGGGAACGGTCTGGTCTGCTAAGCACTACCAGGATACTATCGGACCAAGGAATACAAGAAGGAGGAGCCCATCTAAGATCTGCAAGGTCATGCAAAAGGGGTGCAGCAGACAGTTACGCCGTACTTGCACAGCACTCGGTCGTCCGTTTGCTGCTGCCGTCGGGGTCTAAGTGCACGTGTTCAAGCAGCTATAACATTGACCACAAGACAGCTTACATATTAGTATCATATCCATTGGTGTTACAACTCGGCCATGTCAAAGTAGCCGTAACGTTGGATGGGACGTTGGGTTGGACAGAACGCGACGGCGTTACCAACGTGCCCCATCCCTATCGCCATACCTGTAAATTGAGCGTCTATCAAGTATAGTCTGCACACGCTTCAGCAGCTTGCACGTGTCGCACAAGGTCCTAACGTCATCACAAAACAGGTAGCCACCAAGAACCGAGGTTCACGCACATCCCAGCCGAACCTTGCTAACACGTATCTTTCCGGTACATAGTGACCAAGGCACACTACCATCTTTACTTATTGTGGCGATAAATACCGTCATGCTCCATACCCCTACTGTTGTCATGCCTCGGGACTAGAGGGTGAGCACGACGAGAGAGTTCACAGCAGCGCCGATGGGCTGTCCCCATTGCTAGTCACCAAGCGGTACACGCCCTAAAGCTTGCTGCCTAATAAGTAACACCTAGACGCGCCTTGCGTACATGCCAGCTGGCACGGTCTGTAATCACGCCATGCATAGTCAAAGCCACAGAGTTGGTTCATTCTGTCCATCCATTCTGTCGTTTAGATGCACATCTCGTCATGTCAGTTCACCTCTAAATGCATCATGCATACCGCAAAACCATCACACCTACATCCTGCACAGGATGTCATGCCTGCCCATCCATCCAACGCAGGGTCGAACCTCACTTGCTCGGACCCGCCAGGAAGCCCTTGCTGCGGAGGTAGTCGAGCAGCTTACCCGCCTGCTCCTCGGGTGAGATGCGCTTGCCCTCGGGCGTCTCCGCCTCAAGCACCACCTCAGCGTTGGTTGGCTCCTCGTAGGGGTCGTCAATTCCGGTGAAGCCCTTCAGCTTGCCCGCACGCGCCTTCTTGTAGAGCCCCTTCGGATCACGCTCCTCGCAGATGCTGATGGGCACCTTCATGAACACCTCAATGAACCGGCCCTGGCCAACGCGCTCGCGCACGCGGTCACGGTCCCGGCGGTAAGGCGAAATGAAGCTCACAAGCGTGATAATTCCAGTATCAGCAAACAGCTTGGAGACCTCTCCAATTCGCCGGATGTTCTCCTCGCGATCGGCAGCTGTGAAGCCAAGGTTCGAGTTCAAACCGTGGCGAACGTTATCACCGTCCAGCAAAGCAGTGACCTTGCCAGAATCAGCCAACGCGTGCTCCAGCGTGCAGGCGACCGTGCTCTTGCCAGAGCCGCTGAGGCCAGTGAACCAAACTACGCAACCGCGCTGCTTCATCGTCGCCTCCTTGGTCTCAGTTGGAACTGCACCCTCGTGCCATTTAATATTTGTTGAACTGCCAACGTCATACGCGGTGCTAAGCGAGCGAGACATTGCGGGCCGTAGCAGGCCAAAGCGAGAAAGCAGCGAAGGCGCTGACTGCATTTTGTAATAGGCGTATAGCTGGGTTGATTATTTCGACAGAATGCCTTGAATTGTTATACTAGTACATAGCTGGCCTGGCGGTCCACGACAGTGGGATGTAGCTTCACGGCTTACACCGTACGTCTGACCATGCACAGGCATAACACAAAGCTCGACAAAGCTGGCTGCCAATACTGGCCATCTGGTGCCTCTTGGTGCAGGTGTTCTTGTTCTTCCTGCAAGCCTTTCTTGGATAGTGCACACACCCGGACACACATACACCGACGGGCCTTTTTTTCCGATGTGGACTGTTACAGAGGAGGGACAGGAAGCCCAACAAACCCTGACTATGAGATAGGGCTTGCACTTTCCCCGCGTACACACGCCCGGAATACGCGTAGCCTGGGTGCTGCCCTCGACATCATACTTGCGACCAGATCTAACAGGCTCTATGCAAGCTGCGCTGTGACAAAGTAGACTCTCGAGGGTGCAGTCTCCCCGGTCGGGAGTCCGTACGACTCCGCCGCTTCCACCCAAGACACGCACGCCAGGCACCGCCAGCCGCACTCCTCGAAAAACTGCTTGGAGAAGAAGGGGTTTGCAACAGTGCAATGCATCAGTTGCATCAAGAAAAGTAGGGCACTTGGGACAAGGCATGACCAAGCACGGGCCCTTAAGCTCTCGACCCACATCGCGTCCCAGCCCTGCATTCCACTGCTAGTAAAGCACCGGTGCCGGTATCTGGTTCCCCAGGTAACACCTAGTATGACCCATCCACACCACGAAAAGCCCTCCCAAAAAGACGCCACATAAGACCCACCTGCGGAATCTCTCCACGACACAACCACTTGAACTCCTTCGACAGGTTGTATGCCGAGCTGCGGCTGGCACCCTTGTCTTCCCCGTTGCTGTTCGCCGCCGAGGCAGCACCTGCATCTTTGTCAGCTGCGGGCCCTGAGGTGGAGGCTGGCACCTGCGGTGGGGCCTCCTTCACCCCGGCCGCATGGCTTGTCCGCACCATTGCTGTGGCTGTGGCGCCAGGTGCAGCAGAAGCAGCCGTAGCCGCCGCCGCAGCCTCACGCAGGGGAGCCTTGATCACTGACGCTGCTAGGATGCTCCCAGGCGCCGAAACCGAAGCGGCTTCCTGCAAGGTAAGGGGACAGAATGAAAGCAGCGTGTCTCCTCACATCTTCGCAGGCCGAATCCCCAGCCTATCCCATTTCCCATACCCGTATGGCCCCCAGGCCTCCAACCGGTACTTCCCAGGGAGAAAGACCGTACACTTCACAACCCAAGCCCGACACCGGAAACCCCATCCATTCCAGCCACGCTCCCTTCCCTCCAAAGGAAAGCACCCTGCACCCTCCCCTTCTTCCTCGCCTGCAGCACCGCGCGCACGTCCTCCTCCGCCAAGTAGTACAGCAGCCCCTCCAGCACCCACAGCACCGGGGCGCTGCCCTCTAGCCCGCCCCAGCCCCCACCGCCGCCGCCCCGCCGCCGCATCAGCCCCCGCGACCAGCCGCGTCGCTGCAGGTCCACCGCGCGGCAACCCCAGCTGGCGGCCCGCAGCGGGTGCTGGCGCGGGGGACCATGCTGCTGCTGCTGCTGCTGCTCGCTGCAACCTGGTGGCTGTTGTTGCTGTGGCCCAGCCGCAATCGCCGGGTCTGGGTCTGGATGTCTGTCATCAGCCGCAGCTGCAGCGGGCTGCTGTGGGGTGACGTGGTGTGCGGTGCCGGCAGGGGTGGCAGCGGGTGGCGGCCGCTGCAGCTCCGCGCCCAACGCACGCAGGCGGGCCTGCTTGGCCGCCAACACGTCCCGCCGGTCCACCTCCAGCCAGCGCAGCCCGGGGGGAAGCGCCAGGCGCCACGGCCGGGCGTCCAGGCCCGAACCCAGCAGCACCACCTGAGGGGGCCGGGGCGCGGGCGTGCAGTGGACCGTCTAACAGGGTTCAACCGGTTAAGGTCAAGCTTGGGTTGAGGGCGAGGTAGCGGGGTTCGGCCTGTTGGCTACCGGTACCTTCTTCACATGTTGGAAGTGCAAATGGTGCAGATTGCCTTAGGAAAGAGGGCGCTATACGGTAGACGTATATGGTGGACGCACCTGCAGGCACGGCGGCGCCGTGCGGCAGGCTTCAAGGAGCCGGGCGTGGCAGCTGTGGCCCGCCGGGGCCGCACCGGGGCCCTCGCCCTGCCAGGTGGTGCACAACACGACGTCATCAAAGAACTTGGTCCGCATGATGAGCCGCGGAATGGGCCTAGCCCGCGGCTGCTGCAGGAGGGCAACAGGCCGCGGCTCCCGGTCGGCCTCCGCCGCACCGCCAGGTGTGCAGGGCGGTGCAGTTGGGCTGCCGGTGCCTCCCGGGTCGCTCCCATGCGGAGCCTGCAGGAGCACGGCAGTGGTGACAGGGTCTGAGAAGACCATCGGTCCTCGTTCGATTGTTGCTTCCTAGCAACTGCGGCTACGACGCCAACCCAAAAGAACAGCACATGTTGAAGCAGCTGCAGAAAGCCAGGACTCCTGTCACCACGTGATACCCACCGGCACCTGGGCAACCGTGCCTGCATCCGATGCCGCTGCTCCTGCTGCTGCTGGTGTCACCTCCGCTGCAGCAGCTGCAGCTGCTGCAGCTGCTGCGGAAGCTATTCTCTTGCGTGCAGCTTCCAGGGCCTGCTGCCCGCAGAGTCCCGCTGCAAGGGGATCGAGGATGTAGGGCTCCTCCTGCTCCGTCTCCACCGCGCGATTCGCTGTAGGGTAACAGCAGGCACCAGGGGGCAAGAGCAATTTGTCAAGTTTTCATGCGGTGCAGGCGGCGGAGAGAGCCGCTGGGCGCAGTAATTATTACAAGGCAGCTGACCAAAGGTGCTGACAGCTGGTGGGAAAGAGAAAAACCATCCCAGCCAGCAGTATTCCAGCTCGCCATAACAGCCACCCCTCCGGTGTCCTGCCCCTACCTGCGATAAGGCATGCACTGTACGAAACCAAGCCTACGGTGGAGCAGAGGAACCGAGCGGATGTTACATACGCTATCACAGAAAGATAGAGTGGCCTCACAGCAAGCAGAAGACAGCGCCCGGCGCCACGTCAGGGCGCAACCAGGTCGGGGCCAGTTTGGTACGGATTGCTGACGTACCCTGTAGACCATCATAGGCCGACGCATCCGTGCGACGGCGCCAAATGCGAAGGCGAAGTAGTACTACGCGGCGCAGAACCTCTTCCGTCGCCACGACCAGGACCACCAAGCCAAGACCTTCGGCGAAAGGCAACAGTCTGATTGCCCTGCTTGACCATGCCAGCGCCATCTGTCGAAATCTTCAGCAGTAGGCTTGCAGATTACGGGTAGCTGCTTTTCCCTTGCGCCTTGCGTTTGAGATTTCTGAAACCCATATAGATAAAAAATCGATATCAATCAACTCATCCTGTAGTTACGTAGACCCTTACTTCCTGTAAACAAGATAACTGCCTACATAATTGATCTGTGGTTTACTGGAAAGCGTGTAGATGTTATGCCTTTAGTACGGCAATGTACCCCAAACGCTCCACCTGTTGACGCCTAGGCGTGGTGCGCTAGATGGTACGCTGAGAGAGCTTATATTTCAGGGCTACCAGCTAAGTTCTATACCTGCAAACATTTGCCACTGCGTTCCCGGTCTGCTTGACGCTGAACATGTTCTCTTTCGTGCTTCCTAGGGGTTACCTTGAGTCAGTACACGTAGACCACTTAAATGTGCAATGTAACTGAGTCTCTTCTGAGATGCGTCTTTTTCTAACAGAATGCAACCCTGGGCACTGGTACTCCTTCCCGTCATTATATCTGCGTGGTCTACATATGTCAGGGGAGACGAATGTAGCAGCTTCTTACTGCCAAGCAGCTTGGAAGAAAGGTACCGCGTCATGGCTTGCCTTATTCGTGTTCCCCGGTGACGTGGAAGCATGGCTCATGTGACCGTGCTATCCACACGCAGCTGTTACCTGAATAATACCAAGAGTGCAGAGGAGCTGGTACTCAGCGCTGTCAGCTGCGTGGCAGTGTTGGAGCCGAAGGTGTTACATGGCAACTGCTGGGCGCTATCGTTCACTAGGATGCTATCTTCTGAGAAGTAATATTGTGTTTATCGATGCCTTTCACAGGCCTTGCGGATATATACGCCGGACAGCGAACACTCTTCCGCAGTCTCTTCAGCGGTTCAGGCCTATATAGCAAATGGTGGCTACAACGTCTCAGTGCATACAAACATCGGCGGCAACAGTGACACCTTCCTAAATGCGTCCCTTGAGCTCGCGTATGACATCCTGTCATACCATGACGGCTTCGTTGTGGACGCGGAGGCGCTGCCGGGGGTTGCGCTCGCGGGGTTGGCGGCTCCGCTTGACGCCTACATCATGCAGGAGTGAGTTCAAGCTTATTGGCCACCCAATGGGTTGGGACCACCAACGCTTACCCCTTCGTTTTTCCCGACCCCTCCCTGCGCAGCCCCTCCCTCAACTGGTTCCGAATCAGCCGCTACTATAGAGGCTTCTCAGCACTGCATGAGCAACAAACCTACGGGGTGCCTTTGGGCGGCGTGGGCATGCTGTCCTTTTACCGACAAGACGTCTTTGAACAGCTGAACATGAGCGTGCCAACAACATGGGGGGAGGCGTTGGACTTTGCAAAGCGCTGGCAGAGCCGAAATCTCAGCGCATCCGACGGCTTGCCAGTCCACCCTTTTTGTGGAGGGCGCGGCTCATGTAGGTTGCTGTGTAACAATCTGCTGTGCGGGCAGTGTGCTCTTAGTGGGTGGTCATGCGCGCGGACTGGGTTAGGAGGCCAAAACGGCTCTGTAACCCGAGAGGACAGCTCATTACACGAAGAATCTGGCGTGCAGAGTCACCATCGCTCATGGACCTGCCTCCTTCCCTCCCTTTTGCGTCCCTCCGTTGTCACCCTCCCACAGATTGCGGCAAGAACCTGCTGCTAGCCATTGCAGCTCCCCACCTGCAGACAAACGGCCCCAGCAGCGGCTTCCTGCTGGACCCCTTGACGGGCAAGCTGCTGCTTGGCTCGGAGGCCTTCGTGCACTCATTGGACATCCTGCAGCAGCTGGCAGCGTACGGCCCCGCGGAGGATGCGCAGGAGTGCACACCCCAGTGGGACGCCTTCTCCAACGGAACCTGCCTGCTCACGCTTCAGCCGTTTGAGATGTTCAAGGTGCGGCGCCGCTGGGGTAGGGTTGGGAGCTGGGCTTGGGCGTAAGCGGGCTTCCGCACTTTCCCTTACGCCCAAGCCCAGCGGCGGTGAGGTTAGGCCTCTTTGAGCATGTGCCGGTTGGAATATTGTTTTGGGTGGGGTGGGGGTTCAGTAGGCGAAACTGTTGCCGTGGGATCTGTGCCGCGGGGTGGCAAAAGGGGGGAGCATTACACCGTGCTTGATCCAATCCATGCTGGGTTGATGCTTCTGTATCGGCGGGAGATCTGGTGCTGCTGCTTCTGCTGCAGGTGTATGCGGGTCCCGACAGCGCCGTGCGCAGCAAGCTGGGCGTGGCGCCGCCGTTCGGCACCTTCCACGCGCTGAACCGCACCTCCGGCCAGATGCAGACGTGCACCACCTCGCTCTGCCCGCTGGCGGTGTACGAGCCGCGGCAGCAGCAGCTGCTGTCGGAGGAGCTTGCGTATGAGGATATTGCGGTGCGTTGGGGAGGGGTGGGGGCGGACACAGCGTGGAGTGCAGTGGAGTGGAGTGGAGTGGATTGCAGTCATGAGAAGGCGTGACGCGCGGTGTGATGTCTGTAATGGCAGTGCTGGGCGTTCTGTACTGCTATGGTGTACTCCACGTAACTTTCCTTTTCTCAGGGCCCGCCCTTCTCTTTTTGCCCAACCACCAACCACAACCACCGCATGAAACGATGCATCATGCATGAAAGGTTGGAATTCAAGCCCCACGCTGGCCCCCTGCCGCTCTCCCTCCCTTCTCGTCCGTTTCAGCAGTTCGTCTCCTCCAACTCCTCCAATTCCTCCACATCCTACGCGCTCGTCAACTACGCGCCCTTCATGCGGGGAGGCCTGGTGGGCCTGGTGAGCCGCCGCAACCCCGCCGCGGTGCAGGCGGAGGTGGTGCGCTTCTTCGGAGAGCTGTCCTCGGGCTTTGGACTGCAGAACGCGCTGCAGCCCGGCTCAGGTAGGCTGCTGCTAGTCAGCATCCTGTACGACCCGGCATTGGGTCATAGGCGTTTTAGGCAGTTCGGTTGCCAGCTTGGTACAAGGGCCCTTTCCTCCCCTGACATCTGACAAACCCACCCGTCAACGGCCAACCCTCCTCCTTCCCTCTCCTTCCTCCTCCTTCCACAACCCAGGCATCGCGCCCTTCCGCACCGACCACTGGAGCCCGGCCACCCATGGCGTCTGGACCGGCGCCGGTTACCACACGGCAGCCGTGGATGCCGTACAGTCCGCCCTTTCCACCCTGTACGCCTCCTCCAACCTGGCACCGCTGCTGCGGCTGCCGGGGCATCGCGAGATCACGCGGCTGCTGGTGGGCGCTGCGGAGATGCTGTGGCAGGGCGAATCGCCTGACAGCATCGCTGCGAACGTGAGTGCTGCAGCGCAGGCGGTGCTGGATTCCTACTTTCCAAATCCTGGGGCAGACGGCCTGCCTGGCTATCTGGAGATGTACCGTGCGCAGATTGGCTACCAGCAACAAGCTACGCCGTCGCCGGTGAGGATGGGGGAACGGGCGGGGAAGGGGGTTTGAGAGCGCGGGAGGGAAGGGGAGGGATGCATGTGAAGGGATGGGCTTCCACGCTCTACCCTAGCACACTGCCTGGTCTATACGGTTGTCGTACAACGTTCCTTACACTACGCTTCCTACCTGCCCCCTCCACGTCCCCTTCTCTCACACCCTTGGTGGTGCTGCGGTGATGGCTTTGCTTCCGTCTCTGCTTCCGCTCAGCCGGTGAGTCGGGTAGGGGCCATGTCCCCATGTGGCACCGGGGTGCTTGCGGGGGTGCTTGCGGGAGTGGTTGAGGGTTCCCATTCCCGGCTGCTATCCACCAGGGGTTTGCTGCATCTTGACCTGTATGGCCGAGTTCAGCTCCCCCCCTCCCCCCGCCCCGCCCCGCCCCCCTTGGCTCTGCAGCCCTCCCCGTCTTCGCCTCCCAGCGGCCCCACCGTGTCGCGCCAGACCATCGTGGTGATCGCGGTGGTGACGGGCACCGCCGGGCTGCTGGCGCTGGTGGTGGCGCTGGAGGTGCGAAACAAGCGGCAGCACAAGAACCTGCTGGGGCGGGTCAAGCCGCCGCAGGGAGACCCGGACACCACCATTGTGGTGGCGTCCATACAGGTGGGAATGGGGGGTAAGGAAGAAGGAAAGAAGAAAGGAACTAGCCATGTGAGATGTATGAAAGTTGGGAGTGGGGTGGTGGGTGGGAGGGCTAGGGGGCTGGGAGAGATTCAAAGCTTGGGGGAACTGGGGCGGGCCGGGGAAGGGCTACAGGTGTAGCCGTTAGGCCTAGTTCCCCGCGTATGGAACATGGATGCCCCAACCCACCCTTTGCCTCCTCATGTCTCTCTCCCACCAACCCCATGCATGTTACGTTGTTACCCTCCCCACCCGGTCTCCCGCCGCTCCCATCCCAACCCGTCCTCATCCCCGCCCCTCCCCACCACTTCCAGGACTTTGACGAGCTGTGGGAGGCGCTCATCTCGGACGCCTCGGAGCGCGCGCTGCAGCAGTTCGGCGAGCTGGTGGACGGGCTGCTGCGGCGGCACAGCGGCTACCGGGCGCCCAGCGAGGAGGAGGACGTGGTGGTGGCCTTCCATTGCCCGCGCGACGCCTGCGAGTTCGCGCTGGACCTGCAGCGGGGGCTGCTGGAGCTGCGCTGGCCGCGACACGTGCTGGAGATGGAGCAGTTCAAGCCGCAGTACCTTGCACCCAGGTGGGGGGCGGGATGGGGGTGAGGAGGGGTGGGTAAAAAGCAACCTGGCCGTGAAGTCGGATCGTACCGGTACTGGGAGATGTGGGTTGTGTCGAGCTGTTACGACTCGCGTGTTCTCTGGCGTGTGTGCTTGCGTGACTTGGCTAGGCAGCACACACGTGCCCCTGCTTCCTTCCTCACTGTGCTGTTGCATCTGCGCCCACCGCTTCTGCCCGCCTGCCTTCCCCACTCCCCGTTCGGACTCTCCTCGCAGCACCACCCGCGGCAGCTTCAGTCAGGGCTACAACGCCAGCCGGGCAGCCGGGGGTGCACCCGTCAGCGGCACGGTGAGAGAGGCTTCGGTGGGGAGCTCGGGGACATGGCATGGGTTTGGGGGTCTGTAAGTTCCGTCTCTGGCTGCACTTCGGCCACATTTGGACTGGACCCCTAATCCTGACTCTGCCCACTGTCTTGCCCAAGCATAGATGGCTCATCCACTCCTGCGCTCCCCCCCCCTCCTTTCGCCCCTAACCCTTCATTCATATTTTGCCCCCCATTCCTGGCAGGCTGACGACGACGACAAGCTCTTCACGCTGGCCACCCGCGCCGACAACGTGCGCTCCTTCGGCGAGCAGTGCGTGGCCTCCTGGGTGGCCGCGGACGCCAACACACCCGACGCGGAACTCGCCTTTTGCGGCATCCGCGCGCGCGTGGGGCTGTGCGCCGTGGGCTTCACGCGGCTGACGTGTGAGACGGAGCCGGGCCTGAAGCGCAAGACGTTCAGCGGGGAGGCGGTGGATGTGGCGGCGGCGGCGGCTGCGGCGGCGCAGGGAGGCATGGTGCTCATTCCGCAGAGCACCTTTCGGCAGCTGCACTTGGAGGTGCTGGCGGAGAAGTGCCTGGTGAGTACATGAGGGGGGGGGGAATATAGATAAATAAAGACGAGGGGGGTACTTAAGAGGCCGTATGTATATTTCGCGCACACGCATGTCCGACCATCATCCGCGCCTTCTCCTTTGCCTCTCTCACTCCTTCTCTCTCTCTCCCTTATTTTCCCCCTCCCCCTCCTCCTCCTCCTCTCCCCCCAGTTCTGCCACCTGGGCGAGTACCAGCTGACCGCGCAGCTGCCGCCCATGGACCTCTACCTGGCTCTGGACCGGCAGCTGCTGGGGCGGCTGGCGCTGTTCGGGCCGCTCAGCTGCCACCTGCAGTGGAGCCAGGGCGCGTTCGCGGCGCCGGTGCACGCCGCCAGCATGGTGTTCACGCACCTGGTGGGGGTGCAGACGCTGCTTGCCTGGGACTACGACCTCATGCAGGTGGGGGGGAGGGAGGGAGGGGAGGGAAGGGGAGGGCAGGGGGGCAGGAGGTTAGGGAAGGGCAAAGAGGAACCGGAGAGGCTGTATGACAGGGCTTTACCATGGGGTGCAAACATGGTAGCGGGCCCATCCCGCGCTACACCTCCGCAACGCTCCTCTTCCCCTTTCCCCATTTCGGTTGGTGTCCCGTTGACCCCCTTCTGGAACACCTTTCCGGTAACCTACGGTCAGGGTCAGTGTTTCCGCGGCTCAGTTTGTCTAATCCCTTGCCCCTCCCGCCCCCTCTCCCCCCCCTCCCCCCCTGCCAGGACGTAATCGAGACGTTCACCCGTCTGGCCCAGGTGGAGCTGCAGCAGGCGGGCGGCTACCTGGTGGAGCACGTGGAGGGGTTCATGCTCACCGCCTTCCACTCGCCCGCGGACGCCATCCTGTGGGGCCTGCGCATGCAGGAGCTGATGCTCAAGGAGGACTGGTGGGTGGGGCGTGGTGGGGTGGTGGTGGGGTCTGGGGGTGGGAAGTAGAAGTAGAAGTAGAAGTAGAAGAAGAAGCACCTGCACTACTGCATCATCCCTTCGTCGGAGGCTTTCACCCCGGCGGCTCACAACTTGACCTGTCTATCCGCGTATCCTCTTTATCCCCCTGGTTTGGTATATCTCTGAGGGTATATCCCCGCCTCCCCCGCCGCGGTGCGCACTCTCAGGCCCGAGGAGCTGCTGGCTCACGAGCTGTGTGAGGAGGTGACGGTGACGGTGCCCGTGCGCGGCGGCGACGTCACCTCCGCCACCGTCTTCCGCGGGCCGCGCCTGAAGACCGGCATCGACATCGGGCAGGTGCTGGCGCGGCTGCACACCATGACGGGCCGCATGACCTACCGCGGCAAGGTGGGTACGGCGGGGTGGCGAGGTGGCGCGGGGTGGAGGGGTGCGCTTCTGGGGGTGCTGGGTGGACGGAGGTGGATGTGCAGGGGTGTGCGGATGAGGCTGGGGGCCGGGCCGGGACGAGGTCGTAGGCTTATAGGCTTATAGCAGAGCTGGCGGTGCGGGTGGCCTGTGCCATCAACGCTGATGCTGATGCGGTCAGCACGTGATTCACTGCATGTGTGAGCACTTGGATGCCGCTGCTCCATTCTTCCTTATGGCTGGCGTGCAGCCTCACCACCCTCATTGCCACCACCCCCTCCTCCACCCTCCTCCACGCAGGTGATGAACCGCGCCGCCCGCATCTCCGCCGCCGCCAGCTCGGGGCAGGTGCTGTGCTCCGCGGAGGCGTGGGAGAGCTGCACCGCCTCCGCCTCCGCGCTGCGCCTGGTGACGGCCACCAGCCTGGGGCTGTTCCAGCTGAAGGGCATCCAGGAGCGCATCGAGGTCTTCCACTGCACGTGGGTACCGGCAGTGCGCCGCGGAGGGGGAGGGGGAGAGCCGGCATGTGTTCCGGCAAGGGCAATGCGTACGTGTTGCAGCATGTATTGCGAGGCAGAGTGTGAGAGAGAGCTTGTGCCGTTTATTTACGGCATCACATGCCTCTCACTTTTCCCATTCCCTTCCCTCCCTCGTATGACGATACGCAATCCTATATTGCAATCAAACATACGCAATCCTATATTGCAATCAAACGCAGAATATGTATTCCCAGTAATCAGTGTGTGTCAGTGTTTCCGCGGCTCAGTTTATCTAATCCCCAGTAATCATCTTCCCCCCTCCCTTCCTCCCCCGCAGCTACCAGCGCCACGTTGCCAGCTCCACCCGCCGCAGCAGCACCGTCAGCGTGGGGCTGCTCAGCTCCTCCGACAACCGCCGCAAGAGCGCCATCGCGCTGTCCTCCGCCTCGCACCTCTCCCACCACACCACCTCCTACCGCTCCTCCATGCCCAACAGCTCCGCGCTGGAGCACCCCTCGGCCTCCGAGGGCCGCCGCGGCTCCGCGGTTTCCTCCACTCAGCCGCTGGGGCATGGCAGCGTGTCGGGCGCGCTGCATTCCGTGGGGTTGGAACAGATGGCCGGGGGGATTTTGTCGGGTGGCCCGGTTGTCATGGGCGGCGGAGGCGGAGGCCTGACGTCAACGGGCGTATCGCCTGCACGGCATCGCTCGGTGTTGTTACTGGGCGACGCGGGCGCAGGAGGTGCAGGTGGCGGAGGCGGAGGGGCCATGGGATGTCGTACGTTTTCGCATACCTCGCAGAACAGCGCGCATGGCAGCGGCGGCGCCGCGGGTGCTAGCGCTGCGCGTGCGGCGCTGGCGGCGGTGCTGCAATCACGCACACGTTCCGCCTCAGCGCTACACACAAGCTGCGGGTTAGCGCCCTTCCGTTCAAACTCCGCGCGAAACCGCCGCGCGGGCCCGCTGGCGGCGGCAGTGGCGGCGGCGGCGGCGGACATGTCGTCGGATGCGCAGGCTGCGGCGGCCGTGGCGGCGGCAGCGGCTGGCGCCGGCCGGTGCTTCTCCCCCAAGGCCGCTGCTTCCTTGGACTACCCGTCGCACCACCGGAACGCAGGGACGAGCTCGGGAGAGGATGGGGGTAGTCTGGCGGCGGGTTTTGGTGTTGGGGGCAGCAGCGGCGGCGGCGTTACTGGCGGTGAGGGCCTGGCGGGCGGTGGTGGTGCTGCCACGGTGTACACCGTGCTGCCGTCCGTCGTGCTGGCTGGCGGCGTGATGCTTCCGCAGGTGAATTCGCACCTGTCGCTGATTGACGAGACGCCGGCGTATGAGGGGCATGCGGGTGGCGAGGAGGAAGATGGAGGCCAAGACGACGAACCCATTGGTGGGGTAGGGGGCGGAAGCGGTGGCGGGGACGGAGGTAGAGGCGCTGCCAACCACATTGTTGGGACGTCAGATAGCACCAACAGTGGTGCAGACAGCGCGGCGCAGGACGTGCAGCTAGCCACGATCGCAGCTCACGTGGAGGGTGTGGATGCATACCTTGCCGGAGAACAGGCTGGCGGCAGCAGCAACAGCAATCAAAACCCAGCCCAACCGCCGTTCCTGCCGTCGCCACTCACGACCGGCTCCGCGAATGCGACCGCAACGGGGTTGGCGCAGGGCGACCTGGAGCCCGGCTTTGCCAAGGAATCCCGCATCGAAACCCTGGACGTAACGGTCTCCGCCAACGGTATCGGCCGCGGCTTGGTTTCCAGCTCCAGCGCCAACTACGTCGCAGGGCTGTGTTCCAACGACCAGGGCGTCATAAGCCGCGCAGGTTCCGTCACGGCGCCGTTCTCCTACCTCTTCGGCCTCAGCCGGAACAGCGGCGGCGTGGCTAGCGGTTCTGCTGGAGGCGGTGCGGGCGCGGGTTGCTCCCGCACGTCTAGCGGACTGTCGACAGGCACGGGAGCGTCGAATGGTGTGCGTCAAGAGGAGCCGGTCTCGCGGTCTCAGTCCGCCTCGTGTGGAGTAAACGCGCCGCAGGGTACCATGGGATCCCTGCAAGGTAACCGCCAGCAGAGTAAATCGGCACTCAGCATTGACCTGTTCCTGCCGCTGCCCGTGGCCGCGGGCGGGGTAGGCAGCGGACAGGAGTCGGGGGCTGCGCCTGGGGCTGGAGACGACAATTGCACGGCAACGACTGCAGCTGCTGCAGCGTCGGGGGTCGACGTTTCGCAGAACGATGCTCGCGCTACCGTCGGCGCTCAAATCGGGCATCCACGGGGGTTGAAGGAGCCCGTACGGACTCCCCCGCTGACGTCCACGACTGCTGGAATACCGGTCGCACCCACTACGGTTCGCAGCTCGACGCCCCACTCGCAACAGAGAAATGCCAACAGCCCCTCACGCAACCGCTCCGGTGTGTCTGAGGCGGTGTCGGCATTTGCCACGGCAGCAGCGACGGCGGCGTTGAGCGCAGGGGCAGCTAACGCTCCTGGGTTGGCTTCGGCCATGTCGCCGCCCTCACCCTCTAATGGCCCCACCAAGCCAGCAGCACAAGCCGGTGCTGCTGCGGCAAGTACCAGCAAGGGGCACGCCGGGACAGACGGCCCAGCCGCATACAGCGCCCCGGCTTGCGCCGCAAGGTCCGCCCCGGCCGCCGGCGCTGCGTCGGCGTTGATGCCCGTGAACGGCATGGGGGCCACTAGTCAAAACGGGGCCCTAGCAACTCCTTCCGGTGCCGGCATGGAGGACGATGACAACGGCAACAGCAGCAGCAGCTCCTCTGATGGCGCTCCACCCGACTTGGCAATGGTGTCAACCGGCGGGCGCTTCGAGGACAGCAGCAGTCTGGGGGGCGCCGAGAGCAGCCGGGGGTTCCGCGTCTTGGAGAGGCCCATCCGCCTGGGAGGAGGTGGTGGTGGTGGAGGGGGAACAGGCGGCGGCGGCATCTCCCCCGCCTACAGCACCTTCATGACGAGTCCCCTCCTCATGAGCAGCTCCTCGGCTAAGAGTATGACCCAGCCGCTCCGAACGACTCCGGGCACCGATACTACATCAAACGCCGCAGCAGACGGCACTGCTGCTCTTGCTCTGGCTGAGGTTGTGGCGCCTGTCATGGCCGCCGCTGCCGCTGCTGCAAGCACAGCAGACCCGTCGCCGGCTGCGGTCGCGGCTGCTGGGCCGAGGGCAGGGCCCCTGGACGGAGAGCAGCCGCGGCTAGGGCTGCCGACGGGGGGACTGGCCACTCCGGATGAAGCTCGCAGCTGTGGCGGTGATGCGGCGGGATCAGCGGCAGTGCGACCTGGTACAGCATCTGACGCCCATGATTACGCCGCCGCTTTTGGAGTAGGGCCGCCGCCGCCGCCGCCGCCACCACCGAAGCAGCAGCAGCATCAGCAAAAACTGCAACAGCCTGATGACTATGCGTCAGCTGCGGTCGCGTTTGGCGTGGGGCTGCCGCCAACTTCGAATTACGCGGCCGCAGCATCGGCCTTTGGCATAGCGCCGCCGGCTGGGGTGTACGGAGAGGATCGTGTGTCCGGCCCTACACGGGAGCAGATGGAACGAGCGCTGGAGTTGCTCGGGGAGTCCAGGCATGGGGGCGGCGGCTGGCATTGAGCTATGGTTTTGCGTCCAACCCGCCGTTTCGCTTTTGTTATGAACCGCGTTGTAAGATAGCACTTTTCAGCTTGACTTGGCAGGATTGCATACAACGCTTGAAGGAGGTGTGGCCAGCTGTATGCAGCGCGTTTTGGTTCCGGACGGTTGTTGTACGGAGTAGTGGCTCATGTAATGGTTGCGTGCGGATACATACAAAGCCACAAAGCTGGGTTTTGAGTGGGGGGACGTTTTATCGGTAGGACAGGGCGGGAGGAATCATGGCCTTGGCTTTGGGTTGAGTCTCGTAGTTGCTCCAACGCGATGAGGGGTACCTCATGACATGCTTGCTCGTCTGCGATGCAAAGGCTGTCCTATTATTCATGTCGTCACTCTCGTTGTGCGTGTTAAGGGCTTGCGCGCCCGTCGTTGTCGCGCTTGGCCAGCCGGACGGAAAGCGCTGCAGTTGATAGCTCGAGATCTGGGCACCAGTGCCTTGCGCTTTCGGCAATCGTGATACGTTAAAAGGATACCTTCTGGGCGTGCGTCGTGGATTGGTGGTGTAATGGTCGGCCAGAGAAAACAATAGAAATAGACCCATGGGACCAATGGTTTATTTGAGGCATACGTCCTCTGCAGCTCGGTGCACCTGTATGTGCAATATGGAGTGATTGGGGCGTTGGGGGTGACGGGTTAGGGGGTTACCTGGGGCCACATTCCTTGCATGGGGCTTCTGAGCCGATTGAGGGTTGCGGGCTGTCATTGGGGGGCGGTTGCAAAGTCGCACACCGTGTTGTAATACCGTGCCTTTGGGTTAGTGCCCGGTGTCACGACGGGAGGTACCACTATGGTCGAACAAGAGTGGCAGGGCCGCCATGGGCAGACATTCTCCCGGGATGTTTGTGCACTTCGTTTCTTGGTGGTCTGCGGCTGAACACCGTTTGGGGAGGGTGCGCGGCGTGCATAGGCAAATGGGGCGGTCTGAAGCTCGTGTGCTGGGCCTTGGCTGCTTCAGGAAGCGGCTTTCCCTGGTTTCTGGGGTCTGAAATCCTATACGAACTGATTCAGGTTGCACGATGCCATGCCATCCTTATCACTTGTCCATGGCATTTGCCGTTCATTAAGTTTCCTGGTTTCTGCGCCTTGGTACCTCTCGGGCAGGCTTTGATGTGCATGGCTTCGGTGTTTCCTACCGGTACTCCAAAGATCGGTTACTGTTGAATGTTTGCAATCGGCAGGATCGCGGTCTGCTGCATACTAGGGTGTTACTTCCTGGCTGGGCGATTACAGTGCCGCTCTTCTTTTTCTTGACGTCCCTAGCTCTGGAAGGCGAATGGAAGACACGTAGGCGGCGCACAAATCACCTCGTCCTGTGGTAATTATTCCGTGGTACCTTCAGGAGTGTTCTCGTCGGGTGTTTGTTGCCTCTACTGAAGCCCTCGCCGTACGCCTTGGGTCTAGACGAAAGTCTGCGTCAGTAGCTGCAACATCGAGGGCTGACAGGGAGCCGGCTATACTCCAATCGCTCGCTCTTGCGGCATTACTTTGTATCGACAGACGACTGTAGTATAAGATTGGTATCTTCCCAGACCCAGGTATTATTCCCTAAGAGCATTGAGTGGGAAACGAACCGTCGCACGAGCGGTAACCCTACATAAATCCTGGCGAAACTGTGGACCATAGACCAAGTACAAGAAAATGACAAACGTGATAGCGCGCATTGCCGACGGTAAAGATGAGTAAGTCATTGGCTATAGCGGTGGCACACTTATGATGCGCACCGCTTCATATTCGATACACCCAAACGACAAAGGCACCAACCCTTGATTGCTATGAATACATCAGCTTGACAAGACTATGGCTTGTCAAGGCCAACCGTAAACGGACAGACACGACGTGTACGACTCGCAACAGGCACATATGGTTTACGGTGTCCAGTTCGCAAATCCTTGTGGCTTTATGCAATTCTTTCTCTAGTACTATACCGGTGACCCTGTCCAGTTGGGTCGCCTGGGCTTTGAATCGCGCTGAGACTACCTATCAAGTTCGCAATCGACCTTTTTGGAGCACACACCTTGTTCCACCTAGCATCCATCATGTGCACTACCACGCGTGTCTGCGCAGGCCCGACGTTTGGAGCGTCCCTTCGGGTAAGGAAGGAACTCGGGGAGCCGCTACAGATGGTCCTGTAGCTGAAATGGCGTGCCGCGAAGTTACCCGCTAACGCTTTTCGCCGCCGATTTTGCAGATGCTATCAGAGCGTTCGGGCGTTGAAGTCCCCATCCTTCTTGGCGACGTTCTCCGCTGGCTAGCGGCTCATGCAATTGCCGAGCCCGACGTTTTCGCGCATCCTTCAAAGTGCGTCGCAACAAGCCAGATGAAGGATGCTATCGACATGGGCGTTCCCCTTGTGGACCTCTTGGAGGGCGTCCACCCCGCCTTGGTACGGCCCTTGACAGAACTTTATACCGTTGAAAGACTACCTTTACTTAATACCATTTTTAGATTCACTAAATATTGGATTGTTCAATACGCTTACAGGTTGGGAGTCTTCTGAAACGTTGGCTTGAGGAACTCCCATTGATACTCAACTGGGACCAGCAAGTCGACCTTTTGTCTGCGTGCAAGGATGAGGGGTCCATTGAATCAAGGATAGAAGCTTTGAACAACGCTGTATCCTCGGTGAGTAACACGTCGCAGTCTTCGGGGACGTAGTCAAACCTCGAATGCCGTCTCCTGGGCCAGGGCTCCTGGTCATTATTAACTTTGCCAGAGGCTTGAGTGAACAGTACTTTGTCGAATAACGATTGACAAGACCGTATCACAACGTTTGTCTCCCCAGGTCGACCACATTACGCTTGGCACCCTCAAGCCGCTGCTGCTCTTCCTACAGCAGTACTGCTTTCGCCAGCGTCGTTTCGACCAGCAACTCTTGCAGGTCGCTGTGGCCTTTGCTCCCATTCTCTTTCCAGCCGCGCTGGGCGCTGGACCTGAGGAACTACGGCTAGCAGAGGAGACGGTTGCAACGCTAGTATCCAACGCACTTCACGTATTTAACCCTCTGCTAGCGGCCAACGTTCCCGTGGTCACGCCGCAAGCCCTGTGCGAGGCCGCTGCGGAAATGATGATTTCTGAGCAGCAGCAACAGCACCTCGTCTATGAGTACACCGGGGCCGCCGGCTACTCTCCTTCCCTGCAGCCGCTGGAGGTCCCGGCTGCTGCCGAGGAGGATCTCTACGAGGCGCAAGGGCTGCTGGAGGAACCCTATGAGCCGTACGTGACAGACGCGGCCTTTTTGTCCTCCCTGCATGGCATGGTTGACAGCTGCGTCGCGGGGGCGCTCTTCAGCTTTGACGACTGCTGTGACGACGACAATGGCACTTGGAGCGCGGACGATGACTGCGGCAGCGTGGCCTCCAGTTCCTCCAATACCCAGCTAAGCAGCGGTGGTGCATCAGGCAGCAGCGGGGGAGCCAGCAGCTGCAGTACCGTATCAAGTAACGGGCCTCAGCCCCAGTCGGAGCAGTGCATTAATGCGCAGCCGCAGACGCAGCCTATTAGTTCGTACGGCCAGTGCAACCCGGCCGTGCCGTACAGCCCCCACGCCACGCTCATTCCGCAGCCACAACGTATGGTCGTGGAGGGCTTGCAGGCCATGCAAGAGCAGCCCACGAACATTCGCGCCAGCAACGTGGTGTCCGTGGAAGCCGGCTCCAAGCCCGTTGTCGTTGTCAAGGGCTCTGCTGGCGCCTCAGTCCCTGCCTCGGTTTCGCTTGCGGAGCTTGCACAGCGTGAGGTTGCGGATGGGAGCGTCTTTTGCATCATTTCAGCTCAGCCCGGTGCTGCAGCCTCGGGCACGGACGGCGCCGGCAACGCAGGCCAACCCAAGTCGCTTGTCCTCAAGGGCAGCCGCGACGTCATTTCTGCCCCATCGCATCTGCTCCAGCAACAGCCACAGTTGGTGGTTCTGGACGTGATTGGAACCACGCAAGGGATCGCTGCAGACCCCTTCAAGTCGTCTCGGCACGCCGTCTCCCGCCGCTCTACTGAGGGCGGCGCCGTCGCCAAGGGTCCTACCGCTGCACCTGGGCAGGGTCAGGGGCTGGTCCTGGGCGGCCCCATGGTGGGGGCAGCTCCGCAGAACAGCCGCTCCGCTGGTTCCGGCAGCCCTGGCTCTCAGCCGCAGCCCCGCCAACGCCGCATGACTATGGGCGGCGGCGGCGGTGAAATGCAGAACGACGCCGCGGATCAGCAACCGCAGCCAAAATCCCAGAGCCGTCAGCAGTCGCCAAGCAGCGCCACCGGCAACACCACCTCTGGTTCCAGCCAGCGTAGCCGTAGGTCTGCTGGCAGCAGCAACGGCAGCGGTGGCAGCACCCGCCAGCAGCCAGGAGCTGTCCTTCCGCTGTCTGCAGCGCATGGCAGTGGCTGCGTGGCCGATTTGGGTGTTGCAGGGCACCTGCATGTCGCCCTAACCGCCACACACACGCTGTCGGTTCGGGAGCTCTGCACGCCCGAGGCAGCCGCGCACCTCGCACCCATTCGCAGCCTGAGCATACCCGCCATGCAGACGGAGAAGGAGCGGCTGAAGCGGCAGCTCAAGGACGTTGCCGCTGCGTACGAGGCTCTTGCCGGTCGGCCGCTTACGCCCACCCTGAAGGAGCCGCTTCGCCCCGTCTACGTGCGGTACCACAAGATCAAGGCGCTCCTGAACAAGGGCTGCGGAGGAGATGGCGGCGCGTCGTGTAAGGAGAACCAGGATTCGGCGACTGCAGCTGCTGCAATGCTGCAAAAGCACGTGGCGCTCACGTCTTCGCGGCCCGCCGTGGTTGTGTAGACCAGATGGTGCTGTGGCTTGGAGGAGTGCACGGGAATACTGGCGTGCCGTACAGGGCGTGCGAAGAGTTCATGCATATACAGGAGCGGCGGTACTGTCTGGCGAGTACGCTCTGTAGGCTTGGCAATTTATGGCCTGCTTTGCCCATGCGTAGAGGGGTCGGCCACGGAAACGGGACGATGAGGGAAGGAGTCTGTTTAATTAGGCAGAGTATGCAAGTGCATGGGTGGGCGGTTGACCGTTGCAAAGTACAGTGGTGGAAAGGTTGGTTGGAGTTGGGAAGAGGCTGGTAATGAGGAGTTGACAATGTTGCCCCTTAGTTGTATTTGTAGTTGTCTTCATGGGGCGATGCCGATTAGCAGCGAGCGACAGTGTCTCTCTCTCTGTCGTTGAGTAGTGGACATGGTCGCACGATACAATTCTGTAGGCTTGCTTGACTTCCCTTAGGCAGCACGTGCGAAACCAGACCGTGCAGCGGACCATTTGCTTTGTCAGGACATGACATAAGCTCTCTTCCCTTCGTGCTGAGAATGCCTGGGAAACATTAGATGACGGGCGAGTGACGCTGCAATTGCGTGGACGCGTGCTGTTAGGTGTTCCTGTTCTCCTTCGCAGCTCTTGTGGAAGTGCGTCTGCTTCTAAGGGAACGGGCTGCGCGTTGCAGGAGTTCTAGTTCGTAGATCGACGTGACGACTGGGTTTATAATTCTAGGTGTTGTCAACCCTATCTCCCATTGATTGATTTTAAGGGTTTAGGTACCGTATCCGATTCTGCGGTAGGTCTCTTTCCTCTTTGGCGTCGTTGCGGTAAAAACACGCAAGGCCCATTAGTAGTTGTCTTCCTTTAGTTGTTAGCAGGGATGCTTCTCTGACAGCATGTCTGGTTGTGGTTGGTAAGGTTGTGGGTTCTTAAACTTTTGGCCTCGTCTCCTGGCCTCGGCGACTGGGACCGCACCTTATGTGCCGGGTGCGACCCCTGAGGTCCAGGGCTGCTCTTTCCTCTGAATTTGCTATGTAAAACTTTACACTGCTCTGCAAAAAGTGGGTCTTTTTGTACACACCATTCACAAGTGGCGCTGCCTCCTGCTTAGCAGCACATTACGTGCAAGGCTACCCGTCAGCCGCTACGGCCATGAAGGGTAGAGTAACCTTAGGGGGTTGTATGTCTCCCGACCTAGCGCATGACCAAATACAGCCGATATACTCTAGAACTTCTGGTGTTAGGGAGTTGCTTAGGGACAGAGCAGCTTGGTCGCTCTTGGTTAACGGTTACCTTCAAAGACAGGACATGTTGCGTTAACTGCTCCAATGCTAGTTACCAACGCGGTGCTGTGATGATCATGCTCTTACGGTAACTTGGGCTGATCTAGGCTGATCGATGTGGTATCATAATCGTCGTGCTGTACGGAAGGAAAGCAGAACACACCTTACATGTAACTGGCTGCACACTCTCGTGTGGACTATTATTCTATCCTTTTGAAATGACGAAGTTCTGCCGGGCACGCTCATTTTCTCGGAAACTGTGCTGGTGACGCTAGCACAATGACTTGACACTGTGATACCTGCTGTAGTTCTATAGTGAACCTATATAAAAACGGAGACTGCTACACAATGGCTCATAGATGCTTTCTTCCTTTTGTGCTTCTGCTAGTCGCATGCTCGTTCAGCATGGCCGCCGGGCAGGATACAAGCGATAACAAATTGTTATGCATGGCAGAAATGGTTTCAAACATCGAGAATAGGTACTACTTAGGGGCTGTTATGAAGGCTCTTACAAAGTTCATGACCGGATGGGAACTGACTGCTCGCCTTTGCGGTCCATGGACAGTTGCTCGAGGCCAGATATATCTGGTTATTATGTGGCGCTGGAGAGCTTGCTTAAGGACTACCTGAAGAAGTGTTTCCATACCAACTTCACTTCTAACCGGGTGCGTGACAAGGAGCCATCAATGCACAAACACTAATGCCGAAGTTAAATAATGTTAACGCTGCATGCGCAGGCACTCCATACCATGCTTCCAGACTTAGGCACCGACGTTACCAGTTATCTTAAGTCGCTGTCGGATAGCTTCAAAGACCTGGAGGGTATTGAGGTTGGCCCCACGTTTATACCTGCCGCCCAAATAAACTCGGAGATTGAGTTCGAGCTGGAGCACAACCTGACCAACAGTCACGATGGTTGGATTCTCGACCCTATGGGCATCGGCTCCATATTCAACTATGATGGGTTCCAGGATCTCACAGAAGTGGTCAGGGACCCTTTGGTCGTGAACAATGTCTCCACTGACGTGATACACTGGGCCGGTGTGCACCCATACTTCCAAAACACATCTGTATATTACGACAGCACACAGCGCAAGTTTGTCGTCGTGGTCTTACCGCTCGATGGCAACATCAAGCTGCTGTACTACAGACGCGATGTCTTTGACAGCTACAAGTTATCGGTCCCCCGCACATGGGAGGAGGTTGTGGATGTCGCCACCAAACTCCAATCCTTAAAGCTGGACCTCAACGATGACGGCCTCGCAGACTACGGCTTTTGCTTTGACCGGCGCACGGGTGGGTCGGTATTGGGCTCCGTGGTTGCTAAGGGAGGATTGATACTGAGGGCATACTACTACTACTGGGAGTACACCGCAACAATTAACTTTGCATCAGGGACCATGGATATCCTAGACCAAACGCAAACAGCCTAAGTGTGGCCTCAGCTTGGCCCAAATCCAACAACCGCAATACCGCCGCTATCCACGCCATCTTCTTCCAGCCCCCTCCTCATGACCTGTTGTCGATGGCAATTCCTTCCTTGACCGCAGACTGCCATCAGGGTTACTTTGACCTCATGTCAATCCTGGCGCCGTACCTGCAGTACAACGGCAGCAGCCAGGGTGTGGTGTTCGACCCCAACACCATCCGCCTAACGGATAAGAACCCAGCACTGGTGGACAACCCCGCCATGACCCGCGCGCTTCAGTTATACTCGCAACTGATTGCGCTGTCGCCGGCCGACACCAACGTCACGGACACCTGCGATGTATCCGGCGCGGCACCCGCGGATGCGGGCGTTTCCATGGCCGCGCGTTTTGCAAACGGGTCGTGTCTCATGGGCGTGGGCCTGGGCAGCTTCTTCAAGGTGAGTGGCAGGCTGTGAAGAGCGGGCGGGCGGTGGATGTGTAGGGGAGCAGTGGAGAGGAACTGTACAGTTGGCCACTCCCAGCCAAATTCCAGATAGCAGCCCCGGCAGCTTCTTGTTCATCGTTTTCATCCTCCTGCTTTTCACCCCTCCTCACACACCCCAACCTCCCCCCCAGGCCTTCAACGCCTCCGCCTACCGCGGCCAACTGGGTGTGGCGCTCATGCCCGGCTCCTTCGAGGTCCTCAACCGCACCTCCAACCAGCTCGTCAACTGCACTGCGGAGCTCTGCCCCTTCGCCACGCATGTGCCAGCCACCAACCCAGCTGTTACTACCAGCACCCTCACGGACTCCACTGCTGATGCTGCGGCTCCTGCCGCCGCGAATGTTAGTAGCAGTAGTGCTTCTGGGAACGGCAGCGTCCTGGCTGCGTCCCCCTCGCCGCCTCAGCTACCGCCGCCGCCGCCGCCCGTGGCGACTCGGTGGCTGAACCGAGCGCCCTTTGCGGCGGGCGGTGGCTGGGTGGCAGCGGTGAGCGCGCGCACGCCCAGCGACTACAGGAATTTATCCATTGACTTTTTCGCGCAGTTGTCCAGTCCAGAGGAGTCCTGGAGCCGCATGCTGATGGCTGGCAGCCGTGAGTGGCTCGGGATGGCTGGGGGTTGGTGGAGTCTCAGTCGTAGCGTAGTGGATTGCAGTACGTCACTCCAGGGTTGGGGTTGGGTTGGTTGTGCTGCATTTGGATGCTCTCAATCCTGCGGGGCATGTCTGCTAACCGCAAGGAAGCTCCTAACCTCCGCAACCCAGCAACAAATCAAGCTGCCGGTATGACAGCTTTTCCCTGACAGCATTCCCTGTTCTTCCGACAGACCCAGTCTGCCCCCTTGCCTCTCCTTCCCGCCAGCCTTCGACCCCTACCGTCTGGAGCACTTCTCCAACCTGAGCCGCTGGGTGGAGGCGGGCTACCTGGAGAACGACACCACCGCCTACCTGGGCCGAGCCAACGAATCCTTCAACCACCCCAACATCGTGCTGGACCTGCGCACGCCCAGCACCAAGACGTTTAGGTGGGAAGTGGGGAGCGGACCGGCCCGGATCAGGCTCAACCATGCGCCCTGCATGCAGCACGCGCCGCGCATTGGAGGTTGAGAATCGTTTGCTGCGGGTGCCGTCGTGCCGTCCGTCCATGCCGTCTGCATCCCCGGCCTCTAAACCCAGTTTCCTTGCCTCTCCTCGGCCTTTCCCTCCTCCTCCCGCTTCCGCAGGGACATCTACGAGAGCGGCTTGGCCAACCTGACCTCCGGCAGCAGCGTGGACAGCGTGGTGGCGCTCATGAACGCCAGCTTTGCCAAGCTGCTGCTGGACCCGCAGCAGAAGGCGCTGCGCACGCTGCTGGCGGACACCTACCTGGCAACCATCAACTACAACAACATCCAGTTCCTCAACGGCACGTCCTCGACGGTGGGTACGGGTTTTGGAACGTTATTGAGGGGGAGGGGTTGGAGGATCTTGCGGCGTTGGGACGGGTGCGGCGTTGGTTTTTCAAAGGACAGCGCCTATCCGACGACATCCATCCGTCCGTTCAATTACCCTTCCTTCCCTGTTCCCCTTGTGCCTGCCTGCTGTGCTGTGCTGTGTGCATGCGCAGGACTCCAAGGGCGGCGAGGGCTCCCCCAGCTGGCTGCCCATCGCCATCGTGCTACCCACCGTGGGCGCGCTGCTGCTGATCGCGGCCGGGGTGGTGTACGAGGTGCGCAACACGCGCAAGCACAAGAACCTGTTCGGCAAGGTGGTGCCGCCGGGCGTGGGGCCGGACACCACCATCCTAGTCAGCGAGATCCAGGTGAGAGATCCGCGGCTCCACACCTCCTCCCGAGGAGGTACAAGGCGCGCTAAGATGAGGATGAGCATGGGTTAACCTCCTCAATCTCGTGTATACACTCTTTATGTCCGAACTTCTCCGAACCTCTCTTTGCCCCTGTTGCCTTCCCTAACCTCCAGGATTTCGCCCAGCTGGCCAAGTCGCTGCCCGCCGAGGTGGTGGACCGGCTGCTGAAGGATCACCACGACTGCCTGCGCCGCCTGCTGCTGCGCCACAGCGGCTACGAGGGCAGCTGCGAGGCGGACAGCTTCGTGCTGGCCTTCCACTCGCCCAAGGATGCGCTGCTGTTTGCCATGGAGGCGCAGGCGGCGCTGCTGCAGGTGGTGTGGCCGGCGGATGTGCTGGCGCTGCCCGCCTGCGCGCCGCTCTACGTGCAGGGCATGTGAGTGGGCGGGTGCGCTCCTATTCTGTCCCTTGCCTTGCGTCACAAGCTCACAACCCCTAGCACCCGGATCCGTACGTGCCTCCCTACACGCCTCCCTACACGCCAGCCCTCACCTCCTCTCCTTACCACCACCCCTCACGCCACCTGCCACGCAGCATGTCCACCGCCAAGCCCAAGGCCCTGGACGACATCCTAGACGTGGGGGACGAGCCCATCGCGCCCGCCTCCGCCTCCAAGATGAAGGGCTTCTCGCCCGCCGGCCTGCGCTCGCACGACCACTCGCGCGCCAACCACTTTGGCTCCAGCGGCGCCACGCTGCCCTCGCTGGTCAACGTGCCTGCCACCGAAACCTACACCTTCTCCAACGCGTGCCGCCGGGCGTGGAAGGAGGCCAGCAAGGACGACCCGAACAAGGTAGGGAGCTACTGCTGCTGCTGCTGCTGCTGGTGGTGGATGCATGGTGTATCGGTTAGAAAGGCTGATGGCAGCGGTCCAGGCTTGATAGGAATGGTGGATCGAAACTCCACGTCCGGGTTATCATGTCTTCATCTGACCCAAATCCCCCTCTTCATCGTTCTGCAACCCGTCCCTGACCGCACCCTCCCCAGGTGCTCATCTTCCGCGGCCCCCGCCTGCGCATGGGCCTTCACGCCGGCGTGCACAGCGAGCACGACATCTCGCACTCCAAGGCGGACGGCCGCACCACCTACAGCGGCGACACCGTGGTCATGGCGCGCGCGGTGGCGCAGGCGGCGCAGGGCGGCACCGTGCTGCTCAGCGAGGAAACCTACAAGAAGCTGCCGCTGGAGCGGCTCTGGGACAAGTACCTGGTGCGTCTGGGGCTGGGGGAAGGCTGCGTCTGGGGCCGGGTTGCGATGCGGCGCGGAGGATGTGGGGGTTGGGGGAGGGTGCGGGCGGACGTAGAGGATAGGGGCCCCTTTGTCCACGCCGTCACCGTCTTCACCCATGTGCCTGACGCCTTGAACCCACCTCGCTGTCCACATGTACCTGGGCCTCCTCCATGCTGCGCACCCTCAAGCCTCCCCCACCTCACCTCGCCTGCACCCCCCACTCCCCAGGTGCTGCACATGGGCGAGCACCGGCTGCGTGACACGCTGCCCAACCTGAACCTCTACCACGCGCTCAACCGCACGCTGGAGGGCCGGCTGGCCTATGTGGGACCCATCAGCTCGCTGCTGCAGGTGAGGCTGGGAGGGTCGGGGAGGCGGGGAAGGAGAAGCGCGGCCCCAGTGGAGGGAGGATCATGGTGATGCGGACAGGATGTCGCGGATAATGCGGAAGAGGGTGGGCTGCCGCATGGGCTGTCGTTCGCTTTCCGCCAACCCAAAACGTGTCCAACTGCCTCTACCTCATGGAGGGTCTTCTTGTATCATTCCGGTGTATTCTTACTGCCCTGACTCTGGCTGGCTCCCGCCGCAGGTGGACCCCGGTGTGTTGGACGCGCCGGTGGGCTGCGTGACGGTGGCGTTCATGTACGTGGTGGGCGCGCAGACGCTGCTCAGCTGGAACGCCGACGTGGCGCAGCAGGCCATCAAGATATTCCACACCGTCGTGGGAGACGAGCTCAAGCGGCGCAAGGGATACCTGGTGGGTTGGGAGCAGCGTTGTGGGTACGGCTGTGTGTTATACCCATGGTGGGGGCCTCTGCTCTGTGTATCTGTATGATGACTCTGTTCTATTTATCGGACGGGATAGCCTTACGCGGTAGTATGGGTCGCATGTCCCTCCGTCACCCATCCCTTCTGCTCACGTCTGCCCGCGCCTCCTATCCGCCAGGTTGAGGCGGTGGACGGGCTCTTCCTGGCCGCCTTCCAGCGCCCCTCGGACGCCATCCTGTGGGCCCTCGAGTGCAACGAAGCCATGATCAAGCAGGTGGGCAGCAGCTGCTGCCCCGGCCGTGCCTTGCCGCCGACGAAGCATACCTGCTAGTTGCTTGCCTGCATTGCATATTTGCCCTGCTGGCGCCTACGTTCCATGCATCATTTCCGTACGCCCGCACGGTCGAGTATGTAACAGGCTTGAGGCGCTTTCCGATCGCCCCTGTCATGTCTCTCCTTACCCCACGTGTCCCTTTCCGTTCCCCTCGCCCGCAGGACTGGCCCGAGGACCTGCTGGCTCACGAGCTGTGCGAGGAGCTGGTCATCTCGGCGCCCACCAAGGAGGGAGAGGTCATCAACACAGTGGTGTTCAGGTGAGGAGAGAGCGCGCCGCGTCCAGATAGAATGGATGGAGCAAGGCTGGGGAGCATAGTGCTGCAGTCTCTGCTCTTGTGCCGGTAGCAACAGCTTTATCCATAGTTTTGCTTTACGGTTCAGGTTTGGTCACCTCTGTTCTGCCTGTACTCGCGGTTCACATGCGAACCTCTCCCAATTGCTTGCTCTTGTCCTACTCAACTACACACCCTCGCTTACAATGATAGAGTCACTCCCAAAACCTGCCGCCGCCCTCCTTCGCCCACAGGGGTCTCCGCCTGAAGACCGGTGTGGACACGGGTCAGGTGCTGGGAGAGGTGCACGCCATGACGGGCCGCATGACCTACCGCGGCAAGGTCATGAACCGCGCGGCCCGCATCGCCTCCACCGCCTCCACCGGCCAGGTGCTGTGCAGCAGCGACAGCTGGCAGCTGGCCATGACGGCGGACGCGCAGGTGATGCTGAGCAACAAGGTCTCCGGAACCAGCCTGGGGCAGTTCCGCCTAAAGGGTGTGGCGGAGAAGATCGAGATCCACCACTGCCGCAAGGTGTCGAACGTGGCCCCCGCGCGCCGTGCCTCCTCGCTGGTCATGTCCATGGCGGACCACTGGAAGTGGGAGCAGCACCTGAGCGCGCATGCGGGAGGAGGAGGTGGTGTGGGCGGCGGCGTGGGAGGCGTGGGCGGCGGCGCGGTGGGGCCGGAGGACATCCTGCTGGGCGGGGACTCGCTGCGGGGGGCCATGCTGTCGCCCAGGTACGTGCGGTGTTCGGCTTGTGGGCGTGCGGTGTGGTGCAGGGGAGCCCCTCCGAGAACCCGTGTCTTTAGGTGTAGGTTTTGTGTCAGTGACTAGGCTGCGCCGGACCTGTACTAAGCAGGGTACAGGCTTGCCGTCTGGGTGAAGGTTAACCCGCGACGACGCCCATGCACATGGGTATCCTTCTCATATGGGTGCGCTGACTGTGCGCCCTGCTCCGCACACTTCAGGTCCTTCACGCGCCCCGGCAGCTTCCGGCAGCGCAAGAACTCCGACACGCAACTGGACGCAGCCAACGCGGCCCATCTGGGCATCGAGTTGGCGCCGGATGAGGTGTGATGGCAAGAGGAGGGCAATGGCGATTGCCAGGTGCCTGGAACGCGATCCGCAGGGTGGGGAAGAGGCGCAAAGAGGGCGCTATGTTTGCTGCTTGCAACCCGGTGAGGCGCGCCGGGTGTTCTCGGTGCTTGGTAGCAATTGGCGTGTATATGTATTATGTAGGTGTTTGTGATCCCATCGCCGATAGTTGTGGATTTAAAGCTGTAGGGTCCGGGACGGCCCTATTCCAGGAGGGATATGGTGGTGCTGAGCCACGCGCCGCGTAGGCGCGGGGGAGCAAGGTAGTACATGAAACCTGTGATTCCTCGTTTGTCTTCTAGGCGGCGGGCGCTGATTAACGTATATTATGGACAACAAGCGGGTGCTGCCCAGTCATGCCAAAACTCTGTGTGATCTCTGTGGGGTAAATGCGCGTTGCATGTGTGCGTATGTATTATCACTATGCCTTATAGCAATGCTGAGGGACCTGCGGCTTTTACTTCCATGTCCTGCCTGCCTCTGCAAATATAGCCGTAACTATCCGAGTATGGGTGATGCGTGGTATAGGATGGCTTGGGTACTTGAGCTCCATACTCTGTCCGAGCCGCATCGCACAAGAGCCTAACAATTGGCACAAATTGTAAAATGAATTAACTATGTAGGACTGATCCTTCCGACACGGTTAGCCTCCGTGCGAAATCAATGCGTTTTCCGTACTGGATTCCTAGCCAAAGATTGTCCTGGCAGAGCGGTCCATGAATGATGTGTTTTCGGCCTATGTATTCTGTTTAACTGAGCCATTCCTGTCATCTGGGTAGACGAAATCCGCGGTGTTGTCTGTTGGCTTTGCACTGGCTCATTTGGCGGGCGACGGGGCGACGCAAATAGCTTAAAGCAAGGAAGCGCGCATAGCGCTCCATATTGCTACAGAGCTCGATCGATTTAATCCATCGGCTGGAACTTGTTGCTAACCAGAAAGCCCTACAACAGTGCTCCGGCCCGGCATAGGCTCCCAGGCAACACGCCCTATTGGTATCGTTGCTAATAGACCAGCGCAGGCAATCGCGCCTATGCACAAGCCGTTGTCACAGCGCGCCTCGACCAGCAGCGGGCATGTGCGGATGCGTGGAAGCCCGACTCCGCAGCTAAATCAACAGGCGCATCTGTGTCAGAAGCGCTTTTTAACCACTACCCCTCGTCGGGGAGGACGTTGCGCTCGTCTGATCAATGTAAAAGCGGGTGCAGCAGCAGCAGCATCCTCTTTGGTTGCATTAGCAATCGGCGCCCGGCGCGCTAGGCTTGTACAGCTGTTGACGTCGGCAACCGCACCTTCCTCGGGCCTCCAGTCTGCTCCCACCAACCGCTGGAGCAGGCGTGTGGCTGTAGCTGCCATCAATGCCTCCAGCACTACTGCGCAGGGCAGCGGGCTGGAGCAGGAATGGGACCAGGAGATTGATGGTGTGTTGCTTCAGGGGTGCGCCCCTCCCCGGGGATATGTCAGACAGGGCGGCCGACCATCGCTCGTTCCTTCATGTTTGATGCTGGCATGCCCCAATCCCGGACCCGACCTGAATCCAGCATCTCACACTACACACCAGCGTCCGCCCTTTCCTGGACCCTGAGCTCCGCCTCCCTTCCCTCTCTCCCCCATCAGCTCACTGCATGAGTCGGGATTGGGATTTGGACTCCTTCGCTGCATTTTTATTTTCCCCCCTCCCCCCTCTGCACCCCCCCCCCAAGAGCTCATGCGGCTGCTCTCCCTGCTGCCCCCCGCCGTACGCTCCTCCCTGGAGCAGCACCCTGCCGTACTGGAGCTGCTGGAGGTGGTGCTGGACCTGGGCAGGCCGCCGCTGGCAAGGTGGGTGGAGCAGGAGGAGGGGGAGGTAAAGGAGGAAGGGGGGTAAAAAGCTGAAGTGAAGGGAAAAGGGAAGTCAGGGTGCTTAGGGTGGGGGCCAGTGGGTCGGCAGAGGCCGCTGTATAATGTGTGTGTGTTGCATCGGGTCATCTACTTCATGGTTTCATGAGCCGGTGTTACGAGGCGCAACGACACCGTGAGGTTCACCCGCTAGCTTGCACCGCGCTCGACCGCAAGCCCACCTTCGCACCCCGACAACGATGTTGCGGCACCGCAACATCCGCCCCACCACTACCACCGCCAGGTTCCCCGAAGGAGACGTGAAGCTGTCCTCGCAGCCCATCAGCGCGGAGGACATCGCCTTCGCCGTGGGGCAGGTGGGGCGGGGGGCGATGCGGGTTGGGGGAGTAGCAGGCGGGGAAAGGAAGAATACCCAATGGCTAGCAGCTGTGGGAAGGGAGGGGGCCAACCCTGCTACTGCTACCGCTACCGCCATTACCGCTATCATCGTTCGCTGTTCTGCTCCCCCAGCCCGCCTCCCTTTCTCCCTCCCTTTCTCCCTTCCTGCCTCCCTCCCTTTCGCCCTCCCTGCCTCCCTCCCTGCCTCCCTCCCTGCCTCCCTCCCTGCCTCCCTCCCTGCCTCCCTCCCTGCCTCCCTCCCTGCCTCCCTCCCCCCAGGTGGGTGACTTTGGCGGCGACAACCGCGCGGGTCTTGATCGCACGCTGCACCGCATCTCCTGCCTGCGCAACCGCAGCGGCCGCATCATCGGACTCACCTGCCGCGTGGGTCGGGCGGTGCGAGGCAGCGCAGCCATGGTGCGCGACCTGGCGCTGTCGGGTGAGGGAGCGGGGGAGGGGGGGAGGTGGAGGCGAGGTGGAGGCGAGGTGGCGAGGTGGTGAGGGGAAGCCGTGCCACATGGCTGTGTTCCCTCTCCTCATGAATCCCTGCAACCTGTTTCGGCCCCCGCACCACCACCCGCACCCTCCCCCCCCCATGCAGGCGCCTCCATCCTGCTGCTGGGCCGCCCCGGAGTGGGCAAGACCACCGCCATCCGTGAGGTGTCGCGGCTGCTGGCGGACGAGGCAGCCAAGCGGGTGGTCATCGTGGACACCTCCAACGAGATCGGCGGCGACGGGGACGTGCCGCACGGCGGCATCGGGCGCGCGCGGCGCATGCAGGTGGCCCGACCGGAGGCGCAGCACTGCGTGATGATCGAGGCGGTGGAGAACCACATGCCGCAGGTGGGGGGCGGGGGCGGGGGCGGGGGTGTTGAGGAAACTGGTATTGTGGTCATGCGACGATACGAGGCGTGTGTTAAGAACACTGGCCGCGAGTAGGAACACACTAGGCGTGTGTATGTGGGTGTATGTGTGTGTGTGAAGGGGGGGGAGGTGAAGAGGGTGCTACTGGTGCAGATTCGCCACGGCCCCCACCCACCCACTGCGACTCCCACCCAACTGCACTCCAACCCACCCCAACCTGACCCCTCACCCGCCCCCTCACCCGCCCCCTCAACCCGCTGCCACCAGGTGATCGTGATCGACGAGATCGGCACCTCGGAGGAGTGCTCCGCCGCTCGCACCATCGCACAGCGCGGCGTGCAGCTGGTGGCCACTGCGCACGGCAACGCGCTGGAGAACGTGATCAAGAACCCGCAGCTGGCGGACTTGGTGGGCGGCATCCAGTCGGTGACGCTGGGCGATGAGGAGGCGAAACGTCGCGGCGTGCAGAAGAGCATTCTGGAGCGAGCGGCGCCGCCCACGTTTGACGTGTGCATTGAGATGCTGGAGCGGGCCAAGTGGCGGGTGCACCTGGATGTGGCGCAGGTGGGGGGTCAAAGACCATACCAAACCATAGGAGACCACAAGTGGGCGCAGGTGGGGGGGGGGCGGGTAAACTGAGCCGCGGAAACGCTGACAGGTGGGTGGGGGAGGGAGGTGGGTTACGGGGTGGGTTAGTTTAGGCAGTGAAGCCAGGGGTGAAGCATTGCGATTAGCGGGGTTGGCGGGGAGGGAAGGAAATAGACGAAGCACTGTGTGACAATGGCATGCATACCTGCATGCTGACGCGTTCTCCTCCTCTTCCTCCTCCTCCGGCTCCACTGGGGGAGGGGTGTCACCAACCCCACCACCACCAACCCCAACCAGGCGGTGGATGTGGTGCTGGCTGGCGGCGACGCGGGCGGTCAGGTGCGCGAGCGGGCGGCTGACGGCACGCTGCTCAAGTACAACTACAGCCCCGCCGTCAGCGGCGTCATCCGGGGAGGAGCCGGGCGGGGCGGGGCGGCTGCTGGCGGCGGCGAGGGCGGCGTCAGCAGCGGCGGCAGCAGCAACAGCAGCCTCGGGTCAACGCAGACGGCAGGAGCAGGTGCGGTAGGGGGAGGGAGGGTGCGTCACCACTCTTCAGCGAAAGCCGTCATTGCACGTTGCACCTTCCCGTTACTGCTACTGCTACGTCCTCCTCTGTCCTCCGCTGCTGCTGCCCTCCGCAGGCAGCAGCAACTCCTTTATCCGCAGCCCCGCAGCCTCCCTGCTCTCCTCCTTGGACGAGCAGACCGCGAGGGGCGGCACAGGTGCTGCGGACGGCAGTATGGAGGGGGGGGAGGGAGACTTTGGCGTGGGCAAGCGCTTGCGGCGGCTGATCTCGCGGCAGGCCATGGCGGGTGTGAGCGGCGAGGATGCGATGCTGCGGTTGTTTCCGTACGAGCTGGACGAGGATGTGTTGTGGGAGGTGATGAGCGAGATGCGGCTGACGAGCAAGGTGCGGGTGTGGGAGGGCGGGTGGGGGGGGTGTGGGCGGTAGGAAGGAGGGCGGCGTGGGAGGCTGTGCAGGTGTGGGAGTGGGAGTGGGAGCAGGAGGATGGGTGCACGGTGGTTCGTCGCGATGGTGGTGATGGGCTGATGATGAGGGTAAGGGTGATAGCCCTTAACCGAAGAAGGAAAAGGTGTTTCTTTGCCCCCCATTCCCTCTCCCCTCCCTCTCCCGCCCCACTCCCCTCCCAACCCCTCTTACTCCCCCACCTCCCAGGTATTCATCACTGCCAGCCTGGCTGCCGCTGATGCGGTGCTGGCGTTACGAGCCAAGGTGAAGCACAACGCGGAGCTGCGGGCGCAGGCGAGGGAGGTGGGTGGGGCAGCGGGGGCCAGCCGGCGGGTCGGTGGGTCGGTCACTGTTCCTCATGTCCCCTCCCCTTATGCCCCCTCCTCCTCATGCCTGCTCCTTAAGGAAAAGGAGAAGGAAAAAAGGAGGTTGGGTCCCCCCCATGACCCCTCATCCTGCCTCCTATCTCCCCACGACCACACTCACGCCCTCCCTCCCTCTCCCCCACTCCATCAGGCGGGAGTGCCCATCTACGCGGTCAAGACGCCCGGCTCCTCCAACCTGGTCAAGGCATTCAGGACGCTCCTGGGCATCGACCCCTCCGCGGGGGGCGCCTTCGGACCCCCCTCCCTCGAATCCTCCTCCTCCTCCTCCTCCCCATACGACTCACCTCCTACCGCCTCCTCCTCGCACCGGCAAGGCTCTTCCTCACCCTCCTCCTCCACCTCGCCTCTGTCGTCTCCCGCTGCCTCACTAGATGGCGAGCAGAGCGAGGGTAACCCTGAAGACACAGACAGCAGCAGCACTGGCAGCAGCAAGCTAGGCAGCACCAGCAGCACCAACAGCAGCAGCAGCGGTTCCACTCGGGTCCGGTGTGAGGCGGAGGCGCTGCGTGAGGCCCAAGAGGCGGTCACGGAGATTGTCGTACCGCTGGGGCAGGCGGTGGAGCTGATGTCCAGGACGGAGAGCGTGCGGGGGGCGCAGGTGATGGGGGGGGATGAGGTGATGTGTTTGTGTATCCCCGAAACGGATGCATGTGTACCCTTTGACTTAAGGGAAACCAGCACATGTGACACCATATAAAGTATAGACATAGACTGCCTGTCGGGTCGTGGTATGAACTGCGTAGTATCAACGGCGCTTAGAAGGAGATGCTCCGAATGCTGCTCCAGAACAGCGCGATGTGGGTTTGCTGCCAGTACCGGTAGTACTAAGCCCGGCGGCATTAGGCAGCAAAGGATGCATTGTCTTTTGATGTCCTAGCCGTCAACACTCTAAACGTTTTGTATCCGTTATATGCTTTTGCTGCTACTGCTGATCCTGCAGATACGGCTCTTAGAGCGTTACCGATTGCCGTACGAGGTGGTCGGCACGGGCACCGAGACACGTCTGCGCATCCTGCCCCGACCCGCGGCAGTCCCAACAACAACAGCAGCTGCAGCTGCGGCGGGAACATCTACTGGTTCGTCGGAGGTGACGGCCTCGGGGGCAGCAGCGGATGCCGGCACTGCCTCTGAAGCTGCGTCAGCTCTTGAGGGTGCTTCAGATGCGATGGTTGCTGGCAGTGACAGCGATGGTTATGTACCGATAGGGGAAACGGATCCCCCGTCAAGGCTGCAACCAACGGCAGCGTGGCCGCAGCCGTCAATAGCAGCGCAGGGTCTTGACTCATGAGGCGTGGAAGTTCGGGTCGCGCGGTGGCGTGAGGGCTGCTTGGTTTGGGCGCCGCAGAGGAATGAAGAGGGAAGTGTGGAGGGAATTGGAGGTGAGAGGGCAGAAATTGAGGAGGGAAAGAGATGAGAGGTGGAGAGGAGGGAGAAAAGCAGAAAATTTGTTTCAGGAAGCCGGGACTGGCTGGAGTGCGCCTTGCAGCATGGGAGGGTGAACGCTGGCAAAGCTGATTGGGTGCGGCTCTGGTGTAGCTTCACGGAAAGGGAGCGGCATTGGCGTTTCTCTATAGAAGGCCCCATGCTTTGGGGCGGTAAGGGTGGAGTCCGGCGTTCATGGACGACATGGTGAGCAGGGGCGGAGTTGCGACTGAATGGTTGAGCTTCTGGGCAAGTATTCCCGTAGGGCCTTGGGGTCTTAGTTTGCAGCGCACGCATGGTCGGGTGAGCCACTACTCGCAAAGCCTCCATATGGCGCCTTGGTAAGGACGAACAATGGCAAAGTCTGCCCTGCATATACATAGGATTGGCCCTGCTCATCTACTGTACACCTACGGTGGTAAAAGGATTTGCTAAGTTATCCCCGTAGCTCGATTCGAAGAAAACGTATACGAAGTATGCGGTTTCGGAGGAGCGAAGCGAAGGGATGCATACCCCGTTCCCGTCACGCTCAACGGGATCCTTTCAGCGCTCTTGTTCACGGCTCGGCCTTCACTTTGAACCGTCCAGCGTGGCGCGCTTTTGCTGTCACGCTCTTTGATACGGAATCTTACCAGATTTTCAACGGCCGGCCAACTCTTCGTGCGTCGCTCGTGTCGTTGCTTGTGAAGTTTGTTCGAGTTTGTGAAGTCTACTACGGCTATATTGCGTAGCCAGCGTGGCTTCACCGCGCTTCGATTTCGCGAGGAAAACCACGCCGCTTCACAACCCACCTACGAAGATGTTTTAGATAGACGTCTAAATAAGCGTATAAGAAAGCGCGTAAAACCAATTTATAACGGTGCACAAGCCACGCCACGTGCGGCGAGGCTAACGAAAGTACTTCCTTGCCTGGAAAGTAGTCCTAGCAGAGCCTTTGGCTTGCTGCTGCTGTTTTTTGTTTCGTTGTTTGGTATAGAGCTACCGCTTTCCGAGCTGGGCACCATGGGAAAGGATGATCAAGGTGTGTGTGGCGAGCGCATGACGTTCGGTTATATTCTGGCGCTGTACCAGCCTTTCCCTTGGGCGTGTCGCAGGCGCGGGTGACCCGCTCGACAACGTGCTCTACTGCAGCGGCTTACGTCGGCTCAGCGTGTGGCCGTGGTTCAAAGCAGTTGCCAGCTTGTTGCTGACCGAGCGTCAAGGTTCCGTTTATGCGGTTCTATGCTTCCCTGGGCTTTTGTCGGAATTCGTTCAGCGGGTCGTCGATCGTTTGCGTGGGTTCGGGCATACAGTGCCTGAGGTAGCTACTTAAATGCTGGAGCTTGGGACGTACATACTTGAGCACGGCTTACTGGATCGAGTACGCCAGAGGAGTGACAGCGAGTATGTCGTTGCTACGCTGTGCGCTCGGTATGCTGTTGCTGCTGGTCACCTTCCTCCTAACCCACTCGCTTCGGTGCGATGGCAGCTCCAGCTGGGGGATCCAGACGTGGTGCGGCAACAGGACCTCATGCGGGCAGATGCTGTTGCTGTTGCGTTGTACCAGACTATCGCTCGTCTGCAACAGGAGCAAGCACAACAGCGAGGGCATCTGCCGAGCGCTGGTGTGCAGCGTACAGTCGCAGGAGGAGGTAGCTCGGGGCAGGCGGGTTTGTGCGGTACGGCTGCGGGGGTCGGCGGAGGCTCCAGGCTAGGGGCCTCGGCTGCGGCTGGCTTGGGCCTCGGTCTTTGGGCGCCGCTGCCTGGTTGGGGCTTGGGCCTAGCGGCTCTGGCGGGGACGGTGGGACTCCCGGTGGGCTTCGGCCTAGCGGCTCTGGTGGGGACGGTGGGACTCCCGGTGGACTTCAGCTTGGCGGCTCCGGCGGGGACGGTGGGACTCCCCGCCGCGGCGCAGCCTGGTTGGGGCTTGGGCCTAGCGGCTCCGGCGGGGACGGTGGGACTCCCCGCCGCGGCGCAGCCTGGTTGGGGCTTGGGCCTAGCGGCTCCGGCGGGGACGGTGGGACTCCCGGCGGGCTTCGGCCTGGCGGCTCCGGCCGGCGCGGTGGGAATCCCGCAGTGGCGCCAGCAGCGGCAGCAGCAGCGCCGGCGGCAGCAGTGGGAGGGCTGGGATTGGGGCATGGGCGTTCCACTGCGCTGCATGTACAGCAGAACGACCTTTTGGGTGCACCAGCAGCGGCATCGGCTGCAGCCAGGCAGGCGCGCAGACGTGACAATGCAGCGTGTAGGCTTCAGCGGAGGCAACTGATGGCAGCAGCTAGGCAAGCTTGCCAGCGTAAGCGTTCTCGACTTGTGGGTGGGTTGTCTCACGATGATTACCTCGAGTCCCTTTCAGGCTGCCTCTGCTTGCCGCTTTTCCGTCACGACAATCCAGCTGTACCTGAGCTGCCGACGTTCTTAGAGACACAAACGTCTGCTTGGCCAGCTCGGGTGCAGGACTTGCCAGCAGGTGAACAGCCTCCCCAGATACCGTTTTCGGAGCAGATAACTTTGGCTTGTGGCCTCGCCGAGTTCGTTCGCGACAACATGCCATCACGGGTGTGTGCAGTCTGCAGTGAGTGCAAGTCCGCTTCAGAGGTCCGGGCGCTGCAGTTCAGCGAGATAGCTGGCGTTGAGCTGCTACGTGCTGACATGCGGCGGACTGCGGCTGTGCCTCGTTGCGCGCACGTTCTGTATTGGCGGCGTGTCGATCGGCGTGATTGCAAAAACCCGCCGGATCCCGTACTGCCACGCGGCTACAAGGCCGCTGGTGGTCAGTCGGGCAACGTCGGCGTAGTTGACACATCCGCTGGCGAGGGCAGCGGCGAGACCAGCAGCGGCCTTGACGACTCTACCGATGATCGGCCGTCACGCCGACGACGCTGCGACATAGACCGTCCTCCAACGTATGCGCCACGGGTAGGGGTACGGCTGTGTGACGATAATCCCGTGGCGGTGGAGGTGCCGTACTGCATGCGCGCGGAGACGGTACTGCCCAACCGAACGATGAACGTTTCAGCGGACGGCGTGGAGCGCTTTACGGTCTGCTCGGAATGCATACAGGCCTTACAGGGTGCGTTGGGTAGTGAACGCTGTTATGGTAACATGGGGGCCGTCTGTTTGCGAAGGTTGTGATCACTATTAGCACCGGCATGGTGCTATTTGTTTTCATTATAGATGATGGGCTGCCTCGACCGGGCCCTGGCACTGTACCTCCGTCTATTCCCATGCCTCTACTGACATTGAACGCCCCTGTCACTGCCCTTCACCAGGTGGGCGGATCCCAGATGGGGCGCTGGCTGGATGGTTGGATCCCGGCGACGTACCCCCTGTAAATCAGCATGGTCATTCGCTCGTACCGCTGACGCATCTGGAGAGCTTGGTGGTGGGCCTCGCTCGCCCTCACATGCGGCTGCTCGTTGTGCGGCAGCCGGGTACACCCAGCTGGCGCGCGGTGGATACCTTGCCAGCGGCGTTGCGTGGGCATACGCTCGCCTTTCCAAACAACGTGCCCAGCGAGCTCCAGCGTGTTGTGCCATACGCTCCAGCGGATCTGCCGTCCTTCATTCAGGTCGTGCTAATTGATGCTGTCAAAGATCGTGCCGACCTCGAGGCCAAAGTGCGGCAGGCACCATGCTTGAAGATGCGGGGCCTGGCTATCGCTGCATGGGCGGAGTGGGCCGTTCGCGTGAATCCAATGGCTCAGGTGGACCACGCTGCACTTCAGCAGTATCGCGCTCTGGGTGCGGAGCCGACGGTGCCAGAGCCGTTAGTGGCGCACGCGGTGGCTACAGATGACCCAGACACGGCAGCGGTCATGCGCGCTGCATTTGAAGGGGATCGTGCCGGCAACGCTCGGGTGCGGCAGCAGCAGGATGATGTGGAAGCGGCGACGGAGGGCGCGAATGCAGCAGGTGAGGGGCCTACCTTTTCCATTTGCAACGCAATGGTCCGAACGTGCGCGTGAGCAGGAAAGTTTGTTTTGACTCATCCTTATTACCAGTTGTACGTCCGACCGCGCCTGGGACCGTACATTTGTAGGTGGTCGATCGCCTGGTCCGGGTGCTGGTCAGGAGCCAGCGCCGTCTGGTCGTACGCCAAATATCCCGGTGACAGGTAAGGACCTGATGTGCATTGCTGCGCGTGGAGGGGGGTGGGAGACAGCGTCTTTACCCATACCGTGCTGTGCCGCCATGCAATCACACACCCAAGGTAACCCTTCCGACGTCGCCGGGCAACATCCAGCAGGTGGCTGTTGCGCCTCCCTAACTCCAGCTCCAGATTAATTGGAACTTTGCAGCTTTAATCCTAAATTGTTGCCAACCGCGCGCGTGCAGGCGTCTTCGCTCGGCCGTCGCCCATGGCGGCCGCACTAGCCGTGCCGGGCGGTACAGCTGGTGTCGTTGTGTCGCCTGCAGCCGCACTGCAGCCAGACGGATACATCGGACCTGGAGTACACATGCTGGGGCTGGATGACGTCGAGGTGCACCATGGGGGCGCATACTCTACTTCCGACCCTTTAGATGATTGTACGGACCCGTCAGCTATCTTGCAGCGCCTTCAGCAAGGTGGCGTGGTGGTTAGTGCAGCCGGTGGGCGTGGGGCGAGCAACAGCGCCTCATCGCCAACTCTACGCATATCGCAACTGCCTTCGCCGCTCTCCGTCACTACGTTCTCCGCGCACCTGCAAACACACCCGCACCCCAACAATTCGCCAACAACCGCAACGTGGTCAACCCCCGCGACGTGAAAGGTAAACCTGGAAAGACAGGAGGTAGGATGCAGCCACCTCGGAGTGGGTTTTTAGGGGCGTCGGCGTGTTTTGGTGGTCGGTCGTTTGGGGGTGGGAGTGGATTTTGTGGTCACCTTCACTCGCTCGTCGTCACCTTCACGTCCGGCTATAATTCTTCAAGGTTGGGCCAACCTCTCATTTTCCCGTCGCAACCCTTACCACCTCCGCAGGCCGCCTCGGCTGCCTGACCAATGGCCTCATCCCCACGCTGCTGCGAGCGTTCCCTGCCACCCTCGCTCTGTCCCATCTGCCCCATCAAACCGCTTATTCACCCCCTCCTCTAATTCCTTCCACCAACCCCTCAGATCCCCCTGGAAGCCATCACCCCCAACCTCGTACACGACTAGGACATCTACGTCATTGCTCCCACCGCAGCCGCTGGCTTCACGATCCTTCGCAACGCCATCCACCTCCTCACCATGCTGCAAGACGTCCATATCCTGCGCATCATCGACACCGAGCGCGCCACGACCGTCGTGTGCGACGTCACCATTGGCAACCGCACCACCCACCAACGCGTTCAATTCAACAAGCGCGTCGCCCAACACAAGCGTAAGTCCGGTGGAAGAGGCACAACACGCGACAGGGCACGTCACCAATTCTATTGACCCCAAAGCTTGTTTGGGTGTGGGGTTGGGGGGGTGGCACGGTGTGTCGGTGGTGTTCGGGCGGATGCTTCAGGTGGGCTTTTTGGCGTCGGCGGGATTCTTTGATGGATGGTATGTTTGGGGTTGTGTTTCTGGTCGGGGTGTGGTAGGTATTCGTGGTTTCCGGTTCTGTTGCTGAGCGGGTGCTGACTTGGGCGCCGAATGCTGGTTTTTAACCCCCCCCCTGAGTTAGTGCCTTATTTGTACGTCAACGCAGCCAAACTAATACCCTTATACCTCCACACTCCCGCTCGCACCCTCCCTCTACCTTTACCCCATCCGCAGATGCCATCGTCACAGCCTATGACCTCTCCGTAGTCATGCTTGCCGTCCTCCTCGACGACCCGGCAGACCCGGACCTCAACACGTACTGCCACGCCCTCTGGTTCTACTCGCTAATTGTCGGCGCCGCCATTTCCATCCCCAGCCAATTCTCCCTCCGCCGGGCGTCTAAGTACCACGCCCGCGGCTTTCCCCTATGGATCACCCGCTACCACCCGGTGGTATACCTCTCCAACGGCCGCATCCAGTGCCCGCCTACCGAGCTCGCATCGGCGGGCGGCAACCTCTTCGTCATCGCCTACGACGACTTCGCCGCCTTCATGCGGTGCACGGGCGCGCAGCTCCGCTCCCTGGTCAGCCGCGCCACCAGCATGGCGTCCACTGAATGGCGTGACCCCGGCAGCACACTCTCCGCCACCGAATGGAGCCGCCTGCGCCCGCACCTGCACCGCGCCCAGCTGGACGACGATGCCCACGTGAGTCCACAACTGAACGATTTAGGACTCTCTTGCGGAGAACGCATCCTCGTGTTCTTATCTTGTCTCCTTGCTATCTCTCCCAGACAACTCCGACCCGACCACTCCTCCACTATCCATCCCACCCACAGGTGCTCCACACCAAGTGGAACCCCGCCGCCATCCCGTGGATGGGCGAGCGCCGCAACGCCCACTGAGGGGCCGACGTTTTGCTTTGCGGCGTAACGGTACACTTGCGCAGCACTGGGTTTGGTTGGTGTCCGTTTTGCTAAGGGTTACACGGCTGGTTATATGGCACTAACTAGACTGTTTGACACCATGCCGAGCTGTTCAGTTGTTGTTGAAAGGGGCCGACGTCTTGCTTTGCGGCGTAACGGTAACGTCCACTAGATAACGACCTGCTGTACTTTTAGCAGGATAGATCCGACGGCTGGTTGCGCAGCACTGGGTTTGGTTGGTGTCCGTTTTGCTAGGGGTTACACGGCTGGTCACATGGCACTAACTAAACTGTTTGGCACCATGCCGAACTGTTCAGTTGTTGTTGAAAGGGGCCGACGTTTTGCTTTGCGGCGTAACGGTAACGTCCACTAGATAACGACCTGCTGTACTTTTAGCATGATAGATCCGACGGCTGGTTGCACGGCACTGGGTTTGGTTGGTGTCCGTTTTGCTAGGGGTTACACTGCTGGTCACATGCCACTAACTAGACTGTTTGGCACCATACCAAGCTGTTCAGTTGTTGTTGACTTGTTGCCAGTTGCCAAAAGACTGGCGACAATTGAACCAGGTTGTACGCTTGGCAGAGAATACCTGCCGGCCGATTGTACGGAGATTGACTCCTTGTAGCAGCAACATACCGCCCATACATTTGTCGCCTCCTCCCGTTCCACACCACATACCCAACCTAACTTTCAGCTTACATAACTCGCTTCCCTTGCCGAGCTACGGGTCGCTCCCGCCGAAGGCGGGCCTTACTTGTGCTTTGGGGGCTCGCTTGTAATTGCCCCGGAGTTAGCGTCGTATAATGTGCCAACTGACAGTCTGTCATACAGTATGCAGGTGTCAATGGTGGTATGGAATATGTATACAATCCCTTACACGATCCCGTTCCTTATTATTCACGATAAGAAATAATACTCCATTCTAGTCGGTCCACTGCATACAGTTACCGGTACCCAGCGGCCTCTAGCAGCTTAAGTGTTCGTGGTGTATATTGTAACGCTATCCCACTAACTTATTATTCACATTTACTATGTGGGCTGCCGCGCAGCTGTTACACCGTTGTTCGATTGGTGTTGTTTTCTTACCTATCCATACTCCTCTTACCCAAACATCCTAGACACAAGACAGACAGAACGTATATAGTATATTGCAACAAGCTTCTTTAAGAAATACAACCGTGCCAAGTGCGCAACAGGTGTTCATTCTTCTTCTCGAGCGGGAGCCTTCATCCACCTCCAGGAGGGACGCCTCATCCTCTTAACGAGCGGATGGGGATGCTGGGATGAGGAACGCCGGCTTGGAACTCCCACGACTTCAGCCGTGGCATGCGCGCCGATGGATCGTTCTGGCTTGCTGGGACTTTCAGGAAGTCCATACGGAGTACATAGTGGACCCCAACCCCGATACCCCCTTCCACGTAAATCGCCAAAGCCTTCCAGCATCTCGCAGCAGCAGACTCAAGGGTCGGTCTGGTTTGGCGCATTGTGTGCGAACAAGGATGTCGTCACCGACATACTCGGCGTTATCGTTGTCACGGGGGCGCTGTTGGTATACGGCTTGCTGCAGGTGTGTTTCTGGCTGGGTGGGGTTGTCAATCAAGGCGTGGGGTTGGGGGTCTGGCGATAAAGAGGTTGTGGGGCACCCAAACGTCGTCCTCTAAAAGGCTCAGCCGCCTCCTTTGCCTTTTTGTTTCTTTGCAAAGATGGCAATCCGCGGACACCCTGGCGGGCTCCGCAGGGCTCAGCGACTAAGCACTGGACCAGCAAAACCCAACATTCTATTACGTGGCGGTAGCGCGGCTGGAGATGTGCGGCTCTATCAGGCTAGCGTCAGCAGCAGCAGCAAGCGACACCTCTTCCGCTCACACCTCCCACCACAAAACACCCATCCCTCCACCTCCGCCACCCTCCCTAACCCACCCTCCTTAACCCCCTCTCCCTTCTCCTTCTCACAGGAACGCATCATGACCTTTGGTTTCGGCGCTCGTGGCGAGGTATTTGAGCACTCCATCTTCCTGGTGTTGTGCAACCGGCTGGTGACGGTGGTGCTGGCGGGCGCCTACCTGCTGGCCTCGCGCACCGCCACCGCGCCCGCAGCGCCCTTGATGAGCTACGCGGCGGTCAGCATGACCAACGTCATCGCCACGGCGTGCCAGTATGAGGCGCTGAGATACGTGTCGTTCGCGGTGCAGGTGAGGCGGGCGGGCGGGCGGGAAGGGAGATAGGGGGTAGTGGTGTGGCCGCGAGTGGCATGTAGACCTTCTCCTGTCTGCCTATACCTCGTATTACACGCCTGCCCGCTTGACTGATCCCTCAACTCCTGTCGTCCCTCCACCTCCCTCCCTCTCCAGACGCTTGCAAAGTCCGCCAAGGCGCTCCCCGTGATGCTGTGGAGCGGCGTCTACATGCGCAAGCGCTACCGCCTGTCTGAGTACCTGCACGCCGCCTCCATCACCGCCGGCTGCTGCGTCTTCATTCTCACCGGACACGTGCACAGCAGGGTGGCGCACCATGCGGCGGGCGCTGCGGCAACAGCAGCAGCAGCGGCAGCAGTAGCATCGGGAGCTACGGGCACAGCAGCAGCAGCCGGAGGAGGAGGGGGCGTGGCGGCGGGCATCAGCAGTCTTGCTCGTGGGCTGCTGTGGGGTGCTAGTACCAGTGGCGCTGCGGGTGCGGTAGTGGGCGGCGGTAGCGGTGGTGGACGGTTGCTGTTGTTCGCTGGCGGCGGGCTGATGGCGCTGTACCTGCTGGTGGATGGGCTGACCTCCACATGGCAGGACGCCATGTTCAAGGGGTACGCGGTGAACGTGTGCGACCAGGTGAGGGGGGAGGGAATGACCGGAACCGGAACATAGGAGACTACGAAAGGGTAGGGGAGGGAGGTCATAGATGGGGGAGGGGAAGAAGGAAGAAGGAGAAGTTTGCGTTGAGTGGTGTAGGTGGATGGGGAAAAAAAAAAAGAAATTCCAAAGTGGATGGGGAGGGATGGGGAAAAGAGGAGAGGGGATTGGGGAGGGTACGCTAGGGGTGACAGGAGAGAGAGGGGGGGCGCAGAAGACGGGGGGCACAAGTGCTTGCGGGAGGGTGCGCTGAGTCATTCCTCCTTCCCTCCCTCCGCCCTCCTCCCCAGGTGTTGTACACCACCTGCTTCTCCATGCTGCTCTCGCTGGTGGGCTGCATCGCCACGCAGCAGCTGGTGCCGGCGCTGGCCTTCCTGGCTCGCAACCCGGACGCCATCCTGTGGATCACGGCGCTGTCGGTGGCCTCGGCGGCTGTGCAGCTGGTGATCAGCTGGACCATCAAGCGCTACGGCGCGGTGGTGTTTGCGACCATCATGACCACGCGGCAGTTCTTTTCCATCCTGCTGTCGTCGGTGGTGTTTATGACGCCGCTCACGGCGGGGCAGTGGTGGGTAGGGTGGGGTGGGGTACCGGTAGTAGGGGCTTTGGAGGGGGCTGGTAGAGAGGGAGGAGGGGTGAAGGGCTGTTGCTGGGAGGGGGGGTCGTGGAAGGTGAGGGGAGGCGCTGTAACTCCTGCCTGGCCTCCGGCCAATCGCTTTGAGCCACGAAGTAACGTGTGTGTTCCTTCACCCCACCACTCACCTCTTCAAGCCCGCCCCGTTGCCCCTCCCCCATGCTCCCCTCCCCCTCTCACCACTACTCCAGGGCGGGTACGGTGATTGTGTTCGGCGCCATCTACTACAAGGCGCTGCAGCGCTGCCGGGAGCGGCAGCAGCTGCACGCCATGCATGCGTCGTGGAGGGAGGACGACTTCAGGTGCGGCGATACATGGTGGGCGGGGAGGCAAGGGGGTGGGAATGTGGGGCAGGGCAGGGCGGGGCAGGACGCAGAAGTTGGTGTCACTCACGCACATGGCCTTCCCCACCTTTCCTCGCCTCCACTCCCTTCCTACCGGTGCTTCTGTCGCGCTGCTGCGGCTACCCGGCTCACCGGACTAACAGCTCTTACCCCCTCCCTCCCTCCCACTCCTGCCCCTCCTGCTCCCTTGCAGCCCCGAGAAGGCCCCGCTGCTGCACCCGCCCGAGCACCGCTCCGCCTCCGCCTCCTCCGCCTCCGCCTCCGCCTCCGCCTCCGGCTCCTCGCTGCTGCCGCTGCAGACCTCGGCGGACATCCGGGGGAGCCGGGGGGCGTTGGGCGGGGGAGCGGAGGAGCGCCGCATAACCAGCGAGCAGCAGGTCTAGGAGGCGTGGGAGGCAAGGAGGAACGGAGGGAGGGAGGCGCAGCAAGGCGTGGCAGGGCGAGCGACTTCTCGAACATTGGAGCGGGCAGTTGTAACAGGGCGGAGTATAAGGTGTAGTGTAAAGTGAGGGGGCGGGCGATGTAGTCAAAGGAAGGTGGGGGCTGCTGCTGCTGATGATGATGATGGTGACAATGATGATGAAGGGGATGTTGTGGAGCCGGAGGTGCAGGCGCGGCTAAGATGTTCAACCATGTTCTCACTGTCGGGTTAGCTCGCCGCCGTTGCGAGGGGCTGCCAGTATACTGCCGGAGTTCGTTGTGTGACCAGCGCGGCTGAGCGCGGTCCAATAAAGGTGTCCAGTGACCCGTGGGACTGTATGGTTCTGTCTAGACTGCTATGTATGCTATTTTGGTTGCTAGGTAGGAAGTGCTGCGGTGTACTTGCGTGCGTGCGGAGTCTTCACTGGGCCCATGATGGCAGGCCTGGTCAGTCGTACTGTAGTATGGTAGTACGGTAGGTGCCAGGACACGTCTACCGTAATGTGGGGCAGCTTGGTCGGGGTAGCGGCCGGTGTTTTTGGATGGCGTGCTTAGACGTGGTTCTAGACGTGATCCTAGTCCTAGTCAAGTAAACAAGGAAGGTGATGCGTACCTCGCACACCAACAGGACCTGTGGATTGGAAGGGGGGATGAACGCCTCCTTTGGGGCGCTCATGGTCAGTACTGGCTCGTGATGAATTTGACAAACTTTGCCGGCTACTACGTGTTCCATCATTTTTCTATGTTGCACGCGCGTTATGGGTTCCCGCAACCGCGGTATGCTTACCGCTGGTTGCTTTCAGGCTGCTCACATCTGTTGTTGGGGCCAAAAGCGCGGAAGAGCGGGCGGGTGAAGGGGTGGGTGGTAGGATGCGATTAGGGGTGGGTGGTAGGGAGGGGCTACAACGCCTTACGGTGGCTTTTACAGCGGTACATTTCATGTTTTTGCGCCACGTGGATTGTTCAGTTAGTACGATTTTGTACGGCACGCGTTTAGCAACAGAGGTGGTTTCTAGGTAGACACCGGGGGTCCTGTTACTGGGTGCTGCGACCCAGATCCTCATATCGGTGTGAAGAGGGCTTATAGGTTTGCGTCATGGTGGAGCCGTTGTCAGTCGCACGTCGTTAAGGAGGAGGACGAAAAAGGGGTGCGTTCTCGTCGGTGGTGGACATTGGCATTTGCCTGTTATGGCTGCTGCGTGCTGCTAAACCGTAAGTGCAGAGAATTAGGATGCCATACATGACAAGATGTGGAGCCTCCTAAGAGGGAACGACAGGGCGTACGTAGGGTTTCGTGGGGCACCTATCCAAGTACCAACTACCCGGGTGGCATGCTATCTATCACGCTCTAGATGGATCCGGGTCGCGCGAATGCAGGCAATGACCCCGAGTAGTGGAGGGCGGTTCGCGGAGGAGCCAAGACGACCCACTGTGCCCACTCTACTTTAATAATGATCCCCTTGTCTCAAAGCAGTGTTGATTTAATATTTGCTGAACTTGTCACGTTGGGACGTTGCCGTTGGTTACGACCAGCCGTACACGCAAACGTGGACCCGCGCTCATTGCTGCATTTTGCAACACATGTAGCAACCGTATTGCTGGCGCCCAGTTTGAAAGCTTACTGATGGGCTTATCGAACTCCTCATCTGCTAGTGCTTAACCCTTTCTACTGAACCTTTAACCGGCATTCCAAACTCTCTGCAAACTTACCTTACGGTTGTCGCTGTGATTCCTAGCGCACAAATTCGGTGGGCATTAGCTTTCCTCTTTCCAAGGCAGGATAGTCTCTTTGCATACTTCCTACTTTCGCCGTTATAGATGTGCAGAGACCACAGCAGTTGAGGGACTCCATAGAATGTTATAGAATACTTAGCAAGCGGGCCATGCCCTTCCTTCCTTAAGAGACGAATGTTGTTCTACGCGAGCCGTATCCTCCCGCTGATTTGGGTATCGCTTGTATGGGCTTTATATTGTTCCGTTTTGGGTGGAGCTCTGGAAGCAGCGAACAGCACAAGTCAGGAGTGTGCTATTGTCGCCGCACAGCAGCTCCTGGAAAGGTCAGCTAACGACCTATCTTTCACAGGAATAGCAGTATTACTTTGATACGGCGACAGCTGTATGTTGCATTCTAGCAAAATCTGCAGCCGTGTGGGGACTCTAACCCGTTACCCTCCCCTTCCGTTCCACAGTTGCGCGTATAGTGCAGCGGAAGACAGGGAGGATGCTTTCAGGAAGATCATGGCCCGAAGCTACACTTCGTGCGTCGAGAGGAAGGCGCAGAACGATACAGAAAACATGCAGGTACGATGTTGCCCTTTTCCCACATCCATTGCACGCGATGCTCTTGTCAGCGTCTGCCCACCGCTTGCAGCTCCTACCGGCCATACTCAAACACCCCTCTTTCCCAAAGCTCATGCCGCACATCTTTCTATTTTGCCTTGCAGGGCGTCCAAATCATGGTTCCAGCCACACTCTTCACAGCCTACTACCGGCTAGCGGAATCTTACGAGGAGCGGTACAATGTGAATGTGGACGTTGTCCCCGTAGACGTTGACCAGCTAATGCAGGAGGCCGTATTCGAATTCAGCAACAAACTCAGCAACATGCATGACGCCTGGGTCCTTTACCTGGATTCATACTACCAACTAGAACGCCTCAGCGCGTTGCTTGACCTCACCAACTTTACCGCCCAGAGCGACGCCCCGGGCTACTCCGGCGTCCCGGCCAACTGGAACGACATTCCAGCTGCATTCAAACGCACGTCGTACTCGTACGACATGGGGTCGTCGTACATTGCGAACGGCACTGCCGTACCAAAGTTGGTTAGCATTCCGTTGGACGGTTCCGTACCGCTCATGTACTACAGGCGGGATTCCCTCGCCGCTGTGAACGCCAGCGTGCCTCGCACCTGGTCCGAGGTGCTGCATGTCGCGCAGCTCGTCAACAAAACGGACTTCAACAATGACGGAGAGGTGGAGTTTGCGCTGTGCTTTAAGCCTGACCCAGGTGGGTGCAAGAAGGGGTTCTTTGAGGTGTGAGCCACTCGGAAGTTCATCGCCTGTTGGCAAACCACATGACCGTAACCTCACCCGGTTGGGTGAGTCGTGAGTGTCTGGGGGTATGGCGGACTTGCAGCGCAGGTGGGCTTGGACTCGCGCGTGGAGGGCGGGTTAGCCCTCACACTAAAGAGCGCTTGCCAGACGCATCTCTCTCCTTCCCAATCCGCATACCTTTCGCGCAACCATGCCACCCCCACCCCCACACCCTCGCCCTGCCCTGCCCTGCCCCACCTCCCCCCAGACTGCACCTACGCCTCCGCGCTAGGCATGGTCCTGGCTCCGTACCTGCAGTACAAGGGTACGGCACAGGGCGTGATGCTCAAACCCGAGGACCTGACCCCCCTGTTCGACACGGATGGCGCGCGTGCCGCCATGCGGCTGTTCAGCCAGCTGCTGCAGTACCACATGCCGCTGGTGGCGCGGGGAGGGGAGTGCACGGAGGGGTACTCGGCGACGGCGTTCCCAGCTGGGGATTGCTTGCTGGCTTTCGGCTGGGGGGAGATCTTCAAGGTAGGCGGGGGTGGTTAGGGGGGATGAGGGAGGAGTGAGGGAGGGGCCATGGGCGGGGGTGCTGAAGTGGACGGTTGGGTGCGGTCGGTTGGGGGGCGGGAAGAGGGCGGGGGTGGCAGTGGACGGCGCTTGAGTGGGCTAGAGCATAGCGGGCAGGGGTTCTTTCCTTGACGTAAAGTTGAAGCTAGGCGGCTGCGGTGTCGTATGTTTTTTGCTGTCACTGCAAACTGAAGCCCCGTCTCCACTCATCCCCCTCTTCGGGCTTCAACTTCATCGCCCCTCATGCGGTTGGGTTTTTCTCCACCCCCACCCCCACCCCCACCCCCGCACCGCCCCACCCCTAGGCTGCCGAGCTGGGCACCAGCAGCGGCCCCAGCTACGTGAAGGACCGCTACGGCGTGGCGCCGCTGCCGGGCAGTGAGAGGGTGTACGACAGGGAGAAGCTGGTGATGGCGGACTGTACGGCAGAGCTGTGCACGATGGGGCTGAATGGGCAGCCGGAGGAAATCAGACTGCAACAGGTGGGGGAGGTGGGGGCGTGGGGTGCTTCCTAGGTCGGGAGTTTGGTATCTGCGGTTACGGCAGTTTGATGGTTTCCTCCACCACGCAACCCAACACAATCCAACCACACAATGCCCCTCCGACCCAACCCACTCCCCTACAGGACAACAGTACGGCATTCGTCAACCGCGCCACCTACATGCCGTACTCTGGGCTGGTGGGGCTGGTGGGCGCCCCCGTGAGCGCCGAGCGGCAGCGGGTGGCCTTCGACTTCCTGACCTACCTCTCCAACGCCAACCTGGAGCTCGCGCTGGCGAATGACAGTGAGCGGGGGGGGATATAGATAAATGCGTCAACAAAGTCCCAATCCCGAATTCCGGGGGGGGACAGGGGGAAAGGGGAGGGGGGAACAGGGTGTGCGGGGACGGGGAGCGCCCTTCGGAAGGGGGGGCAAAGATAGATAACTGCAGCAACGAAAGGGGGGTGGAAAGAGGGGAAAGCGGCGAACCAAGTGAGGTGTGACTACTGAAAGGCTGCCTGCGGGTTGCGGGAGTCCCCTGTTGCTTGTAGCGAGCTACACCCCACCCCACCCACCCGTGAACTTGACAACCGAGCACTCCCCCCCACCCCACCCATGAATTTGACAACCGAGCACCCACCCCACCCCTCTCTTGTTACCGTATTCCCAGGCTACGTGGTACCGTACCGTACCTCTGCCATGGATCCAGCCCGCATTCCGGAGTTCGTTGCGGCCGGGTACGACGCCAACAACACCCTGTCGTACCTCACAACCGTCAACGCAACCATCAACCACCCCAACCTGGCGCCCGGACCCATCATACCGCGGGTGGAGGCCATCAGGTGTGTGTTTAAATAACTGGCCGCGAGGCGAAACGTACTGTGATTGCCGAAAGATGAAGTCCATCAGGTGTCCATCAGGTGTGTGTACATGCACATGCGTACGCTAAAACGCAGGGGTATGCACACATGATATGCATGGCTGCTCAGCCTTGACCATGCATGCTGCCAAGGTCCCCCGTAGAGATGTGCTCCTATCTCCACACCCCCCTCCCGCGCCCCGCCCCCTCTTCCCCCTCCTCCCCCGCGTGTGTATGTGCGGGCAGGGCCCTGATGGCCACCGCCGCGGTGAACCTGTCCCGCGGAATAGACGCGGCGGACGTACTGGTTATCATGCAGCAGCAGGTGGAGGAGCAGGTGCGCTCGGGAGGGCAACCTGGCCGCCAAAACTACACGATATCACGGTCCTTGGAGAGAGAGAGTGGAGGTAGTGGGTTTAGTCTGTGCACATTCCCTTGGGCATGCGTATTCATTACACGTCGGGCTGGTGGACGGCTTGACTTGCGGGTAGTGGGCAGCACCACTAACCACCCGTATGTACCCGTTTGCTACTTGAACAACAACTCCAGCCCCCAGCCCCAACCTCCCCCCTCCCGTTACGAGTGAAACCGCACTCCGCCACCCCCACTCCACCCCCACCCCCACCCCCACTCCACCCCAACCCCCCCCACCCCCACTCCCACCCTCACCCCACCCACCCCCACTCCACCCCCCCCCCCCAGCCCCACCCACCCCCCTCACCCCCCCCACCCCCGCCGCCAGGTGATCAACTACAAGTCCTCCGCCTCCGCCACCTCCTGGCTGGCCGACCTGCGGAGCGCCTATTGGAGCTTCACGGGATATAAGCCGCAGGCGTCGGTGGGTGGGGCGGGGGCTGAGGGTGGTAGTGGTGGTGGTGGTGGTGGTGGGGTCTCTTTCCCCTCACCCGCCCCCGCTTGCCTTGTCTAGTCCAACAGCGTGCGTGCGTGTCATGGAGAGTGTCACGGTATTGAGTGTACGGACCGTGAGCGCGTCTCGTGGACCCGTGGACCCTAACCCAACTGCGATGCACTCCCGGTGTGGTTTGCACCACCACCACTGGGTGCCAAACTGTCAAATCACAACAAGGAGTGTGCCCCGCACGAGTGTGCCCCCACCCGCACCTCTCACACCCCCCCACGCACCCCTCACAACCCCCCACCTGCACCCCTCACACCTGCAGAACGGCACCGGCGAGGGCGGCGGCGGCAGCAGCGGTGTGGACATGCCCGCCGTGTCGCTGGCGGTGCCGGTGGTGAGTGCGGTGGTGGTGGTGCTGCTCTCCACCGTGTACGAGTTCAAGAAGCACCGGCAGCACCGCAGCCTGTTCGGAAAGGTGGGAGGAGGGAGGGGAATAATTATGTAATAAGTGCAAACAACTAGAGTCCCAATCCCATGTCCCGACTCATGCAGTGAGGGGGGGGGGAAGGAGCGGTGGAGACCTGGGGGGCGGCCCTTGCGGTTAGAGACGTGTTTTGGCCGTAACCATACGAGACCTTGTCTCGACCTGAATGCTAACGCAGCACCGCCGCCGCCGCCGCTGCCTCCACCGCAGGTCCAAGCCCCCGGGCCCTATGAGGACACGACACTGCTGGTGGGTACAAGTACGGCACGTGCATACCTGCCCTGCCTGCCGTCCTGTCCTAAGCGCCGGCCTCACCCTGTCCGCTCACTTCCTCTCTTCTTCTTCTCACTCCGGTATGGTCTTTGACACCCCCTTCTCCTGCCCCCCCCCCACCCCCCAGGTCACTGACATCCAGGACAGCACCGCGCTGTGGGAGATGCTGCCCTCGTCCGTCATGGACCGAGCCATAAAGGAACACCACATGGTGGGGCAGGGGGCGAGGAGGGGCAGCGGGGAGGGGGGCAGCGGGAGGGGGCGGGGAGGGGCAGCGGCAGCGGGAGGGGCCCGTCTTGCGGGTGAGGGGTAACAGCAGGCGGGGTCAGGAAGGTAAGGGAAGGGCAGGAGGAGCAAGCCCGCTTGCTGTGCTGGGCATGACAGCTGGGTGGTGGTGGTCGGGTGCTGCACGTTTCCCCCCCTCTTATAAACATCACTGAATCATCTCTAATCCGGCTGGCACGTCAACTTTGCCCCCCCTTCCGACCCCTCTACCTCCTTCCCTCCCCCTTTCCCCCCCCCTCCCCCAGTGTTTGCGCAAGCTGCTGCTCAAGCACAGCGGCTACGAGAGCGCCACGGAGGGCGACTCCTTCCTGCTCGCCTTCCACTGCCCCGAGGACGCGCTGCTGTTCTCCATGGAGGCGCAGGTGGCGCTGCTGGAGTGCGCCTGGCCGCCGGAGCTGCTGGACTGCGAGGTGTGCAGGCCGCACTACGTGGTGCACAAGTGAGGCAGGGGCGGGGCGGGGAAGGGGGGGAGGGAGGGGGGGATAATATAGATAAGTGCAACAACGCAGTCCCAATCCCGAGTAAGAAAGGAAGAATATCCAATGTGTTGGGAGGGTAGGGAGGGAGGGAGGAAACGGACGAGCTGTATTGAGGAAAATAGGGAGGCAGGGGGGAAGGGGGAGGTGGGAGGGTGGGGTTAGGAAACACATTGACAAGCTGTGTGACGAGAGGCTTCACCATGGGGTGCCACACAGTGCATTACCCGGCAGGAGGGAGGAAGGGAGGGGGGGGAGGAGGTGGGGAAGAAGGCGAATGTGTGGGGCGGGAAGGAGTGCGGGAAGAGGGACTAGTGCGTCTGCGACTAGCTGCGATACTTCCCCCAACGGCCCCTTGGCCCTCACCCCTCCTCACCCCCCCACTCCCCCCCTCTCCCCTCCTCACCCCCCCATTCCCCCCCCCATACTCCCCTCCCAGCGACACCGACAAGCGCGCCTCGCTGCTGGCTGACGGCGCGGACGCGGCTGGCGGGCTGATGGCCCTGCCGCGCGCCAACAGCGGCCTCAGCAACAAGTCGACCAGCGAGGACACAAGCAGCCCGCAGGTGCGGGGAGGGGGGAGGGAGAGGGGCTCAACAGGGGCACATATTCCACATTAGGCTGGAGAGGGAGAGCTGAGAGGGGTTGGGGTTCGTTCGTGCCTTCTTGCACGGTGTGCATGAAGGTTACGCTAACTTGTGGGTTCGCTGTGGTTCGGTATGATCTTTGACCTCCCCCCTCCTCCTCCTCCTCCCCCGCCTCCGCCTCCCCCCCCCCCAGGCCTCCAACATGCTTGGCTCCCCCGGCAGCGAGGTGAACACCTTCATCACCGCCTGCCAGGCCAGCTGGAAGGAGGCAACCGCCACCACACCCAACAACGTGCTCATATTCAGGTGCGGGCAGGGGGGGTGGGGGGGGGGAGTGGGGACGCCAGCTGTCGTGGTGGCATCACAAGAGGCAGAGAGGGCGGGGTCTTGGAGGGATCCAGGGTGCAAGGGGTGGGTGGGAAAGAGTAGTGAGCTTACAGGTGAGGGGTGGGGTGGGTCCTTCACGCCTTTGCGCTCTACCTTCTTCTCCTTTCCCTTTTCCCCTTCCCCCACTCCTCCCACGCCGGTTCGTCAGTCGTTTCCTCTTCATCCCACTCCTCCTCCCACCCGCTCCTCCCTCCTCCCCACCCCCCCAGGGGTCTCCGTGTGCGCATGGGTATGCACACCGGCATCTACAACGACGCCGACGTGGCCTCCAACAAGGCGGCCGCGCGCACGCAGTACAGCGGCGAGATCCTGCAGTACGGCAAGTCGGTCAGCGACGCGGCGGCGGGCGGCATGATCCTGCTGAGTGAGGCCACCTACCGGCGGCTGCCCATGGAGCGGCTGTGGGACAAGGCCATGGTGATGCATGTGGGGGAGTACAAGTGAGTGCGCAGGAGGGGAAAGAGGAAACAACGGACTGACCGTGTCGTAAGGCGTCATCGTGGTTTGCAACATGTGAGCCAGCCCGACCCGCCCAGCCCGAATTGCGCTGGAGGGGAGGGGATAGGGGGTAAAGTAGTAAATGATAGGCAGGGAGTAGTAAATGATAGGGGGGAGAGCGTGGCACGAGGCCCGGGGCAAGCACCAAGGGAGGGGTTGGGGTGCGGTGCTGTGCGGTGACACAGCCAAGAGAGCCTTGCCCCTCCCTTCCTCAGGCCCCTCCGCCTCTCCTGCCTCCTCCGCGCGAACCGAGCCCCATGAGCACTCCCTCCTCTTCCGCTGCTTCCTTCAGCCCTTCACCCCCTCCGCCTCTCCTCTCCGCCCTGCTCCTCCCCCCCTGCCCCCTGTGCCGCACCCCCCCCAAACCCCCCGGAGCTTGTCGTCTGGTTTGCATTCCCATTCAACGCATTGGAAATTCTTCTCCCCCTTACCCCCCCCCTCCCCCCCCCCCCCGGCAGGCTGAAGGACGACCTGCCGGTGCTGCCGCTGTACCAGGTGACTGGCCGGCGGCTGATGGGGCGGCTGGGCTACCTGAGCGGCATGCGATACAAGGAGCAGCTCAGCAGGGGCGTGTTCGCGGCGCCGCTGGGGGCGGTGAGTGCGGGGGCAGGAGGGGTGGAGGAGGGGTGGGGGGTGGGCGGGGCTTGTCATACCGGTAGCATCACCGGCAGCCTCAAGGGGAGGGGAGGTGCTAAGGGGAAACTGGCACTGGGATGGGGGTTTGGGGCTGTGTGGTGTAAGAGGGCGCACAGCTCCGTTGTATCATGGGGTGTCATGTTTGCGGGATGTATGTTGGTCAGCCGGTGGGCGGGGGGAGGGTGTCGTGCGCATGTACGCACGAACACTCACCCCCCTGCTGACAGCTGCCCTCCTTCTGGCCCCCTCCACCTCCCCTCCTCCTCCTGCTCCCCCCCCAGGTCGCCATGGCCTACCTGGGTATCGTGGGAGTGCCCACGCTGCTGGCGTGGGACGAGGGGGTGACGCGGGAGGGGCTGGCGCTGCTGCACGCGTGCGTGGCGGAGGCGGTGCACAAGTGGGGGGGATACCTGGTGGCAGCGGGGGACGAGCAGGTGGGAGGGGGACGGGGGCGGGAGGGGGGCGGCAGGGAGGGGGGGAGGGAGGGGGGGCGGGCTGAGGGGAGGAGGAGGGGAGGGAAGAGGGGTTGTTCAAGGAGGGGGCGTTGTGTTGTGGCGGGGTTGTGAGGCGGGCTGCTGCACGCGCCGCAGAGGGGGGGAGGCCGTAGAGCTCGTAGCAGCAGTCCACCTTCGCCTGTGGCACGTCACCAGAGGCGCGCCACACTGTCCCCTCCTCTGTCCCCTCCTCTTTCCCCTCCTCTTCTCCTCCCCTCCCCTCCCCTTTCTGTAGCTGCTACTAACCTTATAACAACTACATTGTACGCTGACCCACATGCTAAGTATGTCCGTACTACCCTCCCCCCTCCCCCCCCTGCAGATCCACGTTGTGTTCTCCGCCGCTGCCGACGCGGTGCTGTGGGCGCTGTCCGTGCACCAGTCGCTGATGGAGCTGGAGTGGCCGGAGGCGCTGCTGGACCACGAGCTGGCGGAGGAGCTGGTGGTGGGGGACGTGGTGGTGTTCAGGTGGGGGGGTGGGGGGGGGCAGGGAGAGGGGGAGGTGCGTGGTGGTGTCCAGATGGGGTTGAAGGATAGTGTTGCAGCATCAGGTGTGGGAGGGGTTGGGAAGGGGGGGTGCAAGGGGGAATGCAGGAAGGGGAAGCTGGAGGGACACATGAGGCAGAAGGGATGGTGCCAGGATGCCGCTGTTGCCCCCACCGCCGCCGACGCTGAACCCTCCCCCACACCCTCCCCCCTCTCCCTCCCCCTTGCTGCAGGGGTCTGCGTGTTAAATCGGGTGTGGATGTGGGTCACGCGGTGGGCGAGGTGAACGCGCTGACGGGGCGCATCTGCTACCGCGGCAAAGTGGTGTCGCGGGCGGCGCGGGTCATGCAGAGCGCCTCCTCCAACCAGGTAGGGGAGCGGGTCGGTGGGGGGGAAGGGGGTGCGGCAGGGGGAAGAGGGAAGGGCTGCTTTCGGAGGTCACATCCTGATGTCCCCCTTCCGTATATCCTCCTAGCTCTACCCTCCCTCCTTTCCTCCTCCTCCTCCCCCTCGTGGTATTCCTCCTCCACCTGCCCCCCTCACGCTCTCCCCATTGTTATGCCCTAACCTGGCTCTGGTCTATCTCTCCCCCCCCTCCCCCACTATGCGCAATCCTTAAATCCAGCGTAATGCGGATTCTGTTTCCAAATTAATCCCCTCCCCCACCACCCCCCTCCCCCCAGGTGCTGGCCAGCGGCGAGGCCTGGTCCTCCGCCCTGTCCGCCAGCGCCGCCACGCTTCAGCTGCGCGGGGTGGTGGGCGACCGGCTGGGCCCCTTCAAGCTGCGCGGCGTGGCGGACCGGGTAGACATGGTGCAGATCCGGCTGCAGCGGCAGGACGTGGCGGGCGCGGAGGGGTGGGCGCAGGACCTGCAGCAGGGGGGAGCGGGCGGGGAGGTGGGGGAGGGAGGAGGGGAGGGCATGGCGGAGGCGGTGCAGCAGGGGGCAGGGGAGGGAGGAGAGGGTGGTGTGAAGGGAGGAGGAGGAGGAGGAGGAGGAGGGGTGGGGGCAGGAGGGGAGCATGTGAGCGGTGCGTTGGCACGGGTACGGCAAAGGTCGAGCCTGTCGGCTGCGATGGCGGCAAACGGCGGTGAGGCTGCTGCTGCTGGCGGCGATGGTCCAACAGCGGCTGCAGCAGGCGGCGGCGGCCCGGGTGGCATCGCTCGCCGCAGCGGTGAGTTCGCCTTGACCGCCGCCCGCGCCCTGGGCTTCCTCTCCCGCCCCTCCCGCAGCAACCAGCAGCTGCCGATCATGGCGTCGCCGCTACCCAGCTCCCGGGCGCCCTCGCTGCCGCCGGCCGCCATCGCCGACGACGGCTCCATCACCGCCGCCGCCAGCAGTGGTGGCGGCGGCGCCGCCACTGGCGGAGCGGCCTCCGCTGTGAGCCTGCTTGGCGGCGCCGGTGCCGGCGGGCAGTCCATGGCGCACTCCCCCGCCAGCCCACGTCTGTTCGGCGGGCTGTTGCGCTCCATGCGGGCTCAGAGCTTCACAGCCGCGGCGGGACTGTTCACGCGCATGACCGGCGGAAGCGGCGTCAGCGTCGGCGGCGGAAGCGTGCGCGGCGGCCGGCATCAGCCGGTGCGCGGCCGCTCCGCCAGCCTCGTCGAAGACTCCACAGGCAGTGGCGGCACCACGGCCGCCGTCAACGTTACCCTCGCATCAAACATCCAGCGGGGCGTCCCGCCCGCCGCCGACGCCGCCGGCGGCAGCGCAACCAGCGGCGCCGCGTCGCCCTTCAGCACCCCCGCCGTCGTCGCCGCCAACACGAACGTCGCCGGCGCTGGCGGCGGCGGCGGCGGCAGCGCTGCGGCCTCCAGCGGCGGCGGCAGCGGCCGCTCACCCAGCTTCCTCCGCAGCCTCCGCATGTCACGAGGAGCCTCGCCACTTGCCGCCTCGCAGCCCTTCCCCTTCGCCTCGGCTCGCAGGCTGCTGCCCACCAGCTGGAACCTGGGAGGTGGCGGAGGCAGCCTGCCCTCCGCTAGCGCCAGCGGCGGCGGCGGCGGCGGCCTGGGTATGGGCCTGCTGGGCGGCGCATCGCCCGGCTCGCGACTCGCCAGCGGCGCCGGCAGCACGGATCTCTCGTCGCTGGCGGCCATGGTGGCGACGTCGCTGCCCGCCAGTCGTACGACACAGAGCCAGATCAGCAACCCGGCGTTGGCGACGATAGATCATGCCGACATGTTGTCAGGCACCGCCAGCGGCTTCGGAGCGGGTGCAACAGCGGTGGCGGGGACGTTGTCTGCGAGCATGGGTACCGGCGGGGTGGCTGTCGCCGCCGCCGTCGCAGCAGCAAGCAACGGCAATAGCGGCGGCGGAGGCGGGAATGTTGGGATTGCGGTCGCCGCCAGCGCTGGCGCTGGCGGGGTTGCCGGCGGCGCCGGTGTTTCCTCCGGTGAGGGTCCTGGCTGGATACCTGGGGAGATGTTGGCTGACGTGTTGCATGGGGTGCAGGAGGAGGAGGAGCTCCGAGTGAGCGGGCGGCAGTCCACGGCAGCGGCGGCGATGGCGGCGGCTGGCAGCATGGCGTGAAGGGCAGTATCGTGTGCCTGCACACTGGTGTGAGGTTGGTTATGTTTGGAAACAACCTTTGGGGCGGTACGGCAGTTGGGCGGCGCTGGATAAGCTCGCCTGTACGTACTGTTAGCTCGCTTGCGTACGAGGACTGGCGTTGGGTGCTCGGCATCGGCCGTTTTGTGTTGCAACATGGACGATGGATTCGGATGTGAGCTGCTGTGTATGGGGTACGACGTTTGGACTTCTCTCGGAAAGCATATGGGACGGGCATGGAGCTGCATCACACGGACGACGTAGGTGGTGTTGAGGCTTGGAGAGGTGGTGATACTTTGCTGCGATCTACACTTGTGCTGGTCTTTTTGGTGCCTGCACGCGCGCGCGTGTGGATGCGTGTGTGCTATAACATGGTAGAGAGTGCGAGAGAGAGAGAGAGAGGGACAGGACACACGCGCGAGTGATCAGAGACTGGCCTTTAGCAGGCTTTACGGCGTTCGTCTTAGCTTCGGGCTTTTGGTTGAATGTCTGTTTGTTGGTGAGGATTGTCGCCCAGTGGATTGCGCAAAGGGTGTCTTGGATACACGGTGGGTGGCGTTTGTTTGGTTCAGGTCCCCAAGAAGGTGTTGCGTGATTGCCTTAGACGCGATATATCAGGGCTGATCTGTCGTATGCGGACGAAAGCGGATGAGCAAAAAAAACGGTGATCAAGCTCGGGATTGGCAGGGTACCGGGTATAATGGACGGAGGTGTACTACAAACGGATGCCCGTGGATAAAGGTGTGAGGGCGTGTCGCACTAACTCGATAGTTGCTTTTAGAGAAATATTGCATTTCCCTACTTTCTCCCACGGCTTGTAACTCCTTGCGGTTGACATGGAGCTAGCTGTTGTGTTGTGACGTATGAGCTTCGTTTATCCTCTATCTTGTCTTCACTCCTGTAATATAGAGCAATTACCGGCTACTGAGAGGGCTCCGACATTTTAGACTAGCACAACATGCATTCGCCGAGCGCTGTAATTACCGGAGCTGCGTCAGGCATCGGTAGGCACGCTTCAGCGATGTATGCTGAAAAGCTTGCTCTTGAAAATAGCCGTTGCACTTCGTGTAGGAAAGGAGATTGCAAAGCAGCTAGCAGCTCGCGGATATCGGCTGACGGTAATTTCACTGCTGTCGCCCTGGTCACATCAGCTGCCGATGCTTACCTATTTCCGTTTTGTTACCTGGAAAAATCTTTCCAGCTGCTGGACCTGGATGAAGCGACGCTTCTTGCAACGGTTGGTGCGCGGCAGCGTGCGGCAAGTTGATAAGTCCCATGCCCGTTCTCTATTTTCCCCTTTCCTCCTTTACAGTCGGGTTATAACGGCGATATGAAAGGGTAGACATGACGCACGTCCGACATAAGCGCCGACCCAAATGCCCAGCCTCAAGCTCCATTGCGAATCCTGTTACCGGTGGACCACACCCAGCGCCCTTCCCCGTTCCCACAGGCCCGAGAGCTCTCAGGCAGCAGTCATGAAGCCGGGCCTGGCTCCTCCTCCTCCATTCGTACGGCGGTCCTGGACGTCACCGACGCCACCGCCCAACAGGCCGCATTCCGAGCGCACGTGGAGGCGTACGGCAACCTGCAGGCACGTCACCTACCGGCGTGCGCCTTGTTTGACTAGGTCGCGAGATCACAACAACCTTTTAGCCCCGTAACGTGAAACCCGTTAACCAGCCACAACCACAACGCATGCGTCTTAAATTGTTCATTGTTCGCGCGCGCGTTTGTTAAAATAACTGGCCGCGCGCGCCTGTGTGTGGGTGTGTGTTTTGCTGTCGTACAGGCTGTGGTGTTGAACGCGGGTATCGGCGAGCGCGGTTCCTTCTTCGAACCGCGCAACAGCGGCTGGCAGGCCACCCTGGATGTGGACCTCACCGCGGTGCTGCAGGGGGTCAGGTGGGGGGCTGGGGGGTGTTTGGGCGTGTGTTTGTGTGTGTGTGTTTTGGGGAGGGAAGGGGGGCCCGGGGTTTGAGGGTACTGGGCGGGGGGGTGCGAACGCCGTCTGATGCAGCCCACCCGACCCCTCTCGCCTCCTGCTGCTCTTCGTTCAGGAGCCCTGTTTACCTCCCCCCGGGCCCCCAGCCTCAGCACGCATACTTTGTAGTCCTCAACACTATTAACCCTCCCTCACTGTCAACCCTCCCTCACACTCCCAGGATCGCGGCGCAGCTGATGCCGGGCGGCGGAACAATCCTGGCGGTGGCCTCCGCGGGAGGTGGGGGGCTGCGTGTGTGTGTGTATGGGGGGGGTTGTGAGGGGCCGGGGCGGGGTTTCGACGTGAACTGCGGTTGGCTGTGGGCGGTTCGCCCTGTCGAGCCCGGCTGCGAAGTCGCGCTGCTTCTCCTCCTCCTCCTCCTCTTTGGACCCCTGCACTGCGCCGTCACGCGTCTCCCCTCGCCCCCGCTCCCCCCCTCCGTCCTGTGTTTCCGCGGCTCTGCTTACCTAACCCCTCCCTCCCTCCCGCCTCCCTCCCTCCGCTCAGCCATCTTCCCCATGCCAGTCGCCCCCGTCTACGCAGCTGCCAAGGCGGGCCTGGCGCACTTTGTCCGCTCCGCCGCCCCCTCCCTGGCGCGCCGCTCCCCCCCGCTGAGGCTGGCGGCGCTGTGCCCCGAGTTCGTGCAGACGCCCCTGGTGACGCGGATGGTGGAGCAGGTGGGGGGGGGCGGGGGGGTTAGGGGGTTAGGGGGGTTAGGTGTAGGGGTTTAGGGTTAAAGAAGAATACCCAGTGTGTTGGTTGACAATGGTTACCTAGGTGGCAAGCAGGTGGGGGTGGGGGTTTAGGGCAAACCGTAGGAAACCACAGGTTAGGGCACAGCAATGGGGATAGGAGGCGGCAGGGTGCCACAATACATAGTGAGGGTAAGCGTTGTTGGGTGGGGGATTGGAAGCCTAGTTGGGACGTTCCTCCATCTCCTTCTATCTCCTTTTCTTCCCTCTCTTCCCCTCCCTCTGGCACGCCTACTGCCCTCCCCCTCCCACCCCGCCTGCCCCCCCCCACCCCTCTGCCGTACCCCAGGACCCCTCCACCGCCGTACAGCTGCTAGGTCGACTGGATCTGCCGCTGCTGTCGCCGGGGCGGGTGGCGGAGGTGGCGGTGGAGGTGCTGCAGCAGGGGGAGGGGGCGGGCGAGAGCTATCCGGTGAGGTGGGGTGGCTGCTGGAGGTCAGGTGGGGGGACGGGGAGGGGGTGTGGAGGAGGAGGAGGGAGGAGAGTTCGGCGGCTGTATACCGGTGGGAGGGAGCGGTCGGCGTGTGGGAGTTGTGTGACAGTGAGTGAAGGCGTGCTCCCCCCCCGGGTTGTTGTTGTTTGCTTACCACGTCACACACATTTCACCCTACTTGTTTTGCCATGTCCGAGCGACATCCCCTGGGGCCTTGGTGACGACGCTCAACACTCAGCGACGAATAGACTACTCCATTTTTGGCTATTTACAGCACACCGGATGCAGCAAAATCGCTTCCTCTGGAGCATCGGTATCGGTAAGGACTGCTAACCCTCCCATGTTTTGTGGCTCCCTGCCAACAATACCCATTGTTTTGCCCTAACTTTGTGGTTTGGTTTATTCTACCCCCCGGGTCCGTGTGGGGCTCTCAATGCATGGGGCCCTGTACGGCACATACCCCGGGTTATTAGGCTTCCCTTTCCCCCCTGCCTGTCGTACTTTGTTCACATGCGGCTGCACTTCCACCTCCCCCCCCACCCCGTGTTTCTTTATTTTTACCCCACCCAGCTTCCGTTCCCCTGCCGTACGTTGCTCCGCAGGCTGGGTCGGTGGTGCTGGTACGGCAGGACGGCCGCATTGCGCTGCCCTTCGCCCGGCAGCGGGGGGAAGCGGGAGGAGGAGGCAAGGGTGGTGGCGGGGGAGGTGGGAGTGCTGGGCGACAGCAGCAGCAGCAAGGCGCTCCGCTCCCGCCTCCTTCCTCCTCTCCCGCCGCTGCATCTGCTGCTGCTGCTGCCGTCCCCGCCCCTGCTGCCCCTGCTGCAGCTCCTTCAGAGGCCGAGCGGCGAGCTCTGGCTGCCTGGGCAACATCCCGCCTGCCCCAGCAATACCGCAAGGTGTGACCCACGGGTCTCTTCGCCTCCCCTCCTCCCCTCTCGCTCCACATCTCCCACACACGCATTTACACGCCTACCCTCACTCCTCCCCACCCCTCCTACCCACCCAACAACACATTCTGTATTCTTCTTCCCCCCGTGGCTTCCTATAGCATGGTATGGTCTTTGACCCCCAACCTCTTCCCCCCCCAGGTCCAGGTGTTCTCTCTGACCCCGGACTTCCGCTCCGCCGCCCGACTGGTGGCCTGCCCGCTGGCGCCGCTGCTGCCGCCGCCGCCGGGCAGCCTGCTGGTGCGGCGCGTGTGGGCGGGGGTGAACGCGTCGGACGTCAACTACAGCTCGGGAAGGTGGGGGAGGGGCGGGCCGGGCGGGCCGGGGGGGTGCTGGGAGGGGGGGAGGGGGATGGGTGGGTGCATGGTGGGGCATGGAAGAGATGCATGGGCGGGTGCATGGAGCCCGGGGTTTCAACTTCCTCTGTACTGTGCGCAAACCGGGCGGTGGCGACGTGAGGGCACCAGCCAGGGTACACCAACCCCAACCCCCATCCATTGCGACCTCCTCCTCCCCCCCCCATGGAGAAGCCTCGTCATCCAGTTCGTCAGTTTTCCTTATTTTTACCCCCCCCCTCCGGCCCCCATGAGGCCCCCCCCCCAGGTACCACGCCAGTCGCTCGCAGGCCCAGTCACAGCTGCCGCTGGATGCGGGGTTCGAGTCGGTGGGGGTGGTGGTGGCGGTGGGGGAGGGTGAGTGGGGGGGCGGGGGCAGGTTTGAATGGGCGGGTGGCAGGTGTGTCGATGCAGTTACAGTTACAGTTACAACCTGTACGCGTGTGTAGTGAGTCCGTACGAACCAGGCGGGCCAAGGACACTATGAAAACCAAAGTTAGTCTGGGTCAGGGTCCCCTACAGGCCTTCGTGTGCCGATGTTGTTTTCCCATGTCACGGCTGCGTTTCACCACCACTACCAACACCAACACCATCACATCCACCACCGTGCTCCCCCCGCGCCCCCGCCCCCCCCACCGTATTTCCCCCCCAGGCGTGCAGGGTTTCGCGCCGGGTGACCCGGTGGCCGCTCTGTCGTACGGAGGCTACTCGGAGTACGGCATTGAGCCGGCTCGTACGGCACTACGTGTCCCACGGGTCGCTCCGGAGATTGTGGCGCTGCTGACCAGGTGGGTTTGTGAGGGCTGTGAGGGTTGCTTAGGGAGGGGTTTCAAGAAACAGGATGTTTGATAGTGTCTATCAAACAACACACCCTCCCCGGCCTCCTCCTTTCCGAGGATAACGACCCCTTCCTTTCCTCCTCTTCCCCGCTCTTCACCCACCTCCCCTCCTCAGCGGCCTGACCGCCTCCATTGCACTGGAGCAGGCGGGGCGGGTGGCGGCGGGGGAGGTGGTGCTGGTGACGGCTGCAGCGGGGGGAACAGGTGGGGTGCAGGTGGGGAGGGGGGCGGCTCAGCGGGGGGACAGGTGCTGCATGCGGCGGGGTTTGGGAGTTGGAGTTGGGACTTACTAGTAGGGCTGTGGGCTGTGGGCTGCGTCCTTAGCGGGCGGAACAGGCACACCAGGACGTCCTGCTCAACCGCTGTGACCCTGCGACCACCTGCCCCGCCCCGGCCCCCTCCTCAGTCCTCACCCCCCCCCCCACGGACTCCGTTAATGCACTTATCTATATTCCCCCCCAATGCATGCAGGCCAGTTCGCGGTGCAGCTGGCTCGGGCCGCGGGCTGCCGAGTGGTGGCCACATGCGGGGGGGCGCGGAAGGCGGCACTGCTGCAGGTGGGGCGGTGGGTGGGGGAGGGAGGGAGGGAGTACAATGTATGTAGTGATGAGGGGTGCTGGCAACCCGTTGTGCCTGTCCCTCACCTGCCCTGCCCTGACCTGACCTCGCCCGCCGCAGGAGCTGGGAGCTGAGCGAGTCATCGATCACACCCGGGAGTCCGTCAAGGTGCGCAACTGTGTGTGTTTTAGTGAAAGGGGAAGGAAAGGAGGAAACCTAACTAGCCGTACCTGACAACGCAGAAGAAGGGAGGGAGGGAAGTGTGCTAGCTGGGGTTTGTCAGCTCACAAACCCCACCCCCACCGCTCCCCCCTCCTGCCCCCACCCAGGACGTCCTGAAGCGCGAGTACCCCCGCGGGGTGGACGTGGTGTTCGAGAGTGTGGGCGGGCAGCTCTTCTCCACTGCGCTGGACGCCCTGGCCCCCCGCGGTCGCCTCATCGTGGTCGGCATGATGAGCGCGTACGGGGGCGGCTGGGCGGCCAGCAGTCACCCGGGGCTGGCGGAGAAGCTGCTGTGGAAGAGCGCGGCGTGTGTGGGCTTCTTCCTACTCAGGTGCGTGTGTGGGGGGAGTTGGGGTGGGGTGAGAAGGAGTGTGGGGGTAAAAGAAGAATTCCCATTGTGTGCGGGGGACTGGGAGTTGGGTTGGAGGGTTGGGGAAGAAGGTGAAGGGCAAGCAGGACATGCCGTACATGAGAGGTATAGCGTGTAGGACTTGAGAAGAACTTCCCTGCTGAACGTGTCATGAGCTGCCGTATGCCTACCGCGTGTGCCTCCGCTGCCCTGCCCCTCCGCTGCCCTGACCCTGCACAGGCACGCGCCGCTGTTCCGGCCGCACCTGGCGCGTCTGATCGGCATGTGGGAGGCTGGTCAGCTGCGGGTCGCGATTGACCCACGGGTCTTCCGCGGGCTGGGGTCGGTGTTCGACGCCGTGGATCACCTGCAGGGCGGCGGCAGCGTTGGCAAGGTGGTGGTGCGGGTGGCGGAGGAGGAGGAGGGGGAGCTGCCCGGGGAGGGGGAGGGAGGTGGGGTGGTGCGGTCCCGGTTGTGAGGGTCTAAGGGTTTGGTTGGGAAGCTTGGGGAGGTTTGGGAAGAGTAGGTACGGTATCACAGAGAGGGATGTGCAGGTTGGGTCCTGCAGGGCGGCGGCTGGACTGCAGGGGCGGCGGCGGGTTGCAACAGCGGCGCTGATGCCAGGCCGCTGCTGACCCCACATTCGTGTAACGCAGGGGTGGGGTCGCTAGCGGCGTATCGCAGGTGGCTTGCGCGGCTGTGCTGGCGGGCGGCCGATCAGTGTGATGTGGGTGGTGCAGTGCTGGTAGCGAGGCGGTGCAGAGCATGCGGGCCGTGGCTTGGGTAGGAGCAGGGGCTTGCAGGGGTTGGTCGACTAGCAGTAGCAGTAACAAGTGGGGGCGGTTGGGTGGTGCTGTTGTGTAGAAAGCGGCTCCGCCTGGCTCCGCCATTACGGTAGTTCGTGTTTATTGCAGTTGCCTTCTGCAGCTGAATGCAAGGGGTTGGGTTGGATTTGTGGGAAATCTGTGTTCTTTAGTGCGAGGAGGAGAGCCGCGTCTGTGGCGCATGCTACTAACTGCTTTACATGTACCCTAAAAGCCACGGACATGTACGACATTTAGCAATCCCAGCGGGTGATTGCGAATCGTCCAAAGGGCGCCCACAGCGGTGGGAACGGCGAAAGCACTCCTCCCCAGACAACTCCTCACTCCAGCATGCGTAGCAGCCCATCCGAACAGTCCTCCCAGCCGTCTCCTCTCCTTACGGTAACCGAAGTGGCAAGACGCAGGCTGACTGCTGTTGCCGCCGCCGCCGCTACCTGGCATGAGCTCCTCCAGCAGCCAGCGACTGTGCACAGCTGCTACTGCTGGTGCTGTGGCGGCGGCGGCGGTGGCTGTACAGTCTTGGTTTCCTGCTGCTGCTGCTGCTGCTGTTTACTCTGCTGCAGCAGCTGCTGCGCCGACTTGGTCTGCGGCAGCGGTTTCCGCGGCAGTGGCGATCTGGGTATCAACGGTTGCGGCTGCTGCCAGGACAGGGGCACGGACTGCTGCCGCTTGGGTACCAGGCCCGGCCGCAGCGGCTTCCGGGGCGCCGAGCTGCGCCCTTGCCCCTGCGGTCCCTGTCCCTGTCCCTGCTGCTGCGGTTGCTGCGGTTGCTGCTGATGTTCCTGCGAGGAAACTGCCGGTTCCACCTTCTCCTCAGGCGTCGACTGCGGCTGCTGCTGCTGCTGTTGTACCGACTGTGATTTTGAGGACGGCGCCTGCGACTCCGCCGCCGCCGCCGCTGCTGCTGCTGCTGCCGGCAGCTGCCGCTGCGGCTGCCGCGGCTCCTCTACAGACGACTGCGTTTTCAGACTCACTGTCCCCTTCGTCGCTTGAGGCGTCGCCACCGACTTCGGGCGCGGCTTCACTTCTTCCGACTGCTGCTGCGGTGATGAATACGATGTCCGTGCTAGCTGCTGCTGCTGCTGTTGCTGCTGCTGCTGCTGCTCCCGTGGCGGCAGCGAGGGCGAGGGTGGCAGCAGCGCCCGACGTATCTCCGCACTGCTCGACACCAGCAGCTCAGGTCTCCGCTGCAACAACGCCACTACCCGCTCCTCCACCCGCCTTGTCTCCGCCTCCCCATCCTCCTCCTCCTCCTCCTCCTCCTCCTCCACTTCTTCCGCCTTTGCACCCGCACCCGCAGCCCCTCCGCCACCCCTCCCTGCTGCCCCTGCCGCCGGCCCCCCCTCCCTGCCCTCCCTCCAGCTGCAGCAGCTGCGCACCTCCGCCCACGCGCGCACCACCTCCCTCGGCTCCGCACACATGAGCGTGGGGCAGGACAGCGCCAGCGCCACCACCGTGTCGTACGACAGCGCTGTCGTACCGCTGACGTACAGCAGCTGCTCCATGACGTGCATGGGACTGAGCTCCAACACGTCGGGGTGGGAAACCGCGGCGCGAGCAACCTGCGTGCGTCGCAAGGGAACATCTTTACCATGAAGGGAAGGTCTCATTTCCCGCCCCTCTGCCCCCACCCCGCCCCCCACACCTTACTTAAGGTTAGTTACCGGTAGGTAGGTGTTTCGGGCTGGCTCACATGTTGCAACCCATGTTGACGCCTTGTCCCTCAGTCAGTTAGTTGTTTCCTCTTTATCCCCCCCCACCTGGCTCTCCTCCGCCGACAGCACGCGGCTCAGCGCCGTCACGCGGGTGCGCATGGTGCCCGGGTCCGCCAGCAGCAGCCAGGGGTGGCGGCGCAGGGAGGACTGGGGGCAGGGGGGGAGGGTAGAGGTGGGTTGGGTGTGGGTGGGTGGCGGCGGCTGCAGGCGTTACGGTAGCGGGTGAGGGAGGAGCTCTCATGCGTTTATAAGGGAGGGACAGCGGAGAGAGTTTGTGTGAGGGTCGAGGATGGATGTCTGAGAGGGTGTGTGTGTGGGGGGGATGTAAGTGCGGTACGTGCGTGCGAGGTGGGAGGGCGCAGGGCGGCGGAAGGGAGAGATGACCCGCGGGACGAGCGCCAGCGCCCAACAAGTGAGGTAGGGAGGCGATGCTCTTTGTATAGGGGTAAAGTCTACTGCCGTGAGAAAGGGTGTGCAATGGGAGTCATATGGTTGTTATGCGTTGGCATTCTGTCGGGAGGGAGGCTTCCGTCGCTTAAGCGTTACCTGGACATCCTCGTCCGTCAGCTTCAGCAATGACTTAGTTGACGCCATCCACATCTCGACGTGCTCCTCATCAACGTCATCAAGGTCCGGGTACTCATCAAGCGCCTGCTGTAAGACTGTGCTGGGAATGTCCGGAATTGCATCGCAGAGTGCATGCGAAGCTGCTTTAGCTAGGACCGTGCCACGATGCAATGAATTGCCCAAAGGCACCGACGTAGTCCTTAAGCACCTCCAGCTTATGGGTAGCGATGAACATGATCGGAAGGAATTATGGCCGCAAGGACGATGTGGGGATCTAATTGATAGCTTGACGGACATGGTTACTTTAGATACATACACGTTCCGTATGGTAATATTTACATAAGAATATTTTAGTTGACGACATTACGAACACGTAGGTTGGTAGGAGGCTCACTAAGACTGCCGGAACCTGCCGGGTTTATAATCACCTAAACCTTAGCCTTTCCGTAGTATGATTTTGTATAAAAAGACGTTCTATTGCATACTGATGGGGTTTAGTTAAGACAGTAGCAGTCGCTTGGTGAAGGGTTTGCTCACGCAGGATTGCCGCAAAACCTTGCCCTACAAAGATACCCTCATCATGGTTCTCTTACAGCAACAGCAGCGGCCCTACGGCCGAGCTGGCGGAGCGCTGCAAGGAAACAATAGCAGGGTCTCGCCCCGTTGCTTGGCCATCGCTTCTCCTCGGCTTATGGCTATTGAACGACGGGCAAAGTTGAAGGAGGAGCTGAACAATCCAGTGAAAATCGGCGCTAGCGGAACGGCCTCGTCCCGGTTCAAGGTGTGTTGCGCGACGTTGAAGCCGGGCAAATTGCACGTCAGGCTTTGAAAGCCTAAAGAAAACATTACCAATACCGTGATTTATGAGAAAAGCGTTGGACGCTATGCCCGCTCCCTTACTTTTGCAGACTCTCTAGCCACCAGCCTCTGCCTGCTCCCTCCCTTTGCTCCCAAACCTTGTCCACCCCTTTACCTTCATCCTCCTCCTCTTTTCCCTCCCTCCTTCCCATTTCACCCTCCTCTCATCCCGCTCCGCGCCCCACCAAATCCTGCCTCCCTCTATCCCCATTGCTTTGCCCTAACCTGTGGTTTTGGTATGTCTCCACCCCCACCAGATCCTGCCTGCCTACGAGCCGCTCCAAAGCTACATGCTGCTGCCCGTGGAGCAGTACTTTGTGCTCGACCCGAAGCAGATCGCGCACCTGGGAGGCAACCGCTTTGTGCTGTCGGTGCCTCGAATCAACGTGAGCAGCGGGCCCAGGAGGGTTTGGGGGAGCAGGGAGGGGCCGACAGAGGCTGTGCTACTGCTACCGGCAGTGCTGCCGGCAGTGCCACTGCCGCAAAACCCATCTGTCATCCCGCCCCGCGCTTTCAAACCCATACACGCACGCCATACACGCCTCCCCGCATCATCCTTGCATGCTACTCCTCCTCCTCCATCTGTGCCACCCTCTCCCCTGCAGATCTTCAACCTCTACCTGGACGCGGTGGTGGAGGTGACCGTCACCATCTTCCCGGGCGACCAGGACGCGGCAGCGACAGGGGCCGCAGGAATACCCGGGAGCATATCCACCACCGCCACTTCCACCAATGGGAACGGCAACGGCGTTGTCCCCAGCCCTAGCAGCAGCAGCCCCGGCCCCAGCAGCAGTGGCGGCGGTCCTCCCCGCGTCTTGCTGCGCGCTGAGAACTGCCGCATCGGCGGGTGCGAGGCGGTGGAGGCGTTGCATGTGGACCAGCGCTTCTCCATGAGCTTTGAAACGGAGCTGACGTGGAGCAGTCGTAGGGGGGGCGGGGGAGGCAGCAGTAGCAGTAGTAGCAGTGGTAACAGTGGAGGTGGCGTTGTCGGGAGTGGGAGCAGCAGGGGCGGGTCGGGCTTTTCGTTTTCCCTGCCCCTTATCGGGCGGCAGCGGCAGGAGCAGCGGCGAGAGGAGGGAGGGCAGGAGCAGGGGGGAGTGGAGGTGGAGGTGGAGGAGGTGGGGGAGATACGCGCCAGCAGCCAGCTTGAGGTGTGGAGCGAGGTAAGGCAGGGGTGGAGGAAGGGGTGACAGAGGGGTCGCTGAGGGGCTGTCCTTGCTCTTGTCTCCAGTGGTTAGGTCCCCATGCAGCATGAGCCTCACCCGCCGGAGTCCAGCGCTGCTACATATCCACCAGCAGCACCACCCTCTGCCACCCCGCCTACTTCCCTTGACCCCACTCTCTCATGCACCCCACCAACCCACCCACCCCATGGTGAAGCCTACATGTCACACAGCTCGTTAGTTGCCTCGTCAGTTTCCCACCCGTTTTACCCACCCGCCCACCCACCCGCCCGCCCCCTGCGTGCAGGTTGTGTCCCCCTTCCACCTGCTGCCCCGCGAGGTGCTGGCGGCCACCTGCAACGGGGTGCTGCGGGGGCTGGTGGCCTCGCTGCTGCCGCTCTTTGTGCGCATGCTGGCGCAGGACTATGAAAAGTGAGGGGCGGGTGGGGGGTGGGGGGGGAGGGAGGAGGAGAAGGAGGGAGGGAGGTGGTGAGGATGAGGGCGAGGGCAGGACACATTTTTTGCGGGACACGATTGAGGGCTGATTTGAAGCGTCCTGACCTGTTGTGACCTGCTTGCCTCGCTTTCGTCCCTTCACCTCGGTATATAGTTCCTCACCCCGCAGCGAACCGACTCCTCGCAGGTGGGCCCAGGACCCCGCGTACCGGGCGGAGCGGGCAGCTCGCAGCAGCGGCGGTGACGGCAGCACTGAGCTACCCAGCACCGCTACCAGCAGCAGCAGCAACGGCAGCAGCAGCAGCCATGAGAGGGTCCTAGTGTCGTAGGTAGCGCCCCGTCGTGGGTCTCGTGTCCCGCTGCCGCCACCTCCTCCTGCCTCTTGGACACCTGTCACCGGTGTTTTGAAGCTGGCAGCGGGCTTGGGGCACTCGTCGTTTAATGCACATGGTGCGAGTTTACGGTGTCTGATGTGTGTGCTAAAATAACTGGCCGCGAGGCGAATAACTTTGCTTGCCTTGGACTGCAGCACTGGAAGGGGCCCCTAGGGCGCTAGTGCATTATGGCATGGGTGTTAAGAAAACTGGCTGCGAGTAGGAACGAGTCATGTGTGTGTTAGAATAACTGGCCGCGTGTGTGTGTCGGGTGGGGTGGGCTGCTGCCTTGCTGGTTGCCTAGATGTTATCAATCTATGATATCCTTGAGCTCGAAACAGCACAAATTTCTTGGCGATGAAAGGGAGAGGGATGTCACGGGGTTCCGCGGGGGTGCCGCTCGGACGCTGGTGGGTGAGGCAGCAGGTGCCGGGGGGCAGGAAGTTGGGTCTGGGTGGTGCCCGGGTCGCCATGAGGGGCCCAGTGGCGGGAAACGCTAGAGGGGGCCACGGAGGCACTTGAATTGGATTCATGCATGGAGGGAAGGAGGGAGGGGGGGAGGGGCTCGGGGGCCCCGTTGGGGGTCCATCGCACCGCCACACAGATTGGGTGCGGTTTGTCGGGGCTAGGCATGTACCGGTATGCGGGAGGGAAGGGGAGCAAGGCCTAGGAAGGCACCCGTCCGGCGAGAGTGTGCGAGGATAATGTCAATTTTGTTCCATGTCTTCGTCGGCTGTGCATTATAGAGTTTCATTTCTTTATGCGGTTATGTTCTATCTGCCAGTACCACGATTTGCGCCTAGGTGCTGCTGGGGTTGATGTGGGCTGGTGCGCCTGTCACCGGGGGCTTAATACCCATTCCAACCGGGTGACAGGTCGCATATGCGCCGGGGAGTTTCTTCTTCAGATATTTGAAAGCTCGCGCCAGGGTGCGGCCCGTGACTGGAGGTGACCCGTTGACTGGTTCGGTGGACCGGTTCGCATGCATCTGCGTAGGTGGTGGGAAAGTGGCCCAGGTTGTAGACTTCTTTTTCTCGTATGAATGTATAAAACACGCGAGTATTACTACGTGTTGGGTTTGGCTTTGAAGGGTCGTTTGTCGTATGTTAAAAAACGACATTTGTGGTATTTCTGCCGGATGGTTTGTAGTCTGGCTGTGTTGCAAAAGTGTTTCGACTTTGCTACAAGCGTATGCCACAATGTCGGCACGGCTCACGCCAACATGTTGTGTTTACAACGGCACTTATCCTTGCTTTGTGTATCCCGTGCTGTAGCCCGTTCGCAGTACGGGAAACCGTACAATATTTTGGTTTTCGGCGTTGTTAGGTCGGTTTATCAGAGCTTCCTGTAGGGAACACTCACTCCAGCAAAGCAGCGCAGAGGCGCGACCTGTTGTTACCGGTGTACGGCAGGTGTAAGCGGTCCAACGTTGAGCAGCAGGGCGGCGGCGGTTGCGCAGTACGGCTCCGCCAGGAGACCCACCTGTGCTGCTGTCCACATGTTGACCATGCAGCCATGTCAGACGACTGCCGTACGCCTGTCGTCAAGGTGTCAACTGGAACTGGTAACATTTTACCAAAAGATGTATTAGGCCATATACCATTAGGCCATATACGCATGCCGTTCGGAGGAGGTTCATCTCTGCACGAGTGTCCTAATATGCCTTCCCACAACACAGCTTAGTAACGCGCGCTGCATCCCGGGACGACCCAACCAGTACAGTTAAAGGACTTTTTGCGCCTCAGCCTGCCACAATCCCACAAAAACACATGCCGCTCCACGCATCACCTCCTGCCCCCCCACCCCCACCCTGTCATCACAAAGCGGACTACCGTAGCTCACTAGCATCCCAAGCAGCCGCGCGGCTTGGTGTCAAACTCCGAGTCCCAGCTCCCCTTGCCGCCTGCACCGCTGCGGGCGCTGCTGAGGGCCGCATCCCGCGCCGCAGCGGCCTCCTCGGCCCGCTTGTTGGCGGCGTCCAGTTGGGCCTGATGGAGGGAGGGAGGGAGGGGGGTAAACATAAGGAAACTGACGAGGCAACTAACGAGCTGGGTGGGTGGAAGGGGGGGGATTGTATAATACCGGTAAATGCAAACAACTAGACTCCCAATCCCATATCCCGACTCATGCAGTGCTGGGTGGGGTGGTGGTGGTGGAGACGTTGGTTAACCTTCGGACACGCCGGGAAACCTCCCCCACCCACCCACCTTGAGCGCCGCGTTTTCCGCCCTCAGCCTCTCCATCTCCGCCGCACTCGTCTGCGCCGCCAGCTGCACCCGCTGCGCCTCGAACGCCGCCGCCGCCGTCTGCCGCTCAAACAGCTCGCCGCCCAGCGCCGCGTACTGCGCGTGGCAGAATGCGAGCAGTCGCGGCCACCTGGCTGCCCCCACCGTGGCCGCCACCACCCCCGACACGCCCGCCTCCACGCTGGCAGCCACCTCCCGGTAGTCCAGCTCGCGCAGCCGGGTGTCCTGAACCAAGGGGGGGGGGAAAGGGGTAAAGATGAAACAACAAGTCCCAATCCCATATCCCATATCTGAACCAGGGGGGTTAAAGAGGAAACAACTGACTGTGTGATAAGGCGTCATCAGGGGGGTTCAAAGAACAGATACCATACCATAGGAAACCACAGGTTAGGGCAATGCAATGGAGATAGGAGACTAGGTGGGGTGGCCGGGAAGCGGGAGAGGGGTCAGGGAGAAGTCAACCCGTTCAGCAGGGAAACCGACCCCTAAGCGGTAGGTGGGATGTGCTACCGGTATGCGTGCAGGTACGGGTCTTCATAGCATGCCGGGTTGCCGGCCACCACGCAATCAGCTTCCCCCCCTTTCCCCCTCCCCCAGCTCCCCCACCCCACCCCACCGCATGCAGCTTGCCCGCCAGCTCCCCCAGCAGCCGCTCCAGTGTCTCTGCTGCCGCCGCCAACCGCCGCTCCCGCAGCGCCTCGAACGCCATGTTGCATGCGGCCACGAAGCGCTGCTTGTAGCGGGCCTGCAGCGCCGGGTCGCCCACCGCCCGCTCCTTGAAGGCCGAGGTGGCGGCCGCCAGGGCGCGCTGCGAGGTGGGTTGGGGTATGCGGATTTAGGGGTTGCATGAAAGGTGAGAGGCAACACTGTAACACTCCACTTCAAATTATATCTAAACACGCAAAGGGACAGTGCGCAACGGGTTCTTGGGTGATTCGTGATTGCGAGTTGTGGATACCAGTGGATCATACACACATCTGGATCGGAATGGGGACATGCTGACCCGGGATGCCAATGGCCGGCGCTACCCTCCGCCCCTTGCCTCCTTTCCCTTCGCTTCCCCTCCTCACCAGTCCCCCCCGCCCCGGCCCCACCTGGTGCTCCTCCGCCAGCGCTTGCTCGTCCGCCGGCGTGTTGGGGTTGAAGGCGGCCCGGTAGGCGTCCTCGGCGGCGTAGCAGGCAGCGCGGCACTCCGACTCGGCAACATTCTGGAGATGGCAGGGGGGAGCAACAGGTGGAGCAAGCATGGCGCATTGAGGACCGGGAGGGTAAAGACAGCCTGGAGCAAGGGGCTATCCACACGTCCTATCACCACCACCAACAACAACAACATCCCGCGCTCACATGCCATGCGGTCGAGATGGTGGGCACCGCCCCCTGGTTTATCGCCTTGACGTAGGCAGCTGCCATGCCCGCCAGCAGCGGTCCCGTCAGCAGCTGCGTGCCTAGCCGCTTGGGCTGCGCGCGCGCGTGGATGGTGGCGGTCAGCCGGGCTACACCCTAGGGGTACACACGTGGAGGGAATGTGCGTACAGTGCGATGGTGGGTGGCGCGGAAGGGGGTTGTCAGAAAAAACACGCCATGCAACGGCAGCGGTGCTATATTTGGTAACGACGATTCTCCCCCTGTTCACTCAAAGCCTGCCGCACGCCCTGGGTACAATTTCTTCCACCTCCTCCCTCCATTTCCCTCCCATCTCATCCAATTTCCTCTCTCGCCTGCACAAACTCGGGTCTCAGCTGCTCATGCGGCAGCGACTCCAGGTTGCGAAGCGCCTCCTCCTCCGTCACCGGCCGCACCAGCGTCACACAGTCGCGGTCGGGGAACAGCGACTTGATGGACTCGCGGATCTGCGCGACGGCAGGGGCGCGCATGCATGCATGATGCAAGGGCCGAGCGTACGTGGGATAAGGCACATGTCGCGGTTGTCATGTGGGCCGACATGGGCTGGCATAGGTGGGTCCTAACCACATCATCGGGAAGCACATTAATCACATCATCTCGGGCCGTCAGGCATGGCATGCGACCCAGCCAGCTGCCACTCCGTTACCCGCCCCGCCCCGCCTACCGCGTTCTTGGCCTCCACTGCGGGCCCCTTGCCCGGTGTGGGCATGAGCGCCGTCTCCAGGTAGTCCCGGGCGGATTGCTGGGGGGGGGAGCAGGTGGGGGACATGCATGCATGCATGCAGGGGGGTGGGGACCCGGGGGTAGACACAGCAGCAGCACTTGTGGCGGATCCAACTGGGCGTACGGGTAAAGTCCACTGCCTGCTCCTCTCTAGCTCCCCTCCTCGCTACCAGCTCCCCCAAGTACCGGCATGATGTGCAACAAGGCTCTGCTGCCCTGCCCGCCCCCCTCCCTACCAACACCGCTCCCGCCCTGCCCCCACCTTGACTCCGTTGTCCTGCAGGTCGTAGTAGAAGTCCCGCAGCAGCCACATGAAGGAGGGCGTGAACTCGGACAGCGCGGAGATGTCCTCCAGGGCTGCGCATGCAGGTGTGGGGGGGTGGGAGCGGGGATAGGAGGAAACAACTACCGGTAACTGACCGTGTGATAAGGTGTCATCATGGTTTGCAGCATGTGAGCCAGCCCGGGGAGCGGGGAGGTGGGGAGGTGGGTTGGCGGGACAGTTGGGAAGGGGTTTAGGAGGCTGTCAAAGACTCGACAGAATACGTCGGTACGCCCTGCATCTACTTGCCATGCCATGGGGGAGCAGCCTTCCATCTTCCCATGCTGCTACTAGCACAACCACATCCTGTGGTGCTACCCTTTCCTCACGTTCAGGCGCCGCTGCCGCTGCCGCCTGTCCCTTCTTCCCTCCGCTGCCGCCCCCTCCGCCGCCGCCTGCCGCCCCTCCTGATGACGTCCCCGGCTCCGCGCCTCCCGAGGAGGAGGTGGGTGTCCTCCCGCCGCTGGTGCGCACCCGGATGCGGCGAGTGAGCTCCGTCACCAGCGCCAGCCGGTCCAGAGCCGCCTCGTCGATACCGCCCATCTGCATGCGGTGGTGCGGTGGTGACGTGAAACACGTGATGGTGGCGGTGTGGTTTCCGTTATCCCCTCGAGAGACAGGCCGCCACACCGTGGTACGGCCAGGGTCAGTGTCTCCACTACGTGCTACCTCCCCCCACTATCCTGCCGCCTCCTACCCCATTGCTTTGCCCTAACCTGTGGTTTCCTGTGATATGATATGGTATGGTCTTAGACGACCCTGTTGCGTATCAACCCAGTGCCCTGTGCCCAGTGGTGGTTTATTGACCGCCTGTGTGGCCACACCTGGTTGAACACGAAGAGCGAGGACAGCAGCACCGCCAGACTAAACAGCGACACGCCGTCCTGGGTCGTCTGCGGAAAGAAGGGAAAGAGAGGGAGGCAGGCAGGTGGTGGGTGAGAGGAGTGGGTGTGGGTGCTGGCATTGCGGCGGGGCCACGGTGAGGACACGGTGCGGTCACGAGCGGTGTCGCCGCTACCCTGTCAGCGCAGCAGTTTGCCCATGCTTTGGTGCACCGCTGCTTTACCGCATACGTGCCGAGGTGCCGTAAGTACCTGGTTGTATGCGTCGATGCCCTCCGTGTCCACGAGCACCTGGGGGTTGAGGGTCCGAGGAGTGGCCGACGAGCATGCGCCACGGCACGACGCGCGTCAGGAAAACGTATACAGAGGATTGTCAAGGCAGGAAATAGAGCAATTGGCGTCCATGCGAGGCAAGCCACACATCTTCACATCATTAGCGGCAAGCATGCGGGCTTATAGGCTGCCCTTACGTGATACGCACCAGGTAATAGTTGCTGCCGTCTAGGGCGGTGCGGCGAATAGGGTGGGACCACATCCACAGGCCTGCAGGGGCAAGGGGCGTTGGGGTTGTGAACCATGGAGAGAGACACAGTGGGAACGGAGGCGGTAATGAGTGGGGCTTTGGTGTGGAGGAACCCAACAGCAGGTGGCGTACTCCAGCAGCTTGCAGCTGTTTAATAGCGATCTTCCAGATTTGTCAGTATAGGGGCTCGCTGGTGCAGAGACGCCAGAGAGCAAGGAGAGACAGTAGGCAGTTTACTGTGTGGCCCTCAGTCCTGACTCCCAGCCTTATGGTCAAGGGGCCGTCTGAACGAACAGGTGAACCTGCATGTGGCGGCAGTCCGGCAGGCCCTGCTCTTGCCGACTTGGCCGTACCTTTAGTGCAGGGTTTGTACGAACTTGCGACTTCGAATCCGGCCCCAGCTGTACCGAGCAGCTGGTTAAGGATGTAGCTTTTACCAGTCCTAGCCCGTCCGCACACCGCAACGACGGCAAGCGGAGCTTTGATGCATTTTAGGACCGAAATCGCCTCCTCGCCAAGGGAAAACTGCCCCGTTGATGCATCGTGAGTCACAAGTTGTAGCGGTCGGCCTTCTTGAGGGTTTTGTTGCCGGCCGCTGCCAGAAGACTTGTCGCGGCGCCCATCTGTCGATGCCATGTCCGCGCGTTAGGACCTACTGGCGAAGGAGGTGCTTCTTAGGTATCGTATGTTATTATATAGCGTGTGATCCTGGTCAATTTTTGTATAAACGCCCTCAAGATGCGTGCTATTTCCCGGTGCAACAGCTGCGAAATTAAATGATATCACGAACAACAGTGTAATGTTAACAGCGAGGCAGTAACATTTATGAAGACATATTTTATAACGAGCCGGATTCTGTGCGACAGCTATATTTCAGGACGACAACTGTTTTGTTTATCTGTACGGCTGCTGTACCCAGGTCTTGTCAACTACGGCAAGTCAAATCACCATCCTCAGTTCGGGATACGGAGTGAACTATGGGGTGTAGATAGGCAGACTAACGCGTACAAGCTCTTCGCTTAAAACACGGTCGCTCAGGCTAGCCCCAGCTGGTGGCAACCTGCTCTCCGCATGCAAAATGCCCCCCAGACAGGGCCTCAGACACGACCTCAACCAGAACCGCCACCAGGAGCGCAACCAGACCGCAACCAGTCCGCAACCTTATTGTAGTTGAGAGGCTTTCCGGGCTAGGTATTTGGATCCCGCTTTGGGGGCAGGCCGGTTCCGGAGCCTAGTGTCATTAGATTCTAACTCCTACGAATGCTCCCCTTTCACCATAGATGACGCTATGGTAATTTCAGCGCATGGGTAGCAAGCTGTACTATGGGCAATCCATCCTATGATCTACCCCACCTCCCCAACAACTAATTTGCCGACCGTTCTCCCGAAACCAGCCACGGCGTAGTAGCGGGCTAGCTTATGTCAATACCCATTCTTCGGTTGCAGGCCGTACGCTTGCGCGGTCCCCACGTGTGCCATCTGTCCCTTCTTCAGCTGTACGGCAAGGTGCCTAACGCCAGGTCTGGAATGCATACTGAAAGCACTTTTGGGTCATTCCATCTAACCCTTATGCTTGGACGTACATATATGAAATTACTATCGAAACCTCTTTGCGTTTTCACTGCCACGTGCTGTAAGTTAGCTTGGTTTAGAGCTTGCGTCCCCGTTATTGTAATATGAATGTCTCTTTTATATAGATAGTAGCAGTGATAAGCTGCTTAGCAGGAAAGATGTTATCTCCAGTAGCAGCGAGAGTCGTTAGTGGCCGCTTTAGCTCTAGTGGAGGCGACAATCCTTTCTCGCAGCATAGGCAGTCACATGATGAGGAGCAGCCACTTCATAGCAATGAGCCTGGGAAGCGGGAGTACTCGGGTCGCTACCTGCTGACCTGCCTGATCGGGTATTCCCTAAGCTTCGTCGTCTTTGGCTCGCAAGTCAGCATTCTCGGACCAACTATAGCAGCTCTTGCCAATAAGTTGCACGTAGAAGAGCCGGACCTCAGCCCACTCTTCACGGCCCTCGGCGTCAGCTGCATCGTGAGCGGCACCCCATCGGGATGGCTCGTTGACCGGGTGCCAACGCACCGCGTGCTCGCAGGCTCTCTGCTCGTCCAGGTAGAGTTCCTCCCCGCCTTCTCATGCCCTTCCCTCTGTCCCCATATCACCTCTGATAAGCAAGCAACCATGGCCCGCGGGCCTCCTTACCTCAACACGGGCCGCCTTCCTTCACCCCGCCCAAACCCTAGCCCACCCACACCCCACCTCACGCTGCCCCCTGCACCCCCCTCCCCCCATCATCATGCCGCTCCTCCTCCCCATCCTCCCTGCCCCCTGCAGGCTGTCGGCTTCTCGCTGGTGCCCCTCATGCCCTCCGTGTGGTCCCTCACGGCGCTCTTCTTCGCCGCCTGCTTCTCCTACAATTTCACCAACTCGGCCGTCTTCACGGGGCTGGCCTGGATGTTCCCCAAGCGGGCAGGTCCCGCCATCAACATGGTGCTCGCCATGTTCGGGCTGGGATCCTTCTTCATCCCGCTGGCAGCGCAGGTATATGCCGGGAGGTGCCTGGGGGGGCGTGTTAGGTGTGGTTGGCTGGTTACTGGATGTTCAGAAGAGCCGACTGCGCTGACCGGGGTTTGCTACCACCGGCCTGCATGCGTCCCTCGCATGTTGCTCGCATGTTGCTCCCCCCTCCCGCGCGACACACACCTCCCTCCCATGCCCTATCTCCCCAACCCTCCCCCACCTCTCCCACCTCGTCAGTTGCATCGTCAGTGTCTCATTAATGTTTACCTCCCCCCCCGACAGGCCTGCAGCACCTACCTGGGCTCCCCCCTGGCGGTCTTCTACCTCACGGGCGGCCTGGCGCTCATAGCCGCACTGCCCTTCCTCGCCCTCGCCTCGCCCACACGACCCACGGATGCCGCGGATCCCGCCTCCGCCGAGGGCAGCGGCAGCTGCACCACCAGCGTAACCAGCCGCCGGTCCCGGCTCCGCCCTGACGCCTCCCGCCGGCGCGCGCTGCAGCAGAGCACCACGGGTGCGGTGGTGCTGCTGGTGTTCCTCACCACGGCCGCCGAGACGGCCATCGGCAACTGGGTGCACACGTTCAGCGTGCAGGAGGTGCCGGGCATGGGCGAGGGAGAGGCGGCGCTGGCGAATAGCGCGTTCTGGGGGGCGTTCACGGTTGGGCGCGTGATTGGGGTAAGAGGCGTGGGGAGGGGGTTGGGAAGGGGGTGCTGAGCGGGGGTGTTAAAGGACAGGCCAGCCTCCGAACGCAGACGCGGAAGGGGAAGAGGAGGAGAGTGCCGTCATGCAGTGTACAACGCGGCATGCGGCCTCCCATTCCCGCTTGGCATCAGCTCCACGGCTAACCTCCCTGCCACACACGTCCGCATGCCCACCCCCAACCCCTGCCTCCTGACCCTCCCAATTCCGTCCCCTTCCCTCCCCTCCCCCCCTGTCAGGCCACCGTGTCTCACGCCACCACCCCGCTGGCGCTGCTGCTGGGCTCGCTGCCCTTCTCGCTGGCGGGGTGCGCGCTGCCGCTGCTGGCGGGCAGGGGGCGGCTCAGCAAGCAGCTGGTGCTGGCGCTGGCGGCACTCACGGGTGGGGTGGGGGTGTGCGGTTCCGCCTTGCTTGCGCCGTGTCACATGATCTGATGCCGGACTGCATACAGCTGCTAACCTCGCCGATGCCCTCCTCGCTCTCTCCTCCTCCTGCTCCTCCTCCGCCCTCCCCCCACTCTGGGCATCCTTCTTTCCTCCCTCTTCCTCTCCCCCTCCCTCTCTGCGCCCAGGTCTGGGCAACTCCACGGGCTACGCCAACGCGGTTGCGCTGCTGGAGCGCTACCTGCCGGTGTCGGGGCTGATCAACGGGGTGTTCGGTGCGGTGGCGGGCGGGGCGTGCATGGTGGGGCCGGTGCTGGTGGCGGAGCTGGCCAAGTACACCAGCCTGAGGTGGGAGGGGGGAGGAGGAAGGGGGCGCGGGATGGGAGGGAGGAGGAAGGGGGCGCGGAGGGGAAACCACATGAGAAGTGAAGCAGCGGGATTCCAGCTCAGCGGGGGGAGGGGAAGCGGAGTGAGGGGAGGGTGGACTTGTGGGAGTGAAAGGGAAAGGCGCGGGGGGTCTAGGAGCTGTCCTCCGCACCCGCAGGTGGTCCCCACACCCGCACAGCTGCTGCGGCTCAGTTGCTCCTAACCCAGACCCGCACCCGCCCCTCTCCCCCCCCAGGTACATGTCCATGCCCTGGGTGGGTCTGGTGCTGTACGCGCTGCACCTGCCCGCCATCCTCACCGCCGCATGGGCGGGGGGCAGGCTGCTGGCGCTGCCGCCCCCAGCGGAGGCGGAGCAGCCCTTCCTGCGCGACTGCCCCGCCGGGCCCATGGCCGTGGGGGCGGAGGAAGAGGAGGAGGAGGTGCTGCGGCTGTTGCAGCAGCAACACCAGCAACAGGGATTGCAGCAGCAGCAGCAGCAAGCGGATGATGAGCGGCAGCGGGGAGTACGACAAGTAGGTGTACGACAAGTTGGGCAACAAGATGAGCAACATGGGGGAGGGCAATCCGTACCGCCCCCGCAATTAGTAGGGGCGGGGACAGGGGCAGCAGCGGGTGCTAACGGGAAGCAGCATCGGTGATGGGGATAGCGAGGGGTTCGGAGGGTGGCACCGAGCGGGGCTTGCAGCAGCGTGTTTACTTGGTTGTGTGTTGTGCGCGTTAGGGTCGGGGGCCTGATGGTCTGATGTGGGTGCTGTGTAATGCCGGCTAAAGAGAGGATTAGGAGGCGCGCAACAGTCTTCTCGCCTGAATCGCTGGCGTTGTATTGTACAGTCTGTGTAGCTCTTGTGTGGCTTAATGGCTTATGCACGGCGGTGTGTTATCGCGCGCGCCGGTAGGGACTCGCAGCGGAGCGCGGCGGTCCTGGTTGGTGGCGTCAGGATGCAGGTCTTGACAAAAATGAGCTTACGTTGTATATGTCAACCGCGTTTCCACGCGCCCTTGTTTCTATAATGTGTGCGGCAGGTTGAACGGTGATGAAGTTATCTATGATACGCGGTGCGGCTAGGAAACGTCAAGCGTCAAGGGTGTTGTTGCTTGGGTGCCAGCGACGGAGGAGGAACAATAGCTTGCTAGTGCTAGGCCAGACTGACCCCCTGTGTCTTCCACCCGAGTCAGCTGTGTGGGAACATGTACTGCGCCCGAACAGGGCTGCTTAACATAAAGATTTGGGAACCCAATTCTCGACCACGGTGGTTGGTATGTTGCAACCTGGCTATGCTACGCGGGCTCGGAGCCGTGACCGCAGCTGTTTGCCGGTCTGGAGGAGCAATCTGTTTGAATGAATGACCGTTACAATGGTTCCCTAAAAGGGAGGCATCTGTTTGGCAGTTCTAAAAGCAAATTATGGTAGGAGAAGGAAGGAACATAGGATCGGCACTTGCGCAGTGTATGCCGGCCGTACGAACATTTCGTGCCCGCGTGCGAAGGATCGCAAGCTTCAGACCGCATGTGTGTCTCGTCACACCAAGAGCGGCGGCGTGTAAGGAATCCTGACTCACAGCTAGCGTACTTTGTACCGTATAGCTTGCTGTGGCTTGACCAACCGCCATTTTTCTACGATTACGTCCCTGACGTGGCGCGACTGCCTTGGACGGATCCGAGCCTGTACGACGGATGCAGGCTGCGCTGAGCGATGAGAGACAACTACCCTCCTTTAATCAATTACGTTTGAGGATTCTGTGGTAGCATAATTCATCTGGTGTTCACGGTGTTAATCGTGCCTATTTATACACGGCGCTTTCTGTTGCTTGTCCTTGTTGCGTTCATCATCGCTAGCACATCTCTAGGAAACTCAGATTTACACAAATGGTTGACACAGAAAACGAAACAGGTATGTGCTGGGCCGTGATGACTGCTACGCTGAAGGCCGTGAAGGATAAGACCTCAGTCCCGAAACAACGGTCAGCACAGCCAACCGCTCGCCCTGCCTTTTGCCGCTGCAAATTCCGTTTACGATGGGCATGGCTATCTAGGACACTCCAACCCATCGCAAACAGAGCAGAGACTGCTAGCGGCCGTCATGTGGTGATGTGGCTTTAACACCTACAACTAGAGAGTCTATATGACGCCATATCCTGCTATTTCCAGCTTTTCCTTTACCCGTTTGCGGCTCATTGGCTTGCACAACACCTGCGGTGCGTGCTGCCTCCATCCTGGCTCCACAATCCGCAGGCCAGTGTCGCATCTGTCTGGACGAGTGTCCCGTGGGTCAGTTGCTCACCCAGCCATGTGGCTGCGCCGGCACGCTGCGGCACGTGCACCCGGAGTGTCTACAGGTGCGGGGAGGAGGCGGGTGGGGTAGAAGGAAGATGTACCGTCAGGGACAGCGCACAGCCGGAGAAGATAGGGAAAGGGAATTCCCCTGCAGCGCGCTTGCGCTTACGTTGCGTGCTTAGTGGTGCGTGCCTGTGCACACTGCGACAAATGAAGCGTCAGCCGCGGTCCACTCAACTTGGTTGCGTGCTGAGCCCAAAGGTGCAAGTGTAGTGCTAGCTGTGTGCTAGGGAGGTGGGAAACTGATGCGCTGCTTCGTTGCACAACACTGCAGGCATGGGCGGCGGCACGCGGGGGCGGCCCCTTCCTGTGTGAGGTGAGAAGGGGGTGCGTGTCGGAGCAGTGGGCAGAGGAGCAGCGAACGGGTGGTTGCGGTGGGATCGGGAGTGCTGCCGGTGCCACGTCGCTTTGCTGCCATACATATACAGCTGTGTGACTTCGGAGCTTAAAAAGCCGGCTCATGCAGCATTCCTTTGTAAGATTGTGACTGAGCTTGATTGTTACTTCTGCATGCTGCATTCGAACCGCGCAGGTCTGTCAGCAGCCAGTGATGCTGCAACCCCGCCAGAAAGCAGCTGCGGCGTCCATGTTAAGAGGCAGCAACAGCAGCAACTGGTGGCTGCGAAACACAGGACTATACTTTAGCCCCAACAGCCGCAGCAGTAGCAACAGCAGCATGAGCAGTAGTAGCAGCGGTAGCAGCGGCGGTAACGGTGGTGGTGGTGGCGGTGCTGCTGGTGGCACGTTCTTCTCCTACATCTGTCCAGCAGGCATGTCATTCGCATCAGCAGCGACGAACGCAGATGACGACGAGGACCGAGAACGACCCATGGGTCCAACCTCCTCCACCAGAACCGCCTCCTCCTCCTCCGCATCTTTAAGACACGACTATTTGCGTCAGCATCACCATTACCACCACCAACCGTACGGCAACAGCAGCAACGAATTCGGCTTTGCTACGATACCAACATCTCCGTACAACCACCGCACTCACACCCACACCCACCCCTACCACCAGCACCCGCACCCCCACCGCCTGCATGGCAGCGCTGGCAGCAGCAGCCAGGGCCAATTAGGCGGTGGCGGCGGTGGCGGTGGCGGTGGCATGGGCAGCGTGTTCGGTGCCGTGCTGGGCGGAGTGTTGGGCGGCGAGGGGCGGGTGCGGTCGCTGGGTCTGGGCTCGGTGCGGGTGCAGCATCACGTGCTGCTGGTGGCGGCGGCACATGAGCTGCAGGTGAGGGGGGCGGGGGTGGGGGAAAAAAGAAACTCCAAAGTGTGGTATGATAATGATACAAGTTGCTGACAATCCCTGGTGGAATCAACCGTGAGTCGAGCCGAAATGGTGGTTAAAGCAATGCGAGCTAAACTTACCGAACTTACCAATTATGGAGCAACCTTACCATAGTCTTGGGCATGTGTGGAGGCTGCCATGTGTGGGATAAAGGAGAAGTGCAGCAACTGGACTCCCAATCGAGGGGGCGGGGCGGGGAGCAGGTGGGGGAGCGGGGTGTAGGAGAAGGACCACTTACGCATGGGGGAGAGGGTGGGTGCATCTTCAGCAACTTCCTGCTCCTCGTCCACGGCCCATCTCCACATTGCCATTGCCGTACCGGTAATTGTCCGCCATGTTCACCTCCGGGTTTGGTATCTTACTCTCCGCTCTCCTTTGCTCCGCCACCCGGCCCCCCGCTCCCTTCCCGCCCTCCCTTCCTCCGCCGCTCCTCGCCGGCCCCCCAGTCCGAGTCCGAGTCCGAGGAGCAGGAGCAGGAGCGGGCCTCCCAGTGCTGCTGGCTGCTGCTGGCGTACGGGCTGATGGGGGGGCTGCTGCTGGCCGCCATGTACGCGCATGCGGTGGCGGCGGCAGGCCTGGCGTACGGCGGGGTGTAGTACGGCAGGCTGGGTGTAGTACAGTGCGGCAGTACGGCAGGTACACGACAGCTGGGAGGAATGGCATGGTGAGATGGTGGAATAGGTGGTGGCATAGGTGGTGGGATAGGTGGTGGAATAGGTGGGGTATCGTTTGCAGGGCATGTGGAATGGGATGGACTATCATGGGGTGGTGGTGGACCTCCGCTCATGGGGTGCATCTCCGCTGGTCGGGCTGTATGGGAAAGGGTGCGCGGGGAGATAAGGGGCGTGCTTTCTGGAGGAGGAGAGGTTTGGGGGTAGGAGTGGAGGGTAGTAGGGCGATTCGAACTGAGCGTGGGACGTTCAAGAGTTACAGGAACCCAAGTTGATTATTGTTAATTGTTGTTGCTATTATGGCGTGGGCGAGCGATAAAGGAGGAATAAGTTGCACGTTTGCTACAGTTGGCAGCTACGGATGTTGCAGTACGGAATTCGCACATCCGTGACACGGTTTCCACAGACTGCATACCTGCAGCACGATAACTACGTTTCGTGCCTAAGCGGCGGTGAAGGACATGTTGGGACAAGTACTCACATTAGTAAGGAAGGTTGGGGGTTGGTGACTGCGTCGATGTACGCCGGGTAACGTGCTTGGCATAACGCGTAGACGACACACATGTGCTAGTAGGGTGCACAACGTCCGCGCCTGTTCGCTATTGCGCGCAGCATACCTTTGACGGTCCGCTCTTCCTTCATGGGATGGGATGGAGTTCCCTGACCCATGGACCGGGAATTTGTGCAGAGGGCGAGGGCGGTTGAATGACACAGCATTTGTTTTGCTGGAATGTCATCTGGACGTCTGAACTAGTTGTTCGTGTTACGTCGGCTTCTGAAGGACGGGTAGCTAGTATGGCGGTCTAAATTCCGGTCTGCTACGTCACGCATTGCTCTGCCATAGATTGCTGTATTCCACGTAGACTTTGCAGTTGCTATACTTGTAATACTGGGATTATACGGTGCTAAGTGTACTGTTCCTCGGGTGTTGTTCTCGCTTTTGCGCCAACTCCTTACTGCAGCGGCGAGGATTTCGCATTTGAAAGAAGCGAACTACTGTGCAATACTTTTATTACTTGTAATAAGCTGATCATGTCGCTCGATCTAGATGAGTAGAGTTACATGCTTTCCATGGACAGAGCTGTGCCAGCCGTGAAGTTTCTGAGATGATCCACCTGCTTGGTAAAGTAAATTAAATTCACTACCTCTGGTGCCTGGCATTGAGCGGTAGCCGATGCAGCCCATATGGAACATCAACCGCCCGGCCGTGGTCATGGACTGTGGCACGGGGTTCTCCAAGATAGGCTTCGCCGGTAACTCAGAGGTACGCAACTCTCTAATCTGCAACTAGTAAACATGCGGGAAGCCCGTCCCCTTGCCTTCCTCTTTGGACGTACCCAACCCTCCAATCCATGGGAAGCAGCCGTGACGCGTTGCGGGGGCTGTACTCTTAGCACGTTTCCCAAACCAGCCCCCTACTCCCACCACCCACCATTCCCCCCCACCCATCCCCGAATCCCCCCTCCCCCGCCCCGCCCCCGCCCCTATACCCCCTCCACAGCCCAGCTTCGTCATCCCCACCGTGCTGGGTCCCGGCGCCCCCTCCTCCGCCCTCTCCCCCGCCTCCGGCCTCGGCCTAGCCACCCGCAGCGCCGGCGGCGGCAGCGGCGGACCGCTCCTCGGGGACCTGGACTTCAGCATCGGCGAGGAAGCGCTGCTGGCGGCGCAGCTGGCGGCGGGGGCGGCACTCGGCGGAGGCGGCAGCGGCGCTGGCGGCACCGTCAGCAGCGGCGGAGGCGGCGGAGGCGGAGGTGGCGGCGGCGGTGCAGCCGGGGTTGGCGGAGGTGGCGGCGGGCTGACGTTTCCCGTACGGCAGGGCGTGGTGACGGACTGGGACGCGATGGAGCGGTTCTGGCAGAAGAGCCTGTTCCAGTTGGGTGGGGGGGGGAGGCGGGGTGGCGGGGGGGGGGCGATTTATATAACAAGTGCAAACAACTAGAGTCCCAATCCCATATCCCCCCGGGGGGGGGGAGGGGCTAGGGTAGTGGGTTAGCCTGGTCGTCATAGCTGCTTTCGTTTTTACCTCCTCCCTTCCATCCCTCCGCCTCCCCCCTCACCCTTCCCCCTCACCTTCCCCCAATGTTGCAACCCATGGTGAAGCCTCATCATACAGCTCTCGTCATTTTCCTCTTGTTACCCCCCTTCCATCCCCTCCATGCTTGGTATATCTTGTACCCCCCCACCCCCCCAGCTACTTGCGAGTGGACCCCGAGGAGCACTGCGTGGTGCTCACGGAGCCGCCCCTCAACCCGCCGGAGAGCCGGGAGGCCATGGCGGAGATCATGTTTGAGAGCTTCAACGTGGCGGGCATGTACGTGGGCGTACAGGCGGTGCTGGCGCTGTACGCGGGCTGGGCGGGGGCGGGAGATAAGGTGCGGGCGGGGGATAAGGTGGGGGCGGGGGATAAGGTGGGGGCGGGCGATAAGGTGGGGGCGGGGGCGGGGGATAAGGTGGGGAGAGGAGGTGGGTGACAAGGTGGGAAGAGGAGGTGTGACGGCGTGCGTTGGGAAGGGGCCGGGCTCGTCGGGGGGCAGGGCGGGTAACCCGAGGAGGGACGTCCCTCATGCAGCTGCTGGCGCTGGAGCCCCGCTCCTCGTCGTGAGCTCCCTACCTGGGCCTGACAGGAGCAGCATAGGACCATGGACATGATCATTTGAACCCACCTGTCAATTTTGAAGTGTATCCGCATTTCCCTGGGCACTCCTTTCAGCCGGACACTGCCTCCTCCTCGCCTCTGCTGACGCTCCCATTCTCCCCTTCCTGCTGCCCACTCCCCAACCCCCACAGTCCGCCGCCCCCTCCACCTCTCCCGCCCCCTCCGCCCCCTCCGCCTCCCCCGCCGCCCCCACCTCCCCCGCCTCCCGCCTGACGGGCACGGTGGTCGACGTGGGCGAGGGGGTGACTCACATCATCCCGGTGGTGGACGGGTTCGTGCTGGGGGGCGCCATCAAGAGCCTGCCACTGGCGGGGCGGGCGGTGACGGGCTTCGTGCAGCAGATGACACGGTGAGGTGGGGGGGTTAGGAGGGGGCGGGGAAAAGGGGGGGCGGGGGCGGGAATAAGGAAACTGGCGAACTGTATGTCGAGGCTTCACCATGGGGGGTTGAGGGCGGGAGGGAAGGAGGTAGAAAAGTAGTAAAGTACGGTACCCTGCTGAGGTATGCAACGGGAGGGAATATGTATTGATATCACGGTATGCTGGAATAGCGGAAATGTACAGAATTACACAATTGGCTTGCCACTATCGCTATAGCACAGCTTGGCTTCTTCTTCCCTCCTCCCCACCACCACCTTCTCCTTCTTTCCCCCCCAGTGAGCGCGGCGAGCCGGTTCCCCCCGACCACTCGCTGGAGGTGTGTCGGCGGCTGAAGGAGGGGCACTGCTACGTGGCGCCCGACATGCTGCGAGAGTTCGGGCGCTACGACCGGGACCCCGCCAAGTACATGCGGCAGCTGAAGCTGAACAACCCGCGGACGGGGGCGGTGGGTGCGGGGAGGGGGAGGGAGGGGGAGAAGGAAGGGGTTGGAGAGGGGAGGCGGTTAGGTAGGCTGAAGCCGCGAGGGGAGAGGGGGAAGGCGTCAGGAGGGGCGCGCGTCCTCCTCCTCCCTTTCCGCCTCCCCAACCCTCCTGAGCCCCGCCTCTGCTGCTGCTGCTGCTGCTGGCCCTTCCCCCCTTGACAGGAGTTCTCGGTGGATCTGGGTTACGAGCGCTTCCTGGCTCCGGAGATCTTCTTCACCCCCGGCATCTGCCCCTCCGCACCCCCGGGGACACCCTCGCTGCCCAGGGTACGGCAGGGGGCTGGGGGGGCAGGGGGGCTGAGGGGGGCTGGGGGGGCTGGGGGCCTGAGGGGGGCTGGGGGGGCAGGGGGGCTGGGGGAGCTGGGGGCTGGGGTGGAAGGGATAAGTAGGAAGAGGAGGGGGGAGGTGGGGTAAACCTGATGACCTCCTACCCTGGCTTGTCTACCATGCATACAAAACAAGCCTCCACCCCAATTATCCAAAGCCCCTCTCTCGCATAGACGTGGCCAGCTTCGTTAACACAAACTCACAATACGTTCCGACTCGCGGCCACACACCTCCCACACCCCCTTCATTCCATTCACTAGGGGCCTGTCGTCTTGTTTACCATTCTCATTCAACAGAATGGGTATTCGTCCCCCCCCTGCCCCAAGGCGGTTGATGACGTCATCCAGGCCTGCCCCATCGACACCCGCCGGGCGCTGTACGGCAATGTCGTACTCAGCGGCGGATCCACCATGTTTAAAAACTTTGCTCGGCGGCTGGCAGCCGACATGACAGCTGCCACCTCGCGTCGCCTGCAGCCGGGGGCCAAGGTAGGGGTGGGGGTAGCTCATGGGGTATGGTGGTTTTGGGGCCGCACCGGTATGTTGGTAGGTCGCGCTGGGGCCGACTCCATTTCCCAACCCACTGCTAAACAATTGTATGCTATTCCTATTCCCCGAACCCAACCCGCTCCACCCCCCACCAACCCGCCCAAACCCAACCCCCCCAACGCTAACCACTACTTGTTTTGTGGCACCCTACCGCTCCTATCCCCAATGTCTAGCCCCAACCTGTGGTTTCCTAAGGTTCGGTATGGTCTTTGAACCCCCCCCCTCCCCCGAACCCCCTCAGGCAATCGACATCACGGTACGCAGCCACCCCATGCAGCGCTTCGCGGTTTGGTTCGGGGGCAGCCTGGTGGCTTGCGACCCGGGTTTCGGAGCGGTGTGCCACTCGCGGGAGCAGTACATGGAGCATGGACCCAGGTGGGGGGAGAGGGGGTGGGGTAGGGGGAGGATAGAAGAGGAAACGGACGAGCTGTATGGGTGTACAGCTCGTCCGTTCCCTCTTCTTACCTATGCACTTACTTGGACGGGCCGTAGGGCACTCTGTGGCCTTGTGGGCCCGCGGGAAGTGCGGTGGTGGGATGGGATAGGATACGTTTCCCCTCTGTTACAAGCAGGCCATGAAGCACCCCCCACTCCCTGCTCTGCCCGGCTGCTTTGTGTCCCCACTTCTTCTCTCTCCCTCCCTCCCTCCTGTCCACTACATCTCGTTCATTCACACCTGGTTGTCCTTCTTTGCTTCCCCCCTCCCCCCCCCACTTCCCCCCTCCGCAGCATCTGCCGCAGCAACTACGTATTCCGAGAGGTCTGAAGCGGGGGGGGGTTTCAAAGACCATACCAAACCATAGGAGACCACAAAGTCTGAAGCGGGGGGGGGGGGCGGGCCTGGACCTGGGGTGGTGGTGGTGGTGGGAAGATGTTGTTGGGGTTTGTTGCCTTGCGCCGTGGCGAAGTTGTTAGAAGTGGGATGGGGCAGTTGGCGGAAGGAAGGAGGTAGAAACGCGTGCGGGCAACGGTTAACCATTTGCAGTCCGGTTTTAATTCGTGGGTATCCTTTGTTGTTACTGTTTCGCTGTTCCGGTCATTAGGAAGGTAGTCCTAGAGGGCAGGATCGGACGGATTTGCCGTGCCAAGGGCTCTGCTGACCCATGGGTCAGCTGCGTGGTGGAATGAATGGCTCACAATCATGATTATGAACTCCTGTAATGCCTACAACCCATGCAAAGCCACACCCATCCACATCACAACCTACCTGTGCCTCCAACTCCCCGACTCCCAATGCAAGAGATGACCTCCTGGCCCACCTGCGATTAACCGTGCCGGCTGTAGTATCATGGGTCAAGTATCATGTGATGCACTGTTCTGGCATCAACGGCCGATCTGTCGTTTACTGTCTGATAAGGCGTATGATACAACACCGGCCCTTCCGGTACATCCCAACCTGCGCCCCACCAGCTGGCACCGCTACAGCACCCTACCCTGCGTCTAACCAGGCGACAACAACATTGTTAACCGGCACGCAAGCACAGACCCAGAAACCCTGACCTGCGCTGCCACGCACTCATGCTGCTTGCTGCCTGCTTGCATGCCACTCATTCAGTGGTCGGTGGGTGCCAGGTCGGCAGGTGCCAGGTCGGCGCGTGCCAGGTCGGCAGGTGCCAGGTCGTCGCGTTCCAGGTCGGCGGGTGCCAGGTCGGCGGGTGCCAGGTCGGCGGGTGCCAGGTCGGCGGGTGCCAGGTCGGCGGGTGCCAGGTCGGCGGGTGCCAGGTCGGCGCGTGCCAGGTCGGCGCGTGCCAGGTCGGCAGGTGCCAGGTCGTCGCGTGCCAGGTCGGTGGGTGCTAGGTCGGCGGGTGCCAGGTCGGCGGGTGCTAGGTCGGCGGGTGCTAGGTCGGCGGGTGCCAGGTTGGCGGGTGCTAGGTCGGCGGGTGCTAGGTCGGTGCGTGCCAGGTCGGCGGGTGCCAGGTCGGCGGGTGCCAGGTCGGCAGGTGCCAGGTCGGCGCGTGCCAGGTCGGCAGGTGCCAGGTCGTCGCGTGCCAGGTCGGTGGGTGCTAGGTCGGCGGGTGCTAGGTCGGCGGGTGCAAGGTCGGTGGGTGCTAGGTCGGTGGGTGCTAGGTCGGTGCGTGCTAGGTCGGCGGGTGCTAGGTCGGTGGGTGCTAGGTCGGCGGGAGCTACGTCGGCGGGTGCTAGGTCGGTGCGTGCTAGGTCGGCGGGAGCTAGGTCGGCGGGTGCTAGGTCGGCGGGTGCTAGGTCGGTGGGTGCTAGTTCGGCGGGTGCTAGGTCGGTGGGAGCTAGGTCGGCGGGTGCTAGGTCGGCGCGTGCTAGGTCGGCGGGTGCTAGGTCGGCGGGAGCTAGGTCGGCGGGTGCTAGGTCGGTGCGTGCTAGGTCGGCGGGAGCTAGGTCGGCGGGTGCTAGGTCGGCGGGTGCTAGGTCGGTGGGTGCTAGTTCGGCAGGTGCTAGGTCGGTGGGAGCTAGGTCGGCGGGTGCTAGGTCGGCGCGTGCTAGGTCGGCGGGTGCTAGGTCGGCGCGTGCTAGGTCGGCGGGTGCTAGGTCGGCGGGTGCTAGGTCGGCGGGTGCTAGGTCGGCGCGTGCTAGGTCGGCGGGTGCTAGGTCGGCGGGTGCTAGGTCGGCGGGTGTTAGGTCGGCGGGTGATATGTCGGCGGGGTGGCGTTAGTTGGCTGGGGCCGGGGCTTGGGTATGGTTGGGATGGCTGCGGTCGCCGACCCCACTGAGCCGATCCCTACCCGAGGGAGGGAGGAGTGCTTAGGATGGCTGCCTGGTCAAGTCAGAAATGTTGATGGCTGGGGCTGTGAGTGGGGCGCTGCAGGAGACTCAAGCTCTGATGTGGATATGGCTGCGGCTGTTAGGGTTGGGACTTGGATCAAGCAGGGGAGGACAGGAGGTGTTTTGCGGCCTGTCACCGAAAACAACAACCTGTTAGCGACAGTGTAGTGAAGGGGTCTGGTCGGATGGGGTTTGGGTTAAGCGGGCACTAGGTATTGGGGACCTTGCCGCTTCGATGTGTTTGGCGGAAAGACCGATGATTGGGAGGGAAGAAAGGGTAAAGCGAAGTCAAAGCCGCGCATAGCTGGAAAGCTAACTTGTAGGTTTTGTTATAAACAAAGCACAGTAAAGCGCGCAGGCTTGGTTTGGATGCCAAAAGTCCAGCTGCCAGCCATCGCGCCCACGCACATTGGATCAAAGCCGCAGGAGCAATTGTATGTCGTATAGACGCAACTTCTGACCTCAATGCGATTTTGACGCGGCAGGAAGCGACACGACGTTCAAAAAGCAATCAGATGACGGTCGACTACCTAATGTACGGCATTCATCGCAAGGAAATGGTCAAGCCTTGAACCGCTGAAGCCTGGCAAGTGCGCAAAATCCAGTTGTGGTACACATGTTCACTTTGTCTGCTTATTACGCAGAGCGCGGCTGTCCCGTTGCCGCGTGCTGACCAACCGACACTGTTGCAACACGCAGAAGCTTCGTAGTTTTGGTATTTTTTATCACGTTTTAGGAAAGGTTTTGGGTTGTGGTGATGGTTTTTGTAGTGTATACGAGGACGCATCGGTCGTTGGACCCTTGTCGCGGGCCAAGGCAAGTGCGTTGTTGCTGGCGTAAAGCTACCATATGCCCTCGAAGAAGCGATTTTACTAACATGCGTTGCGTCTGCGCGCCAGGTCTGCAGCGACGTGGCACACGTGTTAGGAGAGGCATAAGGTCTTGGTTTAATCGCCCTAAGCCAGGATGTCCCTAAGTGACTACTTTGTAGTTGGTTCGGCCAGTGGGGCCTCCTCGCCGGCTCCTCCAAGTGACGAGGAGGTGGAGGAATCGCACAGCACATTCGTCCTCCTACATAGCCCAAGCAAGGCACGCGGCCAGGTAACATCTGCCAAGGACAGCAAACGTGTCTTGTGTGAACGTCCAATTAGTCATCGGCGATAGATATTCTAGCTAGGCGAATAGCTATTCTGACAGCTGTACGGTGTGCTTGCTCTCTCCGGTCAAGCGTAACCAGCAGTTGCAGCTGCACCTATCCACTCAGACGTCCATTCCATATTTTATGGACTACTCCATATTGTTGTTCAAGCCACAGCGTCTTAATCTGAAACTACCCATCCCATCTCGGTAAACCCCAAATTGCACCATGCCGCCCGCCAGGTCAAAGGCACATCAGCAGCTGGAGGCCCAGCGTTAACCCATGCTAATACCGCACCCGCAGCCGCCTCAGATGCACCGCTCGCGCCCTCATCGGCTGCCGCAATGGCTGCGGAGGCTTCGGCTGCAGCAGCAAACGGCGCTGCTGCTGCGGTGGGGTGCAGCTCCTCCTCCTCCTCCTCAGAAGGCGGCTGCGATGCTGCGGACATGCAGCGAGCCGACACCATCCTGCACAGCGGCTTTCAGCAGGACACCGCAGCCACTGCCGCAACTGCCGCCGGGCTGCCCGCAGTGCCGGAACCATCGGCAGCTGCACCTGCTGCCGCGGAGGACACAACAGCAGCAGCGGCAGGCGCAGCAGCGGTTGTGGCAGAAGCTGCAGAGCTTTCCACCGTCCTGGGTGACTCGGAGTCTGCGGCGGGTGTAGCCGGCACGCCTTCCGTACACATAGGCGCCGCAGCAGCAGCTGCTGCTGTTCCAGCATCCGGCTGCGACGACGGTGGCGACAATTTCGAGCAGCAGCCTACGCATCCGCCACTCCTCACCTTAAGCCAGGACTGCCAAGGGCCCGCTCCCAGCACCAGTCCGCCGCCTTTTGAGTTCCAACACCACGAACACGACGGTAATGCCGATGCTGCACATGCAGGCCAGGGGGGCGAGCTGGAGGAGGAGGAGGGCCATGCGGGCAGTGCTGCAGAGGTTGCTGAGGTGAAGATGGACGTGCAGACGGAGGAGCAGGTGGAGAGGGATGAAGAGGAGGAGGAGGTGGAGTCAGGAGCGGAGACCCCTGACCCAGGTGGCGGCGGGCTGCTAGCTGGTCTTGACGAGGGGGCACTGCGGGTCATTCCACCCGCGCTGCTTGCCCGGTTGCAGCAGCTGGAGGAGGAGCGGGATGAGCTGGCGGGGCGGCTGCTGGAGTCAGGTGGGGGCGGAAGGCGGAGGGAGATGGTGGGTGCAATGTTGGCACAGAAGTGAAGCAGGAGGGAGGGAGGAGTGGGAGGGAGAGAGGCATTTGGCGGATTGGGCGGGGGTGTCTTTCAGTTCCCTACCGTCGTACCTCCTGCTGTCCAGCGCAGGGTGGCTAGTAGGACCTTTTTACCTCCACCTGCCCACCTCCCTTCACCTCTGCATCCCTTCCCTTCCCCCTCACCACTCCCTCACAGACGCCGAGCTGCATGCTCTCCGTGCCAGCTACTCCCAGCTCTTCCACAGCCACGCCAGCAGCCAGCACTGGCTCAACCAGCTGGTCACACAGCAGCTGCTGCTGGAGGACTCGGAGGGGCACTGCCACCCACGTGAACAGGAACAAGAACAACCATTCCCGCCACGACACGCCGTGCGAAGGACCCCCGCTGGCCCGCAGGAGGATCCCACTCCTGCTTCTCCTCCACCTACTGCCACTACCCAGCAGCAGCAAGAGCAGGTGGTAGTGTCACAACCGGACCAGCAGCAGCAGGAGGAGGAGCAGCAGCAGCAGGAGGAGGAGGAGGAGCAGCAGGAGGAGGAGGAGGAGGAGGAGGAGCAGCAGCAGCAGGAGGAGGAGGAGGAGCAGCAGGAGGAGGAGGAGGAGGAGCAGCAGCAGCAGGAGGAGGAGGAGCAGCAGCAGGAGGAGGAGGAGGAGCAGCAGCAGCAGGAGCGGCAGCAGCAGCAGGACTGTAAGGAGGAGGAAGGGAAGCAGGAGGAGGAAGAGGTCTGCGTTGCCAGGGAAGTGCAGGGGGATCTGGGGCGCTCAGAGCAGGAGTCGCTGAAGCAGGCACCAGAAGCTACAGCGGTGGTGCTGAGGATGGTACGAACGGCCCCGGCTGCTGCAGCAGTGGTTGCTGGTGGTGTTGCGGAGGAGGCTGTGGCGGCCAGGGAAGACAAGGGCAAGCCGCCGGCGGCCTGGGCTGCTGCTGCTGCTGCTGCTGCCCCCTGTGATGACGCAGTCGGCAGGAGGCAGTCCGGCGAGCTGGCGGAGCGTCCAGAGGTATTACCCAGCGTATCTTCCTCAGGGACGGGGGAGGAGGAGGAGAAGGAGGGGGGGCGTTCTGCTTCTTCAGACAGAGAAGAGGAGGAGGATGAGAGGGTTGCTGAGGCAGCTGGTGAGGCAGCCGTGTCCACAGAGGAGGAGGCGGACCCGAGCTCAGGCAGGCTGCGGAGCAGCGTTTGTAGCAGCAGCAGCAGCAGCAGCGGCGGAATGGAGGCAGGCGTGGAGGAAGAAGGAGAGGAGGAGCATGCAGCGCTGCGGGTCGACGAAAGTATGGTGTCGGAGGCTTTGGAGGAGGTCGCAGCGGCGCAGGCAGGAGGGGGAGAAGAGGTGGTGACATCGGCTGTGGCGGCGGCAGCGGTGGTGGAGGAAGCGGGGTCCGAGATGCAGCCGGCACTTGTGGATGAGGCCCAGAGGAGGGCTGCTGAGGCGCGGCAGCAGCCGCCTGAGGAGGCAGGTGGCAGTATTGAGGAGGAGTTGCAGCGCACGGGCGGGGAGGAGGAGGAAGAGGAGGCGGGAGAGGAGGCACAGGAGATTCGGCCATCAGGCGACCCAGGGGTCAGTAACGCTGTCGCAGCTACTGCTGCTGCTACAAAGGGCCGCTGCAAGGCGGGTGGGGGCAAAGCAGCCGGTGTTGAGTCCCAGCAGGCTCACACCAAGGCTGGTGGTTTGGGGACACGGTTTGGGCAGCAATCCATGGCTGGGTTGCTTGGCTCTGTGCGCTCCTCTTTCTCCTCTCTTTCCTCCTCCTGCTACCGCTGCTGCTGCGGCTTCTTGTCACGGGGTGGCGGTGGTGGCTGGGGCGCGGGTCGGCTGCCGCTGCTGGTGGCAGTGCTGGCGACGGCGGTGCTGCTGCTGCTGCTCTCACTTGGACTCATGGCGGCAGTCAGGAGCAGCAGCAGCAGCAGCAGGAGGGGTAGCCCCACCACCCACCTGCAAGGAGGTCTGCATGGGTCCTCGACACTGCCTCCATTAGGTGCAGTGACCCATGGGTCTCCTGCTGCGTCTGCTACGGCTGGGTCCGAAGCGCGCATGGGTGAGATGGCCTCAACGCCATCAGCCTTACCAGGTGGCTTGCAACCCACCTTGCAAGTCCACCCAACCGAGAGGTTAGCGGCCGTGCAGGAAGAGTCCTCACCTGAAGCTCTTGGGCCCGTTACCGTGGCGGGAGGTGGTGCTGTGGTTGCCTCGTCCGCAGAGGACTACGGCGCCCCCCAGCTGCTGCTGCAAGGCTCCTCTGCAGGGCTGCATCAACAGCAGCAGTGCAAGGAGCGGCACAACCCCGACGAGGTCTGCGGGACGGAGGCATTGCTGCAAGGGGAGGAACACGAGGAGGCGGAGGAGGAGGAGGGGGACAACAGGGCTGCTGCTCGGACAACAGAAAAGAGTGCTGCAACAGGAAACGCTGAAGCTGCCCCTCCGCACCCTCTGAAGTCCTCATCACCAGCCCCGGCAAGGCAACAGCCCATCTGCGTCGAGCTGCGGACCCTGCTAGAAGCCCTGTCATGCGCCCCGGACACCCACTCCCTCCTCGTGGCGGGTGCTGCTGACCGCGACAGTAACAATCGCGGCAGTAGCAGCAGCAGCAGGAGGCATGGCGCGCAGGTGGTGATGACAGCGGGCGAGTGCCGTAACGCAACCGGCGTGGCGGCTCCCTCGGAGCTGCTGCTTCCCCGGGGGCCGCAGGTCCGCCGGGCAATGCAGGCTCTGGATCAGCGCTGGCGGGAGCTCACTCAAGGGGTGGCTGCTTCTGCTGGCAGCAGCAGTAGCAGTAGCACCGCCACCAAGGGAAGTGACCCGGCGGGTCGGCGTGCAGGCTGGACCCAGGAGAAGGGCCCAGGAGCAAGAGGATGTACCAGGACCATGAGCCCGGCGGGAGCTCCTAGGAAGGGCCAAAAGCAGGTGGAGGAAGCTGATGATGAGGAGGCGGTTGCCGGCCAAGCGGTTGCATCCTGGGCGGAGTCCGGGCTGCTTGCTGCGCTGCGGCCGCTGGTGCGGGCGGTGGTGGATGATGATGAGCTGCCGGAGCGCATGAACGCGGCACACAAGGTTGGGCGGGGGCGGGGCGTGGCAGGGGGGGGGAGGTTGGCTGGGGGGTAAGAGGGATAAAGTATTGACAAGAAAACGCGCAGCGGTCAAACCTGGGGTTAGGTGGCTAGCCAAGCCAGCCCACGATGGAGGGGCTACGTTACATGGTTTGTTCTTCCTCTTTCCCAACCTCCCAAACCCTCTCCCTCCCCTGCCTCCTCTCCCTCTGTCTCCTCTCCCCCCACCAGGCGGTCTTGCTAGCTGAGCGGCTGTGCTCTCAGCCCGGGGGGCACTCCGCCGCCGCCGCCACCCTCACCTCGGCCCGCCTGCATGCGGCACTGGGCGACCTAGCTGCGGTGGTGGAGGTGCATGTGGACCCGAGCTACCCGGGAGGGGCGGCGGCGGCGGTGGCGGGTCGGCTGGCGCGGGAGGCGAGCTGCCTGGGCTGGCAGGCGGAGCGGCTGGAGGGGCTAGCGCAAGAGCGGGCGGTGGAGGCGGCGGAGGCGGAGGACCGGGCGGAGAAGGAGGAGCGGGGCGAGGAGTGTAGGCGGCGATGCAGTCCCCGGTGGGTCGAGGAAAGGGGGCTGAGGTGATGGTGGTGGTAGGAGGGGCGCAGTAGCCTGGGGGTCCTCTCAACTGTCCCTTGGGGTTCCCTAGTCCCTACACCTGCTCGCTCGCCTACACTTTGCTGCTGCTGGAGCAAAAAAGGTAGCCTCGGCACCGCCACCTGCCACGTGTCATCTTCCCCTGTCACCTCCTTGCAACGCCCCTCCCAAGGTCCCGGCTGCGAGCCGCGCTGCTAAGTCTGGGAGTGCCGTCACGCCTGGTGGACACAGCACTGCCGCCGCTGCCTGCGCATCACCCGCTGGGAGGAAGTGCCTCCGGATCTGGATTTGGATCCGGTCTGGATGAGTTGTTGGATCCGGTTGAGGTGTGGATCCGCGGCTCCCGCCACCTGCAAGAGTGGCTGGGGGCAGCCCTGGGCGGGGAGGAGGAGGCGGCGGAGGAGGAGGGCCACAAGCTTGGTTTACGTGGATTACATGACCTTCGTGGCATACACATGGACGAGCTACAGCAGCGCATGAGGGCCGCTGCACGAGCCACCGAGCGGGCTGTACGTGGCAGCGCGGCAGCGGCGGTTAAGACGGCGGCGGCGGTGGCGGTGGAGACGGCAGCGGCGGCGGCGGCGGCGGCGACGGGGCTGCTGGGAAGCGGAGGCGGAGGCGGCGGAGGAGCGCATGAGTGGCGGAGGCTGCAGCGGGTTCTAGCGGAGGCGTTGGGAGCGCATGAGGTGGAGGGGGAGGAGGAGAAGTACGGATGGGGACATGGCGGTGGTGACTGGGTGGATGTTCTGAATGGCTTGGTGGGTGGTGGTGGTGGTGGTGGTGGTGGTGGTGTGGAGCGGTGGCGGCAGCGGCTGCCTGATGGGCTGATGGAGGGGCTACGTGCGGCGGTGCGGCGAGCCTACCGGGCGCAGGCGGCGGCGCTGCACTGCGACTGTCACGAGGAGGAGCAGGAGGAGGCGGGACAACAGGGGGAGGATGGGAAGAAGGGCCGCACTGGGCCCGCAGGCAGCAGCAGCAAGCGACAAGGCAGGAGCAGCAGCAACAGAGGAGCAGCGGCGGCGGGAGTTGATACCGCGTGTGTTGGGCGGCTGGATGAGTTGCTGCGGCAGGCGGCGGAAGCTACTGCCGCCACCGCCGCTGGTGCTGGTGCTGGTGGTGGTACCTCTGATGATGCCTCGGTTAGGCAGCAGGCTAGGGCTCCGGCGAGGGCAGCGGGAAGCAGGCAGCAGGAGAGGGCCACACGTCGATCCGACGGGGACTGTCAGCGGCGGGGGCGGCACGGAGGCGGCGGCGGCAAGGGCTGGGGGGACCAGGTGTGCGGCGGCGACGGAGGTGATGACGATGATGACGGCAGCCGTACGGCAGTGTCGTACTTGTCGCCGGGTGTACTGCGTCGCATGGTGGTTGCCGTACGGCGGTTGCGTGCTGACGTGGGTGAGCTAGGAGAGGCGGCGGGGCGGGTGCGGGAGCGGTGTGTGGGGGTGGCGGAGGGGGTGGAGGCGTTCCGGCGGCGGCGGCAGGAGGAGGGGCCTGGGCGCGTGTGAGAGGGATGGAGGTGGGGGACGGGGAGGGCAGTGGTGTGGGGTACGGGGAGTACGGAATAGGCGTGTGTGTATACATCGTACGTTTAAAGAAGCTTCTGGGTGTAGGTGTGTGGGATGGTAGGTGGCGTGTGTATGCTGGGGACTGTGCTGAGTGTGGTGAGGGGTTGGAGAGGGGTGAGGGGTCTCGTTTGTATAGCGACTTTGGCGACATTGGATGATTGGGAGGTTGGACAGTGCAGGCGGGTACATGCACACTTCCTTTTGCTTTGTTGTTCTTACCGTATTTTGGCGTTTGCGGCTGCGCGTTTAGGAACTGTGTGCGTGTGTGCAGTCGAGAAGATGATGTATTATAAACGAAGAGCCGTGAGGTGCCCGCCGGCATTGTTGTCTATCTTCGGTGTGTATCCTAAGGCAGGCGAGTTGCAAGCTGGGAATGCCCTCGCGCAGCTCCGTTGGCGCAGACGCGTTGCCCTTCGGCACCTGCATAACCTCCATGCATAAGTTGCAAAGTGGATGACCTGTCGGCTTGTCAGGCGTGGATACTGTATCGGTAGGTCGCAAGCAGTTTTGTTGAACGAGTTCCACCCTCTGCTTTCGAGGTCTTCTTTTGCGCATGCGTTAAGTAATTGCGGGTACCAAATGCTGCATGGCTATCGCTAACCGTCGTCCTGGCGTTGTGGTCTTGTACGGTAGCGTGGCAGCAGCAGCTGTGTATAGCTGCCGGTATGCCTACCGGTTGGGCAGTCAGTCAAACTGCGTGTTTTCAGTCGGTATGGCTCTTTGCTGCGTACGTGTTGCGAAATGGACGGCAGGCAATGCCGGTGGTTCTGACATCGACTACCGGTACAGAGTGTGTTGAGAGGATGGCAGTGGCAAGTTGATGCGTGTGGGTGTGGTACTTCTGGGACGCCCTGCGGACGTTCAACATGACGATGATTTGATTGTTTCTTATAGGGACAGTAAAAGGATGTCTTGAAAGGGAGGGAAAACGAGGGAAGCATAATTGCAAGCGCTGTGGAGGGCGGGTGGAAGTCAGCACGGAGGCCCCATGGATGGGTGGGTTGCGGTCGGCGGCCTCAGCCTTACTTTGTACCATAGTAGAACAGAACTTGAAGATGTTGGTAAATGTAATATGTTATGACAGGCAATGGGTGGTATGCTATCCTGCGAAGCTGCGATGCGGGCATACCTGTACGGACGCCAACTCAGCATTGGTTACAATCGTCCATGTCGGAATCTCTGCCACGATAATAAGTACTAATACCATTTCGCGAAAGTATAACAAAGGGAATCTATCACTCTCATCTATTAGTTACCTCAGCCAGTCCAACCGGTAACAGTTGGACATTTCGCAAAGGCACACGAGCACTAAGAGTTGCACAAGATGGTGCTACACATGCTGGCGATCTTTGGAAGGGGTAGGTCATCTTGGTCTGTTTGCGAAATGCCGCGCTGTGATAGCTCCTTGGCACACGTACCGGTGTGCCCAAATGTGCGCAGAGACGGCACATCCCCCAACCCTAATTGAGTCCGAGGAGGCGCTGAAGAAGACTCATCAGCCCCTGCTCAGCGATGAAGAGCGGCAAGCTGAAGAGGTGTGGCCGGGGCATTGACAAGATCCGAAAGCAGAGGAACACTGATTGCACTTCCGGTACCAATTTCCTCATCATATACGTTTCCTGTACATCACCGTGCCCAAACCATACTGATCTAACCTCAAAACTGCTCCTAGCTTACCTCATGCACCGTCAGCCATCCTGCAGTGCACCCACTCAGCCTTGTACCGAACTCGCTACCGCTTTTTGCAGGAGCTATGCGCAAAGCTTATAGACGCCGCTTTTAACGCGGCCAAGCCCAGCACCCGACACAAGCAGCTGATGGGTAAAGGCAGCGGTTACCTTTGGGAGGCCTCGCCCTACTGCAGCTACGCGGAACGCGATGGCGTGCACGTTGTGTTCACGGGGGAGGTCAGCGAGTGGCCGGGTGGCGTGAACGCCGTGTCGGCCGCACATGATGGTGAGAGGTGCTTGCTTGGTTGCTTGCGTGCGGGGATTTAGGACTTGAACACGGTTAAACTTACTGTTAGACTAAGGGTTAGGCAAGCTCTGTACGCCTGTGTACGCCTCTGTGGAGCCATGTGCCCCTTAGGGTGCTTCCGGGGGTGGTGTACGTTGGGGGCTTGGACAGTACGTTCCGACTCGCGGACAGTCTTCTTACATCACCCGCATAGTCCACTTTTCCACCTCTAGCTCGTTTCGTGTATGCGAAACTCACTTCATACCGCCCCATCTTCTCCCCCGTCAACTGACCCTGTACTGCACGCTGTCCCTTCGTATCCCCCCTACTCCCCCCGTACGGCACCCACACAGCCTTCGTACGCAACGAGCCGCCCCTGGAGGAGAACGACGCGCACTGGCTGCTCGACTTCTACAGCACCTTTGGCAAGCCCAGCTCCTCCAACACCACCGACAGGGCGCTGGAGTGCATGGCGCAGATCAAGGGCAGCTTCGCATTCGTCATCTACGACTCCGTACAGGTGGGGGAAAATTGAGACACTGACAGGTGGGGGAAGGGGGAATACGGTTCCGCAATCTCCTCTCTCTCTCTCTCGTCCGCTCTCTCTCCCTTCTCCCTTTTGCCTCTCTGCCCTTGACGCCTTCATGTGTTCTAAACTCGCGGGAATTGTGGCCCCTCTTCATCCTAATCTATTTTGCTCCTCGCCCTGCCCCCTGCCTCTGCCTCTGAACTGCGTTGTTGCACTTATTTATAATTTTGCCCCCCGCCCCCCCCCCTCCGTAACAGCACCGTGTGCTCGCCGCTCGTGACCCCGAGGGCAGTCAGCCGCTGTTCTGGGGCTGCACCGACTCGGGTCAGCTCATGTTCGGGTCGCTAGCGGAGGATCTGCAGGGCTGCAACCCCACCGCGGCGCCCTTCCCCGCAGGCACGCTGTTCGCTAGGTAGGTTGGGGGGTAAAGAGGAAACAACTAACTGACCGGTTGGGGCTGGGAGAGCTCTCCATGGGGAGGTTCGTCATAGGGAAACGTGTACGAGGCGGCGGCGGTTGGGACGAGGAGGAAAACGGGTGATGGACAGTGTAGGTCGTGCAGTGGCTGGCCTTGTTGTTGTTGCGCATGCGTGCATGTGGCTGCAAGCAACTTGACCTCACACATGTTGCTGCACTTGAACCCTGAACCCCGCCCACCACCCCACCCACCCACCACGCAGCGAGCGCCACACCGTGGCCTACAGCCCGGGCGACTACGGCTGGGTGATCGTGGACGACGACTTCCCCGGTCTCATCATGTCCTTCGTCAAGGCCGCCAAGCAGGGAGAGCCCGGATGGCGGGGAGTCAAGGTGCGAACACATGCGCGTTTGCGGGTTTGCGAAGTTTTTTGCGGGGGTTTCGACTGGTTGTCGATGCCTTACGGCAGAAAGGAGCTGAGCCGCAACCTTTGTATCTTGTATCTTGCTGCTACTGTTAACCGCCTGTCGTTCAGCTTCAGTAGTAACCCTCCGCCCCTCCTGCTGTTCCCCCTTTCAGGCCATCCCGCGTGTCACCAGCAAGGGTGTTGTGTGCGGGGCTGTGTACAAGGTCGCCAGCGCGCAGGACATGAATGGAGAGGCGTGCTGATGACTAGGAGGAGGCAGCTGTGGAGAGGAGGAGGAGGAGGAGGCTGTGGAAGGCTAGGGAAAGGGCGGTTGTCGGCTGTTGGGGCGGGGGCCGCCGCGGTTGAGGTGGAGTTGAGGTATTGAAGGTGGCCGTGAGGAGGAAGAGGAGGATCCAAGATTTAGATCAGCAAGGGGTGGTTGCAGTGTGGTTGAAGGTGGTTGCAGTGTGGAGTGTTTGTTGTGTGGAGTGCAAAGTGTGGAGTGCTGCTTTGCGAGTGCAAGCCAAACCGGCTCCGTGTGTGTGTGTATGCGTGGTAGGGTTCGTCTGCGTGTCGTCGGGTGTGCGTGTGTGTTGTTGTGCATGTATGTGTGCGCACGTATGTCCGTTGCCATGCAGATATAAACTGCAAACCAATTCCATATGCTGTTGGAGTATTGTGTTGTCGTTGTTGTAACTGCGGTCTTTGCCTTCTCGCGTCTGTTGGGCGCATAGTGTTCTTCACCATCATCGGGCCTATTGAACCAATGTTGGTTGGCGGGTATAATCGACGAGGCGTCTGTAGAGTAAAGGGAGTTCTTGCGCTTGTTCCTTGCATTAAGGCTACGAGCTATACGAGCTTTGGCAAAGAATAATAATAAAAATAATAACAGGGATGTTGAGAGCAGCTTACCCGTGGATGCTGTTAAGTTCGCGGGACATCTTTGCTTGCCTCGGGCGCCTCGATTGCCGCGCTCTGGGAAGTGCCGCTGAAAACGGCCCATCTGCCTACACCTCCTCAAGATAATCTATGTAATGCTCTGCCCGGTGCCCAGCGCACCAATCATATGACCACGCCTTGCTGTGTTAAACAAAGCACCGCAAGCAGCCCCTGACGTACCGACAAGCAAGGAAAGGATGTCGTCCTTACGAGATCGCGTGTCAGTAGCAGCGGCATCATCATCTGCGCGGTCTCGCGAGCCATCTGGGTCACCCGAGGGCGACTCGTCCTCCTCCTCCTCCGCATCGCAGCAGTCCGCGGACGATGAGCTGCTCGCTGGCATGATGCGTGGGGGCGATGTGGAGCTGCTGTTCCCGTGCTGCGACACGCGGCTCCGAGCGCACAGTGCCATCCTGCGGCTGACCTCCCGCGTGTTTGGGAGCATGCTGGGCGACCTGCGGGTCACCGAGGGGCCCTGCGACCCCCACGAGTAAGCCCACGTGCATGCAAGGGGAAGGACGAAGTATATGAAGAACGAGGTCATGCTGCTTTGTACCCATGGTTTGCAGCTGAAGATTATATCAGATCAGTCCTAGGATGTACAGAAAGAGACTCATCACAGGGGAAAATTGATGCTGTTCTAGCGCTTGAGGCGACCCAGGGGGCAGCGTACTTGCCGAACTTGGACAGGCGTTGGGCGTTTGCGTGCCAGCAGCAGTTCCTGGACTCCTTGCTTTGGGGCTCCCACCTCTTTGTACTGTACAACACCTCTCTCTCTTCTCGGCTCCTCCCATGATGCAGGCAAGGAGAGGCAGCAGCCCCCATGCGGGTACATCTCGATGATGACCTGGCGGAATGGCGCCAGGTGCTGCCGCTGCTCTACCCGCGCATGCATGCGCCGCGGCTCACCTGGGTAGGCTGGCAGGGGTTGGTTGGGGCAGGTGGAGAGGTGGCGTGTGGAGAGGCGGTGCAGAGCCACTTAATAGGTCTTGGACGAGCCGTTGCCGCCTGCCCCCACCGCACCGTACGTTTCCCTCCCCACCATACCCGCGTGTTCTCACAAATATGGCCCCTTTGTACAACCCTTGTGTTGTACGGACCCTTTGTTGTCGTACGGCAGGTAGAGGTACGGCAGGTGCTGGGTATTGCGCACAAGTACGACATCCCCCTGGTACTCAAGGTGGGTGTTCCCCACTTTCCCTTCCCCCAAGCGCCCCTTCAGATGGACCCAGGTTTACTAATGAGAGAGAGCACGCTGCCCGCTAGTGGTCATAGCCGTTAGCCTGGTCATAGCCCCTTGCCCTCCCTCCGTCCCTCTTTCCTGTAGGCATGTGAGGCCTTCCTGGAGGACGACTACATGGCATTTAGTGCCATCAAGCCCAACCCAAACTACGTACTCGACTGGCTCGAGGTGCGGCCACCAACCCTCGCAGCCCTCATGTCTGACCCATGGGTCAGGATTGCCTCAAGGGTCTCGACTGGATTCACCCCGTGTCACTGCTTGAAACCTCGGCTTGCTTGGGAGTCGAGCGCTAGAACATGCTTGCAGGGGAAGTCGGATAGCCCGTTTGGATGGCCCGTCCGCAACCTGCTTAGTACCCCGCTTACGGGCCGCCCATGTTCCATCCTATACCGGCTTGCCGGCCCATGCATGTTACCAAACAGCCCGCATCTTACAAATCCCACACCTCTTGACCCCAATCCCCACATCCACCGCCCCAACGTCTGCTGCCGCCCCGCAGCTCAGCGAACGGTTACACCTGGACAACCTCCGAGAGAGGTGAGGGGTCAGCGGGTCTGCAGCGAGGACGGAAAGACCCATCAGCCCTCTCTACATGCTGCCCTTTTGTGTGGCACCCAGTAAGGCTCGGTCACCGCCTGGGCATGCAACTCCCTCGCTTTACACCCTCTCCTCCTCCTCTTCCACACTCGCCACTGCTCCCTCTGTTCCCACTGCTTTGCCCTAACCTGTGGTCTTGGTATATCTCTGACCCCACCCGCACGCAAAGGTGCATTCGCTTCATCAAGAGCGGTCTGGCGCTGCGCACCTTCGGCAGCTGCGACTACTGCGGCGCAGGCGGCGCCCCCGCCCACCGCCTCCTGTCTTGCTCCTGCAAGTGTGTGTCATGCAGCGGCCGCCGCAAGACATGCTTCTGCGGCACTGCCGGAGCCGCCGCCAGCAGCCCCAGCGGCACCAGCACTCAGCTCCGACTTGCAGCCGCCGCCGCCGGCGCTGGCGGTGCCGCTGCCGTGGGCTCATCTGTCGTACCGCCGTTGCCTATCCCCCGTACGACAGCGCAGTCGCCGCCGCCGGTGCCGCGGCGGTACGGCAACGGCGCGGTGATGCTGGCGGCGGCGCCGTCGTCGCTGTACGGCAGCCGGCTTAGTTCGGCGGAGGTAGCGGCGCGGATGCGTGAGCAGCGCGAGCAGCTGGGTGAGAACGCGACGTATCAACAGCTCTTGATGGGTCGGTCTCGCCCTCCGTCTCCGGGATATAGGGATCTTTTCGGCGAGAGCAGCAACGGTAGCGCCAACGGTAACGGTTATCGCAATGGCGGCTGCGTTGTGGGTTCTGAGGGTCGCGGTGTTGTGGCGGCGCGGGATGTGGTGTTGCGTGACAAGGAGGGACTCAGCCGGCTGTCTGCACGGACGCTGGTGGAGCTTCTGGTTCCCTTGGATTGAGCGCGAGGGCGAGGGCGAGGAGGGTGACCGGGGAGGAGTACGTAGGACTTGGAGGAGGTTGAATGGGCTTACTGTAGAGGCCGCTACTTAGGCCCTGTATATACTTTCCGTACATAACATGCACAGCTAGCTGGTTTGATGGGTGTACATATACCCGTAACCCCCGGGTTGCGCCAGGAGCACAAAACCTTCGCGTCCAGGTTGCCTCCTCAACAGGAGAAGCGAGCGAGCACACACGTGCCGTACACGCATCAGTCCGTGCCACATCCGTGCGATGCTGGCCACTACTGGCACTGCTTGAGCGAGTATGGTTTGCATGAGACCTCCCGACGGGCCAACTGCCCTTAGGCGGGTACCCTGAGCCATTTGCCATTATGCTTAGCTGGGGTTCTGGATGTTCGCGTGAAATCGTGTTGCGCCGGTTGCGGTGTGTTAAACAATGGACAGCTTGCAGTACGTACCCTGTGCGCACGTGGACACCCGGGTCGTGCCTCTTATTGTTTGCCTACCTTCGTTCCTCGCCACGACAGAAACGCCATAATTTCTATGCATGGAGACTATGTTGGGTGCCTGTTTATCATCTGGGTACACAAGTGCAACACGCCCCTGCTAGCATGGATTCCTTGGATGACTTTCATGCTTGATGCGTACACGCTGCATGAATGAAAGACTATTACAACTGGACCCCTAAAGAGGAACCGTTGCCTGACGTACTGCTGCTTGGTTGTATGAAGCAACCATAAGCAGCCTGGGCCCCGATACCCTTGAGCCATCTTGGACTTGTATTCGCATGTACTTCCTGCGACAGTCGGAAAGCGCAAATGCGCGCAACGAGAACTACACACACGCACACAACAAAAGTTGACTTCACACAAACACGCGAATGCATTCCTCCTCAACATCCATACCAGCACCTAAACCGCACCCAAAGCCCTTTGCAATTTGCGTCACTAGTCGACATCTTCAAAACACACGCACACACAACCACCATCATAGCATTAGTCACGCTTTAGAGGATGACTCCATTCGTCATCTAGACAGTTGCTTGCTTGGACGTCAAGCTTGCTGTCTTCATGGCATGGTTGGCCTCCCAGACAAGTCATTACCACCACCCAGCACATGGCTTTACTCATAGCGCTATTAACCCTATATTACAGTACAGAACATGACATGCACGGACGAAGTCTGCAAGCAAGGAGAGCGCGGAATGCAACACAGCTTTCCTGCCCCTGCAAATTCTTTCGTCAAACGAGTTAGGGTAATGCTTCGGCTCTACACGCCGAATGGTAAGCGGAGGCTGAGCCAAAGCATTGCAAAAACGACACGGGCACGTGCCTTGAGACAGTAAGGCCACGACAGCCCCGCAAAGCAAAACCGATCACGTAAAGGCTGACGCAGTAAGATGTAGCACATACAACTTACAAGCACCATTACCCCACCAGCAAACAGCACCATGCACATTTCATACATAAATTCAGTTGGCAAAAACCGTCTAACTTCATAGATCCACTGGCCCTCACGAGGAAGGCAGCATGGGAACAGTCAAGAAGGTTCCACCGACACGCCGTTTGCTTGCCGCGTGTAAACGGGTAGCCATAATAGCATGCACACACACATAACGGGCAATTAATAAGATACTGGCGCCTATCCGACTCGGCGCGCAATCTTTCCGCCACTGCAAACAGTCCAATTCAAATACGAAGAACAACGCTGGCAGAACGCGGCCCCGTGCGTTTCAACACTACCGGCAGGTGAGTGAAGCAGCGTCCTCCGCAATACTACACCTCTGGACCGAGGGGGAGGAGGAATGGCGCTTGGAAACAGCTGCCCATTCACGCCCTTCATCACGCCCAGATCGAGTTGTAAATGCAGGCCAGGTTTGCATGTAGTATTTTTATACTTCCTGCCGCCATCTCCGCTTTGGATGACGTTCCCCCAAAATGCTTCTTTACCTTGCCAACAGGCACAGCAACCGCGAGGAGCAACCACCACCACTTCAACGAAGCACATGGGCTGTTATGTATCGCAACAACTTTAAAGTAGTAGTTCAGTGTCCTAAGCCTTTAAGAGGGAGGAAAGGCGCTACTCCGCCTCCTTTCCGCCGTGCGCGTCAAAACCTTTGGCGCCAGATATTGAGTTGGCCCGGCGTCTGCCATAGGAACCGCCCGGCGGGAACCCAGCGTCATTGGGGCGACCTGCGGAAGCACAGCAGGTGGGTATACATGCAGCACGTTGGGATGGAGCTTTACCAGCACACCTAAGGCCAGAGGGCAGGTGCAGGTAGCAGTGACCCATGGGTCAGGCACTAGCCAGTCCCTCACCCCAAAACACCGTGATGAACCACACACAGCATATAGTGGGGACTTCATCTTCCAGCAATCACAGTACGTTCCTACTCGCGGCCAGTTTTCTTAACACACTCACCTTGCTTGCTGCCGGCGCCCCCGCTGGTCCCCTTGGTGATGGACGCCGGCATCGCCGAGCCTCGCTCCCCCAGGATGACAGCCGTCACGAGCGCCTCGCAGTCCACCTCCCCAGGCAGCTGACTCAGCAGCTCCGCGATCCGCCGCATCTCGCTGTGGGCCTTATGCAGCAGCGGCCGCAGCTGCAGCACCAAGTAAGCAAGGCCCAACACCCAGGCGTTGCACAGCAGCACGATTTGCTGCGTGGCAACCCTCCTGCGAAAGAGAGGAGAGGAGGTGGGCGGTGGGTCGATTGTGAGCGGGGCACTGCGGCGAAGTAAGCCACCAGTAAGGCCCGGAAACCGTACCCAACACCCTACAACTGACTTACTGGTACGCGTTTTGCACCTCATTGAGGTACATCTGGCTCAGCAGACCCTGTAACAGGTGGTCGGAGGGAAGTAGGCATGAAGGAAAACTGGGGCGTCAGAAACCATGCATGTTTCGTACATGGACTAGTGACGGATGTGGCCTCCATCGAACCGCCCAAGACGCGCTGCACGCGCTGCCAATAATACGCCCTTTTCACTGCCACGCAAAAGCACCAAAACCACACACAATGCATGTACGGGGCACAATGCACACCAGCCTGAACCCCGCTGCTACTGCTGCTGCTGTGCTACTCCAACCCCTACCCCTCCCGCCCCCTGCGCCTCTTACCACTCCGCCCTCCAGATCCGTCTGCCCCGTGCTCCACACGAACCGGAACTCCGTGCTGTTGAGTCCCGAGGTGGCAGTGGGCTGCACCAGCAGCGACTCCACGTTGCTGAACTCCGCCTTCAGCAGCACGTCCAGCCCATTGCGGGTGACCTGGTAGTAGGAGCTGTTGGGGGGCTGGCAGCTGGAGGGCTCGGCGCTGAGGCAGTCCAGGGTGTGATACAGCAGGTTGGCGGGCTTGGGGAAGCCGCCGAACACGACGCCCGTGGTGGCGAGGCGGAAGTGCGGGCTGGTGGCGTTGGCGACCACCTGAGGAGCGAGGAGGCAAGGAACGGGAGGGAGGATGAGGGAGGAGGGGAGGCGAGGAAGCATGGGGTGGGGGTGGGGTGCGGCATATTGCATGCATACCGGTACTCAGGGGCAGCATGTAGGGAGAACGCATGAGGGGGGGGGGTCACAAGTAGCCAAGCGTTGTACCTGGTTGCCGAAGAGCATGGCAGCATACTCGAGCTTCCAGGCATCCAGCTCCTCCGACAGCAGCACCTTGTAGTACTCGCATGCGGCGGCGCTCATGGCAGCAGCCACCTCCTGCAGGTGAGGGGGGGCGACAACACATGGGGGGTGCGGGTGTTGGAGGACATGAGGTGGCGACAGAATGTAGGCGACGAACAAACATGAACAAGGCCAGGATGCGTTCACAACCCAAATTTTTATACATCGCGGTTTCTTGGTTACTCGTTCATCGTAAACCACTAGACTAGTTCTAAACTGCCCCGCCCTACCAGGACAAAGTAAATGATGCGATGGCAGCGCCTGTGTCGATGTCCAAGGAAGTTGCCGGGCGCGCCAACATGCAAGGAAGTCGGGGGGAGTTCGGGGGCAACAGCAGCGAACGACTCAGTCATAACCCGTTGCTTGTCACACTGCCTCCCAGCTCCGGGTGGCATCCAGCAGCCACATGAGGCAGTCGAAGCTGTGCATGTGTCCCCTCCCTCACGGAAGCTACCGGTACCAGCCCGGTCCTGAAACATCCAGAGCTGGCCGTGAGTTACCGGTACACTGGTTGCCAAGAAGGGTACACTGGTCATGAACCCAACACATCCTGGCCGAGCGGCCGTTACAATTAACTAACTAACTACAACAGTGCATCTCCCCAGAACCCCGCTTACACAAACATTGCGTTGACCACGTTGAGTGTGGCGATGGGCGCTGTCAGCGCCTGCGCAGCAGGAAACCAGCAGCATGTTTGGAATGCGGGCGGGCGGTGAGGCAACACGTCCTACAGGTCGCCTACCAGGAACACCATGTTTGCTAGTGCTGTGAACGCACGCGGGGCACTCAAGGCAGGGGCTGCGACAGCGTCCCGGAAACCAGCAAACTCCCGAGGAGGGTGGGGGACATGCACCTCTGTCACACACCCCACGTGTATCACCATGGAGACGCGACTGCACCCGCACCCGCACCCTGCCCCACCACCCCCCCATCACCCCGCCCGCACCTGCAGGCTGTAGTAGCCCACCAGGTTGAGCGTGATGACGGCCGCGCCCCACAGGATGAAAGGCGCCACCAGCGCGTAGGCCAGCCGGTGCGAGTGAACCAGCCGCCGCTTGGTCTTGCCCGTCAGCGCCGCCGCCGCTGCGTGGGGAGCCACCTGGGCGGAAAGAGGAGGAAGGGGCGGGACGGAGGTTCATCAGAGGGGGCGGTGAGAGATGTGGTGCAAAGCACCGACATGAGTGAGCAGCTGTAGTGCTCGCATGCCATGGCCTAGCAGCAAACACTCCCAGGGGTAGCGCCATAGCCCCACACGCGCTGAGCTAAAGCTCCTCCTACCTTAGCCCGATTGCGCCACACCGCCAGCGAAGCCACCATGTTGCCCAACGACAGCAGCCGGGAGCCACTGCCGCCACCTCCGCCATTAGCACCCTGCCCGCCGCTGCCGTCACCGCCGCTACCCTGATGCCGCCCGCTGCCATCCTCCTCCGCAGCCCCACCGCCACCACCGCCGCCACTACCGCCGCCGTTTGCGCTGTTGCTGCCCAACAACCCCTTGACCACAAACGACAGCGAGTTAGCCTGGCGACGGCCCTCTCCCGGCACCCCGTCCATGCGCAGAGTGGTCTTGCGGGTGCTTCCGTTGTTTCCGTTGCCGGCGTCACCTGCCGCCGCCTTCACCACGCCGTCAGTCAGGAGAACCACCTCGCCGCCCCCGCCACCACCGCCGCCGCTCTCCATGGGCACGTCCGTGGTCTGCAGCGCCGCCTCATCCTCCTCGTCGTCATCCACGGACTCGAGCTGGAGGGGTGGAAAGCAAAAAGGGAGCGGGGAGCAGGCAGACGGAGGAGGGGAGCGGGTGAGCAGGGGAGCGGTGGAGAGAACAAGGCAGGACGAAGGGTGTGGAGTAGTGTCAGTAGGTCACGGGTTTAAGCGTGGTATAATTTAGGATGAGCTGCAAGCGGTTTGCAAGCAGGGAGGCAGACCACCCCGAGTTGTTACCTTGAGGGACATGTTAGCGAGTCCGCGAGTGACGCCCAGCGGAATCTGGATGAAGACGCCGTACAAGCTGTACCGCTTATTGGAAAACTGCAAACCGCAAACCAAGGGAAAGCAAACATAACGGGTCCGCTCAAAGGACATGCTGTGAGGAGGATACCCTACGCCGCGTGTGTACGGTACCAGCCATCCCACCCCAGTTACGTCTCAGGCCCACACCACTCCTAGCAGCCAAAGCGCTTTCATTTAGAAACGCAGCCCATATACTCGCGGCCAGCTTCCTCACATTGCTAGCTATGATCCACATGTAGACGCACGCCATGAGGCACAGCAGCCCGCCCTCCAGACACAGTATGACCAGCTGCAGGTTGTAGATGCCGCGGCTGTCCGCCACGGTGAGCTGCACCATGCCGTCCAGCGTCTCCTGGTAGGCGGGGTAGATGATGGAGGCGCCGTTGGCCTGCGGGGGGGGGAGGGGTGTGATGCGGGAAGGGAGGGTGGTGTGTGTAGGGTTACCCGGGTGGGGGGAGAGGGGTAGCCAAGGAAAAGACCTTGGGCCCACTGCGCTTAGGGTGATTTAGGAAGAGAGGAAAAACTAGCCCACAGCCCTACACCAGTAGCGCGCATTGAATACCGTACCAGCATGGGACGCAGCCCATGCTGGTATCCACCGGCAGCCTACTCCTCCCCCCCGTCCCCCCACCTCCCCCACCTCGATGAATCGGTACGACGACCAAGCTGAGAAGTTGCCGCCCTGCGCCACCATGGCCGGTCCGTTGTTGTACACGTCGAGCGCCTTGGTGAGGTAGAGATTGCCCGCGTCCCACAGCCCCATATGCACCGTCGCGGTGCCCAGGTCGCCCAGGTCGCCGGTGCTGGCCAGGTCAATGCTGGAGTTTGCAAAGGATGCCAGCGCGGAGGGGTCATCCGGGTCGTAGAAGAGGGTGATGTTCAGGGAGGGCTGCTCCCAGAGGTTCTGCGTGGGGTTTGGTACAGGAGGAGGAGGGTGAGGGTGCTGAGGAGGATATGGGAGGACAGGCGGAGCGGGGCGTTACGGTGTGCAGCGAGTGGTTTGTGCGGTACCGGTACTAACAAAGGAGGGAGGGAGCAGAACAACGGCATCACACCACCACACACCCCGTGTAGGCTGGTAGAGTCGCCCACACGTGCCATGACTCACCCGCAGGTTGTATTTTGTGGTAATGCGCTTCAGGGAATGGAAGCCCAGGTACACCCCGTGGTGCAGGACCTGGAGGGGATGGGCGCATGTGGGGGGAGAGGGATAAGACCCTTTGGGGGAGCGGCAAGACGCGTGACTGGAAGGAGGCGTAGCCAGGAAGTGGAACCGCCAGTATGTTATCCAGGCATGGTGTATTGAGGCGACATTGATGGACGGAGTAGGAATGACGGCGGGAAACAGGGCTTCCTCGCCAGCGCCCATGATAACACGCGGGAACCGGGAGGCGGGTGCCCCGGTGCCATGGGAGCGTACTGCCAATGCCTCCAACCCTCCAACCTACCTTCATAGATGAGATGAGGAAATCAAGGTCGGTGTAGGTTCTGTTGAGGACGTCATTCAACGGTTCACCGAAGTCCGGCAGGCCCTGCACACAGGAACAAAGGAGAAGGACTACCTTAGGCCGGCAAGGAAGACAGGAAGATCTCGCGACGCCTGCAGCTTTACGACAACCTTGGTTCAGTCCGGATTTGCGCACATGCAGCACATGGATTGCCGGTTGAAGACACGTTTTGCATCCGGTACTTCTAATTCTTGGATCCAGACCCAGGATTGGCCAGATGAAGCATGACGAGGTCAGCAACGACCTACCTGCACGTAGCTGTCGCCCGCATACAGCCGTGACAGCAGGCGACCGTCAATGGCAATCTCATGCACTCGGCGGGAGGCCATGGCTGCGGGAGGCCGGTGGGGTTGGGGTTTGGTGTGAGGAAGCGAGGGTGCGGTTCTTACAAGGAGGACAGCGGTACAGAGGGGCCACATGCAGGTAGGTAGGAAAGGCAAAAAGAATGATTCGCAGACGACACGGAAGGGCGCATGCAATCAGGGGAAGAGTACCGGTATGCGCGACAAAACGGCGGGAGGGGGGTCAACCAGCGCTTCTCAGTGGGGCGGCACCGCACTCACCCACGCTGTTCAGGTCCGCTACGGAGGTGTGTTGGCCGTTCAGCCGCGTCAGCAGCACGACGAAGGCGGCGGTGTGCGCCCCCAGCATCAGCAGCACCGCAATCATGGTGTGCCATCGAAGCACCCGCGCTGGCTGCTGGGCCTGCGGGAAGAGAGAGAGAGGGGAGGAAAACTAATTGAAACTTGGAGGGAAATGAAGAGCACGAGGACATACGAGGTAAGCGTTCGGTGTCATACATGCCACATATGAGCTAGTCAGCATGGATGCGTGTAAACATCTTGAACACTCGGGCACGCAACTGGCACCACAACCATGCGCGTCAGGAAGTGCCCCGACAACCTCTGCTCCCACCCCACTCTCAGGACGTGTGTGCACTCATGCACAGCCACTGCCACCACCCTGCTAGCCACCCCCAGCCCCGGTCCCCGCCCACCAGCGGGCTCATCAGTATCTTGTGCAGCTTCTTGAACCTCTTGCCCACGGAGTAGTTGGCCACCACCGCACCCGCCTCACTCTCCACGCCGTCGTCCTCAGCACCCCCTCCGCGACCGTCACTGCCGCCGCCTGCATCGCCGTTGCGAGGCGACTCGTCTCCGCGGCCCCCATCCGAGCTCTGCCGGTCTCCATCGCCGTCCAAGCTCATCCCCTCAGCGTCCCGGCCGCTGCCCTCGCTGCCGCCATCCATGCGGTCGGGGTCGGGACTGACGGCGGGAGGAAGCGCAAAGGCCTTGACGGTGGCGTCCAGCGCGGGTGATTGCTGTCGTATGGCAGATGTACGGAGGAATTGGAAACGGTCGTGGAATAAGTGGGGTAAAGAAGAAGAAACGTAGAGGAGTCACGGAGTTAGTGGGAGGTGCACGGGAGTCGGGATTGGATGTACGGAAGGAAAGGTACAACGGGGGATCCGAGATGTGTGATTAAAGGAGCGAAACCCCGCTTGCACTGTTTATTACCTTGCCATTCTCTGTCAAGTGCTCTTGGACCCAGGAGTGCACCATACGGTGCTTCGGATCAGCTGCCTTTATCCTTGGAGGGCTTGCGTACTGTGGAAGAGGGGCAGGAAGCAACAGTGTTAAGAGGTGGTGGTTGTTGGCTGAAGCATTGCGGGCAGGTTGTGGCAACGCCAGCAACATGAGGTACACAAATACCGCCTCACACAAAAACAGGTTGCTCACAAGCGACGCCTGTGACACAATCCTTGCAGACATCGCACCAAAACACACGCCCGTGTCCCCACCCTTCCATTGCATGTTATCGCAGCACCCACCGCGGATGCCATGTCTGTACCGCCCCGCAAGAGCAACGAAGCGCCTTGCCGTGGCGACATGGGCATCTGCTCCTCCGCCAGCAGAGCCTGAACGGACTGCTGCCGCCCGACATCCAAGTTGCTCTCCTTCTGGGTGTACCCGCTGCCGCCGCCCTTTAAAGCCTCAAACGCAGTATCCAGGGAGATGTTGCTGACCAGAATGGTAGTGTCCATGGTTGGCGGGGGTTGCGTTGGGTCGGCGGGAGTGGGCGGACCGGCGGCGGTGGTTGCGGATTCGGGGCGTTCAGAGGCAACCACAGGGTCTGCAAGGGAGATCACAGACAGCCGCGAGGGGGCGGTGCCGCCTATCGCGGTGTTTCCGTTGCTGGCCCTCAGCGCCGCTACACGCATGGGACCCAAAGCGGCTTCCAGGGGTAGCTGCGCGCTCAGCAGTTGCGGGGGTGGCGGCGGCGGCGGTCCAGCTGCGGCGGCTGCCAGCACTGCAGACAAGTTGGTGCGCGGGGAGCGTGGCGGCAGCGACGGCGGCGCGGGGGGCGTTGCTGTCCCAGCGGCGTCAAAGCCGATCGGGTTAAAGGTTGCCGCTTTGCGTGGGGTGGCATCTGAGGGTAAGCCGCTGATACGGCCGGCCCCGTCAAGAGACACGGCTCGCGACATGATCGTTGTCCTGGCATTGGGCGTGGCAGTAGCAGCAGCAGCGGCCGCGGCGCCAGCCCCACCTGCGCCCACAACCTGGGCTGCGCTCAACATACCCAGCGTTGATGCCGACGTGCCCGGCTGCGTCGTCCGCGGCGCGTTGCCGTAATTAGTAACGCGCGCCATGAGACCTGACATGTCATTATCGTACAACCATCTTATAAAACCTTCAGGAGCGGGTGTAGGCCCGCTGGGTCGTACCAGCACGTAGGCACTGCCCTGCGGCCCGGCGCGCCGTACGGCCTGCAGTTGCAGCTCCATGGGGCAGCAATCACTCTGGTGCCGTACCGTCACCACGGTGGTCGCGCCCGGCCGCGCATGCCGGGTGCTGCGGTGTTTCTTCAGGGCGCCACGCACGCCCGAGGTATCCGAGGCGCTGCCGGGGTCAAGAAGCGCCGCCATGCCGCCCGGGGGCATGGGCATGAGCTCGTTTAGGGTGCCGCCGACTAGGGATGAGGGGGAAATGCCGAATACAAGGCCGGACCGGCCCAAGGGGCAGGCTGCATCCGCTCGGATCACCCGGCCGCGCTCGTCCACTTCCAGGACACCAGACAGCAGGTCAGCCCGCCAGAGCTCGACTTCCAGCACCAGACTAGGCGCTAGGGAGGGTATGGCGTTCGCCACCGACCCCATTGCAGCGGCGGAGGCGGCATTAAAGGCTGCGGGAAGCTCCTCCGGCGGCAGCTTGAGGCTCACGAGCTGACGGGAGCTGGAAGTGAACCTTGACCTGACGGGATCGTTGCGTTCCGATATGTTTGAGCGGAGGATGCGGCTCGGGGGTATGCCCGATGGTGGCGGCTGTGGCGGCGGCGGTTGTGGTGGCGGCGGAACAGGCCCAAGTGAGGACTGCCGAGACAAGGGCCTCGGGCTTGCCGGCAGCACCGGTGCCGGCGGCGGCGGCGGCTCAAGTACCGGTGTCGTGTACAGCAGTGGCGACGGCGGTGCTGCTGCCGGCGACGGCGATGGTGCTAGAGAAAGTATGGCAGGAGGGGTTGCTCTCCCGGTTGTTGCCGGGACTGCAGTCGGCTGCCGGGCATCGTCATTGTAAAGCTGCTCTGGGGACCCCTCGCGAGAGGGCTGGTTTGATGGGCCGCCCTTACGCAACGGCCCGCTTAAACTGTGGGAGGAGCCTTGTGACCTGTCAGCGACGACCGCGGCGGAAGCCGCTAGCGCACAAGCCGGCGCCAGCGCAACGGGCGGCTCAACGACAATGCTAACTGCAGGCGGCGGCGTGGGAGGTTTCGCCTTGGAGTTGGCCTGCTCCATAATTCCCGCTGCGAGGGGTTGCACGTCATTGGGGCATTTGAGGGCCAGGCATGAAGCAGGAAGGAAGGTACCGGTGTTGCTGCTCGGGGCAGGCTGGTGAGACCCTTGGTTTCCCTTCGACCCCCACTCACCCAGCTCCTTAAGCATGGCCATGTCCTCAGCGTCCAGCGAAGTCGCCGGCTCCTCCGCAACCGCCTCCAAAGACTCCGCTACCGGTCTTGCCGTACGACCATGTCCGCGCCCGCTTCCGCCGTTTCGCAGCCACGCCTCGTCAAGACTATCCTCCGCCGCACAGATCTCTGCCGACTCGCCCACCGCCCCCTGGGGTGGCACTCCCAGACGCCGCCCGGCAGCAAACGGCTGCGAGGCATCTGGAGTGGGCGGCGAAGGGCCATAACCACCACCACCACCACCTCCACCACCGCCACCACCCAGCTTAACCGGCGACCGTAGGACCAGCGGCGGCGGCGGAATCTGCACCTGCGGTGCGATCTGCACCTGCGGCGCGCTTAAAAAGCCACTCGGCTGCATCCTGACGCGCAAGCTGCTGCCAAAAGGCGCGCCTCCTCCTCCTCCTCCTCCTCCCCCGCTGTCGCCGTCAACAATGGGCGAAAACAGCGGGAAGCTGCCGGAGGAGTTCGCGGGTTGCGGTTGGGGCGGGCGGGGCTTCCGTACGATGCGAATCGTCATGACGGCGGGTACGGTCCTTGCACCCATGAGCTCGGCTGCTATTTGGGTCTCCTCCGGCCCCACCACTTGGGCCAGCTCGTCGAGCTCGGCGCGAGTGGCCTCGTCGGGCGGCAACGTCACGCCCACACGCCAGGAGCACCCAGGGTTTTGGGAGGCCCTGCAAGGGAAGCCGCATACAGGACGGCATTGGAGGGCGCAATGTGCGATCCTCAGGAGCAAAAGGGGCCATGCCAACCTCCACGCCGTTCACCTCACCCTGCCCAGCCTTCAAGCTGTTCCCCCTCACGTCCCGCCCCACACCTCGCAACACCCCTCACCTCTTCGCTAGCTCCAGCAGCGCCCGCGTGACACGCCGGCCATGTGCGGCCTGGAACATGGACGCCGCATCCTCCAGGATGTCCTCCTCCTCCTGCAGCGCCGGGTTGCCCGCCGCGGCGGCGGCGCCCCTGCCGCCCGCCGCCCCCAGTCCGCCGCCGCCGTACAACGCCTCGTCGAGCAGCTGATCCGCCTGGAAGAGGTCCACAAGCTCCGAGATGGAGGAGCCCAGAAGGAAGCGCGGGTCGGTGCCGAAAAGCTCGGCGGGCGTGGTGTCGTCTGCGGCCACGATGTTGCCCGCGAGGTCCAGCGTGAGGGCGAGACGGCGCTCGGAGACCGCCTGGAGGTGGGGGGTTGGGAGGTTGGGAGGACGCGGAGAGGTTAGGGGTTGGAGCGGTGAGGCTTGCAAAGGGAAGCACAATGCCCACGGCGAGGATGAATGAGGTAGAGCATAAGAGGTAGAGGAAAGGCTGTTCAGTGTGAGCGAGATGTGATGGCTAGGATGCTGGTCCAGCACCATGTGCACCAGCTACCCCGTAGCCAACCCACCTGTTCCAAGGTCAGCGGTTTGAATGACATGACGTGGATCTTGGATCCGCCGCCGTCCGCCAGGCGCTGCTTGACGGACACCCGGAACTGCTTCACGCCCGGACCCGTCTGCTCGCTGTAGGTGGACAGGCTCACTGCCACGCCGCTGCGGCAGCTGTAGGGCGGCGGGGGGCCCATGGTGGACTGGGGGGTGGAGAGCTCCTGCGGTGATGTGGGGAAGGGTTAAGGGGCTGAACGACGGATGGGGGGGTGGTAGGGTTGGGCTGTTGCCCATGAGGGGGAACGACGTCACGACCCATATGCAGCTCTCACACATCGTAACTTCTTTTCCAGCCCATCAAAAGCCCATTGTCATTCCTTACTCCATCCCATCGCACCCCATCCCACGCCACCCCAGACACCACCCACATGCAGCCACGGCCCATGCAGGATGCTGGCCGGCTCCGGAATGAGCATTCCCAGCCCGCCTGCCCGTATGGACTCCAGGCTCCTGCCCAGCGCCGTCGCCAGCGGTGCCGTGGCATGCATCACATGCCCCTTGTGGTCCGCCACCAGCAGCATGTCGTGGTACACGGGCGGCGGCAGCGACAGCGCGGAGGACAGCAGGCCGGGGTGGCGCAGGTAGGGCGAGGCGCCGGGGGGCGGGGGGGTGCCGCAGCGGCGGAGGAAGATGGAGTGCACCTTGACGGAGCCGATGGCTGCGGGGGTGGGGTGAATGGTGGAGGGTGTGGAAGAGGGATGAGGGTTGGGTTGGGCAAGGGAAGGGGGTTGGGAGCAGAATGGGAGCTTGGGGGACTGGGGCAAGGGGGAAGAGGTCAACTGCTCCCACTCAGAAAGAATTCCGGTACCGTTAGGACAGGCAACAAGCTGTCAAGCTACGTCAGTGCCTAGTTCAGCTCCCCAGCCGCCTCCGCCAGCTGCCCCATCGCCCTATCGCCCATCACTCACCGCCCGGCCGTACAGACGTGTCAAACCCCAGCGGGTCATTGAACTTGTGACGCCAGCAGATGCGCGGCAGCAACAGCGTCGCCGGCACTGCGCTCTCGCCCGATGCCACATGCAGTGGGCTGGCCCCGATTGGCGGCGGCGCCATGGTATTGGCATGGTCCGCAAAGGATGCCCGCCGTAACCAGGTCTTGAAGTCATTTGCCATGTGACCGCCCAGCTTGCCAACCACCCCAGCAGCGCCTCCGTGACCTCCACCTCCACCGCCGCCGCCGCCGCCACCTCCACCACCACCGCCGCCGAGGCCACCATGCTTGGAAACGTCGTGTTTTGTGTCGTACCTCTCGTACTTTTCAAACATGAGTGGCGAGGCCTGCATGGCTAGCAAATCGCCAATGTTTGAGGAGCGGCGGTTGACCCCGCGGTGCGGGTGGGGACGCGTGGTGGGCAGGATTCGGCCAAAGCCCTTGATTGCCCTGTTACGGCAGGGTCGAGACGGACAGAACGCAGAAGTTGAAGTTGTACATGGTGTCACTGCCGTCAGCGGGATAATCCGTGCATCGAGAAAAACAATGGTGTATGCACGTGCCACAAGTTTTTATCTTGACCAATGGGTCATCGACCAGCACATCCCGACCCATGGGTCACTTGGGTTCTTCCGCCCCGTCCCTGCACTCACTCTTTCACCGTGTCCTGCTCCAGCACCAGCTCCTCCACCTGCACCCCTGACAAGTCCGAGGGCGCATAGCCCAGCCAGTCGCAAAAGCGCTCGTCGGCCGCAATGATGGCGCCGTTGCCCAGCACCCAGGTGCGCGCCTCGTCGGGGCAGGGCTGCAAGGGCTGCGGGTGACAAGGAGGAGACGACGGAGAAGCCGGGAAAGGTATCAAGGCAACCGAATGTACGAGTGGACGCAAGCAACCCAGTGTCTCCTCTCTGACCTTGTACACACTGGTATACACCGGTGCAAGAAGGGCAAGTGCCTCCGACAAGCCTTCATTCCAACTTGGAACCAAGCAATGCTTAGGAGGTGCTTCCCAGATCCATCCCACATCCGCACCCGGCGGCTCCCCCCCCCGCCGCTCACCTCCAGCACCCCCAGGAAGACGGAGTCCTCGTTCAGCCCCGACACCTTGCTGACGTGCATCTTGACGGGCATGAGCTTGCGGGACTTGGTGATGACCACCACCTCCTGGTCCTTGTCCAGCATGACAGAGGTGCCTGGGAGGGGCGGGAGGGCGGGAAAAGGAGGGAACCGTGTGTTGAACCATGATAATGGCAATACGGGGTGGTAAGCTCCTGTTCAGTGGGAAATTGGTGGGGGGAAGATGGGAGAGGAAGAGAAAGAGGACGACGTACGCCTTGTTGGCGACAGGAAAGGCTTGAGAGGGGGGTTAGTTCAGTACTAAAGGCTTGAGAGGGGTTCCTGCAGCATACGGGCGTAGACCACGGTAGCGGGGGACGGCGGAGGCGCGGGTGCGGCACAGGGGCCCGAGCGCACAGCCGTACCATTGTGGATGTAGTTCCGGACATAGGCGGTGTGGCGGTCGCCAAAGGGGGGCGGCATGATGATGCCCACGTCCTGAAGGGACGGAAAAGGGACAGAGGGGGGCAGCATCGGGCGAGTAAGGCGTCAGGCCGTGTAGGGGACGAATCTACGTAAACGTAATCATACAGCAATCAGCAATTGCGTTGGCACCGGCATGAAGGGTGTCTCTTTGGGCTGACCTGGGGCACCGCTCTTTCTGGGCCGTGGCTGGGGCAGTGCCAGCTTGAGACATGCAATCGTTGCTGTGGATATCCCATTCCCACGCAGCGTAACTCCCTTTTGACTTTCGACTAAAACGGGCACAACTACCAGTACTACTAAGTCGCTTGGCGTAGAGGAGGAGAGCTCCAGCGCCGTTGCCTGAGCCCTCACCCCCACCGCACGCTTACCTTGCCCTTCAACTCGTTCTTTGCGTATCCCAGCATTGCATGCGCCTCAGGGGAAGCCACCTGAATGGTCCCCTGCGCGTTGATGCAGATGATGGCCACCCCCTCCGTCTCCGTCATCCCTCGGTCCACGCCGCCGCCTGTACGAGTGAATTAATGACTGTTGCTGTGTACTGTTACTGTGTACGGTAGGGTACGGCACACCAACACGACACAGACATCCTGGTCACGGCGATTCCAGCTGCCCTCAACATGCACCCTCGAGTGCACTCTTGCCACAAAGCACCGTGGTGTCAGGGGAGCTCCTCGCTGACAGTGTCCGCTGCTGCACGGCTCCTCAGCCCAAGCACCGCTACCGTGACCGCACACGACGCGACACTAGTACGTTACAGCATGCCCCAACACAGTTGCAGTACGTTGCGACTCGCGGCCAGTTTACTCAGCACACACAGTTCCACGCAGTTTTCTGAACACACACGTTTCCAGGTGCAGTAGCACACGCTCAACCGTTGCAGCCCCCACCTTGCTGCGGCAGTAGCGTCTCCACGCCGCCCAGCTGCAGCGCCTCCTTGGTGTGCTCCGCCTCGTCCTCCAGCCGGTCCGCCTCCGTATACCACTTGGAAGCGGCCCATGGGTCGAACTTGACCGTCTCCAGGAACCTGCCGTACAGCCGTACAAGCCGCGCGCTGCTGCCGTGGCGCGCCAGCACGCCGCGGTAGGCACGTTCCGCCGCCTTGACGCTGACCTGTGCGTGCATTGTTAGGTAACGGCCGTTGGTACCGGTACGGCATGTTTCTTGGTACGGAAAGTACAACCAAGGCAGGTGCTTTATGAACACCAAGAGTATACGGTAGCAGCGCCCAGCCGCATCCGCTCCTGTCCTCCGCTATATCGCCACGCCCACCCCCGCCACACCTCTATTCGATGCAGCGCTTTCGTGAGATTGGTGAAGTCCACATTGGTCCGCAGCAGCAGCCCCCAAAAGGCCCGCATGGCCAGCAGCGCCTCCCGATGCGCCTTCACCACCAGCCGGTGGTTGCGCTGGAACTCCACGTAGCTCACCAGGTCAACCGCCGCGTCGCCGTTGTTGGCGCCGCTGGCCTTCTGCGTGTGCTCCTGCTCGCGACTGAAGATGGCGAAGCGCTCCAGCAGCCCCGGGGCTTGCTTCTTGGCGGTCTGGGGTCAAGGTATCGGCAGCGCAAACCGCAGGGAGCCACAGGTTCGGGCAACGCAATGGGTTTAGGAGGCGGCAGGGAGTGGGGTTGGAGCGGCAGACCAGAAGGAGGGTTTGGGGGGACCGATAGCTAGCGGTTAGGGATTGAGGATTTAGGGGTGGTGTAACGGCCTGTAGATCAGGAGCAGCAAGTAGCATCAGGACCCAACGTGGCAAACCAGGGCGGCATGTCGCATGCAGTCTGTCCAGCACCGCACCTGCAGCTGCGTGTACCCCGACTGGTAGCTCCCCTGGACGTCGATCAGGAAGGAGGAGTAGAGGATGATCATCTCTGCGGCGACAGCAGCGCACACGTGCAGAGCAAGCTTAGGGGTGGTAAGCCTCTGGGGTAGCGGTAATAAATTACCCATGCATTGCAAATTCGCAATACACATTCCGCTTTGCTTTGCTAGAGACACAGCTTGTCGTGGCCCTGCCGTACTCCCAAAAGCCAAAAGCGCTCTCTCCCGTACACGTTACTTTTTATCCCGTACTCACGTGGATCTTGTGGCAGCTGTATCATGCCCGCCTTTATGACCTGCTCGCTCAGGGTCACCGCCTCCGACTCCAGCGTGTCCTCATCCACCCACTTCCGGCAGCAGCGTGCGGTGATCTCCACCTCACGTGCATCCGTGAAGCGGTAGATCGCCTTTGAGTTGGTGCCGGCCTCAGCAGACCTGCGTGCGGGGTGCATGGCACCGCCGTTTGGTCCCCCTTTTGGCCCTTCTTACATACGACGTACGTAATATTGGACACAACGCACAAGGTGCCGTACCAAACAAGGTTCGCCTAAAAGCAGCACAGGAGCACAGCGCTGCCGTCCAATGGCCCCCACGTCCCGGTTGTACCCCCGTGGCGCAGCGCACCTGAATCGGCCCAACACGTGGCTGAAGAAGTGCCGTAACCGCAGGTGGCACAGCAGCGCCCCTGCAATGGCTGATGGCGCCATGCCAGCCCACATGGCCCATGTCACGTGCTCCCTAAACTTTGCACTTTTTGGGTCGTCCGGATTTGAGGGCCCAAACGCCAGCACCACCATCAGCACCGAACAGTACAGCACGCAGCTGTTCGATGCACATCGCACGTAGTTCAGGGCGCTGTATATGAACGGAACCTGTGGTGGTGGGTTAGCGAACGACAACGACGGCATGAATGTCAGCAGGGATGCATTAGCCACGCATGCCAGGTTATGTAGGCTAGCGAGGCGGCCACCATGACGTAGACAGGGAGCCCGTTTGTGCAAAGCAAATCCGCTGTTGTCAGGACACAGTCTACCAAGCAAGATCTGCGAAGAGGGCTGCAAACGCGTGCCACGCGTGCCGCGCTGCTTACCCATTTCACGTATAAATAGAACAAAATTATGAAGAAGAAGATGTATACCACGGACAGCCACTTCACGTTGGTGCCCAGGACCACCGATGCAATCGTTAACACGGCCTTGATCGCAAACCCGTAGCCCTCAACCCGCGTGTGCGCAACGGCCATGTAGTTGCGAGTCAAGGGGTTGAGCTGCAAGACAGAGCATTCCAGGTTTGGGCGGCAAGGGAGGTCAGTTGCTCGGACCGTATGCACAGAGAGACACGTGAAGAGAGCGCTAGGAATCGTGGAATTGCGGTCTAGGTGTACCCCAGCATGCTCCTTCCTGACTACCCCGCAATCATGTGTAAGCTTTGCAGTAGCGGCATGACCCCCGGGTCGATGCCGCGCCTCTTCCATCCTTATGAAGGAGTCCCCTCCTTTTTTCGATGTGGTATTCAAGCGTAGCTGGCCGGACATCCTTACCTCCATCTCACTAACCACCATGCACGTCGCCATGATTACGAACAGCACAATTGAGGCCACGGAAACCGCCACATGGACAATGTGGGGCATTGACCAGCACACTGCCACGGCCAAGGGGAAGCAGGCGAGGTGCAGCGCAGAACCGTGGGTCAGCGTACGTCGGGTGGGCAACAAGGAGCAGGAACAACAGCAAGTGCAATGTCGGTTAGGTCAAGACAAGCATGCATTGGTGCAGCTCTTCACGCCGAAGGCATGTAGAATACAGAATGAAAAAAGGGCGCGCCCGAAAGGCGTTGCGTATCTGGGCTGCTTTCCGTTGGCAGAAACTGCCGTACCGGAACCACCACGTGAAAAGCTGCGGAGTCCACTGCACAACAACCACTTACTGATGTCCGGGAACTCTTGGTTGTGAAATTGGATTTGATCGGGCACGTTAAAGTAGTTGCAGTCGAGGGTCACCAACAGCAGCGTCAAGGTCGCAATGTCTAGCACCTGCAGTTTGCAAGAAGTGCTGATTAGTTTTCCCGGTAGTTGTTTGCCAAATATGTGGGCTTCCAAAGCCGTGCCATGCCAGGCAATCAAGCAATGCATACGGCACGTGATGTAGGGAGGCCCTTACCTGGTAGAAGATAAGGCCGAACCATCTGAGGAACTGGATTGGCCACACGTACTCGAAACGGTTTTGCGAAAACGAATGCGCCACCCACACACTGAGTGTCACATTCACGCCGAGCAAGCCCACGAAGACGTACAGGAGCGCAAGGAAAAAAGAGTATCCCTGCAGGAAAACCGAGCCGCAGCGCCAGGGAAACGCAAAAGTGATTGTTAGAAAGCAGCGTGCTGACGCCCGGGGAGAGCCGGCGCCTTCGAAACGAGGAAACTTAACGATCCGTTGCGCAGAAACGGTTGGGGAAATGCCCGCATGGTCGCATGCGACTTACCCGTCCGGATAGAAACGCGTTGAGTTGAATGAATGACACAACCTGCCATGCTCTGCGCAGCATTAGCAACCGGGGGTGGGATTTAGGAACTCGCAATGCCGCAGGGAAGACAGCTCCAACAGCGCATGTAAGTTGTGTAGTATCAGTAACTAAAGCCCTTATAACGGTCCGAGGGCCACCGGAGGGGAACTCCTGTGCGCCGACGCACAACGCGTGGCACGGAGCATGCACAGCATGGTACGATATTTTGTGGATGCAAGGCGGCCTTACTTGTTCTTGGCATTGATGCTCCACCCATAACTAGGGTTAATAACCAGCAACCAAAGCTGCAAAAAGTCCTGAAGGGATTGCCAAAAACAATGGAGAAGTTAATTAGGCAGGCTTCGCACACAAGCTTCCGCCTGTACATCAGCAAAACACCAAGGACAGACTCATCATTAGCACTACCCACAAGTACACTTATCTAGCTCAGGCCATCTGGCCTGTCTGGCTAACTCATGCGTCCCGTTACAACATCCCGTTTCTTGCCGGGAACGGGCATGGCACGCCATACGGATTCACGCGACAATCCTCACCAGGAAGAGCCGAAAGAAGGCGAATTTGACGCTGGAAAGCTGCTTCTCTTTGGATACCGTATACAGCACCTACAGGGGTTAAAGGGGGCCGTAGCGAGGAAGCGAGGGGCGGATTTGTCAGTAGAGACAGAGGCTGCACGGCTTGCAGGCTCCCCTCCACAAACCTACTACGCGCCCAGGACCTGAAGCTGCCATTAATAAGGACCGAAACGTCGCAGGCACCACGAAAGAGGAAGGGCGCTGCATCCCATGCCTTTGCCCAATGGCATGGAGGTCAGGTGAATGAAGAGGAGCCCGGTTGTGAAGCACAAGGCTTCTAGGTACACCACGCCACTTGCCCCAGGCGTGCTTGGGTGCACGTGCTTAGGTGGCCATGCAGAAATGCTCTACGGGACTCCAGCGTGTTGACACGATGCCAGGGGAAACAAGTCTACGCTGCAATTGCGCTGGGACTGCCGTAAGCTAAAGGTGGAACGAGGATGCAGCAACTCCGACGGGGTTGCGGCTGGCTGTGGGTAACAGCCGCACACGGTGAGTCCTTGTTTGCACGGGATGCTAATGCATGCGCCGAACTCAACTGAACCGCATGGGCACGGCGGGTTTCCGAACACGGGGTTGGTCCTTAATCCCCAACACGTAGACGGACAAGAGAATGCCCCCGTGCCGAAGCCTCTGAATCGCCCGGCCCCCGTGCTACGCGACCAGGTCGCCCTTACCCCGAAGACGCCCAGCTGTATTGTGTGCGGCTCCTCAAAGATGTGGTCATCTTCCCCAGGGTTTAAGCCGTTAGGCCTGCAGCAGGTGCGTTTACCAGGAACATGCGACACCACCTTTCAAAAGCAAAATTATAACGGGCGTGGGCGTGAAGCCATATAGTAGTAAATGGCCATGTAGGCGCCGGTTGGCCCCCCAAAAACTCCCACCAAGGCTTCCAATCGCTTTTAACGGCAGAGTACGCCACATGTTAAGTGACTACTTCAAGAAGTAAAGCCTAGCTAATGCAAGGACGCCGCACATAACAAAATTTGCTCACCGCAGACCTCCTGCTACTGAGCCCTCTGCCGCGCTTCCAAAAGACGAGACGCTAGCACCGCTCATTGTACCGCCGTGCCAAGTCGGTCGTTATTCGCGTGCAGGTTCTGGGGACGCCCGTCTATCTGAAAACCTCTCTAAGGATAGAAGGCTGGGCATCTTAACTGGTTAGATATCTATGACTGAAGTTCCTCTGAGATAGTGGACCGAAGATAGGTATATCGTCACGTCAACGCTCTCCGACAAGCAGATATCGTCAACTGAGCAAGTGAAAAAGCAACACCAACGTTGTGGACGAAACCCTTCCACGTTCTCAGTACTTGCCAATGGAATAGACAAGCGCTAACGGTCCATCATGGGGCCTCTGTACACAAGCTAGCCGTACATAGTACCAGCGCCCCCATCCCGGTAATCTAGCTCTTTCGTCGACGGTGTGGAACCTGCGCGGCGAACCATCCCTTCATAGAAAGTATGTTCAGGCCATACGCCCGGCACTGGGAGTTGCTTTTTGGCCGTTTCGTTGAGCAATATCTGGGCAGGCTAGCCAGTTGCGTTTTACTTCTGCTTTCTTAACATGTGCAAAGCTGCATGGCCTGCAATATACGGTAATGAGGAAATGGGCAATTATTGGGTTGTCCATACGCATCACATCTTACTGCGCGTACTTCGGACGTTGTTTCCCTTAAATAGGTATTCGGCCTAGCAAAGCACTTGCAGCATTGGTATAGCTGGTGAAGACCATTTGCAACATCTCTCCCGTGCGTGGCGAAAGTTTGCAGGGATGCCGAGTGTTTAAAGTCCCTGCAGACGGCCAATGCCCAGACTCGTTCCAAGTCCGATACGCAGTGGTCTGCCAGTAGTATTTACGTCTTGTCGTAATTTTAACCGTTGCCGTTTACTGCGCTCATGTAAGCACACTTGGGCAGTGCTTCTTGCTTGTGGCTTATAAGCCGGCATGTCCCAGCCCAAAATACGGTTCATGAGCTACTACGTCTGCTTCCCTTCCAAGCGTTACGGGCCTACGCGAGCAACGCCAAAACGACAGTGCTGTACACGTTCACTCTCCCCACTCAACACGAACATCTCTGTCGTAACCCGGATTGTCCCGGCACACAGCTGGCGGGCTGTCACGCATCAAACCCTTTCCACTCAACCTGCAAGAACGTCTGCCTATACAACATCCATGATACAACTTCACACCCTACATGTAAACTCACAGCAACTCACGTCCTCTCTAGAACTATACTACGTCATGAATGGCTAATGCACAACGAACGGTCATCTTGACGGTCAGCTTGCGGGCGCAGCCGCTAGCAGTGGCAGCGGCGTGGTGCCCTCCAGCTGCCGCGATGCCCATGCGGTAATGCCCTGAAGGATGATGCGGCTGAAGTCCAGGGGAGGCGCCGTGCCACCGTCATAATACGGTGGCCGGGTACTGCCTGCACCGCGGTCCGACACTCCAGCACCAGGCTTCGACCCATGGGTCGTGCCTGACGTCGCGGCCATGACCGACGTGGCAGCATTGTCCTCACCCGGCCCTGCTACCACGCCCCCCAACGGTTCGCCAAGAACCCTGCTCCCAGCACGTGCCTGCGCTTCCTGTGCCCCTGCCGGTCCATCACCCGCATTAGCCTCCCCCACGCCAGCAGGCGCGCAAGCCCCAGCGGCAGCATGCCCAGCACGTTGCTGAAAAGCTGCCATCCACTCGGGTCCCGGGTCGTACCGCAGCCGTACCAGGGCCCATACCACCAGGGAGAGCTCCCGTGCGCTGCAGTCGTCCAGAGCTATCCGCAAGCAAGCCATGTAGTGCGCCATCCACTCGCCATTCGGCCGCACGTCAAGGACAGCGAGCGCCCACAACAGGCGAGACAGCGTAACGGGTAGGCGCCGTAGCGCAACGCCACCGTCAAGGCTATTGGCCAGCTGCGTCCTGACAGGCTGCGAAGAGTGCCTCGGCGTGTGCGGCTGCGATTGCTGCTGCCTAATCCCAAAACGTGGGTGTTGCCGTGCCGCATGCGCTTGATCCACAGCTGCACCTGCGGCAGTAGCTTCCGAACCTGCAGCTTCGAGCACCGCCGACATGCGCGCGGCCGCAGCGTGTAGCAGCGCCTCCAGCATGCCCGCCGGTGGTCGGAAGCCAAGCTGTGCAGCAGCGTGTGCTGCAGTTGCGAGCTGCGTGAGACTGAGCACCTGCATGTTCGGCAGCAGCACCTCGACCCACCGCGCCAGCCAGACACGGTGCGGCTTGTGTCCCAAATCCGCCATGTGCTGCAGTACCGCCGTCACCTCAAACGGCCGCATGCGCGGCAGCCGTTTGTAAAGGTGCCCGCCCAGGAGCTCTATCCAGTCGAGCCGGGGCTTGAAGCCCAAGCTGGCAACCGCCTGCAGAAGCGCCAAGATCTCTGCATCCGTGTGGTCTGGCAGCTGTGAAGCTACCCGCGTAAGGATGGCGTCCACGTCGCGGAAAGGCACGCTGCAGCCGAGGCGCGCCGCCGCCCAGAGAACGTTGGCACACTGCTGCTTGTCGAGAGCGCCCAGGCTGCGAGCGGCAGTTTAAGGGGCAGTGCAGTCTTTGTCAAATGCAGGGGTTTAGCTAGATAGACCGCAGAAAAAGGTGGTAGGGTTGCATGTAAGAGGCTTAGTCAATCGGCGTCGGACGGTGCAGTTTAAACCTTAAGCCAAGGGACACTGTCCCCCGAGTTCTACACCGCAGGGCCCATAAGAGAGGGCGACTGCAGCTCTAGCTCAGGAGATAGGCTTTCTGTACCCCACAAATGCATAGCCTTGTCGCGATGGAAAAGCGCCCTCGGCTGCCAATGTGGGCAGGCATGCTGGCGCTCGGAAGTGCCTTCGACGTTATACACGGGCGATGGTTTGTCCCCCGAGTTCTACACCGCAGGGCCCACGGGATAGGGCGACTGCAGCTCTAGCTCAGGAGATAGGCTTTCTATACCCCACAAATGCATAGCCTTGTCGCGATGGAAAAGCGCCCTCGGCTGCCAATGTGGGCAGGCATGCTGGCGCTCGGAAGTGCCTTCGACGATATACACGGGCCATGGTTTGTCCCCCGAGTTCTACACCGCAGGGCCCACGGGATAGGGCGACTGCAGCTCTAGCTTAGGAGAGTGCTTTCTATACCCCACAAATGCATAGCCTTGTCGCGATCGTGACAGCGCGCTCGGCTGCCAATGTGGGCAGGCATGCTCGCGCTCGGAAGTGCCTTCGACGATATACACGGGCCATGGTTTGTCCCCCGAGTTCTACACCGCAGGGCCCACGGGAAAGGGCGGCTGCAGCTCTAGCTCAGAAATTGTTTTCTATACCCCACAAATGCATAGCCTTGTCGCGATCGTGACAGCGCGCTCGGCTGCCAATGTGGGCAGGCGTGTGCGTACATCGCCGGACTCAACAACGGGTAGTGCAAAGCATCAGCAGTGCCGCGTATTCGCGTTCCGCAGTGAAGCAGGTACTTACTTCTGCATTACGAGATCCCACATGCCCCGAAACCACTGGGGATGCGGCTTGTACTGCATATACGCCAGGCCCATCAGCAAGCTACAAAGTCCCACAGGGTTGAGCCGATCCGCGCTGCCGCCAATCGCCACTAGGACCACGACCATGAACGCTGGCGGCGGCTGATACGCCAAATTGCCGAGGCTAAGAATTACCATTGGCAAATACGATGCTAGCGCTGCTGCCTGCGGTGCTGCTGCCACTGCCGAGCCTGCAGGTCGGTGCGTCCTGCCTCCCCAGCTTCTCCCGTCTGCCACACAGGATGAGCCCTCCTGGGCCCGCTGCCGCTGAGGCTGCTCCTGCTGTTCCTGTTGCCTGCGCAGTTGTGCGTCTACCACCTGTGCCAGCGGATGGTTCAGCCGCGGCCCAAGCCGCTGTAGGAACCTCGGCGACAGCGTGCCAGACTCAATGATGCGGCCCAGCAGGCAGATGCGAAAGGAGCGCAACCAGTACACATCTGCCGTTCCGCCCATACGAACGACACCATACAGCAAAAGCGCGAGCTCGCGCATGCCGTACCGCTCCATATGGGCTCTGCAATGCGCCAGCACGCCTCCCACCAGCGACCGCCCCGGGTGCAGCCGCAACTTGCCAGCGGCGTAGCACAAGTGCGCCAGCTCAGCTGGCGCAAACCCGTGCAGCCGCCGGGACACTGCCTGGAAGAAATCCGCTACCCAGACTCCAGGAGGCATGAATTGCAGCAACATCAGCGCGTAGAGTGTGTTCGCAAGGTGCTGCGGCTCGAACGTGGACAGCTGCGCACGCGCCCGCGTCAACACGGCGGCTAGCCATCTGCGCGACGGTCGGTGGCCTAGCTTCGCTACGGCCCACAGCGTGTTGGCCAGCTGCCGGCCCTGGAAGTAGGGCAGACGGGCTAAGACCTCCTGCTCCAAGCGTTGGAGGAATGGGGCTTGGCCACGCGGCGCTTTGGCCGGCAGTCGGGAGCCGCGCTGCTCTGGTAGCTGCTGTTGCTGCCGGTGCTTTGAGGGAGATAAATGCGGGGCTTTAGTGTCGCATTGCCTGTTTAGACGCTGCGAACTGCTTGAGGATGAGCCTAACGGCTGCCGCAACCCACCCGGTTGGTGTGGTTGCTGCTGTGGATGATCACTGCCGCCGGGACCGGTCGTGGATCCCAAGCTCCGAGATGTCCCTACGAGCGAGCCGCTACCACTCCTTTCTACGTAGTCTCCCGTCAGAATCTGTGTGCCGTGGGCATCCTGCCCACTAGGGCTGGGTTCCCCGCCTTCGCTTCGTCCGCGTGCCGGTATGTGGCTGCCATCGGAACTACTGTGACTGCTAAAATTGTCCAGTCCGCTACTGCTTGTGTGCAGCTGTGCCATATGCGTCACGACCGCGCTGATGTGCAGGTGGTTCATGCGGTTTGCGTCCTCCTCCACAATGGACTGCAACTGCTGCCAGCTCCGGGCTCCTTTGATCCGATGCATGAGCTCAGCGGCTGTCCCGGGTGAACCAACCGCCGCCGTCCCGTCCTGCCGCTGGAAGTGCTTCGGCTGCGCATCTCCTCCGCTCCCGGCCTGCTGATGCGGCAACTGGTGCTGCGGTTGTGTCCAGGCAAGTTGTACCTGTGCAATCCAGAAGACAAATGGGGTATTGCAGCGAGGGTCAGGCATAGGGATTAGTGACGGCAAATAAACTGCGTCAGCAGCGCACAGAACCCGGGTAGTCCACACACAGAAGGAACAAAGTTTGTGTGGGCGATATGTGACGAGCATGATGTCCAGAAGCAGCTTTCCAAAGTATACATCGCCCAACCGCCACAGACCGCAAGCAGCTGTCTTAGGGCTGCCAGCCCTCCGCTTACCTGATGCGTGCGAAGTGGCGATGCGTTTACACCTGCACCAACTTCTTGAACGACGGGCGCTCTGGCGTGTGTTGTGACGGCCTGGGGAAAGGCCAGGAAAAGGGATAAGCAAAGCTGTGAATTGCGACTTGCGACCACAATTATCAGCACGATCCAGCACAATTTCATACCCGTTAAGAAACTGGCCAATTAACGCACCTTGCGATGACCAGGCCGGTGGAATGGGCATAAAGGCAAAGGGTGCCGCCGGGAGCCATATGCTAACGAGCGGTGCAATGAACGCATTACAGCCGCAGGTGAATCTTATGCCATGGTATAGATGTTCTTCATAACAGACGTTGAGGCTAGGCTGGCTGGCAACATCACCCAAGCTCAAGCACTGCCTACCTAGGTTAAGCTTGGCAACTAAAGTGGCTTCTGTAGTATAGTTACTGCCAGGAATATCAAGCGTGTCTTGCGGCGTTGTGTTGCGGCTGTTTCTCGTGGGCATGATGGAACCTGGCGGCCCGTACACTGCATACTGTAAGAAGCGGAGCCCCAAATACAGAAGTAGTATTTTCGCGTTCCTACTGTACTGTTACTAAGAGCTGCACTGTACAAAGGACGGGGCTTTGCCTACATACCTGCTGGGATCTTGCAATTTGGAAGCACAGACCGTCATACCTAGACCCTTAACCCCGGCTCGCCCTGGGCGTTGCCCAAGGGCCTGCCAAGGCCCTTGGTAAATAGGCCTGGGCACGGTTGAAATTAAACGTTTAGGTTTGGCAGCCATTGATAGCTCCAGCCATGGCCAACGTGGACCGGTTCCCTTACAGCAGCGCACCTGTGCGGCAGGTCAAAGCTGTGCAGTTCAGCGTATGGGACCCCGCAGAGATCGTAAGTTATGGGCGTTGGGTGCTGCCTTCTGGCGGACGCACTTAACATAGCCGCCGCTGCAGAAAGCATACTCGGTCGCGGAAATCGTCAGCAGCGAGACCTATGAGAAGGGGAAGCCAAAGCTGGGCGGTCTATCGGACCCCCGCATGGGTACTATGGACCGTGGCGGTATCTGCACAACCGACGGTGCCAACGCGAACGACAGCCCTGGGTATTTCGGGCACATCGCTCTGGCGCGACCTGTTTACCACATCGGCTTCATCAAAACTGTCATCCGCGTGCTTCGCTGCGTCAGCTACCACACTTCTCAGCTGCTGGTGGATAAGGTGTGTCCCCGTGACATGTACCCCCTCGAGCGTCACGAAACAATTGCCGTACGGCACTCGGGGCCCCGCTCAAATAGCTCTCCCCCTCACATCCCTTCACACCGTCAGACCTCAACCCCTGTTTTTTAGGTTGACTTCTGCATACCCAGTCCTAATACCCAGGTCATGGCACTTTGGTCCCCCATTTCCTCACGCGTGCTACCCCGTCGGCTTACTTTTTTGCCCCTCTCCTTACCTTTTTACCTCCCCCCCCAGGATGACCCTAAGTACGCGTTCGGGCTGCGCATCAGCGACCCGGAGAAGCGGCTGCGCTACTACGTGCACCTGTGTCAGGGCAAGAAGGTGGACGAGGCCACCGGCAACCCGCAGCCGTCGTACCGCCTGGATGGGCTCAAGATCATGGCGGAGTTTCCCAAGCTGAAGGGCGATGAGGAGCAGGAGCAGGACAATGTGGAGCGCAAGCAGGTGCGAGCACGGGGGGAAGTTTGGGGTTCTTCGGTTAGAAAGGGAAATGACAGATGTGTCTGCTTGCCAGGACAAACGGGGCCCAACGGGGAAGAAGGGGAGCGCGGGAGAAGACTTTAGCCTGGGTGTCAAGCCACCTTGGCGGCGGTAATCAAACACAGCGAAGAAGGAAAACGACATGCGACCCCAACTTACAACACCTTGGTTACCGAAAATTACCTCACGACGATCTGGGCCGCCACCATCAACCTGATCCGCTTGCCTCCGGCGTCCTGCAGGAGCTGACCGCTTCGCGCGCGCTTGAGATCCTGAAGCGCATCCCGCCTGAGGACTGCAAGGCGCTGGGCTTTGACTGTCGCTTCACGCGGCCCGACTGGATGATCATTCAGAACCTGCCGGTGCCGCCGCCGCCGGTGCGCCCCTCGGTCATGATGGACAGCAGCAGCAGGTGGGGGGATTTAGATACACTGAGCCGCGGAAACAAAAAACACACACACTGACCCTGACCCCCCTGGCGGGGGGGGAGGGGTTGTAAAAGGAGGAATCCAAAGGGCTGTATGACGAGGCTTCACAATGGGTTGCTGAAAAGCGGTGTAGAGAAAAAGCTAGCCATGGATGGTGGGGGGGATGGTGGGAACGGCTGCGTGCTCGAGCATGGGTGGGGTTAGGGTTGCTGCCGGCTGCGGCAGAGGAGGAACGGTGCCGGCGGATTCTATGGGAAGGGCGTGGGACAAGGCAGAGATACTGCTCCGCAACTTAATTTGCGCATCTGCGACTACATACAGTCCTCACGACATCCTGGGTTGGTAAGGACGAACAACACCTGCGGCTGCTGTTCATGCAACGGATGGTTTCCCTCCTTCCCTTCGTGTCATTTCCCCCCTGCTGCTGCCGCTGCTGCCCCCAGGTGCGAGGACGACCTGACCCACAAGCTGGCTGAGATCCTGCGCACCAACAACGCCATCAAGAAGCAGGACGCCACCGGCACCCCGCAGCACGTGATCGCCGAGCAGATCATGGCGCTGCAATACCACATCACCACCTACTTTGACAACTCCAGCCCGGGTGAGGGGGAGCGAGTGGGAGCGGGACATACCCCCATGCGGTACCCTGGATATGGGCTTGAGTCTGGCTAGGGCCGGACTTGGCAGCGACACGTTGCGGCATGCGCTGTTCTAGGCATGTGCTGCCGTGGTGGGCAGTAGTAGCATTGAGTCGAGTCCAAGGAAAGTGGGTCCACGGAATGGGCCTTTCACCCGCATCGCCATGTCTGTGTGTCTCACATCCACTCACGGCCTTTGTCCCCCTCCTTCCATCCTTCCCAGGTATCCCCAAGTCCAACCAGAAGTCGGGCCGCCCCATCAAGTCCATCAGCGAGCGCCTGAAGGGCAAGTCGGGGCGCATCCGCGGCAACCTCATGGGCAAGCGTGTGGACTTCTCCGCACGTACCGTCATCACGGGCGACCCCAACATCGGCATCGACGAGCTGGGGGTGCCCTGGTCCATTGCGCTCAACCTGACCTTCCCGGAGACCGTCACGCCCTTCAACATCGAGAGGTGCGGCCTTGCAGCCGCTGGGGAAAAATCGGAAATGATGGGCGTATGTTTGGTTGAGGAAGAAATAAGGGGTGTAGCACCCCTTGTTGGATTGTTGGTGCTGTTGGTACCACTTATACGGCTGCTTTACGGCCACAGCTAAAATAGAACCACGACGACAGCATACCTAGTACCTACCCTCATCCCCATCCACTTGCAGGCTACAGAAGCTGGTGGATAACGGCCCCAACCCGCCCCCCGGCGAGACGGGCGCCAAACACATCATCCGCGAGGACGGCCGCCGAATCAATCTGGCGGTGCTCAAGAGCGGCGCGGACCGCCGCCTGGAGCCGGGCGACCGTGTGGAGCGGCACCTGGTGAACGGAGACCTGGTGCTGTTCAACCGGCAGCCCTCGCTGCACAAGATGTCTATGATGGGGCACCGCGTGCGCATCCTGCCGTACTCCACCTTCCGTCTGAACCTGAGGTACGGAGGGTTAGGGAGGCGGGGCAGGGTTGAGTGTTAGGTGATGGTGGGGGGATGGCGTAAACGACAATCCTGGCTTGCCGATATCACCTACCTACCCATCTACCATGATGAAGCTCTTTGACCCGCCGTTTACCCAAGGCCGCCCGATGCTGCTCCCTTTCACCAACATCCGTCTTTTGCAGTGTGACGACGCCGTACAACGCCGATTTCGACGGAGACGAGATGAACATGCACGTGGCGCAGACGCACGAGACGCGCGCTGAGATGCGTGAGCTCATGATGGTGCCGCGCAACATCGTGTCGCCGCAGGTGGGTGGGGTCCCTGCACCACACCTAAGTCACAACGGAAGCAAACCAGTTAGCTGCAGTAAATGGATGGACGCCCGTTGGGGTAAAAACCTTGCTTCCATCTTTGCTGCATTGAAAATGACTCCGGCCGGGCAACAACGAGGTAGTGCTGAGCAGGCCCCTAGAGGCAGGCCACGATTACACCCCAGAAAAAACAGCAGGATGCCTCGGGGCGACGGCGACACGAGCCTCTTTCCTATAAACTATGCCGCCCTAACCCTCCTGTGTCCCCGCTTCTTTCCGCATCCTCACTACTCTCCCCTTCCCTGCCCTGCGCAGGCCAACAAGCCCGTAATGGGCATCGTGCAGGACTCGCTGCTGGGCACCCGTCTGATGACCAAGCGCGACATCTTCATCGAGAAGGACGTCTTCATGAACACAATCATGGGCATCGAGGACTGGGACGGCACCGTGCCCATGCCCACCATCCTCAAGCCCAAGCCGCTGTGGACGGGCAAGCAGATCTTCTCCATGTTCGTCGCCGACGTCAACCTGCGCAACAAGAGCGCCTGGCATAAGGACTCGGACGTGCCGGACATGTCTGTGGACGACTCCCAGGTGCGTTGCCTTTGTTGTGCCCTTTTTTCCTGCGGCACGCTTCTGCTGCCAGGGATGCCCGCTCCCGTGCTCACATGCATGCCGCATGCCTACATCAGTGTGTGTTTTCCGTTGTACAGAGTATGCTCAAGAGCGATGTACGGCAAGCGGCGCCTTGACGTTGTTAACAATCCTGTCCCCGTATCACGGACACCGGTCTGCTCCGCAGGTGCTCATCCGGCAGGGCGAGCTGCTGACGGGCGCGCTGTGCAAGAAGACGGTGGGCAACGGCGCGGGCGGCCTGGTGCACCTGACCTGGCTGGAGCACGGCCCGCACGCGGCACGTGGCTTCATCAACAACGTGCAGCGAACGGTCAACCACTGGCTGCTGTACCACGGCATGAGCATTGGAATCGGTGACACGGTCGCGGACGTCAAGACCATGGCCAAGGTCAACGAGATCATTGAGGAGGTAAGGGGTGCCTTGGTGACGTAAGGTTACCGTGCGTGGTTTGTAGGGACTACGGACTTGTTGGACAAAACGCCGGGGGCTCGGGGCACGCGAGGAAGCAGAAGGTGCTCCAAGCTAACGGCTAAACGCCATGCGTGTGTGGTTATCCTCTTGCGGCCCTCTTACCGCCCCCTTACCGCCACCTGCACAGGCGAAGCGCAAGGTGAAGGATGTTGTGGAGAAGTACCAGCAAAACGCGCTGGAGGCGCAGCCCGGCCGCACCATCCACGAGAGCTTCGAGGCGCAGGTGAACCAGGTGCTCAACAAGTGCCGTGACGACGCCGGCAAGGCGGCCTACATGTCGGTGGACCTGTCCAACAACATTATCAAGATGGTGACAGCGGGCTCCAAGGGCTCCAACATCAACATCTCTCAGATGATGGGTTGCGTGGGGCAGCAGAACGTGGAGGGCAAGCGTATCCCCTTTGGCTTCCAGCAACGGTGGGTACCGGACTGCCGTTGGGTGGGCTCTGGATCGAGTGGGTGCTGAAGCAGGTGTATGTGCTGAAGCTCTTGCAATGCAAACGGTTGACAGGGGCTTGTTGGCAGCGTAACCCTGTGCGGCAGTTATGCATAGTTGTCAAGGCTTACGTTAAAAAGGGCTGGGCGTGGCTTCCTAACGCTCCCTCCTCCTGCTGCCCTTTTCCTTACCCGCAGCACGCTGCCACACTTCAACAAGGACGACCTGGGTCCGGAGGCGCGCGGCTTTGTGGGCAACTCGTACCTTCGTGGGCTCACGCCGCAGGAGTTCTTCTTCCACGCCATGGGTGGTCGCGAGGGTCTCATCGACACGGCCGTCAAGACCGCCTCCACCGGTTACATCCAGCGCAGGTGGGCTGCTGCTGCATGGGTCGGACTGATGCTCAGGGGTGCAAAGGAAGCTGCCTTCTCTTGGCTTCATATTGAGTCCACGACGTTGTGGCGGTGGCTAGCCGCTATATTTCTGTAAATGCCTTGTTAAGGATCCGTACGTGCCATCCTTACCTTATTCTTCGCTTCGCTTCCACGTCGCCCGCTTTTCCAGGCTGGTCAAGGCCATGGAGGACATGGTGGTGCGCTACGGAGGCACGGTGCGCAACAGCCAGGGTGATGTCGTACAGTTCCTGTACGGCGAGGACGGCATGGACGCCGTGCGCGTGGAGGGGCAGATGTTTGAGTACCTCAAGTGGGACGTAAGTAGCTTGGCGGGTAACTTTGGTTTGTTATACCGCTGGGAGCATGGCGGCGAACATGAGCCGCAAACAGCATACCCTCCTTGTGAAGGATGACTCCTGTTGCCATGCACAGCTGCTAGACCTCCAGCCAAGCCCTGGGTAACCCAAGGGTTTGCGACACCCCTTGGTAATCCTCGCTGTTGACTGCATGCATCCCGCAGCCCGTCAAGATCGACAAGGTCTACCGCATCGACACCTCCCGCGACATGCCGCCCGACTGGCTGTCCGCCGAGGAGTACGAGTCGCTGCGGACGGACCCGGAGACCGAGCAGGCAAGCGCTTCTGCTTCTGCGACCGCCTGTGCAATCTCACGAGAGTTTGCTTCTATTGGCCCCACCAAACGGGCATCAAAATGAGTGGTCATGCGACGTGCCTGGCTGTTCGTTTTGCCAATCTCGTCCCTCACATCGTTCCTCGCAGTTTTCCCTTGTGCTTCCCTGTGTGTTCAGTTCCCGCGTTCACCCTTCCACCCCTCCAGGCGCTGCGCGAGGAGATGGCTCAGCTGAAGGAGGACCTGCGGGTGCTGCGGGAGGAGGTGCTCACCACGGGCGATGAGAAGGTCAACATCCCGCTCAACATGTCTCGCATGATTTGGAACGCACAGACCAAGTTCAACTGCAAGCCGCACAGGTACACTGCTGCTGTGCTGCTGCGGGATGTGGGTACGGGTCGCCAACGCTGATCTTGTCACCTCTCAACGGTACCTCAGCACTGCCTTAGGGTGGTGAGTCCGCTACTGAGGTTGATTGCGCTGCGATGTCGCCCTCCATCACAGGCCTGGCTGGACGGGTCTGCCGGTGAAGGAGGCGGTGGTGAAGCTGCAGGACCTGTGCAAGCGGCTGGTGGTGGTGGTGGGCAGCGATGGACTGTCCGTGGAGGCTCAGCGCAACGCAACCATCATGTTCCACTCGTAAGTGCGCAGCCTGTCTGCCTTAGTACGGTACTCCTTTGCTTTATAGGAATCCAAGGTGCTTTGCTGACCGCTTGCAGCGGGTGTTGTTGCTGATGTGTTTCTTGCAAGTACGCTGGCGTACCGCTTCTGCCCGCTTCCTTCCCAACCGATGTAATCCACGTCCGCAGCATGGTCCGCATGCACCTGGCGTGCAAGCGCGTGCTGTCCGAGTACAAGCTCAACCAGAAGGCCTTCGACTGGCTGCTTGGGGAGATCGAGACGCGCTTCTTCCTGGCGCTGTCGCACCCGGGTGATTGCGTGGGAACCGTGGCAGCGCAGTCGCTGGGAGAGCCCACCACGCAGGTGTGTGGGTGGGGAGCGTAAAAGGGGGTCCATCACCAGTTGAACGACGATCTTAGCATCCAGCGGATTCGAAGGGCATGGATTGGGCCCGGAAATGCCCGATCCATGCCCGGGCCCGATCCATGCCCTGGGAATCTGCTGGATGCTGATGGACGCAGTCTTGCAGCCATTCACGCTATGATGCCAGCATGTTGCTTGTTGATGGATTGGCTTACGCAGCCGTCCTTGCGACGCGATTCGACCCGACCCGCTTGCCCCGCAGATGACGCTCAACACGTTCCACTTTGCCGGTGTGTCCGCTAAGAACGTGACGCTGGGCGTGCCGCGACTGACGGAGCTCATCAACCTGGCCAAGAACATCAAGACGCCCACGCTCACGGTGCACCTGCTGCCCGGCCTGCGCGAGTGAGTGCGAGGAGAGGTGCTGTACCGGCTGCAGTAGCGCAGTCGCATGGCTGCCTGCGCCGTTGCCAGGTTGAGGAGGCCGGGCTAAACGGTGTTGATGTGCCACAATGGGCTGTATGCTTGTCCGCTAAATACGGTACTCGCAAGGGTGTAGAGCCTGACACTAAGACCCTCGTATTTCATTCCTTGAACCGTGCCTTGCAGGAACAAGGATAAGGCGAAGGAGGTGCAGGCCAAGCTGGAGTACACGTGCTTCAAGAACGTGGTCAAGACCACCGAGATCTGGTGCGTTCCCAGTGTGTCGTCCCATGTGCGTGTGCGTGTTATAGCCTAACCGGAGGACAAGGCACCTCATGGCACCTCGCGTCAGACTCGTCGTCATTCTTCTTACCAACACGGCTCTAGGAAACGCTGCTGCTGTGAAGCCGTGATCCTCCTCCGGCATCCGGCTTATCAATGTACACCTGTCGCCTAACTAACGACTACATTCCGCTTCTCTCCCCCTCTCCCCTCTCAGGTACGATCCCGTGGACCCATCCAACCCCAACCAAACCATCATTGCGGAGGATGAGGAGATGCTCAGCAGCTACTACGACCTGGCAGGTGGGTTTGCAGCACCCGCGTACCTCTTCAGCATGCATGTCGTTTAACCTTTGTCACAATCTATCATTCGTGTGACTACTTCACCACACTCTGTACGCGTGGGCAGTGCCTGACATGCATCTGTCCATCTCGTCTGTGTCTTCTTCGCTGTCTGATAACTCTCGCTTTTCCCTGTTCCTCGGGACAGGTGACGAGGATCTGGCGGTGCTGCCGCGGCTGTCGCACTGGCTGCTGCGCTTCGAGCTCAACCGCGGCACCATGCTGGACAAGGGCCTCACGCTGGGTGCCGTACAGAAGGCGCTGCAGGACGAGTGGGAGGACTTCATCAACGTGCTGGTCAACGATGATAACGCCGAGAAGCTCATCATGCGCATCCGGTGAGATACGAATGCGCAGCAAAGCACGACTCGCCCCTGTGTTTCGCCCTGTAACAGAGACATAGGATGCGTGTACACGTAGACCCGGGATGCGCCCCCAAACGCACCATGCTTAAGATAGCACCCCCGGACCCCGGTTTCTCACCCATTACCCGACCTGCAGCGTAATGAAGACGGAGGAGCTAAGCAAGGACGAGTCGGCGGACCCCACCGAGGACACCATGCTGAAGCTCTCTGCAGCCATCATGGACGTGCGGCTGCACGGCGTGCCCAACATCCGCAAGGTGTTCATTCGCGCGGAGAACCAGCATGTGTACGACAGGGAGCGCGGCTCGTTCCGCAAGTACGAGGAGTGGATCCTGGATACGGAGGGTATCAATCTGGAGCAGGTGCGACGGGGGTATGGATAAGGGAGTTTGGGTTGGTGACAGCATGCCTGCCCACATTGGCAGCCGAGCGCGCTGTCACGATCGCGACAAGGCTATGCATTTGTGGGATAAAGCAAACAATTTTCTGAGCTAGAGCTGCAGCCGCCCTCTCCTGTGGGCCCTGCGGTGTAGAACTCGGGGGACAAACCATGAGCCCATGGCCTGTGTGTATTACCAAAGGCACTTTCGAGCGCGAGCATGCCTGCCCACATTGGCAGCCGAGCGCGCTGTTACGATCGCGACAAGGCTATGCATTTGTGGGGTATAGAGAACCATTTTCTGAGCTAGAGCTGCAGCCGCCCTCTCCTGTGGGCCCTGCGGTGTAGAACTCGGGGGACAAACCATGAGCCCATGGCCTGTGTGTATTACCAAAGGCACTTTCGAGCGCGAGCATGCCTGCCCACATTGGCAGCCGAGCGCGCTGTCACGATCGCGACAAGGCTATGCATTTGTGGGGTATAGAGAACCATTTTCTGAGCTAGAGCTGCAGCCGCCCTCTCCTGTGGGCCCTGCGGTGTAGAACTCGGGGGACATCCCACGCTTTAGCACCCAGTGTCTGGCGCTGTAGCCAGCTGTAGCTGCATCCTCAGTGCTGCATCATCGGCCGTGCATTTGCAGCCCACGCCCTGAGCCACGCCTTCATTATTGTGTTACAATGTGTGCGCTGATGCGAACCGTGCTGCTGCTGCTGCAGGTGCTGGCCTTTGAGGGCGTGGACCCGCGGCGCACCATGTCCAACAGCATCATCGAGGTCCTGGAGGTGCTGGGCATCGAGGTGAGGATCTCCAGCCCTTCCTTTGCTTTTGTGCTGATGCTGTTACATGCAAACTGCATGCTTGCGCTTTTTCTCCAGTGAGCTTCTTCCAGTGCTGCCGTGACCGGCCATGCGCTATAGCAGGGTTGAGCATATGCCCGCTGGGACCCTTGCTCGTGCAGACTTGACGCACTTTGCAAATTGTCGTCCCGTTCCCTGCAGGCCGCCCGAGCGGCGCTGCTGAAGGAGGTGCGCAACGTCATTCAGTTCGACGGCTCCTACGTCAACTACCGCCACCTGGCATGCTTGTAAGTGCTTGGGTCTTTAGGTACTGCTGCATCCATGTTGCTGCCCTGGTTCCTTTGTTGTCTGGCCGTGCATGCGGCCGACCTCGCTCTACCGTCGTCTACCTTGGTTCTTTGCATGTGCCCGATCTAGCTGTAACGGCGTCTACCTTGTCCGTCTGCCTAACACGCAACCTAACGCACAACCCGACGCCCTCGCTGCTCCAGGGTGGACATCATGACGTGCAAGGGCTGCCTGATGGCCATCACGCGCCACGGCATCAACCGCAATGGCAACGGCCCGCTAACGCAGTGCAGCTTCGAGGAGACGGTGGACATCCTCTACCGGTGAGCACAACATTGCATCGGCTGGAGTATTGTTACCCTGTCAAATGAGCCAGTACCACAAACACCCCATGTTTCGCCGACCTGCGGGCAGCCCTGTTAGACCTTGGAACTGCCTTCACCGACCTCGTCAGTCTAAGCTATTGCCGCTGCCCTATGTCCGCTCCATTAAACTGCCCACTATCCCGTTACCTCACGCGCTGTCCTTTTGTTCCCGTGTTCCCAGAGCGGCGCTGTTTGGCGAGCGCGACCGGCTGATGGGTGTCTCCGACAACATCATGATGGGCAACATGTGTCCGCTGGGCACCGGCGCCTTCGACCTGCTGCTGGACGAGTCGGCGCTGGAGAACGCATTCGACGTGCAGGTGCGTGCCTCCCTGCTTGCTTGGGTTGTGCGTGCTTACCTTTGTTGTGATTGTTAACATGCATGGCGGATGCGAGGGTGGTTAGGAGCATGTGAGAGGTCGGATTTAAGCAAGGTTTCCTTGTAACCCGCACATGACAGGTGGGCAACCTGGTCTTTGGAGATGACGGCCTGCTCAACACGCCGGGCCGTTACACGCCAGGCCGGTCGCCGCACCGCACTCCGGGCCCCATGTCGCCCTCGCACATGCTGTCACCCATCAACTCGCCCTTTGTGGGCGGCGGCGCGTTCAGCCCCATGGTGGGCGGCAGCTTCAGCCCGGTGCACGGCGCTGGCGGGCCCATGTCGCCCGGCTACAGCCCGACAAGCCCGCGCTACAGCCCCACGTCCCCGGGCTACAGCCCCACCTCTCCCGCGTACTCACCGACGTCACCGGCGTACTCGCCAACCTCCCCGGCGTATTCGCCGACGAGCCCGGCTTACTCCCCCACCAGCCCGGCGTATTCACCTACCAGCCCGGCCTACTCGCCAACCTCACCAGCCTACTCGCCGACAAGCCCGGCGTACTCACCCACATCTCCGGCTTACTCGCCGACAAGCCCGGCCTACTCGCCCACAAGCCCGGCCTACTCGCCGACGTCGCCGGCGTATTCGCCCACATCTCCTGCCTACTCACCCACAAGCCCGGCCTACTCCCCAACGTCGCCGTCTTACTCCCCGACGTCGCCGGCATACTCCCCAACAAGCCCAACCTACAGCCCCACCTCACCCAACTACAGCCCGACCAGCCCGACCTACAGCCCCACCTCTCCCTCGATCTCGCCCACGAGTCCGCGCTACAGCCCGACGTCTCCCAACTACAGCCCCACCTCACCCAACTACAGCCCGACGTCTCCCAACTACGAACCCACAAGTCCGCAGTACAGCCCCACAAGCCCGCAATACTCCCCAACCAGTCCCCAGTACTCCCCAACTGCGGCTGGCGGGGGCGGCGCGGCAGGGGCCCCTCCTGGGGCAGCGGGAGGTGGTGCCAACCCGAGTCCGGCTTACTCGCCGACTGCGGACATCTCACCCGCGTATTCCCCAACGGCGGACATCTCGCCGGCGTACTCGCCTACAGCCGACGTCAGTCCGCCGCAGGGTGCTCCTGGGACCTCTCCGGGGATGTCGCCGGCGTCCGGCAGCGGCAACCAGCCGTACTCGCCCACCAACCACCCCTACAGCCCCAGCATGGGTGTTAGTCCCTCTCCACGGCCGGGGCAGGAGGCGCCACAGGGCGGCGCTGCAGCGTACAGTCCGCAACACATCAGTCCGACGTTTAGCCCCTCCTTCAAGCCATAAGGATGAGCGCTAGGTAGTGTGTAGCAATGGTGCTGGGTTAAGAGTGTGTACAATTAATGTTGTACAGGGCGCTTATGGCAGTTGGTTTTGCTGCCTCTGCTAAGGAGTGAGAGTGAGAGCGGCGGTTCATGCGGACAGTTAGGCGGTACGAATGTTTCTGCTGGGTTGGTTTATGCGGCGAGTTGACTCGGACGGTTACAGGCAGGGGTGGCTTACCCCAAGGGACTGTTGTGCAGGTTGTTCAGATGTGCCATTGCAATGTGCAGAGCCATGCACGGGGACGACAACCAGGACCCAATGGGTGCGCACACTGTAATCTGCATGTTGCGCTTTACACCTTATCGTACCGACAGCCGTGCTAAACCCAAAAGGCATCGTGAGATCGCTGACCCGGCGGTACAGGCATTTTATGATAATAGTAAAGCGACTGCAAGTAAGCAAACAAACCTTGTGAAACATTACGCAGTACACGGACTGCGCTGGGGCCGGCTAGGCACTTCTCAGCAGCAACAAGTCATGTTACCTATCAGCGGCAAATCCCGAATTCGTCGTCCACAGCTTTTGTAGGGCACAGTGTCATGAATACATCGCTATGAGTACAAACCCTACCATCTCGGGCCGACAAAAACGAAGAACGTCATCAGGCATATTCCGCCATCTCCACCCTGCAAGTAGTCGCTTCTAAACCTAGCGTTCCGCCAATAGTGCAGACAACAAGTACAATATGTTAAAACTCTCATTTTGGCATCTACACACACGGATATTGATCAGACATGTCTCCCCTGGGTCAGGGGCTTTGGCTGAGCCACCATCAAGGCCTTGATGATGGCTCAGCCAGGCATGTACGGAATGTACAGAGCAGGAAACGTCAATACAATAAATTTCGAGATCACTGGTCAACCAAACAAAGCAATACGCCTTCCATACTGCACATCTAACCTAAGAATCCAATGCAGCCTTTGCAAGGCCGTTGCCTACAAAAAGATACCTGTCTGTGTTCATGTCGAAATAAGCCGTACAATAGCATGCCTCTGGATCACACGTTTCCCCGGGGGACAAGAAGCGAATAATAAGCGGTAGCAGGATTCTTGTCTATGCAAATGTGCATTCCATGCATGCAATGCCCCTACCTTGAGCGTCCTAACCCTATTGAAAACCCTATTAAAGACAGGAGCCATAGCAAGCCACTGCGTACTTGGGGAAGCTGCTGTTGCAGTTCCTTACTGAGCAAACTGTCGAGACACCCACCGAAATGGCGCCCTGCAGCCAGGGCCCCTCCCCCTCGCCTTCCGAGGCGCAGCTGCTAACGGGGCATGGCAGTGAGCACATGGGAGAAAGCTGCCGGAAGCCCAGTGTGTCGTACAGAAGCGTGCTGGAGTGGCGCGTGCGCATCAAGGCCGACGAGAAGATGCTGACGGTCTTGATGTCGTACTGTTGCAGCAGCTGCGATATGCGGAGCGCAGCCTTGACGATGGAAGCCTCTCCTTCTTGCGTTAGGTTGCCGTCTGCGTAGGCCTGAACTCAAAAAGGAGCAAACAACGGCCTAAGGTGTTGCTTGGGTAAAGCTAAGGTGGCCCTGGGCACTGCGCCATGAACCCTGGCTAGCAGCCAACCGCTCGTACCTTGTTTACGTTGTTCACAGCAATACCGTGGCGTACAAGCAGCAGCAGACACGACTCCGGCGGCGTGTACTCGAACTGGATGTCGCTGGCAAACTGCAGGAGTCAGTGGGTGGGGGTCAGAAGTACCAAAACTGCAGAAATGGGGACAGGGGGACAGCATTTAAGCATGGTGCGGCAGCTATGCGGCAAGGTTCTGCAACGCAATTGAATAATATTACGAAGCTGTTAAACGGACCTCTTGGAACTGGGGCACGGTGAAATACTCGTGCCACTCGTCCGACTTGCACTCGGGCAGCGTGCCTTCATGCCGGAGGTCCAAACAACCGCTGGCGTCGATGGCAATTACCGACGCGTTTCGTGGCTTCAGCACTTGCTCCTCGTCCTTTCCCGTGTGGCTGCGATGCAAAACATTACGAAGCGGAAACATTAGGAAGCGAGGATAACACTGGAGGACCAACCAGTAAGGATACCGTACTGAAACATTAGCCCGGGTTAGGGGAAGCAGGAGACCATCATGTGTATGCTGGCAGTTGCAAGATATGAATATTGTACAAGCAGGACAGACGTGACAGTATCATGCTCCCCTTATATGCTAGCTGCGTTTTCAACAAGAGGAGAGTATTTATGCACAAGGACGCTGGCCGCAATTGTGAGCATGTCACGCTTGTAGGCATTACAAATGGCGTGTCTGTCAGGAAAGCGAGATGTGAATAGAGTTTGACATAAACATGGGCACCATCGTGCGCCTCACATAGGGTCCTATAGCCGGAAAACAGACTGTGACAAAGTGATATTGGTAGTGGGCATGGAAGATAATGGGACGACGTTTGCCTTGAGGAAAACCCACAACCGTAGCCCGCGTACCTGTAAAGCATGTTAGCGATGGTGCCACTATGGCTGACAATAACCACTGCGCTCCGCTTGGGCGTGCCCCCACCGAAGAAGCCATCGAGCAGCGGCCTGAAGTTCCGCCTGAGAAACCGGTTCTTGACCCGCAGCTCTGACAGGAAGCGCGGACCCTGGACGTCAAACATTGGTGCAACTCCTTTACACTATGGAAAGGCTGGGATTCGCGTTGCAAATTGTTATCTTGTGCTTGCAGGTCAACGAGAAGACCGCATGCATGTTTAAATCCCTCATAGGGTGCGCCGAAGACTGATAACCACCGTATCTAGTTCAAGCCTTTATACGCGTATGATCCTTCAACTGCAATTTCCGTACTTGCATCAAGTACATCGACGACACAAGGAGCAAACTGACGCAGGCATTTGAAGTGTGGCTTTAAGGTGATGATTGAATGCGCTTCTCACCCAGTCTTGCGCCTGCACCCCTCCGTTTCCCAATCCTAACACCGGTATACTGTTGTGTGAACCTCCTGTACCGGTATGTCATGACCGCGGTTACGGCCATCAACAACACTGCGATGGTAACTAGCTATTGTAGGCCTGAACATGTCCAGCGAAGGCCCCAACTGCTCTCGAGACATGTCAGCTTGCCATGTCGGCGGTTGTCAACCAAGAATGTAGACAGGCATATAGGATTAAGTAGACCTCTATCATATGCGTTCTAACCTGTAAGGCGGTTTCTTTTACCAGGAGCCGCGACACATGTTTGCACAGCAAGACAGCATGCACAGCGTGCACAGCAGCGCGATTGTTCGGGGCAGCACCACTAATCAATAGGTTTAACCATTCCAGTTCACAGTAATAATTAGCTGTCCTTGAGTTATGTATATCTTAAGCGCTCCTACAGCAGGGTTATCAAGGAATAGGTGACGCAAGCAAGTCCTATCTTGCGGGTGTTGGGACCCAAAAGCCCGGTTGCTTCCTTTTTTCTTAACATGAGCATCTAAGAGATTACGTAGCTACTGGGTGACCATGGCATTGGCTTCGCCCCGGCGACGCGTTCCTCCCGAGCCAAGGCCCGAGCAGCGAGGTGCGACCCTGCCGATCTTGCCATTTGGATGTTCCACCGTAAACATCAAAACATAATTATCAACACATTGTAACCACACCCTGCCTTGTTCTTTTTTTCATTGCGCAGCGGAGTCGCATGATGGCATCCAACTTTCCGTCACAGAGGTTGCATCCTTCGTCGGATTGCGCCACTGCGGGCGCTACTTGCGTCTCGCCGCACTTTCGAAGAACCCCAGGATTGCAGAAGCCACTCCTTCTGCTGCGGATGACGAAGAGGCAGCAGCAGCGGCTAGCCGCGGCAAGCCTCTGGATCCAGCCCTAGCCGCTGCTGGCCACTGCCTCGAGGACACCGTGGCTTCGGAGCTCCGTGCTTACAACCCCTTCGCACTTACACCACAAGCACTCACAACCTCACAGCCCAGAGCTCACCAACCCCCTCAGCACCAGGACACTTCTCCGTCATCTGGGTCATCATCTGGGTCGGCAGCAGCAACCCCGTGGCAAGACTTCCTCTCGCTCCTCGCCAACACCCCCGCACCCCAACGCTCCTATTCCACCTCCTCTCCTTCCCCTGCCTCCTCCTCCTCCTCCTCCGCCGCCGCCGCCTCCTCGCATGCCCCTCACCTGGCCTGTTGGGCGGCCGAGGTGGTCCTCAACGGGCTGCCCGCCGCTGACAGCACCCTACGGCTGAGCGGCCGCGCCGACTTCCTGTTGCTGCTGTGGCGGGGCGGCAGGCCGGTGCTGCGAGTGGTGGAATGCAAGGCCAGTCCTGAACCGCAGACGCGTCATCTGGTGCAGCTGGTGCTGTACCGGATGATGTTGCTGCGGGCGCTGCAGCAGGGGCAGGCGGCGGAGGCGCAGGGGGGGCTCCGCGGCGCTCCTGGTCGTGGCGGGATTGGAGGAGGAGGTGGGGGCAGGGTGTGTATAGGCGGCCGGGAGTGGCGAGTGCCGGGAGTGCGGAGTTTCGGAGCGGCGGTCAGCCGGCAGAGGCACAATCAGGATGAGGACGAGCAGGAGGAGGAGGAGGAGGAGGAGGAGGAGGAGGGCATGCTGCAAGTGGAGTGCGTGCTGCGGATTGCCGGGGCGGGTGATGCTGCATGGGGCGGCGTGGTGACGGCGGAGGCGCTGCCGGCGGGACAGGTAAGGAGGGGGGGGCTACCGCGTACTCCGACGTAAGGTAGCTGGAGGTGTTGTGGTTGCTGCGTGTGGAAGGTGGCTTGACATAGGCCGGCTAGGCCCCACATGGGCAACGTGGGCAAGTGCTCCTGCATCGGTTAACGTTACGGGACTGAGGCGTCATGGGAGTTGCCGGTCTTGAGAAATGTGGTGTTCCTGTCTTCCTTTCTAAACAACTGGTTGCCTCGTGTGTAACCCAGGTAGCGCACTGTGCCTATAATCTCTTCCCTTTGCCTTGCCCTGTTTCCTTTAACTACAGGTTAACGGCATGGTACGCCAGCTCACAGCCATGCTACAGCCCGGCGGCCGCATCGCTGTAGCACTCGACGTCCGTACGACACCGCTGCAGCAAGTGCCGTACGAACTCGACAACCATTGTACGTCATGCAGCCGTGCAGCCGCCTGCTGGGCAGATGCGGCGGCGCGCGGCGCCGTACAGCTCTCAGGCTGCAGTGCCGTACAGGCGGAACGACTGGCCGCAGCGGGAGTGTACGACATTGAAGATCTGGCGGTGCTGACTCATCCGGATGCTGCTTCTGGTGCCGTACAACGGCAAGTGGGTTACGACGGCGCTGGCAGGGTCGACAAGGGTGGCAATGCAACCGCTCGCCTCGAGGGCGTGGCGAAAGCGACAGGCATTCCTTCCCTGGAGCTCAAACGGCTGTCTCTGACGGCCAATGTGCGTGTGGGGCGACGGTTCGGCAGCCGGTCAAGGCAGGGACCGGAACCGTATCAACCGCAACCGCAACCGCAAGTGCCGATGGGCCCATCTGGGTCGCGGCCGGTCATGCCTGCATTCGAGCTGCTGCCCGGCGCACCGCCCAGCTGCCTGCCCGCTCACCCGGCCACCGGAGGAGGAGCGGCAGGTCTGCAGTGTCCGGCCCCGGTGCTGATCCGGGTGTATCTGGCCGTGACGCTTGATGTCGTATTGCAGCGGGTTGTTGGCGTTGCGGCGCATGTGGCGGCGGCGGCATCTGACGAGGGCGGCGCCGGCGGCGCGCGAGGTGGCACTCGGGTGCTACCGCCGCCGCCAAGGCAAGCAAACCAGTGCGGCTGGGATGTGGCGGTGTTGCTTCGCGATGTGGTTCTGAATGGTGGGGGTGGCGGTGGCGGTGGCGCGTATCTCGTTGCCAACTCGAACGATGAGTTGGATCGGCTAGAGGCCCGCTTGCTGGCCGACTTTTCGAACCAGCTCTGCAAGGCGTTGGATGATGCAGCCAAGGCCGCAACTGCCGCAACGGCGGCAGCACGACAAGCAAGCGGTCGTGGACTCCAGCAGGCCCAGCCACTACTGCACTTTTACGTGCACTCCCGTGCCGAGCTGCGAGCCCTCGTCCGTCGCTGCCAGGCTCTGGACGGGCTGACGGCGTCTGGCCCACCATCAGGAAGGAGCGGTAGGGGCAGTGGTAGCGGCAGCGCACGCACCTCCGTCCCCGTTACTGACGACGACGGCTGCACCGACCAAGGCGGCTGCTTAGCCTGGTTGCCGCACCTGCTAGGGTTGCGTGCGGGGTGCCCCGGGGAGCAGCAGATCGTGAGCGTATTGGAGGAGGAGCTCAGGCGTTACGCCCGGGTGTGGCAGGGCGAGGGGCGCCTGGCCGCGACGTGCATTCCCTGGGGCGGAGACGGCGTGGTATACGAATGGCGCGGTACGGCTAGCGGCTGTGGCGGCGGCGGCAGTGCTGGGTCGCCGGACCTGCGTGCTGTGTTTGGCGCCGTGGGGTACCTGGATGCCCTGGAGCCCCTTGAGCGGGGCCGCCACCGGAGCCTGACAGCCGCAGCAGAGGGGGAAGGGGATGGGGATGCCGTGCAGCAGCCAGGGGGGATGCTGAGCTTGCCTAGCCGGTATCCGCCCCAGGCCCAGCCCCAGCCTCAGCCGGGGGCTAGAGCGCATGCAGCAGTTGGGCCGCAAGCCGTGCCGCACCCGGCGCCCGTGCAGCCGACACCGCAGCTGGTACAGGTGCGCCCGGATTCGGCTGGTAGCTTCATTCCTCCGGGCGTTTTCCGAGCGCTGTGGAGTGGTGGATTGCAACCCCAGCACCAACAGCAACAGCAGGGACAAGCGCACGTCAAAGGGCAGCAACAGCAGCAGGAGGAGGACCTGCGGTCCGCGGCGACCCGCCTGCCGTCGCTGCTGCTGGCACAGGCCCACTCAGTCCGCTGGCTGGAGGAGCGGCTGGTACGGCTGCCGTACGGCGGTAACGCAGGCATCACCACTGGCAAATTCCCGCTGCCAGTGCCCCTGGGACCCGCGCTCGAGTCCTTCCGCCTGCACCCCGACACGTCAGCAGCGGCAGCAGCAGCAACAGCAGGCAGCGGCGGCAGCGGCGGCGGGTACCTCATATCGGCGCCCCAGGGGCCTCATGTGCAGCGTGCAACCGAGGTGGCACGTGCCGGCCTGGACGCCGTACGGCTAGATCGCAGCGAGGAGGTACGGCAGTTCTGGAGTGGCTTAGCCAGCCAGCCGCCAGCAGTAAGGGCAACGGAGGGCCGTATTGGCACGGTGGTTCTGGAACACGTGGGCTGGGTGCTTCGTGGGGATTGGCGGAGGCTGAAGGGCAAGGTGGCCTATCCAGAAGGTTGCAAGACCTGGGAGGACGTCAAAGAGGCTACAGGGCTGGGAGTCAGCGACACCGTGCTGGCTAGCGTTGCCAGCGACCCATGGGTCGTCCAGGAAGCGGAGGGCGTTGCGGGGCAATGCATCCTAGCCGTGATTGAGTCGTCCGGTGCTGACGATGACGGTGTGTGGGTGGAGTGCAAGCCAGACTTTATTCCGTATCCGTCCAACGACGTCGAGCTGTTTGTCACGGGTTCTCCGGGTCTCTCGTTTCAACGCTTTACATCGCAGTTCCCGCAGCATTCCCCGCATGTTGGCCAGCAGCAAGCAAGCGCTGCGGTAGGCGGTTCGCAGCTGCAGCCGCCGGCGCCTAGGCTGGTGGTGCTGGACGCTGCACCGAACATCTCAGCCTGGGTTGCGAGTAGCACAGTGGAGTGCCTGCAAGGATACGGCAGCAGCAGCACCTACCTAGCGGAACGGCTCCGACTCTCAAGCGGAGACGTAGCGCTGGGCCGGCGGCAGGTGAATCGACACATGCTGCCTGGTACTGCTGTCGCCACTACTGCATCATCAGCATTTGCCGGCAGCTCGTTTACCGGCACCTCCACAGCAGCAGCAATGGCACCGGCCGCCTCGGGGCTTGCAGCAAGGATGGAACGGCCTGGTGTCGGCTTGTCAACACCGCCGGCTGCAGCCAGAAGCGGATGTCGCCCACTGGATTCGGGCGGCAGTACCCCCGGCCCGGGCCGTACCCCAGGCAGCGTGTTGGGAGGCCACGCACTGCTTAGCCCTCAGTCTCCGGCATCGCAGCTGGCTCCCATTCCCTTCACACTCCGCGCCGCAGACCCCTTCATGGCCACCCCCATTCACACGCCCAGTCCGAACCTGCCAATGGTGCAATCCACAAGCGCCGGCATCACTGCAGCCATGTGCAGCCTTAACCTGGGTGGCTCTGCCGCTTACGGGTACAGCACGGTAGCAGCAGGATCATCAGCAGCAGCTTCAGCTGCGGTTCCCTTCACTCCAGGCAGGGTTGCAGTTGGCGTCAGCGCTGCAGCCGTTGCTGTGACCACCACTGCAGCAGCACCTGCCGCCGCGGCAAACGGCATGCATGTGGCCATGGACCAGGTCGTGAGGCGCATCGCATCGTCGGCCTCTCAGCAGCTAAACCCCGACCAGGTCGCCTGCATGCGAGCATTCTTATCGTACCCAGATCTTGGATCTCGGGTGCTCCTGCAAGGCCCACCGGGAACCGGCAAGACGGAGACGCTTGCGCTGTCAGTGCTGGCGTGGCTAGGCGCACGCATGCTGCACGGCGGACCCATGGGTCACTCGGACTGCGGGGGTGTGGTGTTCCTGAGTGGACCGACGCACACGGCCATTGATACTCTGATGGGTCGCATCGCGTTGCGAGCATCTGAGGGCGCTTTGGACGGACTGGGCGGGGCCATGCACCGGCGGATTTGCATGGTTCGGTTGCTATCCAGAGGCAAGAGCTTGGAGCAGAACTTGAAGGATCTGGGCGTGAAAACTTCGCTAACAAAGGATCTGTGAGTGAACTGCGGGTCGTTGGGTGCATTCTGGGACTTTCGTCGGTGCATCGTTGGGACCAGGGTGAGGCTTTACTCCTAAAACAGATGGTGTGCAATGGGCTAACCGGCTAAGGCAGCATGACTTGGGGAAGCTTACGAAGTGACTGTTGGGCCACTTTGACGATGCCTTCATGCCGATTCCTGCAGGGACAAGGGCGTCTGGTACGTGGTGGGCGGCACGCTGCGCCTGCTAGTGAAGGAGGCCAGGACCCTCCGCACCAAGGTCGACAATCTGGCGACCCCGAAAGGCAGATGCCTGTTGGATTCCAGCGGTCAAGGCGCCCTCGCTGCCGCACTCGTGCTAGACGAAGCGTCCATGGTCGTCACACCGCATCTGCTGGCGCTGGGGAGCCTCCTGGTGACCCGTGGGTCACTCCTGGTGGCCGGCGACCACCGGCAGCTGGAAACCATCAAGAAGTACGAGTTCGCTGAGGAGCTGAGGCCGAACATCGTACGGCACCGGCCGTACGTCAGTGCGTACGAGTACATGCAGCTGCTCGCTGCGGATGAGGGTGCGCGGGAGCGGCTGACGCAGCAAGCGGGCAACGGGGGCGACCACGACGCAGGTAACTCGCCTGATGGGCTAAATGGACTGTTGCAGGACACGTCGCGACGCTGAATACTGGTACTAACAGCGATAGCGAGCGATGTCTTCCAAGGTCTGACCACTTGCGTTTTACGAGACTAGGTAGCTCTGCCAACTTCTTGCAAGCATCAAGCTACAGACTGGAACTGTAACTGTGACTGTGACTGTAACTGTGACTTGACTGTAACTGTAACGACTCCTTGAACGTTTGGACTTCAACTCCATCCGCCTGTTCCCGTGCAGGCGGAGCTCCCCCGCCGGTGTCCGTCTGCGCGCTGACCTACACGCACCGCCTGCCTGCGGCAGTCACCGCCCTCATCGCCCCACTCTACTTGCAAGACGGCATCCGGCTGCAGGGAAGGCCGCCTGCAGCCCAGCGCCAGGCAGCAATCAGACAGATTGCCTTCGGCGCCCATGCGCTAATCGCTGCTACTGCTACTGCTGCTGCCACTGCCGGTACTAACGAATTCTTGTGGCGTCGGTTGTGGGAAGGAAGCAGCAGCAGTAGCAGCGCCGCTGGTATCAGCAGTGCTACTGCGGGTCCTAGCTCCAGAACCAGTAGCAGCAGCGGCGGCGGCGGCGGAGAGGGGCTCTTCTTGATTGTCCACAACGAGAGCGGCTCCGCCAAACGAAACGACCTGGAGCTGCAGCTTGTACGGCAGATCATGGAGGCTAGAACCAGGCCTGGGTTGGCTTTGGGTGACGAGAGCAGCGGAGGCGGGAGCAGCAGAGGCGGGAGCAGCAGAGGTGGTGGGCAGCAGTGTGCCGGCGGAAGAGGCGTTGCGAAGGCGGCAGCGGGAGCCGCTGGTGGCGGTGGCGGGGGTGATGGTGGCCGTGGCCCGGTCGAGGTGGCCATCATAACGCCGCATCGGGCACAGGAGCGGGCGCTGCGAGCACTGCTCAGGGAGCAAGGCTGGAGCGGCTGTCGTGCGGAGACGGTGGACAAGATGCAGGTGAGTGAGAGATTGCAGTTTGGCGGTTTGGCGGTTTGGGGGCGGTTAGGCAGTTTGGCGGTTAGGGCGGAGGAAATGGAGGTCTGCCTGTTGTCCGTACGGAGATGGGGGAGATGAGGGACGGCTTACTGGGCTTGGGTAAGCACTCGCATGTACGGCGGCCGTAACCGTTGCTGGACCGTGGTGCGGAGACGACTCGTTGCCATGCTGATAATACATAATTAATAGCATATAACAAATATATATATAATGTTATAAAATTAATATAATTAATAGACTAAACCTCAGTCATCTTATCCCACCACTGCACCCTGCAGGGCGGCGAAGCGGACACAGTCATCTTCTCCGCCACAGTATCCGACGACGCCGCCCTCAGCCGTTCAGCCGACTTCTACTCCTCCCTCACCCGAGCCAACGTGGCGTTCAGCCGCGCTCGCCGGCGGCTCATCGTACTAGCCAGTCGTACTTTTCTGTCGTACATCCCGCAGTCGTACGGCCACTACCAGGGCCTGCAGCTATGGTGGCAGCTGCGGCTGATGTGCGAGGACCAGGGGGTGCTGCTGGGGGAGGTGTTTGTGCGGGGCGGGGAGGGAGGACAACAGCAGCAACAGCGGCAGCAACAACAGCTAGAACAGCAGCAGCAGCGGCAGCAGCAGCGGCAGCAACAGCGGCAGCTGGAGGAAGCGGTGTCGTATCGTTGTGATGTGTTCGAGGCGAGCCCTGCGACCGGCGCCTGCGGGAGCAACGCACCTCAGGAGGTCGAGGATTCCCTGCAGGCGGCGATGGCTGGACTGCGCACCTTGACCCTCGGTCGCACCTGATGAGACTGCACTGGTTGGTTTGCGCACCGCGCATGCCGTGGCCCCTTCCTGCGCTTCCGGCCTGTTTCCTGTTTGGGGTCTGGTACTGGTGCCCTGGTTGACTCCAGCTTCCTTCTTGGACAACATGCGGGAGGAAAGCGGCGGGTTGATGAGGAATGTTGAGGGCGGCGTTGCGTGAGTGAGGAGCACCCGGACGTTGGCAGCGGCTGGTACGCGGCAGCAGGTTGAGGAAAAACTAGCCGCTTATGACTTGTTCCATTTACTTGCTCCGTTACGTGGACTCCGTTGACAGCATGCACGTGGTCTTACCATGCTTAGGTCTCCATGCACGCACCGGCTTCGTCGCCCGTTGCTTTGAAGATGATTACCTTTTGCGATCAACAACATATACTGGTAGTAGGCTGTCCCACAAGGCCTTTCCCGGCTCTTTCTCCCATACCGAACCTTTTGTGCAATATTTGGATCCACGGGTCATTTGAGCAAACCGCGTTTGTAATACTGTGCATAACGACAGGGCCTCAACGTCCGTGAACTTGGAAGGTTAGCAGCTGCAATGTGCAGCTGCGTGTACAGTGTAGCATCACAGCCTCCCACGCGGCGTCATGGAAGACGGCTTCTAAACTGGAGGCAAACGCAACACAGCACAAGGCAACATGGCTCCCCAGACAAGCTGTGCATGCGTTACCAAGGTTGCTGGATGGGGGAAAGCTCCTGCCAGCGGGAAGTTCTGCCAGCGGAAACTTGTGATCGTACCACCCAGAGCACAACATGCTGAGAAAAATCCAATACACATACAACAACGAAACGAAGAATGGTTCGACCAGGGTTTAACACGCATGCATCGCGTTTTCATGCATGGAAAAGCAGAAACACGCGAGAGCCATTTTGCCTGCGCGCGCCGCTACAAACGTACAGAAGACAATGCAAGCCGGAGCCGAACACAACGCAGTACAAAACAACAAAATGAAGCCATTACACTCGCCTGCAACCCCTCCCGTGACAGCTCTCGCAGGACATTCCTTCAAGCATCCGAGCTCCCGGGCGCTCTCCTTGCTCCCCCGCACCGCCCCCCCCGCATCCGTCATTTCCTTTTTTTTCCCGCATCCGTCTCCATCCCCCCCCCTTCCCGCTACTCCTGCCCCGCCCCCCTGAACTGTTGGCTGACTGCGTACAGGAACAGCGTGAGCCACAGCGGTATGGCCACGATGCCCACCATGTATCCCCAGAACAGTATGCTGGACACCTCCTCCGCTCGGTTGCCGTGCACGGAGGCCATGGTGTGCACCATGATGGCGGTGGGGGCGGTGTTCTGAATCAGCAGAACCAGCTGGGGGGGGAGAGGGGGGGGTTAGGAGGAGTGCATGGGGGGTGCAGGGGAGGAGGAAGGAGTAGCGGGCGGGGGTTCGGGGATGAAGAGAGGAAATATCGTGCTGGTACCAGCGGTAAGCATCACCACCTCCTCTTTCCTAGCTCCTAGCCAAGAACTTATGTTGCCCATCCTCCTCACCCACTCCCTTCCCCGCTCCCCCCGTTTCCCCTGCCCCCACCGCCGCACCAAGTAGATTGGGTCGGGCGCCTCGAACAGCCTGGCCGCGTAGGCTCCCAGCACCAGGCAGCCCCCCAGCAGCGGCAGCAGCAGCAGCCGGGTGGCGGTCACCAGCGCCGTCACACGGAGGGGCACGCGGGCAGCACCGGGGCCTGCGGAAGTGGCGGAGAGGTGGAAGGGGTGGAGACTGGAGAGCGGGGAGCGCACACAGCCGCATGACGGCCGCTCTGGCTCTCGCCTATCGACACCGGTACCGGTAACTAACGGTATGTCGGGATCGGATGGAAGGTGGTGTGGGCAACACCAGGATGCAATACACACACACACGCGCACACGGAGGAGCCTTGCCGTGTGTGGTGTGGTTAGTTCGTCCTCCTTGCCTCCTTCCTCCTAACGCAACCCCCACATGCACGAAGCCCACCCACCATTCGCCAGCGTGGCCCCCAGGATGATCAGGATGGAGGGGATGGTGCAGTCGCCCAACATGCTCAAACAGTCCGTCACCAGTGCCAAGGGAGCCGCTCCTCCGCCTCCTCCCTCTCCGCCTCCTCCTGCTGCTGTTGCTGTCAATGACGATGCGGGCGGTGGCGATAATGGCAGAGAACCCGAACTGCCAAAGCCGCTACTACTACTGCTACTGCCAATGGCGGTGGAAGCTAAGGCCGAAGCGGCAGCGGCGTCGCCAAAGAATGCTCGTTGTAACGACGGAATGCAGCCCACGGGTATGGATAGCAGGATGGCTAGCAGGGGCGGGGAGGTGGCTTCCCGCCACACGTGACGCAGCAGGGTGGGTAGCAGCCGGCGGAGGGGGGACAGACGCAGCAGCCAGGATGGCTTGCGGCTGCGAGGCGGGTTGTCACCGGTCGGCCTGCATGCAGGGCGGGGTGGGGGGGGGGGTGTCCCATGTGAGCAGCTGTTGTCCAGTGGTGGATGTGAGGGCGGCGCCAAGAGGGGTGCGCATGGGGGAGATGCAGGGGGGCGAGGCAGGCGCCTGCCTTCTAGCCGCATGTGCATGTCAGCAACCCACCCCCCAGCCACCCACCTGAGCAACCAGTCCCCGCTGAGACTCCTCTCAGCCCGCAGCAGCAGCACCTCCCCCTCCTGACCACCATACTCGCACTTGCCGCCGCTACCGCCTCCTCCCCCACCATCACCTGTTGCCCCTACGCTTGCCCATGCTGCAGCTGCCAAGCAACCAGTACCCGACGAGGACACATCCACTGCGGTGTGACCCCGACCCCCTCCACTTCGCCCCTCAGCACCCGCATGCGGCAGCTGGCCCCAACCCGGCTGCTGCTGCTGCAGCATCGGCAACCCCCCATCGCCGTCGCCACGGCCTTCCGCGTCGCACCCGCCAGCCCCTCCACCGCCGTCACCCCTACCGGAAACCCCTCCGCCGTCGTCCCCGTTGTCGTCGTACAACGTTTGGTTGTACGACGCATGGTTGCCGTACGACTCTGCTAACATCGCCGGCTGTTGCGATGAGGGTGAGCGGTGCGTGTCGTGGTGCCAACCGTTGGTGGCCAGCGCAGGTTTTGTTGCCGCCGCCGCCGCTGTCTCCTCCACCGCTGTCGCCTCCTCCCGAAGGAGGGGCACCCGGTCGTGTTCATGCGCCAGCTCAGCCGCCATCTGTAGAGGGAGGTGCTGCTTCCCATCCTGCCGTACACAACCCCCACCCACCAACCGCTCCTCGCGCTGCTGCAGGTTGAAGCTTTCATCTTGCAGCGGTTGCAGGTACGACTCATGCCGGCCTTCTTGTAGCTCGCACGAGCGGTCATGCAGTAGCTGTTGTTGCTGTTGGTGGTGGTGGTGCCTTAGCCCCACCAGCTCCATACCCTGCTGCTGCTGCGGTTGCTGCGACTGCGAGTGCGCTTGCTGCTGCTGCGAGTGCGGGTGGGGGGAGGTGCCTGCGGACAGCAGCTGCGGCGGGGTGGTGATAACAGCAGCAGCAGCAGCAGCAGCGACGTCCGCAACCATTGCGGCCTTTTGTCCTAGATCCGTGCTAGCCGGACCTGCTACTGTTGCTGCAGCGCTGGGTTTACTTGGCTGGTGCTGCTGCGCTGACTGCGCCTCAGCCTTTGTCGGCCCGTCCTCCTCCGCCGCAGCCGCAGTGCCGGGCAGCGCCTCTGCTTCTTCCCGCTTACGCAGCATGCTAAAGCCTGTGAGTTAGACAAAGGAAAAGCGAGGGAAGCGAGGGAAGTGAGATGCTGGAAGCTAGGATAGCAGGAACGTCCAGTACAAAGGAGCGTCCAAGGCCCCAGCACCCCTCCCTCCCTTCCTCCCTGCCTGCCTTCCAACACCTTGGGATTCTTCTTTTCCCTGCCTGCCTGCCCCCAACACCCTGGCCTGCCCTCCCCAGTCCCCACCCCTCACCTACCCATGGTTGCATGTGCGATGCTGGGCACTCACCTATGGTTGCATGCGCGATGCTGGGCAGCAGCAGCCCCACCACCACGTAGCTCACAGCCAGGTCCTCCGCGCGGTCCGGCGGGATGCCGCCCAGCAGCGCGGAGGAGGAGGCGGCCAGGGAGGACACGATCACCAGCGGCAGGTTGCCCAGGTTGCCTGGCGGGTCGGGGGGAGTGGGGGGGCGGGGGAGTGGAGGAGTGGGGGGGCAGGGGAGTGGGGGAAGGAGGGGGGGGTGGGAAGGGTGGGCGGAACGCCGTGAAGAACGCCGTGGCAGCGTTCCATGTGACATGCAGGCCCCACCATGAATGGGAAGGGAAGGGCAGGAAAGGGAGTTGCATGGATCCAGAGAGCAGTACGGCGCGGACGGAAGGCCTCACCCAGAGCAATGGCCACCACGGTGTGGGGTCGCAGGTGACCCACGGGTCGCACCAGCCGCACCCCGAGGTAGCCCAAACCCAGGCCCACGGCGGTGCTGGGGGGAGCAGGAGCAGGAGTTGGACGCGAGGAGGAGGAGCAGGAGGAGGAGGAGGAGGAGAAGGAAGGGGCGTGAAGAGGCAGCACTGGGATGGCCGTGCAAATGTGCACTTTGTACGACGAAGAAGGCGAACATGAAGGGCCCTTTGACCCTGCCTCTCGCAAATGCAAAAACACGAACACAAGGCCCAAACCCTTGGCTCAGTAAGGTGAGTAGCGTATCCTACACATACACACTAATCCTGTCTGAACCCCGGTGTCCGGCTCCCGGTGTCCGGCTCCCGGTGTCCGGCTCCCGGTGTCCGGCTCCCGGTGTCCGGCTCCCGGTGTGCGGCGCTGCTCACCTTATACCCGTATTGAGCATCAGCGGCCACCAGTGCAGCAGCCGCGAGGGGGTCAGCGTGCTCGCCAGCTTAACTGTGGGGGCAGGGAGGGCACGGGAGGGCAAGGGAGGGCACGGGAGGGCACGGGAGGGCACGGGAGGGCAAGGGAGGGCAAGGGAGGGCACGGGAGGGCAAGGGAGGGCACGCTTAGAAGGTTGAAGCATGGCAACATAGACACTGCGGTGTGTTTGGCGGCTCGTAACAGCCAAGCCAGGTCAAGTAGGACGGCAGAGGAGAGGACAATTCACGTAGCGCTTCGGGTGATGATGACTGCCAGGATCGAGCTCTCCGACAGCGCGCTATCCGTTATGAGTTAATAGCTCCTGCCCCACCAACCCGCGGCCGTGGCCACTTCCGCTTCCTCCCCTCACCAAAGATGAGCGAGGGGTTGAAGACGAGGAAGGACAGGGCCCCCAGCACCCGGCGACCCTCCGCCGTCAACAGACCCTGTAGGGCGGTCGGCGGTGGAAGCAGCAGCAGCAGCGATGGGATCACAAGGCATGGCACCGGAGGAATGACAGGAATGCAGAGAGCGGGTGCACATGGGCTGTGCGTGCGTTGAAATCTGCGAGATGAACGCCGGCAGCGTGCGCTACCCTGCTACCCATTTGCGGAACCTAGCGCCCGCCCAACCGTCCGTCGCCGCCCAGCTGTTGCGGGGCTGTTGCAAAGTGCAGCGGCTAAGGGTGCATACAAGCCGCTCAGTAAAGCAAAATGGGGCTTCTGTGGTCACGCCAGACCTTGGACGGCGCGCGGTATAACGACAGGCACACGTGGAGAGGGATTCGTCACGTCTAGTAAGAGGCGTCGTCACACGCAAACTCGTTCGGGGGGCAGATGTAAGATAATGAAGAATTCAGGGGCTAAACGCTCGCCAATGCAGCGTACCTTGCGTGCACAGAAGGCTCCGATTCCACATATGAGCAAAATTTTCACAACCGGAATAGCTGATGCTATGAAAAGCTGTATGAGAAGCGGTTCACCCATATTGTGCTTGCCCTTCGGCACTCGCTTACGCTACACTATGACAACATATGTCACTGAAAGCAGCACCACTGGAAAAAAAATAGCACACAACCCATTTGCTAAGACGACGATTGACCGCAATTGTCCTCGCTAAAAGGACAAGATGGTAGGGGGGATTCGGGGATAGTTTGAGCATGGACGAGCGTCCGTATTTATGTTCCAAAGGCCCATGCCCCGAAGGATGTTTGCAATCAGTGGCTGCTTCGAGTAAGGATCACCTTCATGTGACATTGACGTAACCTGGTGCAGCATGTGTTGAATCTTGTTGCCAGTTGAAAAGCCCGTCAACATTGACACCGCTAGTCGCAGACGACCGGCTTGAACCTTTTGACCGACTCACATTGATTTAATATGACCTGGTAGGATTGCATTCGGCTGACAATGCAGCAAATTCAGCAAGGACAGCCGTATAGTTCCGGTGCGAACCCCTCGGTGGACCTCCACAAATTACTGAAAGAGATCAAAGAACTTAAAGCGGGCTTACTGGTGAGTACTAATGCTGCCTGCATTCTCTCAAAGAGAGAGGCATTGGTTCACGTGTCTGCAAGCTTTTTAGTTCATGTACACTCGAATTCCGGCCGCTTCCCAGGGCGACAGCACCACTCATGACAATCCAACTTTTGAGGGACTACCGTGGGAAGCACACAGTACTATGCAGGTAAGATAGTTGCATATGCTTTTTATCCTCCGTTCCGCCTCCACCTGTCATGGGTTCTCCAGTATAGGAATCATGTATATTGACGTAACACATGCTTCTGTCGATCTCTAGGTGTAATAACGGCTAACAGCGGTACTCCGGACTTTTCCTTTTAAATGCCGGTTTCCCTGCAGAACTCAGACACGCTACAGCTCGACAACCATATGGAGGACCTTGATGAATCCCTTGAAGATATGGTTGCCAACGACGTTGGGCTCCAGTACATCCTGAGCCCACAGGCTGAGGAGCATGTGGTGAAAGCCAGATTCCAAGGCGACATGGACGGCTCACCAGCTCTCTGGGCTGGTCAGGCATCCGCGGTAGATAACAGCTTCAGTGATGCTGCATCAATTTCTGGCCTGTCGACTGCCTCTACTCCAGCCGCCGTTCCCACGGCGCCCCACGACTCCATACAGCGCCGCACGACTCGCAGTGCTGTGTTCCCGCCTGGTGCGGCGCCACTTACGCCTCAGCCGCCGTCAGCTCCAGGTGCTGCAGGTCAAAGCAAGACACCAGCGTCTGCAGCTTCGCAGCCAGCCAGCGCGGCACGGAAGATTGGCAGTCGCATCGCCCGCCCCGCCACGCACGCAACCCCAAGCCGCGCTTTTGCATCCACAACCAGCCCTACAGCCGTGTCCACCGCAGCCTCCGTCCGCAGCTCAGCCAATTTCGGCACGCCAGGCGCGTCAACTCCGGTAGCTGGCGCCGTACACTCTGCATCCACAGTTACACCATCGCAGTCCCGTACAGCACGTCAAAAGGTGACCACGGCTGTCAGCGCTATTGGGGCGACTTCAAATGTCAGTCGCACCGTGGCTCGCAGCACTGCCTGCACCCCGCCACCAGCGGGCACAAGCGCCTCCAAGCCGGCGGCCCCAGGCTGCGGAGCTGGAGCCAGCAGCATGGCTCCCAGTGCGGGGCCCGGAAGCTGTGCCCGCAAACGTCCGCCGCAGAACGGACCCGAGGGCCATGCCATCACACCCGCACGCAAACTGGGGCCTGGGCTGGGCCCGGGAGCGGCCTCCGCCACGCCGACGCATCCAGCTGCTGCGGCGTCGGTAGGGAAGTTCGGTCGGCCTCCAACCAACGCCACAGCAGCGAGCTCCATCAAGTCGCCCACCAAGATCACACAGGGGCCGGGCATCGCCTCGCCACGTGCGTCGCGTATCGGGCACCCGGCAGCTCCTGCCCCTGTCGCAGCCATCTCTTCACCTGCGGGTATGGGCGCTCCCTCGCCTAACGCAAAGCCCGTGCGGGTTGCCGCTGTCGCCGCTGCTGCGGTTGCTGAGGACCCCGAGGCGCAGGCGTCGCCTCCGTCTTTGACGCTGCCAACCATTGGCGGGGGCGACACCCTGGTGGATGAGTCGCTTGAGAGCTTGCTTGAGAACGACCCCGCGCTGAGCAGCTTCCTAGCGGCGGCGAAGCCGACCGACGCGGTCATTATTGACGGCGCCGCTGCAACAAGTGAGACGCTACAGCGGCGCACTTCGGACGAGCTGCTGCGACCCCTGGCGGCCGCCATGGCCGGAGGACAGGCGCTCAACAGCTTGCTGGATGGCGACGTGGACGCGGAGATGAGCATGCTGTTTGACGGCGGCGGCAGCCCCGACGATCATGTGGCTGACTGCAATGGCGGGTCGCCTGTGGCCTTGGCCATGCATGGCGATTTGGGTTCCGCGATTAGCACTGCTGCTACGCCCATGGACGAGGAGGTTGTGGAAAGCACGGCAGCGGCGACAAGCACAGCCGAGGCTGAGGCGGCATTGCAGCAGGTGCAGACTCCATCGCCTCAAGTGCAAGAGGTGTTCCAGAGTTCGTCGGCAGCCGAGACCACGCCTGGCGCTGCAAACACGGATGCGGAATCCCTTGGGTGCACTGCTCGCAAGGTGAATATTGTCTCACAACGCAAGAACGTTGCATGGTTACTCCCCGTACTGCGGTAGTATTTGCTGCTGGTTCGGCTTTCGTACCAAGATATTCCCTTGACCTCTGGTAATGCAAATGAGGACAAGCACATGGTTGAAACCACGGTCCCTTACATGGAAGAATCCCCCTGGCACCCATTCGTTGCCGCTCTTGCGCTCCTACGTATTTTGCAGGTGCGGGAGCTGCTGGGTCTGGATCGGGTGGTCGGAGGAGAGGAGTGCCAGCAGATGGACAGCGAGGAGCTCTGGCGTAACATCACGGTCGAGGCCAGCACCATGTTTGCGGGGCAACCGGAGGGGTACGACACGTCGGAGCCGGTAGATCTGACACCCGTCGGCCAGTCGCCATCTGCGGCGGAGGCGACGGTCACATCTCCAGCCGCGGCCATAGCCACACAACCTGCTGGTGATGAACCGCTTGCGGAGGCGATGTTGACTAGGACCATGGACGATGACGATGCCATGCACGCAGTACTGGCCGCAGAAGCGGCGGCGGCCGCCATTGCGATGTCCGCCGGCCCGAGCGCGCTAACCGAGGACACAGCAGCCCAGCGAGAAGTAACGACAGCGGCGACGGCGGCGGCAGACACTGACAGTGAGACGCGACTCCGGAAGCAGAGCAGCAGTCTCTCTTCGTTCGGCTTTGACGCGGCTGTGGCGTTTGAGGCTACCGCGCTTAGCAGGCAGCTGGCAGGCGGGGCTTCGAGTGGGGCGCGCAGCAGGAGCAGCTTCCGCGTGGGTGTCTACCCGGCTGTGGAAGAGGCCGGTGATGAGCATGAGGAGGGCCCCAACTCGCCATCGGTTGTGGCGCCAGCCGATGCTGCTCCCCCTGAGGTGCTGCAGGCGGATGCAGCCGCGTCCGTGGAGGCTGTTGAGGATGTGGGTCAGGCTCCTTTGGTGGCTGCGGCGGAGGGCGACGTGGCGGGGGGGATGCCCGAGGAGGCTATGGAAACTGGTGAGTGGCGGTTGGGTTATCTGCTATGTCTTTTGCTTAGTCCGGATAGCAACCATAGGTGCGGGTCGCGTACCTTGTTTGCATTTGACGAAAACCACAACGGCACGTGTTGAGCCGGAATCTGCCATCACAATGTTATGCCCTTTTGCGGCGCAGATATGCCATCGCATGAGGTCGACGTTAGCTGCGACGGCCCCGGCAAGGCGACCAGCGGCGTCATGGAGGTCCTGCAAGAGCCGCCGATGGAGCTGGAGCCCCCTGCCGAGTCCGCACCCGTTGCCAAGGAGGACGGCAGCGGGTCTGTTGCAGGCGCTGATGAGGAGCTACCAACCGCTGATGACGCCGAAGCCTGCCAGTTGCCAGAAGCGGTAGCGCCTGCTACGAGTGAGGGCCCTTGCAACGCTTCGGACGACTCCGGCACATCCGGCACGAGCAGCGGGCCCGTCAGCGCTCAGCAGCCCGTACGGGCCGAGGAGCTCCGGCGCAAGACCCCAGCAGGCGCGGGTGCCGCCTTGCTGGCTGCTGCCGCTGCCGAGTCGGCAGCGTTGGCAACTCCAGGTTCACCGGAGCCGCAGCCGGCCAAGTACGCCCGTATCTCCGCCGCCGTAACTGAAACCCCGGCGGCAGCCGAGGCCAGCGCCTCGGATACGCCTGCACCTGTGCCCGCAGCGGAGGAAGAGGAAGCCAGCGCTGACCTTGCATGCGCGCCGCTGGAGGAGCCGTCGTCGGCCATGGACTTGGAGGGGGGCCCCGACGGCGGCGACGACACAACTGCGTTAGATGAGGCGGAGATCTTGATGGCGGTTGAGGAGGAGGATACGGCCGGTGCCACGGGGGAGCCACGTTCGGAGGCAGCCGGTTCAACTGTTGCTGCTGTGCTGGACTGCTTGAATGCGGACGTGGAGGAAACGGAAGCCGATGCGCCAGCCGCCGATCCAGGCCATGCGGCCGAAGATGGTAATGGGCTGTCCACCTCACTGGTTGCCTCACGGGCGTCCTCCAACGTGTCGGCATTTGCGTCGCCTGGCGCGGTGGTGATGGCGACGCAGGCGGCGACCCAAAGTTGCATGGGCGAGACGGCTGCGGCTGACAACGGTAAGCCTGGTGGACGGGCTTTGCGTCAACGCGTGAGGATGTGGGCATGCGGCATGGGCAGGGTGCCATGAGGAATCCGAAAAAGCCTTTGTCCAGAAGCATTTTAAGTCATGGAGTCAATGAATTACCGACTGACTCTGACGCTTCAGTGCAACTTTCCTGGACACGAACCAACACAATCAATGCTTTGCATCCCATTGCACAGGGTTGGTGCCCATCGCCACCGGCGCGCTGCTTTCCGACGTGTTCACCCTCGCCATTGAGGACGGCATTCCGGAGCCGCCGCAGCCGGCACCACAGGTTGCTGAGCAGCAGCAGCCCCTCGACCCAAGTCCCGCTGCTCCAGCGGATGCAACCCCCGGTGGCGACGTTGTCATGGTTGATGACAGCATCGCTGCAGCGGCCGCTGATAGCAGCGAGCAGGCATCGCCTGAGCCTGCTGCTGGAGACGGTCCCGAAGCCGCCGGTGCTGGCATGCCGGTGGACACGCCAGCGGATGCTGCTGATGGCATGCCGGAGTCGCCAGCGGCAGCGGCTGCCTCCGTTGCTGATGTGCCCGAGCAGCCGGCATCTACCACCGAGTCCGCTCTGCCGCCGGCGCCCCTGCTTGTGTCTTCACACAGTGCTGAGCGTTCGCCCGTTCTTTCCCAGTCCCCCGCAGCCTCGCCGGCTCTGACGACGCCGGCTATGGCGTCGTCAACGGCCACTGACAGCGGCTTGGAGCCGTCGGAGCAGCAGCCGCTGCTGCACGCCTGGCAGGTGCTTGCTCCTGCGGCAGGCGCCAGCGGCCATGCAGCCGATGCAGAAGGCGCGGCACCGGTAGTCCCGTCACGGTCATCATCGCGGTTGCTGCGCAGCTGCAGTAGCAGGCTTTGCCGGGTCACCACCTCCAAGGATGATGAGGAGGGCTCCGAGGCAACGCAGGCGGTCGCGGAGGGTGATGAGCCGGGCACAGCAGCGGTCCTGGAGCCGAGCACAGCAGCGGCGCCGGAGCCGGGCGCAGCAGCCTCCAGTGGTGATGAAGCTGGCCAGGACGCCAGTGGATGCCAAGCCGCGGAGACGGAGGAGCTGCCTGTTGCCGCATCGGAGGTGGATGTTGCCGTAGATAGCATGGTGGTGACGGTGGAAGGAACGGCAGGGGATGCCGCTGCGGGAGCTCCTGCTGGTTTCGGAAACGGCTTGGCGGCAGCGGTGGCGAAGATCATAGCTGGCGATGACGATGACATGCCGGTCTCCGATGCTGGACCTTCCATGGTGCGGGAGGAGGAGGAGGAAGTCGCAGCGTCAGTTGCTCCCTTGGTGGTGGCGGCGGTGGCAGCGTCGTCGAGCGACGGGTCTGCGGTTGTGGAATGTGCCGCGGTGCCTGACGCTGTCAAGGGCTACGATGTTCCCTCTGGCAGCGACGAGGCGATGGCGCAGATTTCGCCTGTTGGTTCAGTGGACGCTGAGGCAGCAGCTGGCGCCGAGGGCGTATGGCAGGGCAACCAGGAGCCATCTTCCTTGGACGATGCCATGTCTACCGTTGACAACGCTGGCTGTCCGTCGGAGGCAGTGGAGGCCACAGGCGGCATGGAGGTGGAAGCCGCCATCACGACTGCAGCTGCGGCTGCCGGCGAAGTCGTTCAAGTCACGGAGACGGAGGCGGGTGCTCCTGGGATGGACAGCAGCAACCGCCTGGAGGAGGCGCCGGTCGGGGACAGCGACCCGGCCGCAGCTGCTGATACCCGCGATGTCACCATGGCAGAGGCAGCCGTCGAAGCAGCTGGCGATGTCCTGTTGGGAACTCCTGCCACTAGTGTGGAAAGGCCCTCCGGTATCAACGCCAACCTGGTTGCCCCGTCGATACTGCAGGAGCTCCTCGGGGGCGTAGAGGCGGCAGGCGTGGAGGCGGCTGCTGTCGAGGCGAGGCTAGCTGCTGCTGCAGTGGAAGCTGAGGCAGCTAACACCGCAGCGGCTGACGATGCTATGGCCGATGAGGCTAACACCGCAACGGCTGATGCCGATGCTCCGGCCGATGAGGCTGTAGCACCTAGCGCAGCAGCGGCTGACGATACCCCGGCCGATGAGGCTGTAGCACCTAGCGCAGCAGCGACAGACGATGCCCCGGCCGATGAGGCTGTAGCACCTAGCGCAGCAGCGACAGACGATGCCCCGGCCGATGAGGCTGTAGCATCTAGCGCAGCAGCGACAGACGATACCCCGGCCGATGAGGCTGTAGCACCTAGCGCAGCAGCGACAGACGATGCTATGGTAGATGAGGCTGTAGCAGCTAGCGCCGCAACGGCTGACGATGCTGTGGTAGATGGGGCTGCAGCAGCTAACGCAGCGGCGATGGACGATGCCCCGCACGATGAGGCAGGCGTGGCGGCTGCGGAGAGCTCTGGTGCGCCGGGGCCGGCTGAGGTGGCGAGCTCTGGCGCTGCTCCTATGGACGGCTATGTGCAGTCCGGGCCGCCCCCCTTAATCCTGCCCACGCTCGTGTCAACCGGCGCTTGCAGCGTAGGAGTGGAACCCGCTGAGGAGCTGGTGCCTGCCTGGAAGGCCCTGCCAGGCAGCAACGCAAGCAGCCCTAGGAGCCCTGCCACCAGCGATGCTGCCGGCCCTTCCCCCGGCTCTTCCCTATCGCCCCTCGGCTGCCGGCGCTCCTTCAGGAACATCCCTGTTTCCGCAGGCAGCAGCCGCCTCCGCCGCAGCACCTCCCACTCGTCGATCATGGGCCTGGGCGGTGAAGAGGACAAGGCCGCTGACTCGGGGATGCAGGACGCAGAGCACTTGGAGCCCGCATGGAAGGTCCTGGGGACTTCATCTGCCGTAGCGGACACCCCTGATGCGGTAGCGGCGGCCCGCAACACCCCGCTTGGCAAGCTGCCCAGCTTCCGGACGAGTCGAACAGGCAGCAGCCGCCTGTGCCGCGCGAGTCCCTTGGACGATGACGGCGGCGAGGAGGGTGCCCCTGCAAGCGCGCCACAGGAGCTGGAGGAGGCGGCGGCCGCCCAACAGGAGCCGGAACGCGGCTTGGCTGCTTCAGCCATGGTTGAGGACCGCATGGAGGGGGATGGCCCAGGATGGCCGCACCCGGTGTTGGGAGCATTGCATGAGGAGGACGAAGGCCCCGAGGCGCAGAGGATTGGCAGCTTGTCGTACTCCATGCCTGGTGCTGACGTGCTGCAATGTGCCGATGGCCACCCTGCCCCAAGCGCTCAACCACGACTCGCAGGCACCAGTGAAGGCGGTGATCGCAGCGGCCACGCCAGCTTCCGTCGCTCCTGCACGCTGGACCGCGGCGCCAGCAGCCACGGCGGCAGTCCAGATCCCATCCTTGCAGGCCTGCGCCGCTCCACTACAATGGACCGATCCGGTAGCTCCTCGCCGCATGAGCTGCATGGCATCCTCCGCCGTTGCAGCACGATGGATCGGGGTGGCAGCCCGGGTTCCCGAGGTCATGGTGCAACATCGGAGAGCGGCGCACCCGCAGCCATCCTGATGGCGAGGCTTTCTAGCCGCCGCATCACGGTGGACAGCATGGGCACGGTGCCCCTGCCGCGTCGGTCGTCAGCTAATGGCGGCGATCCCAACGTCGACGCTCTGCGGCCGGCTTGGCAGGTGCTACCGCTCGCGTTATCGCCAGGCAGTAGCACGCCCTGCGGAGGCGCTGCCGAGCCTGCAGGAGGCAGCGGTTGCGGCACTCCTGCCGGGCCTCCTTCCGCTGCCAACATGATTGCCAGTCTGCGCAGCAGCAGCCGGCTGAGCCGCATGAGCAGCGGCATTCCGGAGGATCTGCTGGCGGAGTTGCGCGTGCAGGCGCAGGCAGCCGTCGGGCACCTGCAGGGTCCACACTACGGCCGGGACTACGGCGACGATTTGTCTTCCGAGGAAGGCGGCGACGCATCGGATGACGACCCCCGTTCATCAGCTGCGCACGGCAACCCCGCAGTGACCGGCGATGGCGCTGGGGGCACGATGCACGCATGGAAGGTGCTGCCGCTGCGGGTGCCGCCGGCACCCTCGCACGAGCCGCAGGCCGGCAGTGGCGGCGGCAGCCCGCTGGGCATGGGTTCGACGCCGCAACGCAGGTCTTCACTTGGAGGCCGACCTGCCTTGGTGGCAACACGCGCCACCAACGCCTCAAGCCGCCTGGCAGTGGCCTCTAACAAGCCGCCCGCGCTGCACGTCAACTTTGGATCTCCGCCACCGTTGCACCCGGTGGCGTCAACGGTGGTGGAAGAGGATGTTGCTGCGCCCGTTGCGGCCGACCGCCCAAGTGGTGAGCAGGAAGAGGCGCTCCCGCAAGCATGGAAGCTGGTTGACTCCCCGGCGACAAGGGCAGCAGCGGAACCCCCTGCTGTGACGTTACCGTCACCTCTGCCTGAAGACGCAAGCACTGCAAGCCTTACGCAGCCCGTGCTGGGTCGCCGGCCGTCGCTCAAGCGAAGCAACAGCCTGGGCGGAAGCCGTCTAAGCCGCAGCAGCCTGTGCTCCGAGCCTGGGGAAGATGCAGACCGCGATGCCTTGTCTCCTGGCAGCGTTGCTCAACATACGCCCCCAAGCAAGCTAGCCAGTCCAGGCGTTGCCGAGGCCGAGGCAGCTGGCATTGCTGGCGAGAGCAGGTCCCCCTTGTCCAGCCCTCGCCTCATGCGGCGCTCGCACTCGGACCGCTCCTCCTGGGCAACAGCCATCGGCACAGAGGCGCCAGGTGCAGCAGAGGGCGCCAATGTGGCAGGCGAGCGGCTTTCCCCAGGCCGCCACAGCCCGTCACGACCGCCCCTGCTGCGAGGGAACACCACTGGGTCTCTTTCAGTCCCGCCTGAGCTGTCGGACGAAGGCCACGCGATGGGTGAAGCCACTCTCGCTCGCGCACTTGTCAGTCGTGGTTCAATGCGCTCCGTGCGGAGCTCTGGCAGCCGCCTCAGCCGCATGAGCAGCGCGCGGGACATGGCTGACAGCGCTGCGGCTGCCTTGCATGAGCTGGATGACATCAGGGAGGAGCGGACGACGCCTACGAGTGGCGAAAATGGGCTCCCACTCACTGCTGCTGCCGAGGTGCAGGCGCCTGCAGCAGGCAGTGGCAGCGGGGGCGCTCAGGAGGCGGTTGACGACGGACAGCGACCGCAGCCAGTCGGCTCTGACGGCGCCGCCGGGGCCCATTGTGCTTCGGAAGCCGCGGCTGCTGGCGTTGGGCATGTCTTGGCTGAAACTCCAGGCTGTAAGCTCTCGCCTGGGTCAACGCGCCGTTCATTCCGCAGTAACAGCGGCCGCATGAGCCGTGTCATGTCGCAGGCTTCAGACATAGCGCTGGCGGATATCGTGGAGGAGGGCGCTGAGGGCGCCGCGGTGCCTGTCGTCACGCCAAAATCGGGCCCCATTGATGGCCCCCGCTCCGACCACAGCGGGTCCCTGTTCACGGATCGGTGTTCCCTGGGCCGTGCACCTCCTCCCGCGCCCAGCTCCGGGAAGGCACGCATCGGCACTCCTGTCGCCATGACGTTGCCCGGCGGGGCCGCCGCTGCTCACTCACAGTCGCCGGTGACCTCACCTACCGCGCTGGCTGCAGCAGCAGCAGCAGCAGCCACTGCCACAGTGGATGCGGATGCAGACGGCGCGCCGTTGCTGCCCGCATGGAAGGTCCTGGCGCCGGTAGCCCCCAGCAGCAGCCCCAAGGACAGCGACCGCATTGGCACAGCAATCGACGCAGGCGACCATGCCCCGCTTCCGGCCGCGGCACCAGGGTCGTCGCGGCAGGTGGCCAGCCGCATGCAGCGGTCAAGCAGCCTGGGCAGCAGCCGCTTGAAACGCATGACAAGCGGTGTGGATGAGGCGGCTGCTGATGCGGCGGTAGCAACATCCCCAGCTACAGCGGCAGCCGGTAACGATGCCACACCTGCAGCGGCGAGCGGTGCCGTGGGTCCCGAGCCGTCGGTGGCAGCTGCGGAACCAGAGGGCGCGGCAGATGTGGCCGTGGCTTCAGCGACGGCGCCAGCTGCGGCAGAGGGTGCGGACAGCGGCTCGGCACCTGTCGGGAATGCTGCTGCTTTGCCCGGTAATGGTTCGGTCTCCACAGCCGGTCGCTCGAGTCTTACGCTTGCCAACATGCCGAGTGCGCAAACAGACCAAGGCAGCCAGGCCGCCGGTGCCATGCTATCGGCGTCCTCGTTGCGGGCGGATGCTGAGGCTCCCGCGGCACCAGCGGCGGCTCCCAAGGAGGAGGAGGAGGAGAAGGCGCAGCCGCCGGAGGAGAGCAGCCCACGGGAGAGTGCGGCAAAGGCAGAGGACGCGGCGGCTGCCGAAGCCGATACAGCCAAGGATCAGGCGCCGACGTGTGGCCCGGATGTGACGGCCGATAGTCCGGTTTCGAAGGAAAAGCGGAGTCGGCCGGCGCCTAAGAGCGGAGGTTTCTTATCGTGTTTCTCGTGCTTCGGGAAGCCTGCTGCGGATGCCTAGAGCGGATGAAGGGTTGTGCGTGCTTGTGCGCCGGCACGTGGGGAGGCAGGGGCTTTTGAGATGATGGGTTTGTTAGGGGGCTTGTATGTGGACTTCCAGTAACTAAACGCATGTTTTGTTTGGCTTGTGCTTTGAATACATAACTGCTCGACATCTTAGACAACCCATACAGACACAGCACTTGCACTCGGCGGCGGTGATTTTGCAACTAGTACATGACATTTTAGCCTGGCTTGGATGGATGGAGAACTCGATGACGTCGTTTGTTTGTGCGCCCGAAGTATGGTATGTTGATGGCAGGAAACTGTTAGTGGGCCTTGCAGCTCGGGGGGAAGCGAGCAGGGTCAATCCATGATACTGTCCGCGCTTAATGATCTAGGGCTTTCGTTATCCGGAAGCCAAATGCGGGTTTGCGTGCAGCCGACTACAAATTCCGGTGGCCTGATGAGCATGCGGGGTCCGGGTTTGCGGAATATCATGAGCATATCGCATGGAGTTGTACCATGCGGAACCTGCTGGGCTTTAACATCGTGTTGTAGACGAGGGATGTGCCTCATTGACGGGGATGGAGGTGCTACTGCCCTGCCAATTTTTGCTTCCATGGTATCGTTGAGGGATCAACATTTCGTAAATTGAGTTCTTATGGTACTCGAAATGCGTGTATGGTGCCGTGTAGCGGTATGCGTTGTCCATGCCTTCGCATGGCTTGCTTGTAAACGGACAGGAAGCACTAGCGTGTAGGTATTCTTCCCTTCTAATCGCAGCTTGACTGCACATACATCTTACGCATCGGACTCTTCCCAGCGCTTACCTGAGTAACGTATGATTCCCAATCTACGCCTCGCAGACGTCACAGTACATCGGCAGTACACCAATCACCAAGAACTGTGGAGTTTCCCTAATTTACAATCTTAGCCTTGCTACCATAAGACGCTGTTATGCCAGCAAAAGTATTGATTTGCGAATGGGGTTTCTCGTCCCCCAGCTAGCTTACTGTGCACCTTGGCGCCTAGGCTTCTCAGCTTATTGCCATTAGATAGGGTGAAGTGTAGGCTAAAATTCTCATGTTCAGCTTCACGGAGTTGCTTTTTCTTGGCTGTGTTACATCGGTTAGCCTATAATGGGGACTAGGATTCACGTGGCGACCACAAAGCTTTTGAGCCGTATGCAACAAGCATGGCTGAAGAGACGCGGGCCCTCGCACTCTTCACCTGGTAGGCATATAAGGCCGGCATTTCCGTTACATTCCGCGTTCTACGCTTCTAATCACGAGTGACGCCTTACTTTGCAGCTTTGACAGCTCAGCAACGTGCTGATATACTTGAATGCTTTGAAATGTTGGATAGTGATGGCAGCGGGGCCCTCGATGTGCGAGAGATGCGTGCTGCTATGCGCTCAATCCTTGGTGCAATGTCTCGGGACGCGGTTGAAGAGCTCATGTTGAAAGCGGATTCGTCCGGCAATGGCGAGCTGGAATTCAACGAGGTATGTTGCTGCGCGGTACCGACCCGTTTGGCTTTCGCGTCGCACACTTTTTGCAACCGCCTTGCGTGGGGGCAATGAAGTAGCAAGCCTGGGATTCCTGACGCGCCCCCTCTCCTAATGTCGCTGCCGCCGTGCTTTGCCCCTCCCAGTTTCTCAACATCATGGGTCGAGCGCTCTACTATCCCGACAAGCACGGCAAGGTAACTTGTGCTTCCGCGGATGCATGTCGGTACTTCACCAGCCGGTCGGCTCGCCCCATCGTGGTGTCTAGGACGCTCGGCGCCGCCCGGTGATGTTTCCCTCCTTGCTACCCGTACCAGAAGTTTAGAACCCTGGCTCAAGGGCACGCAGCAAAGCCCCGTGCGCAGCGTTTCTCACGGTGCCGTCCTGGGCCTCCTGCGTCCCTCTGCCCTCTCTTCCCACAGACCGAGCTCAGCTTCTCAGATGTGGTTCGCGCCTTCCGTCGCAAGAAGCTGATTGAGTCACTCATCCGGGGAGGCGACGCGCGAGTCAAGGTGCTCGAATTCCACGAAAAGTGAGCAGAGCGGAGGCGGAGGGGAGCGAGCCGTCATAGGGGCAGGGTGCCCGGGTGCCCGCAGGGGACCGACGAAGCATATAAAGTGATCAGAGGAAGCATATATAAAAGTGCGCACCTGCCGTCCTGTCCTCCACCCCTCCCTGCTCTCCACGCCACCTACCCGCCTGCCTTCATGCCTCTCCGCTTGTACCCCCTGCCCCTTCCTCCCAGGGTACAGGAGCTGATCCGCGCTGAGACGGAGGAGCTGCGGCAGCGGCACGCGGCGCAGGCCGTCATGCACCGCATCGAGACCGCCAAGGCGGAGCGCGAGAGGGCGCACCGGGCAGCCAGCCTGGCGGCTCAACGCTCGCTGAAGGCAAGCAGGCAGCGGTTGTTGGGCGGCTGGACGCATGGGGCCAGCGGTCAATGCATGGGAAGCAGGGAAGCATGGGCATGTCTGCTCACCTGCGAATGCGAATCCCCAACCCAGATACGAACCCCTGCCCTGCCCTGCCCTGCCCTGCTCTGTTTCCCACCTCCGGCCCCCAGTGCTTTGCCCTAACCTGTGATTTCCCCTGGTTTGGTATGTGGTCTTTCACCGCCCCTTCCTCCCCCCCACCTTCCGCAGGACAAGGCCAAGCTGCAGGCGTCCATCGGCCGCTCGCTGCACGCCTTCGAGTCGCTCTACCGCCGCCACCACGAGGCCGGACTTGCAGCCGAGCAGCGGGAGTGCGCGGGCGCAGCGGCTGCAGCAGCAGCAGCAGCCCGGGGGGAGGAGGGAGATGCCCTGGAGCCGCCGCCCTCCAGCTCGGGGATTCCAGAGGGGTCCCCGCCGAGCCTTCCTTTCGGACCGGTGGGCGGAGGCAGCCGTGGCAGGTTCGGGTCGTCGAGGCGGAGGCAGGGAGAGGACATGGTGGCGGGCAGTCGCGGCGGCGGCGGCGGCACGGGTGCTGGGGAGGGCGGGGAGGCTGGGCTCGGCAGCGGGCCCGAAGGCGAGGTGGCACAGCGAGCGGCACCCAATGTGAGTTGCATGTGTCACGTGTAGGGGTCGGCTTCTGGGGGACGTGGTGGTGGTGGGGGTGGGGCACGTTCGGAAGGGATGGCCCCGAAGCCGCAGGACCCGCGTTCAGATGACCGGGCTGGGGCGGTGCATAGCTTATTCGCGATGCTGCTTTACATGCAACCCTGTGCCGTGTACTGACTGCCCTGTCAGTGACCTCCCCGCACCTTACTCATGACGACGTGTGGAACTTAACCGCTCCACATCGCCCTTTTCCGGTTTTCCATACCTCCCACCAAACCACTCAAACTGGTGTCGCGCCCCAGGGACCGGAGCGCCCCGTGCCTTCCGGCCCGCCCCAGAGCTACTTCTCTTCGTCCTCCCTGCCCGCATCCAACCTGTCCCTCGAAACCGCTTCCGCAAAGGTACGAGCATGAAAGGCACTAGCATGCGTTAGATGCGTTGCGTCAGGGCGCCCACCCCTTCGGTGTGGCGCCGTGGCTTCGTGCTGTGACAGCTGACCAGCTGGCGGTGTGCTGCCAGCTAGGCTGGGGGGACTGGAGTGCTGGATGCCCTCCTAGCCAGTGCATGTGCCGGTAGGCCCCTCGTGGTTGAACTGGACGGACCTGCTGGGATGTCCATGAATGCAGGCGACCCGGCGGGTCAGTGCCGCAGTGATCAAGTACTTCAAGCAGCTGGAGGAGCTCGCGCGGAAGGAGGTAGGAGGGTGTGTCCTGCTGTCGGGTGCGTGTACCCTTAGCCCCTTACAGTTCACCTTGCCAAGCCTGTTAACGAGCCCATTCCGGTGTGTCAAGAGGTTGTCATAGCTTGCACAAAACGTAATAAACCCCGTACCTCTCCTGACTCTTCTGACTTGAGCCATGGCCTCCTCCCACCCCCTCGCATCCCAAACTCACACGCTGCAGGAGGAGAAGTTCATTGAAGCCGCTCGCCTGAACGCAACCTTCATGCCGGCCCCGCATCGAAGCGGCGACGGCAAGCAGTCGCCCCAAGCAGCCCCTCGCACCTCCCAGCGAGGCACCCCACCCACCGCCCCTACCTCCTCCTCCCCCTCCGCAGCCGCCGCTAGCCCGTCATCAGGGCCGGACAACGCCACGGCTGGCGAGCCCGCAGCTGCCCCCGGCTCCATTCCCGCTCCCGGGCTTGCGCCCAGTCCTGAAACGCCAACCCTGGAGCCCAGTGTGCTGGATGCGGCAGGGGCTGGGGGTTCCGGAGACCCGGAAGCAACCTGCCCATGCCACTCCCCGGAGCCCCAGCCGCCCCAGTCGCCCCAGTCGCCCCAGCAGACGCAAACCCCAAAGAGGCGGCGCCAGCAGCAGCAGCAACGTCGCGGATCACCGCCACGGGCCTGCCCGAGCAGCAGTGCGGGCAATGAGCTGGGCGGGGGGGAGAGCACCCCGGGGGGGCTACCTGGGTCGCCGCCACAGCAACCAGCACCAGCATCGCCTGCTGCTGCTGCAGCTGCTGCTGCATCACCCGTGCCGATCCTCTCCCGCCACCCGACCTCCCCAGCTGACCTCCGACGCAGCCGGGACGCACTTGTCTCGCGCGAACAACGCCGGCGCAACAACCCCCCCGGCGCCGCCGCTGCATGGGCCGAGCCGCATGAGTCCCTCTTGGCGCCCGGCAGCCCTCCGGCCACCTCCCGGGAGGCCCCCGTGCTCAGCCCCTCCAACTCCGGCTTGTTGCCCTTCGGTGCGCCCAGCAGGGCCTGGCGTCAGACGCCGGCCTTCGGGCAGCCGGCGCCCGCATACGCCTGGGCGACCCTCCTGTCAAGTCCCCGCAGAGCTGGCGGCGTCACCAGCAGCAGCGGCAATGGTGTTGGTGGCGGCGCCGGTGCTGGTGCGGTTACTGCAAGCAGCCTATCCGCTGCTCGCGGCGGCTTTGCAACCAGCAGCCTGCATGCGGAGGCGCTTAGCCCGCAGCGAAGTGCGGGAGACATGCAGGCCGGGTATGAGGGGATTGCCGCCGCTACCGCCAGCGGCGGCGGCGGTGGCGGCAGCAGCAGCAGCGCTCCCCTGCCGCCAGTCATGACGCGCGCCGCCGCCAGCTTCAGCTTTACCGCTCAAGGCCCGATGGGTGCAGCAGCAGTCACAGGGGTGCCGGAGGTGCTGCTGACGCCTCCTGCATCTTCGCCGCCTCCCTCGACGCCGCTAGGGGCGCCAGCAACGTCGGTAGACGACCTGACCCCAGCAACAACAACGGCATCAACCTCATCGGCAGCGCAGTCGGCGGGAAGTCGTGGCCAGCGCAGTAGCAGCAGCCTTGAGCTGCCTCCACGTGCACTCCTCATGCAGCCCGACGGCATCACGGAGTTTAGCACCGCCACCGGCGTTGCAGCAGCAACAGCAGCAGCAAGCGCAGCAGCAGGCTCGCCACATCCTTCTGGAAGCGGCCCCTCTAGGGCATCCTTTACAGCGCCGGCCCACTGCCGTCCTTCAACCACCACCACGGAACAACCCAGCAACCACCTGCAGCCCCTGGCACGCGCGCCCAGCCTGCCGCATGCGGGTTCCGTAACCGCCGCCGCCGCCAGCCCCCACAGTCTGCACAGCCCTCGCAGCTTCCATGCAAGTCGAGCCGACTCGCACTCCTTCTCGCTTGGGCCTGGATCCGGCAACCATAGCTTCCTGGCATCGCCAGCTCGCAAGTTGAGCACGAGTTACAGTCACGGGCCGTTCCACACGACCTCCCGGGGTCCGGGAACGATGGCCTCGGCGTCAGGACCGGCGGCCGCAGCGCTGATGGAAGGGGTTGTGAGTGTGGGGCGAGTGTCTGGGATGCCACCCGCTGGGTGCGCCGAGGGTGCGCTTGGGGGTGATGGGGATGCACATGCACTGCTGGAAAGGCGCCGGCGGGGGACACGGTCGTTGCGAGCCCTGGTAGAGGCAGCCGGGGCTGAAACCGGGGACGGGACGGCAGCGGGAGCGGCAGCAGGCGTGGGGGAAGTGGATGAGGCGGACGAGGGCGGCGGAGGCCTGGCGGCGGCGGGGGCAGCCGGGGCGTTGGCAGTGGTGGGAAGGGCGATCCTGGAGGGGGAGGCGCATGCCGAGGAGGACGGCAGTGGCAGGACGACCTCGCATGCAGGGAAGGCTGCTTCTGCTGCTGCTGCGGCGGCGGCGGCATCGGAAGCGGCAGGTTTGAAGACCAAGCGGGCGGTCGCGGTCCCGGTCGCAGAGATTGCGGAGGTTGATGCCGCCAAGGATGCCGTGCCGCCGGACGTGTCTGAGATCTCAGATGCGGATGAGGCTGATGCGGAGCAGGGCTCGCAAGCAGCAGCAGCAGCGGGCCCGGAGTCAGCTACAGCTGCAACAGCAGCAGCAGCAGAGTCCGTGGAGGAAGAGGCAGCAGAGGGGACTGCTGCTGCTGCTGCGGAGGAGGAGGAGGAGGAGGAGGTGGTGTTCGCGGGAGGTGAGGCGAGCTCCTCCGAGACCGAGGCCGGACACGAGGTGGGGCCCCCAGCGGAGTTGGAGCGGGAAGAGGCAGTGGAGGCAGTGGAGGCTGCCTCCGCAGTGTCGGACGTGTCAGGCGGGGCAGGGGAGCCTGCTGGCGACGGATGCGGCGCAGGGGCGCAGGGAGCTGCTACTGCCAACGGAGAGGCCCTGCCAGCGCCCCCTGAGGTGGAGGTGTCCGCAGCCACCTTTCTGACGGCGGCGGCTGCAGCGGCAGCGGGTGTGCCTCCGCGGAACGAGGATGAGGCAGGGAGCGAAGGTGGGGCAGCACGGCCCCTAGCGCATGCAGCCTCCGTCCCCATCGCACCCTCCGACGCATCCACCCTAGCCGATGTCAGTCCGCGCGGCCCTGCGGAGGAGCGCCGACACACCTTCCCGGCGCTCAAGAACCTCCCCGCCTACTGCCGCCCCAACACCGCCGACCATTCCTCGCCCCCCTCATCCGGCTGCCCCTCCTTCCGAGGCGCGCCACCGCCTACACAACAGCGCTACTCCCAGCGGCCTGCTGCCCTGCTGTCGCTGCAGCCCCGCCCTTCCATCCCTAAATCCCCAGCTGCCTCCTCCCACGCCTCCTCACACACAGCACCCGGCGGCGGGGCCGTGTCGCATCCCGGCGACCCGCCACCCTCCTCATCCGCCACCCTGCCCCGCGTCCCCTCATCCGCCTCCTCATCCGCCTCCGGTCCCACCACCTCCGGCCCCACCGTCTACTTCCCCACCAACTACAGCGCTTTCACAACCTCTCCCACCACCACCGCCGCAGTCGTCTCCCCCGTCGCGCCGCCCGCTGCTCGCCCCTCCAGCCAGGCAGCTGGCAGCTACCGCAGCCGCTCCAACGGCTCCACCGCATCCTATGCACCCCGAGGAGCCTACATGAGCCTGCAGCTCTCCTCACATCGACTTGGCGCCGGCAACAGCAGCGGCAGCGGCGGCGGTGTTGGTTCCGGAGCTCATCAGCCTTTGCGGCCAACCGGCCGAGTGGGCGGCGCAGCAGCAGCGCATGGTGCCGGCCGGGACGCCGCAGCAGGCGCAGCAGCTGGGAACGGGACGTCCGGGACGGGTGCTTCTGTGGGGCCGTCCACTCGGCCCGGCAGTCCCCGGTCGCCGCTAGACCAGGCGCTGCCGACGCGTCACAACGACCGAGTCGTCATCACGTTCTTCGGACAGCACCTCCCATGCGCCAGCAACGGCGCAGTGGTGCTGCCGGCGGTGTCCGGCTGTTCGCCCTCGCAGCCCTCCTCGCAGTCGCCCGCACCTGCTGCGCTGCCGCCGCCGCCGCCGCCGCCACCCCAGCAGCAGCATCAGAAGCTGAAGCAGCAGCGCTCGACTGGCGGTCATGCGACACCCACCAGGAGGACCCACATGGCGGTGTTCGCACCGCCACTGCCGCCGCCTCCGCCGCCGCCTCCCACGCCGCTGCTGCCCCGCTCCAGAACCAGCGGCACGGGCATGGCGACATCGTCGTCGTCAGCGGCGGCGGCGGCGGCGCCGGCAACCCCGGCCGGAACCCCCACTGCCGCCGCCAGCGGCGCTACCAACACCCTTGTGGTACATGCAACCTCCACCGCAGCGGCCGTCGCCGGCGGCGCAACCACCTCCTCCTCAACGGCGACGGATGCGAATGTCTGGACGGCGACGTCGGCGCTGCCGGCACGGGCGCCGCTACGACGCAGCGGAACAAACGTCCGCGGCAACGGCGAAGCACGTACTCCGCCTCCCACTCCGCCGGCAGGAGGGAGCAGACCAGCACCTCCCCACGATCCGCCGCCGCCGCAGCCGCCGCCTCCGTCACATTCACAACCCCCCGCAACAACCTCGGTCCCAACCGCAACGCCCGTCCACACTCTGCCTCCAGGTGCCCCCCTACCTGCCGCCCATGCCGGCGACGTGTCGGCGGGTTCCTTTGCTCCCGCGGTCTTCGCGCCCGCCATCTACGCACAGTCGCCGTACGGCATCCCAGGGTACGGCCCGGCAGCCTACGGTCCTGCGTCGTACTGGCCTGGATCCTACCCGCCTCAGGAGCCGCCGCATGCACAACCGCCGGCGCAGGGCGGTTACGGCGGTTGGGGCGACCAATGGGTGCTGGTTCTGGATCAGTACTTCGGGCTGGGTCCGGGTCCGGAAGGCGCATGGGGGCCGGCGCACACCCCAGGGGCTGGCGGGGAGCACAGGAACCGTGGGGCCGGCCAGCAGCACCCGCGGTCCAAGTCATCTACACCCACACCCACACGCGGAGCAGTTGCTGCTGCTGCGGCCGCAGCTGGTGCGGCTGCCGCTGCAACGAACGGCAGCAGCACGGCTGACAACAGCTGCGTTGCGGAATCTGGCGGTGCCACGGGCGTTACTAGCATCCCCGACCCCACCGCGCATGTCTTCTCCGGCGACAGTCCAGCCAGCACAGGTGGGCCAGCAGGAAGAGCCGCCGGGGCCGCTGCAGCGACTCCGATGACGCCACCAGCGGATGACGCGTCCTCCTGGGATGGATCTACGGACGGTGCAGAGCTGGTGTTGGGACCCGCTCCGCCCAGTCGTCGGCCGTTCAACGTGCCGATGCTAGACCGTGTGGCGGCTGGGGCGCTGGGGCCCTGGGAGGCACCCACGGTCAACAGTCCGGGACCCGTGGGTCATCATGACAGCACGGAAGGCATCATGGGGTGATTGTGGTGTATACCAGTTGCATTGATTCTAGTTAGGACGGAGCCAAGGAGTTCATGGATGCATGCTGCGGGTTTGCGCGGGTGTCATGGATATGTTGCCGTTGCCGTTGCCGTGATTGATTGGTGTTGTTGCACGCATGATGTGGACATGGCTGTAGGTTTACTGTGTCCAAGTGATGCTCCGCAGCCTTCCATTGTTGTTGCACACTCGGCTCCTTGGAAGTGGTTGACAGCTGGGTGCATAGATGGCACATGTTGTGTCAGCTGCGATCAGGGTTCCCCAGTTGTTTGTGTTCGTTGTGTTGATTGCCAGGGAAGATATTATTCATGCAGTAGAAGAGTGGCGTGCCGGTGTGTGTTTTGCGACGCAAGCGTACACACACCACGCCCTACTCGCGGCCAGTTATTTTAACACACCACGCGTTGGTTCATTGTGAAGCAGGGTTTGCGGGCTTATGAAGAGCCTGGCTTGCAGTTTGGAAACACACTGTGAATCATCGTTGCCCGATTTGTGTGTCTACCGGTAGGGGTTTGCCAGGCCTGAGGTGCGCAGTTAGTCCCACATGTGGCACCGCAGCACCTGCACGTAAGGCATTCCGGTCCTCTCGGGTTGGTGACTTTATTGTTTCGACGTGAACAAACTGGTTTCTTACTTCCCGTAGCGACACGGTGATGGTAATCACTATGTGTTAAGAGTACCATGGTGTATCGTGTCTGGTTTCCGCGAGGAGTGTCTCCGTGAGAATCGGACTATACTGGAAACGAGGAACCGAAATCCGACCACGGGAAGTGTGACAATGTTTGTGTGCGTGCCCCTTTCCATTGGTGCCCCTTCGAGGGGGGCTGCCAGGGTTGAGCATAGCAAGGCACCTGACAGGTCAAGCCATTCACCTGTCATGACATGTTGGATGGTTGGCGTGTCGTTACCGGTGCATGTGGCCTGCAACCATGCACCCATGCAAGCGCTGGTGCTTCACGGCTGCAGGGTGAAGAAGCCCCGCCGGGTTTGGGGTTGGTGTCGAAGAATAAAAGCATTGTTGCAGACCTTCTGGTGTTGCAGACAGAACTGACAGAACTGATGATGGAGTGGCTGGGACGCGGCATGACGTGAGCGAAGTACGTCGTACGTCATTACATGTTTGCTGAGGGGCCAGCCGATCCGGCATGTTGCGGTGCGAAGCTTGACGCATGATGGCTGTTGTGAGTTGGGCCATGAGGGATCGCATTGCAGGGTTGGACTAGGGAGGGCGAGTTTGGGGACCATCTCTGCCCCTTGGGTACGTGGTAAATGCATATGGAGGATTGCGCCAGGAAGAGCTTCCGTGCAATGCATAAATTGGTTCCAAACAGTTATGCTGTCGAGTGTTTTGTTTTAGAAATGGCTTATGCCGTCTGAACACCATTTGCATTTCTGTCAATGCAACCGGGCACTGACACGCACAGCCGCAAACCAGCCAGCGGCGACATTGCAGTACGACAACCCAACCAACTGCAACACCACTAGAACTACAACCGCAAGCACCCAGCGCTTTTACCGCCCCAACCCATGCGGCATTGGGTCATCATACTTCATGGATTGAAGGGGCCAGGGTCATGGGTCAGGTAGCGGGCGATATAACAGGCACCGGCTTCCTCCTCTTTTACCTAACAAAAGGCGTACGCCGCCGCAGCTGAGCGCAACAGCAGTAAACAACACCCTACTTCACCCTCGCTCCATGCGCTATAAGTCAGCGTCTCATGCCATGTGCCAACAGCGCTAACCAAGCGCCTGCACTGACCCGGCACTGACGCATACGGCATACCTCTCCTGCCTAAGCACATACAGCGTCCCTCACCCACACCCAAAGCCACAACACCTCCGTCCTTCTAATCCTTCTAAGCGTCCCCCAATGCCCTTAGCCGCCCATGTTACTGCCCTGAAATCCCCCCTGCCCCGCGGGGCCCTCCCCCGTGCGCACGTCGCCCGGCCCCCCCGAGCGCTCCGAGGGCAGGTGCGACAGGTCGGGCAGGCCGTGGCGCTTGACACTGAAGTTGTCACCGTAGGTAGCCCAGCGACGACCTCGGTCCTCACGCGGCGGGTTGGGCTCCTGAACCTGCGGCGGAAGGCAGCCGGCGGCCGGTCGCACGGGCGGTGGTGAAAACAGCGATCGCATGGACAGGTCGTACCAGGTGCGCTGGAACCTTGCATACTTTACTCGCTTGGCAGGCATGCAAGCGTGCAGTAAACTGCGCACTGGCAAGTAAGCAGCAACCAACGCCGTTGCGCAATGTAGAGCACAGCAGCCGCAGCAGCCATTGGATGTGTGCAGGGGGTAGAGAAACAAGCGGTAGGCCTGAAGCTAGGCCTGAATGAACACGGTGCCAGACAAGGTGCACACAAGGAAAGGGCGTTTGTGCCGCACATACCTCGTAGATCCAGCCCTGCCGGTTGCAGAACGCCTCCGCCTCCTCCCGGCTGTAGAACTGGAGCGCTACGGCAGCCTGCAGCAGTGAGCCGGAACTCCGCCTTACTTGATGCATGTAAGGGGGCTCCATTACTTTAATGCGGTGAATCAAAGGAAACGGGCACCTCGCCCGTCCAGAGCCATCGCAAACCCTACTACTCATGTGTTCTCGTCCTGCCTCCCACCTCCTTCCGACCTCCATCTGATGCCAGATTCTGCTACCCACCTGCAGAATGGGGTCCGCAGAGGACGTCCACCCCATCAGGCGGTCGATCCATTTGTCCGCTGGGTCCAGGAACTCGATGCTCCAGTTCGGCATGCTCCTGCAGCGGTGTGCAGAACATCATATGGAGTCCTGGAGCATCTAGAAAGGGCTTTTAACACCTTCTGCAGCGCATGCCATGTGACTAATAACAGAGGCTCAACGCATTCAGACATTGCCCAACTTGTAGTCAAGTTGGTTGACTTATTCGTGGCATTGGGTATCCCAGAAACAATTGCAAGCTGAAGTAGAAGAAGACCGCCCTCGGTTTGACAGAAGACCGCCCTCTTGCCTTGGAGGAGGCGCCCGTGGAAGACCCCATCGGCATGCAAAACCACCCCCTATCCGATCCCTCATCACCATGACACGCCAATCTCCACCATTACTCCCACATTACACGCGAACACTCCTAAGCCACCCCCCCGCATCCCGTCTCACCCTTCTCACCCTCCCATTCCCAGAACTACCGTTACGCCGCTTCCCTTCTCCTTTCACCTGTTAAAGGCTGTCTTCTGGCGGCCCTGCTGCTCCGGATTGCGAGAGTTACTGATGATCAGCACCCGGTGCGGCGCCCGGTCCACGTCGTACACGCCGCTCAGTCGCCCCGCTGAGCCGTGCTCAATGGGAGGACCCGGCCGCTGCGCAAGCTGCGGTGGGGTGTGTGTGTCGCGTTGGGGGCAGCAGGGACAACGCGTCACAGGGGGCACGAAACACATGGGGGAGCAAGAAAGTGCGGTCGGGGAGAAGCGAGGGGACATGGAGTCCAAGGGGAGGACGAGGAAGCAAGGTGGGCACAAGGGAGTGATGCGGGTTGGTACCGTAACCCGGGACGACATGTACGACGGGAGAGGATGTACGACAGCCTTGCGTACGGCAGGGTTACCGCACCTTGTGAGCCAGTTTCATGACCAAGCTGTAGTCCGGGGGACCCGCAGGGTAAACGGCGGGGCCGGGGCTTCTAGCCGCCTTGGCAGCCGCAACTGCAAAGAGACGGCCGATGGCGGACGAGGCAGACAGTTGAAGTGAGGTATGGGCAGAAGATGGACAGTAAAGTGTGAAGTGAAAAGATCGCAATGTAACACCGCTTGCAGCAAGAGGTTTCCTAGCAAATCTAGCCCCTCCATTCGCGTGAAAAACTGCTGGCACGTTTGGCAAAGAAGCAGACCATGTGGCCAAGCTCGCGCAAAGCTCGCTCAAAAATTGGCATTTCCCTTCCTCGCCGCTCTTTTAACATGGCCCTGCTCCTGAACACGGCCCTGTGTTATGAAAACGGCTCTATCTATATTATAGTCGCCTGCCTGACCTTGTGGGGGGGAGATCGGCGGTGGCTGCGGAGGAGTGCTCTGCGCGCCCTCGGACTTGGGCGGCTGGGGTCCCTGGACGCCGCCTTTGCCGGTGTTGGTCTCCTTGGTAAGGCTGCGGGACCAGCGGCCGGCTGCTGCAAGCCAGACTACTGGTGCTGCAGAGGAGGAGGCTCCCCTCGCAGTGAGAGCAGCGAAGAGCGGTGCTGCTGCAATCATAGCGAGTTTGCTTCCCCTTTTTCTGGGGTACAGGGCTTAGGCCTGCCTAAGCAGGAATAAGATTTATGTTTTGTTCGGAAGGGCTTGGCAGCGGATATTTATGGCAGCGACTTAATGTTATGCGCTGTGCAGTCTGCTCTTCTGTGCTAATAGAGCGCAACGTGAGCCCAAGGTTCTAGACGTATATACGTAGTAGACCCTGATTCAGCCTGGCTTGACACACATGTAGAATGGTGCAGTGGTTTAGGAGCCAATCCTATGCAAATGACAAGTGAAGGATAGTGAGCTAACGACCCACGGGTCCGCTTTTCAGCGCGACTCTAGGGCGGTGTCGTCCCTTCTGTAAACTACCTAAGGGCCTCTCATTGCCGTTACCATTAGCGCGGACAAGTGCAGGCAAGCACGTGTATGCCCACTGCCTTTCGGTAACAAAGGAATTGTTTTCACTAGAATACAGACGAAGTTAACGCGCAAGTCGCAAAAGGTGCGAGGGCGAAGACGCGTTAGCGCGCGAGGGTTCCGGCAAAGGCTAGCTACACTTACACGGCTCTGCTGCTAAAGATTTACTCAATTTTCTTCAACCATAAGGAACAATTGCCAAGATGGAAGGATGACATAGCCAACAGCAATACCCCCGCATGCTCCTATGTAAACGACTGGGCCCCTCGCTGCTAGCCGACAACAAAGCGATCGTGCAAGCCCCAGCTACCCGCCTTCCTTCTATGCCGGTACATACCCATGCACCTGATACCCAACTAGACCCCACAAATGCAGCCCTCAACGGGCTCGTAACTGCCCACCCAGGCTGTCGATTCCTGTCGGATTGCTCCGCGACGCCTCCCAACCAGCCACAATATCCACCGAAGTCATAGCCCTGCTACCAAACTCGGCATGCCGAACCACGGCAATGTGCCCTGTGAGCGACTCTGCTATGATACATGCCCAAAACCCTGCAGTACGACAAAGCCACGTTCCCGAGATCCAAAACCTTCTGCTGTACGGTACGACAGCTACACGCCCCACTACCCCCGTACGGCATCAGCTACGACCCCGTCACCAGCCCCTGCAATCGAGCCAGGACGTCGTCCGCTCGTGCGTTCCCCGCATGCAGCGCGTGGCCGCCGCCCCCGATGACCGCCCCGCACTCCGGGCAGGTGGATCGCTCCATGGCGCCCCCGCAGTTGCCGATGGTGTAGGGGTGTCCGTTGGGGCAGCTGTATGTGGGGCGAGCAAAGGACGACGGTAAGGAGAAACGTGGGGGGTGGGTTACGGGAAGGTGGAAATGCGGGTAATGGCTTGCAGGTGGCAACATGCTAGCAGCGTACGAATGCGGTTTGGAACCGGCTGCTAAGGTAGACCCTGGCAGGCCCAGCGTGAGCTGCATGACATGCACCAGCAGCAACACCCTGGCTGCTTGTTAACGGTTACTCTTCATACGGGTCATACGGCCCCTTGTGGGTCTACACCCTCGGAACGGAAGGGCGCTCATCTGACTGCCACAGCCTCGTGCTCCATCCCATAACGGCATCAAATACGGCGTGTCCAGCACGCCTGTGACCTGTATGTTGACCACCGGTAGCCGTACATGCACAAGGGCGGGCAGCCTGGCGTCGTCCTGCTACCGTGCCCGGTATTCCTTTTCCCTCCGGCCCACACTCACTGGTACAGGTGGCCGCTCAGCCAGGACAGCGCCGCCCGGGGGTCTCCCTCGCCCCGGCCGTGCATCCCTCCCTCGGCAGACGCGACCGCCTTGAGCGCTGCCAGCATCTCAGCCGTGTCCACCTCCTGAGGACACAACGCAACGTACCAACGACACCGACAAAACAGAGAGCTGTTTGTGCTTGTGGGGAGAATACATGCGCCATACATGGTATGGGCACGGCTTGGCGTGCCGTATCTGTTCGCAACTGCACCGCTTCCAAGCTTCCCCACCTAAACCTTCAACCCCAACCTTGCATGTGAACATGCAACTTGACCTAACTAGCCTTACCTGCCGTGCCAATCGGTCCAGCCGCTCCATGACGTCCCGGATGGCATTGATGTACACGTTGCCGTAACCCTGGGCTCGGAACCCGCTTTCCCCTTCGTACAGCTGCATAGCCGCCTGCCCGAAGCCCCGTATCTGCGACAAGGCAAGGCGAGTGCACGCCCCACAGCAAGTTGGAGACCAAGGTCGTTAGCAACTCAGCACCATGTTCCCTCTCTCTGCCCCTCCACCTCCTCACTTCTCACTAGCCCTCCCGCTAGCTTCCCTCTAGCTTCCCCCCCCCCCTCTCCTATGCTCCGCGCTGCCTCCCCTACTCCCTCACCTGAGTCACCGCCGCCTCCTTCAGCCCCCGAAGCTGCTCCGGCCCCAGCCCCAGCGCAGCAGCCCGCGGCAGCGCCTCCGCCGCCCCCAACAGCCTCAACTGCGCCAGCCCCGCCCGCACTGCTGCCTCCCACAACCCCAGCGCGCTGTTGTAGTTCCTGGCCGCCACCGCCTCCTCCGTCCACAGCGCCACGTTGCGGCTCAGCTGACTATCCGCCACGGTAAGCCCCGCCACCAGCAGCTGCGTGGCCTGCTGCCGTAGTGCTGCGAGGTGCTCCTGGGCTTGACGGCTGGCGGCTGCTGCGGTTGCTCGGCCGGGGTGGCGGCGCAAGCGTGCCGCCACCGCCGCCGCCGGGTGCTGGTGTTGGATGCCGACCAGGGCGTTGTTGAGGTCTAGGTAGCCAGCTGCGGCTGCTGCTGCTCCTGCAGTGTCCGCTGTGGCCACCGCTTGTGCGGCTGCGGTAATCAGGCGACCGCTGTGCGACAGGCCTGGGGGTGGGGTGGGTAAGGGAAATGGTTGGGAGGGCGCAGGGTAAGTGGTGCGCGCGTATTCAGTGAAACCCGTGGGGGCCGTGCCTGCTGTTAGGTCGAGCCGCTTCAGGAGCGGCGCAAGTCACCGCATCAACATCAATAATTGTGACTTCGGAAGGACTCCCATGCACATCTCCAAGCAGCAGGTCGGTCCCCAGGGGGCAAGACCCCTGCTGCCCACCCCACCCCTGCCTCAACAACCTCACCCGCTGCTGCTGCCAGCAAGAAGAGCTCCCCCGTGCGCAGCAACCCCCCTCGCGCTAAGCACAGTTGCCGGGTATCCGGCCTCAGCGCCGCCAAATCCGCACGCGCCGCCTCCAACCGCAACCCCAGGCTGGCCTGCAGGCTGCGAATCTCGGCAGGCCCGCCACCACCGCCGCCGCTGCTGCTGCCGCTGGCAGACGCACGCGCAAGTGCTGCGGCTGCTGCCGCGGCGGCTGCACTACTTGTGGTTGTGGTGGCCCTTGCGTTTGCGGCGGCGGCTGAGACGGCTTCAAACTCCTCCTCCATTCGTTTGAGCTGCACGACGGCCGCCTCGTACACACGCTTCTTGGGAGGGCTGCCCGCAGCGCAGGGAGCAGTTTGTTGCAGCCGTGGCACGCGCCGCAGCAAAGGATTAGGCGTAAGACCAGGTTAGGTAGTAGGAATGGTAAGAGTTGCGGTGCTACCAGCTACCGTAGCTTAAAAGCGAGCAGCAGCATGAACATGTTACAGGTAAGAAGATGTAACGCCCCACCCCAACCAATTCAAACCCCAACCCGCCCCCACCTGAGGTACGCTTCGCACACCGAGCTGAAGAGCTGCACCACCGTCATCGCCTCCCCCTGCACCTCCCTAACCGGCGCCAGCAGCACCGCCGCCACCGCTGCACCCCCGCCGCCACCATCCGCCCCACCACCGCCGCCCCGCCGCCGCCGACTCGCCGTCTCCATCGCCTCCGTCACCTGCGCCTCCACCGCCGTCAGCCTTGCCTTCAGCTGCGCCGCATCCTCATCCGCCCCGATCCGCTGTCTCAGGGCAGTCAGCCGCGTCTCTGCATGCGCCAGCCTGCCTCCGCAAGCCGCCAGGTACTTGCGATCCATGAGGTCCAGGGAGGCCTTGTTGACGGGGCGACCGTAGCGCCGTACACCGTGAATGGGGGCCCTGGAGATGGGCAGGGCAGGAAGCAGAGCAGGAGGGCAAGCGGCGGCGGGGGCTATAGTTGGAAACTGTCCTTGGGGGATGGACGTAGCACTGTTGTTAGCACTGGGCAGCAGTAGCTCAGTGCTGCCTCCGGTACCTTCCGTCAGCAGGTCCACATGCGATACAGCCAGCCCAAGCAAAAGACGTCACCCCACACCGCCGCTTGGGTGTTTCACAGTCAACAGCTCCCATACCCACGCGCATGACACCCTATTCATGCCCGTGCCTCATGCCCCTCCCCCTTCCTCACCTGCAGCTGGGGCACGACTTGACGGGCTGCTTGCCGCCCGGGTCGGGGCCCAGCGGCAGCGGGCGCAGCCAGGTGCCGGCGCGCGGGTCGCGCTGGTAGCAGCTGCAGGGGGCAATGTGGGCGCTTGGAGGTTACAGAAAGTTACATTGATCAAAACCACATGATTAGGGCACTCACATGGATAGAGACAACGAGCAGTTACACAGCAGCGATCCCAGCACTCTAGGAGGTGGCCACGTTCACCAGACTACCGATATTACCCCTGACACCAATGGCGTCCCCGGACTCCCTACTGCCACAGCCACACGTCTCCAACGACGCACAGCACGATCTAAGATGCGAACCGCCTTGATTGCATGCTGCATGTATGCCACCTGCCCTCCCCAGGCACCTGCCTCCAGTCACTATCTCATCTATGCACGATATGGCCTCATGCCGGCCTCTCCCCCACCTCCCCACGCATGCACCTCGCCGCCTCGCCCGCAACCGCCCCCCCCCGCCCCCGCCCACCTCTCCAGCCCCAGCAGCCCATCCAGCGAGGAGGTGAGGAAGGCGTGGCCGCACTGCAGCACCACCAGCGGGTCCTCGTCCAGCTCCCCGGGGGACTGCGACACCAGCTCGCCCAGCGTGCGCAGCATCACCTGATCCACCATCTGGGTGGGGAGGGGCGCGGAGCGGGCCGGGGTTGGGGGCAGCCAGTGAACAGGGAGCAAACCAGCGATGAATGGGAGACGGAGCACGGATGGCGGATGACGGATGCCAATTTTCAAAGGCAGCGAGAAAACAGCAGAAATTGTGGCAGAAATTTTGGAGGAAGGGAAGCCGCACGGATGCCGCAGGCATGGCAACCCTTGCACACACGCTATGTGAGGTCCTGATGAAGCAAGCAAACGTAGGAGCAGCGCCGCCGCATGCCATGTGGGTGGGAGGGAGGGAAAGCAGCCATCTTCCTTGACAGCATGCCCAGGGCATTCCTCCTAACACACACACACAATCCCAATCCGCACTCTTTCCAAGCAGATCCGCGGCCCCACCTGGTCCCTCACTCGCTCGTCCGCCTGCGCACAGCCCGGGTGCGCACAGAACCGCGCCGGCGGACACTCCTCGCCGCACAGCCCCGGGCAGCGGTGGCCGCACGACAACAGCCGGGAGCACCGCGCGTCGCAGGGCAGCCTGCGAGCGTGCGTGCGTGTGCACATCACTTTCCGACAATCCAGTACGTTCCTACTCCCGGCCAGTTTTCTGAACACACAGCTCAACACATTAACACATGCATACGATGCTGACGTGCAGGTATCCCTTTCGCGTTTATTTGCGTGCACGGCCGACAGCGGTAGCATGCGACAGCCGATGCCGTCAAGTACTCTCGCATGCGGGTCATGCGATCAGCAGGCCGAACGTAACGTACTTACCCTATAGTCCCGTCCATCCTCTTCCCTGCCCTTAACCCCAACACGCCAGTACCCCGTCCGCCCTGCCGGACCCCGTTCCGCCGCCGCTCCCCACCTGTCACAGGGTGCTCCGCAGGGCGCCCCGCACCTGCCGCGGTGCTCGCACTCCCACACGCAGCCCTCCGCGCAGGGCACACACGGCTCACCGCAGCGCTTGCGGCACACCGCGTGGTGCGCGCAGGCGATCCAGCAGGGCCGGGTGCAGGGGGGGCAGGCGGTGCTGCCGTGGCAGGCGGCGGTGCACTCGTGGCCGCACACCAGATTGCGGCCGCACTTGCGGGTGCAGCGCGCGTGGGAGGCGGCGTGGGGGGTGACGCCGCCGCCGCCGCCGTCGCCGTCGTGGGGGTGTGCGCCGTTGGCGCTGATGCGCGACTGCAGCAGCGGGGGGTGGATGTAAAACTGGTAAGTGGATGAGGTAGGAAAGAAATGCAGCACGTGTTCGTCCTTACCGGGCGATATTTCCTGGTGCATGTCCCCATCTGCCTGTCCCACTAACTTTGTATGCGTTTGCAATACCTCGAAGACCCACCCATGGGCAATGGGGGTGGTATTTGTTCACGTCTACCGGTGGCGTAAGTTAACATGTCGCGGCATTCTCTGTCCGTGTTCGTTCATGCCAATGTGTCAAACACACCCAAATACCCATCCTCAGCACGCAGCCACCCACCCGTAGGGAGTCCAGGAAGGCGGCCCGGTGCGCGGCGCCCGGCCCCTCGTCCGACAGCAGCCGCAGGAAGCCGGGCAGGTTGGGAGCGCCGCCGGGGTTGGCTCGCGCCCAAGCCTCTCGCAGCGCCTGGGGCTGGGTCGCCAGCCAGCCTGCAGCAGACGGACAGGGCAGGAGCGGGTAGCAGGATGGCAGGAGGTGCGTGAGGGATAGGACTCCGGCGCTATTACACAAATGACGTTCGGCAGACACATGCATTGGTGACAGCATGCCCGGCCTTACACCTTACACCACCGGCTCGGCCAGCCCTTGTGACGTCATCAGCAGCCCCCTCACCACCACCACCACCACCACCTCACCTTCCACCAGCTCCGCGTACGCGCCGTGCAGCACCCGCCGCACGCAGTCACCACACTTGCCACCACAGGGGTGCTCGCAACCCAGCGTGGCACCACACGGCTTCTCCGGGCAGCAGGTGGGGTCGGCCAGCACGCCTGCTCGCTGCCCGCACCCCACCCATACCGCATGCCTGCATGCCGGCATCTCCACCCGCACCCGCTCGGTGCAGGTGCGCTGGCCGGCGCGTGCGGCCTCCGCCTCGCAGCAGGGAACGGTGACCTTGTGGCCGCAGCCGGGCAGGGCCACCTCGGTGGGAGCGGTGCAGCGAATGGCACCCGGCTCGAAACGCCTGGAAGGTAGGTAGGTAGGTATGTGAGGAAGCAGCGGAGGCGCGCACACGTGCAAGATGATTGGGACCGTAAGGAGTACGTTGGGAGGCATGGTTTTGGCCGCCGCTACATTCTAATATTACATTAGGCACTGACTAGAGGTGTTCATGTACCGTCCATCTTTTGTGTTGCAGGTTGCATGCACGCAGTTGCAGTACGGTACTCGAATTCAATCGTGTGTCGTGTACTATTGTTCGCACCAATGCCGTACATGTATGTGTCGTGCATGTACGTGTCGTACATGTACGGTATGTTTCGTACACGGGACTGCATGAAGAGTTGGAGACCAGCTTACCTCCAGCACTCCACCCCAGACACCCTGTGTCCGCACTCCAACACAACCTCCTCCGTCACCACCCGCACGCAGCGGCCGCACGCCTCCGCGCAGGTGCGGTCGCAGGGGTGGCCGCACTGCGCGTGCAGCCGGGTGCAGGGCCGCGTGCAGCGCACGTGTGCGTGGTTTCGGTCGTCTGCGTGGCAGCGCCTGCAGCAGCAGCAAGGGGCGAGAGCGAGGCGGAGGAACACAAGAAACCATGGAACAGTTGAAGCGGTACAGCTGCGTTGTTCCCCAGGGAGGGGCAGCTAAGCTGACAGCAAGAGAGCGGGTGTGTTGCAAAGGGAGACCCGATGTCCGCAGAGGGCGGTATACCATGCTCCCGCACACAGCGCTCACCTGGGGCAGGTGTGGCCGCACGGCAGGGCCTCCCCGCAGGGTCGCTGGCAGCCGCCGTCGCCCGCCAGCCGCTCGAAGTCCTCGGGCTCGTGGATCTCCGTCTCTGCGCCGTGGTTTGCGCACTTGACCTGCGTTGCCGCAGTTAAGGAGTTGTTGATTGGTTGGTATGGGTTTGATTGGTGGATCATATCGGTACCTTCCACTGTTGCAAGCAAGGCGTCGAACAGGAGAAAAAGAACCTGCTTAGTGTATGAATGACGTGCAGGAATACGGGACGTGATGTCGTACCTTATCGTACCTGCACGGCCCCACTGCATGCGTGTGCGCCTACACCCTACCTTGATGCACGGCCCCACGCAGCCATCTCGTTCCATCATGTCCAGCACCTCACACCACATCGCCGCTCCGCTGCCGCCTCCACCTGCTGCTGCCCCCCGCGACCCACCGCCGGCCCCCTGCTGCTGGCCGCCGCTGCCCCCCGCAGCAGCCCTCAGCGTCGCCGCACTGCCCAGGATCACCATGCCATGCTTGGCGCGGCTGAGCATGACGTTCACTCGGTTGCGCATGGACAGGAACCCAATCTTGCCCTCGGGGTTGTTGCGGACCGTGCTCAACAGCACCACGGTAGCCTCCTCGCCCTGGGGGGTAGGGATGGGAGAAGAGGGATGGGGCTGGTGCAAAGGGAACGTAATAGGGACGTAACGATGGCAAGCGCTAGCCATAGATAGGCTAGCGGCCGGCCAGTGAGGAAGAAGGTCTACTAGAGCCCACTAACCCACTAGCTGCCTCAAGTTACGGTTCTACGGCACAACAGTACGACACCAGAGCTACACGCCCTCCCAGTACGACAGCAGAGCTACACGCCCTCCCAGTACGACAGCAGAGCTACACGCCCTCCCAGTACGACAGCAGAGCTACACGCCCTCCCAGTACGACAGCAGAGCTGCACGCCCTCCCAGTACGACAGCAGAGCTGCACGCCCTCCCAGTACGACAGCAGAGCTACACGCCCTCCTAGCCGCACCTGGAAGTTGTCCACGGTAGCCACCCGCACTCCCTCACGCATGGACACCACTCGGGCACCCTCCGGCAGCGCCGCCGTCGTACCAGTAGCTGCACCCGTAGCTGCACCCGTAGCTGCTCCCGTACCGCCTGCGGCCCCACGCGCACGTCTGCCAATGCCGCCGTTGGAACCCCCACCGTCCCTGCTGCCCTCGCGGCCGCTGCTGGCACCCGCTGCTGCTGCTGCTGCTGCTGCTCCTGCTGGCAGCACAGTTACAGTGCCGCCACCACCGCCGCCCTCTTCGCCGGGTGGTCCATCGCCTTGCTGCTCCTCGGCAGCATCATCTGCACGCCAACAACAATACGTTACACATCCAGAGCCACATTTTACCTCATAGCGGCATGTACGCGGGGCCCAGCTCCATTGCCTCCCCCCCTTCCTCTCCCTCCCTTCCTCTCCCTCCCCTCCCCCCTCCTCTCACCCGGTAGCAGCCCCGCCCTGTCCAGCTGCTCCCTGTCCCGCTCGCTGACCACCACCCGCAGCTGCACCGCCTCCAGCGCCCGCCGTACACGGAACAGCTGCCCAACGTACGGCACCAGGATCACCAGGTCCTCTGCATGGAGGGGTAGGGGGGGGAATGGGAGAGGAAAGAAGAAGACCCAATGGGTTTGGGGGGGGCAGGAAGGTGATTGCGGGCGAGTGTGGTTCAAAAAGGGCTGAGAAGAGGTACAGGAGGGGTCGGGATGGGTTTACGGGTCGACGCGCCACGGGTGCTTGGGAGGTGCTTGGAGTCGCTCTGCCCAAACCCACCCACCTAGCTCCACATCCACCTTCTACCTGCACCTCCACCCGCACCACGCCTCCCCTGCCCGCCACAGCCCCACCCCGCCTTCCTATCCTCCCCCACCCACCTGGCGCATACCCCTGCAGCAGCAGGTGCCGCGCCAGCGCCACCACGTATCTCGCCTCCCAGTCGTTGCTCTTGGAGCGCTCCTCGCCGCTTGCGCCGCCGCCGCCGCCCTCGGGGTGCGCGTGGTCCAGGAAGAGCAGGCTGGCGGAGAGGCCGCGCAGAGGCGGGTAGGCGGCCACACGCGGGTGGTCGCGCAGGGCGGGGTACAGTGGCACTCGGATGAGCCTGTCGGGAGAGGGAGGGAGGGAAGGGCAAGGAAGGGAGGGAAAGAGGTGGAGACGATGAGTGCAGCAGGACTCTAGCGTCCGTCGCAGTGCGAGAGGAAGCAGCATGGAGCGGCAAAGCAGGGGGGAAGCCGGGAGGACCCTGAAGGGGGTGAGTTAGAGCTGTCGTACATCGCATGTCGTACATCGTACGCTGTACGTACCTGCTGATTTCAGGCCGCATGCGCCGCTGCTCCTGCAGGGTGGACACCGGCAGCCCGCCGCCCCCCCACCCGCCGCCGCTGCCTTCGCCCTGCCGCACCAACCGCTCGAACAGGGACACGTCCAAGTCGAGACCCCTGAGGTGCATGGAAAGGCAGCCACAGCGAAAACAAAACACCATACGTGTTGAAGGGCAAAACAACTGCCGAAGCAACCTGCCCTACATCTCACCTCTTAGCTCACCCGCCCTCCGGCATCGCCCCTCACCTGGACGCCGCCCTTTGCCTCCTTTCCCCTCCCCTTTCCGCCACCGTTGCCTCCCTCCCGCCTCACCTCCCCACTCCCCACCCACCCCCCTTCACTGGCTCCCCACCTCTCCCCCCTCATCTCACCTGCCCGACATCGCCTGCAGGTCGTACTCGTTGGGTTTGGGTCTCAGCTGCTCGTGGTCCCCCACCAGCACCAGGTGCTCCACGCAGCGGGACAGACACACCAGCACGTGCGCCTCGAACACCTCCGCAGCCTCCTCGACAAGCAGCACCTGCAGGTGGGGTGGGGCGACGTGTACATGGGTTGCATGGGGGCGTGTGTGCGTGCATGGGGGTGCCAGGCGCGCATATGGATGGCATGCACCTCATGGGCATGCAGACAGGCTCGGTGACCCCCTTCGAAGACACCCAGGCTGCTGACCCTCCTAAGGACCCGCCCCGCTGGGCTTCTTCGCCGCCATCACCCTCCCTTACATATGACCCAGGCTGCTGCCCCCGCCCCTCCCTTCCTATGGTCTGGAATGACCTACCCCAGCCCCCCTCCAGTCAAGGCCCCCCCCCGCAAGCACCATCCCCCCCCCCACGCACCCTGGGTTTGATCGCCGCCACCAGGTGCTGGTGCCGCGCCACCCCGCTGGTGGTCATGCCCACCACTCGGGCGGCACGCAGGGTCTCCAGGGCCGCCTGGTCGTACTCGGCCTGGGGGGGGGGGGGTAGGAGTGGGGGGAGGGAGGACATGGAGAGGAGTGGGGAAGGAGTTGGAGAGTGAAAGGGGAGGAGAGGTGGGCCGGGGGAAGGGAAGTGGAGGATGAGGGAGGATGAGGAAGAGGAAGACGCAGGGCTGGAGCGTGGGGGAAGGAGTAAATGGGACGAGCAGCATGCCAGCTCTCATTTCCAGCTGCTGAAACCCTACTTTTCGTTATTACCAGAGACTTCTCTTCCATTCTCTTTCGCCCGAACCCCTCCCCCGTTCGCCCCCCTCCTCCTCACACACCTGCAGCTCCCGCTGCACCCCCTCGTACGCCTGCTGCAGCTCCCGCACCCGCTCCAACAGCTCCAGGAAGGGCAGCCGCCGCAGTACGGAGCCGTACAGCAGCCGCCGCTCGGGACTGTCCGTACGTGTGTGTTTTCGGCAGTGGGGGTGGGGGTGGGGGTGGCGTGGTGGGGGTGGAAGGGAGGAGGACAGATGGGCTTGCATGGGCAACCTCAGAAACAACAACAGGCTCGTCTTAGGGAGTGAAGTGGCTCCTGGGTAAGTCGCACACTCGCCGTCACTGCTGTAGGTTCGTGTCTACATTGGGTATCTACATTCGGTAGGATAGGTAGGTAGGCAGGCACCCCACGCACCCGCCCGCCCACCTGCTCATGCCCCACACGTCCTCCTCCCGAAGCAGCTCCTGCAGCGGCCTGCAGCGGGCCGACATGGCACCCACCTCCGCGGGCACCGGGACAGGCGGGGGAGGAGGCGGCGGTGCAGGTGCTGCTGCAGCTGCACCACTAGGCCCAGCGGCACGCGATGGGCCGCCGGGCGAACCCCCTCGCGCCGCTCCTGCGGCAGCCGCAGCCGGAGCGGCAGCCGCGTCTTCCGCCATTGGAATGTCCGACTGTCGCTGCTGCTGCTGCTGCTGCTGCTGTGGTAGTGGTGGTGGTGGTTGCGGGGAAGCAGCAGCAGCAGCCCGCTCCGTCCCCGCCGCCATTTCCGGCTGCCGTACCAGTCGCTCCAAGGCGGCCCGGTACGCCCTTTCAGCTGGAGTCATGGAGCCCTCGGGTGCCGTCCCTGCCGCCGCTGAGGTCGCCATGTCACCGCCGCGTCCATCATCACCACCGCCACCGCCACCGCCACCGCCAACCCCACCCCACGTCGCAGCCAGCTGCTCTAGACGCCGTTGCTGCTGCTGTTGCTGGTAGCTGGCTGGCTGTTGCTGCTGCCCCTTGTTACTAGCGTTGGGTTCGCCGCTGCCTCCTCCTCTTCCATGGCCGCCGCCGTCGCCAACCATGTCAGCGTCATCATCACCATCGCCGCCGCCGATGACGTCATAGGCTGCCGGGAACTCATCTTCGTTTCCCTCATCCGCATTATCCTCATCTTCGTCCTCAATGATGCCACCTGCGGCTGTGTCATCAGTCATCAGTCATCAGTCAGTTGCAAATAAACAAAAAGGGCGCAGGATTGTTGGAGCTAGAAGTATGGGTCACCTAGCACGCAGCCGTACACCTGGCAGATTATTCAGTTAATCTACAAGCAAGGTAGCAAAACGACAGTAACTCCAGACAATTTAGCAGCCTTGGCATATTGAAAGCCTCAATCCATCCCAACCTCCCAACCAACCCCAACAGCCCCAGGCAACAGCAAGGCACGTACCCCGCCGCTCCTCCGCCGCCCTCCGCTCCTCCTCAAGCACCACTCGCCCTCGCTGCCAGTCCAGCCCCGGATGGCCCACCAACCAGTCCTCCGACACCAAGTCGCTGTGACGCTTCCTCTTCTGCTGCCGCCTCTTCTGCCCGCGCTTCTTGCTACCGGATGCAACCTGCCATCCGTCAGCACCGTCCTCCCCCTCCATGGCGCCGCCGTCGGTAGGGATAGTGATGACGTCATCGTCGTCAATGATAAGGCTGGCGACGTCGGCGTCTGTGCTGCCGTCGGCCGGCTTGCGGTTCCAAGGCCGGCGGCCTCGGCGAAAGGAGTCGTACAGGTTGGGATGGCGGGCGTTGAGCAGCGGCCCGAGCTCCTCCCACGTTAGAGGCCTATGCCAAGGGCAATACCCACGGAAATCAACATGCGCGTCCAACAACATGGCTATGCACCCACTTACAACAGGACAACAAGGTTAAGCACGCTGCCTTGTCACGCATATCTGTTGATCCTCTCAGCAGCAGCCCTCCTCCGGCCTCCTGCTGCAGCCCACCACCACCACACCGCATTCCCGCCCCGCTTGCTCCGCCACTGCAGCCATACCTGAGCTGCGACGCTGCGGCCTGCGTCAGCCGTGCGTTGAGTCGTTCCGCCTCCTTCTCCAGCTCCGTGCTCCGCTTCATGAGGGCAGCTACTCGGTAGCCGCCAGCCTGCCGGTGCGGCGTACGGCATTTTTTGGGCTGGTCAATACCGGTATACCGGTATACGCGCGTAGATAGAGGGCCGTTATCATGCCTCGTCTTGCCGCCTCCGCACGCACGGAGGGCCTCACGTGCACGCAGCCTGCCGTACACCAACCCGCTTCCCCCCGTACTCACCCTGTACTGCAGGTTCCGTAGGTTGTACGGCTCCAGCTCCTCACACCTGACACATAGGGCGGGTGCGTGGAGGAAGGCACGGGGAAGGCAGCGTCAGGCAAAGGGATCTGACACCGTATGTACGGCACCCACGCACCGATGCTGACCAACCTGCCCACCCTATAAACACAAGTACGGTACCACAACACGGCGACACTACGGTAGCTCACCGTACCAGCAGCACTATCCCAACTTGTTGCGTCATCCAGCTAAAGGCTGGACTTATTCCCAAGCAGCTCTAGCTGCTGCTGCTGCTGTCTATACATGGCAAGCTGACAAGCCCTACAACCCTCCCGCTCCGCAAACGTTCATCCCAAACCTTCAGCCCCCCCCCTCCCTCACTACTCACTTGCTGCTGCCGCCCACCCGCACCAGCCGGGAGGTCACCCCCGCCGCCAGCAGGCCCATCAGGAAGGAGTCCAGCGCGTGGTTGGTGAAGCACACCACCAGCAGCGGACCGATGTCGGGCGGCGCAGGCGGGGGGTTGCCCGCTGCTGCTGCTGGCCGGGGGGGATCAGGTAGGACCGTAGGAGCAGCATCCGCATACAAGGTAGGGCAGCACATCAGCAAATCATCAGCTCAAGATTGTGGAAGTCGTGAATAACGGTCAGTTGAGGGACCAAACGAGGCCTGCATGGGAGCCACAGACGGCCCATTTTGGTGGGGATACACATCGCCTGGAGAGGGCTATTAGCTATTAATAAACCCATAACCCTTACCGGCCAGTTTTCTAAATACACGCACCGACGCACGCACCTGATGCAGCTGCAATTGCGGCCGCAGGGGCTGCCGCCTGCTGCCCCACATCGCGCACTATCCAGTCCGGCAGCCGCGCTTCCTCCTCCTCTCCGCCCCGCTGCTGGGTCCGGAGTTGCCGCATGTTGCTGCCTGGAAGCATGTCCTCTGCGTCCTGGGTGAAGTGGTTGCGGGTGTTGCGCAGCAGTACCCTCGCCAGCATAACACCCAGGAAGGTCTTGCCTGGGGGGCATAATAAGGCATGAGTGAATGACAGGGAGCGAGTTGTACGGGCATATTCGTAAGGCGTATACTAAAACATGGGCCGCTAGCAAACGCATATGCTGCAACTCTGCAACTGCAACTGCATATAGCGTGCTAAATTCATTAGTATTCCCTAGCTTGTTATTATACCTGTTCCCGGGGGGCCCTGCACTACCGCCACCTCCTGGCACAGCGACGCCCGCAGCGCCTCCGCCTGCGCGCTGTCCAGGCTGCTGGCCGCCAGGAGCTCCCGGAGGGGGAACTGACCCGTGGGTCGCGACAGGTCCACAGTTGCCAGCACTCGCAGCACCCTGGTGGACAGATGAGGCATTTCGGATTGGGGGGAAGAAACCGCCGTGTGTCGGGAAGGATATATGTTTGTCGAGGAAGTATGTATTGGTATCAACAACGGACAAACAGACAGGCGGCAAACCAAGAGGCAACCAAGGCAGGACAACTTTCATGCGGCCGCAGCGCTGGCGGAATGCCGGTTCCGATACTACCTTATTGATAAGACCACACACGCACATGCGCGACCCACTCGCAACCTTCAGCACGTACACCGAGGTAAACTACCCATCCACCCATGTCAACTGCTGCTCGCTCCCAGCCCCCCACCTTGTCCGCTCAGCCTCCGGTAGCGCCAGCACCTTGCCCCGGTCCGCCACATGCCGCAGGTCCACCAGCGGGTTGTCTGACCAGTAAGCAGGCAGCAATAGCTGCTGCTGCTGCTGCTGTTGGGGCAGCAGCGGAGACGGCAGGGACGACCCGCCAGCAGCAGCAGCAGCAGCGGTGGTGGCGGTGCCGCTTGAGGGCGGCTGCGCTGCATCGTCTCCCCCGCAGCCCGGAACCAGGTGGCGAGCTAGAGGGATGGTTGAGATGCCCTAGCGAGCGGAGAGGGGGCAAGAGGGACAGCACAAGCCGTTGTGTGTACATTTAAATAGGTGTGTTTTGCATGGTGTTCAACCTCCTGATACAGCAAGCATATTGCAGCGCATATTCGCCCCAGAAGCAAGGCATGCATGAAGAAAGCAGGATTAGGGGTAGGCCCATCCACTCATGAGTCTAAGGACCCGCCCCGTAGGGTACCACAATGGTTGTACGTCCGGTGTCCTTGTGTACGGCACATCTCTCAACCAACCTGCAGCGCCCGCAGCACGGGTTCGTAGGCGAAGAAGCAGTTGTGCTCCTGCACCAGCGCCACCTCCCCGCCGCCCGCGCCGCCCTCGCACTCCAGCCAAGCGCCCAGAAGGGTTTCGTAGTCGGCGGGGTTCATCAGACTGGGGCAGGACGGGGGGCAGGACGAGGGTGCGGGCGGAAGGGGTGCGGGGCGGGATAAAGGGCAGGAACAAGCAATTTGAGGCTGCAGGTTGCCACGTAACTGGGTGCACGATAGCGTCTGGTTGCTTGGACAAACCGATAGTCCTCAGAAACACCGCAGTGTCACGGCCTAAGCGCCCGCCACCCTCCACCCTAACCCTACGTACCGTATGCCCACCATGGGCCGCCCCTCCGGTGTGCCCTTGCCCGCCAGCTCCTTGGGATCACGTCGCGCCACCACTCCGACCACCAGCCGAGGCTCCGGAGCCGCCGCCACCGCCTTTGCCTCAACTCCTGCTGCTGCTGCGCCCGCTGGGCCACCACCCACACCAGCAGGTTCCTGCTGCGGTTGCTGTGGTTGCTGCTGCGGCGGCTCCCACCAAAAGCACAGCAGGGTTCCGTGGCTCAGGCGCTTGCTGTTACGCCACCACTCCTCCAGCCCACGCTGGGTGCTGGCGACGCCGCGCAGGGCGGCAGGCGGCTGCTCGAAGGTGACCTGGGTGGGGCGGGGCGGGCCGGGGCGCGCATGCACGTACGGCACATTGACGGTACGTGAAGTCGGATACAGGCGAGGGGGCATGTTTCCCTCAGCCCAAGCCGCTGCATGCCTGGTCCCAACCAACCTTGCCGGTCTCAAAGCTTTTACCCGTTCCGTCAGCCCCGCTGCTCCGGCCCCGCCCACCCACCCCCCCTCCACCCACCTTTACCACCGCCCCATCCTGCCGCGACAGGCCCAGCTCCGCCACCCGCACGTGCCGGAACACGAACAGCTGCGAGCCGCCCTCCAGGTCCACCCGACCACCAGATGCGGCTGCAGCAGCAGCGGCCTGAGCCATCGGCAACACAACGGCTGGGTAAATGCGTGGCTGCGTGGGCATTCATGCGATCAGTTATTGCCAACGCTAGGGAGCCATTACGGCACGTACGCGATACATATCTGCGTGGCAATCGCGTGGCGAGCAGCAACAGCAGGGCAAATATAGACACCCACCAGGTCCCCTGCCTGCTTCCGCTGCTGCCGCTTCTGTTGCTGCTGCTGCTGTTTCTTCAGCCAGTCCAACCCGCCCAGCTTCCTGAAGCGCTGCAGCGCCGTGGCCAGCGGCGCCACCACATCGTGTCGCAGCAGCCGGAAGTGAACCTCCAGGCGTGCACGGTGCGGCTCGTCAGCCAGATGCGGCATGGAGCCGGGCCTGCATGCGGGCGCAGGGGGGGGCGGTGGCAGCCGGCGGCGGCTTGTGGATTGGGGTTTCTTAAACTCCCTTTTTCCTTGAACGACCTTCACGCAGGTTTGGGTTGAGCTTGTGGAAGCATTTTCGGTGATAGGCACATGAAACCGTGTTTCGTGGCTCTGGGGGGGGGTCCGATTGAGACCCTGACACCCCACACCCGACCAGCAGATACCCGACTTCCACCCTCCCTGCTCCCCTCCTTCCCGGCCTGCGCACCTGTTGCTGGGCAGGTAGGGCCAGTGCGGACTGAGCAGCTCCCCGCTGGTGGGCACCACCTGTACGGCGCGGTAATCCTCGCGGTCGTTGTCGTGACGCGGACCGTCGGGGCGCAGGGAGCCTGGAGGGGGGGATGATGAGGGAGCAAAGAAGGGAGGTAGAAGACCATGTGATGAGGGAACGGCGGGGTTAGGTACGGCCCTTACACGCCACCAAGGAGAGAGACTGTGAGGTAGAGGACTAGATGTAGCCTGGTTAGGCAGGTTAAGGCGTACGGCACAGACACACGGGAACACTACAATAGGCGAGTGTGTGTGTCACCCCGGCCAATTTTACAAGGAAATCGCCTTAGTCTGCTGTCCTTATCTGTGCACCCGATCTTTGTATGCACGAAACACCGCCACAGAACAGCTAACACCGCCAGACATACACCTCCGGACACGCACCGGGCAGGTAGTTGGGGTCTCGAAGTCGGTCCGCAGCCGCTCTGTCGCCCCGGCCTAGGCCATGCCGGGCCGCCTCAACCATGCGACGCTGGGTGGCCTCCCGCTCGTCAAGAATGCGGGAGCGGGCCTGACAACAGGAAGGGTCGGCACGTGGTGCGCATACAGCACGTCACATCACATGTGAGGGTGAAGCAGCGATCAACGTACAATTAACGACATCTGCTACAAACTGCTACCCCCCTTACGTTCCTACCTCTCCATGTCCCAACTGCTCCCGCACCGACCGCAGCACCTCCCGCATGCGTCGGACCCTTGCCGACCCACGGGTCACCCCCGACTGCCCGCCTCCTCCTCCTCCACCACCACTGTTGGCCACGTGTTTGCCGTACAGCGCCCCCAACGTGTCTTGCAGCCTCTGCGCGGGTTCCGCCAGCAGCTGCCGGTGGTGCGGCTGCTGGAAGCGCTCCGCCAGCTCGGCCAGCAGCAGCAGCGGGGGCTCCAGCAGATCTGCCCAGTCGGAGGGGCGCCACCACCACTGCAGGATTAAGAGGAATTAAGAAAATATTAGGAGGTTTACTGCAAGCAATAATTGTACTGGTAGGGGGAAGTTGGGGCGGACGTGTGGCGTATTGACGCTGCGAAAGCGGGAAGTGTTTGGTTGGTGCGATGTCTTCAGAACAGCTGCACCGCCGCATGCATGCGCACGGTATTACCTTGGCCGCTCGGTCCCGTATAGCAGCAGGTGCGCCGCCTGGTCCGGCTGATGGCCCCGCTCCTCCTCCTCCTCCTCCTCCCCCCACCTCTCCCCCACCACCTCCTTCCCCAGCATGCGCCGGCACCAGCAGCCCCTCTGCACTGAGCTCCCCAGACAGCAGTCTGTCGTACACGCCAGCCAGCGCCGTGAAATCCATTTGGTGCAGGACAGTGTCGTACAGGGGGTTCACCCAGTGGCTTCGGAGCGAATCTCGAATGGTTTCGTGGCTCAGCAGTCGCAGCAGGGGGATGACCCGTCCAGCCAGCACCTACATTGTTAGGACGGATGGAGAAGATCACAACACACATGCGTGCGGGTATTCCTCTATCTCTGGCGTACTCGTGAACTTCCTGTTTACGCTAGCATGCACGGGCCAGCCCCAGCCATATCGCTAGCAGCAGAAACAGTCATTTTGACCGAGATGATCAATGCAGCAGCAGCCCACCTCAACAGTGACCTTGCCAGCGGCATGTTTCTCCCTAAAATCGTCCAGGCACCTCTGCAAGTGGCGATGCGCGTAGCACTCGCTCGGCCCGGACGCAGCTGCAGCACTGCCGTACAGCCCCGTGCCGCTAGCGGCGCTGCTATTAGGAGCGGCGGCAGCAGCCGGCGGCTGCCACACTCCACACAACATTTGGAGCACGAGCTCCGTTTTGTCTTTGGCTGACTCATCTGACAGTACGGCAATTCCTGACCCTAGCAGGTCCCGAAACTGTGTGACACAAGCGCGACAGCAGGGAAGGGAGGGAACCGCAGATAGCAAGGCAACAGCTTTTGGAGATGCAGTTGGAGCTTGGCGCTTTAACTTTACCGTGTAGGGTGTAGAAAGCACGTGCAAAGGGTCACTTGGCACCGCCTAGCTAACGGTTGCCTATCTAGCAACTGCCTAGCTAGCTTGAACAAGCGCCCAAGACGAGCATTAAGCAAAGTTCTGACAAAAGAAGTCCTTACTTGTGTGCCTGTTGTCAGGTCGCGACGACAAGCAAGCGATTTGAACACCCGGAACGCATTTTCTTCGTCGCCGCGGCGATCAGATTCGCGGCCCGCAACACCCAGATCATGCGAATAGGCACACTTCGCGCCATCACGGCAATGGCCACGTGCGTAAAACTGGCAGAGCCTGCCAGAGGTCGAGCCTCGATCGCCGCCGTTGCGACCCCCCCGACCTCTGGAACCGCCGCGTCCGCCTCGGTTTGAAGCTTCCGAACTATTCCGAGCCCGATCTCCTTGCGGCTGCATGCTAAGATTTTTATAGATTAATGCGTCTTAGTCGAACGCTGCGTTGCTGGTCATGCCAAGCAATGCTATTGTACAATGCTATTGTATTGCGGGGCAGCTTGCATACGAAACGCATTGCCTGTTTCTTGCAGGTCGGTAATTTATGCAGGCCAGCTTAAAACAAAGATTATGATAACGATTCTGATCCAATTATCCTGGGCCGACCCGTATATGACCCGTGAAGCGCCCGTGAGCTTCCGTACGTATTAATCTTGATGCGCTGCACAAGCCTTTATTAATGCCCTCTTACAATCGTTTTTACTTTGGTACATTATCCCTACGCTGGGGTGTTCCAAGGTCGAGGATCGTGGACACTAATGCCCGATCACGTGATTCGTTTCGAGCAACTGTAGAGCAACTATTGCTAGGCTAATACAGCCGGTATTCAAAGTTAAGTGGTCGTCTATTTTAGCCTGTCGATTTCATCCTACTGAAGCGCCTGCAGGGGGCCGCCAGCGTTACGTGTTGCAGCCAGAACTGCCGTCAAAATTGGGCCGTCGACTACTGGGCATTCAACCACCGTCTGCATGATAAGCAGCCGCTAAGTAACTATAAACGCTTACCAAGTAACCTTTCATACCGCAATAACCTTGACGGCATGGCTGACGCCGGAGGTTTGCGGGGAGGGGCTACGTTCCCTGCGTACGGCGGCTACTGCCGTTATGCATGTACGGTGTAGCTGTACAAGACTGACAACAACGACTCTGCAGCTCCTGTCACAGGTGATGCTTGTTTGTTACAATGTTGAAGTCCGAGCCTTCATACGACCCAAACGCAGGTGCTACACGTCACGATCATGACTTCTTCCACAGCGGCGCAGTTGGCACAGATGCGCGCTGACATCGTTGCAAGATAGGCAAGCTCATACGTATATGACCGTATGATGGCAGCGCGTTAGGAGTCGGGGTTAAGTCCAAGTCTCGAAGCGACCGTGACCTGCCGTAAGCCAACTCAGCAACGTAACTTACACCCCATAATCCCCGACACTCTTCGCAGTGTGTGTGTGTTTGGAACTGATCCCCTGGGTCATTTTAGCTTGCCAAGCCATAATGCGGTCATGAGGGACAACAAACCATAAACAACGCCGGATTGGGCCATGGTGACCCATGGGTCGCCTGTTCTCAACTTGCTTTTGAACGGCGACAGCACAGCTCCGCAGAGTCCTTACTGTGTCAGCAGATATCCCCCATTCGGTGTTCACCATGCATCGACGTAAGCAGCACTTCCAGTCGTTTCAAAGCCTGGTTACTAACCAGAAACATGCAGAACATTCTTTTCCGCAACCAACCAACGTCCACCCGGCTCTTCCTATGCTGGGCAAGTACGTCCATGCTTGCATGCAAGCTCTGCTGGACAACCTCCAAGCAGACAGTAGCATGTCTTCCCACACAAATGCAGGCCGCCTCCCAGTCAGTCGTGTTTGTGGAGTAAACCTTGTTAAACCCCAAACCTTGACAACAGCAACAACGAGAGCCAAAACGCGCAGGGGACACAGGGAGTATCGAGTAAGAGTGCATGTGGCGACGAAGGTATGTAAGTGTTATTGTTCTCAGGGCGGCTGGGAGTGGCACAATACACTTGGATAGGATAGGATACCGAGTGCAAGTATGCAGAGTATGAAACAAGGCTATATGCAAGTTGTGCAATTGACCATCCAGCAAAAAAACTGCTGGTAATACCTGGGTCGCATGCCCCCTCACTCTCACAATGGGTGCCAGCCCCAACAGCAATATCACCCTCAAGTACAACATATGCAAAGCCGCTCTGCACGGTACCAAATCTTGCGATTCAAGTCCTCGAAAGCAGGTATCCTGTCTCTTGAGCTGCCGAAAACCCGTCACTAAAGCACACTTAGCTCCCATGTACCGGGCCTGTAACCATATAAGTTTAAAGCGCCGGTGACGAAGGACACTTGTAGTACCGAAATGAAGTTCGCAGGCGGCAGTGCCTCCAAATATGTCAGCAATACACAAACCCAAGGACAGACCACATGCCCCAACAGTTCTTCCGTTTCCCCCAGTTACCTCCGTCTCCTACCTCCGACCCCGAACCCCGCTCTGACTCTCACTTCAAGCCACCTGTCCCGCCATCAACGGCCCCCCGGCTCCGACCCAACCCAAGCCGAGGTTGGTGTCACCGTCCTCCGCGGCGTCGTCCCGGGTTCCGGAGCCACTCTCGTTGAGGACCCCATCCGCATCACCTGCAGGCTGCTGCTGCCGCCAGCACCGTCCGCCACCGCCGGCAGCACCGCCGACTTGCTGGCCCCACCCGCTGCTGCTGCTGTGGCCGCCAAGGGCGCTAGCCGGGAACTCCGAGCCCCGCCTCCTGCTGCCCCTACCAGCTGCTGCGCCGCGTTGGGGTGCCCAGACATGGTCTTCAGCGCAAAGGACGGGCTGTTGTTACCACTGTTACCGCCCAAACCACTCGACGCAGACCGCCCTGAAAGAGATTTACTCCCAGCGGTACCTCCCAAGGTGGCTGATGAGGCGGCAGGGACGCCGGAGATAGTGCGACCTGACAGGGAGCGCCCCTGCGCCGCCAACCGCATGGGTGCGGCGCCCGAGGCGGTGATCTGGCTGGCTCGACTGCCCCGCAGACCGGCCAGCCAGGACTGGCTGCCTGCCATGGGGAGAGCTGCGCGGGCCAGCAGGCGCACCAGCCAGGAGAAGGGGATGGCTCCCACGCCGATGGCGATGCATGCGCCCCATTCGGGACCGTTCAGGGGCTCCACCTGCCGGGATGTGGAGGGGAGGAGGGGTGGGAGTGTGGAGGGGTGAGGGATGGGAGTGTGGAGGGGTGGGGATGATACGGCATGGGCGATGTGTTGCTGGCATGTAGGTATGTCGTGGGAGGGGTTGATGGACCGTTAAGTGCATGGCGGGGTGCAGACTGCGTTGTTCCCGGGCTCTCGCTGACACGTTCATGCATCCCGTTGACATGCACCCTCATTCCGTCCCACACGTTGTTAAGGATAAGATGAATGAGAGGCGTGTCCTTTCGACGCAAGATTGCTCTTTCAACCAGTAAAAACCGGCAGGTCACATTTCTCCCTCCCGCCTTCCTTTGAAACCGCTATGAGCCATGTCGTACCTTAAAAACGTACGACACGGGCGTCTGCATGATGATGACCTGTAGCGCCGTGATGAGTACCATGATTGTGTTGAAGACATGCGAGTGGCTGAGCCCCTTGAAGAAGTTCATTTCCAGCCCGATACGGCGCGATACAAAGGCGTTAGCAACCTGCAAAACAGAGCGCGTGTCGGCGGGTGAATGATCATTTGGTTGAGTAATACCGTACAAGACCTACCGCGGGCAACGTTCGTGTTCCGTCTGATCCCGTCTGGCCAATACAGCACAGGGCAAACTGCCTTTTAACATGCCAGCGGCCCGTCCGTCAAAAAGCCAGCAACTAGGCAGCCCACCTGAGCCAAAATGAAGGCATTGAACAGCACCGACAGCGCCGGCTTGTAGCTCTCCATCATGTCCCTGTCGTACGCCTTCTCCATGTCCTTCTGGGCTCGGAGCAGCTCCTCGTTGCTGTGTCGTGTGAAGGTATGAGGTAAGGGACGCAGGAAGGGAGGGCGGGGCGACACACGACGCAGCGGTAAGGAACGGCGCGGTGCAACGAATAATGGTAAGTCAGTCCAAGCGGTGCACAGGGGTACCGCCGTCATGTACAGCAGGAAGCCTGCGGGGAGACGGCTCCCGTGCACACAGCCTTCGTTTGCAGCACGCGTCACACGCCGCACGATGTGTATAAACAGAAGGCATAGGTCACGCGTTGTGCTCCTACAGGACATGCAGAGATGCGTGCGCTTACAGATCACGCAGCAGGTGCTCACAGTACCGTAGATACCGCACCGTACTCACAGGGGGCAGCTCTCGCTGGACGGGTAGCCGATGCACACTGCGGCCTGCTGGTCGGTGGGCACCGGCAGGAAGCGGTTGGAGCTGCTGGTGCTGTTGTGGGTGGTATGGTAGGTGACCCATGGGTCGAACAGCGGGCAGAGGAGCGTTTCCCGCTCCAGGGCGCCCCGCGGGAAGCCGCACCAGGCCATGATGCCGCACAGCTGCGTCTGCATGGTGGCGTTGAAGCCCTGTGGGTGGGAATGGAAGGTGGGAGATGGGCGGGAAATGGGTTACAGCTAGAGTAACGGTTACAGTCTGCAGGCGTGTACAGTCTGTCCGTACGAGCAAGGAGGCCACTATGTGGAACAAACTCAGTCCGAGTCAGGGCCCCCTACGGGCCCCCGCCGTTAAGGGGGTCTGCGCAGGTGATTCCTGATTAGGCATGCGGGTCTCCCATACACGGCTCAGGTGGCTAGCCAGGGTCTCAGGGGGGTTATGGCTTCCCTCATGGACCTACTGCTAAAGCGCAGGGAACCCTCGCTGGGAAAGAGGGAAAACAAGTCATGTGACCCCAGAATTGAGCTGCAAACACACGTACAAGGCAGTACATACAGGCAAGCACACGCGGCGTATGCCAAGCAGAATACCAACAGCGGTTGCCACCGACCTTGTCCTCCAGCACGCCGACGCAAGAGTCGCGGTAGTACTCGTCCTGGCCGATGACACTGCGTGCGTACGGCAGTTCGGGAATACGACCGCACATCAGGAAACTACGACGCCACTCATATGTGAAACATGCAACTGCACCAAAGTCTAAGAGTTGGTAACGGTATTACGGACCTTGCTTGGCACAGCCGATGCGGCGACGACTATGCATGCCCAACACCCGCACACCCCCATGCCAGCAAGCAAGGTGTGCGACACCCCTTCTCCATCTCCCACCGTCCCCTGCCATATGTATGCCCCAAATACACACACACACACACACTGCAACAGCTACAGCCGTACAATCCGTACTTCCGTACAACCCTTACTGCCGTACAACTCACGCGTAGCTGTCGATGACTCGCGGCAGCCCGTACAAGCAGGCGAACAGCCAGAAGAGCTTGTACATCGCCGCCACCAGCATGTGCATGTACATGAGGCCGGTGATGATGGGTTCGGAGCGCCCGTGCGGCTTGTCAGCCAGCAGCTCCGGGTAGGGATCCTCCGTGGCAAGTGCCAGAGCAGCAAGGGTATCCCTGGAGGTGATAAGCCGGGAGAGGGGGCAAAGAAGGAGAAGAGAAGCAGGTTGGTGATGATGAGTGGGACGTGGGGGTAAAGAGGACAGACGGGGTGGCCATGTGTGACAAGGCGGGTATGGCAGGCTGCGTGGGGAGGGGGTGTTGAGGGTTAGGTGGAGTTTGCTAATTATGGGGATCCAAGGCGGCTATTGTAGGGTGCTGACCGACCAACAGTGCCTAACTAGCCTGGGCTGCAGCTACCGGCAGCAGCGACCCCACGCACATGATCATGTTGACCCACAGCAGCTGCAGTACGTTCAGCGGCGGCACTCCGCCGTACAGCGCCCCCACCGCCGCTGAGATCATGGCCACCAGGTTGATGGACAGCTGGAACACCAGGAACTGCGTTGCGCGTGCGTGCATGGGAAGGGCGGGAGGCGGGGAGGGGAAGCCAAAGGAACCGAGGGAGCGAGTGAGGGTGAGGGGCTACATTGAGGGGCTAAGGTGCGGGGTGATTCCCATGCGCGTTCAGTGCGACTCGGACGCCTTACCCCTCCTCGGTTCAGTGCGGCCCCAGTTGCATGTTCCCCCAACACACCCACCTTGCGAATGTTAATGTAAACGCAGCGGCCCCACAGCACAGACTTGACGATAGAGGAGAAGTTGTCGTCCAGGATGATGATGTCAGCAGCCTCCTTGGCCACCTCCGTGCCTGCAAGGGGTGGAAAGGAAATGGAAGGACACGGGGAAAGTGGGCCAGGGCTGAGGACACGCATGTCTAAATGACATGAAGAACTGCTGCTGCTGCTGCTGGATGGAGGTTGCCGCTGTACTGCGGATGCTGCTGCTGCACACGTCTCTTGCCGATTCCCATTGCACGCTCCATGCCATGTATCCAAGTCCGTGTACTGTACACACGGCCTCACCAGCAATGCCCATGGCAAGTCCCACATCGCTCTCCTTAAGCGCGGGCGCATCATTGGTGCCGTCACCCGTCACCGCCACCACCTCGCCCTGCTTCTTCAGCAGAGACACCAGCGTCAACTTGTCCTCAGGTGAGGAGCGGGCAAGAACCTGTTGCGGTGAGGTGGAGTAAAGAGAAAGAAGCCAACCTTGTAACAAGAGGCTCCACCATAACATACCGGTAGATGCGCATGGGTTGGAGATACGATATTAAGGGCACAGGGTTGTGATGGATGCAGTTGGGTTGCTAATCAAGTGCTTCGCTCGGATTGTCGAAACCGGGGTGGGTAGGGAACGATCGAAGGATTTACCAGGGTGCGATGTGGTAAAAGAGGGGGCGTGTACGGCAGGTACGGTAGGCAAGAACCAGATCTCAGATATCCTCACCCGCAGTTTAGGCAGCAGCGGAATGAGATCCCCCGCGGGCATTCCGCGGAACACGGGTCCCTCCATGGCCATGCAGTCGTCGGTGAGGATGCCGCACTCGCGCGCAATGTGCTTTGCGGTGTGAATGTTGTCGCCTGCGGACACATCCGTATGGGGACACCGCCGTTAGGGGAGGGAGAAGGATAAGACCAGGGGAGATAAACAGGCAGACACTAATCGCGTGTGCCACAGGGCAGGGGAATCGAAAAAGAAAGCTAGGCCGGTGTAGGATGAAACTGTCGACAAATGGCGATTGCTGATGCATGGGGTCGTGCCATGTGTCAACAGCGCCGTGTGCAAAACCGTGCCGGCTCGCACAGCCATCCATACTCCGAATCCGCCCATGCATTACGAAGCAGCAGCGCTCACCTGTCACCATGCGCACCACGATGCCCGCCGCCTGGCAGGTCGCCACCGCTGCGGGCACCTCGGGTCGAACCGGGTCCTTAATGCCCACGATGGCGAACGCGATCAGGCCGTTGTCAACCTGTGTACGGAGTATACGACAGCAATCCCAGGGAATAAGTCATGCGGCAAGGAGCATCGCGCGTCGTACATTGACGTCGTACGGCAGTGTATGCTGGATCTTACCTTGTCAGCATCCTCGAAGAAGTCCGGGGGACGCTCCGGATCCGTCGCCGGGTAGTCTCGGTAGCTCAGGCAGATGCAGCGTAGGCCCTGTACGAATGTACGTCAGATGCACGTTTACAGCAGTTTACAACATTCACGTTCAGAATGAGCGTACGTACGTATGGAAGAAGCATAAAATACGAAGCAGGATGGGAGACTGGCAGGGCAAACGAAGTAAAGGCAACAGCCAGGCGCCCGTGTTGAAACGTGTACTTTACCTCCGGCTCACCCTCTTAGCCATGCTTGTGACCAGGGTGATCATTTCCTCCAGCTTGCGGGGGTCCATGGGCTCCGTACTGCCGTCCGGACGCAGGAGTGCCGTACACCTAGACAGGCGGGTTACAGGGGCATACAGCGGAAAGTTAAGAGACGCTCTGTGACGTGCTGAAGGCGTTATGGCTTTTGCATAAGACCACGTTTGGGTCGCATGCACCCATCGTAACCCAGCATGCAACCAAGGCATGGGGTTGGTTAATGACATGATCAGGCGGTATGGTCTGGTGGCTAGGCAACAAGGGAAGGCTTGGCATGGCTAGGTATGAGCACCGCTTATGCAGCGGTCCAGCCCTGCAAACCCTGCAACAGCTACCGGTTCCCATCGTTCCAACAGCGCCCTCACCTTCTGAGCACCCACTCCGCAGCTCCCTTGTTGTACAACCGCAGCTGGCCCGAGGGCTCCCGCAGCAGCACGCTGGCCATCTTGCGAGCCGAGGAGAAACCGTACAGCTGCAAAGTGAAATGTAGGTGAAGACGGGGTTTGGAAGAAGGGCCGCGGGTGGGATGGTGTCGTCCAAGTATACATGAGCAAGCAGTAACAAAACATCTTGCCAACGTGCCTTTGTCGTACGCATTGCAGTCGAAGCGCGTGTGTCGTATATATATTAGCAGGTACCTGCTGCCTGCACGTACCTGCACCTGATCCGGCTCCCGCTCCTCCCGCACCGTCACATAGTTGATGCCCAGCTTGCGCAGCAGCACCAGCAGCGCACATTCGGTGCGATTGCCCACAAAGTTGATGACGCCGTTATCCTACAGCAGCAGGCAGTGGTGCGGCCAAGGAAAACACAACACAGCAGGTGCGCTGGCTGTTGCAGTTCTTGCCAAATTGCCGCCAGGGACATCCATGCACCCATCGCCGGCTCCCATAGTATACCTTCAGTTCTTATACTACAATTCTTTCCTCCTCGCTTTCATTCCCCACAGCAACCACGCCCACACCCTCCATGCGTTTACAACCTCCTACAAGCTGCAACACAGCGCGGTCCTATCCTCCTCAGTCTTCAGTAACTTACTTTGTCTTCCAGGAAGGCCTTATTGTTCAGCGCGCAGTTGTACTTGAGCAGATCCAGCACCAACGGACTCAACTGCTCCGGCTGCGGTACACTGCCGTACGACGTGCCCGCGAACCAGCCCTCCACCACCGTCATGCGGTTCTCCGTCAGGGTGCCGGTCTTGTCGGAGCAGATGGCGGTGGCTCCGCCCATGGTCTCGCAGGCCGACAGCACACGAACAAAGTTGTTGTCCTTCATCATTTTTTTCATCTGCGCATGGCCCATGTACGGGGGGGTAGGTAGGATACCGGTATCGGAAATTAGTAAGAGGGAGGCTAGACCAGGACAGCACATGGTAGGTTGTTGGCACAGGAGGCATGCCCATGCGAGGCATCCAATGCGGCACGCGCGTATATTGCAGCGTTTGCAGTTGTAGTGCTGCTGAGCCATGGCGGCGCGTTCGGCGCCTCATATGAACAAGCACCCCACCCATGATCAAAGGTACGCATGCACACGCAACACAGTAGTGCCACATCGCATCAGAAGTTCAAGGGCTGCAGTCCAAAGCTCCTACCGAGTAAGCGAGGGTGAGAGTGACGGCCAGCGGCAGTCCCTCCGGAATGGACACCACGGTGATGGTGATGGCGTACAGCAGGAACTGCAGCGGGCCGTTGTCATTGATTTTGCTCACATCGCCGCCCTTGTTTATGATAAGCCACCTGGTGATGATGATGAGGAGAAGGAGGAGGGAAGGAGGAGGAGGAGGGCGACGCGATAGGCAAGGCAAGGTAAGGAGCGAGGGACAGGTGAAGAGATGAGCAGGTGCGGAAAGGATGGGTGATGATGAGGGGCTGTTTTTGTCAGGCAGCAGGCGAGCAACCGTTTCCCCATGTGTCGTGTGCTGCCAAGTCCTACCTGTCCACACCGCCAACCCGCCGGATTCTTATGTCTTCATCCCTATACCCCTATATCCCTATACCCTGCTGCCCCGATCCCCTCCCCCGCTTCCTCACTCACTTGATGAGCAGCGCCAGGAAGCACACCACCGCCACAAGCACGCCCATCTTGGACACCTTGGCTGCCACGTCCGTCAGCTGCTCCTGCAGCGGCGTCTGGTCGTCTCCTGCCTCCGAAACCAACATGAGCGTTTTGCCCCACTGACTGTTCACGCCCACCGCCAGCACTAGCATGTAGCCGCTGCCCTCATTGACCTGCAGGTCGGAGGCAAGATGGAGGGCAGGAGGGGGTGCCGTGGTCGGGTTTAACAGGCCCAAAGCCTACCCAAACCCGTCATCCCATCCTCCCCGTCCCTTACCCACCCACCGTGGTGCCCGACCTGACCCACGGGTCATGCTCCGCGTCCTTCTTAATCGGATCACTCTCTCCCGTCAGCGACGCCTCATCCAGCACCAGACCATGTGCCTCGAAGACGATGCCGTCCGCCACCACCTTGTCTCCGGTGTCCAGAAGCAGCACATCGCCCACCACCACCTCGGTGTTGGGGACCAGCACCTGCCGGCCTCCTCGCCGTACCTTGACGTCGATGCTGTCTTTCAGCGCGTTGAGCTTCATGAACTGCAGCTCCTTGGAGTAGTCCTGACCCGCACCTGATGCACAAGATGAATCATGGTGCATGGAGGCAAAGAATAAGTTTGAGGATCTCTGGTGTAAAGCAAGGGACCTAAGAATGTGGGGAAGAGAGAGAACGAACGAAGCTACTTTGAAAGGGCCGCTAGGATGGGAGAAAGGAGCCGGCTGGGCGCTAGATGCTCAGGAGCTGGGAGGAAAGCAGTGCACGGCGGCATGTGGAGAAAGGCACACGGATATGGGCACGGTTGGACCTGGCCCCGCCGGGAACAGCGACCGCATACCGCGCAGTTCCAAGCACAGCAGGAGCAAGAGCAGCTACGGAAAGTTGGAGGTCCGAAGGGCTGAAGAATGGCCAACCGACAATTGAATGCAGCCAACGGCAGCGGCTGCTCACCGATGAATATCACGATGAGGGCCGTACCCAGCACCGCCACGCCCTCGGACCAGCCGTGATGCGCTCGCTGCTCAGGTACCGCCGCGCCCACGACAATGGTGATCTGCAGGCACACGCCATCATGCATGCCTGTTTTGTTACCAAGCGTCATGCGGAGGGAGGAATCCTTGCAGTTGCACCATGCATGGGGAGGAGCTGCAAACGGAGATGTGACGGCGGGCGTCGCAGCGCAGGGAACCCCCACCAGGACCTCCTAACAGTTCATCTCTGCAGGCTTACAGCCATCTCTAGGACTCCCAATCTATGCGGTGTACACCAGCCTTCCAACCTTCCAACTCAATGCGACATCTATCTGAAACATCCTCCCGCGGCAAGCCAGTTGGCCCAAATAACGATTCTCCGCCCCGCCTACTCCGTCCAAACACACGTGCAAAATCCCGACACGTCCTTCCCCCAGGCCCCGACACGCAGGACCCACCAGCGCCACCACGAGCAGGATGATGATCATGGGGTCCTTCGCCGCCTCCACCAGCATCAGCAGGAAGGAGGGAGGCGGCTTGCCTGCATGCACGTAGGTGGCAGACAGCAGCAGCGGCAGCAGGAGCAACAATGAGCAAGCAGTAAATTGGTGTTAACCCAACGCCCCAGGTTGTAAGCAGGCTCTGCTGTCAGGCTGACCATCAAAAGTGACAGGCGAAGGCCTATGTAGGCAACGCTGACGTGAGGTGCGGATTACATGGTGCAGAGGCGAAGCGTAGCAGACTTACTTGGGTAAGAGTTGGGACCATAGGCTGCTCCCCACGAGCGGATGTTCATGTGGAGTTGACGGATTCGTGCAAAGCGGGTGGGGCCGAAAGCACACAATGGTTAGGTATGCAGCAGAAGGATGCCTGGTTCGCAGAGTGGCTGACCGATAAGCAAGGAATGAAGGACAACAAAGCATGTCGGATGTGTGTGTTTGTGATGGAGCATGCTTGCACGCGCGATGGATGTTGGAGGTCATTTAGGTGTGTTGCAGGATGTGCGGAAAGAAGGTTCGTGCTGCTGTTCCATGCGGAACCACCACCATGCGGGGCTTTCCGTCACCATATTGCACCCCGTAAGTAGCAACGCCCGAAGTACTAACCAGGAGCAACAAACCCCCCCAGCACTGACCTTCTCTGTGTGCAACCACGCCCCCCAGCCCTGCCACTTCGCCTAGGCCTGAGTGCAGGTCAGTGTCGAGGGCTTTAGCCAGGCCCGCGGCCCCGCCCAACTTTGCGAGCTTCTCGCCATCCTTTTCCTGTTATAAACACACATGGTACATACAGATAACAATGGAAAGCACCAAAGGCACGTAGGAAGAGGTCGCTACTCTTGCTTTTGCAAGCAGCGCGTGACAGCAGCACAGTTGTAATACCCGCCTAGTATGCTGCAAGGTCCTCACCTCGTTCATTTTGTATAGTACGGAAGGTAGAATAGGATAAGGGCAGTCAGTGTCCTGGGCCACGCGCTGCATGTCCACTGCCATGGCGCCCGCATCACTTGAAGGTTCAGCAGCTGAAGTCATGGCTCTGTACCCAAGTCAGATATAAATTAACGTAAACTTCAAAACTATGCTATGTAGGTTCGCCGTTGTCAGGTATTGGCGAAAAGCGACTGAATGGAGCTAGGTGCTTTGGCAATCCTCGCACAGAACTCGCGCTTTGATCATTGGCGGTAACGGAGGCTTGGTTTCCTTGACATATGTAGTATTGTAATGAAACTTTCAGTTTCGGTGTTGGAGGTTAGACAGCTCGCGGCGATAGCGCGATAAGCAAGCATATAGGAATAAATTAACGGCCAGGATTTACTGTATACGTGTTCCTACTATAGGCAAGTAAAAACTTTGCTATACCTTGGAAGGGCTGCAAAGCTCTACGCCACAGTCCGACTAATGAAGGTCGTTACCAACCCTACCACATGGCCTGTCCGTCATACATAACCCCACAAGCCCATAGACTTCAACAAATTCTCCCGCTTGCAATATAATTTTGTTGCGTTCAGCAGCATAAGCGCAGGTTACAAGTACCAACACCACCTCGAAACCTTGTGCAACCAGAGGTCGACCGCCTACTTCCAACCGGTGTTAGCAACCAATGTAGAACGTCTTTTTTAGCGTTTGACGGCATGTGCAGAGAAGTCGCGATCTTGCTAGCTGGGTGCTCCGAAGCTGAGCTGATTGTTCCCATTCCTCCAAACGGCTCTTCGCGATTGGTAAAAGACTAAAATGACTGCCTTGTATAGTTCATCTAGGCATTTGCAGCCGTAATGCGCAACTTACGAGTTATTGAACCGCCCCGAATATGAGTATGCTACACGTGTCATTTGCAAGCGCGCAATGCTATCTTTCGCCTAGGAACATGCGTCTTATGTAATACATCTAGCACAGCCATATATGCTTGAGAAATGTCACAGGCACCAGATGCTGCAACACCTGTCATAGTGGGCCTGGCTTTTCTTCCCAAGAAGGTCAGTCTGAAAGGTTTCGTCACATTACTCGGCTTTCGCGCATGCGACGAAGCCTGCCAGTATTGTTTTCCTACGTCCCGAACCATGGCAACACCCTAGTGGACAACATCCATCCCTTGCAGCTACCGCGAGTGCTAACGCCTCAGCTGCGAGTCCTAGCAGAGTCCAAAGGGTTGCGCCTTGTGGCTCTGGACCCCCATGTTCCCTTGGAAGAGCAAGAACCAGGGGGGCAGCGGGCTAAAGGAGCACTGTTAGCTCCTGGGGAACCTCGGGACGGAAGAAGGGAAGCATTTGACGTCATCGTTCACAAGCTGCACGCTGATCCAGGTACGTCACAACCTAGACCCTGATTGCACAACAAGAAAATGGACGACTAAGGACGGAGTTGCTTGTGTAACCGAAGCCTCCACGACACCATCTGCGATACCCTTATACCCGCCACACCGCCACACCTCCCCACTCGCTCCCCCTCATCCTGCCCTTCCTTCTCCCCCGCTGGCGCCCTCCCCCTTCTCATTCGCCCACTCCTCCTTATCTATCAGTCTGGGAAGCCCACCTAGCTCGCTACATCGCCGCCCATCCGCACGTACGGCAACTGGATCCGCCCGCTGCCATACATGCCACCGAGGACCGAGCCGTCATGCTGGCAGGCATACCGCCCGGGGGCCTGCAGCTGAAGCTCCGCCTGCCACAACCACAACCCCAACCACTCGCACAACCGCAACCGCCCCCACACTCTGTACCATCACCTCAGCAGTCGCCGGGGCCGCAGTCAGCGGTACTGCAGTCGCTGCATGCGCGGCCTCGCGTGCTGCCAGGGCCAGAATCGGGTCTGGGAGGTACAAGGATGCAGGGCCCGAGGCTGGAAGCGGAGGTGGCGGTGACGGTGCTGGCGCCGGCTCAGCTGGTGGTGGCCTCCCGAAAGGAGCTCAGGCGGCTGGCCGGCAGTGCGGGGGCGGGGGCGGCGGCCGGTGAGCGGTTCCGCAGGGTTTGTGGTGTGGGAAGGGAGGAGTGGGGGGAGGCCTTGTGTACGGTATCCACATCCCTCGGTACAGCCCTTTTCCCGTCTCCTTCCTACATCGTGCATCACTTTTTTTTTATAAAATTCCAACTTTCCTGCAATCGTTCCTCGCCTGCTGCCGGCCCGCGTTCCCCTCGCCACCCATCCATCTTACAATACAGGCACGCTGGCGCCCCGCGCAAGTCCGCTGCAGCCCCCGTTGCTACTCAAGACCCAGCGAAGCGATGCTGGAGGAACAGCGGAAGGAACCGCTACTACGGCTGCTGCTACTGCCCCTACGGCGGCCCCCACAGCTGCTACCGCCCCTACTGCTGCCGCTGCTGCTGCTGCAGCGGGCTGTGGCGGACCCGCACCTGCCGTACCCGCTTGTCACCGTCTGGCAGTAGCAGCCTGCTGGTCAGAGCTGGAGGCCCTCGGGCAGGAGCTGCAGCTGCAGCGGCCAGCGCAGGGGAGCGCGGGAGGGGAGGGCGGCAAGGAGGGCGGTGGGGGTGATGGTATTGGTGCTGGTAGTACTGCTGGAGGAGGCGAGGGTGATGAGAGCTGGGAAGAAGGGGGCAGCTGGACACCGCTTGTCGTGCAGCAGTACGTACCGCACACGGAGGAGCTGTACAAGGTACGGCATGGGGCTGGTTCTGGTGTGGTTGCATGTCCGCGAACCTAAACGCGCTATGCCCTCTAGTCACCACCGAACTGACCCATGGGTCGACCCATGCCTCCCAGGTCTATGTGCTGGGCCGGCACGTTCGAGTGGAGCGACGCGCATCCCTCACCCTGGCGCAGCTGCGTGCCCTGGGGGGCGGCGCAGCGCGCGAAGGGGAGCAAGCAGCAGCAGCAGCAGGGAAAGGAGACAGGCGGGCGGGAGGCCTTCTGGTGCACAACCTCAGTGCCCAGCCCCAAGCAACTGGCGCCATCAGGGCCCCTGCTGCGTCGGCCGGCGACTCGGACGATGCAGGGCCCGCGATTGCTGCTGAGATGGTGTCTGGTGCGCTGGACGAGCGGATTCTCCACGCAGTAGCTCATGCGCTATCTCAGCGGTTGGGTCTCAGCATGTTCAATTTCGATGCGGTGGTGCCGGTTCCGGAGCACCACGAGCAGCAGCGGCATGAGGAGCAAAAGCAGGACGTCAATGCGGCCTCTCAGAAACAGCAGCAGCAGCAGGAGCAGCAGCAGCGGTTGTCGTTGTTCGTTGTGGACGTCAACTACTTTCCGGGGTACGACAAGCTGAGCGGCTGGGAGGAGATGCTTGTGGACCACCTGCGGGCGGCTGCGGATGAGGCGGTGGCGGCCAGGGGGCTGTCGTTGCCGGGGGTGTGAGCAGCAGCAGCAGCAGTTGCCTTCAGAGGGACGAGGGAAGTGCAGCAGTAACAGCAATGAGAAGGGAGAGGGCGAACGCTTATGTTCAGGATGAGCGCGTGATGTGGGAAGGCGTGTCTCGTGCCATGGGGTTGTGTTTTGGCCGTTGTGGCGTACCGCATGGAAGGAAGAGGCGAGGGCAGTGAAGAACTGGGACTTGTGTTAGCATGCAGCTATACCGGTTATGTGCCGAAGGAGCCGAAGGAGCTGCAAGAAGCTGAAAAGAAAGCTACAGCTGTGCTGTAGTGTCTCGAGTGTGCTGCACCCTTTTGGAGACTACACGGTTGCCCCACTGTTGCAGCCATAATGAGGTTACGAAGTTGGCAAGGGAGCTCGGAGCTTCGGAGATCTCTACGCCTGGAAACGCCGAACTTTGTTGTGCGGCTGAGCACCATTGTCAGCCTGAAACCCAACCACGCATCCATCCATCCGCCCCCCTGCCCAGATCGCCACCCCAGCTCGCCCACTCCCTCTCCTCCTGAAAGCTAAGCATGAGGAACCCCCCCAAACAAGCAGTCTCAGACTCGCGTGCACCTTGGCTCATGCCTGCAACACGACGTCCTGATACGACTCTTATCAACACCCTGCTGTCAAGTATCGGTAGCAGCCCTAAAGCACTCAGCCATTAGGCAACACTCATGGAGCACTCTGGCACAAAATCCTGTTAGCTCTTGCGAAGCACAAAGCGGCTGGAACCCAAGGCAAGAAAGAGGCAGGGGCGGGCAACCCATTCCCATGCCTCCCAGCCTGCCACTCTCCAACTGACTAATACCGCACCATCCTAAACCCGGCATGCACCACAGGTGCCGCCGCCCTTACCGGCGGATGACCCACACATGGCACTTCACAGTCCCTCCTTTATGTAGGTTATGCTATGCCTATCCCAGCCCCGGTCATGCCTTCCCCCATCTACATGGTTGCTATGCAACACCTGCGTTTCCGAACGCCCACCGCGTACCTACAGCCTCATCTCCCTGCCCAGTGAGTGAGCAGTAACAAGCTGCAGGCTTGTAAGGCCCACAGACGAGCCATGCGGGGGCTCATGGACCGCACCCTACCGAGCAGCAGTGTGTGTTTTCCCCTCACCCTCCCCTGTTTGCACCCCATGGCGAAGCCTTGTCATACTGCTCGTCCGTTTTCCTCCTTCCCAGACACTAGAGCTTCAGGTTGTCGTACAGTTTGTCCACATCCTGGTACTTGGCCATGGCTTGCTCGGCTCGGATGCGGCGGGCGGTGTCTGTCGCCACACCCACCATGATGAGCACCGAAGTGCCCGCAAAGCCCCGGAACGCCGTCAGGTGCGTTACCGCCTCCACGGCCGCCGGAGCCGCAGCCAGCGCGCCCAGGAACACAGAGCCCAGCAGACTCATGCGGGTCAGCGTGCGGGTTACGTACTCGGCGGTTTGCTTGCCGGGTCGGATGGCGGGGATGGCGGCTCCCGACTTCTTGAGCTGCTCCGCTAGGTCCTTGGGCTCGAGCTGAAGGGAAGGGAAGAAGCGGAGAGGGTGCAGGGTCGGGTTTGCCATGACCCATGGGTCTCTCGTATTCTTTTCCACACTACCTTCCGCCCTCCGCCTCCCTTTTCCCCTCATCATCCGCTCTCCCTTATACTCCGATTTCCCACTCTCCCCTCCCACCTGCAGGAACGTGTAGTAGTAGTTGAAGAAGACGATGAGCGCCACGTTGAAGGGCACGTACAGCAGCCCCCCAGGTCCCACCGAGCGAGCAAACTCCTCCAGGGAGGCGGAGTCGGTGTAGCGGGCCAGCGCAGCGGGCAGGGCGAGGATGGAGGAGGCGAAGATGAGGGGCATGACGCCCGTGGCGTTCACCTTGAAGGGGAGGTAGGACTGCCGGGCCAGATTGCTGGAGGAGTATCTGTGAGGCAGGGGGGGGATTAAGATAAGTGAACAAGGGGGGCAAGGGGGGGGGCAGGTAAGATCAAACCATAGGAAACCACGGATTGGAGCAAAAAAGGGGGAATGGCAAGGGGGAGAGGGGAGGGAGGGAGCGACGTCAACCTGCGTCTGCAATTCCCCATCCTTACCCAATACCCCTCCCTACCTCCCTCCTCCCTCTCATAGCTGCGCATTGCCTCGTTCAACCCCTCCCCTTCCCTTCCCATCGGTTCCCTTCCCTTCAGCTCCCTCCAACCCCAGGGCCCTCCCCCTCCCACCTGTTGGAGTAGTTGACCGGGATGCGGCGCTCCGCCTCCTGCACGTAGATGATGCCCAGCGTGGTAAGCGCGAACGCACCCGCAAAGATCGCCAGGTTGGCGGGGTCCTCGGACCCGCTCTGAGACATGAGCTGCCCCACGGAGGCGGGCAGCGCGGATGCGATGTTTGCAAAGATGAGCACGCTGGTTCCGTTTCCGAGCTTCAACTCGCTGATGGTGTCGGCGATGTACACGAGGGCCAGGGCGCCGGCCACAAGGGCGCAGCTGCTGCCGGCGAGCCAGGCGGGCGTGAAGTCCTCGACGTAGGGGCGGATGTAGAAGAGCTGCCCCGCGGCCTGGAAGATGGCGAAGGCGAAGGCGAGGAGCTTTTGGTAGTATTGGAATTTGGCGCGGCCTTGTGCGCCCTCGTCGCGTTGGAGCTTCTTAAGCGAGGGGAAGGCGGCTGTGAAGAGCTGCAGGACGATGGAGGCGTTGATGTAGGGGATAATGCCCAGGCTGAACAAGCCGACCTGGTGGGGTGGGATGAGTGAGGAGGGGATGGAAAGAGGTAGGGGCGGGGATTTAGAAAGGAATGGGAGGGAGGAATGAAGAGGTGGAACGTGAGGGTAAGGACGGAGAGGGGCAACAGGGATGAGTTCGCAATTGCCAGGTCGTAGACCAGTTCGCTGTCGTTCGATTGGCCTATGCACTGCAAAAGGTCTGATCACCTTGGAGATGGAGCCGCCCGAGAGGGTGTCAATGTATCCTAGCAGGCCGCTGTTTGTCAAGCTGTTTGCAAATGCATCCACATCCACACCCGGCAGGCGGATGTAAACACCAACGCGACTTAGGAGCAGTAATGCTAGTAGGCCACCCAGTTTCTTTGGAAGATCGCTGTTTAGAAACTCCGCCCAGCTAAACTTGTCATCCTCCATGCTCCCGAGCGAAGAGACAGAAGTGCGCCGGCTGCTTGCGCTTGTGCTGCCAGCATTGCTTCCCGATACTGAAGCATCGCCACTGCTGTTTCGCGATGGACCAGCGGCTGGGACTTGCGGCTTGTCCGCAGTGCCAGGCTCGCTTTCAGGTGAAGCGCGCACTGTCAAGAGCGTTGTTCGCCGACATTGCGCACCGAAGACGTAATTTCTATTAATAACGTTTACATTTGATTTGAATGCGAGCGGAAAGCATGATGTCTTGCCCCTGGCTAGGGTGCGCTGAGGCGCAGAAGCTTGCATACTGCTGCGCTATCCTAACCGATGTTTCAATTGAATATTTGCTTCTATATGTTTGTGTATAACTGTTCGGAAAGATAACGTGTTACAAGGAACAACACGAGGAGGCCCACAGCCCGAGATCAAGTATATTGATGTTTAATAGACATAACGCGTTTCTCACACCGGCGCACCCAATCGAGCGGCCATGCGGAACATGCACGAGTAGGCAAGCGCCACACTTGGATCATGGTAGTTGTACAGCTGCCGTACTCGTGCAAGGCATACAGCAAGGTGCACCAGTAAAAGCCCGCTCTCCAAGGCAAAACACTCCGTCCAAAACGCCTGTAACTTATAGTCAGTCTCCATCACAGGGGAACACGTCTTCATGCTTGGTAACCCCGCCTATGCATCGCATACACCCCTCGCATCCGCACGCCTCGTTATTACACGTTAGGCTGCGCCTTTGGTTCGGTTTGCAGTTTGTCTCAACTGCTACAGGCACACTCCTGGCACGCCCATCATTGAAGCCTTGCAAGCGAAGGCACCAGACGAAGCAATCACCCATAAGACGTGGAGGAATCTTGATAAAGCACGGTGTCGTTCCCACCCTACCAGAAAGCCCGCGCTATACAATGGGTACTATGGAGTACGCGGGAACACCCGCAAACCCACACCAAGCACATCTAACACCACCCCGATACCAATGTCACCATCAGTCAGGCCACCTGCAAGCAACACCCAGCGTTGTCTGTCCCCAACACCAGCTACAGCCCAATTCTTCATTAAGCAGCTGCAACTTTCTACCACCTAACAGCCCACCAACACAGCATCCCACCTGCACCCACCGTCCAACGCACTTCGTTATCAAACGCACCACGTCTTTTAACTAGGTCAGTTCCTGCCCCGTGGGACACCAATCAAGTCGCAGCAGCTGCATGACACGACAAGGGCTAAGCCCAATCTACGTTAGCGCAACCATGCAAAGGGCATCTACTGAAGATACCACAGCAAGCGACGAAAGATCTCCCACGTCCTCTCCACCGGGTCGTCCGATAACTGTTTCGCAGCTGCCTGTCCTCGTCATAAAGCACCGCTACAAACGACGCACACCCATACCAACGCACGTCCACACTCCCATAATCGCCCCCCTCCTCAGCGCCATGCACCTTCCGGCACCGCCCATCACCCTGTCACGTACGCCTCTAAGACGCAGTTAGCAGACGTTGCAGCAGCGCGCAGCGTCCAGCGTGTCAGGCCATGTATGCCGTCCCATCAAGCCTCCTTCAGCAGTAGTAGCGGTCGCCGAACTCGCCCACGCCCGGCACCACAGACCAGTTCTCGTCAATAGCCGAGTCAATTTCCGAGGTGATGACCTTGACGCCGGGGTAGGCCTGGCACACGCGGTGGATGCCGGGGGGTGCCGCGATGATGCACAAGAACAGGATCTTGCTCTGCTCCACGCCCTTGTCCAGAAGCACCTGGGAGGGAAAGGAGAGGATTGGAAAGGCAGAAGAAGAAAGGAGGTATCGGTATCAGTAAAAGGAGGGAAAACAGCTCGGTTGAACCTTTGCCTCTTAAATTAATGCAACCTGCTGCGTGACAGACATGCCTTCCGCACCACAGCCCACCGTCTTAACAGCCACGGCCCCCGTCCACCAACCCCGCCCCTCAACCGCACCTGGATGGCCTTGCATGCGGTGTTGCCGGTGCCCAGCACGGGGTCCAGCAGCAACACGTAGCGCCGCGAGATGTCAGACGGCAGCTTCTCGTAGATGATGTCCTCGCTCTTGCCGTGGCTGCGCAGCAGGGAGGCAGCATGGGGGAATCGTAGTAGTAGGGAATCTGAGGGGAATAGCCTTCCTAACCGCCTGTGGTTGCCGTCAACACGGCCTCTGTGATTCAAATAATCTTTGCCCTCCTGTCCCCTCCTAACGCATGCTCTCGCGCTCCTTTTCCCTACGGTTTCTTCGATTTTGACCCCCTCGTAAGGCCCATTTCCCTCCCCCGTAAGGCCCGCTCACCGGTGCACCAGGATCTTGCCAATCTTGATGCCCTGGCAGCACTCCCGCAGCGCCGCCTCCATGGCCTCGCCGCTGCGGATGACGCTCACGCCGCACAGCCCGCGAGCAAACTCCACACCCACGTACTTGTGGCCTGCAGGAGAGAGCAACACAGGGGGCAGCAGACCGCCACCAGACAGATTGCATCCATGGAACAATACACCAGGGCAGGGCAGGCAGCCATGTTGGGAAGAGAAGGTGGTAGGATTGTAGGATAGGAAACCACGTTTCGTACACACCCACTTTCCAATACACTGCCGTCCGTCATAGCTCCTTCAGTGGCCCCCACATGAGGCTTTCCGGCTCCCCAACCCTGCCCCATTCATCCACCCGGACCCACCGGTCGGCGTGGTGACGACCTTCTCCCTGAACGGCAGGTGCCCCAGCCCCGCCTCCACCAGCAGCCGGTTGATGCGGTCCGCGTAGAACACAAAGTCGGAGTTGGAGGTCTCGCGGTCGCGCAGGATGGTGTGCATGCCGCGCATCTGGAAGTTGGAGGGCATCACCTGCGGGGCGGGGCGGGACGGCGAGGCGAGGCGGAGCAAGGGAGAAGGTGGTACGATGTGTACTGACACGTGTACGACGTTTAAATCGTACCGGACAGGGTGCTAGCCGTGGTTGCGCGGTCGTGGTTCACCAATGGACGGCGTAACCCTCGAGCCCGGCTGGTTTCGCCCTCTTCCTTAACCTCACCCCCGCACCCTTCCCCGCCCGCTGCCCCCTCACCTCCAGGTTCCTGTAGATGCGGATGAGGTCGTGCTGCCGCAGCTTCAGCCGGATGTGCTCCGTGATGAGGTCGATGGCCACCACGTTCTCGCTGGACTGCCAGGGTACGATGATGTCGGCGAAGCGGCGGGAGGGGCCGATGAAGGTGTCGAAGGCGGGCTTCACGAAGCGAGTGTACTGCTCAATGACGCCTGGAGGAAGCAGCAGCAGCAGCGGGGCAGCAGCGCAGGAGAGATGGTATCCTTGTCAAAGAAGGCATGCTGGGGAGCAGCTTGGGGCCGCAGGGCCGCGGAGAGACGGTTGCGTTGCAGGTAAGGACGTTCGGGCGTATGAGTAAGGAAAAGGAGGACGAAAGGGGAGGTGATGGTGACGGCGACCGGACGCGGGTCGAGACGCTTTCCCTGCGCCAAGCGGCGTTGCGACTCATCTGGGTCATGCCTTTTTCCGCGAAAACACCATTCATCGATTTCATACCCGCCTAAACCCTGCAACCGCACGCGCGCCACACGCATGGCTTACTCGCGACGTCGCGCCCGCGGCTGGCCACGTCGCGCTGGATGCGGCGCGCCAGTCGCACGTCATCGTCCGTGTCCGTGTAGATCTTCATGTTGAGCTGCTCGCGGATCTCCTCCATGGCCAGCACCAGGATGCCCTCCATGATCACCACGTCAGCGGGGTCCACCTGGGTGTGCCGTAAGGGTGCCGTACGGAAGAGAGGGCGCAAACTGCTGTATTAACACTCGTCGCGCGTACCACGAACGCACGGTGTATAAATGCGCTACAAATGGTGGAGCGACCCCAACGGCAGGGTGCATCACCACAACCGCCCTGACCCCAGCGCCACACGCACGCCACGCCACATACACATTCGCACCGCAAGTACGTTCCTACTCGCGGCCAGTATGCTTAACATACGCACCCGCCGGGTCTCCTGGGAGCGGGAGTGCGTGGCGAAGTCGTAAATAGGAATGTCCACAGAGCGCCCCTCCTTGAGCCGCGTCAGGCAGCTCAGCAGCTCCTTGCGGTCTAGCGCGTCAGGGTGGTCGAAGTTGTAGCTGTTTGACTTGGCGAGCACCAACTCGTCGGGTGTCAGGGTGCGGTAGAAGGAGTCCTGTGAGACAAGAACGTGGCAACGTTGTCGCCAGGTGGACAAAGTGATCTGGGTCAGTGGAAGGCCAACTGCCCGCAACGACAGAAGTACGGAAACACGCAGGAAATGGCACTTCATGAAGACGGCATGCGGGTGAATGATTGGGTGGTTAGTCGCAGCTATAAACTGCCATACGCTCGAAGGGAAGGAGCGAATATGTGCTCATCGGCAACAGCATAGGGTTTGAAAGTGGCACGCCACGAGGGTTAATAAAACCATACCTGCGAGAGCATCACCACGCATTGATCATGCAGACGCTGCATGATCCGGTCGCACACGGTTGTCTTGCCCGATGCCGTGCCGCCTGCCACGCCAATCAGGAAGGGGTGCCTGCAGAAGCGGGTTAGATCAAGATATGACGAAGTAAAAGCAGTTCTTCCTCATAGCTGGATGCAGACAGGCATTAAAAGGCAAGGATTGCACTCCATGCCAAAGTACCTGTTTTGGCGGAAGTTGGGAGAAAAAGATTTGCGAAGCTCCCTTTCCGCAGCAGCAATTGCTTCGTCGTCATCGCTGGGAATACCACCGTTGCTACGGTCTCGCATATGAATTGCTGTAACACTAGCAGCACCGTCGGTGTCCTTCACGGACATCGCAGCCGTGGCAGCTACGATATCGGTCATGCTAGTGCTAAGGACGCTGTCCTCCATAATGTGCTACTCACGATCTACGAAATATCACACCCCTATTGAAGAAGAGCGTTCGCTTAGACCTACTGTGTAATCTACTTAAAAGACACCCGCAGATGGCACAGTAAATCACAAATGCGGGCAAAGTTTAATATTGTTAAATATAGCGCTCTGTTGTGCTTGAGGGCTTCATGAGCAAGGTCAGGGGTTTTCGTACGGCGTCTGCCCACGTGCCCTGCGGGCTTCCATTGTGACCTTCCGTCCCCTTGAGCGTGCCCTAGAAAATGCCGCTGCGGGGTAATTGTACTTCACCTTAACGCATAGCTCACTCCACAGCTAACCACTCTTCGCCGCTGGTGTTGATGCTGCTCCGTGCCTTTCCACACGGGTTAGGAGATGGAGAGGTTGTAGCCGGGGACGCACTGCAGCTTACAATGTCTTCATTAGCTGACAAAAGGGAAAAGTGTGTTGCAATGGCAAATGCAACGGGGCCGTAGTTGTGGAGGGGAGGGATGTGGTGAAGGAAGGAGGAGCTGGAGGTAAGGATGCCGGCTCTTGCTGTCCTACATGGTTGCCGACTGGTTGTGTACGGTCCAACGCTTGGAAAGCGGTTGCAACTGGATCTCGTTACCTCAAGACAGGCTGCTATCCCCTATGTCAGAATCGTTTGCAGGATATCTTGGCGTTGGACTCATCTCGCTCGAGGTTTGTTACAGCACGTGTTTAAGGAAATATTACCGTGAACACACTCGGTGATACGTGTACTTCAGTGTGGTAGCCAGCTTCATCCATGCCATTTCCAACGGCGCATGGGGTGATGTTGCGTAGTGCGCGTGGCCATGGATACAACCTATCAAACCTTCATGGTACAAGACCAATATCCGAAGCAGGAACACACCAAAGGGAACATGACCACCAAACCAAGAACACACCAAGCATTTATACTTTTAATATATTATTGAAAGTAAGGACAGGAGAGTGAACCAACAACAACACTACGCACGGGTACCTAGTCAACTGCAACGGCAGCCAAATATGCAGCCACACCCGAAGCATAGAAAACTATGCGCAATGAAGCCTAACCACTCGGGGAGGGGCCATGAGGTCATCAGATGGTCTAAACTGAGACTGCAAGGCACGCATATCCCTCCATTGTACAGGGAAACGCTCTTGCTTAACGATACCTAAAACACACAGGGACTATGAACATTGGCGTCATAGATTGTTCTCTTCTCTTAAAGCTAAGTGGTTACGGGTGAGTCGAAAACCGTCCCGAAAAGCCACGGACCACGCATGCATGCACTTCAAAAGTGTACGCGAAAGCACCAGCAGCCGTAGCTAAGCTGCAACAACCCTCGTCATTTATCTCTTCTCGTATTAGCATAACACAAAAGTGTCTACACAAAACCCCAACAACGTGCAAGCATAGCTCGCGGAACAAGGAGATAGCCACGTTAGGACCTGTCCCCGCCTGCACCAGTCAATTGCTACTCAATACTAATCGGAGGGCGGTGCTTTGAACAAAATCGCCCTCACTCCAAGCTCAAAATGTCGGTTATGCCTCACTCTGGCATAAAGGCCTACCCAGTATGTAGGACATGGCCGGTTGCCTAACACATTCCTGTGAATCCAGGCGCTCCAACTCCCTTTGGACCATATATCACTAGTCACGAACCTGCTGACATGCCCTGCACCACTCACGCAAGAAGCACCACATTTCGATGCCTCGTCCCTCGCCACTCGGCGGCCATACGGCGGCCTACATCGCGCTCACGTTGCGGGCAATGCCGCCCTCCCTCTTAAATAATCCGCACCTCAATGAAGCATTCGAAGCCATGGGCATACATGACCCTCACCCTCACATTACTCGCTCACCAACCTCAACTCGCCCGCCTCAGAACGCTTTCCAAGCACACTGCGCATACGGTAATGGGTCTTCTCAGCTAAGGGCTCCCTGATCACTATCACAGGCCCGACAACTCCAAATCAGCACCTAGGAAATTGAGTAGCGACTGCGAGTCGCTGCGTGAAAGGCCGCCCGCCGTCTCCACGACCACCTCACCCGCCTCGTTGTTGTTGTGAGCCTCGCTGGGCGGCTGGAACAGCTTGAGGCCGGACGTGATAGCCGCGTCGGTGAGGTCGCTGTCGCCTGAGCGCAGGAAGGAATCAATGAAGCTGGCAAACTCATCGTCCTCAGGCGGGTGGTTGACACTGCCGTTGCAGACCGAGCCCGGGGAGGTGGCGAGCGGCAGCGGAGAGGCAGGCGCCTGGATGATGCCAGAGGAAGGCGCGCTGTTTGTGCAGGACGCCGACGGGATGGCAATGGCGGAGGAGGTTTCGGAGGATGTGCGCGCAAAGCCGTTTGGAGCTACCGAAACAGCGACAGCTGGAGGTGCCATGGCGCCGCACGGCATCATCGGCCACATCGATGGCGCAGACATACACGCTCCAGATACACTAGACGACGCTGCAGACGCGGCTGCCAGCGCTGGCATGGACGCAGCTGCCATGGCCGCAGCAGGCAGCCAAAAAGGCGGAAACATGCCCATAAATGGAAAAAATGGGTTTCCCGGCATGCAAAAGGGCATAGGCGGCATCATGCCCATCGGAAGGGGTGGATACTGCCAGCCGGGAATACCGCTCGCTGATGTCGTTGTCGGCCACGACACGCCATCCTTCGCCGTCTTCTTAGATGCCGGTCCACAAGGGCTGGCCGTCTCAGGCATACTGCGCTTCTTAGTTGTAACATTAGGAGTGGCCGACATCCTTATCCTTGCAAGTTGAATTGGACGTTTGATCCCTGTGCGGCACGAGCGCATCCAAACAAATAACTCAGTCCGGGGCTAAAAGACAAAGAGCTACCTATTCAGACAGGTAATTTCATGCCAGGTTGAGGATGAAGTCGCTAAGACATAATCCAAGGGGAACATGACGGAGGGGAAGCGGGTCGGAAGGCACAGCAAAGGAAAAGCTAAAGAAGTTTAACACCGTAAGCAGCGTCATGGTGAAGGTGTCGTCGTGACTGGAAAGGACCTGTGCCTATCAAGAGCTCTCAGGGCCACACTGCTCTGCCTCGACGGTCCACACCGACACACCTGGGGTATTCTAAGCTTCAGAACTCCAAAGGTGATACGCTTCTCCGGGATGCAAACTCTTGCCAGGACGTCCACCTCAATTGTTTCCACAAATGATTCAATCAACTAAACTCTCCTTGGCAGCAAGCCTGTGTTGTAAGGCCTGGGAACTTCTTGATGTTGTGCAGTTCAAGCGACACAGAGTGGAAATGCGAATAATAGTTCAGTCAGGGAAGCATAAGGCCCTTATTGCCGACCCTCAAAATGCCAACCTCCTCACGTCTGTACAATCTTAAAATGTTCCCAACTCTATTGCCAACAGGTCTGGTGTTGTTTCACAGGTGCTGGGTACCTTTCTAACTGCAAGTACCTGGTACCGCAAGCGCCTCATCGCCCGACGTCATTACGGCAAGGGATTACTCAGTAGAAACATGCTAAAACGTCCGAGCAGGATGGCATGTATGTTATGCAAGTGAAGTCATGGTTGTTGGGGTGTTGACTGGTAGCCACAAGCTGCGTATCAGGAAAAGAGTGGGAGTTCTGGAGGGCGTGGAGGCAGCCAAAGGACACCAAGCATATACACCTCTTCAACAATCACCGTTACCTAGTTACTGCAAATTTACACATCCGCTCTGGACCCAAGTAGCAAAGAAGGGTTTTCCCTTCGTATGCTTCCAGAGGCGTCCTAGCTCCAACTTCCTGGCGCACGCTTGCGTCTCCTGTCCAACAAGTTTTCTAAATAATCTTGTTGTTCCTGACAACCGGCCATGTTTGCAACACGTGTCCAGTACCCTGGCAGGGACTTACCATGCACATCGAGCGCTCGTCCCGACGGGCGACGCAACAGTGGCGCTGCAAGGGGCTCCAGCTTCTAAGTAGCCTCCGGCTACTTCCCCGTTGTTTGTCGAGGCCTTTATCAGTAACGCACGAAAGCCGCAAACGGTGGGCGGCGTAAAAGTGCCTTCCAAGCCTGGGGCTTGGGTCAAGTGGAGCTGCCCCAAAGGATGTTCCATGGCAGGTAGCACGCGAGCTCTGGTGGGTGTATTTGCCCAGTCAGACACGCACAATGGGCCGCACGTGCCTCAACGCCCAGCAATCGCAATCAAGGGAGTACCGCTTCTCCTTTCGGGGCAACTGGTGCTGCTGCAATGGCTACGTTGGCCCATCTGAGCTCTCCCCGGCCTGAGCTGGAAGGGTGGAGGACATAGGAGGTTCACAGGATAAGTCGAGAGGTATGTAAGTTCTTGCAGTGAAAGTTTAAGCTGGGACCATGCTATATGCAGCATTAACATCCAAGGCGGGTAAGAGAGGCGATAGGCCTTGCAAAGGGGCATGTCATGGCATGCGGAGAACAGGTGGCTTGAAAAGGCGTCTGCCATTTGGAGCCAATACTCATAAGCTTCTTGCACGCAAGCATTGAACCTATAAACATCCCGGAGAGTAACAAGTGATGAGGAAACACAGTAAGCAAGAATGAATACTGTTGTGTCTTAACAAACCAACCATATCCCTTCCTAGGCAATTGAAAGTCAAGTGCGTACTCTGGCTCATTCCCGCCACCCAAGGCGTTTACTGAAAAAGCAAGGAACAGAAACAGCATCAGACGGATATAGCTACGGGAAGCCCGGCAAGCGTTGGCTCAAGGGGCCCAAGGGCAATGACCTTTTGGGAACACCCTTTAGCAACTCACCTTTCAATGCGAGGACTCATAATGGAAAATGTCACTCCGACAAGGGCTCAGCGCGATACGCCTCTGCTGCGCAAACATCTTATTGCAACCCGGTGGCAAGCAAGCGCACCCGCCAACAGCAGCGTCCAAGCTGTTCCCATGCGCATTCGCGGTGTAAATGGTCAGATATAAGCAACCAGGTTAGATGTTATTATATGCCCTGCGATCTACTGTGCATCGCATCCAGAGGGCCACGGGCAGCCTATAGGTCGGCTAACCGTCCTAAACGGCGAACGGACCTGACGTGTAACGATCGCACGACATAAACCGTTTACAGCACTGAAAGCTAATTGCTCTACAATGTACTTTGTGCAGGGAACGCTCTGTATGGATGCGCGCGAGCTGTCGTAAAAGTGCCTCTCGCTGTGTGGTGCCAGGTGTTGCCCAGGGGTACAAGTCAACCCCACTATTGACAAAAGCACAAGTTGCATAAGTCACAGAACAACGTATGTACTATACTTTTTTTACTGAGGTTGGTCGCTAAGACGTAAGGGCCATTCATCCCGCTCGCACCCAACGGTTAAGGCTTAGCGCACTGGCGTAGCAGTAAATTGAAGACGACTTTGCATTATATACAAATAGGATAGCATGTCGTCGGCAGCGGAAAAACCAAAAGTCGATGCTGCCAGCCGCGCCTTTTCACGGTTCGGCCTGTCGGGCCGTACCGCACTCGTCACCGGGGCAACTCGGGGCATTGGAAAAGCAATTGTTGAGGAGCTTGCAGGCCTCGGCGCAGATGTAGGTACCGGGGGTCCAAACACTGCGAGACAGGCTTGAGCCCATCCCTTGCCCACCTAGTACGAATGCGGTTCCATTCCTTCTCAAAAACCTGTTGCACGTCCACAAGGGACGGTGCTGTGTTAGAATCGGTCCGTAAATTTGTCGGACCCATGGGTCATTCGGATGTCGCATGGCTTCCTCGCAGGTGTACGTGTGTGCCCGAAGCGCTGAAGACCTGGAGGCCAGACTTGCGGAGTGGCGCACAGCCGGACTTGCCGTAAGGGTGCGTTCAGGTACCGTACGCAACATAAAGAGGCCATCACCAGCAGCTGAGGGAGCATGCAGGGGCAAAGAATAGGAAAAAGCAAGCAGGGGCCGGTGGCATCCAGGGAAGGAAGTGTCTGGGAGTCATGCTGCAACTGAGCAGCTTGCGCATCCCGAAGAAGGCTCCTAGCGTGAGCTGAATGCTGTTGTCGTGCCATCACAGCCGACCGGGCTACGGCGACTGCAACTCGCATGTATGCCGCCCCAAGCAGAGATGTGCAATTTGAGCAATGCCGTTACCGGCTACGGTAGCCGTGGCAGGCAGCCTTGCCTTTTTTTGGCGTTTCACCCAATATCCCGTCCTCATCTGGCTTCCTGCCGTTGGCATTACAAACCTGAGTGCGCTGGGGGCCTGTACCCCTTAGCCCCGTCACTCTTTACGGCCCCTTCTCTCGTGAACCTCGGCTATGAGCCTGTGACCTTTGCTACCGGCTCGAAGTGCACCTGGAAGCTCATCGGCTGTGTGATAAGAAAACTGGCCGCGAGTCATCAGGCTGTTTGTGTTCCTGATGTTCCTGATGTGTCGTGCCCGCTGTGTGCAGGGCAGTGTGTGTGACGTGTCGGAGCGGCAGCAGCGGCTGCAGCTTGCGGAGCGAGTGGCCGCGGAGTTTGGGGGCAAGCTGCACATCCTAGGTAGGTGGGCGGGGTACGGCACCCACCTGGTAGGCCGGTAAACCCTGCTTGACATACTGGGGTATGCCGTTAACATGTTGAGCGTTGCGTACGGCGTGTACGGTGTGTTGCATTCATTAGTAATAACTACCCGCATGCGGGTTTAACCGCATCTCAGCGTCCCGTGTGCCCTCGCGGCTCAGTTTACCGGTATTTAATCCGGTGTGTCATGCCCCGTCTCAGCCCCTCGCGTCTCCGTTTACCCGTATCTAATCCCGTGCGTCATGCCCCGTTTAGCCCACAACAGCTAACGCCTGGCCTTCCTTCTGTTCTAGCATCCAAGGGTGTACCTCTCATGCTCCCATACCCCACATTCCCGTGCCGCAGTCAATAACGTGGGCACGAACATCCGTAAACCCACAGTGGAATACACGGAGGAGGTATGCACAAGGGCTCGTTGCAAGGGGGTTCAGCAGGCCAAAAAGGGACGCTAATAACTGTTGGCTTTCACGTGTCTTGGTTGAAAAGAAGACTGCGCCTATGAGGTGTCCACGCTAGGGCATGCGTGCATGGTTGACCAACCATTAACGATCCCGTACGGTTACCACATCCGCACAGGAGTTCAGCTTCATGATGCGGACCAACGTGGAATCCGCGTACCACCTCTGCCAGGTACGGCGGTGTACGGCACATGTCAGGTGGGGGCGGTGTACGGCACATGTCAGGTAGGGCGGTGTACGGCATCTTGTACCTCGTACGGCCTTTCGCCCCATATCTTTTTCGCCCGCCACTCTTCGCTCCATTTGGTATTGTTGCGGTTCCAATGCGCATTACGCCCGTTGCGTAGACCGTTCCAGCCTTGCTGGGAGTGCCAGTAACCCATTACCCAGCTCTTAACCCGCCTCCCTGCAGGCCTGTCAGCCACTGCTGGCTGCAAGCGGGGACGGCTGCATCGTGTTCAACACCTCGGTTGCAGGAGGACCCACAGCCATGCGGTGAGACGTGAGCAGAGGCCATGCCCCCCATGCGGATACTACGTCTGCACCTCCCGCTCATTCATATCCGCGTTGTTCCCCGCCTCACCAAAACGGGAGGGCGGTCCCGTAACTACCTGAACCCCGCCCCCTTTGCTTTGCCCTAACCCGTGGTTCGGGTATATCTCTGGTCCCCGCCCCCATCGCTTTGCCCTAACCTGTCGTTTTGGTATGTCTCTGGCCCCCGCCAAACAAAAGCTCTGGAACGCTGTACGCCATGAGTAAGGCCGCACTGAATCAACTGACCAAGAACCTGGCGTGCGAGTGGGCGGGCGCAGGCATCCGGGTCAACTCGGTGGCTCCCTGGTACACAGCCACGGACCTGGCGCTACAGGTGCTGCAGGTACGTACGACACACGTGCGAGCATGTTGTACAGCAGGTTGAAGTAAATAACTAAAAGCAAGTACGGGAACGCACATGAAGCACTTTGAATAAGCGAGTACGGGAAAGTCGGCGTACCGGTGTACCGCTGTATGTTTGTTGCAACTTTGTTTGAGCTTGTGTTGAGGGATGGCGACAAGACGACCCCGACAATTTTGAAGTACTTAATCGTCCCGTAATCGATGTGTCACATGTCATGGTGTCGCAGAATGAGTCATTCAAGGCGGAGGTGCTGTCACGGACACCACTCAAGCGGATCGCGCAACCTGAGGAGGTGGCGGGTGGGTACGCGCCGTACATTTGCCGTCTTGTGGCGACCCTCCGAGCAGGGCGCTTTGCTGTGCTTTGCTTTTGCTGTAATGAAAGTCTAAAAGCCAAACTAGGCGACATTGCAAGACAACCTATACACAGCAACTATTGCACAGCAACCCATGCGCTGCTTTTGCATGCGTTATTTATTACCATCATATCTTATGATAACACATGCTGTGGGACCTGGGTCCGTGCTTTACGCTGCAGGCACTGTGGCCTACCTGTGCAGCCCCGCCGCCGCCTACGTGACGGGGCAGATCATCCAGGTGGACGGCGGCTACTCGGTGATGGGCCTCTACTGATCTGCCGCCGTACATCTGCCGTACATCTGCCGTACCTGAACATACGAGTCTGTGTCGTACGACTTCGTACGCTTCATACTCAGCATGGATGCATGCATGACGCCCTGTACACCTAGAAGTAGAAGTAAGATAGGAAACGGAGGGGAGGTAGGCCTAGTAAGCAGCGAGTTGAGAGGTCTGTGCAGCCACAGTCAGGGGTGCTGATAGCGTACAGACGAGGGAAGGAGGGTGGTTTACATGTGGGGCCGAGTGTGGGCCACAGGGCGGGGTAGGATGAGACATTGGGCATGCGCAGCATGTCGTGCAGGCATGGGCATGATAGAGGCTTGGGGTCATGCAACAATCCCTTGGTTGGGGCCTGCTGGTGTTTATTGTTCTCCATATTGTTGCGTTGTTTGCCATCGCTGCCACCGTTACTGTACTTTCACGTATTGCCGTATATCCACCGTACTCGTGTTACTCGGCTTTGTTGAATTTGGCACCCTAGCGTTTGTTTGAAGCGTTCGTCCGTAGACGACATTCGACGTAATGTGGACCCAGTGCGCCCTCGCTGGCCCACGGGTCACTCTTTCACAAAGCAAAGGAAGCGGTCTATGGAGTCGCATAACCTGTTTGCTTGGCTTTTCCTAGCACCAACGCGAAGGAATGTGCGCGTGAATGCGGATGGGACGAAGGTGCTGGAAGAGTTGAATGATGCACAGTGGTAGGACAACAATTCCTTGCGAATTGCATGCTTGGGAGCGAAAGGCCATCAAAATAAGTATGAGAAGTCAGATACGCAAAAACAGAGCAAATACCGAGGCCAGATGCACTGTACTGCTGTTATGCTGTGCTGGAATGGAGGATGACGCGCTCGGCCTCGTGAAGAACCTGTGAAAAGTATGCGTAACCGCTATACATGTCGCAGCCAAGCAACATTTAAGTCCACGCACAAATTCACAAAACCCTTACTCGCTGGGTAAAGGTTGAAGCACAATGTTTCTTACATATCGAATGCCAATAACAAAAGCGCCTTCCACAGCAGGCGCTCAATGCCGCCTGCTTCACACAATCCAAAGCAAGCAGGGCACGTTCAGGCGCGCAGTTGCGGTTCTGGGTGCGGTCGCGGTTTCCGGCAGTCGCAGCGGCTGGCCGCGAAAGAGCAGCGCTAGCGCCGCGGGAAGCCTCAGTCGCACCCGCCTTGGTACCTGGATGCAAGGGAGCGGGGCTGGAGCCAGTAACGGCGAGGTAAGAGGGTTAGGGATTATTACGGATGACACCGCCATTCGGGAGGGAGATGACAGTTTCGTTGATATGGTCTCGCTAGGGGCTTCCGGCGGATTCTCCAATACCGCAATATTGATTTTTGAAGTTTTTCGTTTGCAGGAATACGAGGCGAGCCGAGATCGGCTGACAATGGCAGCAATGCAGGGCGATAACGAGCTCGACGGACCCGCGGGTCAGTTGGTTGGGACAGCGGGATATGGCCTGAAAGGATGCATGCACAGACGCTAAACAGACCACCAAGGCTACGCTTTTACGCTTTCTCACCACCATATCATATACCGGTATCCTGTTGGAGAGAGTTTTTTCTGGCGTCCGCCTGCTGCCCTACTTTGCCTTTGCCTTGCCTGAATGGTCGCTGCTTCGTTGCCTCGCTCCTCGCAAACATTATTACGACCACGCTCTCACGACACGCCATCTCGACACGCCGCCGAGCAGACCAATACGAGAACCCTGACCAGGTGCGCACAGTTACGGGGTTCGGTTTGCGTCCAAGTAGCCGGGGTGGCCTACCTGCTCACAAGGTAGCACGTGGCGACTGAAACCGCGTCCTTCCAGCACGCCTGCCATACATACAGCTTGGTGCCTAACACTGTGCTTACCCCTTGGTAAGCTTGCCAGGTGGCTAATCTAGTTGAAGGGGCTGGCCAGGCGCCTTGCTAGGCCCCTCACCCACCGCTTGGTAAACCCCTCATCACTTTCCTAAACCCCTCACCCGCCAAGATAAGCCCTCTTGACATCTTTTACCTGTCTTTTACCTGTGCGTCGCTTCGTCACTCCCTCCCCACTATTAGTCGCACGGTGGGTTTCTTCCTCTTTGCCTGCCTCCTCACGCGGCTCTCTCTCCACGCTCGGCCTTCCCCTCCCCTCATGAATCCGTCCCCACTTCCCATGTACCAAATGCAACGCAGCGAGAGCCTTGCGGAGAGGACCTCCCCAACCTGCCCAGCTACAGCGAAGGCGGCGGCGGCGAAGGCGGCACCGCCGGCGGCAGCAGCGAAGCGGAGCGGTGGACGGCAGAGGCGGCGGAGGCGGTTGCCCGCGGCCCCGGCCACCAGCCCCTGAGTGGCGGCGTCAAGTCGGCAGCTGAGCGGCTGCCATCCGAGGAGTCCGGTAACCGGGTAAGATGTAGCGGGGCCAGGGCCCAGGTAGGAAGTAACGCTGGGAGGACCGGAGCTGTTTCGCGACTTTGGTCAAACGTTCTTTGTTCAATGCTGTATGTTCAGCTGGGCTTTTGCGACTTACCGTACAGGAAGGAGGAAATCCTGATCCCGCTCACGGCGCCGCCAGCGACAGCAGTCGTCGGGACGTGGAGGGCGGCGGTGTGGGCGACTCGGCCGCCATTGCTCGCCTCTCCAGGGGCGACATTGGTGCCACCTCGGGCGCAACAGACGACTGGACCGACCGAGCGGCGGAGGCGGCCGTACAATACGGCGGCGGCACCGGCGGCAGCGGAGGCGACAGGTACGAGCCGGGCCAATCGGGTGGCGGCGGTGCAGGTGCCGACTGGGCTGTGAGTGAGGAAGCCGCCGACTGGGTCGGCGGCGCGGCGGCGGCGGTGGAGGCCCTTGCCGAGCCATTGGCGCCGCGCCGAGTCATGGATGCCGGTGGGGTGGCAGGCGCCGCCGCGGCGGCGGTACAGCGCGTCGCGGGCGCCGCCGCCGACATTGCGGAGCGCGCGGTGGCCGAGGCGGGAACGGTGGCGACGGCGCTACATGGCGGCGGCGCCGGGGAAGCTATCGACGCGGGTCGGGTTCCGGGAGCCGATCTAGGCTCCCGCGGCGCGCGAGAGGTCGATGGCAACGTTTCAGTCGTCGAGCGCGGCGCGCTGCAGGCTGCGAGCGCTCTGGAGGCGGCGGAGGCGGGAATGATTGGGGTGGCGGCAAGGGCAGCCGACGCCGTCAGCGGCGCCGCTAGCGCTGGCGCCGGCGCCTTCCGCGCGGCCTCCAGCGCCGTACGAAACGCTGCACGCCGCGCGCGAACCAAAGCGGCGACGGCGAGGACTGCGTACGACATTGCCTCCGCCGGCCATAAGATGGCGGCGGCGGCCAGGGAGACCGGCGACGTGGTGAGGGGCGCCGTGGAGCGTGCAGGAGAGGCGGCGGAGGGCGTCGCCGGAGGCGCCGGCACTGCCGTACGAAACGTGACGGAGCGCGCCGGTGAGGCTGTGACGGAGGCGTCAAGGGGTTTGGCTGGGAGTACGGAAGCGGTGGCGTACTGGACGGCACAGGCGCATAGGCAGGTGACGGAGGCTGCGGAGGATGCCAAGCAGCGAGCGGCGGAGGCGGGTTCAAAGTTTGCGGAAAGCGCATCAGCGGCGGCGGAGACGGCCGGCGGCACCGCCGCTGACATCGCCGACCGTGCCATTGACGCCGCCGCGCTCGCCGCCGCCAAGTCAGCTTACGTGGGCATCGCCGCCGGCGGGCAGGCGGTGGAGGCCGCCGCCTCCGCCGCTGACGCCGTTGGCGGCGCCGTCAGAGGTACGGCAGAACAGCTGGCGGAGGCGACGCAACGAGCTGGCGGCGCCGTTAGGGACGCGATGGACCGTGCGGCGGAGGAGGCGTCCGCTGTGGGGCTGCGCGGGGAGCAGGCGGCGGCCGGCGTGGAGGCAAGCGTGTTAGAGCGCGCGCAACGGGTGCGGCGGGAGATGCGCGAGGGGGCGCACAGGCTTGCGGATGAGGCTGCGGATGTGCTTATGAACGTGGAGGGGGAGCACGGCGGTGGTGGCGGTGGTGGCGGTGGTGGCGGTGGTAGCGGCGGCAGCGGAGGTGCGGGGGGACAGTGAGGTTGTGGCTGGGAGGATGCGTGGGCGGTTGGAGGTGCGGGGTTGGTGGGAGGAAGGACATTAAGTGAGGAGGCAGAGGAATAGTGGTAACGCCGAGAAGAGAGGGGAGAAGAGATGCGCAGGGAAAAGAGCGGCTGGCTTCAAACAGAACAGTTGCTTTTGTTACGTGGCTAGCTGAAGTACTTTGCTGGGTAATGGGTACGACATTTCAAGCGGTAAGTTACTTCTTGTTTGTAGGTATGGCTTGTTTCCTAGAGCCGTAAGAGCACAGAACGCAATTGGCGTTTTGTTGGCAAGGGTTGCAACTTGCAGTTGGTTTTGCATGCATGGTGGTGGGAGGAGGAGTTGCTTGCTTGGGTGTTTGTGGTGGTTTCCGCTTTACTTTGGCACGGCCGACTCGTCCAGGCCAGCGTTGGGGCATGACAGACGTTGTAAGATGCCCCAGTTGGGTCTCCTTGTCGCCTTGCCTACCGACTTTCATTCATACAGGATACCGTTATCAAAGCTTTTCCATGCACGGCTGACTGAACACGAGAAGCTGTGACTACTGTAGCGCTATTTCAAGCGACTGCCTTAATTGAAGGCAGATACTTGTCCCAGCGTCGACGCGTTTGAGTTCCGCTTGGTTTCCGGGGCCGCAGCAGGATACTGTTTTCGGCGGGAACACTCGTGGCGCCGCTGTGAGCAATGCACCTGCTGTTCGCAAGAGAAGTGATTTTAACCAAAGAATACCATCAGCAAAGTTACACCAATGAAAGCTTCAGCAGATTTCCTGATGGCCGAGCAACCAGAGTGCTAACGATCTTCTTGCGTCAGCGGCCAACGTCCATCCATGTGTGAGGTTCGTACCTGAGAAGCAAATCCTTTATAAACCCAGAAACCTTTTGCATATTAACTCCAAGCTTACTACTGAGCATACCACACCTTCAAGCAGCTGCTCTCAACACTCGTGCCTTAACCCGCAAGAAATGTCGACTGCCATCGCTAAGCGCTCGGTTTCTCTGGGCCGGGAGGCCGCGCGACCCACGGGTCAGCTCCGCCGCACCGTCGCTGTCCCTGCCCGGCGCTCGCTGGCGGCTACCCAGTCGCGTGCAGTGACGTCTTTCCGAGCTTCAGGTCGCGACGAGGTAAGGGAAACCGCAACTAACCGACTTCGAGATGCGTAGCGCAGTCGCTGCTGTGCATGGGAGCCAAATGGATGCCGTAGCATGGGTGCTTTTTCCGCTCATCGCTACTCAGCCTGCTGCCAAGTCTTTGATCCTGCACTTTCGCGTTGAGGTGCATCCCTTGTGTCTTGTTCCCTTTCCCAGCCTCGCTCCATGTAACCTTCCACCCACTCAACTCCTCGCACCTCACTGCCGACCTTCCTCCTGCATTTCTCCACTAACCGCCCTATCCATGCCTCCCTAATCAACCCCGGGTTCCCCATCCCTGCTAGTCCCTGACGGACAAGGCCGCCGACGCCGCCGCACGCGCCCGTGACGCCGCCGTCAACGCCGCCGAGAATGTCGCTGACGCCGCCTCCGCCGCAGGTCACAAGGTAGCAGACGCGGCTTCCGACGCCGCCAAGCGGGCGCAGCGCACCGGCGAATCGGTCGCGGATTCGGTTTCGGAGGCGGCGCAGTCGGCGACCAAGGCGGCTGGCCGCAAGGCGGACGACGCGCAGGACGCCCTCCAGGGTGCTACACGCGAGGCAAAGGTGTGCGGGTGTTGAGGACGCGTTGCTTTGATCCTGAGACTTAATGGAGGCTGTATGAGATTAGGATATGCTCGCTGGCGGTGGCTGCTGCTAACTGGGAAGCCAAGTAGAACACTGGCAGCGTGAAAGGTGTGAGGCGTGATTTGTTCTCGTGACGCGCTTCCCTTGACGCGCACACCTCCGTTCCTACCCTTCAATGTCCCACTTTCGTTCCCCTTACCCACCTGCCACGGCCCACCCCACCTCACTGGTTTGGACTGTTTTTAACTCCACCAGCGGACTGGCGAGGATGCCGCCCATAACGTCAGCGAGACCGCTCGCTCCGCCGGCGCCTCCGCTGCCGACGCCGCCGCCGACGCCGCCCGAGGCGCCCGAGGTACCTCTCGGTACGTGCCGTACTGCCGCCTCGCACCCAACGGGTTGATGTTTCCTTGTATGCAGTACCGTCCTGATTCCGGTATTCTTGCAACCTACCTGGCAACCGCCCCAGGGCCCCAGGGCTTGCTGTTGCGCCCTGCATGTTCCCTTATGGCCGCACACCCCGCGATACTCGCGGCTATAGACTGCTGTGTTCATCCTGCACGGTCTTATCTTGAAACGTACCTTTTATGACGTTTCTGCGGCGACCACCGCGGCCCTCTGGCTGCCTTGCCTGCGGCCTCGGCTGTGCATGCCTTCAATCATTTTAGGGGCTATTAAGTTTTGTATGGACTATAACCGTTGGGCGTTGGGCGCCCCTCCCATCGTGCTGCCCCCTTCCGCAGGGACGTGGGCGACTTTGTGGGCAAGAAGGCACGTGACGCCGGCGAGGCGGCTGCTGAGACGGCGCAGAACGCCAAGGAGACTGCTGAGAAGGCTCGCCGGGAGCTGTGAGGGGAGGGGGTAGTACGCTGTACAGATGGTTTGTACGCTGTGAAGGTATGGATGGATGCTGCGCGTATGTGCCGCCGTCGGGATCAGGTCCTGGAGAATGTGGTGGGAGGAGCGGGCAGGGCTGTTTGCCTGTTTTGCTGTTGTGTGTCATGTAGTTGTGTGAGCTGCATGCAGGCTGGGCATGCTGCTGGTATTGCATGGGATGCTGTGGGGGGCATGTAGCCTCTGCAAAGTTTTGGTCGTGCATTCGTCCCATTGATTCAGGTTCATGGGGAAACAGGTGTTGCATGCGATTGTGCCTATATAAGTATGCCTCCTCTGCTGAGTGTCCTTTCGTACAGTCCTTTCGCCCTATTGTACGGCAAAACAGGTGGACAGTTTCGTTTTGCCCTAGCAGTACGGCAACATGAGCTTCCTAAACATATTTTGCCCTTGTGTGACATAGCCATGGGTCTGTCTGGAACCCACACGGTGTACACTGCTTTGTTTACGCATGGCGGCGTGGCGGCATGGCGACATGGCCTTAAGAGCATGTTGGGCATGTTGGAAGCAGAACATGACTAGCCTTTTAGCATGCTCCGTACGTTTGGGGGCTAGCCTGTGGTAGTGCTCCGTTGAACATGTTGACCGTTTGGCTGGGCATGCACGTGTTGAGGGAAGGTAGCTAGCCAAGATGTAGCCCAAAGTTGACACTTGAGTGCGCATAATGGAGCATTAGTAATACCTAATACGTTGCATCCTGGTTGTAAACCTGTCCGCAAGCAGCCTAGCCGCAATGAGTGGTAATAATCAACAGGGCACATGTTGCAGCGCCACATACACATATCCATCACGAACGTATATCACAACGCTCCGAAACGCCACACGAGTCTCATGGTGCATATCGTACCCATATATACCAGTAGATGGACATAGGTATTATGGTGATTCACATGTTGAGCCTCCACACCTTCACCCTATAATGCCGTCTGCGGCATCAACATGAAGGGCCCACAAGTCACGTCACAACCATGGTTGCATTTCCATCCTGCTTTAGTAATGCTACCTAGGTGACCACTTGGGTGGCATGCAAACTGGCTCGGAAGCGAGCGGTTGCCAGTAGCGGCGACACATTAGAGCCTCCTACCTCCTACGTACCAATAATGACATTATCAGCTAAGCTCTCTGAAACGTCGCAACCCAGGATAACAGCATAAAGCCCAGGACAAAACAGTCTACATCGCTTCATTTTCCAGCACGCCAACAGACTTCCATGCAGCATCCGCCCCCTACGCAACCAACCGCCGCCTCACATACCGCTGCACCTCACCAGCACCCGCCCGGTCGTACACAGTAGCCCCTTCAGGAGAAGCTACGGATGAGCCGCGCGTAGGTACGGCAGCCGTTGCATGGGCCTCATGTACGACACGGCACCTCTTCCCCTGGCATTGCGTCGCCGTGCCCATGAGCCGTGATACGTATGCGTAGGCCACAATGCGGGTGAGCTGTACACTGGCCTGCACCTCGGGATCTTGATCCAACTGCTCCAGCTCGCGCAAATCTGCCGTACCGAGCCGTACACAGTTCCGTACAAGATCTCCCATGAGTGCCGTACGCTCACTGGGGTTGGCGTGGACCCAGGCGGTGATGGCTTTGAAGACGGCGATCTCGGATGGGACCTGGGGTAGTGTGGTAAGAGGGAGGAAAAGGGGTTGGGGGTTAGTGAGTTGTTGGAGGTGAGGCCAGACGTCCGGTGGCTTTGGTAGCCGCAGCGATGCTGGATGACCGGCGAGGCAGGAAATGACTTCTGTGTCTATGTGGCTTTGCTCCAAAGGCAAAAACATTCTCATGAATAGAGTGAATCCCGGGTTGCTTCTGCGTGATGCGCCCAGTGAAAAACGCTATCCTAATGTGCATGGACCAAGCAAGCGAAACGAACCATTAAGCCCGCCAGCCACAAACACACCCACCTGCAGCGAGTTTGCCTGCAGCAGGCTTGTGAGCTGCTCCGGCAGCAGCAAGCTAAAGCCCTGCACGTCCTGCGCCGGGCCAGCACCGCAGGGCATGTGGGCCAGACAGCACCGGCCGGCAGCTTGCCGCAGCGGCATGATGGCGCATACGTCAGCGAACCGGAAGATGCTGAAGCAGTTGCTGGGGTTGACTGATGCTTGCAGCGCAGCAAGGCACAAGTGCCTGGCCGCAAGGACGTTGCTGACTGTGGATACAGCAAGGGCGAGCGTGAGTTGTCGCTCATCGAGAGCCGAGTTGTGGAGCACGGAGGAAGCTATGCGCTGAACGGCAAGCCGGCCGAGCTCGGTGATTGGGTCGTGATGGTGGTAGGTAGCTTGCGCCACGTCCTGTGTATGGCAAATTTCCAACAGCTGCTAAGCATGGAGCTTAACAATTGGATGTTAACAATCGGGCCGCGACAATGCGCCTTACCTGAGAGATACACAGTTGGGCTATTAGGAGCATGTCGTGTGTGACACTGTCGTCCTTCGGCTCCGAAGGAAAGGGTGTGCTGCCGGAACCTGCGGTCGTTGCGCATTGTTGACATGGCTGATGGCTCCGAACGAAAGCCCTAACTATAGAATGCAGAAAGCGATGTGCACTGGAAGTAAGCAGTCGGAATATATTTTTATTTTAAGGCAGTACTTCAAGCATACCGGTCGACGTTGACAACAATGTAATGCGCGACTCACCGACAATGGCCTCTAGGGCCTCGATTCCAGCGGCATTGCAATAGCGAGGCAAAGCTGCCAAGAGTTCGCAAACGTCCCGAACACCGCTTAGGAAGCTAAGGACGTCGACACTATCCATCCTTACTCAGCAGCGTTAGAGGTTCAAGAGGTACAAGTCAAACGTATAACTATGCGGCGAGAGGATTTTCTAAAATAGGCATGTGGCCGCTCTTCTATATGCCGTGGTTAGCTGCAACCCACTACTGCCGACGGTGGCGTCGGTTGCGTCGGTTGTTAGCCGGAGATAGCAAAATTCGGTACAAGATGTAGGACGGCTACGCTTGGAAATCATTCATAGGTTCCAAATCACTGTAATAAGTAGGGGCGTTGCTCATTCATATTGCTGCAAGAATTATTCGGTTCACATTGACCAAGATGTTAACGGCCATGTGACCCTGCTCTCAAAGCTTTCGGCTTCTTCTTCCTGAAGGCTGATATCCAACCCATTGACGGATTCTCGCTTTCCGTCCTTTGTTTTGTGTCTTAGTCCAAAAACACGCTGTCCATACGTGTTGGCCAGCATCTGACATTTGAGCTGCAGTATGGCAACCGACAAAGGCCGTATTGGCACTTGTTCCTCAGCCCCTATCGGGCGAGGTGCATGGAGAGTGACAAGGCGCTCCTTTCAAGGGCCATGCGGCTTCCGTCTGTTTCCGTCTGTCTGCGGTGTACAGATGTATGTAGCCTAACGATGAACATTACCAGATCAAGTTTACCCCATCATTGCTCCCGGCCCTAGCGTGCCCGACCCAGCGGAATCCTCATATACGAAACACATAACGGCATCTCTGAGCTTGGTGCTGACTTGGTAATGAATTGCCACACTGGTCGTCCTGTTACCTGCTACGAAACCCAGGACAGACGAGTTGACATAACGCGTGAAGCAAGTTGCTGCAGTATGTCTCTAAACGGGGGTGCGATTCCAACGAAGGGTCAGGCCTGGCTCCTGCTTGGAGGCCGTCAGCAGTTGGCTAACAGGTGTGCCCATCGGAAAAGGCAACCCAGCCGATCAAGTTCACACATCCATTTAGCAATTTCCATTGTCACGTAGATGCTGTGAGAACAAGGGTTATACATAACGGCCGGGTGTCTGGTCCAAGAGAACATGCAACATCAATTGCGCGTCCACCATTCCTTTATCTACTAAGGTCTTGAGGTTCCCGCTGTATAGCTTCAGGCTTCAATGTTTAGGAACAAAAGGTGCTTAGAAGGAAAGCGCAGACAGAGGGGCTAAACAGACCCAGTGGCCAGCGCCGACCATGAAGTGCTTTAATGCCGGGCAGAATACACCTTACTGCACTGATGATTACATATATAAATACTTTTGATATTAGATGACATAAAGTATTAAAGTCTTGGCCAGCTTGCCCTACCCTGGAGCTTGGACGAGCATTGGGGAAGGTAATGACCCATGGCTTCGCCGCGCTAACCCTCTCTCCCTAGGAACCAACAAAAATGACGAAGAAGCGGCGGAATCGGGGACGCAACAAGCACGGCCGCGGCCATGTGAACCGTGTGCGCTGCGAGTCCAGCGGCGCCATGGTGCCTAAGGACAAGGCCATCAAGCGCTACATTGTGCGCAACATTGTGGACGCGTCGGCCCTCCGCGATATGCAGGAGGCCTGCGTTGTCGACAGTGAGTTGGCGGCCGCAGCTATGTGACGCACCAGGGATCGCTCATGCCTACCTTTTAGTCCGCTGCCTTTGTTATTCTTGTCCTTACTGGCTCTTCATTTCTAGATTTCACACATGTTTGTCAGCTCGTACCTTTAGCACAAAAAGTCATAAAAAGCGCCGTCATTTAAGGTTGCCTGCCGGCGCTGCCGCCCTCCCACAGACTACGCCCTGCCCAAGATTTACCGCAAGGTGTACTACAGCATCAGCGCTGCTATCCACAGCCGCGTTGTGCGTGTGCGTAGCGCCAAGGACCGCCGGAACCGCGAGCCGCCTCGGCGGTTCCCCAGCAGGGAGCAGAAGAAGGATTAAGTGGACATAGCGTGACCGCTCGCAGCACATGCAGCAGCGGTGCTGGTGGCAGCAGCTGAGAGGAGCAGCAGCTGGAGTCCGCTTGGTTGGCGCTGGAGACTGAGCCATCATCGGCTTGTCTCGCGCAAGCGTGCTATACAGCAGCGATTCTTTGAACTGCCACAGTCCATGGAGGCCTTTTTGTTGTAAGCTTAACGCTTCGACTTGACTGCTCCTTGTCCAGTCTACACACAGCTTTGGCATAAGCATTGGGTTGGTCACGCGCAGCGTAGGCAGCCACAACTTGTGGGGTAGTTCAGCCGTCTGCACATGTTCTTCTATGAAAGGGAATAGTTCAAGGCTTACGGCCCGGGCGGTGACTGTAGGGGGGAAAGGTGTTGCGGTGTGTATGACCAGGGGACGCATCCACACACACAGCACATAGACAGCGAACTTCATTACAGCATTACGGCGCTCTAGATAGGAGGGGGCATGTCCCATCTTATGTGAGGGGGAAACATCTCGGGAAAAGGGTTAATGTTCAACCTGGGCCGGCACGGTGTTGTGCCTTTACCATGGCCCACAGCCAGGCATAGTGACAGCTCACATCCCACACCATTAGCAAGCGCATGGCACAGCGGTGAGTGAAGGACTCTTGCAGCCCTGCAGTACGGATGCATGCCATTCCCCACGACGAGATGATAAGCTTGCCACAATTGTCCTGGTGTAGGGCGCAGCATGATAGCTAGCTTAATGATAGCTAAATGGAGTTGAAGACCCTCATTGACAAGATTAATAAATCCAAAAGGAGTGGTTGGGGTGGTATGTGACGGGGTATGACGAGCACCTCAATTGTACGACAGGAGTACGGCAAGCAACCGTGCAATGCCATGAAATGCAAAAAATAGCTCATTGGGTAAGGAGGCTATATCACATCCAAGGTATTGATTCGTTCATACTCCTGCCCGAGCGACTAAGCGCACCTTTCGAACACGACGCGGTGCACCTTTAGCGAACTTTTTACATATAACTAAGCCTTGCATTCTAACCTACGCCAAGCGTTTCATAACAGGATATAAACTAGAAATCATGTCTGATGACAGCGAGGAGTTTCGTTCGGGGAGCGAGATGGACGAGGATAGCGAGGCAGAGTACATGGACGAGGACGATGATGAGGACTACGGCTTTGCAGGGGCAGAAGAAGTTTCAACAGCCCCCAAAGTGAGCGATTCCAAGGCTGCAAAGTAGTGGGGTTTGGATCTTGTTCACTTGCCCAACTTGGAGCTGCGTCCCACCAGGTAGCTGTTTGTGTAGCGTTTACCTCTTTTTAACACAAAATGTTCGTCCTCAACGCAGGTGCCTTACAAGGTCCTTCCTAGGGATGAACTAGATAAGCAACGGAAGCGAGCCCTCAGTGAAATCATGAGCGTCCTAGATGTCCCTGAGGACGTTGCGATGCGCATGCTTCGGAAGTACAAATGGTAGGCAGCGTCCAACGTGACCCCATCGCTCGACTAGGCGCAGCGCAAAAGTCATGCGCACTATTTCCGTCAGCTTGCATGCTGGAGGCCTGAACTGTCATCCACTTCTCCTTTCCCCCTCCCACATACACGGTCAGGCTGCGCGGGTTGCCAGCGCTAAGACACCTTCACGGCATTACATTTGATGCCTCCACTGCTAACCGTACTTCACCCCCCTTCCATGCACGCATTTACCCAGGGACGTAAGCCGCGTCCAGGAGGAGTGGTTCTCAAAGTACGACCAGGTTCGGCAGTCACTGGGTCTCGTGGACGAGGCACCCACCCCTTCCGGGCGAGATGAGGTGCGCTTGCCTTCCCCCTCGTGCGGCATGCCCGACCCAATCTTCCTTTTCGGGGATGGTCTGTGCTTGCGAGCTCATGGGCTAAAACGCGGGCACGCATGTCTTGTTTCAGCTGTTCAGTACGTAAGCGAGCGTACTGTTAGGCTCGCGGGAAAACGCACGAGGGAAAGCACGGGTCCAAGCACAGCAAACAGTATTCAGAGCCGCTGCGTATTAGCTTCCGCGGCAGTACTTACCATGGCACCTGCTCTGGGCCCAACCGCTGAAGCCACGTGTCCGTTATCCGGGCTCTTGCGCAAAGGCGAACACGGGCTTACACCCGCAACGCCCCACCCCTGGCGGGTCGGGCTGGCTCACATGTTGCAACCCATGTTGGCGCCTCATCCCTCAGTCAGTTAGTTGTTTCCTCTTTACCCCTGCCACACATACCCCCCCCCCGATAACCACAGGAGCGCTGCCTGATTTGCTTTGACACCTACCCGCTGGTGGAGATGCGCGCGGCGGCCTGCAAGCACTACTTCTGCAAGGAGTGCTGGCGGGGCTACATCTCCAACGCGCTCACGTCGGGCCCGACCTGCCTGGACCTGCGCTGCCCATCCACGGAGTGCACGGGGAAAGCATGCGTGAGTGCGGGAGCTAGCCTACACAGCAGCATCAACAGCGCATGGAGGAGCTTTGGGTTTGGGGATTTGGGTTTGTAGTCTTTTGGTCCGTAGTGTGAGCTAGCCCCGTTTTGAGCATTCCTACCACAGATAAAGGAGGTCAAGCTTGTTTTGCGTAAGCGGGAAGGACTGGCCAGCGCGGGGACCAGGGCCACGTCTCTGGTTAGGGTTCCCCTGCATGTCATCTGCTGGAGCCGCTTGCTCCTCCCTTCAATTGCACTGCATACCGCGCTTCGTGCATGGAGAGGCACGTGCCTGTCCACACTAACCCGGCCAGAGTTCTCAACACTCGCGTTTGCCTGTGCATTCAGTCGCTTTGTCTCTCGAACTTGCCCCCTACCTTGCGCCCCCCTACCTCAGGTGCCCTCCGCGTTAGTGGTGGAACTGGCCAGTGCGGAGGAGCAGGCCAAGTACATGGCCTACCTGGTGCGGTCCTACGTGGAGGATAACCCCAAGATGGCGTGGTGCACGGGCAAGGTGGGTGGGGTGGGGGCCGGTGGCAGCCTCGATGGCTGCATAAGGGGCCTGTTAGGTCGCTGATTGCTGGCATGACGACAGCAAGCGGTTTTCCCGCGAGTGGCGTGATCCTCCACACCTCGTTTACCGGAGAAGCTAAACCTACTCGCATGGTTCGGCACATAAAAGCAGACAGGCCCGACATGCGGCTCCCTCACGCACCGTACAGCTTTGCTCATTGTTTGTTGTCTTTGTGCACCCTTGACGCCGTCTACATGCTCCCGCCTTGCCGTTGCCCTTTTCCCCCACCAGAACTGCGAGAACGCCATTCAGTGCCTGGTGGACCGGGAACCCGATGAGGCGCTGGACGTCATCTGCACCTGCTCCGCCACCTTCTGCTTCAACTGCAAGCAGGAGGCGCACCGGCCGGTGGGTAGTGGGGGCCGCGGCCGTAGAGGGAAAGCGCCCTGAGTCTGTCCCTCTGTAGGCTAACCTGCCATGCTTGCTACTCCCTGCCATGCTTGCTACTCCCTGCCATGCCAGGTGACGTGCGAAACGGTGAAGAAGTGGATAACGAAGAACAGCGCGGAGAGCGAAAACATGAACTGGATCCTGGCGAACACCAAGCCCTGCCCCAAGTGCAGCCGGCCAATAGAAAAGAACCAGGTGGGGGCTGCAGAGCGCTGCTGGGGGCGCTGCTGGGTGGCGTGGGGTTGGACGGGGGGTGGGCCTATCGATCACGGCAGTCGATCACATCCTTAGGGCAGCATGGGAAACGGTGCTTGCGGTTTGGTGGCTTTGCGGACCTAGGCTGCAGGCCCTCCGGGCCTGCAGCCCGGGGTCCTGCTTGAAAGCAGCATTTGCACTTTGGCACATGGTGTTGTTGCTGTCTCCCCAGCAACTTGAATGTGGATTTCCCTTGAATAGAATTCACCCCTTGGTGCGGACAGCTGAGCATGGCCTTCTTCATTTGTTGATGAGGGAACAGCGCCCGGCACTAGGCCGTACTACTCCCTCCCCATTTCAGAGGTTTCCGCAGTGTTGATCATCCCTCACCACCACCACCATCCCCGCAGGGCTGCATGCACATGACGTGCAGCCAGTGCCGGTACGAGTTCTGCTGGCTATGCCAGGGCGACTGGAAGGAGCACGGCGAGCGGACGGGAGGCTTCTACGCCTGCAACCGGTGCGCACCTGAGCAGACCCCTCACTTTACGACCCAGCGGGGTGCCGGGTAGTATTTTCTCCTCCAACACTGTGATGGGCATAAGACGCATCAGGATGCATTGGGGGCAGCGGACGAGGGGCTCCTTGCGTGTAGGAGGCATGGGACGAGCATGAAACGGGGACAATAATAGCATGCAAGTCATTGCAGCAAACAGCGCGTTCGGTCCATCGCTGGGATTTCTTACTACTCCTTACTTCCGCACAACGTGGGCAAGCAACGGGAGGTTGTGGTGCCCATATTGCATACCTAGTTGGCAGCTGCTGGGACGCATTAAGTGACCCTCCCCGGGCCCTGTTGTTCTGTACTACAACATCCCAGGTTTGAGACGGCGAAGAAGCGCGGGGAGTACGACGACGATTCCCGGCGACGCGAAAACGCCAAGGCGTCCCTGGAGCGTTACATGCACTACTTTGAGCGCTTCGACGCGCACTCGAAGGCGCGGGAAAAGGCAAGTGATGAGATATACATGCAGGGCGTTGCATGGGGGAAGTTTTGGGAGCTAGGGCCGTTTTCGCAGGTGTGGGGGCGTGCTGCATCAACGCATACAACACAAGGTGTTCCGTTCCGGCGGTTCCTTTTTTTGCGACGATACTTATGCTAGCATGCTGCTGAACAACCCCCTTTGCTCTGCCGTACACGCATGGCTGCCGTACACAGGCCCGCACGGACGCCAGCAAGGTGTCCAAGGACTGGCTGGAGCAGCTGGCGGACATCACCAAGACGCCCACCTCGCAGCTCAAGTTCATAAACGAGGCGTGGAACCAGGTGGGGAGGCGGCGGCTGGTGGGGCGGGGCACCAGGGGAAGTAGAAGCCTAGCCAAACCCCATGTGCAAAGCTATGGGGCTCACAAGACGGGAGGCGTTGTCCTGCGGCTATAGGACCAACATGTTCCTGCACGTTGGTGGGATGACAATCATGACATGTATCGCGCACGCGAAAGGAAGTGTGCCTACGCAACATGGTCTCGGCCTCTCGGCAGCCCATGGCTAAGAAGCCGTAAGCCTGCCTGTCATCGTCTCTTATGACAATAACAACAGCAACGCTGCTAACGGTGTTGCTGCGCACGCGCACAGATCGTCGAGTGCCGACGACAGCTCAAGTGGACGTACGCGTACGGGTACTACGCCTTTGAGAACTACGACCGGAACCAGGAGGTAGCCCGCCACAAGTCCTTCTTCGAGTTCCTGCAGGTGCGTGGGAGGCCGGCTGCGGCAATGCGCAGCCCTCGTCTGGCGGCTGCTCGGTCCCTATACTTCCATGTGCAGACGTTTCAGCAGGTTCCAACACTGATTTGTATACACTACAATTAATGAACTGTGTCGGGGCTTGCTGTCGACCTTGGGATGCTGCTTGGTGCCTGTTCTTGGATCTCGGCTTTCCTAACCCCTAACCGGTCCTAGCCATCAGCTTCCTCGCCCATTATTCGCTGCACTGCCCACGCTGCCCGCACCTCCGCTCCCTCGCTACCTCCCTGGCAGGGTGACGCGGAGAGCGCCCTGGAGCGGCTGCACGAGGCTGCGGAGAAGGACCTGGGCGCGCACGTGCAGCGTGCTCGCTCCCAGGCGGAGGGCGGATTCGACGCGGAGGCCTTCCAGAACTTCCGCAAGAACCTCATTGGTGAGAGGGGGCGTTGCAGCCGGGTTATGTTGCCTTTCCTGGGCTGCGATCAATAGCTTTTGCATTTGCAGTGGTTGGAGGGGTGCATGTGCACGGAGGCTGACGGGCAGGAAAGGCACGGTCTTCTGCTGTGGCGAAGCTAGCCCTGGTGCACGAGAGAGCCCAGACCGCCAGATCTTGCGTACCGGTACCCATGAGGCTGGACTGCTTGGCCAAGGACCTTGTAACGTCCGGCTTCCTGTGAAATTGACCATGCGAGCGATCTGTGCGTGCTGCCAAGCCTACTGCCTGGGTTACCACCTGATCCCTATTGTTCCCGGTTGCCCCGCCTCCCCGACACAGGCCTCACGGACGTGACTGCGGGCTTCTTCGACAAGCTGGTCAAACAGCTGGAAAAGGGCTTCAGCAGCATGGAGACGGAGTACGCGGGAAAGGTGACTGGGGTGCTGCACGCCTGAAAAAGCCTGTCACACGGGACCGGACGCCTGCGAGCGCTTGACCTGCATGCCCCTGTGCTGCTACAGCAGCACATGAGCTGTCAATCACTGGGGCCCTGTTCATTTTGGAACCAAGCGTTACACGCTCTGTTGCATGCCTGTAGGTGGAGGACGAGGCGGGTCCCAGCACTTCAGCTGACGTTGAGGACGGCTCCAAGGCCGGCCCCTCGTCGGCCCCGGCGCAGAACGGCAAGGGCCGGCGCGCCAAGAAGGCGCGGGGCGGGGAGGAGGACATGGACCAGGTGAGCCGTGCTTCGCACTGATCCCCATGCACCTTTCCCTGTCTGAATCCTAATCTGCCGGTACGTTGTCTGTTACTTCGGTATGGCATGCTCACGTGCATGGTATTCTTACTGCGCATGCAGCTCATCAACGAGCAGGGCTTCTGGGCATGCAGCAAGTGCACCTACAACAACGAGGACACCACTGCACGCAAATGTGAGATATGCGGGGCGGCGCGGCCTGGGCACGGCAACGCGGGCGGCTCGAAACGATAGTGCTGCCCGGGGGCCGGTGGGCGTCTGCATGGTGACGTCAGCCTCTGCTACGACAAGCACGCGGGGGCAGCGTGGTGAGGACAGTGGTGGTGGTGGTGGTGGTGGCGGCGGTATGGACGGTTGGTCGGCGGGAGGCGTGGAAAGTAGTGTCCGCGGTTAGCAGGTGCGCTGGAAGAGTGCGCCTGCATCTTGTACAGTGGGTGGATCCCTGGCCAGCTCGCCTGTTGGGAGGAGTGGCCAGTTGCAGGTTTATGTTAGGACACGCCGAAACCCCGTGCATATTGACGGTCGAGTTGTGTGTCTTATAGGATGACTGGCTGACTGGATGTCATCGTTTTCTTCCTGCTGCTGTTGACGGGTTAAGAGGGAAATAGCCTTGTCGAGGTATGTGAGGATAGCTTCGTTGGGACATTTCCTCGTGTTGCCTAATGGTTCCATTCGCCCATGCAGTTGTGTTCATAGGCAGATCCACGTGTACAGAAGGCTCTTATGCCCCAAAAGATTTGGAGTCGCCATTGAATAGATACCATGTCGTCGACGGGTGCCGACTTGCTACAGCTATCGTCACAACGCCTGTTGGTGGTGACTTAATACATGCAAAACCAGTGTGGCTGTGGTTGGCGCCGGATGGCGGCTCTGGAGCCTTGACGCATGAGGGTTTCAAGACTTGTGTGTGGATGAGATGTTGGTCATGCATGCATCGAAGAAACTGCGCAGGAGGAGCAGGCAGCTGTGACGTGCCAGCTGCCAATTATGAAGATGGATGGTGGGCATAACCCACCCGTTTCCTGTAAGATTGCTACAGGATTGGGTTCTTTAAATGTTATGACCGTTAGTACGCCGGCAGTATGCCAGTACCCAAGCAAGGGGGAGTGCATTTTGCAATGTTTGGACGGTGCGCTTCAGGGGCCGCATGAGGCTAGGAGAGCGGCAAAGGAAACGGCTCCTTTCAGATGTGCAGGTAGCACGAGTGGCATGCCTTGTGTGGAAAACATATGTCCGGCCCGTATCTGTCCGCTAGGGTTGCTACTAGGTGCCCAGCAGTCATAAGAAGCCGTTCTACTTTAGGTGAGCCTTATACCGGTGACACAAGTAGCTTCATGTGCACCGGTCTTCGCACCCACCGTCGTACAGCATGGCATGCCATGCTGCTCATGCACGTATGCGTAGCTTCAGGTAGAAAGCGGCACCATGGGTTGCATGGTAAGCCCTCGCACCCAGCGCTGCAAAGTATGACATGCCATGCACCTATGCTTAGCTCCTAGGTCAGGCGACACCTCTCCCTGTGCACCTGTGCGCATTCGGGACCTCAAGAGCTGAACTGGAGATAAAGGAAAGCTAAGGAACACGAATCTCTACTCGAGGACAGGCGTTCTCCGTGTTAAGGGTACACAGCTACACACCAGTGCCGGGCTATTTCAGTGCAATTAAGAAGTCTATCTGGCAGCTGATGGTCTTTCAGTTGTAAGCGACATATAACGTTAACTAACATACGCAAAGTGCACTCAACTCGGCTGAGGAGCCGCCAAGCAAACCATGCCTCAGGTTACGCTTTACGGTAGTCCCGGTAGTTCTGCTCCAAGCGAGTGCAACTATGCATATCTACCACTGAGGTGTACACTGGATGATTCGGCTGTTTGCAGCGTGTCCAGACGGTGTGCATGCCCTTTTTGGTTACGACACATTTCGCCGTAGATCCTGCTCAGTCGTGCAGCTGATAGATTGCAGTTTGAATTGGGATTGCACATGCTGGAGAGCTGGACACTTTGAGCGAGCATCTATGCGTTCCACAACTTTAGTATACAAGGCCAGGAGACAGTAGGCATGAACCTGCACTAACTTGGCAGGCAAAACCTGCATTAACCTGATCAATTGCGCTGTGACCTAAGACACTATGGCGAGTAACATTTTTAAGGAGCTTGAGAAGGGTAGCCTTCCAGGTTTAAAGCGCTGCATCTCCCTCTTCCCCTCATCAGTTCATACAAAAAACTCGGTGCGTCAAGGAATATTAATACGCGCTGATTAGAGAGTTCGCTAGTGCAACTGCAATTATGCATAGTGGACGGAATATTTAAGAGGTGCCGTTAACGTATTATTTGACCTGCACTAAACCAAATGGACCACTCAAATACGCGCATTCACAACTGCCACAGGCGGGCTCCACTCCCCTCCATATTGCCGCCGCCTTGGGGCTATCGGTCTTCGTAAAGGAGCTGCTGGTTCATGGCGCCTCACATGATGCACCTGACGGTCAGGGGAATCTTCCCTTGCACCTTGCGGCAGAGCAGGTATGCTTCTTCCTTGGACACTTCAAAGAGGAATAACTATGTTTCTGCATGTAAGGGCACGTGTGTTTTTGCTGATAGGGACACACGCCACCGTGTCCACATACACCACCATGGGCGCTGAACTCACCATGACCACCCCCATTGGAGTGTGTAGTTGCAAATAATTTTCCCCACGATTCGTAATCCTCCGTACAGGGCTCTGTTGACAGCGTGGCCGAGCTGCTCACCGGCCCAGGCCGCAAGCTGGTCATGAAAGCAAAAAATAGGGTACGTGGCTGCAGGTTCAGGGTCACCGCAGATAGGCCTCGGCCACATGCTATGCATGGGATTGGGCATGTGGACAAAGCGGTAAACTCCTGCCTCGTGTGACTAGCGTTTGCACCGCAACGTTTCCGCAAGTCCTGTGCTGTTCCGAGGTGCGGTATCCTGTTGGTGGGCCTGAGAGCACACGTGTGGAGAATGGCATGTCTTACTGCTGGATAAAGCGAGCTCAGAAGTCATTACCACTTATTACGCTGCCCTCGCAGGATGGCCAGACGCCGCTGCACCTGGCAGTGCGGAATGGACACTTGGCTGCGGCGGCGAAGCTGCTGGATGCCGGTGCACGAACGGACGCAAAGGATAAGGTCAGTCTTTGCAGGAAGCCGCCGCAACCAGCGAGCTATGTTGACGGGTCGGGTTAGGAAGTGCGTCAGACGCCACGTTGTGATCTCATGTGCACTGCCATGCCTGTCATGCGCCCTGCAAACCACCAGAGCAAGCCATGTTCGCCCCTGAACCACGCGTCTCACCCCGTGAACCCCTTCGCAGCCCAACCCCCTATTTCTCACAACAACAACAACCAAGACCCGACCCTCTTGGTTCCCACACACGCAGGCGGGCAACACCCCACTGGACCTGGCTCCCCAGGACGATGAGGACATGCTCCAGCTCCTGCTGACAACCCACCCGAGCAGCACCGCCGCTTCCAACCTCGCCCCCAGCAACAGCTTCACGTTGGGCAGCTCATCCGGCGGCGCAGGCATGCGCACCAGCACTGACAACATGCCGCCCGCCGATTACCGCCCGTCATCCGCTTCCAAGACGCCCAACGGCTCGTCTGGCGGCTCACTCACCAGTCGCGGTAACCCCCTCATCACGCCGCCGGCTTCCGCTCGAGGCGGCGTTGGCTCGGGTTCCGGAGCTCCCAACAGCGCTCGCATGCCGCCGATGCCCTCTTCCGGCGCTGGCTCTATGAGCAGTCGCCTTCCCCGCAGCATGAGCAGCGTGGGGCCGTCAGGCACGCCAACGACTTCCACGATGTCGGCTGGAGGCGCGGGCCCGGGTGTGTCGCCGCCGCCTCGCAGTTATAACAGCGTGCCGGCTGCGGTCTCTCCCGGTGTGAGCACTCCCGGTCCGGTGCCGGTGGTGATGACTCCCAGCGGCATGCCGCTCACAGGCACGACGGTCAGTGTGCAGCTTCAGAAGCACGAGGTAGCCATCCAGGCGCTCCAATCAGACATGCGGGCTGCCACGGTAAGGAGTCGAGTTACCTATGTTTCCCCCCTTTAGTAATGCGCAGTGAAACAGTCCGGGTTGGGGCACCCAATACGTAAATTTCCCGCGGATTATAGCTTATATCCGTGCGAGGGGGTCGCAATTCGCGATTGCGATTGCCTAAACGTTGTCATTTCCACGCCTTTTGCGGATGAACCTCTGTGTGCGCCTGCCCAACCCCTGTCTCTTCTCATGTTTGTCTCTCACGCATGCATGCCCATCTGCTGCGAATTCCGGCACACAGGAGCGCCTGGGTACGGTGGATGCTGTTGCGAGTGCGCAGCTGGAGTGCGCTGCCCAGGTTGAGAAGGCGCTGTCCGCGTGCGGCAGCCACGGCAGGTCGCTGTCAGACCTGGAGGCGCGCATGTCGTTTCAGGAGGAGCGGAACAGAGATGCGCGGGGTCGCGTGGAGAGGCTGGAGGAGGGAGAGCGCGTGCTGCAGGTGTGCGTTAAGAGAATTGGCCGCGGGTAGTAGGAACGTACTGTAGTTGCATGTGTGTTTGTGCGATGGGGTGTGCCGTACATACGCTGTACATGCGCACACAGACTGGAACTGTACAATTGCCAAGCACCGGTACGCTGCAGTTAACAAACCAGGGCCCTGCCCGAAAGCCCGCATCGTTCTGACACAGTATATCCGCCGGAGTTGCAGGTGCACCAAGAATCTGATGTGCCCCATGTGGACGATGTCTCCATGCCTGATTCCATGCAGGATTCCGTGTCTCGTCTGTCAGCGGACACCCGGGGCCTCTCCTCGCAGCTGCGGGAGCTGTCGGAGCAGGTGGCGTCGGGCGGCGGCGGAGGAGCACCGGGTTCGGCGCGCGGGGCCAGCGTGGATGCCGCTAGCAGGTACAACGAATGAGCCCCTCCTCGAATCCCTGCGTTTCCCCTAAAATCTCTCACTCTTCCTGCCCTGCCACGGCAATTCTCTTTCATCGCCCACCAAAGTTCTCTTGACTCCACGGCGCTGACAATGGCGGCAAACCTTGGTGTACTGATTCCTGCCTGGCCGCCACCAACCCGTCCCCTTGTCCTGCTGTATGCTTAATCTTTTGCTCTCTTCATCCGCGCAGTCAGCTACAGCGGCAGCTCCAGTCCGAGGTGGCGGCACTGCGGTCGCAGGTGGAGCAGCTCTCGCCCGCACTGGTGGTCGCCACCGCTGCCAGTGCGGAGGCAAGAGCGCTGGCCGCCCGGTTCGATGCGGTGCAGCAGCAGGTGGCGGCACAGCAGCAGCAGCAGCACACGGGGGGAGGCGTGGTGGTTGAGCAGCAGGTGCTGCAGCTGCAGGCGCAGGTGGGGTGCGGGCTGTTGGGGGTTTGGGTGGTGGAGCGTGGCGCAAATGGTCCAGTGTGGTACGGTGGCGGCGCTGGTGTCGCCGAGGAATGTCGCCAAGGCAGGACTTTTGACTTGAGGCTTGGCTTGGCCTTTTTGCCCTGTTTGGTATGCTTGTGCTGTAAGCACCATACCTAACGACCGGGCTTTGACGATGCTTAAGACTCGGTTTCAATCAGCTTTAGCTGGGACCTTGATCTCCATCCGAGAACCCAACCTCGCCGCACACCACCCACACCGCCTTGCGCCACCCTTGTTCACCCACCGCCCTTCAGGTCCAGCTGCTTCAGCTCCCAGTGGCCACCCTCACCCAGCAGTGCGCCGATCTGTCCTCCCGACTGTCGGGTCTCATGGAGTGGCAGCAGCACGCGCGTGCGGAAATGGCTCGGCTGGCGGAGGCCGCGGCAGCTGCTGCCGGCGGGAATCCGGCGGGCAGCGGTGCGGGTGGTGTGCTAGGGGGCGGCGAGCTATCTGGTAAGAACCAAGAACGCCCACATGCTGACTGTTGCTGGCTATTGCACCCGTGGCTAAAACTTAACACGATGAGAAAACATCCGGCAACGGTCGGAATAAACAGTGCACTTCAGTGTTGTTTGCTCTCCTCCTCCAAAACTTTCATCACCCATCCTGTGTCACCCTGCAGAAACCATGATTGGTGTGCTTGAGACCACCACCCGAACCATGGCCGAACTACGACAGCAACAGGAAACCATGGCCAAGCAGATTGCTGCACTCCAACAACAGCAGCAACAGCAACAACAGCTTGGAGGCGCGCTGGCGTCCCCGATGCCATCCGGCCCCCCGCCCCTTCCGGTCACCCCCAACGGTGTGTCTTGATGTTTGTGTTGGGGTGTTGACATACCGGTTTTCAAACTCTGACATGTTGTCCTGCCTCAACCACATCTCCATTCATCACCCCTAGTGCTTACTCCTTGGCACATGCCTCCAAAGCGGCTACACGCTGTCTTACGTCTTGCTTTTGAATGACCACATTCTGAATGACCTACACGCACATGCGGGAGGACGTCATCTTCCGGTAATCACAGTACGTTCCGCCTCGCGGCCAGTTATCTTAACACACATCTGCCATGCAGGTCCGAACCAGCGTCTGGGCAGCTTGGGTGGCGAGGGAGCGCTAAGCAACCCGCCCTCCCGCAATCTCGGCAGTGTGCAGAGCCTGGGAACAATGGCTAGGGAGGCGACTGTACAAGCAGAGCTGCGAGCTGAGGTAGAGGCACTCAAGGTAAGCTCACCCGCCCACGTAGAAAGGAGCTCGGCTTTGGTTATCACCACAGGAAGCTACTCATTCGCGCTCTTTCGCCTGCCTGTGCTGGCGTGAATCATTGTGTTTGTGTAAAAATTTGTATACCACCCATGAGGCTGCCTCTTAACCGCATGCTGTGCTGTTCCTCTGCAGTCGCAACTCGCGGACGTGCGGAAGGAGGTGGCCAGCGAGGGCGGCAGCCTGCGTCGCGAGTGGCAGCGCGCCTTCAGTGACATGCAGTCCCGCTACGGCGAGCAAGCGAACGAGCTGAGAGCGCGGGAGCAGAACATTGCAAAGCTCAGGTGGGACGTTGGGCGCAGTGGCACGGTGTTCATTGCGATTAGCTTGCATGGCGCGACATGAACGAAGGGTTTTGCGGTTTGAAGCCTCTATCCCCATTCTGCGTTACAAGGGTATGTACTCTTTACCCAACTGCCTTTAGTTGACCATGTGTATCTCCAAAGAAGCTCTGCCCTGTTTCCGCACGTGAATCTTAAGCATGTTGTCATGCTGTGTCCGTGTTGTGTTTCCGGACTCTCGTCAGTGCTAACGTGACCGCCTTCCGTCCTTCACGTGTTGTGCCGTTCAGGGAGGCGGCGCTGGTGGAGGAGGCCGAGCGGCGCGCCGCGATTGGCTTCGAAGACAAGGTCGCAACTCGGCTTGGCAAGTTGGAGACCGGCATTGAATACCTCACGGTACGAGTTTGCTAAGACTTTACAAGTTGCCCAATCGAACTTCGTGGTCCACGCAAGATGTCGTTGCATTGCCGTCATCCCTTTGTCGCCGCCCTTTTGTTACGGCGTTTACCGTACCGCCTTAACCCACTCTCTGCCGACATGCTGTCTGTCCCCGGCACTTTTCAACCCGTCTCCTCGCAGCACCGAATGGAGGTACTCGAAGAGCAGATGGGCGGCATGGCCGCCTCCTTCGTCACTGTCAACAGCCCTTCCGGGGCCATGTCGCCCCCCCGCGCCGTCCCCGCCGCCGCAGCAGCAGCAGCCACGACAACATCAGCGGCAGCAGCAGCAACGGCGGCGGCGGCGGCAGCACCCGATCAGGGGCTCGTCTGGCATCCCAGCCCGCAAACCGCCACACCAGGCACCTCCGGGCCGGGGCCTGTTTCTGAGAACCTTAGCCACTTCTCGCCTGCAGACACACAGCTCACGGCGGCTGTTGTCAACGCCGCAGCATCCTCACTTGTGGCTGCAGCAGGCACCACCATGCAGTCCATTAAGCACACTGCTGGGAACTGTACGACGTTGCTGGCGCCGAGCGTACCTGTTGTGGCAGCCGGTGGCAACATTGTATGTGGTCGTGCGTCCGGTGAGACGTACCCTGTTACTGCAGCTGCCCCCAGGCAAGTCGCATCGCAGCACCTAGCAGCTACCCAGGATGAGTGGTGGCGAGCAGCCGATGCTGCTCCTGAAATGTCGCCATCGCGACCCACGGGTCATCTGCCGGCCCCAGAAGCCGTACCAAGCCCGTCGCAGCCAACACCCCGAGCAACCGGAGCCCTGGCTTCTCCCAACACCGCTGCTGCGCTCATGTCTGGTGCTGCCCTGCCCGCATCTGCAAGGGGTAGCCCCATGCCTGGTACGAGCTTGCCGGTCCCGGGTGGCTGGGAGCTCTCCAACCCCGCCTCTCCGCGTCAGCAGCTGCTGAGAGAGCTCATGCCCACTCCCTGGGAGCAGCAACCCCTTGGCAGCAGCACCACCACCGCCGAGCCCCACGCACCCACCACAACCACCACCAGCCCTGGCCCATCTGGCCCTCCTGGCATGATGCATGCGCAGAACTGGCAGTCCCCTGTGTCCTCACAAGCGGCCCACGCTCCTGCAAACGCCAATGCAATGTCACCGGGAGCAGTGAGCCTGGTAGCAGCAGCCGCAGCAGCCACGGCGGCTACGTTGACTCCACACCGGGGATCTCCCTTGCACCAGCCGGGCGCTGGCGGCACCACGAACAACACGGTATGCACAACCGGCGCTGCTGATGCTGCGGTGTTGCTGCCTCCGCTGGATCTAGCTAACCTGGCTCTTGCCCCGCAGCTGCTTTCGGGTGCCCCGCGGGACTTGCTGGCGCCCAGTATGGACGTACAGCGGTTGGCGGCTGCGATGGCGGTAGAACAGCAGCAACAGCAGTCGCCATTGTTGCTCCAGCAGCAGCAACAGCAGCAGCAACAGCAGCAGCAAGGATACCCGCAGCAAGAGCAGCAGCAGCATGGACACCACCGTGTATCCTACTTGGGGCAGCAGGAAACGCTGGCAACGCAGTCCTACCAAACCCACCATCAACAACAGCAGCAGCAGCAGGTGCTGCAGCCGCAGCTTGGGCTAAACAGCAGCGCTGTGGGGACGGTGGTGCAGCAGCAGCAACAACAGAACCTGGTCTCCAGCTTGGCGGCTCCTGGTGGTCAGGCCACTGGTACGGCATCCGCTAGGAACAACACGGTTGCTGCTCATGAGACCTCTGCCGGGCGCAAGAAGAGCAAGACCAAGGAGCCGCCAATGTGCGTTTATTGCTCGGTGCAGTAGTGTGAGGGGGGCATGACGCGGATCTTGTAAATGTGCCCGCCCCTAACGTGCTCATGTTATTATTGCGATTGAGTTGTACCAGGCTTTGCGTGCACGTGAGCGCCCTGCGATAACAGTGTTTTCCTGTCCCGGTGCTGGTCATAACAGCTCGCAGAGGGTGCATATAACGTATACCCTTCGCCGTTGCAAGGGGTTGTACCTTCACTGCCTAAACGTTATGCGGGTTTTCGCGAGAGGGGGGGATAATTGTAAGGCGACTGGGCGGGGACAACGGTGGCAAGGCAAGGCTCGTGTCAGGAACAGTGTTCGGCGAGGCGAGAGTAATTGCGGCAGTTGGGAGCGAAATGGAGAGCCAGTGGTAGGAGTTCATGGGAGGGCCGACACCCTTGGCAGTACTGGGCTGGGTTGTCCTAATCGCTTTCCTTTTGGCGTTTTGGGTTGGAATGCTGGTTGCTTGAGGCGCTCGTGTCCGTGGTTGCAGGATGACGCCCCTGGCCTAGCAACGCTGTAGACTAGGGACAGAGAGCTCAGTTGTTTTTCCGTGTGGGGGCGTGTCGGGATTCCGTGCGTGATTGTCGTCGTGATAGCAGGGCGTCGCTTTCCGCTTCTTAGTTCTTATGCATGGTAGGCGGGTTACATTGGCTGGTGTGCGCCAAATTCTCCGATTTCATACGCACCGCTTGCGGGTAGTAAGGGAATTAGACGACCGTATCCATGTGGTTTGTCGACCAAACGTTGTCTAGGGCTATGGTCTGCCGTTAGTAACGGCATTATAGTCTTGCCGTGCATGTTGCTTGTTGACGCCCGTGTCCGTGTCAGTTCAGTTGATGTGCTGTCGGTCTTGGTTCGTGCACGTTTGAGACGACATTGCGCCTTCGTACGTGCTTGCCTGCGACATGAGGGGTGTGCGAGTCATAGCCCATAGCTTCGGCTACTCATTATACCACCTCATTGTAAACTGGGATAACATCTACTCTGTCTATAATTGCATCGCTTCACGTTTTGCCGTCTCTGGATGAGGATGGTTGACGACCAAAGTGTCGCAGTCAGTGCATCTTCGCTGTCTGTGGATATTCTGGCAACCATATTCGGCCATCTTAGCTCACATGCGCGGTGGGTAGTTCTGTAATGGCAAAGCCATATTTTGCCAACCAATGCTGCCTGGCAACTGCAGCCACCTAGCCGTTTCCGGCGTCGCAGGCTTTGCGGTTAATAACACCTAACATTTTGTTATCAATGCAACTCCCACAGGCGCGTTATTGTCCCTTTGGTCTGTAAGGAATGGAATCGCGCCGTGTCGCCTCGGACTGGGACGTTGGCCCTTTGGGAGAATGTCGAGATCCAACACGACTCTAGTCTGGAGCGCAATGCAGATGTCCTCGTCGCTAGCAGCGATTCGGTTGCCCAACCACAGCAGCAGCAGGTTCGGTCCATCCGTCAATGGCTATGGGAACGCCGCAACAGGATGACAGCGATGGATGTAGACCTATACGGCTCCGTCGAGCTAAGCAACACGAAGCCTGCTTTCGTTCTAGCGTCTTGGGCTCATGCCTTCGGTCATGCTCTCCCTGCGCTAGGACCGACAGCCAAGCTCAACCGGCTTACACTTCATGGCCCTGGCGTCATTCCATCCAACACTGCCGGGCCCCATCCAGGACTCTCCTCCTTCCACAACGCAGCAGCTGAAGCAGCCGGCATCGTGCTGTTAGGCACCTTCTCACTTCCCTCCTTGGAATCCCTTCACGTGTACGACATTCCATGGGCAGCCTCATTGCACCTTGCAACCAAACCACCCGCTGCAATTGCCACAGCCATGGCCTCCGCCGTCGCCGCCGCCGCCGCTGGCTTCGGATTCCCGCCGTCGCCTCCGCCAACAGCCTGTCCCAGCTCGCATCACCTCAACCTGGCTAACCTCCGAGAGCTTGTCATTAACCGCTGCTTCTTCTTCCGCGCCGCCGCTGCCGCCGGCGCTAACGCTGACGCTGATGCCGAGGAGGGAGACATGCTGCTCGACAGCGGTGTGGCGGAGGCCTGGGAGGCACTGGGCCGCGGCTTGGCGGCGCTGCCCCTCCTGGAGCGCCTAGACCTGGCGTTCACGCATGCCATGACATACTGCGACCCCGCGCGGGGCGCCGCCGCCGCCGCCTGGCCGCCGCTGCGGCGGCTGCGTGAGCTGTCGCTGGCACATGACCTAGCGGTGCAGCCGCCGCCGCGGCGGCCGCGGCCGCCGCCGGAGCCCGCTGTCGCTCCCGCGGCGACGGCGACGACGTGGATGATGACACCTGGATGCGGGGTGACTCCCGGCGCGGAGGAGGAGGGGCGGGCGTCGGGGTGTGCGGATGCCCCGGCGGGGGCTCTGTCATCACTGTTCCCAGAGGGCGAAGCAGCGGCGTCGGGCTGGGAGGCAGATGCTGGGTGTAGCGGAGTGAGTGGTATGGAAGCTGCAGCGGCGGCCGTGGCTGCGTTGAGCCTTGGCAACATGGAGGCCGCCGCTGGGGAGGCAGGAGGTGAGGCAGCGGCGGAGGCGGCGGCTGAGCCAGCGGGGGCGGCCTTAGCGGCGGAGATAGAAGCGGCGGCGGCACCAGCGGCCGCAAACGCTGTCGGCGGAGGCGATGCAGACGTGGCAGACATCGCTGCCGCCGCCGCTGCCGCCGGCATGCTAGACGCACCGCTGCTCACCGTGGATGCTGCCCATGCCTCCGTGGAGCTGCTGACGTGGCTACCCACATGCAGCGCCCTGACGTCCCTGGACCTGCGTCGCTGCGGCTTGGAAGCCGTACCCATGGCCGTCGTACATTTGCCGTACTTGGAGCGGTTGGACTTGTACGGCAATCCGCTCGCCTCCATGCGCTTCCCGGGCCCCCTGGAGCGGCTGACGTGGCTGCGGTTCAGTCTGGATCCGTCGTACGACATGTTGTACGACATTCTGGCGGCGGAGGCGGGTGAGGCGGCGGCGGAGGAGGAGATGTTGGTTGTGGAGCTGCAGGCGCCGCGGTTGCAGGAGCTGCAGGTGGGTGCGTTGGCGTTGGGTTGTTTTTGGGTTGTTGTTGGTTTCTCAAAAGGTACCGTATCAGGTCCCGGGTTTAGGTGGGCGAGGCTCGACTTTCAGATCGGGTTCGGCGGGTTGGTTTGTCTAGCCATCATTGTTGATTTTCCTTTTATCGCACCCATGCACCTTTTACGGTACCGTACCCATGCAGGTGGATGGATGCAGCGAGCGAGCCTTGCCTCGGATCCAGGGTGCTGCGGCGGCATTGCCGAGCTTGCGTCGACTGGCCCTGCAGCTGCATGATGGCTTGTGACCTAACAAGGATTATAATCCAGGTGTACGGATGTAGTCCAAGTATCCAGATGCCCAAGCACATATTGACCTAAAGGATGCGGGGATCTGTGGATGTAGCGGACATGGGCGCCTCCGCGGCTGATGACTTTTGGCGCGTGCCGTTGTACCTGTGCGTTGTATGCGCTAGTAGTGAAGTGTGGATTGCGACGGGAGCAGGGGCCAAGACGAAGGTCTCAATGTGTACATTACTAGGATCACGGCTGAATACCAGTTGTACGGCATGGTCTGATGCGAACACCACGGCCGCCGCAACTTGGGGGGTCAGAAGCAGTTGGGAGATAATGATGTTTAATATATACCGCAGGGTGCAGGGGGGGGTACATTTTTTTTGGTAAACCCCATGATGATGTTTTGGTGGCGACCCATCCCGGACCCACCCACCCACCCTACAGAACTTCGAACACTATTTTCTCATACAGCCGTACGCCAAAAAAGACGCAAAAAAGACCAATGGATTCCTTTCAGTGTCCTCTTTCTGTTATACAACGTGTTGAGCTTTTGCACCTACTAAGTCATGCCATGGTCGCGCCATGCCATGGTCACGCCATCCAACCCTATAGATAGCAACGGGTGCACCGGTGTACACTAGCCTCATACACACGCACTACTGCGTCAAGACCAGCAATTACCAGCAAGGATTAGCAGGGCTCAAACAACGTGCAGCGGCTGGCACAGGTGACGCAGCTGCTGCCGAGAGACCTGCCCCGTTCTACTCCCCTCAACCCCACCCCGGAGATGCAGCACATAGGGGAGCCGTGTCACATGGTTAACTTCCCGGCCCCCTTTCTGCTTGGCTGTGCAGACCACCTTCGGGTGATTCCCCCCCAAGTGGAGGCACCCGGATCCGCGCCCTGCCTGCCCCCCACCGACCCATACGTGTTTTGGTACCTCTCTGACCACCCATGCGTGGTAATGTCATCATGCCATGCCCAAACCATATCAGGAAGAGGCAAAATGCGTTTATAGACTGCTTACAGTATGTTTATCGTATAAATATCCTTTATAGTGAGTTTGGCAACGCCAGGAAAAAGTTAGGAAGCCCTTGGAAAAAACCCACTGGACCCCCAGACCCCACCCACCCACCCTGCCGTACAGTCACCTTTGGGCGCAGATAACTTTTTCCGTACAACTCCAATTAAAATTCTGAAAGCAGATTTGGAATGCTCTCAATAAGCTCTTTAATTTTGAATCATGGGGTCTGTCCTCGCGTTTCCTACCCCCCCCCCCCCCCCCCAGCCCCCCTGCAGGGTGTGTTGTTAATGGCCAGTGGGTTGCACTTGAAGGTTGCTTGTCTGGTTGTTGTATGCTTGTGTTCTTGGATATTATTTGGCTAGCAGGCGGTGCCGCCGCTGTTTTGTTGTGTTTGCACTTCCCATCCAAAGGTTACCCAAATTGGTTGCTTTGCTGATAGGATGGAAGTTTCGGAACACCTTTACAGGTGGATTACGCGGATTGCGGATATCGGCAGTTGGCAGTTGTGCGTTTCCTGGCAACGGCAAGCTAAGAGAGATTCGTTCCAGGTCTCACAAACCTCTGCCGCTACAATGCAGTATGACTATATATAAGACTATATAAGGTGTGCATCGCAACGGGCGCGTCAGTTGCTGGTTGCCACTTCAACAACTTTTAGAACCCCTAAAAATGACAACAATGCTGAGCATATCTCGCAGCGGCATTGTTCCTCATCATTCAAGGCGGTAACCACGTAATCCGCCATCGCCAGCTCAAATCACACAGCAAGCCCTACGTGCATGGGGGTCACAAGCCATCCGTAATTGGGAGTCACAAGCCCTCCATACATGGGGGCTACAAGCCCTTTACTGATGTGAGAAGTAAGCATGCGACCTAAGCATAGGACAAACCTCATGTGTTCCGCTTACAGCGCCTACCGATCTGGCAGCGAAGGCGGCTTGCTACATCCCGAGAGACAGAAACAACCTACGTTCAGAACACCCAGCGATATCCCTACCCAACAACCCAAGACAACCCTACCGTACACTTCCATAAGAACACAACGGCATATTTCGAAGGGCTGATCCATCAACAGTGGTACAAAACTATGCGTCTCTAACCATGACAACCATGCTTACGTCTGGCGTACCAACGAACTCCCGTGTTACGTTTTGGGAGCCACTGTAACAGCCATTCATTCAACTTTTAATTCTTGCTGAAGAAACCGGCAACCTATCCATGAGGATGGCAAACCCTGCGCAAAGCTTGACAATCATGACCCCAGCTAGTGGGTAGGGGTCACCATCAAATCCAGCTCCTCGAGCAAACGTTTCGATAAACCTTGCGTACCAAAAGCAACCAAGAGTAACCACGAACAGCCAAGCATGAAAAGTCGAACAGCCTTATTAACCTTACTCATCTCACTGCTAGCACTACCTGACGCTTGCGACCACGCCAAACAACTGCCGAACAAAAGATCGCTCTTGTTTGTTATATATAACCCAACAGCAAGCGTGAAGGATAGCCGGCGCGATTACCGGCGCTTCCTTGTTGTACCGAAGTAGCTAGAGACGAGCACGTCGAGGAGGTACCGGTATGAACGGCGACAGCGTGGCAGGCACAAACGTTTGCACATGCTTGCCGTCTAAAAAACCTTGCGCCATACCTGCCCCAGCTCGCTCCGTTACGTATCCCTTCCGCCCTTCCGCACACCTCGCAGCCCGGCCGGCCTTTCCAGCGCCTCGCCTACCGCATTGCCCTGCTGCATGCTGCATTGCCACAAAGTGACATAACATTTATCTCCCAAGCGAAGCCATAAATCGAGGTTACCATTTAGTAAGGCATTTAGCCGCCTCCTTGCCCAACGCTTGTTCTTCGATATACCCTACTTCCCAGACATATCATTTAGCCAGTGGATTGACAAGGAATGTACTCACTCTTGTTTCCGCTCAACTACACAGTGGTAGAACAATGCGTTGGTACCAGCACGACCCATGGGTCACCCCTGGAGGGGTGAACCACTTGCATTACCGCCTTCGTTAGCTCCTTTGAACCCAAACTCATCCAGATCAGACCTGCTAGGACATTTCTTTTCTACTCTAGTCATATCCTAACTCCTGCTCCACAATCCCAGACACCCAGGGAAGCCTAAAGCTCGCAGCGCCGCATGCCGTTTTACGCGGATCTTGACGACTCCTAATTAATCCTAATCAGGCTACTAAGCCTAAAGCAGGCAAATGAGCAGCCCACACCTCCTAACGTAAGCCAGGCTTCTGCAGTACGCAAGCTATAGCCAAACACGTGGGCTTAAAAAAGTAAAGTAAGGCATGACAAGCAGCCCACTAACATAGGTAGCCCCAGAACCACGCAGGACCTTGCTTGTGTCATTGCCGCCTCAGAACAGCATAGAAGCGCTGAAGCCCATCGCCTCAACCTTCTCATGCGTTTGGGAATTCTCCCATGGGGGCAGCTCGCTCGTAGCGGCGCTAAGCCCCGTCACGTGGATACACGTCATTTGCATTTTTTGCGAGCACATGTATCATTAGTTTGTTTTATACGTTGGCAGCTAAAGGCGCACGGTTTTCAGCAGGAGACCGTAAACTCTAGCAACTACTCCCGGCGAAGCGCCCACAGAACGTGCTACAGGCATGTAGTACGTCAGTTCTCCTCACACCAACAATCCTTTTTTAACAATAAAGCTAGCGAATCAGTAAAAAGGATTAAAAAAAATAATGCATGTTGCCATACGCGGTGCAACAGCGAGCGCTACTTACTCGTCCCCTGGATTCGGCCTCAGAAGGTACGTCGGAAGCAAGCCCTTGCCCTTCGCCTGCGGAGCCAGCAGCAAGAAAGAAGGCAGCAACAAGTCAGAAGTAATGTTTCGACGAATTGTTTATCGTCAACTTTGTTGGTCCGGACTGCTAAGAACCTTCCTTATATAAGAGCACAAGCGCTCTAACCGGGCCAACCCATGAAATAGTACGTGCGGGCAAGAGGCAACATATTTTGTAGCACCCGCCCCGGCCTCACCTGCACGCCTCCCGTCGCCTCCCACGGCTCCCCCGGCACCAGGTCCCGCGTGGCGGCGCTGACGTGGATGGCGCCCGGCACCCCCGTGCTCTCCATGCGGCTGGCCGTGTTGATGGTGTCGCCGAACAGGCAGAAGCGGGGCATGCGGGTGCCCACCACGCCGCTCATCGCGGGGCCGCTGTGGATGCCCACACGCAGCCGCACGGGCTCGCCGGTGGTGGGCAGCCGCACGGCGCTGGCTGCGCGCAACAGCGCCTGCGAACGCGACACGCACACGTCAGTCTTTTTAGCAAACACCGCGGTGCTGCAGCAGCAGCAACTTGCATGCATGTCGGTTTGCGGACGAGAACTAACGCTAAAAACGCTGAAGAACGGCAGCCCAGCATAGACCGCTGTACCCCGTCATTACCTTGGAAAACTGCACTGTGCGATACGCGTGCTGGGGGTCCACGTCGTCCGAGCGTACCGTCACCGCGCCCGTCTCCTCGTCCACCTTCATCAGCCCGCCCGCCACCATGTAGCAGTCGCCGATGGTCTCCACCTTGTACACCCCGAACGCGTCCAGCATGGCGTCCAGGCGCGTGTAGAGGTCGTTGAGGAAGGCCATCACGGTCGCGGGCTTCACCACGTTGCACATGGCGGTGAAGCCCTGGATGTCGCAGAACAGCACAGTGAGCGCGCTGTGGGAGGTGGACAGGTGCAGGAAGGTGTCGCCCGTGATGATAGGCAGTGTCGGCCTGATGGGCGATTGCGGCGGCGGCATGCCTCCGACGGCAAGTGGCGACCCAGGCCCCGCAGCAGCAGCGCCCGAAGAGGGGTCTAGGTACGGGGGTGCAGTACGACAATCGCCGCTGTCCATCTCTCCAGCATGCGGAGTGGTGTTTACGGTGGTGGCGGCAGCCATAGTGGCGATATGTTCCAGCACTGTAGAAGGTGGGATGAGGAAGGTGGGATGAGGAAGGAAGCAGGGGAGGCAAGGTAAAAGGCGATGGTTATTATTGGCATTACATAGTGGTTCACGGTCTTGACGTGCACGCGTAGGAGCCGGGAGGAAACAGGCATTTTGAGGGCAAGGGGAGGCAGGGCACCAGGGCAGGAGGTGAGGCTAGTGTCAAGCATGGGTAGGGCTTGGGCACCTTTTCCATCCGAGGACACAAGCGCGATGCTGATGACGCGGAATGAATGGCAGCAGGGCAGGAGGAGGAGTGCATGTGGCTGTTTGTGAGGCCCCACGTACCGTGCTGGGGGAAGATAGACTCCAGCAGCGTGTGCTCCGCCTCCACCACACGCGCCAGCTGCCGCTCCGCCCACACGCGCGCCGACACGTCGTGCTGCAAAACAGGAGGGCAGCAGGAGGACAGCAGGCAAGCAGGCTCAACGTGAGGCGAGGCAGGATAGGGCATGCTCACGAACGAGCATTGGGCAAATGAAACTGCATGCGCTCACCGCACCCCTTCTCCAACCCCACCGCCTAGCTTTGGACCCCGGTTCTCCTTCTCCGTGGCACCCCAATCATCCCTCTTGCCCATGCTCATGGTCCCTGCAAGATTACCAACACTTGCCTAACCCTACCTAGGCCACTCCCTACGCACTCCCTACCTAACCCCAGCCCACTCCCCACCTGCACGACCAGCAGCAGCACCTCCCCAGGCGAGGAGGGGTGCGGTACCCCGGACACCACCACCTCCAGCCATGAGCCGCCCTCCCACTCAGCGGTGCATCCCAGAGCCATAGGCAGCCCCTCCGACGGCGAGGGGTCCCACACCGCTGGACTCGCGGCGCCGCCATCCGTACCCGTCGCCGTTACCGTTGCCGTTGCAGCCGCAGCCGACCCAACCGACCCGGGCTGCGGCGGCGCGCCAACTGCCGCCGTCAAGGCGTTGCTATGCAGCTGATGCGACGGATAGGCACAGCTCATGTTGCAGCTCGTGTTGCCCGCACCAAGGAGGTGACTACCGAGGTCGGTGCTGAGGGCTGTAATGGGAGACGCGCCGCCGCCGCCGCCGCCGCCGGCAGGCGACCATCCCGCAGCAGCGTTGGGGGCGGTGGCGGTGTCGAAGAACCAGGAGGAGCTCCGAGGGGCTTGCGACAGTTGTCCCAAAGTCGCGCGACGGCAGGACGAGCCGACGGAGCCGGCGTGCGTCGCCATGGCGGCGGCAGTGATACTGACGTCGGCTCCGCCACCACTGCCACCGCGGCCGCCGCCAGCGCTTATGACGCCGCCGTCGGTGCTGCCGGCCGCTAGTAAGGTGGAGCCGAAGGGCTTGATCTGGCTTGACCTGTGATTGCTGGGGTCGGGTGCTTCCCACGGCAGCATGACTAGGGATCCCGAGGCACCCATGCCGGTGAAGCCGGCTCCGTGACGTGAGATGTCGGCAACGCTGCATCCTGCACCTGCCCGATGATCGTGGTCCGACGCCGTCGCGCCGCCACCGTACAGCAACGACCCAGATCCTCCGTTCCGACAGCCGCCACTGCCGCCGCCATGATACGAGGCGTCCGTCGTGTATCGTGCACACATGACGGCACGAAGCTGAGCATCAGTGAAGGGCTGCTGACCGGTCGTACGACAAGCCAGGGCCGCCGCCGCCGGGCCGGCAGTGGCGCGAGCCATGGAGCGCATCGTCAGCTGTACGATACGAGGTACGGCAGTCCCTGGCGGCGGCGGCCCGCCGGCGATGGGGCTCAAGGCGCCAGGCGACACACCGGCGGACTGCGGGTAAGGCAGGCCGTTGCTACAGCATGCGGCTGGGATCGGCGCCGGGATTGCTGCCGACATGGATACTGCCGCGGGAGCCGCTGCGGATGCGCCGGTGCAGGTGGCGGCTGCGGAGCCGTCGCTGTGGTTACCCGAGGCGGTTCCGCTGGCCGTGGCTGCCGTGGTGAAGGCCAGGGATCGACGTCCGGGCTGGTAGCTTGAGCTCCTTCGGGGTAGCGGCGGCGTTCGGGACTGCTTGATGGCGCGTGCGGCGGCGGCCACGCCGCCCATAAGCGCGATGGCGCGTTGACCAATGGCACCCCAAGAGCTTGGTGAGGACGAGTTGTTGTGGTGGTGGTTGTTACCGTTATTACCGTTGTTATTGTGGTGGTTATCCTGGTGGTGTTGGCTCTCGGTGTATAAACTACCAACAGCATCCCGTCCGGATGGAGTGGCTGGTGACAGCCGGGGTGACAGGTGAAGCTGCCCTTCTGACTTGGTATGCATGACGGCGCTTCGGCCCTGCGCCGTACGGCAAGTGCCCTTTGCCGTACCGTTGGGCCCAGCTGCTTGAGCTGTTGACATGCCGGCGCCGCTGCTGGTGGAGGTTGCGGCGTCCGCATCCGTCACAACGACATGAATGTTGTCTTCGCCAACGCCGCCGCCGCCGGATAGCCTGGGTTTCGGAGCCTCCGCCGCGACTGCTGCACCATCCACCGGAAATCCCAGCTCACAACGCTCGCGGTGGCCCCACATGGGAAAGTGCACGGTGCGGGAGGTCCCCGCCGCAGCACCGCAAGCCGCCGACCGACCTCCACGCACAGATGCATCCGCTGTAGCTCGTTGCAGCGCGCCACCGCTGCCAACATCGCCGTACAACCTTACCTCCTCCATCGAGCCGCAAAAGTCCGTCCCCGACGGCCGCAGGATGCCGCAACTGGCTCGACAGGGCCGTACGGAACCTCCCTCAACGTATCCTTGCGGCCGCCGAACGCTGCCGCCGTTGGCTCCGGCCGCCATGCCAGCGCAGGAAGGCCGTGCACCGCGCATGCGCCCGCCCGCCAGCGCACCCCAGGTGCTCGTGGAAAGGGCTTGCAGCAGCTGCTCCTGCTGCGTGCACAGGCTGTGCGCCAGGTCACAGGGATAGGAGCAGCCCAGCGAGCCATCCGGGGCAACGGAGGTCTCGGGCATGCAGAGCGGCGACGGAAGGGGCATCCCTGAAGCATGCGTCGGCGGCGTCAGCCCAGACGGCGGCGGCAGTGGCGGTGGCGGCGGCAGCAGCGAGGTCGGTAGCGCGAGGCCGGGAGGCGAGGTAATCGACAGGAGGCTGGGAAGAGACGCATGGCGGGGCACGGCGGGCCTGAGACCGCCAGGGCTTGAGCTTAGCCCACTGGCTCTGGTGGCGGCTTCGGCAGTAGGTTTCGCCGGCACGCTTGCAGCCGTCGCCTCCGTTCCCCCTGTTTCTACTGCGGTCACTGCCTCCGCAACCGCCGCCGCCTTCGCTTCGGTTGTGCTCAAGGGTGCAGTGGTGCTGATTGCGGTGGCGGCGGGGACTTCGCAACTGCCGGCGGGGCCGAAGCTCAACACCGGGTTCAGCTCCGTTGTCGAAGAACCGCTGCACGCATCGCAAGTGTCAGTGCCACCACCGGCAGCAGCGCCGGTGCCGGTGCCGGCAGTAGTTATGGAGGCGCCGGTAGCGCCGCGACTTGCCCCGTTTGTCGCTGCCAAAGCAGCGGAAAGCAGCGAGGCGCGCTTCGAGCCCTCCCGGGGAATGCGCTTGCCTGTCAGGCTCAAAGGCACTACGACCGAGCCGCCGCTGTCCCGATCGCTCGCCTGCTCTGCTGGCCATGGGTGAGCTTGGCCTGCGCTGGTTCTAGCTGCAGTCTTGGGCTGCGTGTTACTCCCTTCCGACCCGCCACTCAGCGCCTGATAGGGTCCTCGCAGCTGGCGAGTGCTGGTCCCGTCGCTCGTGCCTTCAGAGGTGCCCGGACGTCCCGCAGGTGGTCTCTGCCTCATGGAAACGACGGATGCAGGCGCAGACGCAGCGGCGACAGCAGCTGCTGCTGCTGCTCTTGTGTTGTTGGCGTTGGTGGAGGTGGTGGCAGCGGAAGCAGCGGAAGAGGGCGCGGCCACGCTGGTGGCGGTTGCAGCAGGTGCTTTTGCTGTCCCTGCCATCGCCGCATCGCCGCGAGCCGCCTGTGACTGCTCCGGATCCAACTGGAGCTCTTCCTCCTCGCCGCTACTCAGCGCCCATGCCGCGTAGCTTAGCTTGTCGTGAAACACCGCCGCCGCCGCCGCCGCCGCAGCAGCGACAGCCCCAACCTTGTTGCTGTCGGTAGGAGCGGGGGTACTGGCGGAGCTAAACAGCATGCAGCGGACGCATGGCAACGCCCGGTCGGCACCCGAACCCTGGTCAACGCCTCCCTCGGAAACGTGGGAGCTGCAGAGCTGACACCTAGACGACGGGTGCTGCTTGTGCTCTCGCTGCCGTGGTTGCAGACGGCGAGCAACGTGCGAGCGAGCGGCAGTCGCTACGGAATCAGAGGCCTCAGGGGTGCCGCCCTCGGTTGTGGTTTCGGAGGTAAAAGCAGTGTACCCCTGACGCAGCTGCTGCTGCAGTTGCAGTTGAGAGGCTGATAGGGAGGCAGCGGGCGTGGGCTCTGACGAGGGTTCCTGAGGCTCCTGCGAGTGTTGCTGCTGCTGGTGCTGCTGGTGTTTGGTGGGCGGCCGTTGCATGGCCTCAGTTGCCATGGCACCGGGAGTTGGCGGCGCAAGCCGTCTCGAGCTCAGCCGGCCGGGGGCCATCCGTGACAAGCCGGAGGCCGCCGCTCGGCCGCCGTTGGTCGGACAGCCGTCAGCACCCGCCGCTTCAACATCGGGAGCGTTACAAGGGCCATGCGGCGCTGCTGCCGTGTCGGCGGTGCGCGTGTAGCCGGAGCGGCTTAGGGGGCTGCGCCTTGGGGAGTTGTGGCTGGGACAGCTGGCTTCCTCGGCGACGCCGAGCGCCGTCGGAGCAGCGGCTGCAGCCGGCAACGAAGCAGCGGCAGCAGACCGATGCCGGCCCTGCGTTACAGCCCCTGCCGTACGCTTACTTAATGTCGCCGTTGCTGTCGCTGGCGACGCCGATGTTCCCGGATACGATGCCTCCGCTTTACGCAGGAAGCCGCGAATGTCGAGCGACAAGAAGTAACGATTGGATGACGTCACACCGGCGCCCCGACCGCCGCCGTCCTTCGCGCCCCGAACGCTGGTTCCCTGGTTTGCGAGATCCGTCAAGGATGCTTGCCATGCGCCGTGGACGGCAGCTCCCTCGTTACGGCTAGCGTCGCCGTTGCCGACAAGTGCGTCGAGGGAGCGACGGCGGCGGGTGGCAGAGGCGGCCGCCGCTGCAGCGGCGGCAGCCCCGGTGGCAGCGACGCTGCCAGGTGCAAGCCGCCCTGGGGTGCTGACAGACGATGCGTTAGCTGTTACGGACGCCGCCGCCGGCGTGTCTGCAGCTGCAGGAGTGGCTGCGGCGCCTGAGGGAGGCGTGCCGGGTGGCGGGGCCTCGTTGTACAAGTCTGGATGTGACGGTGGGGCCGCAAAAGCGTTACTGTGCGTGTTGTGCGGATGCTGGGGGTGAGGGTGGGGTTGGGGGTGAGGGAGCGGGTGGGGATGGTGGAAGGGGTGGCCGTGTAGGTGGTGGTTGTGAGGTGAAGTCGGACCGTCGCGGCAGCGACCCACAGACGAGTCGCGTCCATGCACACTCCCCGTCAGCACGTCAATGAGAAGCTCGCTACGGCGCTCATGCGGATTGTACGACAGGCCAGCTCCGCCGTACGAAATGCCCGTATCCGCATGGACGAGCATACCATCGTAAAGTGGGCCAGTGGACGAGGAGGGGCGCTGCAGCGGACTGTGCGCGTGCAAGTGCGCTTGAGGACAGCCTTGATGGTTGCTGCCGCCACCATAACCGGCGCCAAAATTGCTATCTGCTAGGCCGTGACTGGGCAAGCTGAAAGCCCGGTACGGGATGGAGTTGCCGTGAATGCTGGAGTTGCCGAGGGCGGGGTTGTGAGCAGCGCCAGCGGAAGTTGCGGAGGCGGCGCATGGCGCTAGGGACGCGTGGGGTGATGCAGGGCTGCCCACGTCAGGGCCGGTTGGAATGTGGAGTAGCCCTGGCGGCATGGGAAGGGAGGGAGCACCGGCAGGAGGACAGGATAGGGGTAAAGAAGTGGAGACGGAGACGGGAGTTGAGACGCGACAGGCAGCAAATGGGGAGATGACAAGTTGCTTGTGTGTAGAAAATTAATTAGCGAGCACACGGGCGGTTCAGCCACGAGCCAAAGGCAAAGAGGCGATATATCTAAAGGCGATTGAGTCATCACTTCGGGTCATCGGATGCTTGTAGCCCCTTCCAGCCATAATTCAAAGACAGAATAGTTTCTGCTATGGCAAGCTTACCCCGCCATGTCCGGCCCGCTTCCACCGCTTGCAAAGCCTCTTCCAGTGCCTCCATATCTGTTGCGAACAAGAACTGCAACGATGCGGAGGCGCCGTCGACGCCACCAACGTGTGCCCGGCGCATGCGCTCGAACAGCAACACGCTTGCAGTGTTGTTCGCGAGCAGCGTGCCATTGTGCGTGAACAATGCGACCTGTGGGAGCACAACGTCCGGGCGTCGTCAGTACTGGCACCGCTGTCGACGCAACAGCTGACTTTTCAAAGCCCCCCAGGTTTCACGCTATTTTCAAAACATAAATAAAATAAGCTTCATGATTCTTGGGCCCCGCTCATTAGCCGCGACCTGCCCGTTGCCGACCTATTGCCGCGACTGCTGCGCTGGGTTCTTAGTAAAAGCAAGTACATTAGCGCCTATGTTGCTTTACTACATCCATGATAATCGGCATTTCTCAATCACCAGGTAATGCCGAGTGGGTTAACGTGGCGAACTGACAATTGCAGGGTTGTTAGTAACAAGGCAGCTCACTGAGTGCCACTGAGGATAAGCCCACACCCGCAATTACTGAAGCCACAGACTTACCGGGTCCGATATGTGCTGCAGCATCAAACTGAAATACGCGTGTAGCGGGACGTTAGGGTCAGCAGCTGCTGCAAGGAGCTTGGTTGCCGGTAGTTCATCCCGAGCTTTTTGATGATTCTTATACACATTGTCGCTTGGGAGAAAGCAGCAGAGGAGCCTGTGCATAACGGGTGCCATGTTGTCCTAACCCGGTGCCTTTCAAGGGCGAGGGCGCTTTTTTAATACCTGCAAAAATAGCAACATGTTTAACGTTGCAAATCTATTGAAGCTTTTATTAAACTGCTTCCGCGTTGTGAAGCTTACCCGTCGCTCGTCGCAGCGGCCACGTGCTGTACCTCAGATAGTCGTTGGTCTATGCAATACGTGCACCTTTAAGTGACGCTGTATTCTTCCAGTTGACAGGAAAAGACTGGGCCCCATAGTAAAAACGGCGCAAAGGGCGACGTAGAGGGCGTATCAGTGAACAGGGTATCTTAAAGCATGAAAGGTAAAAGCCCACAACAGTGGGAACCTGAAACGGGCTGGGATGGGATGAGCAAACAAGCGGTCGCTGGGAAGGGCGTCTGGATGGCCGACATGCGAAGTGTACGGTATGGCGCGGTGCGAGGGCGGCTTGCCGGCTTTTTCCCTAGTAATCATAACTTTTACCATAATTAAAAAGTTTAAGCGCGTGATTTACTTCGAGGCGCTCATTGCACCGCGGCCACGGGCAGCCCTGGTCCACAACCCAGTACGTTGAGATTACCATCTTACTGCTTTCCCTGTATCTAGAGTCGCTTCTGTATGTAACACCTTTGCTGATTCATTACAACCGGGCGGGCGTATTAATTTATTTGCGGCAAACCCTAGGCGTCGATGGCGGGTGGCTTGCCGAATTTAGCTTTGATTATGCAAGGCCTGATGCACGCTTTTTAACCATGTATCACTTAAGATCTTATTAGTACGATGCCGGCTAGGGCCAGTGAGCATAGAAACTGTAGGCGTCGACCGTTGCCTTCCCATTGTAGAAGTAGCTGCCATCGACAGTGTTTAGTTCCTTTACAACGCAAGTAAGGCTCGATGCTACATATGAAGTCGACCCATTCATGGCCGGTTCCACAATGGGGTAACAGTTAGGGCTTCTTTCTTCTTTGGCGTCCTGTACACAAGGTAAATCAGACTGGAAGCGCTGATTTAAACAAAATCCGGCACTGCCATAGCACAGCGGGCCTAAACCATTATTGCGGCAGCGGCAGCATCGCGTATGCAAACATAAACCTCATGCACGCATCCACTCGTGGGTCGTCTACCCACTTTAGGGATTGACCTTCAGGAGACTCTTCGTCATCCATGAGCCCGCTTTGCGTCCAAGCTCCTTGCGTACAAGCGTGAAGTCGTACTCTCCCGGCCGACCCGTGGGTCCAACCACACGCACGCGCACCAAATGGACGCCCGGCTCCGCCTCCCGGCTCAGCAGCACCTCATGCGTCTGGCAGTTGACTAGGTCGCCCAACATGTTGCCAAACATGCCTGCGTGTGGAAAAGAGCAACCGGCGCAGCAAGTGAAGCCAAAACACAACCATTCACACGGTGACCTAGTAGTGGTAACTAACTGAGGGGTTTCAGCCGTGGTGAACCAACATACGAGCCAAAGCCTCGAGTACGACCATACAATGTTGCGCTTTCAGCCCTAAAAAGTTCTTGGTTTCTGCGTGTCAAAAACAAATGCCCGCATTCCCCTCTCCAGCAACCGCTGCACAGCGGGGCTAGGGTCCCACGTCACTCCATCCCCCCGCCGCATCCTACGTACCCAGAAAGTGGTCGAAGTGGTACAGGTCCTTGGAGAACCCAAAGTACCTGGACCGCTCCATGCCGCCCGCATCCGCTGCAAACTCATACGCGGTTTGGATGCCGTGATTGAGCCTGGCGGCGGCAGCGGCGGCAGCGGCGGCGGGGGTGGCGGGGTAGCAATGAATACTACCTATCATGACGCCCGGTAGTCAAGTCGGGGCCCAGAACCGGGGCGGGGATCCTAACTACCGTAGCCATGTGACAAAGGCTCCAACATGGGTTGCATCATGGGATGGAAGGGGTGGCGGGTGATGGTGGACTAGGTGCACAGAGCGGGCGAAACACGGTGGTCAGCGGTTGGCGAGGAGCATGGCATGGAGGGTTGCTCGGGGCGTGCCCCACAAGTCGGCAGATGGAATCCAAGCCCGCAGCTCCATGTATACACCACAACCAATGCCAGCATAGAGCCGGCATAGCCACATTGCACCTCCATGTAATGGCGGGAAAGCCTCCTCCCATATACCCGTTGTATCCGCAGCTTTGTCATAAACACAGCGCTAGACGGCATGCATGGTGGTTCATTGCACAGCTGGCAGCCGCCTTCTTAGCCGCAGTTGAAAAAGAACCTACCAGGGGTCGTCGTTTGTGCGCAAGGCCTTCAGCTGCACCTGTGGATGGTGGTTCGCCAACAATCCAAAGGGGTACGACAGCGGGGTTGGGTGAAAGGTGAAGGGGTTGGGTGAAAGGAAAGCGCTTATCACGTATGCCACGGCGGTCGTGTAGCAGCGGGACCCGCATTCACCTCGACTGACTCCAGTGGTGAGAACGAGGGAGAAGGCATTACCTGCGGCAAGGGACGAAAGTAGATCAACCACAACATGGTGCGTGTGTACGGAGATATAGCTCATAGCGACCATGGCAGGGCAAACGTTGAGTTGTTGCCGGCAAGGCAGCACTGGCCAGGTGTTGGGTTTGGATGAAGACCATGTGTTGGGGAAGGTGGCTGAGGTGACATGCGTTATCGAGCTTGGAGGTACGCCTCGGAACATAAGCCATTACCTTGCGGACAGCGAGTTCGGCCGAGCACCCATACTTACTACTGGATCTGGGGTGTTCTGAGGGTTCCAGGCAGGGGCTGCCGCACATGAAAGCTTGCCGCGACATCCAGGACGGGGAGTTAACTGTCGCACGGCGCAACGATTATGAGCGAAGGTACACAACATCGCATTAAGTATTTATTATTGAGCTGCACTGATTAGGTATTAAACTGAAAGCAGCAGCAGCATTTTATCCTGGAAGGATACAAGACATAACCTGCCGTTCCATGATTTAGCTTCCACGCAGGCGCCTAAGACAGTCTGCATAGCCGTTTTGCGTCAACACGTAGTTGACTCGCTTAGATCACTTTCGTCAAAGTTCAGGAGCTGCGAAGGTCAAGCGATCGAACCCGAATTACCCTTTCGCCGCCTTGTCTTCCCAAAACCTTATAAAATTCTTTGACTACCGAATAGCGGGTGATTATGGCGACGCCTGGGGACGCCGCGTTGCCCATGGAGCCCCCAGCTCCGTCTCACAACATAGCTCTGTTCTTCCATGGATTCTTCAAGGTAGTTCGAATAGCTGTTACACTGCAGAAGTGCTGTGCGTTAATCCCATTACCGGCTGGACGCAGGTGGTAGCTGTCGTCTGGTACTGGATATGCACCATTGTCAGCAACTCCTTCATCATCAATTTCGTAGTGTGCATTGTCCTGTTGGCGCTCGACTTCTGGACGGTACGCTCTGCCGGGATGTTAGGAGAACTCTAGCAGCGTGGCTCAGCACGTTTCCTTGACTTCGTGCAGACAAAGAACATCACCGGCCGCTACCTAGTGGGCTTACGATGGTGGAACGAAGCAAACGACACTGGGTCCGCTTGGAGGTTTGAAATGCTACCAGAGGTAGGTTAAAACACGTGTCAGTGGGTGGCAACCCGAGGGTAGGTTGAGGAGAGGGGTAGTGTAGGGTTTCACACAAGCAGTCAGCCCCTATCGTAACTAACCATCGTAAAGAAGCCCCCACACACTGACATGACACTGGCCCAGCAAAGGGGCCGTACGTTGCTGTGGTTGCCTTCAACCAGCTGTTATCAGTGCCAATGATACAACCCACGACATCTCGACAGCATCGCACCCATCAATGCCCCCAGTGCTCATTTTGCAATGCCTGCTGCATCCCTGCCCTTATCCCACAGCCCCGCCTCTCGCCATCCTTTTTCCCTTTCCCATCCGGCTATCCACAGGGCACGCGGACCGTGTTGCCTCGTGAGAAGCGGCTGTTCTGGACAGCCATGATGGCGGCAACCGGGCACTGGATCCTGGCAACCGTCATTGCCGTATTCGGCCTGTCGTCGTACATCATTGTGTCCATCATGGGGCTGCTTTTCAGCGGCAGCAACCTGTGGGGCTACTTCAAGTGCAGTCGGGAGGCGCAGGCGGACCTGAAGGGCTACATTAACAACACCTCCAATTCCCTCATGCAGGGAGCCATCAAGCAGCAACTCAACCAAGCGGTTAACCGGGTTTAAAGGGGGGGTCGTAAACCGGGTTTAGGGTTGGGTTAGAAGTTGCCTTAGCCGGCGTCTTGGTCGTCTGCTGCGGGTGTGCGTTGCCAACGCAGCAGGGGGTTTTGCAGCAGGGCTTGAACTGGGTGTTGCGGCCCTATTAGCTGCCGGGAGGTTTCCGGTTGGTGTCGTTATGCAGGTATGGAAAGGGGGTTCATGAGTAGGCAGAGGTAGGAGGCGATTCAGACGAGCTGCCTGTTCCCTGGAGACGCAACTGATGCGGCTGTGTGGATGGTAACATTTCGGATGTTAACTCATCGTACACTAACTCTTTACAACCGAGCTAGCCGATGGTAATACGGTAAATGCATGGAGCCAAATGTCGGCTACAGTGTCAAAATGCGTCCTCCTTAAATGCCTTGCAATACCCATGTATGCATGTGTCAAGGATTCAAGGTTTGTGACGCCCCACATGCCCGAGTCCTCAAAAACAAATGGCGTGACGCCATCATTTACTGTCCATGCCAACCTCCACACACGCGAGTTACGTGATGATGCACATCCAGCTAGCTAACAAGGTGCATGACTGCCGTATCTTACAAAAACTGGCCGCACAGTTATGCCGGCAACCTATGGCGGTTTTCTCCTCCGGCGCCCTCCTTGCACAAGCACAAGCTCCTGCGAATAGTCAATCTACCGACATGGTGGCACACGTGACGTGTACCGCACGTTGTACATTCCACCACCCACAGTCGCACAGCAGCAGCGGCAGCACGACGAAGTGGGTGCATGTGTATGGGTGCCACCACCGCATCACTGCCGCTCGGCGGTCACCCGGAGTGCGGCCGTGTGGGTCACCCGGGGCTCGCTGCGGTCCGCCGTGTCCTGCAGTGGCGGTACGGCAGCATGAAAACACACTCACAAACTCTGTAACAGTCCACATCGGGAAAAAAACAAACGGTAGTGGTTAGTTACAGCAGCAGGGCCAGGAGACAAACAGTCACATACGGCTACGCCTAAAAGACCTTTCCCCCGACTGCCCCCAGCTGCACCGCCTGACCTGTACATGTCGCAGCGCCTGCGGGCTGCTGGTCCTGATCTCGCTCAGCAGCTCGTGGTGGCTGTTGCGCTTCACCTGCAGGGCGGAACAGGCAGACCCGTGGGTCCGTCCGTCGGCAGGCAATGGGGCTGCCAGCCTCGCCCGCGCAACCCCCTAGCTGCTCATCAGCTCCTTCAAAACTTCATCGCACGCAAATGACGTAAATAAACGCAAAGAAGGGCGCGCGCGATCCGCGAGCTTCAGCCCGGCGGCGTGTCACACCCGTAGCACCGGTGTGTCACCCGCAGTCCGCCCACAGCCCCCCACCCACCTGCACGCCGGGCTCGACCTTGGGCACGCTTCGATCGGCGGTGCGCTCCACGTGCTTGAGCTGCGGGGGCGACTGGATCTCCTGCAGGAAGCCGCTCTTGTCCCACTGGCCACCCGGGGAGGGGGGGACGGAAGGCGGAGGGGTGCCGGTAGTGGGGGAAGATGGTCAGGAAGCGGTTATGAAAGGAGCAGGAGGGCTGTGGAAACGCCCCTTGATCTAGTCCGCCATGCGCAGTTGTGCACACAAGCTCGCCTTTAACACACAGGAGACAGGACACACCCCATACATGCTGACGTCATGCGGCCAGGCACCAAGCACCTCCGCACCTCCCTCAGCGGTCAGCGCCCTTAAGCAACTGACCGTCCTCAACGTCAGCCCTCACCTTCCCCACATGCGCTCCCTCCACCACAGGCGCGCTGCGGTCCGCGGGCGCCTCCACGTGAGCCAGCGCGGGCCCGCCCGCCTGGCTGGCGGCGCTGAGCTCGCTGAGCAGCGCGTGGTGCCCTCCCAGCGCCTTCACCTCTGCCAGGTGGGCTGCGCGGTTGGAGGGATGCAGCTGCACGTCTGCTGCAGGTGCAAGAAGGGAGGCGCAAGCGTTAGTGGGTATCCACGAGAGGTGGCCGCGGCTTGTTGCAGGTATGGAAGTGGAGGTATGATGGAAGTGGGGGATGATGCGGGTGCACTTGCCTTCAATACGGGGCTCGCTGCGGTCTTTCGGGTCCTCCACGTGCTTCAGCGGACAGCCTGTGTCCAAAGCAATACGTGATTTTTAGGTTAACAGCAGTAGCTACCTAGCTGAGACTTTAAAAGCCAGGCAGTTGTTAGGGCTTATCGGAATGTCTCGAGCGCGTTCGAGCGTTCGACAGCCTCACCGCTTTCAACTTCCTTCAGGAACTGGCCCTTATCCCAGTGGCCAACATGAGCATCTGGCCATAAGGTAAAAAAGGGTGTGTAGTTATGTATGCGCCCTGCGGCTTTGCACGCCCTGCGACATCGAGAGCAGAGGCAGGGGCGAGCAACACCCCTTTGGCTACCTGGTCCTATCGCAGGTGTCGAGCGATCTGCAACTTGGTCAATGTGCTTCAGCTTAGGCGTGCCCTCAGAGGCCAGCTCCTGCAAAACCTTATCCAAAGACATTCTCGTGTTGCCGAGCTAGAGCGTTACAGCCAGATCACCCAAGGAATACGCTTTGAGCGCGGCTATCTTAAAATGAACAATTGGTTGCTCTGGAAGTACCGGTATTTCCGAGATTGCCTGCAGCTTGCGCATCTGCTCGTGGCAGTTGTCGGTTATTCTACCGTACAGTGAAGCCTAACCGCACAGGGATGCTGTCTCGGCATACCCAGTTTGCCAAGAACCGTGCTAAGAAGGTGCGCCACTTCTGCTTCTGCTGTGTGCCCTATAGTACTGTGCCGCCCTCCGAGACTTAGGGTCCAGCTGCAAGCCTTGATGGTTCGCATGCTGAACTTGCGCAAAGCGCCACGCTGCTTTCGCTGCATCTGTAGGCCCGCCTGCATTTGCAACGGTAGCATTGTGTGAAGCGGAAGGATCCCCAATTCCCCCGATGAAGTGGGTCTATGTGGACTTGGCATCAGGGGAGGGCCTAAGCTCTCCCAGCACCCAGGCTTTATGTCATGGGAACTCTATGTGTGTTTAGGATGCTCATAGCCTTCAGATACAACGCGCACGACCTAAGGTAACATCCAGGATGCCATCACACGCTGATTGTGACGCCATCCTGAACCATCCTCGCCATCCTGGGGGGCGAGGGGAAATGCAAGTGCATACAACTGGTATGTGCGAGAGGCAAACAATAGATGTCAGCATGTCTAGGGCGTAACTGCTTTACCAAAGTATCAGGGTCTCCATATCACCATACGCCATGCAGAAATCCGGAACCACCGGAAGCATATAAGTGCCTGCTTTTTGTTCCAGCCTACACAGGCAGTGTTGTTTATGAACGGATATGCAACTGCAAGTGCATAGATACACTGCCATTGAAAAGCTAGAAGGGCTTGCTCTATATGCCGTACAATTTGGCCCTCTCCATTCACACAGACAACACGGCATTTGTGCAGAAAACGTTTAGTTCTATTTTGGAGGGATTTAGCTAAGTGGTAGGATACAAGAGGGCCCTGAAACGGCTGCAATCCATTAGGCCGAGCTCAGAAAATGCAGCGGGCGTCGCTGTCGGTCCTCAGGAGCTATGTGAGCGGCACTCCGCAGTTGGAGGCGTCGCTGCAGCGTGCCCTGGTCAGCTCGTTTTCCACGGCGAGCGGCGCTGGGTCGTCCTCCTCTGTGCCCACGCCCACTGCTCGGCCATCACTGCTGTCCAGCTTGTCGAACTTGGGACTATGCAAGCCTAAGGGCGTACGCTTCGCCCATGACCTCAAGCCGGAGGTACCGGGGAACGCCATCGACAACTGGGCCGATATGCGGGCGACTTTCAACAAGGAACGCTCCAGCTCTCTCGGTGGCAGCTACTATTCGAACGTCCTTGTCATGGGCTTCGCTTACTGGCTGAACGAGGCGTACTACTTCCCTCCGCGCACGATATACATTGCAGCTTTTGTTTACTTCCTCCTGTACGTCCGCAAGGGCTTCTTCAGCACTCCTCTGGCATTCAAGCATGAGTACTGAGAGAGCGGCAGCGTTTTGCAGCGGCGATGCTGGTGGTTTGCCGTCTAGTACATGCTGGCGCAATTACGGTGTTTCCACGGGCCCGCCTGCCTGTCAGGCTTACAGCTTATTACAAGTAGGGAGGTGGTGGGGGAAGGAGTTTGGATCTAGAGGAGCGCGCGGGTGTTGAAGCCGACGTGGGGAATGGGAGCCGTGTAACATACCAGGCGGTCTATCCCAAGATTCGCCGTGGTCTCATTGGCCACGTCTTTGGCGGCACAGTTCTGTCGGACACTACATGCGCGGAAAATGAGGTGACACGAGTTATAGCCGTTGATCACCATGTGTAAATTGTGACGTGGCCGTACAATCCCTCCTTCAGAACACAACATCCGCTTCCAATAGCACATATCGCCATTGCACCGCATAAGTCGGATCAGCCCAAGAGTCTTAAGTTGAATGAATACAATGCACAAGATCCGCCCGTTTGACAGCATCTTCTGCTGGTGGGGGAATGCATACGAGTGGAAAACCCCACCATGCACATATGTGTAGGTCTTCACGTAAGCAGCTTAAGCAGGTGGATTCAGGTGTAGCACAGCACCTCTCCACACAACCGAATTCTCGCTCAGTTTATAAAAAACACTGAAAGCCTTCACGCGATCTCCTGCAATGTTGAGCAATGTTGAAACACTTTGTCAAAGCTCGGGAGCAAACTTCCGTGGGAGGCTGTGGCCATGGCCGGCACTTCCGTTAAGGCTGGGCCTCCTACTCGGGCTGCGATTCAGCTGTTGCGCGTTGGGTGCGTGTTGGCCGTATGCAGCGGAGACACGTGACGCCTTGCCTGCGGGTGCGACATGAAGGAAAGGTAAGTCCGTACATCGACCTTTGGACAAAGCATGCACCCAAGACCCAACGCACCAGCTTGACCGCAGCCATGGTGCTATGCTACAAAGCCAACAACGTTGCTTTTTGGGTTGGGTAACCAGCTAAGCCTCCCCATGCAAGTGTGAGGAGTTCAACGAACCGCCGAGGAATAAGATGCCGCACGTACCTTTTGTAGCCGTTGACGCGATAGACGAGGAACGTACGAGGTGGAAGGGCAGGTCCATGCGGCTCGTTTGGCTGTCCGTCCGGGCCAGCAAGGGGGAGCTGCTGCTGCCGCTGCGAGGCCGTGTCGGCGATAACGGACGCGACGAGTCGGGCAACATGGAATGCTTGCTGTTTGTGATCAACTGCGCAGTCCGTCAATAAAGGCGCAATGGTTTGCAGGTGCACAAATAGAAATACTGTGTAGTAATGATGCAGAAGCAAACACCGTGTGCAGCAACAGGCAGCAGTAGGAATGTTCCAGAGTGCCGGATCTAAGAGTCAACCGCTTTCAAGCTTGTGCCGTCATGATGCACAGCCGCGACCATGCATGCAGCCCGCTAGGTCAACCCACACCCCACTCTTAACCATCCAGCCTAATGCGGCACATGTTCCCCCTATTAAACCCCACTCCACCCACCCGCTTTTGCAGCTCTTGCATGCGACCCGAGGTTACCGAGACGCCGCTGCTTCGCGGTCTACAAGGCGATGAGGCGCTGTGTTGCAGGCCGCTACCCTCCGGCGGTTGCGTCGTCAGCTGCTGGTGGCTGAGCGGCAAGCCGGCGCTGTGGCGGCTCTGGAGGACGGCAGCCCCCTGACCCTGGCTCAACATGGAAGAAGGGGTGTGACCCGTGGGTCCTTCGGTGAAGGAGACGGCGGGGGAGCAGGTACTGCGAATGGCGCTGCTGCCAAAGCCCTGTTCGTGTGAGAGGAGATGGACAGTATAGCCAAAGTAAAGAGGGAGCAAGGCAGGGGCTCCCTGCATGTGAACCCGCCTTACCCCTCCGGCCAACAGCGGCCCAAAACCTTTCCAAGCACGCCTACGCGTTTACGTACGCAACCCCATCCCAATGCACTCCAAAGGCATCCCGGCAGAAACATCCTCCCGATCCTCCCAGGGTTGCCGCCCGTGTACCATGATTTCATCGCGGCTCAGTTAACCGAATGTCCCCACCACCACCACCGAGAGCCCACCCGAATCCCCTTTTCCCGGTCAGTTAGTTGTTTCCGCTTTACCCCTCTCCCCGCACGCACCATCACAGCGGGCAGTCTGAGGCTCTTGGCGTTGAGCTGCGCCATCAGCTGCGACGCCAGGTAGGAGGTGCTGCTGCGGCAGCGGCAGCTGTCGTCGTCCGTCTGGGAGCTGCAGGCGGCGGCAGCTGCGGGGAGGTGGCGGTGGGAAGGAAGGGTGAAGGCCGGGGAAAGGTGTGTTTGTGTGTGTCTCCTTCGAATGAGCAGGAACGAGCAGGTCGGCGAAAGCCAGACAGGGGACGACACGTTGGCATGTCCGCATCCAGGTACACAAGTGAAACGCAGCGAAGGCCCACTGTGTGTGTGTTTTTAAGCACGTCAAGCCCTCCGGCCCCTCCTCGGCCCTTCACGACCCAGACGCACATGGAGAGCCATACACGGAGCCACACGACGCCATCAGCCCAACGGCGGCAAAGAGATGAAGGCATGGCTGGTCACGGGACACACCCCTATACACGCTCCTGCACGCAAAGGCACCCACCGTCCTGGAAGATCGCGGCCGAGAAGTGCACCCCCAGCATGCTGCCTCCCTGACTGGACGGCGACGCCATCGCCGTACTCGACTGCTGCTGCTGCTGTGAGGCAGCCCCTACCACAGCGGCCTGGCTGTTTCCGCTACCCACGGTCTGCAGACCGGATTCACCCAGGTTGAGCGCACTCATCCTCTGCGCGAAGGGCGAAGGACCCAGCATGATGGTGGTGGTGGCTGTGCCGCTGGCCAGGGCCGGAGCGGTTGGGCCCGCCGCGATCGGAGCCCATGCGTGGGTGGTGGGGGAGGTGGAAGGCGGGGCGGGGGCTGCTGCGGTTGCAGAGGCGGAGGGGGGCTGCGGATGCTTCTGGGAGCCGGCGGAGAGCATGCGGCGGGAGGGTCTGGAGGGCGCAGAGGGCATGTCACGAGGCGAGGAGGCGGTGGCACCGGCGCCGAGGGGAGAGGAGCCTGGAATGGAGTTGCTGATGTTGTTGTTGTTGTTGCTGGTGGCGAGAGCAGCAGTGGCAGCAGCGGCGGCGGCGGTAGAGGCTGAGACTGTGTGGGGGTAAGCAGTGGGGCGGAGGATGCGGGGCAAAGGGAACGTGTCGGTGAGGGAGGGCCTGTGTCGAGGCAGGGAGAGTGGCGGAGTACAGAAGCGAGGCAACAGCGCGCGGTACCGGTAACAGATACCTTGACAACCGGCGGGTACGGGCAGCAAACAGAACAGCCCGAGTCAGAAGGTAGCCCCGCTCTAACTCTACACGCTACCTGATAATCATTACTGTATTCATACCGCTACGTTTTCGTACGTTTCCGTAAGCCCCGCCGCGATATATATTAAGCTTACATCACGCATCCCCTACCTGACCGCTTCCTAGACAGCGATCGGGCAACAAAGCTGTTATGCGAGCTGAGGACTCCCGAACCGCCGGACGTCGAGCTGGGCCCCTCGGTTCCCATCATCTTGTTGAGTGCGGTCATGGCGGCGTACGCACGACCCGCGGGTCGGCCGGTGTTGTCCGCAAAGGACACGCCTCTCAGCAGGCCGGAGGGCCCCATGCTTGAGGCGCGGGTGGTGAAGGAGCCACCGAAATCCTGCACGCGAGAGGGGGTTGCCGGTATGGGGTAACAGATGCGCATAAGTTGAGAGATACGGAGAGTTGAGGTGCCGAAAGGCATGAGGCCCGTAAGGAGTCACCCATCACCGCCACCCACCCAACACACGCAAGGCGCTCCAGGCATACCACAACTCATTCTTCCTTTATGAAGTATCCACCTAACGAATATATAACTCTAAAGTACCGGTATCCAGCTCCTGCCATGAAAATCCACTCCTCACCTCGTCCCAGGGCACGCCCATGCCAATGGTTTGTCCGTCGTACAGCTCCTCCAACAGCTCCGCGGCGCCGCCCGCCTCCCCCAGCAGCGCCAGCCGCCGCGACAGCGTGTGGTCCGCACCCAGTACGGTAGAGCAGCGGTCGTACAGCTCCGAAGCCAGATCCAGCAGGCCGCTCTGCAGATCGTCGTGTTGTACGCGGTTACGTGTTGTTACCGCGTACAACAAAGCGGTCGTACAACTTTAAAATCTGTTTCGTACACAGCAGCATCGTCACCGTCACAGGACGGACAACTGCTCCCATGTAGAGCCATGTCGGCCGCAAGGGCCGGCGCCCAATGCTTTCTCCAACGCTGTTCTTCACGCAACCCTTCCTCCTCCACCGTCGCCGGCTGCACCCCAGCTGTTCCTCTCCTGGCCCCCACCTCACCTGCTGCAACTGCTCGCGGCCCTCCGCATCCACCGCCAGCCCCGTCAGCAGTGTCGACATGAAGCATGCAGACCGAATGACGGAGGCCGGCGGACCGCCCTTGACGCCACCACCGCCGCCACCGCCGCCGCCACTGTTTCCGCTCTTTCCGCCGGCGTTTCCGGTGCCCTTGCCGCTGGTACCGCCGCCGCTGCCGCCGCCAGCATTGCCATGCCTGTTGTTCGGGTTGTTGCCAAGCCTATGAACGTAACCGTAACCGTTACCGTTACCGTTGCTAGTGCCGTTACTGCCGTGTGCCGCTCCGGAGCCTCCAGGGGCTCCAACGCTGCTGCCACCGCCACCACTACCGCTGCTGGCATGGCTGTTGCCGTTGGCGTTGGTACCGTTAAAGTGGTTGATGACGGCTCGTAGCAGGTCGGTTGCTTTACTCAGCACACCCAGCCGCAGCAGCGGCTGCTTGCATGATGCGTTGAGTGCGACGTTGGCCAGTGCGAGACAGGCGTACTGCGTGTCTAGGTTGTCACAGCCGGCGGCAATCCCCATGCTGAACAGGAAGAGGAGAACGAAAAGGTGAGGAGAGTTGGCTGAGCAGAAGACGAAGGAGGTAGGTGCAACTTTAGTTCAATGCAAGGAAAACCACTGTCAAACCCCCGCCGTCAAACCCCAGCCTCGATTCCCAAATGCCAATCCTTTGACCTGCGTGCATTCTTCCAAACCCCCACCCCGACCAGGATACCCAAGCGACCAACCGTTTCCCAACCACACCAACCGCACCCGAGCATGTGCAGCGCGCGTGACAGCACCGCGGGGTCCTTTTGGATGGCGTCGCGGCCCGGCGAGCAGGCGGCGAAGGCAGTCAGGGCGCTGGCGGCGGCCGCACGGATGAGCCTGTGGTGGGTACGAACGGATTGGATGTAAACGGGAGCGCAGAGGTGGCTGGCGTCAGAGGACGAAAGGGTGGTTGGCGAGGATGGTACCCAGCCTCAGGGCGGCATGCGGAATGTCTTTTGCGTGCGCGGCATCCGGGTTGCTGCCACCCACCCCCCACACTGGCACAGGCACAGGCGCACACGCACCCGTGTTTGCTGCCCAGGCAGTCCCGCACCGTCGCCAGCAGGCTGGTTGGGGGTTGCAGAGCGAACCGTGGTTCGCAGCGCACCAGGTTGCGGACCTGCAGCCGGGCAGCCGGGCAGGCAGGTGGGCAGGCAGGTGGGCAGCCGGGCAGGTGGGTGCGGGGGGGGGGGGGCCGTCCGGGTGTCGGCGGCCGGGCGCTGACATCAACACGACAGCTTCCCCCCCCATGGCTTCCTCGAGCAGCAACATGCACCGTACATGCTTCGTAACACATGCCCTTCCCTCCCTCAAGCGCATGAGCACCTAAGCGGCTAACCCGCGACCCAAACCCCCTGTCGCGTTCCTCCATTATGGCGACTTAAGCATGGTGAAGCCCTGGCTTCTCCCCCCTTTACCCGACCTCCATCCCATCCCGTCCCGCCCCGTCCAGCACCCACTCACCATCAGCAGCCCCCTCGCCACACACTCCTCATACTGCTCCAACTTGCTGTCCGTGAGCAGCCAGTGGTCCGCCGCCGTGGCGTACTCCGCCAGCGTGCAGCCCTCCAGGGGCGGCGGAGCCACCGCCGCATCCAGGCTGGTGTCCACCAGCGGTGGCACACCCCCCACCTGCTGCTGCTGCGGAGGCACCGGGGCACCCGGCAGAACCACCTCCAGCTTCTCCGTGGTGGTGATGGTAGGTGGGGTGGGAGGGGGGTGGGAGGCGGTGGCGTTGCCGCCTGTGCCGCCGCCTCCGGCGGCGGCGGTGGCGGCTGACGCCGCCATCCCAGTGGCCGCGGCCGCGGCCGCGGTGGCGGCTGCGCCGCCGCCGTTACCGCCGCCTCCGGCGGCGGTAGTGCCATGCAGGTCCCCCATTCGCGGCATGTACGGCAGCTGGGTGTAGGAGGGGGGCACTGCGGAGGAGGAGTCGCCGTCGGGATGGTTGGGAGCGGTGGAGACGCGGCTGCGGCTGCCGTTTTGCGTGCTGCGTGTGAGGCGCTCTATGAAGGTCACAGCGGCATCTGTGGAGGCTGCATGTGGGTCGAGTTGAAGGAGGGAGGCGGGCTGCCCTGCGGCTGTGCCTGCTGGGGGTGCTGTTAGGGGCGTGATGGGGCGGCTGCGGACGGCTGCTGGTGCGCCCCGGAGCGGCTCAGAGCCGGCCCGCTTGGCCAGGTCGTCAGACGCGCCTGGGGAAGGCGCCATGGCAGCAGCTGGACGGGAGGGGCTGACGTGGCGGCCACGGATTCAAACGTTCAAGTCCAGGAAGACAGCTGGCGACACGGCCGCAGGCGTGATAGGGGCGACCCAGGATGATAGCGTGCGGATGCTGGGGATCGAGTCAGGAGGTCGTGGATATGTAAGCGGCGAGCTAGGCCCAGCGCGGCGCTGAAAGGAAACCGTGGGTATCGACAAGAAGGATCGCCGGTCTTGCGGTTCAAGGCACCCTGGCGTGCATCTCGGCTACCTTGCTACCTCGCGACCTTTCAATGGGCGCGTAAGCGCAAAGGAAAGCTGCCGCCCAAAAAGATTTACGCACCATCCATGTGTGGATGCGTCTCTTTAAGAATGGTTTAGCTGCCTGCTGGCTGTCAGCTCGACACGGCTAGATGTCGCACAGGGACCTTGGCCGCTTCTGGGAGCAAGCCGTCACAACCTGACCTTCGTTTATAAGCTTATTAAAACTATGCTCAAAGGAAACTTCAAGCTTAGCTACCGGTAACCTAAATTTACGTCGTGCCCAAGGTTCTCACACAGGTCCGTAAAGCAAGGGCTGGGTAAAGCTAATACTTGGTAAGCGTTTAGCGCTTCAAGCGACAAGTAAACTGCTCGAACACGGTGGGCAGCAATTTAGGCGTTGCCTACTAACAGGTAATCGCACAATCACTAGACGCAAGATAAAAGTTACGTAACCCAATTCTGCGCACGATGCTTAACATATACACATGTCTTCCAGGGCGGAGGGGCAGTGTACAAGGCGCGGCGTTTTCAGCGTACGACAGCCGGTAACTAACACGAACCATAAGGAAAGGAAGGTCTTTACAGGTCTTCGTTGAACGCAAAACCCCCTACGCATCAATTCTCATCTGACTCTTGAGCAGCGTTACGGTTTGACAGTTAATTTCCTACTTGTAATCAACCCTTTTGGCAATTCATATAACTTATCTAGTAGCCGTTACATAATTCAATTTACCTCTGGTGCCGAGGGTGCACGAGTGGCGAATGGTCGGGGTCGGCTCTTTTGTGGCTGGAGTATCACCGCAACTACCGGCGGCTCGCCGGAAGCATGGTCGCGATAGGCTCACTGTTTCAGCGCAATCGGAAAAGTCGGAACGATGGCGGCATCATGGGAGCAGGGGCACGTTTGGCAGCAGGCTAGGTGCGTGCACATACGGGCGCATCCTGGCCTTGTTGACCAAAGGCAACACGGTTTACGCAGCTAACCCCCTTCCTGTTATATCGCATGGCACTCCAGCAGCCTGCCGTAAAAAACGCGCGGTACTTGCCGCGTCACCGGTTTACGTGCCTAGAATCCATCCCGCATCCACGCCCTCGGACTCGACTCCTTACTGTATCCTTACATAATCCTAGCCATGCTTGACTTGTAACACCCCTACACTCGCGTTTCACCCAAAACCTCGCGACTCTCGCCTGCTACCACTTACCACCACACGCATTTCCCTTCATCCCCAAACCTACTACACCCCCCACCCTCTTCCCTTCCCTTTCCCCCTCCTCTCCCTCCCTCCCTCCCTCCAGACTCCAACCCCACACAAGCGAGCCCCCCCTCCACCTCCTCCTTCCCCTCCTTCCCCTCCACCCCCTCCCCCTCCTCCGCCCCCTCCTCCACCCCCGCCACCCCCTCCTCCGCCCCACCCCCGTACAAGTCCTCCTCCCGTCCCCGCGGCCGCAACTATGTCAGTGAATCCGGCATGAAACTCCGCGAATACAGAACCAGCGACGGCCGTGAGCACCTGGGAAGCGCACTGGCGCAGCGCCGCTTCAAACCCTTCCCAGGGCCGCCGGCGGGGCAGGAGGACAACGCGCCGCCGCTGCGGGTGCTGCCCATCGGCGGGCTGGGCGAGATTGGCATGAACTGCATGCTGGCAGGGGTGCGGGATCGATACGTGGTGGTGGATGCGGGGCTGATGTTCCCGGAGTGAGTTGGGGTGGGTGGGGGTGGGTGGGTGGGTGGGTGGGTGGGAGAGGGAGAGGCGTGGGGAGGAGGGCCCAGGGAGGGGAGTAGGGTAGGGCAGCGAAAGGTGGAGGGTGCTGTCGAGAGATGGGTACCGGTAGCTGGCGGCTGGGAGTGCGTGTATGCCTGTCTGCCTGCTTGCCTGCCTGCCTGCGTGCGTGTCGTCTCCCTCACCCCGGGGCCTCCTCTCCCACCCACCTTCCCCTCCCTGTCCCCCTCTTCCCTCCCTGCTCATCACCTCCGCTCCCCTCCCCTCACCCCTTACCAACCCTCCCCCCCCCCCAGCTTCTCCGACCTGGGCATGCAGAAGATCCTGCCCGACACCGACTTCCTGGCGCAGTGGAAGGACCGCATCGAGGCGCTCATCATCACACACGGACACGAAGACCACATTGGGGCGCTGCCGTGGGTGGGTGGGTGATGGGTGGAGAGGAGGGGGAAAATATAGATAAGTGCATCAACGGAGTCCCGAATCCCTTGGGGATTAATATGGTTGGAAGATTCCGCATTAAGCTGGAATTTAGGATTGCGCATAGTCATTTTCGTTGGGTTAGTAGCAGCACACAGAGGGGTGGGGGGGGAGGGAGGAGAGCGGCCGGTGTGGCGGGATCGTAGCAGGGGTCACACCCGGCCCGGCACCTCCATCCTGTATTACAGTATTACCAGGGCGCACCCCACCCACCCGGGTTGGAGGGCTGGGGTTGGGGGACTCAACGCTCAGGCGGCTGCAAGCCTCCCCTCCCTCCCCTAACCCCCCCACCTGCCATCCTTCCTCCGTCCCCTCCCGCCCTCTCCCCGCCTCTGTCCCCTAACCCCGCCCCACTCCTCCTGCTCCCGCCCACTCCCCCCCCCAGGTTGTCCCCGCGCTTGACCCCTCCACGCCCATCTACGCCACGGGCTTTGTGATGGAGCTGATCAAGAAGCGGCTCAGCGAGTACAACCTGTGGGACGAGCGGCGCTTCGTCAAGATGGAGATGCGGCAGAGGTTCCGAGCGGGACCCTTCGAGTGAGTGACGTGTGTATGTGGGGAGGTGGGGAGGGGGTGAGGTGGGGTTAAAAAGAGGAAACTGACGAGCTGTAAGTGCTGTGAGTGCTGTGCGTGGAGAGGAGCGGCGGCCGCGGAGGAGGAGCCGGCAGTCCTCCGGCTGCACAGGCTGTTGGACTTGATTGCTTGTTTCCTCCTCCTCCTCCTCTGAGCAACCAGCTAACCCTCCCGTCCCCCGCCCCCCCCCCCTGTCGTCCCGCGCTGCCCAGGATCGAGCCGGTGCGTGTGACCCACTCCATCCCCGACTGCTGCTCGCTGGTGATGCGCAGCGAGGAGGGAACACTGGTGCACACAGGTGGGCTGGGGGGGTGGGGGGTGAGGGGTAGAGATAGGGAAACACAGGTGGGGGTGTGTGTGAGGGGGAGTGCTCAGCCCACCTTGGTCTGCCGTACTACTGCCGTATACCTTGCCTTGCTAAGATCAGCAGCTGACCCGCGGGTCGGTCAGCCAGCGTCCACTCTCCACTCCTCCCTCTCACCTGGCCGCTTGCCGCCTGCCCGCTCACTCGCCTACTCACCTCCCCCGCACCCAACCGATCCCCTGCCGCTCCTGTCGCTCCTGCCCCGAGTTCCCATTGACGTTTTGCCACTCCTGCCCTTACCCCTCGCCCCCCGCCCCCTGCCTCCGCAAACACCCCGCCCCCTGCCCCGCCCCCTGCCCCGCCCCCTGCCCCGCCCCTGCCTCGCCCCTGCCCCGCCCCTGCCTCGCCCCTGCCCCGCCCCTGCCCCCGCCACCCCCCAGGCGACTGGAAGATCGACGAGCACCCTCTGGACGGGCAGCACTTTGACCGGGAGCTGTTCGAGTCGCTGGGGCAGGAGGGGGTTGCGCTGCTGATGAGCGACTCCACCAACGTGCTGGCGCCGGGGAGGACGGCGAGCGAGCAGGTGGGGAGGTGGGGAAGGAGTGGGAGGTGGGGAAGGGTGGGGTATCCTTCACGCACCCAGCCCACCCCCTACAGGTATGTCACTCCTTGTTCCTACCCTGGGGGCCTCATCCTCCGCGGACCCCCCCTCCCGCCCCACCATGCTCTCACGGCATGAGTCGGAATCTGGGATTGGGACTCCAGTTGCTTCACTTCTCATTTAGTTATCCCCGGCAACCACCCCCCGTCCTCACCCATCCCTCCCCCCGTCCCCCCCCCCCCACACTTTGTCTTGTGGCGCCCTGCCAACTCCTACCCCCATTGCTTTGCCCTAACTTGTGGTCTCCTATGATTTGGTATGGTCTTTGACCCCCCCCCCCAGGTTGTGCACGACTCATTGATCGACAAGGTGCTGCAGCACAGCGGCAAGGGCCGCGTCATCCTCACCCAGTTCGCCTCCAACCTGCACCGGCTGTACGGAGTCAAGAAGGCGGCGGACGCGGCGGGAAGGAAGATCTGCTTCGTGGGTGAGTATGAGTGTGTTTGTGTTAAGAAAACTGAGTGTGTTTGTGTTAAGAAAACTGAGTGTGTTTGTGTTAAGAAAACTGAGTGTGTTTGTGTTAAGAAAACTGAGTGTGTTTGTGTTAAGCAAACTGAGTGTGTGTGTTAAGAAAACTGGCCGCGAGTAGGGAACGTGTTAGGTTGTCGGAGGACGATGTTCCCACCAAAACTGCCAGCGTGGAGACGAGGAGGAACTGCATGCCCACTCCCGCCTCCCCTCAGGAGTTGCGTGTTTTTAGAATAGGGTCTCCGAATGCGCTCACTGCATGGGTCGGGATTCGGGAGTGGGACTCCGTTGATGCACTTACATCTATATTTCCCCCCCTTCCCCAACTTGTATCATTATCACACCACACTTTGGAATTTCTTATTCCCCCCAGGCGCCTCCCTGAACCACTACCTGGAGGCTGCCTGGCGCGACGGCCGCCACCCCTTCGAGCCGCGCGAGCTGCTGCTGCCCGAGCACCTGCCGCACACCGACCCCAACGAGGTGCTGGTAGTCACCACGGGGAGTCAGGGCGAGCCGCGCGCGCAGCTGGCGATGGCGGCCAAGGAGGCGTCCAAGGTGCTCAAGATCATGCCAAATGTGGGTGTGTGGTGTGGTGTGGGCGGGGGAGAGGGGGGGGTAAGAATAAGGAAAACTGACGAACTGGATGTGTGGGGAGGGGTGGAGGAGGGGAGGGAGAAGGAGGAGGAGGAGGGATGGGACGGTATTGATGGTGGTTGACCTTTTGATGGCAGCTGGTGGTTGTGCTGCCGGCCTGGGTGTGCCCCTTTCCCCACCGTCCCCCGCCTCCCCCCGCCTTCCCCGGCCTCTGGCAAAACAACAATCATTCACTCTTTACCCCCCACCCACCCAACCCACCGGATTGGGACCAGTTGCTCCACTTTTCACTCATTCTTCCACACCACCTCCCCCCCACACGCCCCCCCACACCTCTTCCCCCCCAGGATCTGCTGCTGTACAGCGCCAAGGTCATCCCAGGCAATGAGGGCAAGGTGACGGAGATGCTCAACGCCCTCGCGGCGCAGGGGGCGCGCATCAGACAGAGCCGCGCGGATAACTTGCACACCTCGGGTGGGTGGAGTGGGGTAAAGAGGGCACAACTAACTGACTGGGGTTGGGTGGGGCGGGTGGGGGGGGGGCAAAAGGGAGGTAAATGACGAGGAAATACCGGTATATCGGGCTATGGGATTGGGACTACAGTTGCTTCAATTCTCACCAGGAGGGGTGAGAAGAAAAAAATTTTGACAGTAAGAGCAAAAAGTCCGGCGACCCGCCCTTGACCACCCACCCACCCCCAAAGCAGCCAAAAATGGGAATTTCGTGTACGACACTGTGTAAACAGCTTTTATGATGTATATAGTACCCCTAACAGTCTTCATGAAGGTCGGAGGTCATTCTTGTCGTGAAACCCGCTGCAAGGACAATCCGGGCACTTCCACTTAGCGACCCGCTTCGGCCTGTCTGCATGCTTTTGCTGACATTTTCCCGCATGTTTCTCATGATTGGCTTTGCTGCCCGGCGGAAAGAACTTGGAGCAGGTCGGTCAAGATTGCCCAGCTGTGCGGATATCTGCTTTTGAGACATCCTGGGTGCTTGTAGCATTGGTTTAAGCAAATATATCAACACTAGTTGCAGAAGCAGAAGCATCCTTCGACCGGGTGGTTCACCATTGCCAGGTCTGGGATGGCATCGACAACTATGCGCTTGCCTATTAAATTTATATGAAGGATAGGTGCGTAAATCAATAGAACTATGTAAGCCAAGCGTAAATATAGCAAGTTTACGTTGAAAAACGCAGTCAGAAAAAAGTTGGAAAAAAGTTGACCGGCCCCGGGACCACCCCACACCCCACACCCCAAGAGCACCCTCGAAATCGACGGGAAATAGATTAAAATGGCTATTCTTCACCTCCTCTATACTTCTAGCAGTGTTTGGGATCAGTTTACCTCATACCCCCAAAAGCTGAAAATTTTCACCCCTCCTGTTCTCACTCTCGTTTTTTCAACCCTCCCTCCTCCCTAACTCCCCCTTTCAATGCACTCAATGCGCTCACTGCATGAGTCGGGATATGAGATCGGGACTCGTCGTTTCACTTATTTAATTTTTTCCTCCCCTTCCCTTCTTTTCCCCCTGCCTGCCCCCCCCAAGGCCACGCCTACCAGGAGGAGTTGCTGGAGCTGCTGCGCTCCGTGCGCCCGCAGCACTTCCTTCCGGTGCACGGAGAGTACGCCTTCCTCACAGAGCATGCGGCGCTAGCAAAGGAGCGCGCGGGAGTCAACTTTGTGGAGGTGGGTGGCGGGTCGGAAGGGGGTGTGGGTGGTGGGTTGGATCTGGGGCCTTCCTCTCTTTCCCCCCATGCATGCACATTGCACGTACACTTGCCGTACACTTCTTGCCGTTGCCGTACAGGTCATTCGCAACGGTCAGATGCTAGCTGTACGACAGCGCCGCAACCGCAACACCCTCTCCACCGGCAGCATGGCGGAGGCACTGCTCAGGCGGGACGACGCAGCAGCGGCAGCTGAGGCAGGGGCAGAGGCAGGGGCAACGTCATCGTCAGCAGCAGCGGGAACCTTTGCAGGAGCTGCAGAGTCGGCGGCGGCGCGGGTTCGTTTCTCGGGAGTGATCGGAGGGACGTTGGAGGACGAGAGTGATGGCTGCATGGTCAAGTTCGAGGGCAACGAGCCGGACTACTACTTCAATGACGGCGGCAAGGGTACCGGCACGCGGGCGGTGAGGCGGGGAGGGGGGTTGCGAGGTGGGGTAAAACACACACACACATACACGGGCCAGTTTTTTTAACACACGGGGTGCCGGTGTGCCAGTTGACTGCGGCTCAGTTGGCTAGGTACTGTGGGCAGGGTCCGCATGGCTTTTCTCTTCTTCCCTCCTCTTGCAATTCGTGTCGTAAAATCCTGCTCATGCTGTTCGTTCATGCTGCCTGCTGCTCATGCTGTTTGTTCATGCCGCCGCCTCAGGAGATGGAGATCGACATGCGCACCCAGATGGCAGTGGAGGGGCTGGTGGTGGTGGCGGTGGCAGCCAAGCGAGGCGGCGTGGGGCCGTACGGCATGGGCTGCGACGTGAATGTGACCACCCGGGGGCTGTGGACGGACAACGGCAAGCTGCTGGGGGAGCTGTCACAGGTGTGTGTTTCGTGCATGGGGGAGGGGGCAGGGGCAGGGGAATGGGGGAAATGAATGAGTGGTGGGGGAAGGGGGGAGGGGAAGGACATACGAAGGGATACACGGTAGAAGTGAAGCACTAGAAAACACTCAATCCGCATGCAAAACCTCAATCCTAAACCCCTTTTAACTCGCCCTGCTCGCCTCCTAACAGGCGATTACAAACGCCGTCGCTCGTCTAGACGGCTCGGCGGCCCTAGTGGAAGTCGAGCGGACGGCCATCGACGCCGTGAAGCGCCGCTGCTTCGGCTTCAACGCCAGGCGACCCGAGGTGATCGCCACTGTGTACGAATTCGACCCACGGGACGCTCATCTGGCGGCTGTGGCGGAAGCCAGGGCGGCGGACGCGAGGGCCGCCAATGAGGCGCGACGGGCATCAGCAGCAGCAGCGGGTAAGGGGGCTGACCGGGTGGTGGGTGATAGGTCGGAAAGTGAGAGCTGGGTGTAGAGGTATACCGGTATATATTAGCTGGATGCGTTCCTATCGGTATATCTGCAGCTTGATCCAGAAGCATCTCGTGACACAGCCACATCTCGCCTGCCTCTCGACATCTCCCCTCGCGGGTATCCTTCTTTTCCCCATGCAGAAAGCAGCAACAGCAGCAGCAGCAGCCCCAGCCCCGCTGGCCCCCACGTGCTGACGCCGCAACATCGCACCTGGGCTCATCGACCCGTGGGTGACGCCGGCGCCGCCGCAGCAGCAGGGGGCGGCGGCGGAGTGGCGACGTTGGTACCCGGTGCTGCTCGCCGCGCCCGACCGGCTCCCACCACACCCGCTTGGGCGCCGCAACCCTCAGCAGCACCAGCACCACCAGCACCGTCTGCCCCTGTTACTGTTGCTGCTCCTGCTCCTGCTGCCGCTGTTCCTCTCGAGCTCCGAAGCGACAGTAGCGACGGCGACAGCGCTTCAGACGGGGCCGCTGAGTCCAAGCCGAGCCGTGTGCTGAGGGTGCGGAGAGCTGCTGCTCCTGCTGCTAGTGTGGCGGCGGCGGCAACGGCGGACGCATCAGCAGCTGCGGCGGATGTGGCGCCTGTCGTACTGAGGACTCGTCGGAAACGTACCACTGCCGCGGCTGTTGAGGAGTAGAGGCTTAGTACACCTAGACGGGTAGTCGAGGCGGGGGTGGTGGAGGCGGCTGTCACAGTCGCAGCGGTTGGAGGACCCATGGGTCAGTTTGGAGCGAGTATATGCTGGAGGCCTGTGTAATCCCACGGAGCCGGCCAATGCAGGCTGTGTGGTTACGTGGTTCTGTTGGGATGGTGCGTTGGTGTTGAGGTGACGTGGCGCGAGGAGTCCGGTAGTGATGCGGGGCTGTACAGGAGCGCTGTGCAGGGCTGCGACTTGCGGGATTGCTGCCGTGGTTGTTCCGGGCTGTTCCGAGTTCTTTTAAGGGTTTCACTGGTGTGGTTGTCCTCAGTTTGTGGTTTGTGTTCCGGTAGATTGAGAAATGCCGTCATGAGGTTTTGATTGTCGTGCTTGTGTTGCTTACCCGTCTTACGGACCCGGCATATGAGTGAGCTGTTGTGTTGCGGTCAGCCCGCGTGTATTTGGTTGCAATAGCTAGATGCTGCATGCAAAGCTAACCAGGAAGGCAGATGCTGCCTGCTCCCCGCCTGGACCTGTTCTGTTGTACTGTTGCTGTTCGGAGTTGCTCCGCGCCTAGCAAAGTTGCAGAGATGCTAGTAGTTGGTAGTAATAGTTGGTACGGTGGGCAGTGCTGTGGTGTGACCCGCAGCCGGACCTGCGGACGCCCCGTTGTCGATACGGGTGACACCCACGCAAGGGGTTCAGCTGTGGACATAAACAGCTGTTGTTCATGTGCAAAACGATTCGGCGGCTTTAAGGAGTTTATGTTTAAGCAGGCCGTGGAACGGCCAATTGGAACGGATGGATGTAAAGCCGTAGTTACAAGAGAAACGGGTATCGCCTTTCGTCGTCGCGGCCTGGTTACGTGCCTTGTCAGGATTGCGTGGGAGCTGGCATGGAAAAGTTAGCGTCTGCTAGTTGTCCGCCTTCTCCGCTGCAGAAGGCAGACATCTATAGCTGTTGGCACAGCCCTGGAGCCTGAGATTGTGGGATTGCAGGTTTAAGGAAATCACACGTATCGCATTCGTTGTTTCAGTTTGTCCGCACGGTTGTCATACTCCCCGCAAACGTCGCATGCATATTAATGCGCAAGGCGGCAAGGGGCCGTGGGGCGCCGACAGCCGCACCCTTCATGCCAAATTACTCATGCGAAACCCCTGATTCTTGCCACCCAGCTGTGCGCCGCCATAAGCACTCAACATACCACGACCATAACGTCGTGAGCCGGAAATAGCTTGGATCACAGGCGACAACCAAACATCGCAGCACGTACCGGTACACAACGCCTATAAGTACACCAAACTGCAATCACACAAGGAAAAGCGCTCCTTCGGAAGCTACCGAAGCAGCCGTTCACAATGAGCTGCACTATGGAGAACACGATGCGGCTCCCCGAGCTACAGCAGCCCAACATGTGCCCACGCCAGCAGCGCGCAAGACTCCAGACTCGCAAAGTCATGATCAACGTTAGCCACCAAAGGGCCCCAGCCATGTGGGCATTGTCCATTCGGCGAATCACGCGCCGCCTTCAGAACCCCCACAAGCGGCACCTCTGCCCAGCATACAGCTGCATGTGCTTGAATAGCACTATATTCAGGCAGCTGCGGTGTACCCACCCGGCCAACCCGACCTTGCATGTACCGGTACATCAGTTGATGGCGGCCCAGTGCTACCACAGCCCATCCCGTGTAAGAAGCACGCGATCTTTCACGCAGATGCGGTCTCACAATACCACGCGGGTCTTTCCCGGAAGCGTCTCAGCATCAGCAGCTCCTCGCGCGTGCGAAGGACAGGTCATCATTTATTCATCTGTGTGCTTCGGCCGATTGCACGGACAGCCCTCGCACGGACAGCCCTCGCAGGAAGCATGAAGGCAATCCTACATGCCCGGTCACCTCATCATCATCGTGGCTCCTCTGGGCACGCTCATGCCGGCCCTGACGGCCGAACGGCACGTCGGCAAGCTGACCCACATCGCGTTTTGCAGAGCTATGCTGGGAGACCACTCCCCGTTCCTCGCTGCTTAGAAGCCGTCATCGTTGTTATCCGCGTAACGTGAGTACCTATCCTTGGCTCCAAACTTCTTTTTGAACCACTGCAACCCCGGAATGCGCCATTGGCCACCCCGCCGGAAGACACAGCAAACTGCGTGCGAGCGGCGGAAGGGGTTAGACAACGGGAAACGGGAGAAGCGGTTAGGCGTGGAGTACCGGTAGCTAGCGGAACATGCAGCGTGGATGAAACACATGCATGGCGTCCACAGGGTACCGGTGCATTCGGGCAGTGCAGCTTGCATCATGGGGCTCCCTTCGAGGTCCCACCACCCTTTTACGGTTACAAGGGCTGCCTGTATAGCAGTATACCCGGTAACATGGGCTGTGCAGGCAGCCGTGAGAAAACATGCCCCAATTCACACATTGATCTGGGTCGGGAACCCAGATGGTGTACCGGTATTGTCATACTTCCCCGACCCAGACCCAGAAGACGTACCTAAGCATGTCAATATGCAAACAAGCATGAGGACGCCGACCGTGATAGCGATGCCCCTCTCCGCTGGTGTCTTCCCCGCCTCAAGCTTAGCAAACTTGTCAGAGATCTTCTCTTTTGCTGTCTCAGGAGGAGGGGGAGCCGCCGTTGCGTTGGTTGCCGTGACGTTGCTGGCAGGGGCATTGACGAGGGTTGCGTTGAGCAACGCTGTGGAGTTGTTCACCACTGTGGCGTTGAGCCCCGGTGTCGTGTTGCTGCTGTTTCCTTGTAAACGCCGTTGTGCCGTCGCCAAATGCCACCCTGGGGGTGGCAGAGTATAGGTTACGAATATGGAACACAGCTGTGCAAGGCCGGCATGAGCAAGTGCACGGCAACAACTACTAACACGAACAGCGACTATTTCGGAACATGAGTAATGCAATACAGGAAATTGCTAGACTCGGTTCAGAGGGTTGAAAATTGCTTACTGTCAGCGGAGGCCGGGACGGGGTTCGTCAAGAGCAGGACCGCCACCGAAGCCAATATAAGTCGCCCCAGCGCGGTGACTGACTGATGGCCCCTACGATGTGAAGGAAACCGCAAACCTATGGCTCCTCGGGACATTTCCCTCCAATCCTCGGTCCGTCCGGAAGCCAATACAGGGCAAGTAAGGGCTACACAATGCGTCGTTGGATGAAAGGGATAGGCTAATCTGTGCGGGCACCCGGCAGAAGTTGCTTTGGTGTGGACTACAATAAACTGGGTGAAAATAGCACCGGCAGGCGGACAAAGGCTTTCTAAAGAAGTGGTCTTCGTATTAATAATTAGGCAACATGCGTCACAAAGTTAGCTTCACGGAGCAATATGATCAAGCCCCGCATGTGCCTCATCCAGCTCACATGAAGAAAATCGTACGGCGACCTGTTAACCCAGAAGACTGGTTGTTACCTTAGCAGTTTCCCACAAACGTGTGTTTTTGCATCAACCGGACGTTGAGGGCGCTTGGACGATACGAGGAGATACTAGGCAACGCTGTAGCCAAGACCCAAGAGCACTTAGCATCGCCTTTTGTGGCACTTTGGAACAAAGAACCGTAACAATAGCGTAGATCAACCGACAGCGGAGTTCTTCCGGGAGTAGCTGGTATGTCCGCGCATGTGTGCGAGTATAATGCGGAGCTAGGTCTCAGCCCCTGGTTCTCCTCCACCATCCGGGCCGGTACATGCTTCTTACCGCGTTCAGTTGTAGCTGCATCCTGCTCTTGTCACGGCCCGGGACTGCGTTGGGGTTTTAATGCTCAGCTCCAAGCCCCCGTCAAGCCTGTTGCATCTGCCGATGGCGTGAACTGGCTGCACACCCCTTACCGCCCCTAACGCCCCCAGCTTCACGCACCCCATTCTCCCATTTTCCCTGCCCACCATGCCTACCTGACACAGGCGTGTGCAGCCCAACAGTCTTCTGCCCACGCTCCCTGTGTTCAGACCAAACCGGAAACGAAACACCCGGGGTTCACGGCCTCACCTCGTCCTGTGCTGCGATCCGCATACCGTACTTGGTTCGTACACCCGAACTGCCCGCCGACCAATCCGCCTACACTCGGCAGCTCAGATGCTGACCGGCTAATAGCCACATCGCAGCCCAGTTGGTGCCCTCCTCGGCACCCCGTTCCGTTGTCCGTTTGTTATTTAGTTGTTGGTTGACGTTCGAGGAGGAGCTTGATGGAGCGGAGTCAGGTGGTGATTCCCATACGCCACGGCGCCAGCAAAACCGGCGGAGAAACTGCCAAGTCGATCGGCCATAAAGACAGCATCCTAGTAGGGCTGGGGCTCATCTTGTTCCTCAGCCTGACCTGGATTTACTTCGTGCACAGGTGGGCTGCTGCCGGGGGGTCAAAATAATGGACCAACCCGGGGGGAGGGGAGAAGGAGAAAGCTAAGTATCCAATTGAAACATGGAAGGGAAGGGGTCGTTTTCACCGTATCCTCTTTGATTGTCCGCGCTAAGGTGTGGTGTGCCATCCCGCAACAGCGTTAGTAGCGATTCATCCTTGCCTGGTGCCCTGAACCTTGCGCCGCTTCACCTGCGCCTGCCCACCGCTCGCCCTCCTGCTGTCACAGAATGTACCTGAACGTAGAGCCGCCAACGCCCAGCGACTCGTCCTAGTGACGCACTGCTGGAAATGCCGTTGGCCGGCGGTTACAGATCAGTCGCCGGCAGGCCCCGGACGTGGACGGACGGGTCCTGGTGTTGCCAGCCTCCGCTGCGCCGGCTACTGCCTGTTGGTACCTGAAGGGCTGTCGTCGTCCTCTTGCAAATGGCTGCAGCCGTTATTACAAACGTGGTAGCGAGGGAGATCCCTGGCCTTTTTCTGGAGGTCAGTGACAGCATGTCCGCTGGCATTAAAGGCTGTAGCAGACGGTCAGTTGCAGTAACCCTTTCAGCCTTATACGATTGTCCTTATTGGGTATGTCGTTGCCGGAAACACGGATGTCGGCCGTCATGCCCAGATTGTGCTGGATAGGCTGTGGGGGCGCTTCCTGCTGCCGGCGGGTACCCTAGAAGGAAGGCCCGTGTGCGTACCGGTACTTGCTCACAGATGGATGTTTGGCGCGCTCGTGAGAAGGTAACTGGAGAACAGTTGCTTTCGCGAAAACGAGTAGGCATGAGACGCGGTCTGCCCTGTCCAGGTGGATGCGGGGATGTTTGATGTTTCAGGAAGTGGAGGATTGCCTACAATGGCTAACACGGACGTCGTGAAGCGTACAGGGACGAGCCTTTGGAATTGCGGACAAGCTCCGTCCACTCTTAACGTCCCTGCGCATCCTTGCGACGGGCGACGTTGGCGCGCCACCATGCAGGAAATCAGGCACAGGCGACCACAATTCAGAACCGTCCGCAACACTGCACATCCGGCACCAAACCTCAGCCAATGCAGCATGCCCGTACCGTTTAGGGCATAACCGCATTGCCGGTAGACACATTTTTTTAGACGACACGAGGGACCATACGTAATGTCAACTTGCGAACCGCATCCTATGGCTACCAGTAACAGCCATGCCGTATGTAAAACCTGAATGCTAACAGGACCTAGCAAGACTTGTTGATTTCGTTTAGCTGCCCCGAACCAGCATCAGGCATCGGGTCAACATGCGGTGCGCTGTGCTAGCCGCAAAACCCATGTCTCCACAGCCCCAATAACCCAGGGCCGTGCCTGAGACCACGCTGAAGCCTACCATGCCTGATCAGGACACGCCACAACTAAACAAACAAGCTTCTCTAAAAAACAACAAGCGTCCGCACATGCAGTGCATTGCGTCAAGGGTCTAAATTGCAAAAGACAATATCGACAACAGGACAGCAGTATGGTCAATTGGTAGTCAAGGCCTTCCTTTCAAGCTCCCTGCAGTTTCAGCTCATGTCAAGGACAAGCGAACATCTCGTAACGAATATGGCCCCGTAACCTCACGCCAGCAAAGGAGGATAACGAATTGCGCCATCAATCCTTACGAAAGGCGTATTGCGCCAGTGTCAGCACAGCAGTCAGCGCAATACCGCAAACCCACACCCCTCAGGCTTGCAGTCAAACCAGCCGCACAGGTCCACCGCTGCATCCATCCAGCTGCTACAGACCCCAAAATGCACCTCCCCGCACAGCGCCCTTCGCCGGCATCGCGGAAACCATAACCACTCGCCAAGGCGCCTTCCCCTGGTGCCAAAAGCCCTGCTGCCTGTACCTAACCCTCCGCATGCAAACACTTATGCACATTTACTCCTAGCGCCGCCCGCCTCCCCCTCCACCACCAGCACGACGCTTGCCCCCGCCAGAAAAGCTCTTCTTAGATGGAGCGCTGTGGCCCTTCAGCAGCTCGTTTGTGCCCCGCTCCAGCAGGGACCGCAGCCGCTTCTGCGTCTCCTGCGCCCCGCTCACAGCATGCCACTGCACGCCGCTGAGGCGCCGCAGGCAGTCCATCCGAGCGCTGTCATCGGGCAGCCGACCCAGGCACTCAAACACCTTCTCATCTACCCCCTGCAAGTCCAGCTTGCCAAAGCCCTTCAGGTAATTGTACATGCGATCCTTGAACTCAGCAGACAGCGGTCGCGGGGAGGAGGAGCTGCCGCCACCGCCACCACCACCCGCATCGGCCCCTCCTGCTGCGGCAGCCTCGCCTGCGCCGCTGCCTCCCTCAGCCGCCGCCTGCCCCGGACTGCGGGAGCGTTTCGTGCCCCGCCGCTCCGGGCTGCGGCTCTTGCTCAGGCTCTTGCTACGGCTCCTGCTTCGCGAGGAAGACCGGTCGCTGCTGGCCCCGCGCGACTGGCTCCTGGAGCGCGGCTTGGTAGGGCTCGTGGCACGCGCTGGTGACCGGCTGCGGCTTCTGGTCTTGCTGCGGGCCTTGCTGCGGCCCTTACTCGGGCTGCGGCTCTTGCTGCGGCTCCTGCGGGTGGTGCCAGCACGGCGGCCGCGACTAGGGCTGCGGCTGCGCCGCGGAGCTGCTGATGCTGACCCTGATCCTGCGCCGGCGGTGTTGGCGCCGACAGCCGAGCTGCGATGCCGGCCGCGATCGTCACGGTCGTAATCGCGATCACGAGGACGGGATGCTGATGCAAGCGCCATGCGCGGATCCGGCGGCGGCGGGTAGCGACCCATGGGTCCGCCCATAGCGGCGGCTCCAGGCAACGGTGGCGGCGGCGGAAGCATGCCACCCAGGCGGCCAGATGCCAGTGCAGGCGGGCCGGGCAGTGCGCCCATGGCGGGTCCGTAGCGGGAGTCGCGGCGGGCTGCCATGGCTCCCATGGCCAATCCCACGCCCGCAGCAGCTGCCATCATGCCCTGCATGGGCGCCCCCAAAGGCATCATGGGCATGCCGCCCCCGGGTCGCAGCATGTCGCGGCGCTGCATATCGCGCTGCACTTGCTCAGCGCAGCGCAGCAGAGTGCCCTTGACGGTTGCGCTCACGTTGAAGCGCTCCTTCCAGCGGATGTTGCGCAATGAGCGGAGTGCGTTGAGGCGTTGCTGTGGGAGGAGGGCATGAGAGGGCGGGGTCCGGCAAACAGCATGGTCGTTAACGTTGCTTGCTATGGTACAGTGGTGCGAGGCACCAACACCAACATAAGTGATAGCGACGGCTTGCAATATGGCTGCGATCACGACGCAAGCAGTTGCAGTGCCTGGACGCAACCCCGGAATGCCCCATTGCCGCAAATCCAAAAACCTTCTTACCTCGCAGTTGGGCAGCATCAGCAGCGGGTCCCACGCACTGGCGTCAATCTGAGAGCAATCCAGGTCATCTGCAGCGAACCAAGAAAGTCGCACTTAGATAAAGGAAGCTTACCCACCACCAGAGCTTTATACGCATGCCCACAAACGGACACACATAAGCCAAGAACGCTTCGGCCCGCGCAGCCCAACTCACCAGCATCGTACAAAACTCGCCGAGCGTCTTCAATGAAAGCCCGTGGCAGCTTCACAATGCATCCCCTTGACGTGGACCGCACCACGTCCTCCCACCGCCGCGACTTGACATCCGGCTCACGAAGGGACGAGCGCGCGGGGTCCACGCGCTCCCGGGCATCACGCTCCCGCTCGCGCTCGCGCGCGCCGTCACGCTCCTTGCTGCTGCCACGCACACGGTCACGTTCCCGGCGGCGTTCCTCCTCAGCGTCGCGGGGTTTGCCCCTCGCGCCACCGTCCCGAGGCTCCCTGCTGTGACCGCGTTCCTTGCTGCTGCCACGGCTGCGGCCCTCACGGTCGCGGCTCCGGCTGCGACGGCGCCGCCCCTCCGCGGAGCCTGCACGCTCACGTTTGACATCGGTGGACCGCTTGGCTGCGGGCCCGAGTCCTCCGGGAGGGCTCACGCTTCGCCCTCGTTTGGCCCGGGCAGTGCGGCCGGCGCGGAAGAGCTGCATGCGCTCCATCTCCACGGCCCGCTGCAGCCGGGAGTGCAGGACGCCTCCGGGATTGTTTGCTGTACTCCACTCAATCTGCAAGGACCAACATCCATCGCCATCAGCATAGGTTCAGTGGGCCATTGGGAAAGGTACAAGCCTCATGATAGGAGCAGTGGTATAAGCAGCAGCGCGAGCAGCAAGGAAGGACATACTCACCGAAAGTAACGCCTGCGAAGCCCGCCAGCGTGCCTCGTCATCGTTGATGGCCAGTAGCGAGCGGAGCGCCCATGGCCGAACAGTTGATAGGTCCAGAGCGGCTGAGGCAGGTACGACAGTTGGGCGCAAGCGGATATAAGGTAACTCAAAGCGGCTTGAGCAGGATGACCTACATGTCCGTAATTCGACGGTTCGCAATATGGCTGCTAACGAGATCTGGTAACGCGCAGATAATTAGCTCTGCTGCATGCATGCAATCCCCACTTGCCGCCCATAGGCAACCCCTACTTACGCATATCCATCAGAAGCTTGCGCAGCTTGGCCAGCATGTCTGAGCCGACTTGCCCCACCAGACCAGCAGTCACGTGATCCACCTGCTCCTGGCGGCTAAGGTTCGGACCGGGGGCACCCATGTCCTCATATGCCACACGCCCGGTGGCGGTGATCGGGATGTTGCGGGTGGTCAGGTCCTTGGCAGCCTCCTTGCTGTCGTCGCCACCGCTGCCACCTTGCTCCTTCCCGTCAGCGGCACCGCGGACAGCTGCCGGCTCAGCCGCCGCCTCCGCTGCCGTCGCCGTTGGCGGATCAGCGGCTGCCGGTACCTCATCCTGCTGCCGTACATGCTCGTCCAAGTGCTCGTCCATCAGATCCGCATCCATAAGGTCACCAAAGTCGTACTCGTCAAGCTGCTCTTCTTCATTGTTGTCAAACACACCGTCAGCCCCGCCTTCGGCCACCTGCGCGTCCTCTTTGCCAGCCGACCCCGCCTCGTCGCCCTCTTCGCTGCTGCTGTAGCCACGGGAACGGGAGCGCGTGGGTTCGGAATCAGAGCTGCTGTACGCTCGGCGTGGAGAAGGCGACAGGGGCACGCCCTCCGGCTCCATGGCTTGCTGCTCCTCGTGAGCGAAAGGAGCGGCTGCGCCCGCTTCAGGCTCCTGAGCAGTGCTGGCGACTGCCGCTTGCTCTACCGCTGCCTCCGGCTCCTTGCTTGCCGAGCTCCTAAGAGGAGAGTGGAAGGTTGGGCGAGCGGATGGGTTCCAAACAATGGGCTCGCGCTTGGCTCGGCCACCCGAAGTGGTGGTTGGAGCATCGGCCTGCGGTGACGCTGCTGCCGCTGCTGGTGACGCCGCTTCAACAGGTGCCGGGTCCGGTCGTGCCGCAGCATGAGACGCTTGCTGCGGTTGCGCAGCGGCAGCCTCCGCACCGGCACTGCCACACGTGCCGTCACGCTCGGTCTTCACCTGCTTGCTTTCCTCGCCGCCGCCATCTCCCCTGCCTTTGCTGCTGCCAAGGTCTTTCTCAGCTGTATCGCCCCTGCGTCCGGCCTGGCTGCTACCGCCGCCGTCAGCTGCCGTTGTTTTCGGTGCTGCGGCCGCCGACTCCCTTGCCGCAGCAGGAGGCTTGACATCTTCAGTCCTAGCCCGCTTGCCATCCCGTTCACGCGACCTGCTGCGGCTGCGCCCGCTCGCCTGCTCGCGACTGCTGCCATCCTTGTCGCGACTGGTGCCGCGGCGCTCGCTGCCGCTGCCACGTGCGACGTTCGCCGGTGCAGGGCTGGCTGCAGTGGCCTCAAGGGCCTTCGCGGTGCCACCGCTGCGGTCCTTGTCTTTACTGCTGTTCTCCCTGTCCCTGGCCCGTTCCTTCTCCCGTTCCCGCTGCTTTTCTTTTTCCCGCTCCCTCTCCCGTTCCCGCTCCTTTGCTCTTTCCCGCTCCCTCTCCTTCTCGCGCTCTCGCTCTTTTTCACGCTCCCTCTCCCTCTCACGCTCCTTGTCGCTGCGACCCTCGTCCTTGTCGCGATGCCGGTCCTTGTCCTGGCCACCACTGTCCTTCTCGCCGGAGGCCTTCGCTGCTCGGTCGCGCGAGCGACTGCGGCTAGGTGCCTTGGCGTCCCCGCGTCCGCCATCGCGGTCCCTGTCGCGCCGGCTTGGGCTGCTTGCTCGGCCGCTGGACCGACCTGCCGCCGCCGCTGCAGCGCCGGATCCACCACTGCGCGCGCTGCCACCTCTGCCGCCTGCAGCAGTCCAGGAAGTTGCAAGGAGGCAGTCTTACCGCATGTCGGGCGGGATGTTGTGTGCAAGGAAGTGCGCCCACTTGCCGCCGTGGCAGCTGCGAGCCAGGGCTGTTAAGAGAAGCGGACAAAAGGGCTTTTGCACACGGGTGCGAGCCTGCCTGCTTGCATCTGGCTTTCCAACCGGAAAGCCGAAACAAGCAGCAGGCAAAGGGGAGGAACTGGACGCGATCTTTAGGGTTACAGCGCACCGTTTTTGCTGGTCTACGCGGGTAGATGCTATGCCTGCCTAGCTGCTGCATTTCCTCTGGTAATCGCTGCTCGCATGCCGACGCTAGCGTCCGCAAGTGCGTTGTATGTTCAACGTTAGCAAGCAGAGCCGCAGCTTAAGCTGCGCTCACATCAGCCTGAACCGTTCTGGCTATCAGCTCCTCGACGCTCTACAAGGCAGAGGAGCTGCCACCGCCATTGCCATGATGAGCGCTGCGGTGCCAACGCACACACTGCAGGAACATGTAGCTGGCAACTCGCGCTAGCAATATATGATTGCCAGTACGCGTCGCTGCCGCTGTTCCCGGCCAACAAGCGACCGTACTTTGTTTCGGAAGGAAACCGCCGGCCACACCACTGCTGTTGAGCTAGTCGGCGCAGTGCAGCTGCACGGATGACCGCTGCAGCTGCCTGAGCCAAGCCTTAACCGCATTTAGCGGGGCAGGCAAAGGCGCTCCAGTGCCTACTATGCAAAGGACACGGACAAGGCATTGTGTGCTGAAGGGCTGCAGGTGCCTTGCTGCATGAGCGACTCTGCGCCTGCAGCTGACATGCCGTCAGCCCCTCGCCAGGAGCGCCTGTGCGAGTGCCGAGTGGCTGCTCCGAAGTGCAAGACAGAATACGCGATGTGCATGCCATGCTGCCACCTTTGCAGCCGCCGAAGCTGGGTCTGCTACGCCCGAGCGGACTGCCTGGAAACGAATTACGCCGGACAAAGCAGCACTTTCAGCCAGCCCCCGTCCGCCGCAGCCGTCGGAAAGGCTTGCGGCGGACAAAGCTGTGAACACAGCTGGGCAAAGACCGGCAAACCCGTGCATCGCCAGCGAATATCCTAGCGCTTGAGTAACCCCATAATGGCCGCTGCGTGCCCACAATGCAAGGCTGCGCGGGTGGCGCAGCCCGCAGCCGCAGGAGTCCTACTGTGTCCCCAAGGCTGCACCCTGCCATGCGCAAGAAATTACCTGCATCGGGCTGCCGTTGGCGGTCCCTGTCACGCTCCGAGCGCTCACGGCCTCGGTCGCGATCCGACCTATCGCGGTCTCGCTCAGCATCCTGCCGGTGGCGGTCTCGGTCTCGAGGGCGATCGCGGTCTGCGCTATCATGGCCCCCGTTAAGAGCCGCAGATGAAGTTGTCTCGCGCAGACCAGTCATGACGTACGCTGAACGTGAATCATCACGACTTGCTGCCGGCTGGGACCCTGAGGCGGATGCTGTTGCGGCCTGGGGCTCGGGCTGCGTCTGGCCACGAGGGCCCGAAAGGTGCGGCGGCAGAGGTGGTGGAGGTGGAAGCTGCAACGGAGGCGGCGGCGGTAAAGCTCCGGCGTCGGAACCCGGAATCTCCGCGACAGTTGTCCCAACTGCTGGAGCTGAAGGCTCAGAAACTGGCTTCGATGCTTCCGTCGGGGCTGCTGCCGGTGCTGCATCTGCTTTCACCGCTGAGTCTGGCTCTTGGGCTTGAGCCTGTAAGCCGTCCGTAGTAGGCGTTCCTTTGGCGGAAAGGCTGTTCACGAAAGGCTGTGAAGCAGAGCCAGGTGTGTCAGCTAGTCCTGCTGGTGCTGCAACGGCAGCATTTGGCACCGCCACCGGGGATTGCAGACCCAAGGGCTCTACGTCTATCACGATGTGCCGCTTACGAGGATCACGGGGCATGTCAGCGTCTGACAGCACAGATGCGGGCGAGGCAAGGGTGGCAGCTGACGCTGGGCCCTCCAGCTGACGCTGAGCAAATGTCGCTGCCTCCACAATTGGTGATCCTGCTTGCGGGACGGACCCCTGTTGCTGCTGTGAGGCTGGCTCCGACATAAGCGCGGGTTCCTGGGTCGGCTTGGCTTCAGATGCCGCTTCCGATTGCGGATCTGCAGACATAGAAACAAATCTTGTAAGCGCAAGTACACTCGTAGAAGCGTATAATAAACATCCAGCGTGCAAAGAAAACTGAAACAACTAATCAGCAGACGAAGCTCGACAGCGGGATGGCGTTAACCAGCACAAATGTCGCGTCTCGACGCACCGGGCGCCACCTTCACCTCCTCCGCGCCGCGCTTAGCAGCAGCTTGCTTTGCTGCTGAACCTTCGACTCCGGAGGCCGCTGCTGCTGAAGCGACAGGCTCACGAGCACCGCCCTTGCCCTTGCCGCCCGCGCCCTTGGCGCCAGCAGCCGCTTTCCCGCCTGCTTGGCTAGCTGCTGCTTTGCCCTTGGCGCCTTTTGGGGTGGACGCTGGGGACGTCGGCGCCTTTTGTTGCTCCACTTGTTGCTGCTGCTCCTTTGCCTTACCGCGCGTAGCACCTTTTCCCGCCCTTGGTGAGGGCAGATCCAAGGCTGCTGTTGGTGCTGCTGATGTAGCCTTTGCCTTTGACCTTGTTGTCCGTGGTATCGGCTCGGGAGGAAGGAAATCTTCTGGACCGATGCTAGGCTGCGACACAGGCCCAGGCTCAGCTGGGGCGTCAGGCCCGTCCTGCAGAGAAGAGGGCAAACATATACATGGACCCAACAGCAATTATAGGCCATCGTAAAGCGCAAAGCATGAACGCTGCTAATTTTCAGGCCAAAGTCTGAACGGTCTTCCTCCAGGTACACAGCCCTTCGCCAAAGTCCCGCCCAAGTACCTGCTTCTGCTCTTTAAACTTCTTCAGGAAGCCCATTGCTTGTCCAAAGCCGCTAACACGCCAAGATGCGCGAACGTATTACCCGCTCCCCGTTCTCCAGCTGCTGTCCTTACAATCCGTTGCGTGGGGGCACATTGTTGCCCCCGGGTGAGCAGCGCTCAGCAAACCATTGATGCGGTGACAGGTAGAAGCCCCAGAGCCGCTATGCCAAAGGAACGTATTCTTCTGTACTAGCACGCTAGCCTTGGCAGGTGCGTTATAGTCTACAAACGTGTTGCAGATATCTATGGTGTCGCGTGCTGTCTGTGCAAGTCCATGGCATATGGGGTACCAGTGCCATGCAACCGTACGATTACGGAAGATGAACCTTTCCATATCCCCGAATGGCCTATGAAAGTCAAGTATCCTGACATATATTTGAATACAAGGACTGCAAACCAATACTGCGCTCTTCAGGGTTGCTCTTTGAGCTTGTAGACTCTAGTCTGAACCTCGTGGTCCAGCCTATCTAGAGTAAAAGTCTAGTAAACAGACCTTCTAACCGCATTTTACTCCCTTACAAAGTGCTCTTCTCGTTTCAGGTAAGCAAGGTCGTCGTTCTAACAGTCTGCTTTAGCCGTGTAAATGTGTTCTCTTTATCCCCCCCTCATCTCCCGACTGCTTGTATTACGGTATTGCAGTGATCAGTATGGCTGCGGATGGGGGAAATGCTGGGGGAGAGGGCGAGTCCTTCGTTGAGCTGCTGCTGGAAGAAGTCCGGACCGAGGGTCTGGACTGCCCCTCCGTCCAAATGCTGGTGGAGATGGCGAAATCTGGCGACAACGACACCGTCGCTGATGCTCTCAGCTTCCTAATAGAGGCCGGCGCGCCAGACAAGGCTGCCAGCTGCCTTCGCCATATTATGGCAAGCACGCACAAACCCGACCCTAGCAACGCTCGCAGTGCTGGTGCCAGCGGCGAAGGCGGTGGCCCGATCGCGGCAGCTGCCTCTGCTGCTACATCCGGATCCCCATCGGGAAAGCCAGATGCCCTGGACTACGCAATAGCCGGCAAGGTCCTAAACAGGCACGTCGGTTACCGGTGTCTGTAGTGGCTGCTAGCGCCTGTCCCTGTGCATGTGGCCGATCATGAAGCAGTCAACGTCAGCGCCTGGTGCCTACCCTCCCACCTGCTACCTGCATCCCTGCGAGCTGTGTCCTAACCGCTTCAGCTCCAGCTGCCCAAGTAGCCAGCTCGCATACGCGGACTTCCACACTTTTGGACAGTGGTCTTGGTAATCTCCACACCGACATCCCCCCCAACTGCTTGCATGTGCTCGCAGGCTAGTGGAGCTCGGCAGCCTGTCAGAGGCGCAGGACCTGCTCAAGTTCATGCTGGTTCCGAGGGACACGGATCGCGGCCGGGGCAAGATGCTGGACTGCTACGGTAGGGGGCTGCATGGTGGCGTTGAAAGGCTTGGAGCTGTGCCATGGGTTGGCCTGGGTTGCATCTTGCATGTCTCCCCTTGTGGCATGTCACTAGCCCCCTCCCTCTCCCCCTCCACACGCGCTCGGTGAAACCTCATCATACAGCTCCTCCGTTTCTTCCTTTTACCCCCCTCCCCCCTCCACACACACGCGCCCTTTGGCCCCCTGCCTGCGCCTTTCCTTGTCTTCCACGCAGATGTGGCCCTCATCCTGGGCGCCATGGTGCCCGAGGGCGCCGCCGAGTCCGCCGGCCGGGTGCTGTTCGCGCTGTACTCCAGCGAGGCTGGCGACGACAGCGCCGCCTCGCAGACGCTGGTGCCCTTCATCCTGGGCACCCTGCTGGACCACGAGCGGGCTGGCTGGGCGGCGGAACTGGGCAAGCAGCTGATGTACACGACGCTGGAGGTGGGCGGGCTGGGCTGGGGGTGGATGGAGGAGGAAAGGAGGTGGTGGGCAGTGAGCCGGGATGGGGGCTAGAGGAGCTTGGGAAGGGCGTGCTGCGGTTGCTCCGAGCAGGTCGTCGGGAATGATGGGGTTGCATGGGACATGCTTGCAGTAACGAGCTGCATGTGGGTCGGAAAGGGGAGGATGAGGACCATTGCCCTGGGCAATGGTGAAGGTGGCGGCTGCGCCCCGGTGTTGTTGCCGCTTGGTGTTACTCGACCCCCTTGGTGTTATTGCTGTTGCAGGAGATCGAGGCGGGTGCGGGTGACTACGACTACTCGGTGCTGGGCTGGTGCCTGGCGCAGATGGTACGTTGCAGGGGCAGGCAGGCAACATGTTGGGGGGGAGGACACATGCGTGGGACGTTCCTACCCGCTTAAAGCAACTGTGCGCTCAGGAGGGTTCCTCCTCGGTAGTGTACGACAGTACCGGTATGCTGACGGTGCTGAGGCGCGACTTTGTTCTTCTTTCTTCTTACACCATACATGCCGGGGCCGTCTTACCCCTATAGCCTGACTGCCCCTCGCACCCTCCTGCCCCTCGTATCCTCCTCCGGCTCAGGTCTGGTACGGTCGGGCTGACTGGGCTGCCCGGCTGTGCCTGGAGCTGGAGCGGCAGCAGCTGGAGTGGTACAACACGCAGGAGATGCTGGGCAGCGTTGCAGGCTGGGGCGACAACTCCTACTCCATGACCATCGTCAACTTCATGCAGGACGCGCGGTCCAAGGAGGCGCGCAGGAATTTGTAGGAAGAGGAAGAGGGATGGATGGCGGGGTGCGCATGGGCTGTGGGCTGGTGTGTGAGGGAGGTGGGTGGTTGGGACACTCGCCCGGTGGGGTTTTGCGATTGATTGCTGGGTATGCGCAGACGGCCACAGTTCTCGCACTGCTGCTCCATGGACCCATGGGTCGTTCCATGGAACAACGGAAGCGGTAGCAGCTCTCGTTTACAACAAATGCAACGGTTTTGGCATCGTTGGGACATGTGGTGGAATCGCAAGGTGGTTGTGTAGGGTCCATTGCCTGTGCTGCTGCCTGTGCTACTAAAGAAGTGTTATGCGAGCTGCATGTGTAACGGCTTCAGGACGTGTTGCTTCTCTTCATGTACATGGTTAGTGTTCGCTGGTTTTGTTTCAGCTGAGCCGCTGGTGTTGTGCAGCTGGCTGCTTTAGGTGTAAAGAGAAGGAAGCCGCCACTTCGCCTAGTGGGTCTGCTGAAGAGATGCCGTAGCTGTCTGTACGTATACCTGTACCTGAAGGTTCGCATTTCGTTGCTGTACAATAGCTGCCTTGCCATACCGGACTGAGAGACGACGTGTGTTGCTGACATCTCGTCGACCGGTTGCTGCATAATCTTTTGTTTGGCATGACACCTGCGCTGCGTGGGGACGGTTTCCAGATTCCAGTACATTCAAACGTCGTTGTGGGTGTCGTCGTGTGTGTGGATGGCTTAGGTAAAACAACGATACATGGGCCATGCTAACCAGTGCTAACATGAACCTGACGCCGCGTGCGAGCTGCATCTAACTGTGTTTTCTTAACACACCTGTTGGGACCTCACCCCCGGACATGATCGCGGGAGGGTGACGTTTTGTTGGATTGTAACCTGTTGTAACCTGGAAAAGCGGCACACCGGCTCCAAGATGCCCAATTCGGGAGTTTATCCAGGCTAAAGGAACTGTGTCTCCTCGCCGTCCTTTATCATCGCTTTTGGCAACGACACAAAGCACACGATAAAGGCTAGCTAACTGCCCGGCTATTCACACCTGACATGAATTATCAATAGGACATGAAGCCACACACATCAGGGGCATTCAAGGGGCGGTACGATAAAACTCACCAGCTGCTGCCATCACACGTTAGTCTGTCAAGCCACGCCCACAGCTGGCTTGCATAGGGCCCCAAGGCAGCAACAACAACCAAATGCATACGCTGCAAACGCTAAAACCTATATAGCCCTTACTGAAACACACGCATGCAACCATTCCATGCCTGCCTGTTATTGCCAACACCAACGTTCTGCGCTGTCCTGCTATTATTATGCCTACTCGCCTGCCCCTCCATCAAATCACATCCTGCAGCCATTCGGAGGAACACCCACCGCCCTCAAAAGCTTCCAACCATAATACCCCCCTTACTCAGCCACATGCATCTTTTACATATTTACTGCTCATCCTATTATGCTATCTAAGAATCTCGTACGTAAGGCACACAAAGCGACCGCCCGCCCCAGGCAGACCCACATGTCCCCAAGGCGGCATCCCGAGCGTTCTCAGCTCCGTGCTTGTTACTTGGCGGTGGCGGCGGCGGACCGCGATGCCTCCCCTGCCTCGTCCCCGCTCTCGTCCCAACGCGGCAGCTCCGGCTCCACATCCGATCCGTCCTCACTCACGGCTCCATCCGCACGACCCGCATGCGCCGACACCTCTACCTTCGTACCCTCCTGCACCTCCAAGTTCGAGGCCTCTTTCTCATCCGAGACGCCGCTCACATCGCCTCCAGTACCCTCCTCCGCCTCCTCTTCTTCCTCCTGTGGCTCTCCGTCTTCATCCGCATCAGCCTCCTCCTCTTCTTCCTCCTCCTCCTCCTCATCCATGTCTTCCTCCTCCTCCTCCTCCTCCTCGCTATCCTCTTCCAACTCCTCCTCATCTTCTAGCTCCTCCTCCTCCTCCTCTAGCTCTTCCTCCTCCTCCTCCTCCTCCTGATAGTCACCTTCCTCCTCCTCGCCGTCCTCCTCTCTAACCTCACCTTGCTGCTGCGAGCCCGCTGCCATCGCCGCCACTGTCACCTCCGCCACCAACTCGTCTTCAGTCGCATAGCTGCTGGATCTCCGAGCTGACCCAGACTCCTCCGTTGACGTCCCTGCGGCCGCCGCCACGCCGCCGTCATTGGTCGGCAAACCACTCGACGTCGCATCCTCGCCCCCAACCGACGCAGCACCGCCATCCGTGCTTGTAACCCTAGCCGAGGACAACGCCCCATCGCCCGAAGCGGAAGACGACGACGCAGCTGCTGCTGCTGCTGCAGCTCCCTTGGACCTCTTGCGGCCTGTTTTTGCTCTTGAAGCCGCCTTTGGCTTGGGTGCTGCGAGCGCGAACGAAGACTCCTCGCCTGCCGGTACTGATGCAGCCGACGCAGCCTCGGCAGCGTCGCTCTTGCTAGGCAAGGATGCAGCGCTTTCCGTGCCTGCGTCAGTCGCCTTGCGCGCGGCTGAATCGCCAGACCTGCCGCTGCGGGTGCTGCTGCTAGCGCTGCCTTGGGAGTGCGAGCTGGACGCCCGCGCATGGCCCGGCTGCTTAGCGGTGCTGCTGCCATGACTCCCGCTGCTGCTGCTGCTCCTGGCACCGTCGCCTGGACCTGAAGGCTGCTGGGCCGTCGACGTGTCGCCGAGGCCGCTGTCGCGGTTGCCGCAGCCAGCAGCAGCAGCATCGACCTGCACTTCCCCAGCCCCATCGCCAACAGCATCCCCCTCCGCCCCGACAATTGCCCCAATCACTGCTCGAGGAGCGTACACGTCGGTAATGTTGGGCGGTAGCAGCGCCTGAGGCGTCCCTTCGCTTCCATCCCCACCACCCTCGCCCTCTTTGTTGCCCTCACAACGAGCATGGCCATCGCCAGAGCCCATTCTGGCAGTAGCAGCGCCCGAGTCGCTGCCGCTACCACGGCTCCTTTGCGGCTGTAGCTGCAGCGACTGCGGCTGCGGCAGATACTGCGCGAGTACGGCTGGCGACACCAGGTGCTGCGGCAGGGCAATGGGCGGCAGCATGGGAGCGGAGGGACTGATGGACCGCTGGGTGCTGTTGCGCGCCACGGAGGCGAAGGAGGGCTCCAGGGAGATGTCGCCGGGGCTGCCGGCGCCGCCCAGGCCACCGGCAGTGCCGCCGGGAGATACGAGGGTACATGACGGAGACGGGGACATGCTGAGTTCACCGCTGGTGCGTTGGGCTGCTGCTGCGAGCACGGGGTGGGTGCTGCCGAGGCTCTCGAACAGCGCCGCCTCGTTGTCTCCTTCCCGGTCCGCCTCCTCTAGAAGCGACCTGGAGGAGGTGAGTACGGCGGCACAAGAGGCGGGCGGTACGGGTTTAAAATGGAAAGCGGGAGCTTCGAGAGGTTGTCAACACACAAGGCTGAGGCAGGACGCACATGGTACCTAACCGCAGAAACAAAGCAGGCATGTGAGGACAATTGTTTGTCCTCACGCACACAGCGTATGCTTTTGCCATGATGCCCACAAGGCCGCACCCCAGTCGTCACCAGGGTGCCGTACAACGCCTCACCTGTAGCTGTTTGTTGAGTGCTCCTTGCCCGGCTGCCGCGAGCCGCCCGACCTGCTGCTGGGCTCGGAGTGCAGGTAGGCATCAAACGTGGGCGCCAGCATGGCGGCACCCGACCGCACCGCGAATCCCTGCTCCAGCTTCCTGCACTTGGTCTCGTACAGGTTGTTACTGCAGGGGGCGGGGGGTTGGGCGAGAGGGAAGAGGTGCGGCCAAGCGGGGAAGGGGACAGAAGGGTCGGATGAGGATGGAAGGGGAGGGCACAATGTGGGCATGCACAGGGCCAGGAAACCAGGATGAGACAGGGCGGTCATCCCCAGTCCCTGCCCTGGTGTTAGGGCAACCTCCACCCAGTTCTTCATTCCCTCCAACACGTCGTCTTTTCCCCCCCACTGCCGCCGCTGCTGGTGCTGTTGCTTACATGCGCTGGCGGTATGCATGCAGCGCCTTGAGCTTGATCTGCTTGAGGTAGTTCTCCTCCGCCTCCTGCCGCTGCTGTGTTTGTTTGCGCAGCGTCCACTGCCGTACGGCTGTGTCATTGACCTCCTGCCCCAGCTGCTCACGAGCCTCGAAGCGCGCCTCCGCCTCCGCTCTTCGCCTGAGCGGGCGGTAATGGGTGGAGTTGGGAGACGTTTATGATGTTTCTATACCGCCCCTCTGAACTTGGTGGCTGTTGCTTACATGACACGACAAGGACATGCGTGGATGCCACATGGAAGGGGCATACCCAAGGTGGGATCAACCCAAGCGCACATTTCCCCAACGGCTTGGAATTTTATGATACTGCGGCCTGACGTCCACGGAATGCGGTTGGGAGGGCATCCCGCCACGCAACCTAAAGTTCCTTACCTTCCCTGTTCCTCCTGCTCCAGCGTGTACTCCAAATGCTTGCGCTGGCTCCACACGTCAAATACTTGCTGGTTTTCGGCATCGCGGTCTTTCAGGAATTTAAGGTCCTTCTCCGTTAGCAACGACATGCCCTTTCGCAGCGGGCGAAGGCCTACGCCCGCGGCTGTAGGTCCATGCGGCTTCGTGGCGACCCGCGCAGCAGGAGCCGCAGGCCGCAACTCCGTATAACCCGGGCTTGTATACCCGTATGACCCTAGTAAACGGGGTTCGCCAGGCGCGGAGTAGAATCCGAACCTACTGTTCGTCTGGCTAGATGACTTGCGTACTCCGGAAGGACGAATATCCTCAGTCGGCATGACCATGTTGGACCCAGCTACCAGAGAACTAGACAATGCTGAGGTAGTCGTGTAATAGTAGTGCGGCTCCAAAATGGGCGGCAAGAGGGGCGTTGTGGCATTAGTTGTCGGCCTAGAAGTGCTAGAGGTCGTTGTTGTCGCTCCAGTAGGAAGCCGACTAGAGGACGAAGACCCCTTAGCTTGAGACATTTGTGGAATGGAGCCTTCGAAGTGTCGAACTAAATGGTTCTATCGCGCTGAGCTTTGAAGGTATACAGACATTATAATTAATGCCATTTAATAACAGGTGAAAAGCTTGTTTGTTCGACGGTTCCTAGGGGGACAGTGATATTGTATGTACGGCGTGTGCGATGAAATGCAATCTGCTCCTACGCAAGCCTGACGGTAACTTGGCTGCGAAGTAGTCCAGTGTTAGATTGCAGTTAGATATACATTGACTCTGAAGGACTTCATACTTTTCTTGTGGCTAGGAGCAACTCCTAATTACCTTACTTTAGATCCTTACGTCACGCTAGTTAGACCTAGTAATACGTTCTATAACAGATCGTAACATTGTAAACTAGTATTAATGCAGGGCATTCATGTCCGCCCTCGGTGAGTCGGCGGTCTAGATCTGGGAGGGCCCGCACATAACTAAATCTAATTATAAGTATCGACAATGAGCAAATTATTGCAACGCAGCGCGGTCGGCCAGCCCGTCATGAACTGCACGGGGCCCCATCTCGGCGTTAGGCCGGCTGGTACGTTGGACGCCGGGCCTACAGTTAATTGCTTCGCATCTAATTACAAGGAATCAATAATTCGACAGGAGTTGCCACCACCGGCGGCAGGAGCAAGGTTAAGGGCTTTTCTCAGGTCACTCAGCAGCAAGTATGCGCTAAAAGGTACTTTAATTGGGTTAGGGTACAGGTGCACCATGCTTAGGACGTCCTTACAGTACGGCTGACTGGGCGTGCAGAAGCTCGGCCACCCCCACGCGGAAAGTAGCGGCCAAGGCGGTGTCAGTACCAAAGGTGCTAGTACGGCCACCGGGCCAGAAACAAATGGAGTGGGTGGACCTCTGGGAGTCTTACGTAAGTGGCGCATGGGGCGAGGGGTTGAGGGCTACGCCTAGGAGGGGCTCCGACGGTTGCTTGCGGTTGTGCTGGTGGGAGCAAGCAGGACAGCCTGAGAATGTCGCGCGACCCTGCCTGGCGGGTTGGCCCACCAAGGCCGGCAGCAAGCGTTGAGCCCCAATTACACTTTGACGATACGCCGGCTGGACCGCACCGGGGCAAGAGGCGAATCCTTGCGCCCTTAGCCCAAAGGCCCATGCGATATGGGTCAGGCGCTCGGGTCCGTGGGCTTCCACGGTGGTTATCCTATCTGCATTGGCATTGGATAACCACCCTACTTGTCCGCGTTCTAGTGTTCATACGGTATAAAATCCCTAAATCCTATTTTTCCCTTTGCCGTACTGCTGTGCCCTGTACGACAGACGTACCAGAAGGTTGTATTCATCAAGGAGGCGATCACGGAGGATGTGGCCAACAACATGATCGCGCTGACGCTCTACCTTGACTCGCTCGACCAAAAACGCATCTACTACTGGCTTAACTGCCCGGGTGGTGAGGTGAGCGGCTTGGTGCACGGCCTCTAGAGGGGTCTCTGGCGGCGAGGAGCGGTGCCGGTCTTGGGTTACCGGTATTATAAGGTCGTTGTAACAACTAACATGTACCACAGAAGAATGTACGGAACGGGAAACATATACGGGGATCATGCGCATCCTTTGTTTTCCTCCGCTGGGACTCCCATGCGACTGTTTGTAACGCCGCTTCTGTTGTCAGGGGCCCAGGAGGACCCATGGGTCGGGCGCTAGGGGAACTCGAGCCACCCCGCTTGCTCCTTCCGTCAGCCGGTCCTTCCTCATCCCTTCCCAGCCCCTCACATGCCACCACACCGCTTGCAGGCCCCCCTTGTTAGACAGCTTTCTGCAGGCGGCTAAGCTGCTGTCTACCCCCCTCCCCTCCCCTCCTGACGTTCCCAAGCCCGCCTATCCCTCCTGCCCAACCGGGTGCACCCAATCCAGCCCTGTTCGCTTGCGCCTCCCCTGTCCTATCCCTCCTCCCCCCGATCACGCACGCATGCAACCCCCCACCCGCGGTGACGGTCAAGTTAGCATCTAAGTCCTGCCGTGTTACGGTCAGTGAAATACTAAGTACCCCCCCTCAACCCCCCAGGTGGTCCCCACGCTAGCGCTGTACGACACCATGCAGTACGTTCGCAGCAAGACAGCCACCGTGTGCTACGGCATGTGTTTGGGCATGGGCGGCTTCCTGCTCACAACGGGAGGGGAGAAGGTGGGGCGGGGAGGTTCATGCAGGGGGGGGAGGGTACGATGGTAAGGATAGGAGGGCAGGGGATGCGCAGTCCGACGCCGGATGTGGCATCGTTCCTTATTTAGTCCTTCCATCCATCTGGATGAATGACTGTTACAGTGATCCCCATGTCGTGCTTCCGTCCTCCTGTGTCTGCCTCCCCTGGCCCCTTCACCTCCTTCCCTCCCTCCCCCAGGGCTTGTCTCCCAGTTTACCAATGTCACGCAGCAAATTGGGTAATCTTCTTATCCCTCCCTCCCTGCCCCCAGGGCTACCGTTTCGCCATGCCGCACAGCATCCTCATGATGCACCACCCCTCGGGCGCCTCTCGCGGCCAGGCCTCCGAGATGCATATCGAGTCACGCGAGCTGGTGCGTATGCGAGACTACCTCTCGCTGCTCGTCTCCGACTCCACGGGGCAACCGTACGACAGGGTGAGTGCCGTACATATGGGGAGTGGAGGGGACGGGGCAAGGGGTAGGTATTGGGTGGAGCGATTTGCTGGGGAGGAGTCAGGGGGGGGACGCGGAGGAGTTGGTAGCATGCGGAACTTGGTGGCAGCCGTGCAGAGTGTTCCTAACTTGCGAAACACGTGCGCTAACACCGTATGTGTCGTGGGTCCATACAGGCGAGAGCCTTTCGGAAACACCTCATACATACCCTTTTTAGGTTTCCTCCATCGCCGCCCCTGTCGCAGCTGTCGCCACCCTGTGAATGACCGTCTAGCGTCTTCAACCTATTGACATCGTGCCGTAACCCCTGATCGCTCGGCGTCCGGCTGTTCCCTGATGCCTGCGCGGCCACTCGCTGTTCCCTGCTTGCTTGATCACTTGATCGCACCTCTATGCCGTGACCCTTGATCGCCCGGCGTCCGGCTGTTCTCTGCTTGCACGCGCGGCCCCCCATGCCATGGCTGTTCCCTGATGCTTGATCGCTTGATCGCTTGATCGCGCCCCTGCAGGTGATTCGCGAGCTGTCGCGCAACAAGTGGATGGACCCCAAGCAGGCCATCGAGTACGGCATGATAGACAAGGTGCTCACCACGCCCATGCCCAAGATCCCCACCGGGCCCTCCTTCAAGTTTGAGCGCCAGAGCGACGAGCTGGTCGGGCTCTGAGAGCAGGGGCGAGGGAACTAACGGAGACGGACAGGGGGGCACAGGTTTGGGTTTTTGAAGCCTGTGGGTGGATTGGTGGAAGAGTGAAGAGAAGTGAAGGGCTGAGGATGAGGGGGCATTTTGAGAGGTTTTATGAGGGCCCTACGTGGGTGCGACGGGGGCTGTGGTTTGGGGCGTGGTTGAGAGGTGAATGGTTGAGAGCGCGGTTTAACTCGGCAGCTGTGAGTTCTACAAACTTTTAAAACTGAGCAGAGGAACTTAGGATTGACATTGCTAGGGAGGTCTTGCTGTTTCTACAGCTCCCCTGCCGGACTTGGGGACCCGGGTGTTGCTGCCGCACGGCTGCTAGGTGATGACAGGGGTCGCCACGGCAAGGGAGACTGTTCCGCGGGGGATTAGGTTTTCCAGGACCGCCTTGATTGGGACCTAGGCAGTTTAGAAAGCAAAGCTTACCGGTACAGCTCTCCGAGCAAGCATGCATGTAAGGGGCTGCATCCAAGGCGCCCTGAACTGGGATGCCACTTCGCCAGAGTTCTGCAATTCGGTGATCTAACTGTTGTTGCCTACCTACGCCGACAGCTGGCAAGGCCCCTGCCTCACTTTCGGCCTGTCATGCCACTGCAATCTCTCTAGCTCGCCACCATGCTCAACACCTACTCGGGAAGACGGCGATTGGGTTTGGGGAAATGGAACATCACCGACATGTCCGGAACGGCTGCATGCAGGGCTCCCCTGATTACTGTTACGGTCATTCAGCTGCACAAGGATAGCCACACTGGGGCGTGTGGCAACCTGGGCGATAGTGATTTGTTGGCACACTCGTCAGCTTGCGACGGGAGCTTGTGGCAGTTTTCAGTACGGCAATCACGCATACTTGTGGCTTCCCCTTGATTTGCGGTAAGGACTTTGACACGGCGTCTTTGCGCGGGACAGGATTTGCGTGGGCCATTGCTCATACATGGGACTGTCGCATTCATCGTGCTAAGATTACGATGCCGTACTGGAAGTGCGGCAGACGATTGAGCTGGAGATCAGCTGCGCTCGGCCGACTGGCAGTTGCTTTCACTACCGTAGTAAGATGAGTCTACAATTTACCCTGGGTCGCTCCCAGGTTAAGCATTTCAAGACAGCTCTACAAACCCTTAATAAGATTGGCGGGGAGCTCCTTATTGAGGCCACGCCTGGGCAGGTGTGCAATAACACTGGTTGCTATGATCAACAAGGAATCCAAAGCAAAGCCTGAAGCTCACGCTTCTGTTGCGCAGCTCATACTGCGAAGCATAAACACAGCGAAATCGGCGTTTCTCTCCGTTACCTACTTCAGTCGCTTTTTTGAAAGCTACGATATATTCGACACGGAATGCGTTCAGTCGGTAGTCCTCAGCAAGGTAACATGCCGGATCGAAGGGCCCGTGGTTCTTTAATAAGAATGGTCCCATCTTCCTCTAACCTAACCGCCGCGGCTTCATACCGCTTCTGTAGAATGTCCTTGCGCTCTTCCGGTCCTTCAAAATCTCACAAATCGTGGTCGCTCTGGACACCACGACCGCCCGGATGCAGGCCAACGTCCACAACGAAGAAGGTAAAGTGAGCAAGGCAGTGGACACGTAACCCAACTAACCAACCAATCAAGCAACCCGCAATCCACATTTCGTCTGCGCCTCCTCCCTCCCTCCCTCCCTCCGGGATTCGGGATTGGGACTCCGTTGATGCAATTACCTATAATTTTCTCCCACCACATGCTCACTGCAGGGTCGGGGGGTCGGGCGAGGCTCCGTTAATGGGAAACAGCCGGGCAGGGCGGCTCCTGGCTTCTGAGAAATCCTTCTCTTTGATGCGCTGCCATCCATGTCCCGCGCGGTTGTCCTCCTTCCTCCCCATCCCATCATTATCACACCACACTTTGGAATTTCTTTTTTTCCCCATCCCTCTCCTCAGGCCTGGTCAAGCGCTACGTGTTCAACTGCCTGGATGGCGAGGTGCTGCAAGCCAATGTGGACCGAGACACCTGCCCCATCGTGGTCGTGGCGGAGGCCTCCGAACTGGACAAGTGAGCCCCGGACCCCGCCGCCCAAACCCCGGCACACACATACACACACACTCGCGGCCAGTTTTCTTAACACACACGCCCGCGCTCTTTGGGCCCCCCCTTTTCCCTTTGCCTGCCCCCCGTCCCCTGCAGCGCCCCCCTCTCATCCTCCCCCCTCCTAACCCATCACTCTACAAGCCCACCCCCATGTGCCGCGCCCCGCGCCCATCTCCCCCTCCTCACTCCCCTCCCCTTCTCCCTCGCCTCCCCAGGCTGCTCTCCTCCTTCCAGCACACCTTGGAGGAGATCACGCTGATTGCCAACCCGCTGTCAGCAGCCTCCGTGGCAAACGGGCACAAGGCGTGTGAGCTGCGCAGCTTCGTGGACCCGCTGAAAGGTGGGTGCGTGGGTGGGTGGTTGTGGACCCGCACAAGGGTTGTTGTTGGTGGGGTGGGTGGGGTTGTCCCGCAGACCCAGCCAGCCTCGCTTTCCTGGGGGTAGCGATGCAGCACGAACAAAGCCAGCTTTGTTAAACACTCTGCCCGTCCATCCGTTAGGCACCGAAGCCAAACCCCTCCTGACTTCCGTCCACCCCTACGCCCCCTCCCTCACCCTCACCCCTCCTCTTCCCCCCCCCCTGCTTCCAGGCGGCCAGGAGTCAGCCCTCCAGACCAGCATGACCCTCGACACGCGCTCCGTCTTCACCTCCTACTCGCACGCCTCGCACGAGGCTGCTGACGTCACCTTCAATGTACGGGACTTCCGAGCCATGGCGGCTCTGTGTACGGCAATGGGAGCTGACGTGGCACTGCGGCTGCGAGGGGCGGGGGAGCCGCTGCTGGTGGAACCGCACTTCCGGGGGGTTGGGGTGGGTGGGTGGGGGGTGGGAGAAGAATACCCCATGTGTTTGGTGGGTGAGGGGAGGAGGAGGAGGGGCTGGGGAGGCATAGGGGCTGAGGGGATTCAAGGAAGAGGGGTTATTGAGGAGGAGGAGTTGGGGAGCGTGTAGTGATGGCCAATAGTGAGTGCTGTTGTGGTGACGGAATGGCGGCACTAACGGGTTGCTCTGCCCTTCCTCCTTGCTCTGCCCCCCTCCTCCCCTGCTCTGCTCCCCCTCCGTGTTGCTGCCCCCCAGGACGGCTCCGAGTCCGACTTCCAGGCCATGCTGGTGCTCTCCACCCTCACCGACTCGCAGCTGCCGGCCGGCGGGGACCAACAGCAGCTGCAGCCGGGACAACAGCTGGGGCAGCAGCAGCAACTGCTGCAACACCAGCAGCAGCCGTCGCAGCAGCAGCAGCAGCAGATGTACGCAGATCAGCAGCAACAGGGGCAGCAACAACAAGAATACCATCACTGGGAGGAGCAGCCTCTGCAGCAGCAGCCATCCATGCAACCGCAGCAGCAGCAACAGCAACAGCCTTCCTGGCAGCACCAACAGCAGCAACAGCCGCAGCCCAGCGGTCAGCGGCAAGCAGTGCAGACACCCCAGGCAGGAGCGCTGCAGCAGCAGCTGCCTCATCCCCAGCACCCACCACCCTGCGGAGCGGCGTACGGAGGGGACGGAACGGCTCCTGGCGGCGCCGGCGGCGGCGGCAGCACCCAGGGAGGAGGAGCGTGCGGCAGAGCTACCGCCGCCACCGCCGGCGGAACCCCAGCCGCAGGCGCCGCCGCTTCCCTTGCCACCGGAGGCGGCGGGGTAGGAGGCAGCATCGCTCGGAGGCGGCTGCCACCGCGGCCTGGGGGCTTGGATGCTGGTGCAACGACACCTCGACCCATGGGTCCGGGGGTGGGTCAGGCAGCGGGAGCGGGAGCCGAGGCGGCGGCGCGAGGCATCTACGCAGCAGCGGCGGCGGCGGAGGGTTTGCCGGTGGCTGGTGCTGCTGCTGCTGCTGGGGTGGGTCTAGGAGATGGTGGCGGTGTCGGCGTCATGCAGCAGCAGCAGCAGGCGGGAGCGGTGGCGGGGTTTGCGGAGGCTGGTGTGGTTCCGGAGCTGGCACCGGCGGAGTGGCAGGAGGGCGGCGTGATGGTGGTGGCGGTGGAGGAGGAGGAGGGGCGGGCGACCTTGGACGGTAGGAGCTGCACTGGCTCGTGAGGGTCATGAGGGTCATGACGTCATGACGTCATGAGGGAGCGGAGTACGGAGCACAGGGCTTGAATGCATGGACCGCACACCATGCTTCGGCTAGTTTTTTCCAAAGTGGTTCGTAACAAAGTCTCTTTGCTTTACATGAACCGCATCAATGGCTCGTATACTGATGCGGCCACTCGACCCCACTGATGCGCTCCACGCCCCCCTACACCCCCACTACAGGCATGGAGGAGGACGACATCATACCCGCGCGCCGTACCGGCCGACCCGTCCGCTTCAACCCCGCACAACACGCCGCTGCTGCTGCCGCTGCCGCCGCCGCTGCTGCCGCTGCTGGCGGCATGCCGCTGGGCAGCCTGGGCGGCGGCACCGCGGAGGGCTCCGTCGTACACCACCAGGACTACCGGGGCTGCCAGCAGCAACATCAACATCAACATCAACATCAACATCAACACCAGCAGCCGCAGCAGCAACCGCACCTGCTTGGTCATGAGGTTAGCAGTCACGCGGGCGGGGCGGGTGCGGGACACCCAGTGGGTCCTAGGAGGGCCGCGGTAGCGGCGGCAGCCGCCCCGGGACAGCAGCAGCAGTATGTGCAGTTCCCTCGGGGTGGCGGCGGGGGCGGTGGGGGCCGCCATGTGGCGGACTCTCAAGACCCTGAGAGCCTGCCCGGCGTGAGGTACGGCAAGGGGGCTTCCGGCGGGTGGGCGGAGGTACGGTAGGCTAGGTGGGGTGCTAGGAGTGCGGGACATGGGTGGCGGTGAGGAGCGGAGCTGGTACTAGGGGGCTTTTGCGAGGTTTCTTCCCTGGCACATGCGTTGGTGTGTACGGAACCGGTATCTGTCCCTCTTTTCACTCGCATTCGCCTCGGTCATTCATCCCGCCTGCCTACTGCTGCCTCCCCGCCCTGTGCCCCCTGTGTTCGCTCCTCCTCCTGCTCGTCCCCCCGCGCGGCTGCACCCTCTGCGGTCGTACGGCAACTCAGATCACCGTACGGCAGGCATGGTGCTTCCCACCAGCTTCAACAGCAGCAGCAGCAGCAGCAACACGCCGTTCGCAGCCCTTCCGTGGGCAGTGTAAGGCCGGGCGGGTTCGATTCGGGGGCGGTGGTGGCGGTTGGAGATCCCCGGCTGGCTGCCGTTGCGGGCGGAGTCGCTGCGGGTGGCTACGAGCCGCCCCAGCACCACCAACAGCAGCAACAGCAACAGCAATACGCACAGCATTTGCAGTACAATGGGACGTATGAGCAGCAGCAGCAGCAAGGGCTCGGGTATCCGCAGCAGAAGTATGGCCAGCGGCTGCAGCAGCAGCAGCAGCAGCAGCCGTACTACCAGCACCAGCAGCACAAACAACCAGAAGAGCAGGAGCAGGTTGTCATTGCGCATGCGGAGTTGTTTGGGGAGGACGAGGGCGAGGATGATGAGGAGGTACCGGCGACGCCGCCGGAGGAGCAGCTGGCGACGCGGTCGATGGGCATGGGGGTGCTCGGGGCTGGAGTAGGGTTTGGACTGGGACCGGGTCATGAAAATCAGGGTGGATGAGCCTGCTAATATACCGGTAGCATAAAAGGAGACAGAAATGCCGCTTTCATGTGTGACGGCCGCGTGGAGCTAAGTTCCGGGTAGAAGATATGAAAGGTGACTTCATGCAAAGTTGGAAGACTATATGTAATCCTTCGCATATCTTAACATTTTTGATCTTCCATGTCGGTTGTAGCGTAACCTGTCCTGCTTGCATGATTTGGCTGCAGAAGCGGGAACTTGGGATGGATGGTTACAGCATGCGTTTCGTCGACGCCCTTTTCATGACTTAATGGCTGAAACTGTATGTCATCGCTCCGCGTAATGTGTATGGAGGGCGTCCCGTGCGCCTCCAGGCGTGGATTCGGTATCTAATTACCTGCCATAAGACTGGCGTAACCAAGCGCCTCGAGTTCTCCGTGTGACGTTTAAAGTGATTGGCATGTTTCATTTACCTATAGTGTTCTGGTGCTAGGCAGGCTGACTTAAGCGCGCTCAATATCTAAGGCGCGCTTTCCGTTAGGAAGGTTGCCTCAGATACGGAAGCCCGAAATCACTTGCATTCGCGCAAGCACAGCAACGTTCCCAATATATTTTACTTATACGTTTAAGTTGTGGACGTCCATATCTTACTAGAGTACAGTGAGCTTCCATCGTGAACCAGTATTACTTGCGCGCTCCAAGCGTTTCGTGACGACTTTAGCAGGCTAAGACTTTACTACTTCATCTTTTTGGAGCACCTGGTTGCGTGGTCTACGGCCAACCTCTTCGTTTCGGAAAATGCAGAGCTTGCCGAACGCGACGAGGCAACACCCCAACAGGAGCCTTCCCCAGCGGACATGTAAGCCTTCTTTCCACCAGCTGCGTCCCCGTGGCCTACGGTCCTGCCCTCCGTCCGCTTTCGGCAACACACATCAGCCCTCGACCTCAGATGGCCAGCAGTCAGCCGCTCGCCTTACGCAACCCAGGCCATATCGCGATAATGGCGCAGTTATGGAGGGCGGTGCTAGCGGCAGCACGTCGCGCGCGGCTCCCGCGCAACCGCAACAAATGCCATGGGAGCGTGCTGACGATGCCGAAACGGGCTCGCTGTCTCGCCAGGGCCAGGCCATCTGGCCCCGCGGCAATTTGACCGCGGTCGTGCTTGGAGGCGGCGAGACGGACAGTCGTCGCTTGTTCCCGCTCACCAAGGTCCGCACGCTGCCTGCGGTGCCCTTCGGTGGAGCCTATAGGTGCGTAGAGCTGGGCTGTGTTTCCCTGGGCTGCTGGAATCGGGCTGTGTTTCCCGGGTTGCAAAGCAAGCATCTGTTTCAAACTGCTTTCGTACAAATAAGAGCATGGGAACCAATGTACTACTGCGCGCCTTTTCATGTACCGGTAGCCCGGCACCTGCCCGATGGCTATTCCGCTCCCCGCATCCACCACCCTTGCCCATCCTATCCCGTCCCTTTCGGCCACCTCCCTCACCCTGCTCCTACCACCCCGTTCCTCGACATGCCCTTTCGAAACTGCTTGCTCTTGTTTCTGCTCAACTACACACAATCTACGAGCCAGCTGACTTGACCCACACCACGCCTCCTGCTCTCCTCCGCTCCAACCCGCCTCGCTCCCCCCTCAGGATCATCGACCTGCTGATGTCGAACCTGCTCAACAGCGGAGTCAACAAGATCCACATCCTCACCGCGTACAACAGGTACGGCGGGCTGCCGTACTGACATCCCTGCTGATCGCCGTACTGCATTCACACTGATGGGGGTGATGGGGCACCTTGCTGGTGTTCCAATCTTATCCATTCAACATGCCTCGTGCTTCTGTGTTGTGCTCTTAGGTGTCCTCTCCTTTTTGCGGCTCGCGCTCAATAATACCCCCGTTCCTCCTCCTCCCTCCGCTGCCGTCTGTTCCCTACCCCTGCAATACGCACACGCCCCGGCCCCCACCCCCGCACTCTCCCCCGCCCCCGCAGCTACTCGCTGAACCGCTACCTGCAGCGCACGTACGACATGTCGGGCGGTGTGCCGTACGGCGGTGACGGTTACATCGAGGTGGTCGCAAACAGCATGGTAGGTGCGGGTGGGTAGCAGAGGGCAGGTCGTTGGAAAGACGCTGTGTGGTTGCTTGCTGGCAGGTCGGACGTTGCGGGAGCTGTGTGTGAATGGAGGCGGTGGGTGGTTGTCTGCTGGCTTCTGTTTGAAGGCAATGTCTGCAGTTGCCTCCTCGCCACTGTGCCTGAACACCGTACCTTCCTCCTCTCCCTCCCCCTCCCCGCCAACCCTTCCCCTCTTCCCATGATCCCCCTTTTCCTCCCTGCCCCCCCTGCTGGCCCCCCTGCTGGCCCCCACTCCCAACAGTCCCCAGACAGTCAGAAGTGGTTCACGGGTACGGCGGATGTGGTACGGCAGTTCATGACGTACTTCGACTCCAACACCAAGAACCGCTTCATCGAGGACATCCTCATCCTGCCGGGTAGGGGGCTGGGGGCTGGGGGGGGGCTGCCGGGTGAAGCAGCAAGGCAAACACACAAGAGCACACGATAGGGTAGCTCCAGCCCATGGCCCGTGTACCCCCCTCCCCAATGGTACCGGTAGCTCTACCCTCTCGCCTCCCCTGCTCCCCCCCTCCCCCGTCTGGTTTGCCATTCTCATTAGTTACCAACACATTGGTTACCGTATCCTACTCCCCTCTTTCCTCCCCCTCCCAGGCGACCACGTGTACGCTGCCGACCTGACCCCCATCATCTCCTACCACCGCTCCAGCGGGGCGGACCTCACCGTGGTGTGCCGCCCAGTCAGCGGGGAGCAGGCCAAGAAGCTGGGGGTGGTCAAGGTACGGCAGGGTTAGGGGCGGGGTAGGGGGGTGGGAGGGGGAGTGGGAGTTGGGGGTAATACCGGTAGCCGAGCCAGCAGTGAAGAGGGCCCCAACCCACCTCTCTTCCCTCTCCCTCCCTACATTCCCTGACATACGGGGTATGGGATAAGGTACCGTATTGGGACTCCGTTGCTTCACGTTTCCCTCCCTTCTCCCACCTCCCCCCTCCGCCCCCAGATGGACTCCTCTCTGCGCATCAGCGCCTTCACCGAGAAGCCCGAGGGCGACCAGCTGCTGCAGATGGCCATGAGCGACGACGAGATGCGCCCCTTCCTGGAGGCGCACCAGGAGGAGGCGGCAGCGGCAGCAGCAGCAGCCCAGGAGGGGGGCAGCAGGGATGAGGCGGTGGAGCGGGCGCTGCGGGCTGCGCAGGAGGTGGCGCGGGTGGGGGGCGGCTCGGGGGACCGCATGATGCTGGACACGCTGGTGAGTGGGGGTGGGGAGTTGAGGGGGGTGGTTGAGGGTGGAGGGTGGGGTGGTTGAGGGTTGGGGCGAGGTGGTTGGGAAAGGAGGAGCTAACAGGGGGTGACATGAGGTGCTGATGCTGTGAGCTCTACCGCACGCGGCAGCTGCCCCATTGCACGCCGCTTCCTCATCACCTCGCTTCCATGCCCCATTCCCCCCTCCCCCCCACCTCCTCCCCCTCCCGCCCCCCCCCCTGCAGGCCTCCGCGGACGAGTCCCCCGAGGGGGGTGCCTACGTGGGCTCCACGGGCATCTACATCTTCAGGTGGGGGGGAGGGGAAGAGGGGGGAGAGAGGGGGAGGCGCGAGAGATGGGGAGGGGTTGAGGGCTAGAGAGGGAGCAATGGGTTGGGGCAGTTCGGCCGCACGGTTGTAAGCCACGGTAGGGGGCAGCGATGCCTCTTCTCAGACCTTCCACCCCTACCGCTTGCCAGTCCGCTTCCAACACCCCAACCTCCCTATTCCCCCTCCTCCCTCTCTCCCTCCCTGACCCTACCCCGGCCCCCCCCTACCACACATTGGAATTTCTTTTTTCTCCCCCGCAGGCGCTCCGTGCTGTCCGAGGTGCTCAACCGTCACTTCAAGAGCCACGACTTCGGGCGCCAGATCATCCCCGACATCATCAGGGAGGGATTCAAGGCAAGTACATGGGGGGAGCGGGAGGGAGAAGGGGGGCAGCGGGGGGTGAAGGAGGGGAAACTGGCGGGCTATATCCTATATGAGAATATGACGAGGCTTCACCCTGGGGGAGCGAGGGGGGCCGGGGTGGCCACCGGTGGGGTCAGGCGCGCAGGACGGAGGCGGCGGCGGCGGCGGCGGCAGGCGCGGCGTTCATGATACCCCACTCTTCCCCCCCCTCCCCCCGCCAGGTCCACGCCTACCGCCTGCCCGGCTACTGGGCCGATGTGGGCGGTAGTGTGGCGGACTTCTACGCCGCCAACCTGGCGCTGCTGGGGGAGAAGCCCTCCATCAGCTTCGGAGCGCCCGCCAGCTCGCCCTTCTTCAGGTGGGTGGGGGTGGACGGAGGTGTTGTGACCCTTGTGAGGGGGGAGGGCGACGGGGGGGGGGGGGGACAAGGGGGGTACGGGGGGGGGAAGACAATTGCTTCGCTCCACTTCACTTCCTCTTACCCCTCTCCCCTCCTACCTACATTGGGTAGCCTTTTGTTCCCTCCTACCCCTGACTGTGCTTCACTTCTCATTCCCTTTTCCCCCTCCCTCCCCCCTGCCCTACTTATCCATTCTAATCCCCCCTGCGCAGCCACCCGCTCATGATCCCCGCCACCCAGATGTACGGCACCCGGCTGAGCCGCTGCTTGGTGAGCGCGGGGTGCATCATTCGCGACAGCGTCATCAGCAACAGCGTGGTGGGGCCGCGGGCCATCATTGGTGAGGGGGGGGAGGGGGGGAGGGTAAAAAGGGGGTAAAAGGGGGTAAAAGAGGAAAACGGACGAGCTGTACGACGAGGCTTCACCATGGGTTGCTACATGGAGGGAGGGGGGCAGGGAGAGAGGCAGGAAGGGAGAAGGAGGCACAGGAAGGAGGGTCCTGCTGTCCCCACCACCACCACCACCACCACCGCCCCCACCGCCGCTGTTGCTGTCCCCACCTGCCCTCCCACCCCATCCCACCTGCCCTCATCCCTCTCCCGCCCCCCCCCCCAGGCCCCAACGTGACCGTGTCCGACAGCCTCATCAACGGTGCCAGCTACTACGACCACGAGAAGCCGCTGGAGCGACCCATCTCGGCAGCCTACCCGCCCCTGGGCATTGGTAAGGCGGGGGGGAGAGGATGAGGTGGCTGTTGTTGGGCGGGTTTGGTGGGCTGGGCATCGGCAGGGAATGGGCTGTAGTTGGGGGGAAGGAGCGGGGAGGGTAGTTAACTATACCGGTAGACCCGCCGGGGGAATATCCAGCTTCGGTATGTGGTATTTGACCCCGGCGCCTTCCCTCCCCCCCCACCCCCCCTCTGAGTTGCGTGCTTCTATGATAGTGTCTCCGAATGCGCTCACTGCATGAGTCGGGGTATGGGATTGGGACTCGTTGTTTCACTTATATAATTTTTACCCCCGCCCCCCCTCCTTCAGGTGAGGGCAGCGAGGTGCGCAAGGCCATCGTCGACCTGGATTGCCGCGTGGGCAAGAACGTCAAGCTGGTCAACAAGGAGGGGGTGTACGAATCGTACGATCGCGCCGTACAGGGCATGTACATTCGTGACGGCATCATCGTGCTGTCGCGCAGTGCCGTCATCCCGGATGGCACCGTGCTGTGAGGTCGAGGAGCAGGAGGACGAGGAAAAGGGTGAGGAGGAGGAAGAGGGTGAGGAGGAGGAGGGCGGTGATATGAAGGATTAGGAGGGGGAGGAGGGGGAGGAGGAAGAAGAGGGGGGTGGGGTTGATGCAGCCCAGTGCGGTGATCGGTGTACGGCAATTTTGCGTGTGTCTTAAGCTGAGAGTCGGAATATGAACGGGTGGACGGGTGAACGGCTGGGAGATGTAGGGGAAAGGTGGTGTTGCTCTGTGTGTGTGTTTGGGGGGTATTTATGTGTTTAGTTGAATGACCAAACCATAGGAAACCATGATTTTGCCGTCGCAGGGTGGGGGAGGTGCGAAGTGCGCAATGACGGGCTGTACTGTCCCCAGACGGCTGCTGGCGGTGGCCTCGGCTGTGTGTTGCAAACTTGAGCGTGATTCAGTCCCCGCCGTGATCGGGATGTTGGACGTGCGCGTGTTATACGGTATGCTACTATAACTTCAATAAAAGACGTGTTTGCCATATTGCGTTGCTGCTACAGTAGTTAAATGAAACTCCGTAACACACCTGCGTGGGTAGGTTGGCTTGCTTGCTCTCGTACCTGACGGCAACCATGACGTACGGCAAAACACGACGTACGGTTTCGAGTACGGTCGCGTGGAGTACGAAGCCCCAGATGTTGGAGTGCGTGCGGGGGGGTGTCAGGTGGTGATCAGTGCGACAAGGTTTTGTTGCCCTCGCGTGCAACAGGCCCTTGGTTTCATTATTGCTTGGATGTTGAGAACAGCAGGCACATCTGACACGGACTGCGCCTGCTGCCTGCTCTCCGCCGCGCCTCCCTCACTAGGGTTTCTCCTCCTTTGCCTGCATCCTCCCACATCCACATCCCGGACTGAGGTCACCATGCCTCCTGCTAGCCTACCGTACTCGACTGCACCTCGCGTTGACGTTTGCGGAGGATGGCGTTGTTGGTGTGGTTGTGGGCAGCCGATGTTGCGGGTCGATGTTTTGTTTTGTTTTTGTACGGCAGGGTAATGGGGTCTGCCTGTTGTTGGTGCCTCCGCTAGGCAGCCAGCGCTTGTTTCTGTGCGCGGACGTTGTGTGCTGATGGGGTTATCGATGCGTTGTGGCAGTAGCTTTATTTTGTGTGGTAGCGGTTTTGGGTGTTTTGGGGTTTTGCGTTGTCTGCAAAGCCCGGGCTTGATCGTTGCGTCTTGTTGCGGCTATATCCTGTGTTGCTTTACTTGTTAGCGATTGTTGGTGCTGCGCACGTGTCGTGATGTTGCCCTAGTACATTATTGCAATACAAGTGGTGTGTGCTGAAGAGAATGCAGGTAGCGTGCACAAGGTATGTTGTTGCGTGTGCATGCTGCTCCAGATAACGACTGGTACATGGCACAGGGCGCTGCTGGCAATCAACGGTGGTGTTTAGCATGCGTGTGCTTCTAGTTTACTTCGTTCTCTCCCTCTCGTTTCCTAGTGTAACAGTGTAAATGCTGGAATCAACCGCCAAGCGAGCGCAAACGGTGGCGTCGAAAAAAGCGCTGCACTGACACGCAGGAAGGACAGAATCGCTTGGTTAACGTAGCTCCAGGCGCGTATAGCGCACAAACGCAGTCCAAGAGGCATTAGGGAGTGAGCAAAACCGCGGAGGTGAAGACCGGCTAAGGACTGGGATAACAAAGATGTCGGGTTGCGGCATACGAGTCATACCGGCAAATGTGTACGGCAGGTGCGTGACGATACTTTGAGAGGCTGAATGTTAATATGTTATGATATGGCGGCTTACTTACATGTACCACAATTGAAGTGTCCTACGAACCTACTGCCACAGCATAGACAAGAGTCAATGGAACGGCGAGAAAAGTAGAAATCACAGCGAAGTTTAGGAGCCGTACAGCTTGAGTGAGTAATGGAGGCGAAGAGACATACCTGTACGAACAAGAGACATAACAGTACAAGCACACTGAAAGTCTGCTGTCGGGTCCTCGATGAGGCCTAAACATCCCACTTCCCCATGCCAGCAAGCCTTGCCTGTTCAGAGCCGGGAGACATTGGAAAAACGCGACAAAAGGCAAAACGCCGTCACGGGGAATCGAACCCCGGCCTCCCGCGGGCAGTGAGCGTATGACAGGCGGGGATACTGACCACTATACGATGACGACCCCTTACTCTGGCTACCGCCAGCTGTCTTGGTGATGACACAAAATGCGATATTAACTTATATAAAGTAAAAAGTACGGAAAAGGGGTTACCCACGCCTTTTCCGTACATTCTGCATCGACTGATGCATAAGGGCTTGGCGGCCCATGGGCGTGACATCCGGCATCAAGTGATGGCGGCTTAAGGAACACATGGACGCATGCACAATGATGCGCGCATCTGGCGCTACGGGGACCCTCTACGTTAGGACGCCAGCAAAGAAAACCTCCTAGCTTCTTCGTTCACATGCACATGGCCTCCCACGCTCGAAGTTAACTGTTGGCGCCCAACCCGGCACCCTTGGTTCCGCTTTCGGCCTTGCCAATGGATTCTCTCCAGGGTGCATTCCTTGAATGGAAGAAAGGACATGTTGTTACAATTTGGACAACCAGCACCAGCCATGCCATCAGGACCTGCACCAGGAATACAGTGCAGCTGCCACTGCAGCACAGGACATCATCGGCACATCACACCACCACAAGGCACCGGCACTGGCACAGGGTGTCGCGATAGCAAACACCCTGGCATCTTTCCACGGCCCCTGAAAAAGGTGCTGCTGCCGAGCACTCGGCCAACGCGTCCACCGACCAACTGTCCACCACCGCCACTGCTTGCGAGTCGCCATCATGTTAGGCTGAGAAGCTTGCACACCCCAGCTACATAGCCAGACAGCTACCTGACCACACTAGGTCGATGTACGAGCCAGTGCCCCATGTACAGCAAGGCATGCATGCATGTGCCTTTTACACACAATACACACGGGGCTCATCCTCAGGGGGGCCTCCGTGTGGCTCCACTGAAGCCTCGCCGGGGGCGGGGCCCCCCCCCAGGCCTTTCCTCAGCTGGAAGCCCCCGCGGGCGCCTTGGCGAACTGCTTGGACGCCTTCTTGACGCGCTTGCTCTTGCCCGTGTCAAGCCCCTCCTCCTCCGCCACCCGTAGCATGGCCGCACGCTTGGCGCTGTAGACCTGCGGGGACGAAGGAAGAAAGAGTTGGAAAAAGCCTTGGCGTGTTGGCAACCATGCTAGAGGTACATATGACCACCCATGTGGTGAAGTGGAGGTGTGCTTGCGTGGAGGCCGGAGTCCTCCTGCACGTACACGTCCCAAGGCGGTAGCCCAATGGCCCCATGACAGAAATGACAACTACCATTTTTCCAAGCATCGGCCTAGGGTACTAAGTAGTAGACATGTTTGGTTTGTTTGGAGGCCTGCCAACAGCCACCGCCGCCGCATTACCCACCTTGGTAATCCCCTTGAGCACCTCCTGTTCCTCCAGTCGGTGCTCCTCCATCTTGTGACCGATCAGCTCCTCGATGGCGTGCACCAACTGCACGTCGTACTGCGTGACGAAGCTCAACGACCAACCGCTGCGGCCCGCACGAGCCGTACGACCCACCCTGTACGGCAAACAGGGATGGCCCCACATCAGAAGTCCTATCACTGTAACATTTATTTTCGAAAAGGTAGTTATATAAACACCCACACATCTCTTCGGAGAGAGCCTTGCATTGCGAGCCTTACACCACAAAGCAGTCAAACAGCAGGGGGCCGCCAGGGAACGTCGCATGGGGCTCCTGGTCTCCTAGCGCTGAGACCAGTGCTAGCGCTGCAGCACTGGTCGCATGCAGCTCGCATCCCCTACCCGCCCCACCCGTGCACGCAATCCCCCTCTCCTCCCCTCCCTGCCCCGCCACACCATGTTTCCCTCCGCAATCCCCACCCTATGTTTAATTCTACCCCCTTTCTCTCTTGACCATCAACGTATACGCCACATTGATATCTTCTGCTGGACGCCATCGTCAACGGGTCATCCTATGGTCACGGTCAGTGGTTCCTCGCGGCTCAGTTTATCTGCTCCCCACCTGTGCACGTAGTCCCGAGCCATCACCGGCAGGTCGTAGTTGACCACCAGGTCCACCGTGGGGATGTCCAGACCGCGAGAGGCCACGTCAGTGGCCAGCAGCAGCGGCACCTGCTCGCTCTTGAACCGCGCCAACGCAGCCAGGCGCGCCTTCTGGCTCTTGCCTGGGTGGGGGCGGGAGGCGGGGGAGGGAAGCGAGAGGTGCGAGTGACGGGTTCAGGGTGCGGAGCGGCAACGACAACAACATCAACATTGGAACCATGGGAGTAAATGGGACCATACATACCTACGGCAAAACACATCGCAACGCCTCTTAACCCATGCACACCGATGCACACCCGCCGCGCCGCCACCTCCTCCTCCGCAAACCACTCCCTGCCACCCTCCCCCACCGCCACCCACCCGAGTGCAGCGCCGCCGCCGGCAGCCCCAGCTCCTCCAGCAGCAGCGACAGCAGGTGGCAGCCGCGGCAGGTGCTGGCGAATATGATGGCGGAGCGCACCTTGCGGGCGGGCAGCAGCACGGTGAGCAGGTGGTGCAGGTAGACCTCCTTCACCTTGGAGGGCAGGAACAGGTACTCCTCACGCAGCTTGTCGGCGGTGCGCAGCCCCTCGTAGGCCTGGGGGTTTGATGGGGAAGAGGATGAGGGAGAAGGAGGGGGCGGTACCAAAGGTTTGGAAACCATAGGTTAGGGCTGAGCAAGGGGACAGGAAGAATGAGGGAGATGAGGACAGAGGCAGGACCCCGAAAGGAAAACGCCTTCTTTCCTAATCCACATGTCAGGTCTTCCTCCTCCTTCCTTCCCCCAACCCACCTTGAATATGTGCGCATCCGCCAGCGATGCCTTCTGCAGCGCTATGAGCGACTTGGTCATGGTGGCGGAGAACAGCAGCGTCTGCCGCTGCTGGGGCAGGCAGCTCAGGATGCGCCTGGGGCCGGGGAGGGGCGGGGCGGGAGGGCGGGAGGAGGGAGGGGCGACAGGGACGGGGCGAGAGCCGGTAAGGTGGGGAGCGTGCGACTTGGGGTAAGCGGGTAAGCGGAGGGGCACGCCACAACCCGCACCCCCCTCCCACTCCCACTCCCTCCCGCACGTCGCATGTGCCGTTATCATATTAACACCACACACACCACAGGCCGCACATCTCCGCAGCCCCGCACCTCAGGTCGTCCTCGAAGGTGGTGTCCAGCACCCGGTCCGCCTCGTCCAGCACCAGGAAGCGCGCGCGAGCTAGGCCCGCAGCCAGACCGCTGTCAGCGTCCAGCAGGCCCTGGGGGGGGGGAGGGAAGGGAGACATGGGGTTACATGGGTACGACAACAAGGGCACATGAGAAACATGGGCACCGTGCGTGGGTGGGGTGCGTGGTAACATGGGTGAAGAGGAAGGAATATGGGCACCGTACGTGGGTGGGCGATCCTCGTGATAGTTATGCCAGCATGCTGCTCGTGGTGAGGCTGGCGCTAGGCTTAGCGGTGCAGGAAGCACCAGTACTCTACCCGGCTCGCGCCCCCCCCCGGGTGGGGTGGGATGGACCGGGTTCAATTAGCAACCCATGAAGAAGCCCCGTCTTTCAGTTCGTCAGTTTTCCTTATTTTTACCCCCAGCCCTGCCTGCTGCCCGCTCTCACCCTCAGCCTGCCGGGTGTGGCCACCACCACATGCGGCCGCCGGGCTAGCTCCCGCGCCTGCTGCTGCATGTCCACACCGCCGATAACAACCAGCTCCTTGAGCCGCATGCCCGCCCCCAGCGCCCGGAACTGCTCCGATATCTGCACCGCTAGCTCCCTGTGAGGGGCGGGGAGATGAGGATGGGCAGCGTGCGGTGAAGGGGGGTTCAGGGGAAGGGAGCAAACAAGAGTGCTGGTAGTAGCGTGGAGGATGGGTCAGGATGGGCGTGGGAGCTGGGGCTTAGGCCAAGGCTTACCTTGTGGGCGTGAGGACCACAGCAAAGACCCCGTACGGATCCTTTGCTAAGGATTGCAATATGGGTAGCGCGAAGGCTGCGGTTTTCCCGCTGCCGGTCTGCGCTAGTCCGATGACATCCCGCCCCTTAAGGATGGCTGGGATACAGCCCCGCTGAACTTCTGTGGGAGTGCTCATGCCCAGGGACTTGCAGACGCCACAAAGCCACTCGGATAGGCCTAGCCCCTTAAAGTCCGTGGGTGCGTCAACGGCATCCGAGGATGATGCAACGCCGCCGCTGCGCTCAGCAGCTTCATCCACGCCCAGACCATCATCATGGCGCTGCTGGATGCGCCCCTCGCCGGCTTGCTTGGCAACGAGCGGTCCAGGGTCGGCGGCCTGTCGCTCGGCGGCTTCAATGCTTCGTTCCGCTGCTTCCTTCTTTACCGAAGTGTTGCTAGGCTGCGTTGACTTTAGCTTCTGCTTTTTGGCTGGCCGCGGAGCAAAAAGCTGGACACCATCTTCATCGTCCATGTTGAAAGAATACTATCGCAGCCCTTAACAAACCTTGCCAAGGTTTTAAATTCAGTAAAGCTGGTATTGTTCCGAATATATGCTACACCTTGATGCCTGGTAGCGGCTGAACCAGCTTCTCAATCATTTCACGAAACCAACCCATCAAACATGACAATCCGTACGCGGCTGGCATATGGACGTCACGTTCAAACAATTTGTTTAACGTAATTGTTACTCACCACTGGCTAAAGCACACCATATTCGTCCTGCTAAAGCTTCACCTGCTAGCTAGCCTCCCGGTTACGTTAGCGTTGCGGTTTCACCCTTTGCCCACATTTTTTCCTACTCATATTCGTCAAAGCTAATAAAGGACACAGCTATGGCCAGCTCAGGCGGCGATCCGCCGCCAGGGGGCAGCGGTTGGCACCATGGTTCGGTGACCAAGCTTGGTGTACTCGTGGGAGCCGTCGGCCTCAGCTCTCTGCTGGAACTGACGCCTGTTACTGCTGTGCTAGCATCCGGAATTATTCTTGCTGCGCTGGCCTTCAAGATGCATAGGAGGAAGGGTTCGTCAACCAGCCATGGCCAACTAGATCAGGACTCTCCGCAAGATAACTCAGCGGAAGGCAGCGAACAGGAGGGGCAAAGTCGCACGAAGGGGGCCAAAGACGGCAACTCAGATTATGCTCCTTCTATTGCCAACGGCAGGGACGAGGCTCTGGCAGAGGTACGGAGTGTCTAGCTGTCGGCCACGATGCCTGCTGTGCGCATGTATTGTTCGTCTGCAGCTGGTGTATGGGTTGACAGTCTGTCAAGTAGTTGCTGGGAGCGTTGTATTTAAACCACGGGCGAAACTCGTTCTTTTTCCTTATGTGTCATTTTCTTTCTCTCTTTTGCTCTCACATTTGTATGCTACGCTTGGAAGAGACGTCGTTTCATCCGCTTCCTCGTCGTAGCCTTCCTGAGCTGTGCTGCCGTAAAGTGCTGCGTTCTTTTAGCGACGACAGTTGGTCAGTAGTCACCCGACGTATAAATTGTGCATAGGGCATCCATTTAACATACAGCACGTGGTCGGACCCAGGCCACGTCGTCTGGAACCACTGCCCCATAAACTCCGTAGGGGCGCTGGCTAACGGTGCCGTACTTTATTCAGCCGAAGTAATCGACGGCATCGTTGTGGTTCATAAAATGCTATCTATAGAGCCACATAGGCCACAGTTTACGTGAGCCGAACCATATTTATTTGTACTTACTTCTTACCAATTTCCATCCGCGGCCGCACAGATGCCTTGTAATGACGGAAATATGACACCTAACATGATGTAATTTGATTGTTCGCGCCGTACATTGTAAGTCAAGTCGCCAAGCCCTGCGTGGCAGCTTTGCGGCAACCAGCATGGCAACCATATTCCCGATGGAGCCCACCTTTAAAGAGTCCATCATATGGTTGTGCTGCAATGAACGTCCAAACGTACGCAATGCCTATAGACTTTGCCGCAATGCCTGAAGATGGGCCTATTGGTTGGTTTGGGTTCGCATGGCCGCCGCCTACGTTCGTAGCTTTGTGCCTAAATATTCGTAAACTGGTTCTTCGGTTAATAACGTTCGAAACCGACTCCTGTGCTGCGCTATATTTTTTGCCCTGCCCTTGCAGGCCCCGCCCGCGCAGCCCCCAGTGACTGGTCCTTCTCGCCGAACGGTCGAGCTGCTAGCGGGGACGGGCTCTAAGGCAACCACTCCCGCACCCTCGTCCGCGCAGCAGCCCCTGCTGCTACCAGGCTACATCGGCTCCTCAGGACCCACAGCTGGGGAACAACCTCCTCCTCCCACCTCCCCCGTTGCAGCATCCACGCCCCCGACCCAGCAAGCGACCCCATCCAGGAGCCTCATTCCAGAGCCCATGAGCTCTGCCAAGCAGCCGACGGTGGCATCAGCCGCAACCAGCAAGGTGGAGGAGGCCGCGGCGCCGGTCACAGCTACCGGCGGCGGCGCCATCCTGGCTCGCCTTCGACAGCAACGCAGCGGCTCGACAGCTACGAATGCCACCCCTGCGGCCGCGGCTGTGTTGGCAGCCGCGGCTAAGGCGAAGGCGGACCTGGAGGCAGGCTCGGGAACGGCTGCGGTGCAGCAGCAGGCCGCAGCCAAGCTGCCAGTGACCATCCTGTACGGCAGCCAGACAGGCACGGGCGAGGAGATTGCGAGGAACCTGGCTGCTTCGGCCGTGGAGAAGGGCTACGATGCGAACTGCGCCTCGTTGAATGAGTTTGGGTTTGCGGCGCTGTCGCCCTCGCGCACACCGTTCCTCGTTGTGATCTCATCTTCCACCGGCGATGGAGACCCGCCGGATAACGCCACGAACTTCTTCAACGCTGTCCGGAAGAAGCCCGAGGGTACCCCCAAGCCCCTGGCTGGGTTGCGGTACACAGTGCTGGGTCTGGGTGACTCCAACTACACGCGTTTCATGTACGTGCCACGTACCATAAAGAGCCGGCTCGCTGAGCTGGGCGGGAGCGAGTTCTACAAGTGCGCTGAGGCGGACGAGGTGGAGGGCGTGGAGAACGTGGTGGAGCCCTGGATCGAGGGGCTGTGGGAGGCACTGGCGCGGGCCATGCCGCAGGTGAGCTTTGGAGACGGGGTGCATGGGGGGTGCATGGGGGATAGCCGATGGGTCCTGTTGTATCCTCACGCGCATGCACTGTGGTTAGTGGTGCACCTTAGGACTCACCCTTGCCGGTGCTGACGGGGACCCAGGTGTTGACGGGGACCCACAGCTTACGGGGACTCAAATTACTGCTGCTGTCCTGACGCAACGGGATGGGATGGCTCGACTTGCTAGCTGTCAATTAGGGCGGCTTCCAGTAAGGGTGCCACGATCTCCCCATGCTTGGGTAGAGGGTGGTCGGGTTTGGAGAGCGGTTCCTTACCTTGCCTCGTAGCTAGGGTCAGCGTGCCATCCATCCAACGTTCCCTCCTCCCCCACTGGCCACTGGCCCTGCAGGGATCCACCGCCACTGCGGTGCAGGCGCCTGCTCCCAAGCCCGCCGAGCCCTCCAAGCCCGCCGCTGCAGCCGCCCCCAAGCCCGCTGCGGCGCCCTCCGCTGGCCTCGCAGCTATCATGGCTGCTGCAGCCAAGGCGAGAGCGGACCTGGAGACTGCGAAACCTACCGCCGCCGCAACAACAGCGCCGACGGCGGTTACAGCAACTGCAACAGCAGCCCCAGCAGCACCGGCAGCAGTGCCGGCGGCTACTGCTGGTGGCAAGCTGCCAGTGACCATCCTGTATGGCAGCCAGACAGGCACGGCCGAGGAGATTGCTCGCAACCTGGCTGCGTCAGCCGTAGAGAATGGCTACGATGCGAACTGCGCATCGTTAAACGAGTTCGGGTTCGCCGCGCTGTCGCCCTCGCGTACGCCGTTGCTTGTCGTGCTCTGCTCCTCCACCGGCGATGGAGACCCGCCGGACAACGCCACGAACTTCTTCAACGCTGTCCGGAAGAAGCCCGAGGGCAACCCCAAGCCCCTGGCTGGGTTGCGGTACACGGTGTTGGGTCTGGGTGACTCCAACTACACACGCTTTATGTACGTGCCACGTACCATAAAGAGCCGGCTCGCTGAGCTGGGCGGGAGCGAGTTCTACAAGTGCGCTGAGGCGGACGAGGTGGAGGGCGTGGAGAACGTGGTGGAGCCCTGGATCGAGGGGTTGTGGGAGGCACTGGCGCGGGCCATGCCGCAGGTGAGGTGCTTCGGAACAGGGCTGACCCGCCTTGGGACTTGGATGGAGGATGGAATGTCGGGTGCATGCATCACGATGACATGGCAATGAGATCAGTCATTCATTAGTACTCATCAAAAAGGCAGGGGCTATGACTGCTTCTTTACCAAAGAGCTGGTGGGTATCTGTTGCCAGTTAAAAAACAAACCTGGCCCTCATCTTGTGCCGCTCCTCCGTTCTTGCTCCCATCCATTCGTAGGGGCCCTCCGGTGTGCAGCAGCCACCCGCTGCCGTGCAGCCCGCAGCTGCGGCCCCAGCACCGCCTCCCAAGCCGGCTGCGGCGGCCTCCGGGGGCCTTGCTGCGATCATGGCGGCAGCGGCCAAGGCTAAGGCGGATCTGGAGGCTGCGGCGACAGCCAAGCAGCAGCAGTCCGCTGCTTTGGCTCCTCCTGCTGACTCTGCTGCTGACTCTTTGACGTCACCGCCTGCAGCCCTCGCAGCGGCAGAGGCGGATGCAGCTGCAGGGGCAGGTGCGCTGGAAGCTGCCACCGCCAGTACAGCAGCAGCCGAGCAGGCGAGCGGTTCTTCCGAACCCCAACCCCAGGGGGTGGCAGACAGCGTGCAGCCCGCCAGCGCAGCAGACGGCTCGCTGCCGGTGGCACCAGAGGCGGCAGCGGCTGCCGCCGCCACCGAGGGCTTTGCGGACGGCAATGCGGAGGGAGCCACCGCACCTCCTCCCCCTGTGCCCGCACCTGTTGCCATCGCCACCACCGCAGCCGCTGCTCCCGATGCTGCTGTCACGGCGGCGGCGGAGGAGGAGGACCCGCTGCTGACTCCAAAGGCCACAACCGCGTCAGGGGAGGCTGCTGCTGCGGGCGCACTAGCAGGTGCTGCCTCGCCGGATGGGCTGCTGTCGGAGGCAAGTGGTCGGCCCGGGTCGACCACCAGTGCCATGAGCAGCACCTTCCGGCGCAATGTGGAGATTGTGAAGCGCACTCACGACGCGGCGGAGGCGGCGAAGAGGTGGGTAAAGAGGAAACGGCTAACGAACCGCGTGGGTGGGTGGGTGGGGACCCTAAGGTGACAGGAGGTGCCGGGGAAGGAGGGAGGGGAGGGGCTGTGCGATGGGGTGAGGTGGGTTGGCGGCGGAGACAGGAACACTGCTTCCCTTTCCCCTATAAGACCTTTCCACGCATCCACGCGACCACACCGTGATCCTTACCCTCCCCCCCCCCGGGGTTCTCTCCTGCCGCTTCCCTCCTGCCTTACACACAGCCGCCGCTCCGTCGACCCCAAGGGCACCGGGCGCCTGGTGCAGCAAGCCAAGCCCATCAACGTCAACTTCCCCAAGCGGGAGGAGGCCATCGTCAAACGCAAGGTACGTACGACAGTCGGACGAGGAGGGCTTGCTGGCACCGCACCGGTAACGAAAATCCCCTCCCACAAGTGTTATGTAATCAGAGCTCAAATACCGGTAGCATATCCGTTGCTTTTTCTGCATCTTTGCCCACAATTCGAATGCGTTAACTTGCCTGTTAAGCCGTTATGCCTCCACGCGCAATGCTTCCTTAACTCAATGTTTTCTTAACACAACGCCGCAGGACGAGAAGTCGTACGGGCTGCTGCTGGGTCTCGCGCCAGTGGGTGTTGACACCAAGGGCGCACCTGCGCTGCTTCCCTGCCGCATCAAGGTGCAGTGGGAGAAGGACGAGGCGCGCGCCAAGGCAGTCCGCGACAAGGAGGCGGCTCGCCCCACGCGGGAGGAGCGGCACCGCATCGACCCCGAGGGCAACTACACCGCCGCGCAGCCCTTCTGGGCGCACGTTTCAAACGCCAGGTACGAGTCTACGCGACCGCCTACTTCTGGTTGGATCGCAAGGTGCTGCACCTCCCCTATCTCCCCGCACACATTTAACGCTAACATAATCAATTTGGCTTCTCCCCACCCCGCCACTCCCCGCCCCCCCAAGGTACGAGACCGCCTTCTGGTCGGACCGCAAGGTGCTGCACCTGGAGTTCTCCATCCGCGGCTCCAACATCACATACCAGCCGGGCGACGCGGTGGGCGTCCTGCCCGTCAACCACCCCGACCTCGTACTCAACCTCTGCAAGCGCCTGCGACTCAGCCCCGACCGAGTCCTGCACATAAACCAGGCAGCCGCGGGCGGTGCAGCCTCCTCCTCCTCGGGTGGTGCTGCGGCGTCGGGTACTCGTGTGGCCAGCCACATTCCCAGCCCATGCAGCCTGTCGTACGCGCTGACGCACTGCGTGGACCTCACGTCGGCCACCCGCAAGAGCGTGCTGCGGCTGCTGGCGGAGCACACCACGGATGCGGCGGAGCGCCGGACGCTCATGTTCCTCAGCGCCAAGGTGGGGAATTAGATAAACTGAGCCGCGGAAACACCGAAGGGGGTTGGTCAAAGACCACTGGGGGGAGGGAAGGCGGAGGAGGGGGGAGCGGAGGGGTGGATGCTGCTGCTATCGCTATTGGCGGTTTTGCTACATGCAGCAGAAGGGTGCAGTTAGCGCACATGACACACATGCGCTGCTGCCGCTCTCTCTCTCTCTCGTGTCGCCTCCCTCTCGCTCTTGCCCGCCTCGCCGCCCTTTCCCCTCCCTTCCTATACAACAACTACAATTATACGCTAACCCAACTATCCAGCCTAATGCGGATTCTGTTTCCATATTAATCCCTTCCTAACCAACCAACCTCCCTCCTCTCCCTCCCCCCCCCGCCCTTTCCCAGGGCGGTCGTGAGGCCTACGCGCACGAGATCGGCGAGCACCAGCCCTCTCTGCTGGACCTGCTGGTGCGCTTCCACTCCTGCCACCCGCCGCTGGACGCGCTGCTGGACGCGCTGCCGCCGCTGATGCCGCGCATGTACTCCATCAGCAGCTCGCAGCGGGAGCAGCCCAACCACCTGAGTGTGGCCATGTCGGTGGTGCGATTCAAAACCAGGTGGGGGCGGTGGAAAGCGACGAGGGAGGGAAGGGAAGGAGCAGGCAAGGAGTGAAGAGTGAGGGAAAGAGGGGGGAAAGGCTTTTGCTTTTGTGTGTCGCTTTTTCATGGCACCTCCGTCCTGTCCCGTCAACGCCTCCCGCCACAGCCGGAACATTCCTCTCCCCTTCCAGACGCCCCATCCAAATAACCCAATGCATGTACATTACCCCATGCACATTAATCTCGGTCAGCCTTGTTATACACGCCCGCCCTCCGTCCCCGCCCCTCAGGTACGGCACCCGGCTGGGTGTGGCCACCACCTGGCTGGACCGCCTGGCCGCCCCCTTCACCGCGGAGGCCGCCACGCCGCCCTCGGAGCCCATCTGGGTACCCATCTTCCTGCGCCGCGCCGCCGACTTCAAGCCGCCGCCCGACCTGGCCACCCCGCTGGTGATGGTGGGTCCCGGCACCGGCGTGGCGCCCTTCAGGGGCTTCCTGCAGGACCGCCGGGCGGTGGTACGGCAGCTGCAGCCGCCGCCCGAGGCTGTGGGCGAGGCGGTGCTGTTCTTCGGGTGCCGGCGGGAGGACGAGGACTACCTGTACCGCGAGGAGCTGGAGGGGTTCAGGGAGGGCGGCACGCTGGCGGCACTGCATGTGGCGTACAGCAGGGCGCAGGTGGACAAGGTGTATGTGCAGGTGGGGCGGGGGGTGGCAGGAAGGGTGGCGGGGAGGGTGGGGAGGGAGCGCGGAGGGTTAAAGAAGTACCAAAGCGCAAGTGAGGAGGGCGAGCAGGGGAGGAGAAAGGGATGGGGTTGGCGTTGGTCACGGCAGCTGTTTTAACTCTCGCATGTTTTCTCGCGTGTTAACACGGTACGTGGGCCCTCCTCTCTGTTCCCACTCCTCCCTTCTCTCCTCCCCCCCCCCCGCAGGACCTGATCAAGCAGCAGGGTGAGAAGGTGTGGTCGCTGCTGCAGGCGGGCGGGCGGGTCTTCATCTGCGGCGACGGCGCCCACATGGCCAAGGATGTGCATGCCACGCTGGTGGGGATTGCCGTACAGCACGGCGGCCTCAGCGAGGAGGAGGCGGCCGCGTACTTCACGGTAAGGGTGCCTGCCGCCTGGGTGTTGCTGGCTGCCTGCATGCACCGGCACATCGGCATCGACACAATGTCACTCCTACATTTGCTGCCCTTGCTGTAGTGCCCTTGCGTTGGCCCTTTAGCTGCAAAGTTGCTCTGTTATACGAAGAGACGCGAGCGACGTTTTTTGCGCGCTGCGTTCTTCAGCAAGCAACCACACCAGGGTGTTACCACACGCCCAGCACATTTTTATATACCTCTTTGCCCTCGCCCCGCCTGTGTCTTGCCCCGCAGACCTTGACGCAGGAGAAGCGCTACGTGCGCGATGTGTGGTCGTGAGGGGGGCGAAGTCCGCAAGCAGGCAAAGCCCATCGCTCTGTCCGGCAATTGGTAATGCCTTCACACGTTTTCCGCTTCTTCTGCAGTTTAACCGTTGTTAAGTAAGCTGATGTATGTGTATGGGATTCATGACGACTTGGAGGTTGGCGCAGTGTGACGTAGTAGGAGAGGGGGCGAGGGGAGTGTTACCGGGCGTCCGGAGGTGCCATGTGCGTTGTTGGGGCGGGTGGAACCATTAATGGTTGTAGGCTTTCTTGAGCTTCTTGGCAGGACTGCTTTCTCGGTGTCTAGAGGAGGCTGTTGTGTATTCCTGCGCTATCCCCGTTCGTAAGGTTTGCTACGGGCTCGAAAGTTTGGTGCGGAGGCTTAGTCATGGCTTGGGCAAGGCTAATCGGCGTGTTGTAAGCTGCTTATCGCGTGGTTTGCTTGTCAAGGCATGGAAGCACAAGCTCGCATCAAAACATGACGGCGTGCTCCTTAAATAAGCCCTATGTATTCATCAAAACACAACAAGCAGTGTATGACCTCCGTCGTAGTTTGACCTATATGGTGCCGGTGGATAGGGCGTTTGTCGATCGCCCGCCTGCCTCTCTTGCGCCCCCTCCCCCCTACTTCTATTGGCCGGTGGAGCGAGCCACATGCGTGATACACGCTGCTCTTACACATGCATGAACTGGGATTCTTCTCGTGCCTTTTGATCGGCCGTTTCTAGGTGTCGATTACGGCTGCATTGCCTGCTATGGTGGACCTTGCATGCTGCTTATGGCAGCTGCAGCATGCTGATTGGAGCTGCATACTGCACGGTAACGCCGGGCAATCCTCTTGGGAAGCGGTGTTTGGGGCCGGAGGGCGTCGCCATGCTGATTACAAGCTTGAGGCTCGTAAGGCCCTGACGAGCCAGTGTCGCCTTGCAAACTGTCATAAAAAGCGGGTGCCGTACCAGCGGCTTGGCGGTAGGGTGGGCAGCTGGGCACATGGCGAACATTTCTTTATGAGGAAGTCTGCTAGGATTGCGACTGGTGATCCTTGTAAGTGCGTATTGGCAGGTTAGCCTAAGCAGCCTAAGGGGATAATCCTTTGGCTTGTTCCGATCGACTTCGTCGGAAGAACCAAACCCTAGGACAAGAGATGCTATGCAGGAAGTGCTAAAGCAGGCAGGGGGCACAAGGGAGAAATGGCTGGGTAGTCCGGCATTCTCACCTCACCTGATCTTGCAACCGTTAGTACAGTCGTAGTCACGTTTACTGATCTCGTAAGCAGGCTGTTGTACATTGACGGTTTCAGCCGTAAAGACTACTACAACCTACAACGGCTGTCCATTCATTATCGGCAACTAGGCTAGCCGAAGCGGTGTTGCATTAGCGCACTCCCGGACATAATCTAATATGACTATGCGCCTCCAGAGCTCGCCTAGCGTGTCACGTCTGCAGTCCTCTCGTATTGCTTCTTGCAGGGTAAGAAATTCACCATCTAGGCGCTAACATTCCTGGTAGCGTAATAACCCAGGCCATGGCCTGGCGGCCAGACCGTTGCCCTTAACATTGTCATAGTTCACACTTTATTCACTTAATGGTAGTGAACGTCTTAATAGAAATGGTTTGTGGTCTTTGTAAGAGCGTGGACGTCGACGATTCAGCATCTCGGCCGCAGGCTCCTCGCGCTGTCGTCATTCCGAAGGCGGTTGCGGCCACTGAGAAGCTAGCCTCCGGCGCTGCAGAAATGAATATCGCCACGGACGTCACGCAGCTAATTGGTGGGCACCGAAAGCGAGGCTTCTTAACTTCTAGCTTTCCCGTGGCATATGCAACCAAACTAGAGTACCCAAGCGCGACGAGAGTGTGATTGATCCTATCATTTAGGTCGATGAATAGTTACTGCGCCTCCGCTTGCTTCGGGGTAGTCCTTAGAGCCATGTCTGCATTGCAGGCAAGACCCCCATGGTTTACCTTAACAAGGTGACCAAGGGGTGCGTAGCCAAGGTTGCTGCTAAGCTGGAAATCATGGAGCCGTGCTGCTCCGTCAAGGACAGGTGCGACCCACATCAGCGCCCCAATCAACTCTAGTTTAGGGTTTGCCTGAAGCACGATAAGTTTAATTCGCTACATCTAGAGGAGAGGACCATTACACCCTACTACATAGCTAGCGAAATTCGCTTGGGCTGCGCCCACGGTGACATGCCGCCCTTGTTAGACCGCACATGTCCATCCTGGCGGGCAGGCGGCAGGGTGCGTCATAGGAGCATACGCGCAGCCCAAACATATCCTGTCACCTTTTCCCTTTGCCTCATCGCCTCCCCTCCTCAACACCAGGATCGGGTATAGCATGATCGAGGCGGCCGAGAAGGAGGGCCAGATCACCCCGGGCAAGGTACGCTCCCCAGTGCCATCCACTCCCCCCTCTCTTCCCCTCTCTCCCTCCTTCCCACCTTCCTTCCCTCCTTCTCATGCCCGTGAACCCCAGCATCCCCACGTTCCTCCGCACCTTCCTCCTCATGCTCCTCCCCTCCTACAAACCCCTTCCCAGACCACCCTGGTGGAGCCCACCAGCGGCAACACCGGCATCGGCCTGGCCTTCATTGCCGCCGCCAAGGGCTACAAGCTCATCCTGACCATGCCTGCCAGCATGTCTCTGGAGCGCCGCATCCTGCTGCGCGCCTTCGGAGCCGAGCTGGTGCTCACCGACCCCGCCAAGGGCATGAAGGGCGCTGTTGCCAAGGCGGAGGAGCTGCTGGCGTCCACCCCGGACGCGTACATGCTGCAGCAGTTCCAGAACCCCAACAACCCCAAGGTGCACTACGAGACCACGGGGCCCGAGGTGTGGCAGGCCAGCGAGGGAGCGGTGGACATCCTGGTGGCAGGTGCGCACACCGGGGGGCGGGCGCGGACTGCATGGGAGGGAGGGAGGACGGGGCATGGGATGACCGCACGCATGACCGCATGACTGTGTGAGGAAGAGAGCCTGCGTGCGAGGGAGGGAGGAGGGAGCACTGGGTTACCGCAGAGTAGCAGCACTGGGGCAGGTCATGCAAGCGCTTCCATGGGGGGCCAGCGAGCGAGCCAGCCTCAGCATACCAGCGAGGGAGCACTGGGCGGTAGCAGCAGCAGCACTGCACGACTGTAGCGTACGATCCGTACACCCTCGTAAGGCACAACCTAAGGGGCGTTGCATAATTATCAGTGCATTAGCTATTACACGACGCCCCTTAGGTTATGTCGTAACGAGGGCGTACGGATTTTCAGTGTGGGGTAGTTGCCACAGCCGTAACGTTTACTATGCTTTACCCTAAATGAGCATATATGGTCAACCATATGTGGTCATTTACAGTAAAGCGAAGCAAACGCTACGGCTGTGGCGACTACCCCACACTGAAAATCCGTACGCCCTCATACGACATACCGGTAACCTAAGGGGCGTCGTGTAATAGCTAATGCACTACCAACTACACACATTTTGGACTCTTGAGAGCTTCAGCAACTTGGGTATCTTGGTCAGCTCTTCTTTTCCCCTTTCCCCCTGCTGCTGCTGCGTGCTGCCCCCCCACCTTGGGATTCTTCTTTTCCCCAGGTGTGGGCACTGGCGGCACTATCACCGGCACCGGCCGCTACCTGCGCGAGCAGAAGCCCAGCGTGCAGCTGGTGGCGGTGGAGCCGGCGGAGAGCCCCGTGCTCAGCGGCGGCAAGCCGGGGCCGCACAAGATCCAGGGCATTGGAGCGGGCTTCGTGCCGGCTGTGCTGGACACGGCGCTGCTGAGTGAGGTGGTGCAGGTGAGGCGGGGTCGTGGGAATGGGGGAAGGAGGTATGGGAGGGGGGCCGTACGGGGAAGCAAGCAGGCGGCGTTAAATTGTCGTGTGTGCCTGACTCGCCCTCCTCTCCCCGCTCTCCCCTTCGCCGCCCACACCAGGTTACAAGCGATGACTCCATTGAAATGGCCCGCCGACTGGCGACCGAGGAGGGCCTTATGGTGGGCATCAGCTCGGGAGCCGCCGTACAGGCAGCCATCAAGGTGGGTCCCTGGCGGCCTGGTACAGAATGACTGCTACTGCTTCTGCTGATTGGGAGAGGCACAGGCCTTGCTGCTTGCCATATTATGACACATCAATAGTTTTATATGGGGTTGCCATGCGCTCCTGACACAGGTTGCCAGCCGGCCAGAGAACGCGGGCAAGCTGGTGGTGGTGGTGCTGCCGTCCTTCGGAGAGCGCTACCTGTCCAGTGTGCTGTTCCAGCAGCTGCGAGACGAGGCGTCCAAGATGACCTTCGAGGTGAGAACACGCGCTCAGGTTGGATGGGGAATAGGTGGGTTTCATTTAAGGAATCTATTTAGCCGCGGTGCTTTGTGCTGTATTGTGAACTGATGATGCGGTGATGGAACGCTACAAGCCAGCCCGGCTGCGTTCAAGTGTTTTGCCTCCATTATGAGACTGATTAAACACTTCTTTTGGTCTGCAGGCATGATGAAGGGCGAGGGATGAAGAGGATGTGGAGCGACGGCAAACGTACTGTTCGCCGCATGGCGCCTATTTCGAAGCTGTACCATTTATCATGACGCGTTTTAGGCACTTTGCCGTGTTGACCATTAAAGGCATGCATTGAGCATGCTTAGGTTGTACAAGAGGAAACCCAGTGCCATCTGGGTCAGCAGTCTCCAGCACTTCCAAGATGCTCACGCTTCAACGTGCAATCACATTTCTGGGGGGCAGCTATTTCACGTTTCATGACTTGGAGTGGAGTGCTGTATGGCTCTGGTTTGTAACAAATACAAGATTACCTTGACGGTATCGAAGGGGTTGAAGGGATCCAAGGGCTGACGGTTGGAACGACGTGCGAACGGATCCGGCCGCGCATTGGATTCGAGCAAGCGAGCTGCCTTGTAGCCTTCGATCGACACGCATCTCTCCAGGTTCACCGATTGACACATTTCAAAAGAAAGGGTTTCCCGGGCGCAAGTGCGCAACCGTTACTTAGGTACACAAGCACAGCCAACTTACTAGGACGTTTGGCAAGGCAGCATTCATATAAGGAGTCAGTGTTTGGCGACATGTCGCTACAAGGCAAGGTTGCCCTGGTGACTGGCGCCACCAGCGGCATCGGATTTGAGACTGCCTCCGCGCTTGCCGGTAGGGCCTACTGGCATATGATTGTCTCTTAGTGATCACAGATTACTGTTGAAGTAGATACCTTGGCATGACGATCGGCAAGCGTTTGCGTACCTGTAGGTCTTGGCGCGACTGTCATCCTTGGAGTGCGCAACATCAAAGCTGCCGAGAATGCTGTCAAAACAATTCAGGAGAGGCATTCAGGTGCCAAGGTTGTGATCGGGCCACCGCTGGACCTTATTTCCCAGGACAGCGTCCATAAGTTTGCGGAGTACGTTGACAAAAACTTTCCGCAGCTTCACATCCTGGTCAACAATGCTGGCGTCTCCTTCATGAGCAAGACCTTCACGCCCGAGGGCGTGGGCGGCATCGCGCAGGTGTGCTAACGGGCAGAAAATGCGCAAACGGCGGTTAGCAGCAGCACCAGCCTGGGTTTCTTCTAGAAAGAGCCGCATCGTTCGCGGGCACGTGCTTTTCCCCGCTGCACACCCTGCACCGCAATCCCGCCCATCTGCTCCCTGCCCCTCTAGACCAACCACCTGGGTCCCTACACGCTGACCCGCCTGCTGGAGAAGAAGCTGGTGGCCAGCAAGGCGCGTGTGGTGACGGTGGCCTCCGTGACGCACCGCACCGTCACCATGCGGGATGCGCGCGCCTTCCTCACGGAGTGGCGCGCCGGCTTCTACCAGCACTCCAAGCGTGAGTGGCGGCTGGGTGGGAGGGAGGGAAAAAAGGGAAACTCACGGGCTGTATGACGAAATTTCACCATGGGCTATAATGGATCCGTGGGGCAGGAGGTGGAGAGAGGGTTAGGTAGGTAGGTAGGTAGATAGATAGAGCGGCGGCTGGGGGCGATATGGTTGTGACAAAGGTGTCGCTCTGGTACGGGGCAGCCTCAGTAACCCTCCAGAGTGGAAAGTAACAACCTAAAGCGAAGGGGAGGGAGGGAGCCGAGTGCGGGAAGGCACGAGTAAGCCCCCCATGAATGAACCCGCCCCCCGAATGACCCAGTTTGGTTCGTGGACGGCGTGCCGTTACCATGGCGCGCGGTTAGGAGCCATGCACTGGGGACACGCCATGCACCTCTCTCTTTATGGCACTACCTGGTCAAATCATCTGTTTAGCTGTGCAGTACACAATCCTACTGCTGCTGCTGCGACACCAAACATGATGCAACGCATGCTCACTCAGCTTGTCACAATATGGTTAGTTTCCTCCGCTTTATCCCCCCCCTTCCTAGTGTCCCCGAATGCGCTCACTGCATGAGTCGGGATTTGAGATTGGAACTCCGTTGCTGCACTTCTCATTTTTTTATCCCCTACCTACCTAGTGCCACCACTATTCGCCCAAAGCCTGGTTCCCTCCCTCCCCCCTCCGTCTCGTGCTGCTGCAGTGGCCAACGTGCTGTTCGCGTACGAGCTGCAGCGGCGGCTGGGCATCCACGGCGTCACCTCCTGTGTCGCCGACCCGGGCGGGGTGCGCTCGCACATCTGGGACACCAGCCCCATGTTCAAGAAGGGCTTCTACAAGTGCGTGGGGGGAGGCACATGGGGGGCATGCGGGGCGGCACGTGGGGCTGCATGGGGTAGGGACAAGGGAAGGGAGGACCCGTAGGGACGGGGAGAACGGGAACGGGAGAAAAGAGATGGGGAGGCGCGTCGCAGGTGTGAACGGACCCCAGCGGCATGGTTCTGTCCTGCTGCCCCTCTCCTTTTTTACCGTACTTCTCCCCTTCCTCTCCCCTCCTCTCCTCCCCCTCGATCCTGACCGCAGGACCATCATCGACATGTGCTACAGCCCGCCCTCCGACGGCGCCCAAGCGGTCATACACGCCGCCACCGTGGACTGGGAGGCGGACCGCCGCGTGGTGGACGGCACGCCCATCATGCCCGCGGACGACCTCAGGTGCGACATGCAGCCGCCTGCTGCTGCTGCTGCTGCTGCTGCTGCTACTGGCTCCACAACTGCATCTGCTGCTGCTGCTGCATCACCTGCTGCCGCCTCTACTACTGCACCACCTGCTGCTGGCCCCGCACCTGCATCACCTGCTGCTGCTGCACCCGTCACTGCACCCGCATCCGCACTTGCTTCCGCACCTTATGATCTCAGGTGGGGGTTGTATACCGGTGTGTTGTTAAGGATTTGCGGTATTCGGTCATAACTCCAGCAGACTGCAAGAGACTGATATTGTAACGGTCAGGGAATGATAAAGAGAGGCTGCGCATGGTCATCTCACAACATATGTAGCACCAACAAGGGGTGGTGGGAGTGAGTCGCTGCTAGCGAAACCCCCTAAACAAAAAGCCCACAATACCGCGTTTGGGTCCTTACCAAAAGAAGAGTCCTTACCAGCCGGCTTCTCACCCACCTACCGTCAACCTACCCTTCCATATCCCATCAAGTCAACCTACCCTTCCATATCCCATCAAGTCCCCATAGAGATCCCTTCCCATAGCATCCCTCCCCCTGTCCGCCCGCCCCTATGTGCCGCAGGTACTACTCCCGCGGCCTCTTCTGCGCGCCCATGCTGACCAACCTGGACGGCTACCGCGGCAAGGGCTTCAGCAAGGGCCAGCAGGTCAAGGGCTTCCTGTGGGGCGTCTCCACGCTCTTCACCAGCCTGTGGGACTGGCCGCTGCGCAAGCTCAGTCGGGGGCTGCTGGCGGGGCGCTGCCGTACCGTACGATCTGCCACTCAGTCGTACGACCCGCGGCTGGCTGCGGACCTGTGGGAGGTGTCGGCGGAGCTGGCCAAGCTGCCGCCGCAGCCGCAGCTGTGAGCTGGCTGTGACAGAGATCCGAGGAGGAGGAGGTGGTGACTTGGAAGCGAGCCGAGGGGTTGAGGGGATTGAAGAGACTTTGAAGACTAGGATAGGCAGAGGAAGCTACAGGGGAGGGGTGTGGCAGCGGGCCTCCATGCATGCATGCAGGTGTGGAAATGAGGAGTTTGCAGGGGCAGGGGCCTTGCAGTGGTGTGGGCGACCCGAGAAGATTTGAAGAGGCAGCATGCATGCAGGTCTGCGGCAGCCTATCCAGGCATGCCCGAGGGTCGGAGGGAGGAGGTGGAGGATGGAATTTTGGTTTTGGGAAGGCGAGTCGCTGCATTTCTAGGGGGTTGAGCGGAACGGCGCTGATGTGGTCAGGCCGGCGTTAGGCTCGTAGGTTGCAAGAGGTGGGGGTTCACTCTTTTCTACCGCGTTGAAGTGCCCATGTTGATCCGTTGTTGGGTCGTTGTGTGTTGCACGGTTGTGGGCAAAAAGAGATGTTTCCTCCTTACAAGCGTCGTCGCTTGGTGAGAGTCCCGTAAGAGGAGTTTTGGCAGTTGGTAGAAGGTAGCTAGGGTCGTCTGTTCACCGTTTGACCGAAGCTGTGTTTAGCCGAATGGGGCTTAGCCCGTTCAGCAGCTGGTGCGTTGGCGCGGGGGTCGATTGCCACCGCTGTACGTATTCGCTCGCATGCAGATCCCCGAAGGCAAACAGCGAATTGGTTACCGTATTCGGCGGGTTTTCCTACGGGGGTCTGAAGGCTGCTGGGTTGTTCGTTCGACGTGCGCGCTTTCTTGCTGCGTACGTTTCAGATATTGATTGTGGTTGCACCTGAATGACCGATCTGGTTGGAACCAAGTGGCCATTTGCATTACGGTCCCTCACTGCTCGTCACGTTGCTCTACATTGCATGAACGCCGGGTTGGGAGCGTTTCTCAAGCTGGGGACGCTCCGAGGGCAGAATAAAGAGGGAGGGTGCAACCTCCGGACGCGTACGATGGGCGAGGGACAGGCACTTAGGGAACACCTTGTAACCATGCGCACGCACGTCATACGCTGTCAGCGCCATGCACAAGGAATACACTTCTAGTGCATGGGACCCCCCATCCCTAGAAGCCAACAAAGCCAGACATGAATGCCCACAACATTGTACCGCACATCGCACTCCTCGCACACTTCCGGGTTGTACTGCCTACTTAAAGGCCACGGCCACCTCAATGCCTCGCAGCAGGCACCACCTCCCCTATGTCCGCTTGACCGCAACCTAGCCGCACGTCTCCTCCTCGTTCTCATCTCCGGACCATGGTTGACTACCCCACCTCAGGTCAACCAAACCGGCGCGATGCCCTCCTGCATCTGGCAACATGGGGGCCGGGCTGTACTGCCCTCATCACCCCCAATCGCCACCTCAAGGCGCGCTTGCTCCGTCCACATGCCTCCGTCCACATCCAGCGACGCTGCAGTTAGACCCCGCGCCTGTCGTTGCCTAACGCCCCAACTGCCTGCCCCCTCTGCAAATTATCATACCACACTTTGGAATTTCTTTTTTGCCCCCTCTGCAACGGAATTGCTGCACTTCGCTGCTTCCGTGCACACTCGCTCAATCACGCCACAAGCTCACGCCCCTCTTTTGCGCACCTGCAGCCGACCACCCCACCAGGCGGCCTGCCTGCATGCTTGGCTCTGGACAGGCTCTGGACCCTAGCCACCATGTGGAGGGCATATAAGTGGTATTACCCTTAAGAACTGAGCAACACAAATCTACTTGTCCTTTCCTCCCCCCTACTTCCGGTAGCCTTTACAGCCCCATACACCTTTGCCATTTGAACCATTACCGGTACGTTTGCCCCCATCGTTTCCTGGCTTCTACAAAACCTACGTGTCGTACAGCTCATGCATGTCGCACATTTCTCCGAGCAGCCGCTACTCCCGGATGCCCTCCACGCGTGCCAGGTTGTCCATGAAAATGCGCTGCGCCCCGTCCAGGTTGCCGTACCGCCCGGGCCGGATGCCCAACCGCAGCCTGATCGGGAATGAGTTAGGGGAAACGTTAAGGGATGGGATGACTTGATGAGTGGCGTCAGTTTGGAAACGACATGGCGGCTGGGGCTGTAAGTGAGAGGGTTAATGTCGCCCACGCAGCAAGTCGTCATGGTAGGTCACAACATGGTGGGACGTGGCCGGGAGCAGTTGGCAAAGCTGCGTACCTTGGGCTGTTGGGCCAGTAACGATCGGGGGGCATTCCTTCGAAGCCCCAGAATGCGAGGTTGAAGGCGAACGACGCCAGGTGTATCCCAGCTGCACATGCCGCAAATATATGCTCTCGGTGGCTGGCCCAATTTATATCCCGACGCGCCTCCTTTAATTGCTGGGGTGTTTGCACGACACCCCGAGGTAGCTTGCTGACGTCCTCTTTTACGACCAAAAGGTCCATGGGAATCGGTTCACGCCGCATGACCACTACGCGCGGGCCAGCTCTTGCCGAAGACGCTGCGGATGGACGCGATAAGTTATCATGAATTCAACGCAAAACTAGCGGATTTCCGAGGAGATTTGGCGCAGGTACGCTGAGAAGGCGACGCACCTGCCCTGTCCACGAGCTCATTCGACGCCATTCCCGATGCAATTGCAACTTTCTCCAGTAAGCGTTTACAAGTTATGGCTGGGACGACAGGACAAAAAGATATATTCGGCTCCCCATGCGTCGCGCAACAAACAGAAAGCAGTCAGGCTATTTAGTCCACAAATAAGAGGGTTGGTATAAAGCTTTCCTAAGCTGAGGTGCCCGAAAATTCGTCTAACCCAAATGTCGCAATCTTGGTGGTTAGCCCTCAGTCCAATGTGACAGATCTGATGTCTCAAGTAAATACGCACGGTAAGCTTCCTTCGCACGTGACTGAACTTCTTTTTCGTTGTAAGCCGTCAAATAAGGCGTTGCTTGTCGTGACACCTTTCGCGACCCAAGGACCGTTTGCAAGCTGTCCCTGGGAAGACTTCCATTCCTCAGCTTGCAGCCGGAACTCTTCGCCCTTCTCCATTCCCTACACATTAGAGTCATGATAGCCAGCCTGTTGTCAAGTTGGCTCTTTCGCGTGTTAGCGGCGGCGCTGTCATGTGTCGCGTCCGCCGCAGCAGTCCGAGCCGTCGCTGCTCGCACACCGCCGGGCACCAAGCGCCTGGCGCTCTGCCTGCCAGCCGCCCTACTCTACTGCGCTGTTCCTTTCCTCTTTGAAGTTCAGAGCGTCAGCCGAGCAAGCGCTGCGGCAATGTTGATGTGGCTAGCAACCTTCAAGTTGCTCGCGTTTTGCCTGGGTCGCGGGCCGCTTACCCAGCCCGACCTCACTTTAGGGCAGTTTACTGCACTGCTTTTGTGGCCGATCATACCCAAGACAGGCAAGTGGGGGCGTTATAAGGGGTAGGCGCGCTGCTCTTGACGCGGCCTGGTTCCTTATGGCGTGTTGCTTTTGACGGGGCCGTAGGGCAGTGTACCCCTCTGCGTAGCTTGGTCTTGCCAATTGCATGCGGAGGCACTTGAGCATGGGGGCTGCTTGCCCTCCGCGTTCCAAATTGACATCTGTAACCTTCCGCATTCCCATCGCAGCAAAGCCCTTGTCAACTGTTTACGAGGCACCTAGGATGCCTTGCCTGACCCTGTCTGTCCTCTTCCGGTTATATTTGTGTTTACGCGTGTTGCTGGCACCCCTCCCCTCCGCTGTGCCGGTGCAGACGCTGAGGGCCGCGTGCTGAAGATAGAGGATGAAGCGACCCGCGGGCCACAGGCGCTGCACCGGCTGTTTTGGAGGGTTCCTGAGAACCTAGGTGAGCGAGCAGAATATCACCTGTTTGGCAAGGGGTTTATTCGACTGCCGCGGGTCATGCGTACCGTATATCATGGCAAGGCATCGGCCCCTGTTAGGGGTGTTTCAGGCGCTCTGTGCTGTCGTGGCGTTGCTGTGTTGCCGCCTGCGAGAGTGTCAGCAGCAGCAGTGCTTCGGTAGCATCATGCTGCTCGGTGGTTCTCCCGTGCTGGTGCGGCTGAGGCCGGTGTGCACCAACCCTCACCTTTGGTGCGGGTCTGGAACTCTGGATTGTTTGTCTTTGGACAGCTGATGATTGGCAATGTCACTCCATCACCCTCATACATGTTGACTCCCCTCACCTCCATGCTGTTGTCCCTCGTACGACACCTCCACGCCGCAGTTGTGTGCCTGGTGGGCTTGTACACGCTCACGCACCCCGCCGTGCCGCTCTTCGCCAAGACCTACTCGGCAGGTAAGACAAGACACACCGCTAAGAGTTGAAAAGGGAATGTAACTATCGGCATGTAAGGTGCTTCTTACCTCTTCTCCTGCCCTCGCACCCCTGCCCGGATGTCTCTCCCTCTTTCCTTTCCTTCCCTTCTCCCATCAACCCGTTCCCCAACACCTCTCCCAACCCATATCCCCTGTTCTCCCTCCTTCTCCCCCCCTCCTCCTCCTCCCACAGCCTTCGGCGTATGCGCCTACTGTGGGCTGTGGGCCAATGCCTGTGCCGCACTGGTGCAGTGGCTGCATGGCCTCCAGGTGGCGCCCTCCTGGGACCGACCCTGGCTGCAAACCAGCCTTGCGGACTTCTGGGGCCGCCGCTGGAACCTGCCCACCTCCGCCTCCCTCAAGCACCTGGTGTACGAACCCCTGGTGGAAGGCGAGTGTACGGCAGTACGGCAGGGGGGATAAATATAGACAAGTGCATCAACGGAGTCCCAATCCCGAATCCCGACTTGTGCAGCGAGCGCATTCGGAGACAGGGCAGGGGGGGTAGCGGTGGAAGCGGTTGGGAAGGGGTTCGGAATGCAAGGCTATGTGCGCGTCGCGGCTGCATGCTACCGTACTTGTGCCGCGGGTATATTACCGGTAAAAGCGGCAATGGATGGGTCATGTGTCATGAGTCATGTGTCGTACCATACAGGCAGCTGGGTGGCCCGGTCTCGGCGGGAGCCTCAGAAGGCGCTTTCTGCCGCGAATGGAGCGTCTGACAGCACCATGGGCACGCAGACGGCGGTGGAGAACGGTGCCACCGCCCAGGAGGCGACCGAGGCGCATGCAGCTGACCACAGCAGCGGTAACGCTAACGGCAGCAGCGGTGACGGCAACAGCAGCCGGCCCCGTGCAGCCGCAACAGGCACCGATCTGGCTCCCGGTGGCCCCGTCAGTGACGGCGTCCTCACTGCGGATGGTTCTTCCCCAGAAGATACGAACAACAAGACGACCGAGAACGGCGCAATTCCGCCCATGAAGGCACCTTCATCTGGGTCGCCGACCCATGGGTCGCTACGCACCGCCACCGCCGCCGCCGCCGCTACCGCACCGTCTAGCGCTGGTGATGAGCGCCGCCTAGCACAACGTGGTGGCAGCAGCCGCAGCGGCCGCCGGCCTGTGTCTGCGGCGGTTCGGTTTCTGGGCCTGGTCGCCACCTTCGCAGTGAGCGGGCTCATGCACGAGGTGCTGTTGTGCGTGTGCACCGGGGACACTGCGCAGCTGGGCAAGCAGGCGCTGTTCTTCGCAATCCAGGTGCGCCTCGCTTGCTGTTGTATGCTAATACAACTGGCCGCGAGTCGGCACGTACTGTGTGTGCCTGCGTGGTGGTCCGGAAAGCTTTTTGCTGGGTGGCGGACTTGGCCGTTGCGCCACTTTAGGGCTTGTGACACGGACGAACACGTCCGTTGATTCTCGGCTACACGGTACGGTAGCCGCCCTGTGGGGGCTAAACCCATCTGGATGTTGTACATGCATCCTGCGAACCCCACGCGGCCGTAACCCTCCACAATCCACAGGCGCCCCTCATGCTCGCGGAGCAGCGGCTTGTCAAGACTCTCACTCGCGCTGGCGTGCACCTGCCCAACTGGCTCTGCATCCCGGTAGCTTCCCTGACGCTTCAGATTCCCGCAATGTACTGGTTCTGGGGGGCGTACTTCGCTGCCGTACGCCCCCGAGCCAGCCCGCTGGCGCCCACACCACCGCCGGCAGCAGCAATGGCAGCAGGCCTGGATGTTGCGAGCGCGGCTGGCTTGGTGCATGGGCTCAAGTCGGAGTTGTGAAGCGCTCAGCCGTACGCATGTGCCGTTGGTGTTGTGAGGCGTTGTGAGACTGTTGTCAGGTGTTTGGTCGCGCGTGGGCCTCCGTTGGTGTTTCTGGGTAGTTGTAGTTGTAGGATGTGTTGTTAGTGTTGTCGGCGAAGCGTGTGCCTGTCGGAGAACCTGCACCGTGCCTGTACCGTGTCGGAGAATCCCTTGTAGATTATAGCCTTTACCCTAGCTATTGGACCGTCATCGTCGCCGGCATAACAGATCACCATCTGGACGGTCCAAAGACGGTGACAGCATTGCAAGAGCATACACGATACAACTAACCGTGGCGCCTACCAGCTGCCAAGGCGCCGTATGCAATCCTCTCCGGCGACTGTTGTAAATCAAGACGACGCTCACGTCTCTGCTGCAATCCGCAATCCTAAAAGCTTGCGTGTTTTGTCACACGCACTATCATCCTGACAACCTTCCTGTTTCTGAATAAACGTTTCTTGTGCCTGCGTTTGGAAATCTGCACCTGACACGTTCTGCACATTGGCTAGGCTTATCATACGCACAGCTAGCCCACAGCAGCTGCTGAAACCCTTATCACATTATACGACACATTAGTACAGCTGTCTCGTCCTCACCCACATGTCGCCCACCGGGGTAGGACATGCATGCCTTTTCGATGCCTTAGGAAAGCCTGCCATCTACAATCCTTACCGCTATGCACCTTTTCTGCTTCTATGCCTCCACACTCCCAGTCTCCCACCTTACGTCATATACACCAGACCTAGCCGTGCCCGCCTTCCTCTATAGCGCATAGCAATACTCTAAATAGTAACCGCAGCTTATCCTTCTTCACCCTTCCATTATAAGTTTACAACTCTCTTCCATCCATGCCCGCGGCGACCACAGCCCCCTACGTCTGCTCCTCCTGCACCCACACCGCCACATCATTTAAATCCTCCTTGGGATTCACTCCGCCAAACACCACCATGGCCCACCCGCCACCACCTCCTCCTCCTCCTCCTGCGCCGCCAGCGCCCTTCCCTCCCGCCGTCGGCACCACCACTGCGCTATGAGCGAAGCGAACCGAGGGCACCGTTCCGCCCTTGTCCGACTCCCGCGGACCTCGACGTACCAACTCGATTTCAAGTGTACGGCAGTCGATTTGCAGTACATCGCCTTCTACCGCCTCCCCACTGTAGCCGCCATATATGAGGACACGGCTGCTGGAACCGCTGCTGCTGCCACCGCCGCAGCAGCTGCTGGTGGTGGTGGTGGTGGGAGTGTTGCCGTCTGCTCGTCCGGTCGCATGGCGGGTGTCAACGCTGCTATCGACCGGCGCGACAGCTCCCTCGGCGGCCTGGGAGGTCCCATCTGCCTCTTGCTGGTCTGCATGGGGATGCGGCTGCTGCCCTTTCTGCTGTTCGTCGCCACCGCGGGTGGGCTGTGCGCCCTCTGAGGACATTGTTGTCTGTTGCGCCGACGCCGCTGTTCCTGAACCTGAAAGATTGCAATAACACACGGAGTTTAGCCAAGTTTGGCAGCCGATCTTCAGGCAAGTTACGCATCCACATGCCTGAGATACTAAGACGCGGCAAGATACCCATAATAGGGTACCCTTAACGAGCTCCATTGCAGGTGCTTTTCTCTTGCACACACCCCTGGCTGCGGCGGCTCCCAGGGGACCCCCGGACCTGACCCAGCGTACCTGGAGCAGCAGCCGGCAGCACCACGCAGCTGTGTGCGCAGCGGGAGAAGGGCGTCGGCTCGATGGCCGTCCACTTCATTTGCTTGGCGTCAAACAGAGCCGCGTCGCATAGAACCCTGCGGTGCAGGCGTGCAAGCATACCCGCAAGCTCAATCCGGAGTGAGGATGACTGGTGCAAGATTTTGCAACACGCCATTAAGACATCATGTAACAGGTTAGACACACGGGCGAAGTAGTACTCCACGCATGCATTCCTTATCGGCATGCTTTCAACTAGAAGCTTTGCGAGAGCTTGACCCTTCATTTTAGCACCTACAGATACTTACTTGAATTCCGCTCCTCTCCCGCCGTACACCAGGAGCGTGGTGGGGTCCACCATGCACCCCGTGTGCATCTCCCGTGCCGCCGGATGCTGCCCCGAAACCACCGGCCGGCTCCAGCTGTTTTGCAGCGTGTTGTAAAACCACACGTCCTGCATGGGGCCCTGGTAGCCCGCGCCGCCGTACACGATCTGGGGTTGGGGCAGGGTTGGTTAGGGCAGAGTTGGTTAGGGTAGGGTGGGGTTCACTTGGGGTTTGGGGCCTCTAGAATGGGATTGCGCGCACGCAGACAAAAGTGTGTGACGATTTGTCAATGCGGTTATCGGCTTCTAAAGCAGGGTAGCAAAGCAGCTGCATGGTGGCAATCAAAGCCGAAGGCGACTACGTAGGCACATCTATACGGTAGTTCCACATGCACCACATGGGCTCGTAACCCTCGTATGCTGCCCTGCTCCTTACTGCTTACCAAACACGTATCCGCCAGGCATCCGCTGCAATGCGAATGACGCGGTGGCGGAAGTGTCCCTTGGGCCTGCGAGGACAGGGTGGGCGAGGAGAGGAGGAGCTCATGGCTGCGAGCATGCGGTAGGCGCAAGCACGCACGCCACAGAGTAGCGTGTCGTACTTCTCGCAGGCACCTCGTTGAAACCGGAAAGCATGGTTTGCATAGATGCAGCAGGTCACGGTACAGCCAGCCAGTCAACCAGTCCACAGCCTCACCTCAACGTTAGACCAGGTCCATGTTGCCGGGTCCAGGACCTTCAGCTCGTTGTAGCACAGCCCGCTGACGGGTTCCTGTTAACGACAGACAGCACGCCGGGTCCACGCTATCAATACACTCGCGCTGGCATTATGACGTATGAATTAGGGGCATCGTGCTAGGACATGCCAATGACATGAGGGGCACGCAGGCAGTGGTTGCCGATGCTGCTGGCGTCCGGAGCTATCAACAGGAGTTGCCTTGTGACCCACCGTCCCTCCAAACAGGAAGACGCGATCGCCCACGACTGTCAGCGTCGCACCCGACCTGGGCAGCAGTTTGCACCTGAGCGTGCGTCACAGGGGCGGCAGGGAAGGTGGTTTGAGATGGTAATTTGTGCATGGGTACCAGGATTGGATACCAGGATTGGCAGGAAAGCGGACGGGGTTGCAGGCAAGGGTAAAAGACTCACATGCTGATCCTAGATGTGCCCAACACGCGGATTAGGACAGGATGCAGGGGAAATCGTTATGCCGCTTATGGCAGAGGTGCTGTGAAGCCGGATATTTGACCCGGACAGATTGGATTCTGCTGCCAGGTCGGGTAAACCTACCCAGGGGCAAGAGCCGGCGAAATGCGTGTCCACTCGTACTTTCCATCAGCTGCGGGGTCCACGCAAGCAGCGTTCCAAGGTTACTAGTCCGCGGGAGCGCGAGCGAAGAGGAGAGTGTACAGGGTTATACACATAACTCCATGATAAAGTGCGCATTCAAGGTTCAAAAGTGTGTATGTTCCAAGGCCCAGGCTCAGGCATAACAAGGCATGCAAGCCTGTGTCAGTGTCCTGTATGCTTGCCGCAGGTGAACCGCGGGGTCACCGGGACAGCACCCCGATGTCGCTTTTCAGGAGCCTTTCAAGCGTGGTTCGCATTATTCTTATACGGACCTGTATCAAGAACCCATAAGTCGTTGAATGTTACAGGCGCGCGGTCTGCCCCGCCGAAGACTAGAACCTTGGTTCCAAAAGCGACGCTTGCGTGCGCACCCCTGGGCGCCGGCGCCAGACCCTTAGGCTACGCTCAATCAGAAGCACAGAGTTGCGAACGCGGTGCGAGATGAAGATTTTCTGACTTGGTTAAGCACAACCCTTACCTTCACCAGATTCCATTTGCCTCCCATGGCCCAAATAATCTACTTTGACACAGCGTATGAGCTTACAACTTTAGGTAACCGCGTACTGCCAAGGCAGTTGATTATAGCAATATTTGGATGAAATCCTAAATCATTTCGTGGAAACTGATGAAGAGCAGTCCTAAGGATACGCGTAGTGAAAGAAGACTGCATTATTGTAACGCCCCTAGGACGAAATTCGTTGCTGGACGATGAGCCGTACGGACTAACTTCGAAGGCAGCCCGGAGCGCCGTCTGTTGGATTGGCACCTTTGAGAAAAGGTATCGTAATTCAGTCTGTACTCTACCGTTTTGCCCGCTACGCACAGGGTTGGCTCTTTGAAAGCAACGCCATTGCTTGTGACCAGCCTGTTAAGTATTCATACCGGTTATCAAAGCCTTTATAGTAAACGTCTTCTGCCTACTTAAGCTGTGTTTGGTCAACGTTATCGGGAACATAGCAAAGACATTTGTGAACTCCATACCATTCGCTTCTCTTTAAGCAACGCTACTGTTCATACTTGTGGGCATGACAGCTGGAGGCAGCATTATAATAGCATGCTAAGTAGTCCTTAAGGGCCGCAGCGCAGAATGCCGAGTGGCGACAAGGCCCGGGGCACCTTGGAGCTCCCGGTCCCAGAGTCGCCCACATGGCTGCCATCTATCGCTCAAGGGCGAACGACGCCACGGGCGGGCAGTCCAGGCGTCGGCTTTACCCTTCCTAAGACGCGGAACATCCCCGTGCCGCACACGCTAAAGAGCAATGCGGAGCTATTCAGCATCGGGACGTTGCCTCAGATGACCCAGCTTGAGATCGGGACCCGCAAAAGGAAGGTAGGCACTTGGGTTGGCTGAAGGCCCGTGGTGGTCGGGAACGGGTGTATGAGGGGGTGTGGCTGTAGTATGTAAGAAGGGGGTGGCTGCATGTAAGTGGACCCTGCATACCGCTTGGTGCCGTGAGCGGGTTATCCGGTTTTGATTCGCCTGGGGTCCAGATAAGCCTTTAGTGGAAAGCCGTCGATCGCTCGGCTACCTAACTGGTGCAGGGCAGTGGCCCCCTGCTGAACCCCCTTGCACATCCGTCACTACAGTCTGTGAGCATGGTGCAGTCCTTGCGGGCCTGGGTGTGCTTATGTTCTGGGGTTTGGGTTCGCTTACAAAGGATGGCCCTGGGCATAATTGCATGCCCATGCTTCCACGTCTGCTCTGATGTAGCAGCCATGGTGAAGAGCGCCGTTAATGCAGGCTGCGAGCCTTCCTGGCCCACAGCTACACCCACAGTGTAATTGCAACTTTAACAGCTTCTATACAATTTATGCAATGTCAAGGTGCCTAACGTCTGCCCGCACCCTTTCCGTGTCTGACCGCAGTCCGCAATCCCAAAGCTGCCATCTATCGACAAGCGGCCGTCTCTACAGGACGGACAGCAGCAGTCGCAGCTCTTCAAGCGGCCGCCCCGCTCGGAGCCATCCACTGGTATGTCATGAACTGGGTCGGGCCCCCTTTGAGGCAGGGACGGGGCACACCGGGTAATGTCCATGGCAGCATGCCGAGGCAGGCGCGTACGCAGCTCAGCCCGCTGGTTAAGGTCTCCCTGAGGCCTGGATTCGGCATGCGTGTTACCAGTGATGCAGATGAAGCGGTTGCGGAAGCCCGTGACTATTGCTGCGAACGGCGCGAACGACTAGCACGGCCCACTTTCCACTCCACGACCCGCTTGCGGTTACAAATTGGAACAATTTAGCTGTGACGAGGCGGTAAATGTTTTGGACTTGGAAGCGTACTGGGGCGACCAGAACCCAAGAGGTGCCGCCCCCATACCCCCATGACAAGCTCGCTGCCGTATAATCTGATACGCGGGCGGCTGGGATCTTTACGGCCAGATGGGCTCTGCTAGGATGTACCGTTGCGCGGAGCTCAGGTGCCGGTGGCAACCACACAGCATGTGTTGCTTCCGGGAATCTACACGTGCCATTCGGCTGTTTCTGACCTTGGCGGCGGCTTGCCAGACGTTGGCATGCACCACGTGTCGTACGCTCATACTCCGGCTTGCTTGCCTTATGCACCAATCTCACCCACAGAGCTGAGCGATTCGCCGGGCGAGGAGGATGGCCCGGAAGAGGAGGAGGAGCCTGAGGGCCCGCGCATTGACGAGCGGGACGCCGCCTACGATCCGGACCTCATCCCGGGCATCAACACGGGCGAAGATGTGGTGGAGTTTTACGGAAAATTCGGGCAGGACTCGGCCGTTAAGTTCTTTTACTGCAACAGGTGAGCCGTCTTGTGCCATATGGGAAGGAGGATGGCGAATCACTGGGGCGGGCGCTGTGGGTTATCCCGTTGCGGGCTGATTCCATGCCTTGGTCGCCGGCAGCGGCATGTTACGACGTGGATTGGCAACCTCTTGTTGCTTGTAATGTATCTTGGGGTTCCATGGTAATGTGCCCACAGGGCCCCTGAGGGCGTGCGGTTCCGGCCGTACGACCTCGTCGTGGTGCGGAGGCAGAAGATTGGGCCCGAGTACTTCACTGTCAGCGCCACGGGTGTCATGCGGATCAAGCGTGGTGTACAGGTGGGTGGACCCCTGGCCCGCGCTGTAGCGGAATGCCGCCAAGTAGCCGTAGAAATGGGGCGTCAAGACTTGAGACGGGCCTTTGCAAAGGGCTATTCCAGTGCAAAGGGCTATCATAGCCGTTGGCCACGGTGCTAGGCCTGCCAAGCCTGCGTTCCTAGCTGTCCTTGGCCTTGCACTACACCTCTTTATCGCGGAGTGGTTGTGTTGTTCCTTGCGCCCAACACGCCCTATTGCTGCAGGCCGAGTTCACGCCGCTGTCTGAGTGGGTGCGGGAGAAGACGCTGTTTGACCTGATCAGCGCCATCGGCTTCTTCCGCAACTACCTCACCGGCAGGTGCTTTCGGCGCTGGCTCAAGGTAAGAAACGAGGAGATGGCATGGTCGGTAACTGCGGATGAGCTGCTTTCAGCCTCAGCCTCAATCTCGCTTGCCTGGCCTGGTGACGGCATTCAAGTTACGAAACCACCATTAAGAAGCCGTCATGTTCACATACTGATCTCTGCTGAATGCCCGCCCTGCACAGCTCTCAACACGCATGTGACCTCCCCCCCGCTGTCTGTTACCCCATTACTCCCCTACCCCGCAGGCTGTGCGCCAAAAGAACTTCAACAAGGTCAAGGCGCAGATCGGGGACAGCCTGTTTCTGGCGAAGGGAACGTTCTGCCCGCACCTGCTGGAGATCTACACGGCGGTGGACGAGGTGCGCTCCACGCCCTTCGCCTCCGCCAACGCCACGCACCTGTACACGCTACAAGAGTATGCGGAGCTGCAGGTGAGCCTGGCAGCGGCCCGGGAGTTAGGGTAGTGCGTGTCCGTTGGGAGTCAGGGCCAGGGCAGGGGTTGGCTTGTAGCTGCTGGGTGTGTCCGCAATGCATGGGCTCGCTGCGGGCTGCAGCATAGGAAGCAGGTTGCCGTGTTGAGCGTACTTGACCGAGCTTGGCATGGTGTGCCACCCGCCAGCACGGCTTAGCCCCGGCGTGTACTGAGCGGTTGCACCTCGTACCCGTGCATGTGCGCGGCGTGTAGGTCAACGCGCGGGAGCACAAGGCCAAGCCCGCGCTGGAGGCAATCGTGGAGAAGGTGCAAAAGGTGCTGGAGCGCGTGTGTCGGGAGGTGCAGAAGCAGGCGCGGCTGTACCAGCAGAGCGTGCGGGACCAGGCGGAGCTGGAGGACACGACGGGTGTGGAGCTGCTGCAGGGGCGCAGCGCGGGGTGCGCGCGGCCCATGATAACCATCAAGCGCGAGAAGATTGAGCGCGCGCAGAACTTTGCGCGGGTGATGCGGGAGGTGACGATGCTGGGCTCGTTCATTCGCCTGGCGGACTACCTGTTCGTGGAAGGTGGGTGGGTTTTGGTGCGGGTTTGTGTTGGCTCCTCCATGTTAGCCATCTAGAAGGGTTTTGAGATTGGGATGGGATGGTGTGGTGGCGTCTGTGCGTGACGGTGAAAGGCAATGCTAGTTCAATGCGGGCTAGGACCGTGTACATCGGATATGCGGACGGGGTGCCTCGAATAGTTCGTTGGCTATTTTAGGTCTATAGCTCAAGTCGTAAGCATGCGGGCTTTCCCATTTGCCCTTCACCACAAAGCCTCGCGACGCCCGGGTGGTTGGCCCTAACCACGCCCGTACAGGTGTGATCAGCCGCGCGGTGACGACCACGGAGGAGGTGCTCAGCTTGCTGACCGCGCCCAAGACCTCGGCCGACAAGCAGAGCAAGGGCGTGTTCACCACCATCATTGGCTTCATCCCGGAGGGCATCACCTTCACCCCCGACGACACAGCGGTAAGCCAGATGGCCAGGAACTGGAGGGCGTGCATTATTACCAGGCGTGCATTAGATTTCGGAAAGGAGCCTAGCACCAGTTCCAAACCGCCATGCCCCTGCTTCCTGTGCATACTAGATGCCATTCAAGTCTCCAACCTGCTGTTTTGACCCTTTGTTTACACCCATGCGATTCCCTTCCCATGCGGCCTCCCGATGGTCCCTAGATGCAAGAGGAGCTGAACAACGTGATCGAGGGCATCATAAACCTGGCGCAGCAGGCGCCGCGGCTCATCTTCATGCGCGCCTTTGCGCAGTACTTTGAGGGCAAGCCCTCCGGCCTCAACCCCGCCAACGTCATCCGCTCCTCACCCAACTTCAACGAGCTGCGGAACTCCATCACGGCAAGCATCCAGGAGGACTTTGCGGCGGCCAGAGATTACGTCAGGGTGAGAGCCGTACGGCCGTACGGTGTCGAATGCTTAGAAAGTCCTCGCCCCAGCCCAACAGCCTGCTCAGCAGCATGTGTGCTGCAAGCGGCTGCGGGCTGGCCCCGGTGGATGGTGACCGTGGCTGTGTTGTGAACTGCATGACATTACGAGGTTACGAGGTTACAAGCGAGGAGGTGTTGGTGTTTGCGCCTTTTGGCAATTTTGTTTTTGTTCAGCCATACATGTTGCTTGCCTGGTGCCGCTGCATGCATTCTTCCCTTTCCTTCCGTGCAGCTCTTCGAGGCGTACCGCATGGTGTACGACTTTGGCCGTACTTGGAGCTACGAGGCGTACTCGAGCCGGCCCAAGAGCCTGCGTGAGATCCGCCGCGACATGCACAAGCAGCGCGAGTGGCGCAACGAGCTGGATCGCATGAAGATCTTCAACGTGAGCAGCAGCGCAGCCTGGGTTAACTCAGCCTAACTTTGACTTCCCTGCTATCAATTGGGGCTGGCTTCCTTAGACTATTCTGGGGCTGGGGCCGGACTGGGAACATGGAAGCGCTGATTAACGCATGCCATGCAGGGAGATGAAAGTCCGGCATCTTTCATCTCCCTAACCTCACAACTATGTTTTTGTCTGGCGCCATCTCAGTACTACCGTACACACTAAACCTGGTATCGAGCTTACATGCGGGTATGCTTCTGGGGCTGGGTTCCTGCTCCCTCAGGTGGTGGGCTGCCTGTACGTGGACAGCAAGAGCCTGCGCAACGACCTGATGCCCATCACGCTGAACACCCTGGAGCGCATCAAGGGCCTGCTGCTCACCATGGCGCGCGAAACCTGCATCTCGGTGCTGGACGACGTCAACTTGCGTATCCAGCTGCTGCAGGTGGGGGCGCGTTGTCTGCTGCATGTCAGAATGCGCTGCTACCTGAATGATTGAACGTTACAATGGTTTCCTAAAAGGGAATACGGGTGATGAACCCAACCCTACACTGCAAGAGAACCTGCGACGCGCGAGGGCTGTGCAGCAGCAGCAGCCGAAAAGGGAATTTTGCTATGACCCTAGCTACTACTGTTTCACGTAAGGGATTGCCTTATCGTGACACACTAGTGTAGTTAAGATACCGGTACTAAACAGCGGTATCTTCTGGCACCGTGTATGTCGTCTTCCTCCTTTCCTCAGGCCCGCCCCACAGCGCTGGACGAGTTCATGGCCTACCAGGTCATGCACGCCAAGCAGGTGGAGAGCAAGAAGGCGGTGCTGGCGGCGGCGGCGCAGGTGGACGACATGTACGACATGTTGGCCGCGTACGAGCAAAAGGTACGGCTGACGTGTGATCTGTACGGCTGTCTTGCTTGGCAGTTCCACTCGCTCCGATGGCGGCGTGCACCATATGGACCTTGCACCCGCCCCTGTTCTCGCCCACTATGCCACACCTACGGGGCTGCTTTGCAACTGCTGCTTCCCATTGCCTCCGCTATCCTTTTCCATGCCCATCTGTCACGGTAATGAACCATTAAGCGGAACCCCTGAACGTTCTGCCCTGAAGGTCCCGACCACCGATGCGGTTAAGCACGACGACTTGCGCGACGCTGCGGGCACCTTCATCACCGAGCTCACCAGCGGCAAGGAGTTCATGGCAGACAACAAGGCGGTCCAGCAGGACTCCCTGGCCTCCAACATCGCCCGCACGCACGAGGAGCTGGCCGGGATCATGGCATCCCTCAACAAGGGTGAGCGGGCCAGGTTTGGGACTTGTTGTTAGGCGATACGGTACGTCGCTCCGGTTGGTATGCCGGGGTGAAGAGAAGACGGGTGCAAACGGGACGTCCTATGCACGTATGTGTTAGATATACCCTTTGGGCCAGTTTTCTTCATACACCGTTTGGGGACGTGTTTTCACGTGGACCGCAAACTATGCTGTGCGCAGGCGACTACGTCAACCCAGATGCCGACGCGGAGAGCGTGCTCAATGATCTGGAGAATGTGCTGTCGCAGCTACGCGAGCTGTCCACCGCCTGCGACACGTACAAGGAGTACCAGGTGCGTCCGTCCTTGCGCACGCCTCGATGCTCTTCTTACCGGTACCTTGTTACCACTACCGGTATCTGTATCCCAACATGGCCGGCAGTGCGAGCGCACCCTTTTCCTGTGCTGCATGGAGAGTTGGAGGAAAGCTCGTCTGACCACTCCTCCTCACTCCCCCAACAACACCATGGGTCGGGGCCATGGGATCGGGTTTCCAATGCTTCACTTCAACCATTCAATCACTGCGCATCACCCCAACATCACCTCAGACGCTGTTCGAGCTGGAAACGGACGCCTTCGCGGACCTGACGGCCGTGGAGAAGGAGGCCAACGCCAAGTACCAGCTGTGGAAGAGCCTGTACGACTTCATGGAGAAGAGCCACAACTGGACGGAGGACCCCATCTTGGACGAGGGCAACATGTCGCAGATGTCCATCGAGGCCATCCGCGCCGAGGTGGAGGAGTACGCGCAGCGCGCCTACAAGATGGGCAAGGCGGCCAAGGAGGACCAGGTGCGGGGAAGGCGCGCGGTGACGCATGCGGGTGTATCGTGTGTGGCGTGCATGCGGGCGTGCGTACGACAGAGGGCATGGGGCTCCACTACCAGGTATAGGTCTGCGACCTTGCGGGAAGAGCAGCATGCAAAAGCGTGAATGCCTTTTCCCTACTCGGTAAAGCGCTCCAATGAGCTGTCCATGGGTGCCGCGTGCGAGGCTGTGCAGCAGTTGTATGGCGGATACTCACTGATGACTACCGAAGGAGGAACGACACATACCAAACAAGGCCATATAGGGTACAAGGACCCACAACACGTGACCCGTGTGCCCCTCTCATGCTTCTGTTGTTGCCAGGTGGTGATCCGCCTCAAGGACTGCATCGACGACTTCAAGCAGATCCTGCCCCTCATCGAGGAGCTTGCGAACCCCGCACTCAAGACGCGGCACTGGGAGCAGATCTTCAAGCTCATCGACGCCGATATTCCGCCCAACGACAACGGCATTGGCTACGCGCCCTTCTCCGTACGCATGCTGCTGCAGTACAATGCGCTGGACCGGTACGAGCCTATCCAGGTACGGCAATGGCGGCTGGGATAGCGCTGTGCTCCAGGTCGAGTTCCTCGACTAGTCCTGACTGTGGGGGTTAAATAGGGAAGATAGGGACGGCTTATAGTGCCCATAGTGCTTGCATGTCAGCGCCCCGCTACAAGCAATGTTCTTAACCTCAAACCCCATGGTCGCCGTGTGCAGGCCATCAGCGGTGTGGCGTCCAAGGAGTACAGCTTGGAGAAGGTGCTGGAGAAGATGGACAACGACTGGCGCGGCGTGGAGTTCCGATGCATCGAATACAAGGACACGTAAGCCATTCCGCATGCCGCGCACGCCCGCCTGTTACTAAGGAAAAAGAGCCCCATGGAAGGCTCTAAGGCTCAGAGCGCATGCTGCACCTATGTTACTCCTGGACTCCCGAATCTCACCAATCCAACTGGCACTGCTTCACCCGGTCTAATGTTGACCCGGCCTGGTTTCTGCACTTGCAGCGGTACCTTCATCCTGGGCGGTACGGACGAGATCCAGGCGCTTCTGGACGACCAAATCGTCAAGACGCAGGCCATGCGTGCCTCGCCGTACATCAAGCCGCTGGAGGGCCAGGCCACCAGATGGGAGACCATGCTCACCACCCTGCAGGTCTGTGGCCGCATGCATGCATGATGTGCTTCTGATGTCCCCTGTCCTTTCTGCAGGACCTAAGAACGCGTGTGGTTGTGTGTGGTTGTCCTTGGTGCCACTGCAGGATATGCTTGACAACTGGCTGACGTGTCAGGCCACCTGGCAGTACCTGGAGCCCATCTTCAGCTCACCCGACATCCTCAAGCAGATGCCGGAGGAGGGCGAGAAGTTCCAGCTAGTGGACCAGGCGAGATGAGCAGGCGCTACTCCCCTGCAGCTTTACTAGTTGCCAATCCAACTGCGAAGTAAAAATGATTTTGGCTATCTCCGTTCTGTTGCCGACGCTGTCTCCGTGCACTCACACCCCTTTGCCTGTCACACCTGCAGTCATGGCGTGAGCTGATGGAGTCAACCGCTGCCGCGCCTGCATGCGTCACTGTCGCGGAGGAGCGGGAGAAGCTGCTGGCGCTGCAGGTGGGTGTGTACTGCTGCCCAGGACCCAGGATGTCGTCGTCCTGGTCACGGTTCCATCGCGTTGGACCCAGCTTTAACTACATGGAGGTCCTTGCTGTCGTTGTTTGTTGTCGCGGCTCCCAACCATGGCGCCTTTCCTCCAATCCGGACAACCAACCTCCACAGGAGGCTAACCGGCTGCTAGAGGAGATCCAGAAGGGCCTTGCCGCCTACCTGGAGCTCAAGCGCCTGGCCTTCCCGCGGTTCTTCTTCCTCTCGAACGACGAGATGCTCGAGGTGGGTAACATAGCCAATGTCGCATCATAGGAAACCTTCTTCCTCATGCGACCCCATGCTGGCCCAGCATCTTTTGTTCTGCTATCGCTAAATCCCGCTTCCCCTGCCACTGCTCGAACGCAGATCCTTTCCGAGACCAAGGACCCCACGCGCGTGCAGCCGCACCTCAAGAAGTGCTTTGAGGGCATCGACCGGCTTCGCTTTGAGGGCCCGGCGCCAGACATCACGGGTATGATCAGCTGCGAGAAGGAGGTGGTGCCGCTCAAGACCAAGATCAAGCCCGCAGAGGCTAACGGCAGCGTGGAGAAGTGGCTGGTGCAGGTGGAAGCAGGCATGGTGGAATCGGTGCAGGAGATGTGCCGCCGCGGCGTGCTGAGCTATCCCACCGTGCCACGCGAGCGCTGGGTGCTGGAGTGGCCGGGTCAGGTGGTCCTCGTTGTTACGGCGATCTACTGGACACGGGTGAGAAACCTGAAAGCCCAAGAGCCGTCATTCAGTCTCAGCCATCCTGCCTGCATAAGCGCTATGCACCACCAAAGTGACCATCGCGATGCGCTCCAATTCCCTAGCGTTCTTCTGCGCGAAACGAGGCAAATCAACCAGTTTTCAAATCGCTGTGTTACGCCTTTGCTGTGCTAAATGCTGCTAACACCTCTGATTGCGCCTGTGGTTTACAGGAAGTGGTGGCAGCGATCACCAGCCCTTCCCCGACTGCGTTGGCGGAGTGTGCGGATCGCAACACGGCGCAGCTGGGCAGCATCGTGTCGCTGGTGCGCGGCGAGCTCTCCAAGCTGAACCGCGCCACGCTGAGTGCGCTGGTGGTGATGGATGTGCACGCACGCGATGTGGTGGTAGCACTGGCGGCGGAGAAGGGCGTGGCGGGCGACCCCAACCACTTCAGCTGGCTCAGCCAGCTGCGCATGTACTGGGAGGTGCGTGGCGGGCGAGCGCACCTGGTGTGTAAGAAGGGAAGGACGGAAGAGAAAGGGCAGAATGCGCCTCGCACATGCCTCACGCAACTACCGTCGCCAGTTACCGCTGTACGTTACGTGCCTTGCTCAGTGCCCGCATGCCCCAGCATCGCGTGCCTTCACGTGACATGCCTCGCTCCCTCTCTGTCCTGGCCACAGGTCAAGAACCCCGCCCAGGCGGACTCGGACGAGGGCACCATCATGGTGCGTATGATGAACGCGGAGGTGGAGTACGGCTACGAGTACCTGGGCAACAGCATGCGCCTGGTGGTGACACCGCTGACCGATCGCTGCTACCGAACCCTCATCAGCGCCATCCACCTCAACCTGGGAGGAGCGCCAGAGGGGTAAGCGTGCGTGTTGGCGCTTGGCTGCCTAGAGGAATCATGCAGTTTGTTGTTACCGTAAACATCCGAATACCGGTATAGTTATTGCGGCTTGCATACTGGTCTTGGCATACAGTTGTTTGGCATGCACAAAGGCAGGTTGTGAAGGGGCTCACTGGGTGTGCTGTGGGTATGCTGCTTTCGTTCCTCTTGCCGTCGCAGGCCCGCCGGTACGGGCAAGACGGAGACCACCAAGGACTTGGCCAAGGCACTTGCACGGCAGTGCGTGGTGTTCAACTGCTCTGACACCCTGGACTACCAGGTACGCAACGGAGGAGGCATGGACTCCAAATTCAGCGGCGTCTCACCTGCTCTCATGCGGCGGCGTTTCTGTCACCATGCCGCCATCCTTGTACTCACAAGCACACCAGTGTGTTCGCGGCTAAGTTTTTCTAACCCTTACCATATGGGTCCACGTCCTGTTTTCCCGCACACAGACGATGGCGAAGTTCTTCAAGGGTCTAGCCAGCAGCGGCGCCTGGGCTTGCTTCGACGAGTTCAACCGCATCGACCTGGAGGTGCTGTCCGTGGTGGCGCAGCAGGTTCGTGGGGAGGTGGGGGCCCTTTAGGGAGCTTATTACGGTACCTATCTGTACCATTCACGCGGGTGCCTGTCGCCTTTCCTTTTCTTTGACTTCGCCTTCATCGATGTCCACCTCCATCCAGGTTCTGGAGATCCAGTTGGCCGTCAAGCAGCGCGTCAAGTCTTTCTTCTTCGAGGGCACTGAGCTGCCGCTGCGACCCACATGCAACGTCTTCATCACCATGAACCCCGGCTATGCCGGTCGCTCGGAGCTGCCGGATAACCTCAAGGTAGGGATGCCGCTGCACACCTATACTGCTCCATCCGCTTACAACCACCTCCTGTATCCCTGCTGTGTCTCCGTCTACCTCCTTACCTTTCATGCTGACTGTGTCGGGTTGCCGGTACTTCCCCTCCCCTCTGCCGTACGACAGGCGCTGTTCCGTACGGTGGCCATGATGGTTCCCGACTATGCGCTCATCTCGGAGATCATGTTGTACAGCAACGGCTACCTGCAGGCCCGCGAATGCGCGCGCAAGATCGTGGCAACCTACAAGCTCTGCTCCGAGCAGCTCTCCAGCCAGGACCACTATGATTATGGTGAGTTGCTGCTACGGTACCTTAACTACCTGGTAAAACCTGACACGCCGTTTCCGTAAAATGCGAACGCGAGAGGCTGTGCAAGGAGAAACGAGAAGGGCCATGCGACCCAACGCCGCTACCACTGCTTCAGCCTCTGGGCCGCTTCTCTGTTAACGGCTCACCAACCCTCCTTGTGCGAACCCCCCCGCAGGCATGCGTGCTGTGATGGCCGTGCTGCGTGCCGCTGGCAACCTCAAGCGGCGCTTCCCGGACTCTGACGAGTTCGTACTGATGCTGCGATCCATCATCGACGTCAACCTCTGCAAGTTCCTGAGCCACGACGTGCCGCTGTTCAACGGTATCGTGTCAGACCTCTTCCCTGGTGAGCGGGCTACATGCATATCACCAGGAGGTCCAGGACACGTGGGTTGTAAGACTTCACACGTCACACGAATTTCCTCATGCAATTCTTGGAAGTTCTTGTTTGGATGCTATGGGCAAGGCGCTATGTTAAGGGCTTGGGGCTGCTGTTGCAGCTTGTTCTGTCAGCGGTTTTCATTGAGACGCAGTGCAGTGCATTTACCGATACGTATCGCACACCTGACCGCAGGCGTGGTGCTTCCCGAGCCCGACTACGGCCACCTGATGGAGGCCATGAAGCGCCAGTGCTCGCTGCTCAACCTGCAGCCCACCACGTACTTCCTCATGAAGACCATCCAGCTGTACGAAATGGTGGTTGTACGGCATGGCCTCATGACCGTTGGCCAGCCCTTCAGCGGCAAGTCTGCCAGCCTTAAGGTCCTGGCCGGCGCGCTAACGGACCTGTTCGACCGCGGCATTTCTGGAGCGCTATACAACAAGGTGCAGCTGCGCACGATTAACCCCAAGAGCGTGACCATGGGGCAGCTGTACGGAGAGACGGACCGCGCTACACAGGAATGGAAGGACGGTGTGCTAGCGGTTACGTTCAGGTATGCAGTCCCTTCAGAGTGACCCGTGGGTCCATAGCACCCTTGGGATGGCACTTCTGCACGGTTTGCATGTCAACTCCGCTTTGCAGCAAGCACCACTATGTTTATCGCGCACCGCTACCAGTTAGCCAGAAGCCCCTGATGCATCTATTATTAAGAGATTGCCATGTTATGCGCCCCATGCCATCGGCAGGTCTCTGGCGGCGGACCCGTCTGAGGACCGCAAGTGGCTGGTGCTGGACGGCCCGGTGGACGCCATCTGGATCGAGAACATGAACACCGTGCTGGACGACAACAAGAAGCTCTGCCTGCCCAACAGCGAGATCATCCAGATGAGCTCCACCATGTCCATGATCTTCGAGGTAAGGCGGGTAGCTCTTATCTCCTAGGCATTACGTATGGTTTTACGTTGCCTCCTGTCGTCTGGTCGTTCCGTGCACACCAACCCATTGTCGACCTACCGGTACCTGCCATCCTGCTGCCCCGTGCCTGTCCTTCAGGTGGGCGACCTGGCCGTGGCTTCCCCCGCCACCGTGTCGCGCTGCGGCATGGTATACCTGGAGCCGCACCAGCTGGGCTGGAACCCGTTGCTGACCAGCTGGCTGGCCACACTGCCGCGCAGCCTGGGCTCCAAGGTCCGCAAACACCTGGAGCAGCTCTTTGACTGGCTCATGCCGGCATGCCTCAGGTGGGTGCGGGGGTGCGCATGCAGCCCTGTTAGCGGCCGTCGGCCGTCTGCGTAGCTGCAAACATCCGTGCCATTCGTATCAGCATGCTGGGAATCGAGCGAGTCCTTTGTGGCTTGTACAGGGCTCTGTGCGACCAGTGTGCTAAGAAAGCTGGCCGCGAGTAAGAATGATCAGTGTGTGCGTGTTTTCTGGTTTTGGCTCAGACTGTGGTTCCTCACTGTAGGTTTGTGCGCAAGGATGCCAAGGAGGTGAGCCCCACGGAGGACATCGGCTTGGCGCGCGCCACCATGCGCCTCATGTCCAGCCTCCTCACAGAGGACTTTGGCCCGATGCTCAACGCAAGCGCCGTGGCAGCTGCGGAAAAGGCTGAGGCGGAGAAGGCAGCCGCTGCTGCGGCCGCTGCAGCGCCAGCTGCAGCTGCCGGCGCGCCTCCCTCGACGCCGGGTTCTGCTCCGCCGACGCCACCAGAGGGCGCGGCCAATGGCGGCGGCGCCAGGCCGTCGGCCAGTGATGCGGGCGAGCCGCCGGAAGACAAGCCGGAGGAGGCGCCTGGGGAGGATGACGCACCGCCAGGTCAGTCGGGGCGTTCGGTAGTAGGCTGAGGGGCGTAGCGTGGCGCGAGGCCGACGTCACTTTGTGTAGGTCCCCGCCTTTAACTTCTTATACTCGTTCTTACCTATCTTCCGCGTCTGCGCTACCTACTTACCTACTGCACTTGTGACCGACAGGGGCGTCGTACGACGACAACACGAAGATCGTGCTGGTGGAGGCAGCCTTCCTGTTTGCGCTTGTCTGGTCCGTGGGCTGCACCGGGGACGGCGAGAGCCGCCGCAAGTTCGACAGTTTCCTTCGCAGCATCCTTTCGGGCATCGTGCCAGACGGCTACCTGGTAAGCAAAAGAAAACATGGCCTTCGCATTCCGCCTGCTTTGTGCTTTTCCCACGCCCTGCTTCTAAAGCTGTGTGCGCATGCTTTATGCCCATGCGTTGGTCTCCATTGCCGAATGCTCAATACTCGGTGACTTCCCCGCCTAGCCTGAGTCGCCCTCCCTACTACCGAAACCACTACTCCGTTTACCGTAGCCATCCTCTCAATCGCTCCTCGCCCTCGCGCATCTGCAGGACTACATTAACCCCAGCCTCAAGGTGCACATGTCCATCCCACCGCCGCCTCCCGATGGTGGAGCCACCGTGTTCGACTATGCGCTCCAGAAGCGCACCACCGGCCGCGGCCTTGTTCCCGGCAGCTGGCAGCTGTGGACGGACACCATCCCTGCTCTGGACATCCCGGCAGACGCGCAGTTTGCGGACATCATCATCCCCACAAAGGACTCTGCAAGGTGAGGGCAGCGACCGTCTTGCAAACTTCCTTTGTCTCATGGCACCCTGTCGCTTACAGGGCGGATTGACAGCGTCTGCATGCAATGCGGGCCTCGCATCATACCCTGTCCTTCCCGTCTGGAGTCTAAGCACTGTACCGTGCTAACACAGGCAAGCAACCCGCCTACCTAGCCTGCTTCGCCTTTGCTTTACCGCCTTCGCCACACTTCCCCTGCGCGCAGGTACACCTTCCTGCTTGACACCGCCCTCCAGAACAACCAGCCTCTGCTGATGGTGGGCCCGACCGGCACCGGCAAGTCCACCTACATCAACCGGCACCTGGTTTCGGGGCTGCCCAAGGACAAATGGACGCCCATCTTCGTCACCTTTTCCGCGCGCACGACCGCCAACATGGCTCAGGACCAAGTGGATGGCCGCCTGGACAAGCGGCGTAAGGGCGTCTATGGACCACAAGTGGGCCGCAAGTAAGACACAAAGAATGATGGGGAGGATTATTATTACCTTGACAGCTTATATGGCCGCTGATCACGGTTAGAAGTAACGACTAGGTCACTAACCACGCTGCGAGGCAAGGTGGAAACAAGATGGGGCTTTCTGGCGGCCATGAATTAAGCAAGGCCTAACTGTGTCCTCATGTGCGGCCTTTTCCTGGTGCCAAAATCTGCAGGGCCGTGCTGTTCGTGGACGATCTCAACATGCCTGCTAAGGAGACGTACGGCGCGCAGCCACCCATCGAGCTGCTGCGCCAGGCCCTGGACCACGGCGGTTGGTACGGCCGCGACAACCACTTCCGTACGCTTGTGGACGTTCAGCTGGTGGCAGCCATGGGACCGCCGGGAGGTGGTCGTACATTCGTCACCAACCGCTTTTTGCGCCACTTCAATGTGCTAGCGCTATCGCAGGTGCGATAGGCGTCCCCCCCCCCTCAAGGCTGCACTCACCTCTCCACCTTTTCCACCGACGTCATTATATCTCGTTAGACGGCTATGACGCCATCATCTCAATGCCCGCCCCATTCAGTGCCCCACCTGTTTTTCGTGCATCTCTCAAATTTCTTCACCGCCTTTTAACCCACCAACCCACAGGTGGCCGATGACTCCCTGGTGCACATCTTCCGCACCATCCTGGACTGGCACCTCACCACCAACGCCTTCCCTCAGCCCGTTGCGGACCTGTCCAGCGCCCTCATCGGAGCCACACTGGAGGTGTATAGCCAGTCCATGGCAAAGCTACTGCCCACACCCACCAAGAGCCACTACGTCTTCAACTTGCGCGACTTTGCACGCGTGGTGCAGGTAGGCTGGGGTCAGCAATGCCCCACCCCGTTGCTCGAACAACCCATCCTGTACTTAGCCCTCAACTTGAAACTTCGGTAGTCATCTGATATCCAGGTTGCAGTTGGGCACTATAGTGTACGTCCGTGTGCCCTTGCTGTTGTCCCAACCTTTGACTGTTGCTGCTACTTCTTCTCTCCCGCCCTCCACGTCACCGCCGCACAGGGCGTCATGATGTTGCCGCGAGACAGCCTGCCCAAGCCCGCCGACGCGCTGGACGAGACGGTGGTGCAGCACCAGTGCGTGTCGCTGTACCGCCGGCTGTGGGTGCACGAGGTGTTCCGGGTCTTCTACGACCGCCTGGTGGACGACGTGGACCGGCAGTGGCTCATCATGCAGGTGGGGCACCGGTACTGTAGCGGGCCATGTTTCGGGGAAGTGGGTTTCAGTTCGGGAGGTGGGTTTCAGCTCGGGAGGTGGGTTTCAGCACCACGTTCATGCGGGGTTGAAAGCGCTCACACGCCGTGTGTGGACACCCGTGTGTGTTTGCCCGCCTGCATGCGCCACCTGGCTACGTGCGTAACGCGCTCGTCACGTGACCGCTCTGCATGTCCTGGCACGCACCGTGTGCTACACCCCACCACAGGTTAAGACAACGGTGGCCGCGCACCTGGGTTGCGGGTTTGACACGCTGATGGAGGGGCTGCTGTCGGAGGCGGACAAGAAGTCAGGGCGGAGCATCACCCATGAGGTGGGTCATGAGGGGGGATGGGAATACACAGGAAGGGACGCTCGTGCATGGGCTTGGCATCGCAGCTCTCAGGACGGCGGTACAGTGGTTTGCAGGGGCGGGTGCGGTCGGTTTCCGGGAAAGGGTCCATTGGCTTGATAGCGGCTTTGGGTGCCCAAGTAGGGCCCATTACGCCCCACGCATATTGCTTGTGCACATGCTAAGCCTTTGTTGGGGGTTGTTCCTTGGCTTCCTCGCATGCCAGGACATGCGGCGGTGCTTCTTCGGCGACTACGCTGACACCAACGAGCCGGAGCCCTCAATGCGGAAGTACGCGGAGGTGCAGGATGTGGTAGGTGGCCAGGCTGGTTGGCTCGCTTGCTTACTTGACCCTTACCTGATTGAATGCCCTTTGGGTTTCTATGCACGAATCATAGGACGTGAAGCACGGAGTGGCCGCACTTTCAGTGCTGCGTGTATGTGCTCACCGGTCCTTCTGACTGCGCTCCTGTTCTAAGCGATACACCTTGACTGCTTTCTGCAGGCCACGTTGGTTACCACGATGGAGGAGTACCTGGCGGACCATAACGGCACCTCTAAGCGCCCCATGAACCTGGCCATGTTCCTCTTCGCGGTGGAGCACGTCAGCCGCATCTGCCGCCTGCTGAAGCAGCCAGGTGCGCAGGGCTGCCAGGAAGAGCCGGCATTTTCGCCACTCCCTTTGGATACAAGGACATTGTGCTAGGTCTTGTGTGACCGGGAGAGACCCCCTATTCACAGCATTGAAAAGAACACTTCCTTCCTCACGCTTCCTAACCCGCAGGCGGCAACATGTTGCTGGTGGGTGTGGGCGGCAGCGGCCGCCAGAGCCTGACGCGGCTGGCTGGCTTCATCTGCGGCATGGAGGTGCTGCAGGTGGAGATCGCCAAGAGCTACGGCCGCACCGAGTGGCGCGAGGACCTCAAAAAGGTGCGGTGATGGCAGACGGTGATGGGGAGAGGAGAGAGCGCTGTGCCATGCCGGTTGCTGATTGCAGGCTCCTGAACTAGTGAGGATATGACGTGCATGCATGGAAGCTTCCGTTAATGGGACCTCGTGCCAGCTAGGCCGTCCTTACAGGCCTTGCTCCTCCCAGCTGATGGACCCTACCGTGCCCTGAACGCGGCTGGTATCCTCGCAGGTGCTCCGGCGTGCGGGTGCGGAGCTCAAGTCGGTGGTGTTCCTGTTCAGCGACACGCAGATCAAGGACGAGTCCTTCCTGGAGGACATCAACAACATCCTCAACAGCGGCGAGGTGCCCAACATGTTCCCCCAGGACGAGCGCATGCAGGTGGGGCTGACCCAGCTCCGGGGTTTGGGAAGCTATAGTCCGTCTGGATCGGAATTTTCCCAAGAGTCCATGCACACAGCCGCACACATACGTCCTTGCACAGATGGACACCTTGCCCCGTCATTACCCGTGTCATATGAGAACAGCCGCCGCTCATCGCATGCGTGTTGCCGTTACCTCTTCGTGTTGCTCCAGATCATGGAGGCCGTGCGTCCGCGAGCTGCCAAGCGCGGTCTGGAGACGCCGCTGGAGCTGTGGGGCTACTTTGTGGAGACGTGCCGCCGCAACCTGCACGTGGTGCTGTGCTTCAGCCCCATCGGTGATGCATTCCGGGAGCGCCTGCGTGCCAACCCCTCCATCGTCAACTGCTGCACCATTGATTGGTGAGACCGTGAGACTCCGCAGCAACCAACCTCGCACAATTCCGTTAGTCCATGCTGACTTGCTAAGGCTCCTCCGTTCCCGGAAGCTTCCTGACTGCTTGCTTGACTGTTCCTCCTTGCTGACCTCCCGTACTGCCGCACTATTTGAATTTCAGGTTCCAGACGTGGCCTCGCGACGCGCTGGAGGCAGTTGCCTTCAAGTTCCTGCGGGAGATGGAGCTGGACGAGCAGACACGCACGCAGCTGGTGCAGCTGTGCCAGGCTTTCCACTCCAGGATCCGTGAAGCCAGTGAGGACTTCAGGTGGGACAGGGAGGCTGCGGTAGGGTTGTGAGGTGACAAGCCATCACTGCGCTGGTCGTTTTGGTTGGGGGCACTTAGCATGTTGGCCTGCTCTGTTGCTAAGCTCAACTGTGGCTTACCAACTTGCACAGGGTTCAGCTGGGCCGCCACAACTACGTGACGCCTACCTCGTACCTGGAGCTCATCAACACGTTCAGGTGGGTGTCTAGGGACCCGGCGTCAGTTCAGCGGAGGCACGCAATAGAATACTGTGTAATCGTACGTCACACAGAAGCCTTGCGTTGCATCGCCGGTGTCTTGATGTGCCCGGCACGAGAAAACACTCCATCCGCACCAACCCACGATCCTCATTCCTCACGCGCTTCTTGTCCATCGCCCCCCGCCCCACATGCTCACACACCCATTCCATCCACCCTCAACGCATTCCATCCACCTCCCTCAGGACACTGCTGGACTCCAAGCGCGCCGCCAACCGCAAGGCCCACTCGCGCTACGTCGTGGGTCTTCAAAAGCTGGAGAGCAGCGCGGAGCAGGTGGCGGGCATGCAGGCGGAGCTGCAGGCGCTGCAGCCGCAGCTGGTGCGGACGGTGGCGGAGGTGGAGAGCCTCATGGGCGTCATTGCCCGCGAGAAGGCCGAGGTGGTGGAGCCCAAGGTACGGCAGCTCGTAACAACAACTTATTAGACGCTTCAGAGCTAGTATTTTTCCATGAGGAGTCTTGAGCCCGCCTGCTATAGGTCTTCACTTTTCGGTACTGATTGGCTTCAGCACCCGCATGTGACCTCATGTCGTGCTCGTCCCATTGTTTGCAGGCTGCCATCGTGAAGGGTGAGGAGGCCAAGGCGCAGGGCAAGGCCGACGCCGCCAAGGCTATCAAGGACGAGTGCGAGGCAGACCTTGCGGAGGTATGAGGGGGCACATAGTTGTTGGGGGACTGAGGTTTCTCCCTGATGGGGACCTAGTGCAGGGAGCCAGGGACGGTTTGGTCGGCGCAATGGGGCTTGCCAGCGCTTTGGCATAACGGTCGTGCTCACCTATCAGTACTCATTGTGCAATCCGCAAGGCCCTGTTCCTCCCTCCTTGGCCTGCAGGCCTTGCCCATCCTTAACGAGGCGTTGGCTGCACTGGACACCATCGACGAGAAGGACATTAACTACATCAAGAAGCTGGGCAACCCGCCCAACATCATCAAGCTAGTGCTCGAGGTACGTGGCATGGGGTGGTGCTCTTCAGCATACTCTTCAACATCGGTCCAATCCAGCAGGCACAACAGCCAACCCCAGCAGGACTGGGTTCACCAACCATGGGCGGCTAGCGTAGCTCGTTTTTGCAATCCCCTCAACCATGATATATGCCCATGCCTTCCCAATGCATCCTGCACATTACAGGCCGTGTGCGTCATTCTGGACGTGAAGCCCGCCAAGGTCAAAGACGAGTCGGGCAAGATGGTTCTGGACTACTGGAAGCCTTCCGTGGCGCTCATGAACGAGAAGGATTTCCTGCAGCGGCTCAGGTTGTACGACAAGGACAACATCCCGCCGCGCATCATCGGCGAGATTCGGGAGCGCTACTGCAAGAACGAGGCCTTCACGCCTGCGGCTGCACGCAACGCCTCGCCAGCTGCCGAGGGCATGTGCAAGTGGGTGCACGCCATGAGCAGCTACGACAAGGTGGCAAAGGTGGTTGCGCCCAAGAAGGCAAAGCTGGCGGAGGCGGAGGCGCAGTATGAGGAGGTCATGGTAAGTGCAGTGCGGGGCGGGGCGGGGCGGGGCGTCACAAGTGAGGCTTTACCTACTAACCCCTGGCTTTCTTCGGTGTTGCATGTGCATGACCACACATCATGCCTTTGACCCCACCGGTATCATCCTTCGTAAGTGCTAGCCGTGTGCCCCTCGTCAATGCTTGCCCTCCCATCCCTCTCGCCCCCTCCCAGGTGGGTCTGCGCGCCAAGCAGCAGGAGCTGGCGGACCTGCGCGCCAAGCTGGCCGCCATGGAGGGCGACCTGCGCACCAACACCAAGAAGAAGGAGCGACTGGAGCAGGAGGTGGCGCTGTGCAGGTGAGGGAACGGGGGGTGCCCATGCACATGCGGGGTTCAGACGGCAGGGCACGGCCGTGAGCATGTGGTGGTGGAAGGAGCAGTCCCCCCCGTTGCATGAGGCAACATGCGTTGTACCGGTGGTGCTTTTGGCATCATTTGTTCGGGTAGTTGTTGTACACTGTTAACTGGTGGTTTAAAGGCAAGTGTGTGTGTGTCGTTGTGTCTGCAGTGTCAAGCTGGAGCGCGCGGAGAAGCTCATCGGTGGTCTGGGCGGTGAAAAGGTGCGCTGGACGGAGTCAGCTCAGGCGCTCAAGACGGCGGCGGTGGCGCTGACGGGTGACATGCTGGTGGCCGCGGGCATCATCGCCTACTGCGGCGCCTTCACGGCCTCCTTCCGGCAGAACATCATTGAGAACTTCCTGGAGCTGGTCAGGTAGGAACCCCTTTCGTTGCAATGTAGGGCTGGGCATCGTCCGCCCTTCCTTGCCTTCCGGTTTGGGATCACTGCAACGGTCATTCCTTCTCAGGGAGAGAGGACGATTCGTGGTTGCTTCCTGACGAGACGTTGCCGCGCTGTCGCACACGCATCAACATCCAGGGCACGCAGCACTTTGTTAGCCCGCGCTCTTTCCAACCGCTCCCTTTCTGCCGCTTTCTACCCTCTTCCGCCACCACCACAGGAGCGCAAACATCCCGCACACGCCTCGTTTCAGCCTGGCGGCTGCTCTGGGCGACCCGGTCCGCACGCGCGAGTGGCTCATTGCCGGCCTGCCCAACGACTCGTTCTCGATTGAGAACGGCATCATAGTGGCACATGCGCGGCGGTGGCCGCTCATGATTGATCCGCAGGGCCAGGCGAACAAGTGGGTCAAGAACCTGGAGAAAGAGCACAAGCTGCAGGTGCGGGGGTGCTCCGGGCGGTCCATTTGACTGCTTTTGCCACCACCGGTACCCTCCTATCAGCTGAATGTCTGAATCTTAGAAGCAAGAAACAATGGATCCCCGATCACAGAACAACTTTGCTTACTCTCTGCGATACATATCTGCTTCCGCCCATGGCAGGTGATCAAGCTGTCGGAGGGCGGTGAGTACCTGCGCGTGCTGGAGAACGCCATCCAGTTCGGGCTGCCGGTGCTGCTGGAGAATGTGGGCGAGGAGCTGGACCCCTCGCTGGAGCCGCTGCTGCTCAAGCAGACGTTCAAGTCCATGGGCGTTACGTGCATTCGCCTGGGAGATGCCACCATTGAGTACAGCGCTGACTTCAGGTGGGTGCGGATCGCTTTTACACATGCCGTGCTCATACAAAAGATGCTCCGATTGTGTAAGAGGTCAGGCTGCGGTTCCGCACGATACGTGCCGCTGTTAGAACCACAGCCACCATGCGCTCATGTCATTTGTTGACGCCCATGTCCCATGGGTCGCTCCAGGTTCTACATCACCACCAAGCTGCGCAACCCGCACTACCTGCCCGAGGTGGCGGTCAAGGTGACGTTGCTCAACTTCATGATCACCCCCGCCGGTCTGGCGGACCAGCTGCTGGGGGTGGCGGTGGCGACGGAGCGACCCGATCTGGAGGAGCAGAAGGCGCAGCTGGTGGGTGCATGCGACGATTGGTGATAGTGATGGGGGGCTACGGTAACCTGCTATCAGTGCATACGCGGGATTTTGAGATGATGGTTGGCTCGGGCAGGGTTGGATTAGTGGCGAAGGTTTAGGGCTGTGAGGCCTGAGTGTTCTTACTACCCGGGTACCTGATTGCGTGTTGATTGTGTGCGGCCTTGGCGCAGGTGCTGCAAGGCGCGGAGAACACTCGGCGGTTGGCGGAGATCGAGGATCGCATTCTGGAGGTGCTGTCCAACAGCACAGGCAACATCCTGGAGGATGAGACCGCCATCTCCATCATTACGCAGGTGTGTGTGCAGCTCTGCTCCCATTGCTCTCACCGTTCCAGGAGTGCCTCTGTTCTAGTTTTACTGAAATCTGCATAACGGAGGCCAAGCTAGCCCTGTCCCTTGTCCTGTCGCCCAACTCCTTACCTTCTTACCGTACCTTCCCTCGTTTCCCTACGCGCTCAGGCCAAGACCCTGGGTAATGAGATCCAAGAGAAGCAGCGTGCTGCCGAGGTGACGGAGCGCGAGATCGACGTGGCTCGCACCGGCTACAAGCCCTGCGGTGACTACACCTCCATCCTGTTCTTCTGCATCTCCGACCTGGCCGCAATCGACCCCATGTACCAGTACTCGCTGCCCTGGTTTGTCAACCTGTTTGTGGCTTCCATGCACAGCGCGGAGGTGCGGCGCCGGCTGCATGGGCCTTGTGTGGGGGAACGTGTTGTTGCTTTTGGGGGAAACATGGGCATGGTAACAAAGGAGCTTGCTCGCAGGGGTCGCAGCCTTGACCTAGCATGTCTTACGCATAGTCAATGCATAGTCCCTCCGTTGCTTGCAAATCCTTGCGCCTGCAAACAGTTTGCACTAATAGCCCCTTCCCAACCGATTATGCACCTGCAGCCAAGCTCTGTGCTGGAGCGGCGGCTAGAGAACATCTACGACCATTTTACCTACTCGCTCTACCGCAACGTGTGCAGGTGAGGAAGAGCTGCCGTACTTGCCCTATCACCGCTGTTACTCTGCTTGACGGGCTTCTTCCTGGCTTACCACCACTTCCTTTCTCCACATGCCTTCCCCGACCTCCAGCCAATCCCATTCTGCTGCATCTCACCTCACCACAACCCCCATTCGCCTTTACCCTCCCTGTCATCCAGGTCTTTGTTCGAGAAGGACAAGCTGCTCTTCGCCTTCCTGCTCTGCACACGCATCCTGGAAACACGTGGCCGCATCGACACCGACGAGTACATGTTCCTGCTCACAGGCGGTCTGGGCGGCGCGGCCGACCCGCGCTCCAACCCCGCACCCGACTGGCTCGTGGAGCGCGGCTGGCGCGAGCTCTGCCGTCTTGACCGTCTGCCGACCTTCATGGGCCTTGCCGATGCATTCGCTTCAGATCCCGACGCATGGCGGCCGCTGTACGACGCCAGCGAACCGCACCGCATGACGCTTCCCGGCCTGTACAACTCCCTAGACACCTTCCGCAAGCTCCTCATCGTGCGCTGCATCCGGCCGGACAAGGTAGTGCCCGCGGTTCAGGACTTCGTTGAAATTAACCTGGGCAAGAAGTACGTGGAGCCGCCGCCGTTTGACCTGGCGGCTTGCTACGCGGACTCGGCACCCACCACGCCGCTTATCTTTGTGCTGTCGCCTGGCTCCGACCCAACAGCAGCGTTGCTGCAGTTCGCAGGCGAGCGCAACATGAGCAGCCGCCTGATGGCGATCTCACTTGGGCAGGGCCAGGGGCCCAAGGCCTCGGCCATGATTGCGGAGGGTGCACGCAGTGGAACGTGGGTGGTGCTCCAGAACTGCCACCTGGCTCCTTCCTGGATGCCCATGCTGGACAAGATTTGCGAGGAGTTGCAGCCCGACGTGACGCACAACGAGTTCCGGCTGTGGATGACGTCGTACCCCAGTCCCAAGTTCCCGGTCAACATCTTGCAGAACGGCGTCAAGATGACCAACGAGCCGCCCAAGGGCATCAAGGCCAACATGCGGCGCTCCTACATGATCGAGCCCATCTGCCAGGACAAGGAGTTCTTCGAGGCGTGTTCCAAGCCGGGGCCCTTCAAGAAGCTGCTGTTTGGGCTGGTGTTCTTCCATGCGCTGGTGCAAGAGCGGAGGAAGTTTGGGCCGCTGGGCTGGAACATTCCGTACGGTAAGTGATGGAAAAGCGGAGCAGCGCGGTGAGGGAACGAAGATAGGGTAGAAAGATGTCATGTTCTGTTTAGATCGCATGCCATGGTTTACACGAAATACCTAATATAATTGCCAAAATGGGAGAACTGGCTGGGCTTCTAGGCTTCTTCCTTCTGCTATCTGTCACAAAAACAAACATATCCCATGGGCCTGCCATATCCCCATACTACAGGCTTCGACGATGGCGACCAGCGCATCAGTGTCCGGCAGCTCAAGATGTTCCTGGACGAGGCTCCCGTCGGCGCACAGCCACCCTTCGCGGCCCTGCGCTACGTCACTGGCGAGTGCAACTACGGCGGCCGCGTGACGGACGACAAGGACCGCCTGCTGCTCAACACCGTCCTGGAGCTCTGCTACTGCCCCGAAATCATCGCCGATGACAACTACAAGCTCTCCTCCTCCGGACTCTACTACGCACCCGCTGAAGGCGACCGCGCCTCCTACCTCGCCTACATCGACACGCTGCCCATCATACCGCTCCCCGAGGCATTTGGCCTGCACGAGAACGCGGACATCGCCAAGGACCAGAGCGACACAGCGGCCATGTTCGCCTCTCTGCTGGCCATGACAGGCGCCGCAGGTGGCAGCAGCGGTGGTGGCGGCAGCTCGGCCGAGGACCGTGTGGCGGCGCTGGTGACGGAGTGCCTGGCGCGGTTGCCGCCGCAGTTCGACGTGGAGACCATCCAGCGGCGCTGGCCGGTGAAGTACGAGGAGTCGATGAACACGGTGCTGGTGCAGGAGTGCAGTCGCTTCAACAAGTTGCTGGCAGTGCTGCACGAGTCGCTGGCGAACATCCGGCTGGCCATTCAGGGTCTGCTGGTGATGTCATCGGAGCTGGAGGCGGCGTTCAGCTCCATCGCGATTAATCAGGTAATGACTTGTGATGATAACACAGCTCGGCATGCTAGGGGCTAGTGTTTTCCCAACATGCGCTTATGCGCCTCCCTGCCGTACGGCTTTTGGCTTGCCCAGTATAAAAAACAAATTGAAATTTATACACGCATCCTCGCTGCCTCTTTTTGCCGCACAGGTGCCTGAGCTCTGGAAGCGCCGCTCCTACCCCTCTCTCAAGCCGCTGGGCTCCTACCTGGAGGACCTCTACGCGCGCCTTGACATGTTCACCTCCTGGGCCACCCACGGCCCGCCCGCCAGCTTCTGGCTGCCCGGCTTCTTCTTCGTGCAGTCCTTCCTCACCGCCTCGCTCCAAAACTACGCGCGCCGGCGCAAGGTGCCCATCGACACCGTTGGGTTCGGCTTCGAAACCCTGGGCATGGAGCACACCGCCTACCGGCAACCGCCCAGCGAGGGCGTGTACGTGCACGGCATGTTCCTGGAGGGCTGCGGCTGGGACCCGGTTGCGCAGCGCCTGTGCGAGAGCCAGCCCAAGGTGCTGTTCGTGACCGCGCCCGTGATGTGGCTCCGGCCGCGGCCTGCGGACCAGCGCCATGACTACCCGCACTATGACTGCCCGCTGTACCGAACGGCAGACAGGCGCGGTGTGCTGGCCACCACCGGGCATTCCACCAACTTTGTGATGTTTGTGAAGCTGCCCACGGACGAGCCGCCCAGCCATTGGATCATGCGGGGCGTGGCGTTGCTGACGCAGCTGTCGGATTAAAGGGTGTAAGAGGGAGGGGAAAAGGGAGGAAGAGGGCGAGGCACTACTGGGATTTGCCGGGAGTCCAGGTGGCCGCTGTAGAGGTGATTGTAAGGAGTGTCCGGGCTGCAACGCCCATGCACCGGGTTGTCAACTCTGTTGTATGTGCTGGGTTATGGTTTGTTGGGGCGACATGACTAGCATGATGCTTTTCGCTATGTTTGACCTGTAGACGTGATGACGATGTGCCATCATGTTGCCACGGTCCAGCGTGAGAAGTGTGCAGTATGTGCTGAACTTGACCCTTAACCGTTGACCCAGCATGGTGACGTAAACTTGGATACGGAACAGCGTGAATAGGCAATCTGCACTGCGCTGTGACCATTAGTTATAGCCTGCACAGCGCGAGTAAGTCGTACGGCCATGGGAGTTATGCAGATTATCGTGATCCCTCTTAGCAGTCTGCGTACGATGCAGCTCCGCGGCGATGCAGCTATGTATTTTGCTGTACAGGTTAGAGCACTACTGGCGGCGCTGCATGTCGGCTCAATTCCACATGCAATGCCGCAATCCTGCAGTGTGCAGATGTAGGGTTTCAGGCCAGCTTTATATTAATAGGAATGCTTGTGCGTCGAAGTTAAATAAGCATGAGATAAGGAAGCCTGCGGCTGTCGTGTGATGAAGCCGGTGGTGAAGGCGTCGACTATCTCAACAGCCCACGGTGAAACTGAGCACTGTTCCCGGCAAGGCGGCGCTGGGGCTCCATAGGGAGTGTAACAAAACCACGGCATTTTGTCTTCCGCCTCGCATTGTTTGTACCTCTCCTAACCTAATGCTCCTACGGCAATGACCTGCGGTGGCATAACAACTACATCTACAGAGTCTGAACGGCACCTCATGGATGGTGCTGCGCAACAAGGCTTAGCCTATGATGACCCGAATTGTCCCTAGTTACCACCTAATCACTTTGTCCCTAAGTCCATAGATCCATCCTGGATCCATGCTTAACGTGCGCGTTGGACGCCACGCACACTCATCGGTACCAAAGGAGCCCATAACACATCAGGATTTTCCGTGAGTAAGCACATTGTAGCCACAATGCATAAAGAATCATAGCATGTGCTTTAGGCATTTGCGTTGCGTACAACGTCCAAAAGAATATAATCAAAGACATCCAGCTGCACGGGACAAACCCAACAAACTAGCTTTCCAAATTGGCATACCCTGCTATAGCCTAAACATCACGCTTCTACACAACGGTATGCCTCCAAACAATCATTACTGTAAACAGCAGCACCGGCTGACACCTTTTACCTTCATCCTATACACCCCGCATTCGTCCCTCCCTTGCCACGTCACTGTACCATTACGGCCCATGGGTCGGTACCGGGCATCGAGTCCTCAGCTTTCCTACACCCCCAGCCACACTACATGCACGCATGCGACCTAAACTAAGTACACTCTGCAAAGGGTGACTGAAAACCCTACCAACAACGAACAAACCTAACCAACAACGAACAGCATCCGCTGCAAACCTTAATCTCGCTGCCCTCTGCTGCAAACCTTCATCTTCCTTTATTTCTTGCAGCGGCGCCTGGTCCTTTCGTACTCCATTACTTGTTGTCACCACATCCCGGACTACGCTCAGCGCTTGTTGAGCCTGCTCTGGGCTGTTCCCCATCGCCTTCACGCTCGTCTCCATCACCATCCTCCCCATCTCCACCAGCCCTAGGACCCACGGGGCTGCTAGGTCCCAGGCTGCTCTGACGACTGAAGCTGCCGCTCGCAGACTCAGGAACCGTTGACAGACTTGTCTTCGCCAGCCGCAAGGCCTCATGAAAGGAGCTGCCACCAAGGCATCTGCCGAGTCCCCGCCGGCCGACGACATCAAAGGGAAAGGAGTCGTCCTTTTGCATTTCATCCCCCAGCGGCTCAGCTGGTCCCAGAACGCTGGGTCGACTGAAACGACAATGCGACTGAACCGGCATCATCGCAGGCTGCAAGACCACTAGCCTGGCTGTAGCTAGCATGCCTTCGGCAGGCCCTCGGGCAGCTGAGCCGTCGCAGGGGCTGATGCTGCCCTCTCTCCCATTGCGCAGCATGGCAGAAGCTGAAGCAGTCGCCGCAGACGTGTCCGTGCCTTCCGCGCCAGCATCGCCATAGCGGTCAAAGCGAGGAGGCTTGTTCGCACGCGGGACGAAGGGACTTTCATGCTGAGCGCCTGCTGGCTCCTGCTTCCGACCACCGCCAATGCCGCCCGCGGCCACAGACCTGAGCGCCCGAAGCAGCCCAGAAGCCGAAGACCGCCGGGCCACACCCGCTGTGGCGGACTTCGCAGCAGGGCTTGAGGCTGGCTGGGCCTCAAAGGGACCAGCATCAGCGCCAGCGCCATCCACACCCAAGGCCCGAGCTTCCAGCGTACGTAGGCTGTCTCGCTGGAACCTCGGCTCGGCCCCGACCGGCATCCACCGGCCTGCTGCAAGCCCCTGTGGTGTGTCAATTCCAAGCCAGGCTAAAGGCGCGGCTGGGAGGCGGCGGCAATCGTCGTTGGGCTTTCCTGATGACGAGCAGCTACGAGGACCGGGACCCACACGCCTGCTGCCGTGGAGCTGCCTGCTGTCTGCCAGGACATGGGGACCGAAGCGCGCCTCGGTCCACCGCGTTGGATGCTGAGTTTGCAGCGGCGCTGCGCCAGGTGCTTGGGAAACGTCACCGCATCCAACGCATCTGTCTGGTACCGGTATGCTCCCTACGCCGGCCTCTGCTGACCGTGGCAGCTGGAGCATGTGGCCCATTGGAGGGGCAGCTGGGGAACATTCGGGAGTGGCCGTGTGGAGAGCTAGTCCCAATGCAGGCTGCCCTAACCGTACCGGTATATGGGCTTGGGAGGTGGAGGGCAGCGGGGCCGCTACGCCGGGAGCTGCCTTAGATGCGGAGTATTCATGGTACTCCATGCTTGGTAGCGGCTGCAAAGGTGAACCATGGGTCGGCTGACACGTAGCGCCCACCGAATATGCTTCAGGGCTCATGACGGCCGACGACGCCAGAGGGCCGTAAAGCGGCGAGCCGAAAGCAGCACTGGCCATACCATCACTAACAGTGAGCGCCAAGCTCGCCGCAGCTTGGCATGGCGCGCTTGCATACGAAAGGCCCCCTCCAGCAACACCTCCTGTCGCCGGAATGGCGCTCTGCGGTGCACCGACACCGCCCTCCGAGTGCTCTGCGGCCGAACATGACGTGCAGCTGGCTTTGCCGCTCTGGCCCCATAGAGGTGGCGGCGGCAGCAACATCGCCGGCGCGTATGTTGGTGATGACATGGGGGTTGCCTGCGGCGTGAAGGTTGGCCCCGGCAGATCCGGAGTGTGGTCCGCTGGATCATGGCGACGGCCGTGTGTTGCTCTCGAGAAGCGAGGATGATCTGGATCGGCGTTAAGGGCTGCTGTAACACCGGTGGGCGACACCATTGCTAACATTGGCGGTGGTGGCTGCGTCATGAGTCTGACCTGGTCAGTGATTGCAATGATGCCGAGCGGACCTTGTCCCGATAGCAATGCAGTCGGACTCATCATGGGCCCTAGCATGCCTATGCTGTCAGCAGTATGGGTGCCCAAGCTGCTGGGCTGACAGGAAGTTGACCCCGGCGCGTAAGGAAGCACGCTTTGATAGGGCTGCGGGATACAAGGCGCCATGGCCGGCATTGTTGGAGGCGGCCCGGGCTCACCCCAGGTGGCGGCCGGTGGCCGCGGCAGTGCTTGCTGAGACTCTGCAAGGGCTGCTGTGGTAGGCAGCATCACCCCTAGGCTGCTGGGCGTTACGGATAAGCACACCCTGGGGTTAAGGGGTGGTCGACCACAGCGAGGATAAGAGATCTCGGGATCAGCAAGTGAGGGTCGCGCAAACGGTGACGGGGTGTCATTATCATCAGGAGCTACGCCGGGAGCAGGCCGCTCATGACACCGTTCAAGTGCCAGTACAGGGCCGACTGAAGGCAAGTCAGCCCCAGCAGCAGGACCTTGTGTGGCTGTGGGTGCTACGGCTGCATTCAGAGTGCCTTTTAGGCCTGAGACCGTTATCTCCCTGCATGCTAGCGCGCAAGATACCATGCTTGCCGCGCACTCTGTCATTGTCATCACCACCTCCTGCACGTCCGTTGCCATTTCTGATGCAGGCTTTGCAATGCTGCAGGCTGCTGACGGATTAACCCCACCGCAGCTGCTATCTCTGCCATACAGCGCGCCGCCTTTGTCCAACAAAACCTCTCGGTCTTCACTGCCGCTACTGCGACATTGGACGCTTTCAGTGTCATCTTCGGACAGTATAGGCTGCAGCACTCCAGGCCGCGTAAGGGTCTCCGTATCAGCTGCTGCCTCCCCTTCCTTGCCCAGGCGTTCTCCAGGACTGCCTACACGATGCACCCCCGCATGTGGTCCTGGCGAACTTGCCTGCTGCCCGTGTGTATCCTCATCCACAGCTGCTGTAAGCGAGGCCGACCCACGGGTCAGTGATGAAACGCAGCTGCTTGGCTTGCTTTCAACCTCTGGCACCGTTGGAAGGTCAGGACGGGCAAAACGAGGCACCTCTAATGGGATTTCGAACGCCCTCATGATGCCCAGTGATGCAGCACTCTTCTCAACTGCGGCACCAGGTGTGGATCTCAGGGCCTGGCGAGCCCTTGGCATCTGTGCAGATAGGTTGGGCGCGATTGGTGGCTTTTGCAGCATGCCAGGCTGAATTTGGGTGTAGGTTGGCAGCTTGCCACTGCACGGGTTGCTGTCGCACGCGCCCATACCGCCTGTAGTGGCTGGTTGCCATGCCGTGGGGGTCTGTTGCATCTGCAGCTGCTGCGGCATGGGCGGCTGAGGAGGCTGCAGCTGCTGCGGGGCCTTGCTGTGATGCGCGTGATGGGTTTCTCGAAAGCCTCCAACAGCAGCAAGCTCTGATTTCGCAGCCACTGACGTATTATTAGCCATGCTGCCACAGCCCACAGCCACGGACACCGCGCTACCAGCTTCTACACCGAGGCCGGTCCGGAAGGCAGTGCTATTCGTAGTGCGGGTCGGCTGCTGCTGCAGTGGTGGCGCGCTGCTGCCATTGGAAGCCCTGGCATCGCCACCAGTTGTGGCTACATCCTCTTGTGGGCATGGCAGTTGATGAGTGCGTGGCGATCCCTGCTGTGCAGGTGCGATGCTGCCTCCCTCAGATCCCTCCATGCCCAGCAGCCCAGCAGCAGCGGCATCCTTGGTTTGGGCCACACCCGTCTCCCAGCCACTGCCAGTGCTGCCTGCTGCCACAGCGCAGGAACCGCTCACAGAAGAACCCCTGCTCATCCCCAGTGCAGAGCTCCGCTGAGAACTTGAGGCCGGCGGGTACATGGCTGTGGACCCACCATAGCTGACAATATGGAAGGCGCTGAACCCTCCTAAACCCCAGCCAGCAGCAGCTTGCGCCGCTCCGCCCGGTCGTGACTCCGCCGCAACGGCGCTGCTGCTTCCATGGGAACCGCTGCGGGCAGATGTTGAGGATCCGAAGTGCGTTGAGGAGGAGACTACTAGGAACCCGGCCTCGATGTGCTCGAGGGGATGCAAGGTCGCCGTGTGAGCGATGGCCGTAGACCCTGTTGGAACGGGCGGGCTGCTTAGGGATCCGGAGCCAGTAGTCGGCAGAGCAGGGTGATGTGAGCATGCTGTTCTGGCTCCGTAAGGGCCGCCAGTAGATGAATCCATGCTGCCGCTCGAGTGGCGGTTATTAAACGAGGGTGCAGCGGCGATGCTGCGCCGAGGCTGCTGGTCGGGTGTTGAAGAGCCGGCGGGCGTTAGGACCGTGGTTGTGGAATTAGTGGGTTGCATTGGTGAGGTCGACGCGGATGATAACCACCATTCCTGCTGCATGCCTTCTGCTGCTGCTGCTGTCACGAGCAGCACCTCCCGCTCAATGGAATCTATCATGGCCGCGATCTGCTTAAAGGTGGGTCGCTGCTTGTGCGCCGGCTGCATGCAGGCGCTGACCAGCTGTGCGAAGCTGCGCGGGCAGGTGGGCGGCAGGTGCGGGAAGCCGCGCTGCTGCACCAGCCGGCCCTGCGGCCCGTACGTCCAGCAGGAGCGGCTGCAGTACAGCTCCCAGAGCAACACACCGTACGAGAAGACGTCGGCGAAGCGGGTCAGGTTGCCGGCGTGGGTGACTGGGAGAGGGCAAGGAGGGGAAGGTATGAAGCAGCGATGGAGATACATGTAGAGCAGGAGATCACCCATCTAGCTTACGGTGTCAGCGGTGCGTTAAGAAAACTGACCGCAATGTGTGCCAGTGTGTTGTTGCTTACCTTCAGGTGCGGTGTAGAAGGGCGTTCCCCGTTTGGTGTTGGACACATGGCTCTGCATGCAGGACAGCATCAGCCGTATGGGGGTCCGTGGGTCTTGTAGACAGGAGAGGCCAAAGATGGCCGCCGCGGGAAGCAGCCGATAGAACCTTCTCCCGTCCAAGAACCAGGAGAAGCCTGCCATTCGCCCCCTCCGCCCCGCCCCACCTGCTCCGCCTGCATGTGCACCGACAGCCCGAAGTCCGCTATCTTGGCGGTGTAGCCCAGCACGCTGCCCTCGTCGTGCTTCAGCAGCACATTGGCGGGGTTGAGGTCTCCGTGGATGATGTTGTGCTCGTGCAGGTACTGCAGCCCGCTAGCCACCTCTCGAGCCATCTGCGGGAGGGGGCCGAGTGGGAGGGCGGGGCAGAAGAAGGGGGCAGGAGAAGGAGGAGTCAGCACCCGGGCCGGTCTGTGGCACAGGGAGGTAGCAAAATCCCAACACCCTGGCTCCCCCAGTGCCAGCCTGCCCCTCCTCCCGCAGCCCCTCCGCCTCATCCCACCTGCAGCACCCACTCCAGCTGCGGTGAGCCGGTGGCTGGGTTGAGGAAGGAGCGTGCCTCGATGGCATGGCGCAGGCTGCCACCGTTGCAATACTCCTTTGAGGGAGGGACCGAGCGAGCAACCAAGGGGGCCAGAGGAGGGTGACCCCAGCATGAGGACTTGACAGGGACTCCCAAAAGGCACAACTCCGTTGCCGCAAAACGCGACCACAAAAGGGGCCCTGGCCATGCGTGCAGCAAAGAGGGGCCATGCAGACAGCTGCTGCACCTGTGCCCCACATACTGTTTCTGGCCACGCCACGCCACGCCACCACACCTGCACGATATACAGCCTCCACTCCTGGATGACCTCCGTTTCGTTGGTGATGTGCAGCCCCGTCATGGCGCCGCCCCGGTGGCTGTCCACGTGCATGGGCTTCAGGTCGCACGTGTAGGTGGTCACCACGTTGGCGTGGTAGATGGACCTGCGGCGCATGCACGTGGAACGGTGGAAGACGGTGTTAGCGGTACGTCAACGCCGTCATGGCCTACATGCCGTCCCCCTGCCGCCAAGCTCCCTCAAGGTAAATCCCATACACGTTACCCTACACACACACTCTACAGAACGTTTCGCCTCGGGGCCAGTTATTTTAACACACCCTACGCAGGCTGCCTCACTTTGACAGCGCCGCCTCCACCAGCGCTGCGTGGCGGCCCTGCGTGACGGCGTCCGAGGTGAGCGTCATGGTCTTGACGGCGACAGGCAGCCCCTTCCACAGCGCTGCGAGGGGAGGGCGGGTGGGAGAGAGGTGGGGGATGAGGGGTGTTCGGTTTAAAGACAGGGTGCGGGTTGGAGAGGCGGATGCCCGCTGGTAAGGCGCAACACCATTGGCTCCATATTCACAGCTTTTGAGCTGCATACAAGTAAGAGGAGGTTTTAGCACTAAACCTAAAGCACTAGGCCTACCAGCCTCTCACCCTTATAGACCGTTCCAAAGGCTCCCGCCCCCAGCGGCTGTTGAATCACCAGCTGGTTCTCATTCACACTCCGCTCCATGTCCGCACTCAGCTCCGTAAGAGTGGCACTCAAGCTCTGCACGCCCGCATTACCCCGGTTTCCGCGGCCCCGATTACTGCCATCTCCACCGCCCTCCCCCAAGGTGCATGCCGCTGCTCCTGTGCCACCGCCACCAATCCTAGGGCCCTCTCCAGTGACTGGAATGGCACTGGACACGTGTTTGTGACTCGCAGACAGACCCGAAGGCGCAACGTCCCGTGGGTCTGCCTCAACACCAATCGTCAGGTGTTCTACGCGGAACAAGTTAGATAGGGACCCAACAAGCAGCCTGCCAAGACCAGGTTTGATCGAAGTGGATGCATCCGCAGCTGCGGAGTTCTTCCTTGACAGGGAGGGCAAGGCACCGCTACCGCCGCCCGCTGTGTAAGTGGGAGAGCTACCCGCCAGGGAACCTCCCGGGGTCCGTTTGGGGCTGAAGGGCCCGCCGCCGCCGCCTGCTGCTGCCAGCGCCTGAAGGGAAGAAGCGCTACCGCGCTTCACAACCGCCCGGCTAAGCCCGTGAGACACTTCGACGAGCACTCCGCTGCCGCGCGCCGCATGTTTATGCCGCGCAGTTGCTGTGACGTCGGTGTTTGTGCGCGCCATGCGGCGTGGATTGCTGGGTTGCGGCGCTTTGGGAGATGCTGGCACTGCTGAGGTGCTCAAGTACCGCGAGGGAAAGTGAACCATGCCATGCGCCGCTATCCCGGCAGGCGAGAGTTCGGCATCTTCAGCAGCCCTGGAGGCTGAGGGCATTGTGCTGGCGTGCATGAGCACCTGCGTGTCGCTGGCGCTTGCGCTGCCGCTGCCTCCTGTGCGGCTTGAGCCGTCAGCAGTCGCAATGGGAAGCATAGAGCCGGTAGATACGCTCGAGTCGTCAGCGCAGGGCTGCTCGTCTGTGCTCATGCCGGTGGCAGTGCCGACGAAGGCAACGCTGGTCTGGGTATTGCGATTGCTGCGGACTGCAGTTGAAAGCGATGCAAGGAAGACGCTGCTGCCCTGCAAGGCGGAAAAGGCCGCGCACGTGAGTGGCTCAGACGGGATGACAGGAAGCCCACGCAAATGCCGCTGAGATGGGAATGTCCAAGGGCGGCGCGTGCCTTTGGCGAACAGTCACGTAATGATGGCAGCGCCCCAGGTTGGCCAGGGAGACATAAAATGAGCAGGAGGGCAGGATGTACCGAGAACCATCGCTACTTGGCGCAGAGTATCAAAGCCTTCCTACCTTTGGACGCCTTGCGAGCAGCGTTCCTCCACCTCCACAGCCATCATCATCCGCCGCCGCTTGTACACCCTCCTCCGCCGCACGGTCGACAGACGTGTGGCGCTGCTGGTGGTGAGGAGGATTGTCATTCCGCAGCACATGCGTTGCCGGCACCTGCCACCTCCCTCCACTATCATGCTGACACAGATCCTGCAGGGTAGCCTGGGAGCTGCCTTCTCGGGATGCCGGGTCCCCTTCACTGCTTGATACACCCGATGGAAGCCTCCTAAAGGAGCAGGCAGAGGACGGTACGGAACAGCTGCCGTACGGTCCCTCATGCTGCAGAGCGCGCTGCGGCTGCGGACTGCCGAATCGCAGCTTGGCTGAGACCGAAAGCGAGCGTCCGATCTGTCGCCATGGCATGGTATGATGCAGCGATTTGGCTCGCTCTGCAGCGCCCCCTGTTGGCCGAACTTCATTTCCGGCGGCTGCCGCGTCGGCGGCGGGTGAGGCGGCCACAGAGAGCGGCTGGAATTTGCCGGCAGATGTCAGCCGGTCAGCATCGACTACAATGGTAAAGCCCTCCACGCAGCCCTGCTGGATAGGGCGATACTCTTCCCGCTGGTGACAATCCTCCTCAACAGCCGCGTTTCGCGTCCCCACTCCGTCCGCAATACGTGCTGTCGGCTGGTGCCCAGCTGGCGCATTGTGTGAAACCTCCGGCGTACGCGAATTAGCAGCATCTGGACCAGCAACCTCAGTCATGAACACTGCACTGCAGGCCCGCTGTGTAGACCCGTCACCAGCAAGGAACGGCGAACAGTTTTCATCAAATGCTCCGCTTCCGTACAAACAGTGATCATTGCTAAGCATGAAACCCTTACGAATGGCGTTGGCGGTGAGACCAGCTCTGTCTAGGCAAGCAGTGCTGACATGGCGGCTTGCTTGAGCAGGATGTTGAGGTTTGAGATGTTCCGAGTCAGGACGACCGCCCAGCGGAGGGACGGGTGCTGCAAAGCTGGTCGTACGTACCAGCACGGTCGCCTTAGCACTGGTAAGCTCACTGGCCTTGCGTCCATCACGGCTGAGCTCTGCTGTGCTACTGCACTTGCCGTTCGAATTGCCCCATGGCGTTCGGTCGTAGCCTCCCTCGTGAAGCCTATCTCCTCCTAACTTCTTAGCATTGTGGCTGCCAACCTGACGGCGGCTGTTGCCACCGTTATTACGGTCACGATACACGATGGCCGCCACTGTTGCGACCGTCAGGATGACGATGACCCCCACAGCCACGATGGGTATTATCCACTTCTTGGTAGAAGTCGTGGAGCTCAACGTAGCGGAAAACACTGCTGGAGGTGACGGGAGCTCCAAACTTGACACTACGGGGAACATGGAAGGCAGATGGGGACGCAGCGGCGGCGACGTCTGTGTTGCTCCATTGCCAACCCTGTCGAAAATACCTGCTATACGTAAAGCAGACAAGGTAACTAGGGCTGGCAGGCTACGGTTGCAATGTTACCGTTTAGTAACTGGTCCGAAGCAAGCCCCGCTACACAGGATAGCGGCAAGCCGTACACCGATGTCATGTGGTACTAAGGGAAACTCCACTTACCGGGTAGGAGGTCTTCTAGGTCGTACCGCTGGTACGGCCGAATGTCGTCACGCAGTACGACATCTTGAAGGCGCATGCCCATTCCCTGTGCCGGCATCACAGCGGGTGCAGAGGGAACGGTTACCGGTGCAAGCCTACATCATTTGTCGCCAGACGGATGTCCTAGCACCTGTTGGGAATATGCACGGCGTCCAATGGAAGGCGTCTGTCGTAAAAAGGCGTCAGTAACGACCGTAAGCCCATACCTGCAGGGACCTGATTGTGAAGGAGTGTGGGCCGCTAACGGCTGCAACGAAGACGGATATCCCCAGGCCTTGGCAAGCGTGTTTAAGCTCCGAGCTGAATGAACCAGCAGCTGCGGCATTGCTGTTCGAGTCGCCTGCTCCACTGCTGGTGGTGTTGTTGATAAGGGTGGTCGAATTACGTCCCTCGTATGCTAGCAGGATTTCATAGCACGCCGCCCACAGCGCCAGCTCCTGGCTAGACACGCTTAGCGTGACCCCCGCCAGCCTCAGCGCGGGAGGCTCCCCGGCCAGCGAGGGCAGCCGCTCCGCCTGCAGCGCCCACAGCGGCAGGTCCAGGCAGCGCACCAGGCGCGGAGAGGCGGCGGGCCAGCGAGCAGGCGAGTCCAGGCCTACCAGTGTCAGGTTGCGCAGCCCCAGCCACAGCCCAGAGGAGGCGAAGGAGGCCCAGGTGCTGCGCGCGCCGCCAAAGTCCAGGACGGCAGGGGGGTCGGCGGGTGAGAAGGAACAGGAGGATGCTGTACTAGTGGCGGTGCTGCTGCTGCTGTTAGTGCTGGTGGTGGCATTGGTGGTGTTTTGAGGGTAAGGATGGAAGAAGAGCTGTGACCCGAGCACGTAGCTGCGTTTGAGGACCACATTTCCGTACGGCACGGGCGCGTAGTATGCGGTGACGCGGGTGGTGACATTAGTTGACGAGGAGGAGGAGGAAGCACTGGTGGTGGAAGCGGTGGTTGTTCTTATTGCGGAAGTAGCGGAGAGGGACGCGGCTGTGGAGGTGGTGGTGGTGGCGTTGGCTAGCAGCGAGACGGCGGCTTGGGTGGGCACTCCAGGGTAGGCGGTGTAGGCTGTGTTACCGGGAGAGACGAGGCTGCCGGCGGAGGCGTTGAGCACGGCCGCCAGGCCCGCGCTGGAGTTCAGGACCACGATCTGCGGGTAGGGCTCCAGGGGCGTGGAGGAGAAGAGGGAGATGCCGATGCTGGGCTGAACCAGCGGGAAGCCAGCAGGGGCTACCGAGGTAAGCCGCAGGTTGGTGGCGTTGATGCCAAACCCAACGAACCTGGATAACAACGGTGAAGAGCTCAAGTATGTAGACAGCTGCAAGAAGGAGTCATGCGGGCAGTGAAAGGTTAATAGGCATATAGATACAGTGTGTATGTGCTAGATGGGGCATGATAGGGCAAAGGCAAACACAGGTTTGGCGTCTGCTGTATCACGCGTCAAAAGTTCCAACCCTTGTAAAACCGCTTCCTAACATCTTACAACAGTTGGGTCTTACAACGCTCTTGGACTTAAAAGCCAGTTGCCGCCGTCGCCGCCCTCGCCCGAGTACCACCTACCTCGGCTTCCACAACGTTAGCCTGCAGCCATTCGTCCATGCGGGCATCCAGCAAGCTGGGCTGTCCTTCTAGGTTCCTTAGCCAGGTGGTCTCGTACGACAATTCGTCATGCGCCAGTACGAGCGTCACGTTGCGGAGCCGGATGCTGCTGGTGGTGTTGGACATCCTGTTCGGGTATACGCACGTGCCCTGGTCACCGTTACCGTTTGACTAAAGGTGTCGTTGGTGTAAGCGGCCTAGGCTACAGGCCCAGCCAGAGGAAATGTGCGTCTGAATATACGGCCTGCTTGGCGGCCCAGGGCTCATGCATGGTCGGCATGAAGGTGCGTACGCCAGTCATTCGTTGGGTTAGTTGTTATGTATAATTAGGCAAGAGCGGTTCAGTGCACGATGGGCAACCTTCGGTTTACTAGCTAAGGGCGAATCCCCCGGCATTCTCAATATAATATGCTGGGCTGCTGAAAGCCCACCGTTCAATTAAGTACAGCGGTAGTGCCAGCACCCCCGGTTGCGGCACTGCCAGGTTGGTGAGTGTGAGCTGCTCAATTGCCAGGCTGGCGGGCGGCCGCAGCCGCAGCAGGGAGGACAGCTGAGAGGTGTCCAGCACTGTGGCCGAGGCCGAGGAGGAGCCGCGAATGGTGAGGTTCGCCTGCGCGCCGGGGGCCACCAAAGAAGTAAAATAAGGACGGGTCTAGGAGGAGGGTAGGGGATGGCAGCATGGCATGGAAAGCGTACATCTACATAACTAATCTAACCATACAGAATGCCTTGGACGATAGGCCGGTAGATGAAAGAAGGTGCCTGAAAGGAATGCCCTGTACGCACCGACACATCAAACATAGGGCCCGCTGTGCCGGAAGCAGCACCAATTGTGCCCAACAGCCTCCGCTGGGACACGCCGTACGGCAGTACGAGCCCATCATGCCCCCGCTGCTGCTGCTGCTGCTGCTGCTGCTGCTGCTGCCGGCGGCGCCAAATAGCAGTGCTGTACAGGGAACCCCGCCGGGGTCCATTCCCAGCGCCGCCACGGCCCCAAGTCCCGGTTCCTGACGCTTGCAGAGCCATCAACCGGCGAGAGGCGCTGTTGCCCGGGGGAGACGGTGGCGGCGGTGACGGCCATGTTGACTGCTGCTGCAGCTGCTGCTGTTGTTGTTGTCCTGCTGACAGCGCGGCGGCCAGGGACACGTTGGTGGCCAGCTGTACGACATAGGCGCTGCAACCGTCAAAGTGATCGTCCACAATCGTTAACGCGTCGTACAAATCACCAGGAGAGGTAACTAGGAAGGTTTTCACTCCAGAGCCTGCCCCACAGACCTGCAGCGTTGGCATGGGGGTCCGGTTGGACCCGCGGGAAGCACTCGAGGTGGGAATGCACAAGCAAGACTGCAAGGAGTCGTGGCAAATTGCACGTTGTGGGCCATGCACGCTCGTTACCGTGGAAAATGGGATTGTTGTAAGCATGTAACCCGTTCTGCAAGTTCACAGAACTTTCGGTTACCTTTCGGTTTGGCCATTGCCTTTCCTCCTTACCTCACTACACGTGAAGTTTACATCGATCAGCTCTACTTGCGGCAGAACCATGTGCCAGACGGTCACCCATGGCGCAGAGCCCTACGTGGGATGTCGTGCATGTGCAGCAAGTGGGATGTATGTCGTACGGATAGATGGCAGACGCGAAGGGGTGTAGGCATGAAGTCGGGGACTGATGAACCAGTTTGAGTAGGGCCGATATCTGGGGCTCACATCTAAGGGGTTGACAGGAGGAGGAACAAACGCCCCGCTATCCTATACCTGTGTCACATTGAGCGCCTCTGGAAACGCCGCCCCAGCCTGTTGTTGCTGTTGTTGCTGCCCCGCCGCGTCGTACAGCTGCCGTGCCACCCCGCAATCCGCCAGTACGACCTCGGTGCGCACCAGCCGGAGCAGTGACCCGCGGGACAGCTCGAACGCGTCCAGAGACAGGGACCAGCCGCTAGTGCCGCTAGTGCTGGTGCTGCTGTTGTCGCCCATTGAGCGCCCGTCATTGAACGTTGCGGCGGCGCCATATAGTGTTATGTGCTGTAGCGTGACCGTGACACCTGCACAGTTCAGGTCCATTCGTTAGGGATGACGCATCCTAATGGTAGGAAGGGCGAATACTCGTCTTCACCGCAAATTACACGACGTCCCACATAGAGTATTAGAGTTGCTCGTTGACAGACTTCCCAGCAGTGTGAGTAGGAATTGGTTTATAATGCAGAAGCGCATGCAGTTTATTGCGCACATTCCCCAACAGGCCCATGCCTACTTGACGACAGCAAGCCGCTGAAATTGGAACCAAGGTAGAGCCCCGGCTTCGCATCGTTAACGACTGCCGACAAAGGTGTCGGTGCGCTAATGAGGGTGTCATGAAAGAAGGCGGCGGGTCCAATGGCTGTTGTGTCCGTCGACATGACGATGACGTCTGTGTGGTTCAGGCCGGAGACTCTATTGAGCATCTGGTGTTCCTGTCCAGATCGCACTACAGGCAGGTCCCACAGTTCTGCGCAGTGTCCTGGGCACGACGGGAATACCGCCATCTGCAGACCGTGAACGTCCTGGACATGATATGCCAGGAAGATGGCACATAGCCATGGTGCAAAATGCCATGATGAATGCATTCGTATTATCAACGCTAGCAACGAATGCGCTCCGCGTTGCGACGTCCGAGCACCCATCGGTCTTTGAGGTTTGCTGCGGACGAGTCGTGGGCTGTTTTACAGAACCTAGACGAACCGTATAGTATGAGGCATCGCATGCCAATTTAAATCAATAATGTTTTGTACTGTATTGTATGGTGAGCCGTGGTATGCTTACGTGCAAGTCGCCGCAGACGACGCGTCCGCTTCGTTCTCGGTTGGAAAGGAACACAGCATCTAAGCTTGTCGCTCAATCCCGAGATACAATGTAACGTCAAAGTGTCAGTAATCGGTGAAGTATATGAATATTCTTTCGGTTACGTGTTAACCTATCCTAACAGAATTACTAACTGGACGATAGCAAGTCCGGCAAACTCTGAAGGCATCTAGGGGCTTCCATGCGAACTGACCTATGTTCTTGTTGCTAAACTTATATGGGTTGACCTGAGAATCTTAACGGTCTGGACCTGGGCTGTCACGAACGAGAGCCCCGAGATAAGCAGCCATCTCAGTAGGGGCCCTTCTGTACGCGTTATAAACGCCATGACACTAAGTTGAAGCATTTTATTCGATGCGTAACCTGGCGTAACCGTAATTAGGTCGCGGGGCACCACAACGGCGCAGAATGGAGCAAGTCCCTTGCAGTCAAAATCACGAGCGGTTGGGCGCGTTTTGTGTATACACCCCCTGTCTAGGGATACGCCCTATCTGGCTATTGCTGTGGTGCATCGTGGGCATGTACACGATCTGCGACATGTATGGTTCCACACAAGCACATCCGCTATGCCTGGTTCTTAGGGCAGGTTTCCCCAAGCCCACAAAAGACGCAGGTTTGTGGTGCAACTTACAATGTTGGGTGGCTGAGCTGGTTTGCCCTCCTCAGCAAATTTCCCAGCATGCTAAGAAAGCACGACGGCAATCCTGGCAGTCCTGGCTCCACGTGAACGCGTATATCAGTCAGCAGCTCGGCTTACCATAGCGACGGCGGCCACATAGAAATCATTTGTACACATGCGTCTCATGCCAGGCCAGGGCCCATAAGCCCTATCCTGCTGCCCTATGCTACTGTCCTTACTGAGACACGCCACTCGCTTGAAAACGTGACAACATTGACGAAACCGGAAGCGCCCGTAATTTGGTTGATACACATGTAGCACCAACAAAGTATCATTGAGCACAGGGCCACAGGGGCCTAACGACGCTGATAGCGACCCTGCTGGGGGTCGCCGACTCATGGCATCAAACCAACTACCCGGCAACCCCATCGCCCTAGACCCCTGCCCCTTGGCTTGTATACCTCCAGGATACACGCAAACAGACTCCAACTTTGGACATAACCAAACCTAACCGAGCGTGCTACCACTCATATGTACTCCACAACCTCCCTCCATTCCACAATGCTCCTCGGGCTTCCATGACTCTCCTTGAAGGCCGAGACTACTACGCTCTTCCCATGGCTGTGCTCTTCCGTGTACGGTACTACACCGAGGTATCGCACTCCTCAAGCTCCTCACTTCAGCAGGCTCTTCACCACGCTCTTCACGTTGAGCTTCTTCAGGTCCACGTACGTCTGGCCGCACCCCACAAACATCACAGGCGCGCCGCTCGTGTACACCATGCTCAGCGCCGCCCCCACCTTGTCGTCAATCGTGTCGAACTTGGTCAGCACGATGCCGTCGATGACGCCGCCGTGGCGGCGCGCAAGCGCCGAGCCGTCGGCGCCGCCGCGCGCGCTGCCGCCGACGCCGCCAGTGGCGGATGCAGCCGCGGCGGCAGCAGTTGGCGCCAGATCGGAAAGCGCCTTGTTGAACTTGGTTAGCTGGTCCACCGCGTCGTTGCCCACGAGCGCCTCGCCCACGAAGAGAACCAGGTTGGGGTCGTTGACGGCGATGAGGTTGGCCAGCGCACGCATTAGCGGCTGGTTGTCCTGTCATTCCGTGGATTTCGGTCGCAGCATGGGTAAGCACACGTGCGCGCTAACACCGGGGCTAGCAACATGTCAGGTGAACCGTAACAGCGATGCACTCAAGCACACCTGAGCTTCAAACATTCTGGGTACCAGTAGTTTGCACAAGCAATTGCCCATGGTGGACCCGGTACCCCCCCCACCCACGCGTTGCACTCATTATTTCTTATCCACCCACCCACCCACCCACGCACACCCCCACCTGCATGCGCCCTGCCGTGTCCACCAGCACCACCTGCACCCCGTCCCGCTCCGCCTGGCGGCAGGCCTCGTAGGCCACCTTGGCGGGGTCCTTCTCGTAGCCGCGCTCGTACAGCGGCACACGCAGCCGGGCGCAGTGCGTCTTCAGCTGCTCCACGGCGCCTGCAGGAGGGAGGTGTGGGCGAAGGAAGGGAGGAGAAAAGGCAGGAGGGAAGTAAAGGTGAAGAGAAGCACAAAAAACAAAATTCGTGAGGCAAGGAGATTGCTGTGGTGGGGGATGGATAAGGCGCCGCCAAGAATCGCAACTGCCTTTGATGCAACCACCGGAGTGCACCCCAGGAATGTAAGGGAAGGACGTGCCCACTGCCAGCTCGCTACCCGCCCGTTGCCCACCTGCCCTGAAGGTATCGCAGGCGGCAATCATGACCTTGATGCCGTGGCCGCCCAGCCAGTAGGCGATCTTGGCGAGGTTGGTGGACTTGCCCACTCCGTTGACGCCGCAGAACACGATCACGTAGGGCTTGCCGCGGGCCTGAGGGTGGGTTATAAGGGGGAGGGGCGTGTGATGTGACGGGTTATAGGAATAATAGGATACATCACAATGGGTTCGGGTTCTGCAATGGGGCAGTGCAGGGTGTACGGTAACTTTGGAGCTGCTACTAACACTGAACAGGTGAAAGCTCTCGTCATGCCCCATGCATGCATGCATGCAACGGCAGCGACATGCCTTGTATTTGGTACGGCAACGGCACAAAAGTAGCAGTCCAGCGTACAAGCTCTCTCGCCCGAGTGGGTTGTCGTGGGTACCATTCGGACCACCTAACTCTGGATTCCCCACCGCAGCTCCCTGTCATCCTCCTCACACCTCGCCCAGACCCAGCCCGGAACCCCCACCATCCCCTCCACATTCCCCTCCCCCCTCCCCCCTGCTAACCCTCCCATGTTTTGTGGCTCCCTGCCAACAATACCCATTGCTTTTGCCCTAACATTGTGGTTTGGTTTATTCTACCTCCCCCCCACCTGGTTCTTCTTGATATCCATCAGCACGTCCACCGCCCGCTTGTTGAGGATGCCCGACAGCGCCTCCTCAAACGCGCCGCGCACGAACGCCGCCACACCCGTGAACCCCGACAGTCGCTTGCCCTCCAGGTTGCGGCCCACGCTGTCGCACACCTGCGCTCGGGGAGGAAGGAAGGAGGCGGACGTTTTAAGTGCGTGTTAAGAAAACTGGCCTTGAGTCGGAACGTACTGCAGGCAGGAACGTACTGCAGGTTGAGCGTGTATGCATGCCGACGTTTGTAGCCCGGCGTCTATGGCTCATTTGAGGGATCAAGGGAAGCCGCATGCGAAGCGATGAACAGGTAAAATCCGGTGGTATCATCACTGGGAAGTGACCAGTCGATCATCATTCGGAAGTGACCAGTTCGGGCGCTTATTGGAGCACATCAATAAAAGCCATGCTCCTTGATGCCATCATTGCCATGCCACGATTATGATAACGAAGACCCGGTCAAAGCCCGGTCAAAGCCCCGGTCAAGCTCCTGGTAAAAACAATAAACAAACCCCACCCCCCACCTGCGCCGCGATCTCCTCCGCCACGTTGCGCTCCATGAGCTTCCTCTTCATCTCCGCAAGCGCCGGCTCCACATCGGCCCGCGACAGCGCCGCCTTGCCCACCACGTTCATGGACAGCGAGCTCAAGAAGGACGCCAGCACGCCGCGCTTGGCGGGAGCCGCGGCGGCAGCAGCGCCGCCGCTGCGGCCACCCGCGGACCCCGCGGCACCGTTGTTGAGCAGCTCGTCGGCATCCAGCTCCTCATCCTGTCGGCGGCGATAAGGGTAAATGCGTATTGACCACATGATGACGGGAACCCCAGGAGGGGTACACAATGACGGAATGCCAGGGTGATGCCCGGGAGTTGCTTTTGCGGCATGAGGGTGGGAGCAGCGAGACGCTCCAGGGACCCGACAGCAGAAGAGTGATGACCAGAAGACCTGCTGCTCCGTTTGCCTAGCAGCCTCCCTCCAGCAACAGCACCCTTCTCCCACCCGCCTGCTCCCCCACCCCACCACCACTCACGTCATCATCGTACTCGTCCTCCTCCACGTCCATGCGCGACACGCCCGCGCGCTGCTGCGCCGCCCCCTCGTCTTCCGTGGCGGAGGCGGAGGCGCCCGACACCAGGTCCCGGTCGCTGGCGGTGGGCGGCCCCGCGTCGCCCTCCTCCGTGAAGTCAATGCGGTCGGGCTGGTCGCCCTTGCCCGAGGGGAACAGCGTGTTCCAATTGCGTGCCTGAGCAGGACGTTGTTGGAAGAGAAAGGAGTTGGAGGATGCGAGGAGACAAGAGGAGCGGCAAGGCCATTTGGTGGAAAGGCGCGGCAAGAGCGTCGGGTGGGGGGGCATGAATGGCAAGCAGGGAGGCCCCGACTGGAGGGCGGGAATCAGTAAGGACAGCGCGGCTTCGCACGCATCCTAGGGTACAACTGTTGCTGTTTGCTGCTGTGCGCCTGCGGCTGCAAACCCAGCTACCCACCACATTACATGCGCACACAACCAAGAGGCTGCCAGCGCCGCCCGGCACGTCTCAGGGAACTCAACCCAACCATCCCGTTTGCCGCATTGCGCGTAGCTCCTTACCTTCTTCTTTGGCGCCGAGTCCTCCTTCTTCTTGCTGGCAGCATTGGCACCGGGGCCCGACCGGCCGCCGCCGCGGCCGCCCCGTCCGCCCCGCGCTGCCACTCCCTTGGGTAGCTTGCTCACGTCGAAGGCACGCACGCCGTCCTGGTGGGGGCCGGGAAGACACATGGACAACGGAGCGAGGCTGGGAGGGTAGAATGCGAGAGGCTGTGATGTGGGTTAGGAGCCTAAGGACTGCCATACATGATGTGGGCTAGGATTGTCTGACATGATTTGGGTTGGAGCTGTCGAGCGCGATGTGGGTTATTAGGGGAAGGGTAAGGGACGCATATGGCAGTTGCAACCGCGACTATCACCGGAGTGGGGAGTGGGGACAGTGCTGGTTGTCTGGGACTGGAATGCCACAAGACGTGACGCCGCACGGACCAGCACGTGAAAGGGCCACAATGCTACTGCCGTGATACTGGTGATAGCGGAGTTGAAGGGAGTTGAGCTCGGAGATCGCAAGGGAAGCGACCACTTGGCTCACACCCAACCACGCCCCTCCAGCTTCCCTGCCGCGGTTACCGCTGCGTACCTCGGCTGCGCTTGTGTCGCCATCCTCGCCGCCCGCGGAGCCCTCGCTCGTGTGGCCGGGGCCGCCGTTGGCAGACGGCTTGCGGGCCCCAGCGGCATCCTCGTCTGCGTCAGCATCACCGTTGGCCTTGCCTCCCGATTGTGCCCCTGCCGACCCCTTCTTTGCAGCGGCACCACCGGTCTGCGTGAGTAAACCAGGCAGAATAAGTACCTAGCCAAACGGGTGATCGCCGGTGGCTTGTAACTCCTGCACAACCTCGCGATCTACGCTCCATGAAGCACTAACCTGCTTCGCCGAGTTAGCTGCGGCGCTGCGCATGACCGGTTGTCGCTTCGATAGTTCAGCTCGGGTTTCGGCCTCACGCAGAAGCCGATTGAACACATCGTCGAACTGCCGGTAGCCACGGTGTCCCGGTTGGTATATCCCCACGAACTCGTCCTTTACGCTTGTTAGCAGCTCGTCGACGTAGAGGAGAGACAAGGTCTTTTGGTACACAGCCACAAAGACCAAGCCAAGCCCGTTATGGAAAGTCCATTTTAACGCCTGAGCTGCGCCTGACTTGGGAACGAAGGTGAACGTGTTCTCACCCAGACGCTCCTCTAGAAGACAGCCTCTAATCAGTGCGTTAATCGCTTCCAAAGGGCTATGCCGCAGCGTTGTGAACTGGAGCATCCATAGGACCGCCCCGCCCCTCTCAAAAACAGCTACGAAGTCAAGCATTTTTGATAGCTATAGCTAACCATCCAATCAATGCAACTGATGGAAACGTCGAAGGTAAAAGCAAGCATTGTCCGTTACAAGTACGGCAACGGAAATGTCCATGTGGATCACCGATTGCACTGTTATGACTGTTGGTCCAGTAGCTGGGCCGTATGATCTGCATGTTAACTGTTCAGTTGGAGCCCTCCAGAAGCCCAACCGTCCCCACCTTCACGTTAAGGCCATCGCTGCGGCAACGTCAGCGGGGGGCGCATTATGTGAAGCCTAGGCTTCAGCACCTACAAAGCTCCAACTCTGACCAACGGTTAAGTACTAAAACATTCTCTGCCTTTACCTACGTTTACAACGCTAGATTTTCGCACCCACACACATGGGCTTCACAATAAACCTAACCTGGAAGGGCAGCAGCATAGTGGTCTACCTCAGGGATGAGGACCCGGAGTTGGGTGAACTTGGTCGCGCGATTGAAACGCAAGCAGGAGCTTCCTACGAGACAATTAAGCTTCTTCTCTCGGGCAAGAAGGGGTTCATTGCACCGGCACAAAAGCCTGAGCAGCGCGCCTCAGAAGCAGGTACGCGGGGTGGTTTTCTAGTAGGCTGAACCACGGGCCCGTAGCTGCTTGCACACAGCGATGTGGCGATATGCCTTGCCCTCGCATCTTTGCCTTCCAGAAGTTACCAGGTTACCTCCTTCCATTTCATGCCTACGTACCTCTAGGCCTGGTCAGCGGCTGCAAGGCCCTGCTGATGGCAAGCTCTGCTGAGGATGTAACGCAAGTGCGCGCAGCTCGTGACCTAACGGGACTTCGCGGCTTTGATGACGAGCTCAAGCGCGCTGCTAGGAGGCGCCGTACAGCTGCCAGCTCCGCGATCCTGCAGCCTCCTAAAGGTGAGGCTGCCTTGCCTGAGCCCCTGTCTTGAGGTATACGGCAGCCACAATGCCCTAGAACGACAGTACTACCGATGTTGATGTAATATGGTTTTCTTCCATTTCCAATTGGCCGCAGCGGAGTTTACCTTTGGTGCGTACGAGACCTGGCAACGACCGGGACTGCGCCCGCCACATGGTGACGCACTCAAGCTGCTGTACAGGTCGGCCAGTCCGTTAGTCAGTTGGGCAACTGACCGGTTTCCGGAAGCAAGTCATGACAACATTCGCGGCGCCGCTGCCCACCTTAATCTGTCCTCCTCCTCTTTCTACCCTTTAATTATACACATCCCTTTTTATAGCGTTTGTCCATGTCCCTCTATCTGTTGCCGCAGGTTGGCGAACGACCCGGGCATCCTAGGGATCATGGCCGCCCACCGCTACCATGTGCGGCTGCTTAGTGAGATGCCTCCAGAAGGCAAGGTGGGAGTCTCGCCGGTGTGCATCCTGGGCGTTAACGTTAACGCGGGCCAGGAGATCAGCTTGCGTCTGCGTACGGATGACCTCAAGGTATGGCATTTCGCATTTTTATGGTGCGTGCACCATTACTCTGGGTACAGCATAGTCTATAACCCGCTGGTTTAAGTAGTGAAAACAGGAAATTGTGGTGTGAACAGAAATGGTTAGTGATTAAAATGGTGGCCTGGCTCTGCTTGGCTCGGTTCGTTTCTTTTGCCAGGGCTTTCGCAAGTTCGAGCGCATCCGGGAGACGCTGATTCACGAACTGGCGCACATGGAGTACGGCGAACATGACAACGACTTTAAACAACTTAACTCCCAGCTAACGCGCGAGTGCGCTGCCATCCACTCCAGGTGCGTTGTGGCGGTTGGCGGTGTCTTCCGCCACTGCCGTATTGATTGCGTTCACGGGTCCATGCTACACGTACGCGTACTGTAACTTCGCATATTGAACAGGCTTGCCACCATAGCTGGAATGTCTATAAGTCGTACAGACTCCCAACTCCCGGTCTTGTTGTACTTTGATACGTTTCTACACGTTACTTAATGACAACGCGTTGCATTCCCGCCGCCCTGCAGGCACTCCGCAAGTCGCTCGCTGCTCCGCGACTTGGGCCTGACCGCCGATGATGACGAGGGCCTGCCGTCGCGTGTCAGCGAGCTTGACGCGGTACTGCTTGAAGACGAGGATGACGTTATGACGGCAACGGCGCGATTGAGCGGCAGGACGTTACGGCAGTTGGCGGCTGCGGGTGCCGCCGCCGCCAGCGGCGGCGATTCCTTGGCGGCGACAGGAGTCGCAGCAGGGATGGTGGCGGCGGCGGGGGCGGCGACTCGCGTTCTTGGGAATGGTGCCTCCTCGACGCCGGCGGCGCGAGCGGCTGCGGTTGCAGCGCTGCTGCGTACTCAGTTGCCACAGCAGGCAGCTTTGGCGGAGCATGCAGAGCCGTTGCAGTTTCCGTTGCAGATTTCGGATCCTGTCGTACCGTCTGTTAGCGGCGGCGGAGGCAGTGGACGAAGCAGCGGAGACGGGGATGCCGGTGATGGGGGCGATAGGGGCGGCGGCGACGGAATTGAGCGGGAGTTCGAGCACTACGATGCGGTGACGGAGCAGGCGGAGGAGGCGGCGAGGAGGCTTGCGGAGCCTGCAACGGCTGAGGAGGCGGAAGCGCTGAGCAGCCGGCTCGGTGAAGATGGTACCGGTATTGGCAGTGCCCCAGCTGTTCTCCATGCTGGCGGCAGTACCGGCACCCCTCGCAGCAACGTGGTAAAGGAGGGCTCGGTTCTGGGTACACCGGAAGTGATGAAGCGGCGGCAGGACGTCGAGGCTGCCGACGGGGCTGCTGCAACTGGTAACGGCGGCGTGGTGGAGGTTCTCAGATCTCCCCGCCAAATGGATGTGGATTCGCTGGCTACTGCTGCCGTCGCGGCTGCTGCTGCCGTACCGCCTGTCGTACCTCCTGTTGTCGTACCGCCGAGCAACACGGACAGCATGACTGCACCGCTGCCGCCATCACCACTGCGCCCAGCCGACGGTGACGGCAGTACGGCACTCACCGCGCGGGCACAGCTGCAGAAGCCGCCACCGCCTCCACCACTGCCCCTCATCTTGACACCACCTCCGGAGCTGTTCCTGGACGACGCCACCTCCGCCACAGTTGCTGACCAGGACCATGACGTCGTACAAGAAGTCGTACGTTCGAAAGCCCGGCAAGCCTGGACCGCCCTCTCGCAGCTGGTAGCCTCCGCCTCCCCTTCCGCACCCTCTGCCTCCTCCTCCTCACCACCACCCTCCTCAGCCTCGGCCTTCACAATCTCAGCCGCTGACGTGCTGCTAGCGCTCGAAACGCTCGAGACCTTGCTGGGTAACGCTGCCCAGCTGCCGCAGGAGGAGCGCTACCGGCGGGTGCGGCTGGGCAACGTGGCGCTTCAGCGGCGGCTGGGGCGGTTGCCGGGGGGGCTGCAGGTGTTGCGGGTGGCTGGGTTTGTGGAGGAGGGGGGGGCGGGGGCGGAGGCGGCGATGAGGCTGAGGAGGAATGATCCGGGGCTGTTGTGGCTGGTGTTGTCGGCGGTGAGGGAGGCGCGGGAGCAGGTGGCGGCACAGGTGGATGGGAGGAGGAGCAGCGGATGACAGACTGAGCTTGGCTTTGTTTGGCTGAAGTGGAGTCGGAAAGGTTGTTAGGGCAGGTGATCCCTGACGTGGCACAAGGTTGAGAAGAAGGCGTTTGTGGGTTGCCCCAGTAGTTCAATTGTAATGGAGTATAGCATAGTTGAACACATGTCGCGCCCGTCGGCAGCACCTGGAACAGGAAGTCACGTTGATGATTTGTCCGCTAGCTTTGTCACGTCTTGAGAAACACTTGTATAGTCGTCAGCTGATACGAATCTTGGTTCAAACGGTGGAAGTGTGAAAACCCACTTTTGAATCAAATCACATACACGTTTCGAGTATTTAAAAGGAACAAATCGCCAAAATCATAATCAACCATCTTGATCGATTAACCAACGTGATCCGCTCGCCATGGATAGCAGCATCCCTCCGTCCAATGCACCAACATCGAGCTTTATCACGCACGCTGGACAATAACACACTACCGTACCATGACATGCAACAGCCGCAGAACCACCTCAGCAGCCAAATAGCAGTATCACGCCCACCTCCTTGCTTCAACCCCTCAGCCAAAACCGTCCCAAGCCGCCAGTCCTCAACAACGCTTCGTCCACCTTGGAGCACCTTCCACCCCCATACCATGCACCCAATAATCCATGCAGCACACAGCCGGTCCTAACCAACACGTTAAATCGATGTTAGATCACGTTCCCCCACACCCTGCGCCGCCGCGGCAATCCTGCCCTCCAGCCAAGCCCAAGTATCTGCAACCTCCCCAGCCTCCCCAACCCCATCCGCGCCGCCATTCGCGTTCTTACAGAACCCGGTTTCATGGCTTGTGACGCCGCGACCCCCTTACAGCTTGCTCATGGCCAGCGCCTCCAGGAACTGCTGGCTGGCTCCGTCCGCCGCGTGCTGCCGGTGCGCCATCACGTACTCCATGGCCTCCACCATGGTGTCGGGAACCACCCGCCGCACCGGGCCGCTGGGGCACATGAAGGCGAAACTAGGGGGGCAGGAAAGGAGGGAGGAGAGAGCAGGGAGCAGGGAGGAGGGAGCAGGCAACAGGAGAGGAAGGTGGGAAACAGGGGCGGGGACAGGTGAGGAAAGGGTGGGAGATTCATGACCATGTTCCAGCCTTCTGTGGTAACGGCCACACAGTGCTTCGTCGAGGCTGTGTCACCCAGCACCCCCCACCTGAACATGTTGGTTGTGACGCCCTGCTCCGGAGCTCCCGGCTCCACCTTGCTGGCGCGCACGTGCACCCGGATGACGGGGCCGTCCACGAACACCACCTGGCCCGTCAGCCGCAGCAGCGCGCCGATGGGCACGGGCAGCAGGTAGGCCACGTCGTCCATGGACAGCGACTGGCAGTACACGCCTGCGGGGGTGCATGGCAGCGGGTTGGGGCTCGTTGGGTCACGTGGCAGGGAGTTGCGCGGCAGTGGACATTGTGGGTAGGAAAAAGGAAGGAGGAGGGGGCGAGGGGACATGAGGGAGCATTTGAACATGTAGCATCCCTCGAGAGGACACCTAGCATGCGCAGCCCCCTACCCCGCCTGTTTGTGAACCCCCCCCTCCAACCTCTCACCTGCATGCAGCGCGGCGGTGGCGAAGGCGTGCTCGTACGCCAGCCTCAGCAGGTGCCCGCCGAAGATCACATCCCACACATTGCGGTCCTGACTGCGGAGGTCGGAAGGAGTAGAGCAGATGGAAAAGAATAATATCCAAAATGTGTTGCGCAACAGTGGCAAACCAGGTGGAAGGAGTGAAAGGGTGTATACTACAATGGAGAACCGCTGGTTTTCCTGCACAACTCCGGTGCTTTTTAACCCCCTGGTATGAAGACCACAACCCTTTACCAACACCGGCGCCTTCTCCACACCACACCAAACCGCTCATGACCTTACGTAGTCCCGCTCCCCCCCCCGCTCCACCCGCCCCTCAACCCCACATCACGCAGCTCACGTGTGCATGAGGCAGCTGTTCTCCAGGACGGTTCGCCGCATGGGCACAATGTTGGCCGGGGCTGCTAGCGACTGGCCGTTGGAGGAGGAGGCGGTAGCGGGCTGGGAGAAGTGGTGGGTGCGGATGAGGTCGTGGATGATGGCGATTTCCTCCACCGTGGGCGCCTTGCGGGCCCAGTGCGAGTCGCGGCGCTGCTGCCGCTGCCGCATGTGCAGCTGCGTGAGCGCGTGAGCAGCGGGAGGACGTGAGCAGCGGGAGGACGTGAGCAGCGGGAGGACGTGAGCAGCGGGAGAATGACGAGGACAGAGGGAGGGGTAGGGGAGGAGGCCCAATGTGTTGGGAGGGGGGAGGAGAGTCGGTATGGCAAGGGCGACGTCGACGGGGGTGGTAGGTGGTGGGAAATGGGATGGGAGGTCCGGGTTAGGCCCTGCACACCACCAACACTACAGAAGCAAGGGCAGGGTCATAGCAACTCTGCATGCCAGCTAGAGCGGTACTTCCAGACATCCTCGCTCTGCGTCTTGGCCATTGCCATCTGCCAAGCTCCCTCCCCCCCTACGGTCAGGGTCAGTGTTTCCGCGGCTCAGTTTATCTAATTCTCCCCTCCTCCACCACCACCACCCCCCGCCCCAATGCATCCAATTATGGAGCCTCGTCATACATTCCGTCAGTTTCCTTATTCTCATCCAACGCAGCATACAGCTCGTCAGTTTCCTTTCTCTATCCCCCAACGCACGCACCTGCCCTTGCATGAACAGCTCCCGCTCCCGGGCCGTCTGCACGGTCAGCGCCGGGATCTCCGCCGCGCGCTTGCGGTCCGGCGTGCGCGCCACCAATACGAAAAACGCGCGGCCCATGTAGTTCCACTGGGCCGCCCCCGGGAGCTGGTACGACACCTCAATCAGCACCTCCATGCTGCTGCGCCCCGCCCACACCACCTGCCCCGCCATGCGCAGGTCGTGCGCCAGCGACACCTCGCCCATGCTGGGGTCTTTGAGCCAGGAGATGCGGTCGATGGAGGCGGTCAGCAGCACCTTGCCCTCCATGCCGGCGTGCCGAGCGGCGATGTCACCTGGGGGGAAAAAAAGAATCCCAAGATGTTTGACGATGCTGGTGGGGTAGGTTGCAGGGTGGGCGGTGAGCGGGTGCGTGAGGCAGTTGAGCGGGTCAACACTGAGGTTGCTGACATGCGTGGCATGTCATGGTGTTTTTCAGTCTCTCAATGTGTTGATCCCATGGCGGGGGGGTGTTCCCGGTGCGACTGCTCCACGTGAACCAGCGGATCCCATTATGTTGGCCTACCGGCCAACGTGTCCAAGTCCTCAAGCAGCAAACCGAAGCGCATGTTGTTGGAGGTGAAGCGCTGGTACTGCTCCCGCAGCGTCTTGCTGCTGCTAAAGGGGAAGACCAGCTCTAGGTAGCTGTCGCTGGGGGCCCGCTGCTGCGGAGAGATTTTGGCAGCGACGGTGGGCTTCGTCGCCACGGCTGCGTCAGTAGAAGCACCGCTGGCGGCAGCAGCAGCGGATTGGGGACCATTCGACGCCCCCGGCGAAGCCGCTGCAGCGCCTTTAGCGGCAGCGCTGGCAGCAGCGGCAGCTTCGCGAGCCTTGACAGCCCAGCTGATGTATGCCTCTGAAGCCTCTGGGTCCTCGTTTCGTGGCTGTATGGAGGTGATAGGAAGTTTAGTCGCGCTTCGCCAAAAGGCAATATCGGAGCATAGATACATAAATCACGGTAACGTACCTTGTATCTTACTACAAGACCACGGCTGCCGCCACGTCGGCTTTCACCAACTTCGTATGAAAATGGAAGAGCAAATTTTGCCTCCTCAAGAGGAACCTTCTTGAGCGCTTGGGGTTCTTCAATACGCAATGTGCTAATCATTTTTGTCCCTACGCGCTTAATGCTCGTGCTAGATCAAATGTTTGTAACTAACTGGGCTGGCATGCCAAAGCATAGCTTGCACGTAACCATGGAATGCGCCACGCAAGCTTCTGTTGACAGTCGTACACACCATGCAGGCCGGAACCGGAGGAAGCCTAACGGAAGCCCATGCTGCTATGTGCAGATATTAACAATACATTCTCGACATCGTTACTTCGAGATTGTGGTTTTGGATGCGATTGTATCAAGTACCCCAACTACCCGATCGTCTTCGGAGCAGTGACGAGGGGAATGTATGAAGCGTATGCAGCTTCATTGCAAATGTATGCGGGGTAAAGCGGAGGCGTTCCCAAGAAACATGGCTTGCACCCACAAGGCAATCCCCAGCTAGCCTTCCCGCTTGCCGTGGTTGGGAGGATTTATGAGCTGTGGCTAGGTGCGTTGGGGATGTGCCTCAGCAGTTATGCCTTCGATGCCATGTCAGCAGCTGACCACATTTCACACATGTTCGCCACTATGGGCGGGAGGGTTGGGTTGGAATTAGCAACTGCCACACATGCTACGCGCATGGCTACGAGAATAGTAACGGCCTCTTGTACTGAGACGCCAGGGGTTTAAGAGTATGAAATCGCGGATTTATCCGCAGCTGTGTCATGTGGCTTTATTGCAAGCCCCAGCTGCAAACTGAGGATGGCAAGGGCGGCCCAAGGACCGTGTGTGCTATATGGCCAAAATGCGGGGGGAGCTTTGGTGCCGGGGGACGCCGAGGACATACATGTAACTGTCGTAGGCAGAAGGCAGCGGGTTGTGGCGTGTGCTGTTAGCCTACTGCGTAAGGAACCCTCGTCAGCTCCCTCCACCCGTGTTTCCCTCCCCGTTGCTGCCATAGTGCTTCCACCTTGACTTCACGACGGCTTCGCAACGAAGTGGTTGGGAAACATGGAAGTTTGGTGTCGTTTAGCAAGCTGATTCCATGTGTTCGTTGTCGGCTTCAGCAGGAAGGCCTGGACTAGTGCTGCTTCATGAGTAATAACCCCGTTCTAAAACATATCTAGATGCTGCCAGCTGATCAGAGAACAGGAACCGCGTAACACGATGTTGTGCAGGATGTACGGCGTTAGGGACGCCGTACTCGTGTTACTGATTAACAGTTTCAATGCTCAGTGAGCTTAGCACATGTATTGAGAAGGCCGTCCTAAAATTTAAGCACGGTAACTTGGAATGAGCCACACACAACCTTGCTGATTGCAGCAAGCAATCGTGTTACTGAGGCGCTGGCGCAGTTTCTCTACTGGAAATACGCCTAGTTGCTGCTGAAAGATGTATTGGTTATTGCGGCGCAGTGGTGTTGTTGGACAACTTCTTAGGACTTAACAAGCGGCACGTGCTACCTTGTTGACTACCCCTGAGCGCCATATGTGGCATATACTACCGCGCCAGTCTCAGGCAGAACGGAGCCATGGTTGGCTTAAAGCCTTGCACTTTGTGGCCGTCGTCATACTTGCGTTGGGAATTCCATCGCCCACCAGAGGTACAACAAGCCCAAGCTGTCGCGGATGCGAGAAGCTATGGGAGCTGGCACGCATAGAAAACGGAACAGATTTTATAGAACTCAATCGGGCGTCAGGGCGCCTTCATAAGGACTTGGTGCTCGTGAAGGCAAATACCACAGCTGACCTCGCACTGGCCCAGCAATTGTTTCGCGTTGATACGCTCATTAGCGCCCAAGAGGATTCGAGCGTAGATCTCTACTTTGGGTCTTACTCTCAGGGTCTTTTGCTGGAAGAAGGTAAGGGTGACGTACGGAGTTGGGGTAAGGGTATCCGCGCCTGTTAACTCTGACTCCTAGTTATGGCCTCCTGCATTTAAGTCCGACTCTCCACTCGCGGCCAGTTTCCTTAATACACACGGGATGTTGGACTCTGCCGTGTCTAGTGTCGAAGGGTCATGGGCCTGCGCTGGATACCTCAAGGCATCCGTAACAATCGCTCATCATCGGACTAAGCGCTGAAACCGTCTGCAGCTTTTCTGGCTGTGATGTGCAGCACAACAACTGAGCGGGGGGTGTCCTTGCATGGGAGGCACCCTTTCGTTGTGGCTTTAGTGGGCTTCCACACTCCCCTTATGCACGGACCTCACCCCTTCAGTTATAGACTAACCTGCTACACCCCTCCGGTCCCCTGCGCCAGGTGTGGTACTTACGCTGCAAAACCTCATCCTCCAAAACGTCATTGCAATCTTCGCTAGCGACGGAAGTGGCGGCAACATCAATGCTACCAGTAACAACAGCAGCACCAGCACTGGCGGCACTAGCGGCTGGTCCCTGTCTCTGGACGCGTTCGAGCTGTCCCGCGGGTCACTGCTCCGGCTGGTGCGCACCGAGGTCGTACTGGCGGACTGCGGAGTGGCACGGCAGCTGTACGACGCGGCGGGGCAGCAGCAGCAGCAGCAACAGCAACAACAGGCTGGGGCGGCGGCAGCTTCATCAATGTTGGCCAACGTCACACAGGTGCGTTCCGTAGGGTGCGTTTCGGGACGCCCTTGCTCACAGGCGTCGGTTCTTTGTCTACGCTCAGAATGGTCAACCCTGGTTTGAGTTTTTACTAAACGGCTGCGCAGGGCCAGGTTCCGGACGTGCGGATTGCATACTGGAGCTCGGCGCAGCTAGAAATGCGGGACGTGTACGTGACTTGCAGCCAGGTAAGATTGCTGTGATTAGGACTGCTGCAACCTATAGGCCCCGGAGCTGCTATGGGTTAAGCAGGATGCCATTGCGGTATTTGAACAATGTGAAGTTCAGCAACGTGCAATCTCTGCACGGACGACATTGCCCCCTCTGCTCCTGGCGCTTGCCTCTCATTACAAGCTTCTGCATGCCACCATGCATGCAACAAAACGCAGGTTTGTGACCCCACAACTGGCGTACGAACCCTGCCGGTGGCCTCTGCGGCGTCCTTGTACGACGCGTTTGCGATTGTGGACGATCACCTTGACGGTTGCAGCGCCTATGTCGTACAGCTGGCCACCAACGTGTCCCTGGCCGCCGCGCTGTCAGCTGGCCAACAACAACAGCAGCTGCAGCAGCAGTCAACATGGCCGTCACCGCCGCCACCGTCTCCCCCGGGCAACAGCGCCTCTCGCCGGTTGATGGCTCTGCAAGCGTCAGGAACCGGGACTTGGGGCCGTGGCGGCGCTGGGAATGGACCCCGGCGGGGTTCCCTGTACGGCACTGCTGATTGGCGCCGCCGGCAGCAGCAGCAGCAGCGGGGGCATGATGGGCTCGTACTGCCGTACGGCGGGTCCCAGCGGAGGCTGTTGGGCACAATTGGTGCTGCTTCCGGCACAGCGGGCCCTATGTTTGATGTGTCGGTGCGTACAGGGCATTCCTTTCAGGCACTGTAGCCAACTGGGTAGCATCTGCTATGGTCGTTCTTTCATCTACCGGCTTGTCACCCCAGGCCATCTTTATGGGTTGCTGCCCTTGTAGTCATGCAGATATTCGCTTTCCATGCCATTTGCCATCCCCTACCCACCTCCTAGACCCGCCCTTACCTCCTTCAACCGGCGCCCCCATCCCCCGGTGCGCAGGCGAACCTCACCATTCGCGGCTCCTCCTCCTCGGCCTCGGCCACAGTGCTGGACACCTCTCAGCTGTCCTCCCTGCTGCGGCTGCGGCCGCCCGCCAGCCTGGCAATTGAGCAGCTCACACTCACCAACCTGGCAGTGCAGCAAACGGGGGTGCTGGCGCTGCCGCTGTACTTGGTGGATGCGGCTTCGCGACTGGCTGCAGCAAACTGGACGAGCAATGAAAGCGATGCTAGCAGCAACAGCAGCAGTAGTAGGGTTAGCAATGCAGGGCCAAGGGTTCTGTTGCGGAACGTCACGCTGGTTATGGCGGGTGATGAGTTGTCGTACTTGATCTCCTGGCTGAAAGCTTATAAGGATAAGCCGACGACGCTGGACTCGGATCAAGTGGCATGGCTGCAGGGCATCGTGCGGGATGCCAAGGTATGGCATAAAGGTTGAGTGGCGTGGGTTAGGCTTAGGCTTGGTTGGGGTTAATAAGTCTGGGTGTTCAAGTGATTTGCCTTATAGGGTTGGCCGTGATTTCCTGCGCGCGCTGCCCCTCCTTCAATACTGGCATTACTTTGTTTGCCCGCTCGCTGCCTCTCTTCTTCTGTGTGCATCACTGGGTTAGCCAACATTGCCCCTATCGCGCTGTCGACCCCACCTTTTCCATCCATGCAGTTGCAGTCCCTCGCCCTGAGTACCCTTGCCTTGGCGCGATTCCGCATCTGGGACATCAACGCCACCAACCTGCGGCTTACCTCGGTAGCCCCTGTTGGATTCACGCTGGTTCAGCCCATCATCGGCCTCTCCCACTTCTCCTCCACGCCCCTGGAGCCCTACCCGCAGATCGTGGTCCTGAACTCCAGCGCGGGCCTGGCGGCCGTGCTCAACGCCTCCACCGGCAGCCTCGTCTCCCCGGGTAACACCGCCTACACCGCCTACCCTGGAGTGCCCACCCAAGCCGCCGTCTCGCTGCTAGCCAACGCCACCACCACCACCTCCACAGCCGCGTCCCTCTCCGCTACTTCCGCAATAACGACAACCACCGCTTCCACCACCAGTGCTTCCTCCTCCTCGTCAACTAATGTCACCACGCGCGTCACCGCATACTACGCGCCCGTGCCGTACGGAAATGTGGTCCTCAAACGCAGCTACGTGCTCGGGTCACAGCTCTTCTTCCATCCTTACCCTCAAAACACCACCAACGCCACCACCAGCACTAACAGCAGCAGCAGCACCGCCACTAGTACAGCATCCTCCTGTTCCTTCTCACCCGCCGACCCCCCTGCCGTCCTGGACTTTGGCGGCGCGCGCAGCACCTGGGCCTCCTTCGCCTCCTCTGGGCTGTGGCTGGCGCTGCGCAACCTGACACTGATAGGCCTGGACTCGCCTGCTCGCTGGCCTGCCGCATCTCCGCGCCTGGTGCGCTGCCTGGACCTGCCGCTGTGGGCGCTGCAGGCGGAGCGGCTGCCCTCGCTGGCCGGGGAGCCTCCCGCGCTGAGGCTGGCGGGGGTCACGCTGAGCGTGTCTAGCCAGGAGCTGGCGCTGTGGGCGGCGTGCTATGAGGTAGGCAGACGGGGTTTGTGGAGGCGGGGTTTTAATTGAGTATGAGCGTTCTTTTGGGAGTGGGGCGGAGGTACCAAAGGATGGACGTGCATGGTTGGTCTGGATTCAAAAAAGAGTCCTTTGTGGGTGGTTGAAGCCGTCAACGTTTTGCTGATGCGGCGGAAGCCAGGCGATCGGGGCACAGCCGCGTTTTTAATCGTTTGCCACACACACACACGCATGTGTTACGTTACAGGTTCTGACGGCGAATGGAACATCGTCATCAGCCAACAGCTCTTCTTCCCAGGCCAGCGGCTTTACCCAGGAGTTGGAAGTCGCTTGCGAAAGCCTGGGGTTGCGGTCCTTTGTGGCTAAGATGGAGGGCGCCCATGCGTTCAAGATCTATCTTTTGGAGGTACGGCCGGATCGGACGTTCGGGGAATTTGTTCGACCAAAAATCTCCATGGAAGGGCTCTTTTCAAGATACGAACTGAGGCGCCTGGGCAGGGCTCAAAGCGGGATACCTTGTAAGGCTTTTGATGCGTGCGTCGCGCTCGCTTTCCGTTGATGTAACTTCGTATGGGGCCTCTCTTTAGGTATGTTAGTCTCCGCTGGCATTGACGGAGCACGTGCGCACAGTGACAGTGCACACAATCACAGTACGTTTCGCCTCGCGGCCAGTTATTTTAACACAGTGACAGGACGGAGGCGTTACCTTGTGACCTGCATGACCTGCTGCAAACCACAGGGCATGGGGATGCAGATCAAGGATTCCGTCCTGCGAGATGACATCTTGCCGTACCACCGGTACGACATTGCTGATTTGCTACCAGGTGAGCAAGAGCCTAGTTTCTGTTCGGTTTCGTTCTTGTAACCTACACTGTGTTTAGTTTACCGTTTTGGCTTTGGTGTGGTGGCTGTCAAGTTCCGTAAATTCTGTCCTACATCTCCTCGTGCAATGTGAAGGTCTTTCGCCTAGATCTTTATCACCACCAAGCCCAAGCTCGGTAGACACGCAATCTTCCGGTCGGAGCCGGAAATGGGTCATCCCGCTCGCGGTAATTGTCATCATGGTATTCCTAGCCACTGCCGCAATCATTTACGTCTACATTCGGAGCCGAAGGGGCCTGGAAAAGGACGGACCGTATGTGAATGTCCACATGACCAAGATGATGAATGATACGGGCTTGCGATCGTACGCAATGGAGGGGTTGGAGAAGCGAAGTTCACGGCGGCCGGCTGGCAGTGACCCATGGGACACGGGACGCAGCCGGAGCGTGAGCCGGCTGAGGTTGCCAGGCCTTCTATCACGGGTGAGCTGTTGCACGAGATCATGCGAAACTTGGACTCATGTAAACCGATTACATGGAGTGACACATAATCCTTTAGCTGGGGCTATTAACATAATTAAGTGGGGCTCCAGGTAGGGCTCCAGGTCGCAACTCCTGGAGTTGCGGCTGTCTGTGGCAAAGCAGGGCGTCATGTGCGTGTGAGCTGACGTATCCTTCAAGTGCATAGGCCTGCATGCTTACCGGTACTGTCATTGTGTGCACACTCAAACGACACAGAGCCGCAGCACCCGGCCGGGTCCTGGAGACGGCGACGAAGGCGACCAGGCGGCTCCCGTTCGGACTGTTACCGGGGAGGATCAGCAGCTCGGCAGTGAGCGAGGGGGCCCGGTGGAGGCTGGAAGCGCTGCGAGCGCTAGGCACAGGCCGGGGCAGGCCGGTTCGGACGCCAGCAGAGGTAGCGGCATGGTGCACATGGGCGGCAGCGGAAACACCGCACCGGTGTTTAACCCCGTACGCGCGTCGGGGACTGTGGCTGCAGTCGCCGGGGTGGGGGCGGGAGGGGTGGAAATGTCGTACGGCATGCCGTGTCGGCAGAGCGGGACTGCAAACATTGGCGTTGCGGGTAGCGCTGTCGCTTGTGAGGATGGCGTGGGCGGTGGTGGAGATGCTGTCGGCGGCAGCGGTGGATGGGAGTACAGCATGTACAATGCCACCGCCGATGTGGCTAAGCCAGACTTCAATGACGGAACCTGGCAGCAGCAACAGCTACAGTTGCAGCAGTTTGTGGGAACAATGGTGGGTCACATGTGCGCCGCAGGGTGCCCAACGCAGCAGCAGCAGCCTATGATGCCGCACGCTATGATGACGACTGCGGACATGGAGGGCGAAGGCGTAATGATCATGGCCATGCCGGCAGACACGGCGACAGCAGTACGGCAAGCCGCCGCGGCACCACTTCTGGGCGCTGGTGCGCCTCCTCCGCCGGGAACCCCCGCGACAGCATTGCTAGCCACCGACGCATCGTACGGTGGTAGCATGCCGCCTGATCCGCTCTTAACCACACAAGGTCATGGGACTACTTGTGGTGGTTCAACCTTTATCGACTCTTCGTTGGCCGGAAACGTCCTTGAGTCGGCGTCCTTCAACCCGGCACAGCTGCAGGCCGCAGGTCAACAGCGAATGGTGGACATGGCTGCGACGTTTGCCCTGCCTGCAAGCGGCGGCGGCAGTGGCAGTGGCGGCGGCTGCGCTGCTGCATCCCTGGAGCAGGATGGCTCCGCCGGAAGGCCGAGCAGCCAGCACGGCGCCTTTGGAGGCAGCTCGCCATTAGTTAACGTAAGTATGGGCGACTGCGGCAATGTGTGGTTGCTTGTCATGTGTTTTTCCGCGTATCTACATGTGCATTTCGCTGCAATAGCAACCAGCAGACTGATACAGGCTGAGGCTCGTACTGCGCTTCCCATCGTAGGCCATCCGGCAGCTCACAAGATCCGCATCTTCAAACGCCGCCATCGTGAGTCACCGTTCGGCGCCGCTCATGCAGCCGCCGCTGTCACAGTCACGCCTGCAGCCCCAACCGCAACGCTCATTGCTTGGTCAGGAGGGCGCCCGGTCCGCAGGACATAGCCCACATGCGATCTGCGTTCCTGGCGGTGGCGGCGATAGGCCCAGCGTGGTAACGTTTTCCGTCACCAAGCGTTCCCTAAAGTTGGTGGAAGGTGGAGCTGTGGCGACCGACCCACGGTTCGCCACCGCTGCCGTGGCAGGCGTCGGGAACTCAGGGGAATCTGGCCATTCAATGGCCAGCCAAGGCAGCCCACGCCATGGCTCGCCGGGGGGAACGGGTGAAGTCAGTCGATCAGCCATGCCTAGTCCGCAGCCAAGTTGGCCGCAGCAGCACCAGTACCATTCCGGATCCAGCGGTGGTTTTGTGGAACATGCGCACGACCTAGCAGGAGGCTTGTGCACAGCAGCAGCCCTCGATGCCGCCGGCTCCGGCGGCGGCACAACAGCAGGCTCGCATCACCGGCTGCCGCCCCCTGCGTCCCCAACAACTCCGTTATTTTCTCGTACGGCATCTACGAAAGCGACTTCACATGGTGGTTCGGCAGGCAGGATGCACGGAGGGAGCAGCAGCGGTGGCGGCGGCAGCCGTGCAACGCCTACGTTGCGGCCAACCATGGCGGGGGACTATACGACATCTACGGCGTCAGATCCTACAGCCGTGGCGAACGCGGGCCAGCTCGCGAGCCCGCGACCCATGGGACGGCGAACCGGTTTCCAGGTGGGTTTCAGCCCTTCAACAATGCGCCCTTCGATCGGCTGGTAGCTTTTTGCTGCAGGACGCTTTTACAGCTGCAAAGCTGCATACCGGTCATTGCACCTTGGTTGCGCTGATCAGGCCTCTCAATGACCGTGCAGCTTTTAGTCCACTGCTGTTGTTGTCAGTTACCTTGTGGCAACCGGACCGCCACCTCATGCCCCCTCATGCGCCCAGGCGAACTCCTCCATGTCCCGGCTGAGTGAGGCGACCTGGGGCCGCTCCGACAGCTCCCGCAGCACTGCCCTGCTGGACGGCGTCCTTGGAGGCGGCAGCGGCGGCAGCATCACTGGCGTCGCTGCCGCCACCGCTGTCGTCGCGGGGCCGTCTGCCGGTGGCGGACCCAATGCCCACGCCGCCGACGCCGCTGCCCACACCGGCAGCGGCAGTGGCGGTGCAGGCGGCGGCGGCACATCTGGCGGCGGCGGTACTGTCTCCAAGCCCGGCTTTGGGAAGCTGCTTGTGGGCTCGTTAAGCACCCTGTTCCGAGTGGACAACCTCACCGTCGGTCTCCAGAAGAACTCCTCACCACCGCCCAGCCTTACTCCCAGCGGAGGCAGCGGAACCAGCGGCGCCCCCTCCGGCAGGTACCATCGTGCAGAATCCGGCCCGTCCCGCGCCAATGCCGGCGGCAACGCCGGCCAGGGATCCACAGCAACGGGTACGACAGTGCGAGCCGGACGAACGAGCGTGAACGGGCCCAATGCGGGCGGCGCTGGGGCCAGTGGCGGCGGCGGCGGCGCTGGGAGTGCTGGCCGTGTGAGCACGGGTCCAGCTGGGCTGGGTGCCACTCTTACGGAGCTGAGTGCGGACATGGAGCGGAGTGTGAATGAGAACCAGCTGGTGATTCAACAGCCGCTGGGGGCGGGAGCCTTTGGAACGGTCTATAAAGGTGAGAGACTCGCAGGTCCAGGGGTTTCCGTTCCTGTTTTGGGACGAAGATGTGGACCGTTATGACGACGCACCAGCGTGCATCCGTCTCTTCAACCCGCGTGATGCCGTCCTCACACCGAACACCCCTGGTCTGCTGCCCCTCATCCTCCTCTCCTTCCCTACGCGGCCCCCCTTTGCAGCGCTGTGGAAGGGGCTGCCTGTCGCCGTCAAGACCATGACGCTCACCTCGGACGCCGTCACGCAGGGCCGCCACGCAGCGCTGGTGGAGGCGGCGCTGTCAAAGTGAGGCGGCTTGTGTTTGTTGGGGGGGGTAACGTGTATGGGGTTTACTTTAAGGAGGGAGCTTGGCGGCAGGGGGACGGCATGTAGGCCATGACGGCGTTGACGTACCGCTCACCCCGTCTTCCACCGTTCCACGTGCATGCGCCGCAGGTCCATCTACCACGCCAACGTGGTGACCACCTACACGTGCGACCTGAAGCCCATGCACGTGGACAGCCACCGGGGCGGCGCCATGACGGGGCTGCACATCACCAACGAAACGGAGGTCATTCAGGAGTGGAGGCTGTACATCGTGCAGGTGTGGTGGCGTGGCGTGGAGAGGATCGGTGTGTACGTGGGGCACGTTACAGCTCGTGTGTGCAGGGCCCTCTTTGCTGCACGCATGGCCAGAGTCCCTCTTTGCGCTCGCGTTTTGCGGCTACGGTACCGTTATTCATTCCTTTTGGGAGTCCCTGCAAGTAGCAAGTCCTCATCCTGGGGTCACCAACCTCTGACCCCTTTTGTTGGCCGCTTGGTCCCCCCCTCACAGGAGTACTGCGACGGTGGCAGCCTGCGCCATGCCATCGAGGCACGCTCCTTCCTCAACCCAGCCACCGGCTCACCGCAGCTGGAGTGGGTGCTGCAGGTGGGATGGGGCGGAGGGGCTGCGGGAGGAGGGGCAGGCTGGCACTGGGAGAGCCAGGGTGTTGGGATTTTGCTACCTCCCTGTGCCACAGACCGGCCCGGGTGCTGACCTCCTCCTTGTCGTCCCGCGCTGCTCCCGGCCTGTCCTCTCACTCGCCTCTCCGCAGATGGCTCGAGAGGTGGCTAGCGGGCTGCAGTACCTGCACGAGCACAACATCATCCACGGAGACCTCAACCCCGCCAATGTGCTGCTGAAGCACGACGACGGCAGCGTGCTGGGCTACACCGCCAAGATAGCGGACTTCGGGCTGTCGGTGCACATGCAGGCGGAGCAGGTGGGGCGGGGCGGAGGGCAGGGAGGGGGAGGACGGGCTTCTTCTGGACGACGGGATCAGGTTACCGGTATATCGGCTGCTTGCAGTGGCGGTCATGTTTGGCCTCTTCTGTGTACAGAACCTTTGCTAGTGTTGACCCACGGACCCCCGTACGGCTGATGTTGTCCTGCATGCAGAGCCATGTGTCCAACACCAAGCGGGGAACGCCCTTCTACACCGCACCTGAAGGTAAGCAACAACACACTGGCACACATTGCGGCCAGTTTTCCTAACGCACCGCTGACACCGTAAGCTAGATGGGTGATCCCCTGCTCCACATGTATCTCCAGCGCTGCTTCACACCTTCCCCTCCTTGCCCTCTCCCAGTCACCCACGCCGGCAACCTGACCCGCTTCGCCGACGTCTTCTCGTACGGCGTGTTGCTCTGGGAGCTGTACTGCAGCCGCTCCTGCTGGACGTACGGGCCGCAGGGCCGGTTGGTGCAGCAGCGCGGCTTCCCGCACCTGCCGCCCACCTGCCCGCGCAGCTTCGCACAGCTGGTCAGCGCCTGCATGCAGCCGGCGCACAAGCAGCGACCCACCTTCAAACAGATCGGGCAACAGCTGGAAGGTATGCTTCGGGACTGTGAGCGTGCGGCTGTCGGAGGAACGGGTGATTGGACTGTCGCATCAGGCAGCGGTATGGAATGGAGGTCCGAGGACGGCAGGCGGCCAATGCCAGCGCAGCCGCCGCCGCCGCAGCACCAGCACCAGCAGCAAGCGTGGCAAGGGCCGCAGCAACATCAGTCGCCATTGCGACTGACGCATAGCATGGCGACGCTGAATCCTGCAGCAGCAGCGGCGGCTGGTGCCAACAGCGGTAGTGGCGGCGGAGAACACCTAAGGGCTGAGCGATCCAGCAGCGGCCCAGTAGGCCACGGCTACGTCCGTGACAGCGGCGCAGTGCTGAATCGTGCACACTCCACATGCGCTGCCGCCGGTGCCGCCGCCGCTGCTGCCACCGCCGTTGCGGAATTCCCAGTTCCACCCAACATGGGTGCTACGTCAGGAGCCGCCGCCATGCCGCCCGCTGCTCCGTACGTCCAGGTTGTTTCCCCAGTCGTGGCTGCCACGGCGGTGACGGGTGTGGAGTCAATCCCAGCCGGCACACCCAACACAAGCGGCGCAGCGTTCTTGGGCAGCTGCAGCGATGCAGTTGCCGCTGCTGCTGCCGCAGCGCCCGTTGCAGCCGCCGTCGGAGCTTTTGCGGGGGGTCGGAGCTATGCAGCAGTGGTGGCAGCGCCGTCACTGCCGCTCCCAGTTGCGGCTGTTGCTGTTGAGTCCACGCGGCATAATGAAAGCAGCGGCAGTGGCGGTAGCGGCGGCGGCTCCTCGCTAGCTACTCCCTGCCAGCAAGACACTCCAGTGCTAGGCCAACCGCCACAGCTGCCGCAACCGGCGGCGGCCCAGCAGCCATCGGAGGCAGCCCCTGCAGCAACTGGTACGGCAACGCTGGCCACCATACCGGCCTGTGCTCTACCTCCTTTGGGTGCAGCAGCCGTGGAAGAAGAGCCTGCCGCTGCCGCTGTGGCAATGGAAGCTGGGCCGACGGGGCAGCAGGTGGACGCAAGCCGGGGTGCCACATACAGTGAACAGGCAGGCCAGGCAGGGGAGGTGAAGGAACAGGTGAAGGTCGCAAGTGCTGCTGCTACAGGTGAGGCTGGTATGGCGTCAGCAGCGTCCGTAGATTCAGCGGCAGCGGCGCCGTCGGTGGCAGCGGGGGCGGTGGGTGTGGCTGTGGATCCCTTTTTGGCTGCAGACTTGCTCATTTCACCGGCCACGTCTGTCCTCGTAGCAGCTCTGCATGCGGATGACGAGCCCAAGAACCAAGAACATGCCACGGACACGACGCTGCCAGCTGGAGGTGCGGCTCCTGCTGAGATTACGGCCCCCAGCGGCTCTGCTAACGTAACCTCAGCTCCTCTTGGCGACAGTGCCACTTCTCGTACGGCTGCCGTGAAGGATACGACGGACGCCAGCCCTGCTGCAGCTGCCGCCGCCACTGCCAATGCTGGCGTGGTCGCCGCCGTCGCCTCCGTCGCAGCCCCGCCTCCGGCTGCTGCTGCTGGTGCCCATAGCGGTGGTGGCGGATCCTCCGGCGGTACGAGTGGCGGCAGCAGTGGCAGCAGCAGCGGCAGCAATGGAGCTCCCGGCGCGTTTGCTAATGTGATGCGGGCGTTCGAGATCCCATCAGAGGTGCCTCGTTTCGGCCGACCTGACCTACCCACAGTCCATGAGTCCGACGGTGAGGAAGCCGCAACGGAGGATGGGGTTGCGACAAAGGCACTGCTCCCGGCATATGCGCAGCTTAAGAGCGCCAGCAACAGCCGCGCTGGAGTCCAGAAGAAAGGCGAATTAGCGGCAGCTTTGGGGGGGGTGCAGGAAAGCGCAGGCGCGGCCGCGGCTTCCGCCGAGACTGCCGAGGTTGCTGCCCCTAACCGCAAGCCATCGCCGCCACCGGGCTCTGCGACAGCTGTATGCGGCAGCTCCGCCGTGCCCAACTTTTCGCGCTCGAGCTTCAAGGACGTCACAGCTGGGGTCACGTTCGGTCCGTGGTCCTCCCTGAGGCGCTCAAGCCTGCGCCGCTCCTCCACTGGGCCGCTGAGCAGGTTGTCGTACGGCAGTGTTCCGTACTCTGGAGGTTTAGCGCCTCGTGCTCCTTCAAACTCCAGGACCTTGCAAAGGCGCAGCGTGGATGCTCCCGGGATGACTTTTTACAGCAGCGTGGCCCCCGGCGCGGCGCCTGCTGTGCCGCCGCAGTCCAGCAGCAGCTCAGCACGGTCAGGAGGTGGGAGAGTGCCGGGTTTCAACCCCTCGCAAGCCGGTACTTCGTCACAGTTTGCGCGACACAGTCTGACCGCAAGGATGCCAGCGGCTACGGCTGCTGGATCCTCTTCGGCATCATCTACGGCACGACCTCCACCGTTCGCTCGCGCCAGCATGCCATCAATCATTTCCGCTTCTGCTACCGCGGCTCCTGCAGCAGCGGGGCCAGCGGCAGCTTCGCCGTTTGCACGGTCGAGTGTAAGTGCAGCTCCTATCGCGCCCGCCCCTGCGGCATCGAGGACGGCATCAGCGTCGCCGTTTGCGCGAGCTAGCCTAACCGCGCCGCCTGCCGCCGTGCCAGCAGCAGCAGCGGCGGCGGCGCCATCCCCATTCGCTCGACAAAGCCTCGCTGCTCCTTCCCCAGTCCCTGAGGAAGTGCCCTTATCGGCCGCTGCGATGCCTGCTATGGCTGGTCCTTCTGGCTTACCCACCGCTGCCGCGTCCTCAGCGGGTCGCTTTGCGCGGGCCAGCCTAGTAGAATGCAGCCTGCCGCCAAGCAGCAGCACGGTAACCGGGACGGACTACACGTACCAGCAGCCAGCTCCTGCCGCTGTTCCGGCAAAGCAGGCGCCTGGAACCAGCCCTTTTGCTCGGCCATCACTGGGCTCACTGGCGACCTCAGGCGGTGCCCTTGCGCAGCAGCTGCAGGCACCGCCGCCGCCTGCGCTGATTGACCCGGGGGTCAGTCGCTTCGCGCGAGCCAGTCTTGGGGTTCAGCCGACAGCGGCCTTGGTTGAGGCTAGCCAACAGTCCTACAGCAATCCCTATCAACCCTTTCACCCACAGGCGTACCAACAGCAACAGCAGCCGTACCAACAGCAACAGCAGCCGTACCAAATGCAGCAGCAGCCGTACCAACAGCAGCAGCAACCGTACCAACAGCTTGCCTACCAACCGCAGCAACCCTACCAGCAGCCGATGTACTACCCGCAGCCATACCATTCAGGCATGGGAATTCCTGCCGTGCCTTCTTCGACCGCATCAAACCCTGGCAGGTCTCCCTTCGTGCGGCCCAGCATGGGCGAGCCAACTATCGATACTGGCGCAGCCTACTCAATGACAGCCTCTTCCATGCTGCTCGCACCTGCTGCTGCGGCGCCAGGGCCCACGGCCGGTGGTCCCTTCTGCCGCCCCAGCATGGGAGCTCCCTTGCAAGGCCCCGAGACAGGCTCCACGCCGATGCTTGTGGGACCCACGCTTCCAGCTCTCCCGTCCATGGCGCCGGGAACTGGAGCCGCAGCAGCGCCCTACTATCAACAGCCCCATGCTTACCACATGGCTTCTCAGCAGCACATGCCAGCACACAACTGGCCCAGCGGTCCCGCTGTCGCTTCAGCTGCTGCCGCTGGCCCCATAATTGGAAGCTACCAGGCTACCGCCTCAACTATAGCTGCTGCGGCGGCGGCTGCGATGCAGCAGCCGGCTGGAACTGGCTCTGCTAGCTTCGTTCCAGAAGTCGCAGTAGCGGGTGCTGTCGGTACTGCTGCTGCTGCTGCTGCTATGGAGCCCGAGGCCACCGCTGCCGTCGGCTCGGCTTACGCGTACCAGCCAAGCCAGCAGCCAGGCACCTCCACGTCGGCGTCCATGGGGCAGCTGCCTCAACAGGCGTGGGCTACATCTGCTATGCAAAGCGGGCCTCCAGCACAGCAGCCGACGCAGTATCCGCAATACTTGATGCAACTGCATCCGCAGCAGATGTCCTACAGTGCGCCTCAGGTGTTGCTGCAACAGCAGCCCAGAGCGGCCCCTGGACCCATGGGTCAGTCGGGTGACAGCGGCAGCTCCTTCGCCGCGACGGCTGTTCAGCGGCCCGGCGCTGCTGTAGACCAACCAGCTGCAGCGGCGGCTCAGGGATCGCAGTATGCCGGAGTGTTTGGTTCGCCAGTGCTTACACCTCTTGCTCCGGATGGCTCCTCATCCATTCCCGGCGGCGTCCATGCCCCTGTCCGGCCCTTAACGTGTCCAGAGGCCCCCGACTTTGCCCGCAGCCTCCAGCGCAGGAACAGCAGCCCCTTATCAATGGTCAGCACCGCCACCGACGCTGGTGCTATCGGCCGCCGAGAGCCCGGAACCGCCGCCGCCGGAGTTGCATCGTCGTACGGAATGCCTTCGAACACCAAAGGAGCCATTAACATCCCTGCTCCCCGCAGCTCTGGGTCAGCTGGCGGTGTAGCCACGTCGTTCAACCCATCTAGCCCCATGCCCATTCGCGGGTCTGTGAGATCCGGAGGATCGGTTGGTGCGATGGGCGGCGGCGGCGGCAGCGGCACCTCATGGCATGCTGGCGCACATTTGCGTCTCGGAGGCTCTCAGGGACCCCAATCGTACGGCAGCTATGGCGGCGGCGGCGGCGGTAGCAGTGGGTTCGGCGAGCCCAGTCGCTTCGCTCGGGCCTGCAGCTATAGCGCCGCTTCGCGCATGCAGCAGCAGCAGCTGCTGCAGCCGCGGTCCTGGGTGGGTTCGAACAGGCAACCTCCGCCAGGGCCGCTTTCGGGCGGCGTTGGCGTTGGCGGCGGTAGTACGGCGGCGGCGCCGCCGCGCTTCCAGCGGGATAGCATCCGTACACTGGAGGCTAACGCAGCAGCTGCAGCGGCGGCGGCGGCGTCAGTCGACGGCAATGGCGGGGACAGTGTTGTGGCAGGCACTGGCTCCGTTGCCGGCGAGGGGCAGCGGAAAGGGCTGTTGCGGGTGATCAAGGACGCTGTGACGGGAGCTTTGAGGTCCGAGTCAGCTGACGTAGCGGGCGCGGGCGGCAGCGGCGACAAGCAATCGTCGCAGGCGCCGACCTTCAGCCGTCGGGCCGTGCGAGACAGCCTTGCCGAAGATGTCGAAGATAGGAGTGTTGGCGGGAGCCGCCGCGGTTTGTCGGCGAGTGGCATGGCGATGGCGCCAGCGAAGGTCTTCCCATTCATTGGATCCGCCGCCGGTGGCGGCGTGGACGCGGCCAGCGGCGGAGGCGGCGGTAGCATCACCGCCGCCGCCGGCGGATCAGCCGGCGGGCCTGCCTTTAGCGGCGGCAGTGGCCGGTTGGGCGCTGCGGGGTCGGCATCTGGATCCAGCCCTTTTGACAGCAGCCTCAACAGCGGCTGCAACTCCTTTGATGAGGCGCTTCGCTTAGCCAAAACAAGTCTGTCAACCGTGCCGGAGTCCGGACCCAGTTTCAGCCAGAGCAGTGAGCCTGGCGGCGGCGCTGGCGGCGGCGGCAGCAGCGGGATGCAGCTGGGTGGTGGTTCACCTCGTAGTAACCAGGGTTCAGACCGTATGGGCATTATAGGAGTAACAGGGGATTTGATTAACGTGGAGGTGGGATCGCCGGCGGCGCTGGCGCGGTTCTCGAGACGCAGCGGCGGCAGCAGCGGCATGCTAATGATGGCAGGTAGCATGAAACGGGCTCCGAGCTATGGCCGGCGGTCGCAGGGGCTGCGGTTTGAGGAGGAGGGTGCGGCGGCGGGGGCTACCCCGGCAGCGGGAACGGTGACGGGTTCGGGGTCTGGATCTGGGAGCGTGGGGAGGGGAATGGGTGCGGGATCAGCGCCCAAGACGACGGTGTTGGGGTTCAATGTGGCTGGGAAGGAGGGCGGCGGTGAAGGTGGGGGTGATGGTGGTGTTGGGATGAGTGGCTGATGGGGTGTGCGGGATTGGTGGGATTAGTGCGCGCCGCGAGGAACAGTGGAGGAGGAGTGTACCAGAGGTGATGCGTTGATACCGTATCAGGTGTGGGTTCGGCATACACAAGTTGCGCCGGGGGCTTCTAGCTGTGATAGTATGTGATGTTGTATGGTGAGGGCCCTATGAGGGCTCACGCTCACCAGGGAAGATCTAAACGAGCCGGAGACCTACCGGTACAAACCTGATATGGCGGAAACTTATAGCTCTGATGATTGCTGCGTGCGTCTATATTGCCGTCAGAGATGCGTTTTTTATGAGCATTATGGTTCTCCTTACTTAAGAAGGTCTAGCTGGAAGGTCTAATTTGATGAGAGGTAATATAGTAGTTGTACTGCTGAACGCTGCCTTCCACAGTCCTTGGTGCTTCTTAATGGCGAAATACTTGGCTTGGCCCGCAACGTATTGTGGATATATATCCGCCCGTGATCCCGTTCCGTCAGCAGCTCTCGTGCACTTCGTGCCGCGACAGTTGGCAACAGCAGGTGTGTTTCAACTTATGTGCACACGCCTATTGTACCGTTCAGAAAACGGTTGGTGTAGGGTGCAATGGACAGGTGCAGTATGTGGACAGTAGGAGCACAACAGAGTGCAGTATGTTGTCAGGTTTCCTCGCTTGTTCTCTTGTACCGCTTAAAGGCCGATTGATTTCCTCGCACAATTGGTGTACGCCAAATGTACATGCAATAGCAGCCACAATGCTGAACCTTGACCGCAGCCCAACAAAAAGACTGCATGGAGCAGAGTTAGAGGAGGTGGTAGGAGGCGGAGATGGGGGTGACCACAACGGACGCAGGGATCCAGTCCGTTCATGATAGCTCTCGTTGCAGCAGGCGCGCCCCATCCCACACGGCACCCTTCGGCAGGAGCATCTCCACACAGTGACGTCATCAGGCATGAGCGACCGCCAACAACAAGAACCATGTGGTGGTGTCTACCGCAGCTAGAGACGCGTCCGTCCGCGCAGCGGAGGTTTGACAGCGGTAGTGGGCCAGCGGCAGCGTTGGTCCTATCAGTTACTCGTACACAACCACTACCGGTATAGCAATGTGCCCGTGCCACTGTTACTAAATCGATATGAATCCTTTCGAACTGTCGGTTGCAGGTCTATGCATAAGGAATGGTGCGCCGAATACACAGCGAACAGGCGTGTCGAGCATGGAAGGTGGCGCGGTGACGCCTAACTAAGGATGAATGTCCTAAACACCAATACACGAACACGCACCATTGTGAAAGCCATTCATGCATGTACGACTTCTGGGACATGTACCATTCGCCTGCCGCTGAATGCTACGGTGTCAATGTCATCAATCTGCTCCCAGGCATGCGAAGTGTCCTTCCATAACAAGTTGAAAAAGTAACACCCCTCGTCACTCTCCTACCTCCTGTTCTCAGTCGTCAGTCGTCACCCTCCGTTCATCCAGCCATGGCAAACCTAACGCCTACAATCAATCCTAACACCTGCATCAGCCACGCACTCCCTGCCCTTCCCTGCCATCCTCCTACCCTACCAGCAGCCCCCCGCTCTCCTTCCATTGCTGTAACGCCTCGGCGTACGGAAACGCCCCCGGCATGAACAGCTCCTGTCGATACATCCGCCCGCACAGCCCCAGCCGCCACCCATCCAACCTCTCCTCCCCCCAGCCGCTCCCATCCATTCTCGCCTCCAAAAACTTCCCCACCTCCGCTCGCCTGCGCACCTCAGCACCACTCGGCACCACCGCCAGCAGCACCAACTGCGCTAGCGCCGCGAACTCCGATAGCTCCTGTCGTGCCCCGGGTACCTCCACCTCTAGCCGGCGCCACAGCCGAGACACGGCGCCAACGCTGCAGCCGCCCTCCTCCTCCGCCGCCGCCGCCGCCATCACCACGTCTCCTCCTCCACCAACCAACCCCAACATGGTCTCGTAGAAGGACGCTGCTTGTCGGTCCAGCAGGGCTCCATCCAGTAATCCCCCTCCCCCCCGTCCTGCAGCTCCTTCCGCTCCACCCACAGCGGCGGCCTCCTGCATCTCCACATCACGTCCATCATTCCCATTTCCGCCCCCCTGCGGGTGCAGCTGCGGTTGGCGAAGGCTGTCACCAGCCCCCACAGCAGCACCGCTGCTCTCTCCCGCTCCCGCTCCCATCTCGGGTTCTATTTCCACGCCTGGACGCACCTCCTCCTCCTCCCCTCCGCTGCAGTACTGCGCCTTGAGCACGGCCAGCTTGGCCAGGAAGTCCTCGCGCGTCGGCGGCGGCTGCGCGGCCCAGTACTGCGGGTACACGATGCAGGCGGCATCCAGCAGCGGAGCCGGCGGGAAGAACTGCTGCTGCAGGAGGGATTCGATCAGGGCCTCCATGCCGGCGGAGAGGCAGCGCTGCACCTGCTCGGCTACTGGGCCGAGCAGGGAGGCGGTGAGCGGGACGTAGCGGGAGCCGGCTCGGCGCTTTCCGGGAGGGAGGACTTGGAAGGGATGGAACTCCCCTGCCACCCAGAGCCCCAGCTCCGCCTCCTTCTCACTGCCGCCTTCCTCCTTCTTCTCCTTTGCCTGCTGCTCCTCCTTCCTCGTTGCCACCTCTCTCCTGTCCTCCTCCACCTCCTGCTCCTCCTTCTCCTTGCCTTCATCCAAACCTGGAACCGGGCCGCTGTCCTCGCTCCGCCAGCGGCTGCCGCTGCCGCCCGCCGCCAACAGCGCCCGATATCCCGCAAACTCCGGTCCGCTGAAGCGACTGCCCGCATCCACATACAGCGCTCGCAACTGCGTCGATGCACGCAGCAAATCGGATGCCAGCACCCCAGGGTACAGCTCCCGCTGCTGTCCCTGCGGCCCCTGCTGCTGCCTCGGCCCCACGTCCTCTTCCTCCTCCTCCTGCCGCCGCTGCTGCCGCTCCTCGTCTTGCCCCCATTCACGCTCCTCCTCTTGCCCCTGCTCCTCCTGCTCATGTCCCCGGCAGCAGCCCTCAAACAGCTCCACCAGGGGCTCAAGTACGGCTAGTGCCGGTCGTACGGCATGTACGGCAAGCAGGACCTCCGCATCTGTGAGTGTGCCGTACAGCTCGCTTGCGGCCCACTCTCCCGATCCCCCCTCGTACAGGCGCTGTAGCAGCCGCTGCAGGATGTTGTCGTACTGCGCAAGCAGCCGCTCCAGGGGCCTACCCACGTGCAGCCAGCTGACCTCCTCGTCCTCCTCCGGCTCAAACAGCAGCTCCCCAGGCGGCATTGCGTCGGCCCGCACTTCATGGCGCCAGCCAAACCGCTTGAAGTACACCTCGCCGACTACCCTCCCCACCTCGCCAAGCACCCGGCCAGCCCGCTTGCGCGCCTCAGCTCCCAGGTGCGTACGGCGTGTGATGCAATGCGAAGGCTGTACGAAAGGCGCCAGGTTGCGAAACCGTACGACAAGCGCCGTACGGATGTCTTGCATGACGTCAGCAGGCCCCTCCATGTTGACTGCGACCAGCTTGCGGGCGATGTCATGCGGTTCATGTAGCCCCGCCCGCAGGCGCAGCGCTTCAAGGGCTTGGCGTACGGTACCGTCCGCAATGCGGTTTGGGTCGTACGGCCGGGTTATCTCCAGCTTGGGCGCCTGTTGGGCGGGGGTGGGCGGTGGGAGGGTAATGGCATGTCAGCTCGGTGGGGTGTGGTGTGGTGCTGTGTAGCGACCACCCGAACCCTAGTATACAACCCGTACACATCATTCCCATGCGCGGCACGGACACTCCCGCCCAGTGCCATACAGTTTTAACCTTGTGTCATGCGGTTACTTGGTTCCTTCCTGCCACCGGGGTCCACACGCCCCCATCTCCGTGGGTTAGTGGCGAAGTTGTGCTCAGCAACCCACCTCCAGAAGCAACGTGCGCCTGTTCCAAGAGCCGTCTACGAGGTTCAAGTACACGCCTAGTCGGGTTGGAACGTCGTCAACATTCACCTCGTCCAGTCCCAAGCTGACAAAGCGCGACTCGCTGACAAGACGTTTGATTTCCGACTGGAATACGGCATCTAGGGCCTTGGCGAACTTCCAACCGCTTGCCTCCGTCCAGTGCGAGTGGTCAAAGAACGGGGCCTGTTTGAACACAGTGCGGGTAGTACGGAAAGTTGAGATCTGACCAAGTAAGCTGTAAAAGGATCCGGATAGAAAGCGTGGATGCGAGGCGAACATTGATGCATGTTGCGACATGATGCAAGGTTCCAAGGTGGAGTGTACTTGTAGACTCTGTGTTCTTAGTATCTAACGTTACTCTAAACGCATCGTGCCTTGCCTTCTCAAGTTCCATCAATTGCTCCTTGGTTGGGTACAGCGTCAACGGCCATCCCAACTTCAACATCCACTGCACCGTGCATAACTGCATTACACGGCATTTGTCAAACGCCGTCGTGACAGAGTCATAAATGCTGGGGCCCAGCTCCTGCTGCTCGGCGAGTGGCTGCGCTTGCTCCGGTGCAATCACCCCGACATGGTTGATCTCCGCAATGGCAGGCTGGATTGGCAGCCTTCGCCTCTTCGGAAGTCGTAAAATATGTTCCAGCTGGAGCTCGGGATTTGCTCGCTGCGACGACATAGCGGCAGTAAATCGCCAGAATTACGTAATTTACACTATAGAGGCGTTGCAAAAGGTACTGTAAACTGCTAGCGGTTGTGCATGGCTTTGTATAAAACGCTGGCAGATAGATAGTGCCCTCGTGCCCCCTGTCGGCTTGACCACGCACAGTCAAATCTACCAAAAAGTCAATGCGGAAACTCCTTTAATGTGTCTTTGGAGGTGCCGCGATTTCATTTTGTGCAAGCACAGTTAGGTGACGAAAGTACAGTTGGCAGTAATAGTCCAGATCTGGATTGAGGTACGGCTTGCCCAGCCAGTGCACGGCACATTGCACGGCATTTAATGTGAAGGTTGAAGACTGGATTCAACCAGCCCTCGTAGTCCTTTCAAACACCTCTCCGTACAGCAAATTGCGGTCTCAAGCTGCATAGGCCAAACGAAAGCCACCTAACCTCGCTCCTCTTTCCATCGTTCCGTCAACCGCTTCCCAGCGTCTACAAGCCATCGTCATCCATTTCCAGCAGTTCTCGAGGATCGCCCCTCACAAACCGCACATCGAACACCCTTTCAAACGCATCCAGCAGCGCGGCGCTGTATGCCCGCAGCAACACCTGCTCCATCTCGTTCCAATTGCTGCGAACCTTCAGCCCCTCCGCCTCAGCAACACCGGTGACTGCGGACGCGCTTTTTCTGCGGTCCTCCTCCTCATCCCTCTCATCGCTCCAAGCTACACCCTGTGCGCCGTCCAGCTGCCCCTCCTGCTGCACCCCCAGCAGTGTTCCGAACTGCTGTTGTTCAGGTGGCGGCGCGAAGGGGTCATCTAGGGTGCAATAATCCTCACCCGCAGCAGCACGTGCTGCTGAGACTTGCACATCTGCTGCATTTGTGGCTTCTGCAGCGGTGCTGCTGCTGGTGTGGCTACTGGCAATTGAAGTGCCAGCGCGGCTGTTAGTGTTGGTTGTGTGGTTGCCGGTCAGCAGCAAGGGGCTGGTGCCCGTGGCCGCTAGCAGACGCAGGAGGTCTTCTTGTGTCGCCTGCGATAACAATAACAATGGGCGTTATATGCACAGCAATTTTTAGCATTCAAGACGGGAGAAGGGAGAGTGGGAAGCTGAACCCAGCCTCAACGTGTACGAATCAGGTTTCTCATGCTAAGGATATACTAGCAGACAGGCAAGCATGCGTGCTACAAAGTGGCGGTGGTTGAGATTGGTTGGGAAATGCTTTTGCAGAAGAGCTGTTGACCAACCACCCCACGCTCCCACGCTTCCCAACATGCCTCCTCCGCTTACTCCTTACCTCCTCCAGCCGCACCCACTTAGCTGCCTCCCCGCCACCCTGGCCGCTACTCAGCAGTGTTGCGAACGGGTCAATCACCTGCTCGTCCTCCTCATCCTTCGCTGCCTCCTGCTTTGCTAGCTCCTGCTCTCTTTCCTGCCGCTCCAGCAGCAGTCGCTGCACGCTGGTAACGGGGCGGTCGGAGATGCCGCACGGCACGATGAGGCGGAACGGCGCCAGGTCGGTGGTGACGTTCAGCGCCAAACCATGGTAGGTCACCCACCTGAGGGGAAGGGGCCCAGAGGAGGGCGGAAGGCGGAGGAGGATGGGAAGAGGGAGCAGGAAGTGCAGGCGAGGAAGGGCGGGAGTTGCAAAGGAGGTGGCAAGCGCAAATACCATTAGCGTAGGGAGGTGTTTTGTGGTGGGTCCGCGGCCGCGCACTCCTTTCGTCAGCCAAGCCAAGCTAGAGCACTCTCGCCGGTCTTCCTTTCGCCCGCTTACTTCTTAGCGCGCACACCGATGGCGGCCACCTTGGCCCCGTCCACCCAGACGCCCGTCAGCCCCTCCACCCGCTCCCCTCGCAGCTCCGAAACCGCCTGCAGCGCCTCAATGACCACCTGCGGGCGGCAGGCAGAGGGTGGTGGTATGTGGTAAGCGGGATAAGAACACGGTTATGTGCTACCGTGCAAACACCATACAGTGGAACTTGCTAGGAATCGGAAGTCCCCCCTGTTCCACCTGCCCCCACCTACTGCAACCACCCCACAAAGCCCCAACCTGCTCAAACCGCCCCCACCTGCTCTAGCTTGCGGAGGTACCAGTGCAGGTCGGGAAGCAGCACTTGCAGGTCTAGCACCGGGTACATCACCAACTAGTGGTGGTGGGGCGGGGCGGGTGGGTAAAATACCGGTAAGGAAAACCGACAGGCAGGATTCAGAGGCTGCGACAGGTCGAGGGAAGGCTGCAGCACCTGGCAGCGACGCCGTCGCATAACGTATACGCAGCATTACAGCCCCATGTCAGAGCCCCGTTTGGAGTTCCCACACAATTCCTGAAGCCCCCACACAATTCCCCGCTCGCCGTCCAGCATGCGTACCTGGCCGGGACCGTGGTAGGTGACCTCGCCGCCCCGCTCCGTTCGGAACAGCGGGAGGGGCGGAGAGTCTGCGGGCGGGCGGCCGGGAACATACAGCAGCAGGGTACAGCAGGGGCGAGGAGGGATGAGGGGATTATTAGAGATTGTGGATTCCTCGTAGCCTGGATTATTGGATTGCGTATAGTCGTACTTGTTGGGAAGGGATGAGGGAAACGGGCCCAGGCACGAGCACAGTGCCTGAGCGTTGCTTTGGCTCGGATTGCACGTGAAGCAGCACCAAGCATCCCGTGTATAGGAACAGCGGTATAGCATCGGGGCTAATAAGACGAACCATTGCCCAGAGTCTCAGGCCCCCGGCCCGGCCTCCGGCAGATATAGCTTCAGAGCACCATCGGCACCACCAACAACATCAGCAACAACAACATCAAGAACAGCCGCAGCCACCGCAGCTCACCGGGTGGGAAGCGCAGGTGGTCGGTGGTGGACCCCGCCCCCAGCGTGTACACAGGCGGGTGCTGCAGCAGCAACACCGCATGCGCCGACCCACGGGTCCCTGCCTCGGCAGCCGCCACGGCTCGTGCCAGCAGCGCACGTTGCCAGGACCAGGCCTGCGGTGGCGGGGGGGGGTTTGCAACCCGGGGTGGCAAGACGTACTGGTATCCGGGGGACATTGCGCGGGAAACAATTGCGCGGGAACCCCTCGTTGTCAGGAGTTTTAGCAGTTCTTCAGAAGCTGGAACATGCCTAAAGAGCGCCTGTTTGCCTATGTGTGTCTCTTCGGTGTCTTCCCAGCAGATAAACAAGTTCTCGGGAGCACCAGAGCTCACCACTTCATACTCCACGAGCTGGTCCGACATGTCGTACACTGTCACCACGCGACTGTCGTACAAGCAACCGTCGCCACCGCTGCTGCTGCCGCTGCCGCCGCCACCACTGCTACTGCTACTGCTGCGAACAACAGGTAGAGTCCTGGTGGCAGCTGTCGATGAGCGCTTTAACCGTGTCCACTTCCGTGTCCACATCATGGATTCTGCCATCGACGCTGATGCTGCTGCGGCTTGGGTGGCCGAACCGTTGCAGGGGCTTCGAGCCGTGGCGTAGCCGCAGAGGGCCTGCCATCGCCGTGAGCGAATTGCAACCGCAGCGTTGCCTCTGTGGCAGCAATGCCGGCGGGATTCCAGCACGCGGTGAGGTGGTTGGCTGAGGTGCATGGGCGGTGGGTGGCTAGGCTGCCTCAGGTTCCAGGCAAGCTGCAACCGGTGATCGGTCTAGGCGGTGGTGTGGTACGGCAAGACGAAGAGTGAGGCGCTTGGCAGGAATACGTTAGGCAGTCAACGACGACAGCGGCTGCCCTATTGGGCATGCGCCGTGCGCCGAGGGCTGTGGAGCGGCCGGGCGGTGGCTAGCTGGTGAGATTGAAGGGGTGCAGGCCGGCTAGTGAAAAGCCGTTGGAGAAGCACGGCCCGCAGGCGCCCAGGTAAAAGTGCAGCTGGAAGGGTTGCTTTATGGGTCTAACTGAGAGGAGTGCGACCCTTTGCGCGGAGGTTGGGCCTGAATGCAACCTAAAGATAGCTGGATAGCTGAGTTTCGTACCAGGAGTTTGGAGGTAACAATGGCGACCGTTAACACAACATCGGCTTAGGTTTGGTGACCAACGGCATACTGCTGCATGCCTGCACGCTTGCACGAGGATTGTTGCTCCGAAACACGTACGGAACACCAAATCTATGCAAGCCAGCGCATCTGCTTCTTTGCTGGAGGGACAAGAGGAATTGCACAGTCTATTCACCTCGAATAAACTACAGCTGTGCTGCCTTGTTGCTGAGTGTCGGTTGGTTAGTGCGATACCTCTAATACTGGACTGCCTCTTTGCCCTAAAACTGCTAAACGCCTTTGAAAAGCGGACTCTTCAGATAACTTCTTAAGTTGTCATAGTTCGTGAAGCTGGCGGCATCAAGCTGAGATATGGCCGTGCACTGCTGGTGCGTCGAGGGAACAGATGTTAACCTTTGGCACTTCGGAAACCGATTTCCTCGTGCTGTGACCAGAGGAGTTGTTTGACTTTTGCTTTGGGCAGGCGCACGGTGGGTCCACGACGAGCAGTCCCTCGACACGACGCGATTCCTTTCCATTCGCCAGCAGCCGCGCTGCAAGCAGGCGTGAAGCGCTTGCGATCAGCATTCTTTCAGTCAGGCTTGCAACAGTATTGTCGCCGGCGGACCTTATGCATTGAGGAAGCGCTCTCCCTCAGAGGTGCGACGGGGCTGTAATCGGTAACCTGTTCAGTGTTGAAGGAAACCAGATGTTTCTTTGCGCGGGTTAGCATCGCTGTCTGGTGCAAGCAGAAACGTCCATAACGTTCGACCGCAACGACTTGCACAATCGCAATCACAATATTGGCACGCGCTGCAGGCGAGGGTTTGCCGGATGAAAACTCGCTGCACATCGCTAAAGGAGCAAACAGCAACGACAAGCCCGGAGTGCAGCCCGCTCGGCGGCGCAATTCTAGCCGGAACTTGAGTTCCACTGAGGCGCAGGCCTCGCGCGGCACCATAGACATGGAGACTCTTCCGCTGATACCAAGGTACACGATACGCGCTGCAGTGTCTTTAGTCTGATAAACAGCCAGTCAATGACTGGCACATGCTTAAGGCGGGTTGGGCTGGTGTAGCATACTGGCGAGCTAGGAAATCTCAATCGGGTGATCCAGCGTACGGAGGGCTTACCTTGTCGCTCTCCACGCACGGGGACACCTTCCACGCACGACCTGCCGCACCACTCTCGTAGCACGTGCCTTCACCGCACTCACCGCTCCTTCAACCAATTCCCCGTATCCTCACCGTAATCCCTGTCCGTCTGTCACCGTAAGCTCCCCCCATCCTCCCACACCTCTCCTGGATGATAGAGCTCCCGCACAGTCGTACTCTGCACGGGAAGCTGTGCTGCGGACCACCACCGGTGGCGCCAACAGCAGCAGCAGCAGCAGTGGAAGCGGCAGTGGCGCGGGGCAGCAGGGGCAGCCGACGCCCCCGGGCTTCAGCTGGGAGTACCTGGTGAGCTGCTGGGGGGGCGCGATGGGAGCTATGGGTGATAGACTGCTAGTACTGTAGCCTTAACCCTTTTAATAGGAAGAATTTGGGTGCTGGTTCAATTGGCAAAGATGTGCGAAAGACGGACAATATAGAGAAGGCTTCCCGGATGTTAGCAAACTGTTATCAATCCTTGGCTCCTGCTCCTGAACCCTGCTGCTGCTGCCGTTCCTTGCTGCCCCCCGCCCACCCTCCAGGTGCTGCTGTGCACGCTGGGAGTGGTGATCTGCTACGCCGACCGTTCCAACATCTCCACCGCAGTGTTGCCCATGGCACAGCAGTTTGGGTGGGACAAGGTGGGTTGTACGGTGGATAGAGGGAGCGGATACCCGGGACATGCCGCGCAGGGCTGGACCAGGTTGGCAAGGAAGGGAAAGCCATGTGCAGACTATACATGGGAGAATGGGACAGCTAGGTGGGGGCTAGGGTGAGGGAAGGCCAAGTAGGGGCCACCCAGGTTGGGCCATACGGCGCCTTCTAGCGCTGCGCAGGCGGCAACCCTTTGGACCGCTCAGACAAACCCTCGGCCGTCGTCCTGCATGGGCAACCCCTTATCCCCTACCTGCCCTCTTCCGCCGCCTCCCTGCCCTCTTTCACCTCCTCCCGTGCTCTTCCGCCGCCTCCCGCCCCTTCCGCCCGCTCAGGCTTACCAGGGGCTGGTGCTGTCGGTGTTCTTCGGCGGGTACGCCACCACTCAGATCCTGGGCGGCAAGCTGGCGGATCAGCTGGGGGGCAAGATGGTGCTGGCGGCGGGGGTGGCACGTGAGTGGGTGGTGGGGTTGGGGCGGGAGGGCGGGTGAGGTGTGGTGGTAGTGGTAGTGGTGTGTTAGTGGTGTGGTGTGGTGGGTTAGTTCAGGGCTTCATGCTGGTTCAGGCAGTACCAATTGCGCTGGGCTGAACTGTCAGGGAAGTGGGGAAAACGTTGCCAGGGGGTGACCGGAGTAGGGTGTAAAGCTGTCTGGACTAGGTCAGCACTCTGGCTCCCGGGGTCCACGGACCTTTGCTGGCATGCATGCAGCTCAACCCCACCTTCACCTTCCCTTCCCTCCGCACCTTCCATTGGGAATACTTGTTTTTCCCCTCCTTGCATCCCGCAGTCTGGTCGCTGTTCACCTTTGCGACGCCCGCTGCCGCCGCCGCCGGTTCCCTGCCGCTGATGACTGCCCGGGTTATGCTGGGAGTGGGCGAGGGGGTGGCGTTTCCCTCCATTCACTCGCTCATTTGTAAGTGCTGCTGCAGACCAGGGGGGCTTTGTACGGGTTGTACCACACTTTGAGCAGTGCCGTGCGGTGAAGGGTGGCATGCAAACGGCGCAGATGAGGGCACAGTGGCAGATTCGCCGTGTCGAGCGTACGCGTCCCGCACATTTCTCGCCGCACATTCGGTGCCGTGTTTTTGTTTTGAAGCCTGCACAGCAAATCTTACACTCAGCTAAGATGGCCTTTCAAGGGCTGCATGGCGCGCTACATTCCATACTGCATCCCTGCTCTCGCCCCCCTCAATGCATCCCCCCTTCCGCACCTGCACCCCTAACCCAAGGTACCGCACCCAACCCTGCCGCCACCTCCCTTCTTTCACTCCTCCTCCCATGCAGCCCGTAACGTGCCCGCACGCAGCCAAACGACCGCCGTGGGGATCGTCACGGCCGCCTCCTACGCTGGCACTGCCCTGGCTTTCGGCGTCAGTCCCTACCTCATTAGTCGCTTCGGCTGGGAGTGGGTGTTCTACGGCTTCGCTAGCCTGGCGCTGCTGTGGCTGCCGCTGTGGTTGCCGGTGGTGACGCTAGATCGATTCAGGGCTTCCGGGCAACAACAGTCGACGATAGCGACTGGAGAGGAACATCTGGCACCTTCTGATGGTTCAGATGGCAGTTCGTCACTAACTGCTGCTAGCTGCGGTGATGCCGGGCAACTGGGAGCAGCTTCATCCTCATCTTCATCGCCTCCCCTAACATCATCATCAGTGAACACAACAACAACAACAACAACAACAGCAATGACTGCAACAAGAACGACACCACCCGCAGTAGCAATAACAGCAACTGCGCCGGTAGATATGTGGGCGCTGTTACGGCGTCGGGAGGTCAGGGCCATCTGCATCGCTCAGTACGCTCAGAGCTGGGGAATGTACGGCTTGCTGAACTGGCTGCCCACGTTCTTTTCCGAGTACTACAATATACAGCTGGCGGATCTCGGTTCGTACACGCTGCTGCCGTACGTTTTCCAGGGCGGTCTGGGTGCGGCCACGGGGTTCATGGCGGACCGGCTGTTGAGATCCGGTTGGCGAGTGGGGACAGTGCGGCGGATGCTGCAGGTAATACGAGAGAGAGGGCCGGCAGGGGGGGGGGAAACGAAAGATTACAGCGAACACAACAGAGAAGACACACGTTAACGCTAAGGATAAGGATAAAGATAAGGCCACCCTGCATGTCCTACAGCTGTAGCTCTAAAGATGCTCCCATTCCACCCTTTCCCTTTTTTCCATCCCTCTACAGCCTCATCCTGCCATGACACGGCTGCTCTTCTCCACCTCACCTCGCCTCTCCCTCTTTCAGCTCCCTTTCAGCTCCCACTCATCATCCACCTCAACCTCACACCGTTTCCACCGTCACCTTGCCCTCCCCTTCCCCACCTCAGGTTGCAGGCATGCTGGGTCCCGCCGCTTGCCTCTGCCTGGCGGTTTCCCCCCTGGTTGGCTCCTCCGCGCAGCTCGCCTCCGGCCTCATTACGGCGGGTCTGGGCCTCTCAGCGCTCACCCTGGGTGGTGTGTCCGCCAGCCACCTGGATGTGGCGCCGCGCAACGCGGGCCTTGTGTTTGGAGCGGGTAACACAGCGGCCACACTGGCGGGTTTGGTTTCGGTGCCGGTGACTGGGTTCCTGTTGCAAGTGAGGAGGGGGGAGCTGGGTGGTGGTGAGGGGGAGGAGGAGGAGGGGCGGGGGGAAGGGCGTCGGGATGGTGAGGGTGGGGGCATCATCCATGCATGGGCCTTAATGTGTTAAGAAACCTTTGTGTGTTAAAATAACTGGCCGCGAGGCGAAACGTACTGTGATTGCCGAAAGATGAAGTCCTCCCACCGAAAATGCCACTAACCTTTGTGTGTGTATGTGTTTTTACCCGGCACTTTACCAGCCCCTCTGATGAAACCCTCTCTGTATATACCCTTTCCGCAGACCACCGGCTCTTGGCCGCTCGTGTTTGGGATTACGGCGCTGCACTACGTGGTGGGGGCGGCGGTGTGGGCCGCCTGGTGCGGGGAGGCACCGCTTCCGGAGGATGGAGGAGGAGCCGGGGCGGGGCGGCAGGCTGGGGGGGCTGAAGCGTAATGAAGCGAGATGGTGGGGGGCGTGAGGCATGGAGGGGCAGGCGTTGGACTGGGGGCGGGCGGGGTTAGTGGTGATGATGAGGTGGGGCTGGGGTGAGTACGGGAGGGTGGTGCATGCAAGCGGTTCGGGACCCTGTGGTGTGTCGTTTGGGTTTGCCAAGCGGGGTGATGATGTGGAATTGCATGCAAGGGGCTTGGTGGTAGTGCCCTGTGTTGACACAGACCCGTGGGTCAATAAGGCTTTGTCCGCGTAAACAGCCCACTTTTGGTGTTGTGACGTAGCTGTTTGGCGTATTCGTGTAGGGTGCGCGGATGTGTGGAAACTCATTCACATAACGCAATTCCAACTGTTACCCGCAGGTGCCATGTTGGATTGACACCTTAGCTACTGAGTCGCTAAACCTTCGTGTCGTAAGGAAATAAATTAAGCCCGGATCAAGTATAGAATATGTTGTGGCTGGACTACTGGGATGTCGCCCTTGCCGACCTTTCCAAGGAGGTCTTCAGTGCGTCTGAGTGCCCCATCAACGCCATCACGCATACCCATGCCGCAGCTGTGGCAGCGAGCCCCTTGCTGCTGCCTCTGCTGCTGCTGGAGTTAAGTTGCCGCTGCCAACCTTGGTTTCAAACTTTATGTTCAAGTGCCGTACGCGGTAAAGAATGTTTTTGTTTTTGTCCTCGCATAACACATGTTGTGTAGGTATGGGCTGGTGTGTGTGGGTGAGCCTGCAAGATATTAAGTATGAGTCAAGGGTAAGAGTGGCTGGGAATTCGTTCGCGAGATCGTTACCCTGGTCCGGCTGATAGTAGTACCGAAGGGGGTGTTGTGTATGCTGTGTCGTCTCCACGTCGCGGTGGCTTTGGCGTTGCGTTGCTCGTACGTACGACAGGGCTTAATAGGGGGAGCGTCTCGCCCTTTTGCGCCGGTGCGTGTGTCTAAGCGGTTTTTGCTTAGCCCCGCTTTTGTGAGGAAATCATCTTACATGTGCCCCCTCCTAGGGGAAAGGACACGTTGCTGTCGAAAGGGGTGCGGAAAACACAGCCAATTTTGGTTTACTGTATCTCACTGCCAGTTCATTTTCGCAGTCCAGGGAGGGAGGAATTGACCTGAAAAGGTGGGGAGTACACCCTTCGCCGTTCGGTGGGGGGTGGCAACGAAATATGGCTTTCGTTTGGTTGCTGCTGCGGCATTAGCCTTACGTAATGTAAGATTCCATGTATGGAGGATTGAGGCTTTGCCTGGTGGCCTTGGGACACATGGTAAAGGAGGCTCCTGTAAATGTAACAAGTATTTTGTTATTACAAGTTTTTAATATACATACACCATACGTTGACAAAATGCAGTAAACTCTTGGCCTGGTTTTGGTGTAACCAGGGACCATGTGTTGATATATCATAAATAGCTATTACGCCCGGCAGCAGAAGCAACGCGACAACAAACATCAAACACACAAAAGCATTGCCGTTCGCCTGCTCTACAACAAGATTTTCCCTGAGCCAGTTACGTTGAAATTCTTCGGTTCAATCGAGTTCACGAAACACAATAGCGCAAGAGAGGACCACACTTTGCAGGAAATTCCAACACGCCCGTATGTTGCGTCGCGCATAACCGCAATCCATAATCAGGAGCTCCATCCTTGCAACGGGCAGCCCAAGCAAGACAATCCCTCAACCTCCGCCACTATCCCGATCGACTCCTTACCGAAACGCACGACTGTCCCGTTTGCCTCCTCGCCCAAAGCCACCAAATAACCCCGCACTCCTGCTACCGGTATACTAAATTCCCCGGCAGGATACCGCGTGCAGCCGCACTAGACACCATCACTGCGATATGCGTTTACCAACTAGCAACTACCAACGCCTCCGAGTCATACGGGCTGCAGGACGCCGGCATGAAAATGGATGCCGTACATCCCAACTTGGAAAACCTTTTCAGCGGCACCCTGGTACATCCAACTTCCAAGGCTGCCGCAGTTGATGCCGTCATGAACATGTCGTTATGCTGTGTAACACCCGCATGATATGACTGAAGCACAACACGCCTTCTGCCACAACCATTTCAAAACCTCCGTCCGTCCTGCACGGGATGCACCCCCCAACGTAACATTAACACATTGGAGCAAAAAAAACAAAGGAACACGCACACGCACGCCCGTTTTCATCAGGGCAATCCTGCTGCTGCGTCCGCAAGCACTCATTATCACCGTCGTCATTTGTCAACACCTCGGATCAATGCTCGGCCCCATGGGCGGGCGCCTTTCCACAGAAGTGAAGGTACTTGTGCAACCATGCGCATCACTCCTGCTGCGTGCTTGATTGGTTTGCTGCATCCGAAATCGCACGCATTCCGCTTCGCAAGCACAAGGATGAGGTTTATGAATGGAAACACCATCAGCAACCGGCCCGGGAGCAAATGAGATTACGACACCGGACGTACGCCTTATGCAGTCACGCACGTACCAAAGCATCCAAATGTCCCGCAACCATTTCCAGCCATTTCTGCCAACGCCAATGCTCTATGCCACCTTACGCAGGTAACAAGTCCACTGTTTGTTTTCCATGTCCAGTATCAGCCGCTGCCCTCATTCCCCAGCAGTGTAACTGAAAACCGTCACGTTACGAGATCCGAAGCATACATTTGACGTCGATCACCAACTAAAATGCACACCGAGCGGTGTTACTTCAAATCATCACAACCCGTACAATTCACGTACGGTTATTGTCAGATCGTCTCGAAATCAATGTGTCATGTGTTCATGGCAATGTGTGTCTTTCCCCTTCATCTCATCATCATAGCGCCAATGCTACATACGCGCCGCTAATCCAAGATACCATACATGCGCGCGAGTTACCATACATGCTGACGTGAACCACATACAGAATAGCGCTCCATGTACAAAAGCGGGCACCACCTACTGCCAACCGGGCGCAACTCAATCGCACCTTGCAGCGCGCGAACGTTTGGGACACAGGCGCCGCCGCCGCCACAGTTCACACCCAATCTGCCATCCATCTGCCAGCGGGCGATACTTGCATGGCCAGGAAGCCCGCAGAAGGAAAACGCGCACTCAAGGGTCTTGCGCACAACGCAACGCAACGGTGCTTTGCTGACACACCACGTCTCCAAAAGTATACTCTTACATCACGGGTAAACACAACCCAACCTGCGCTTTTCGCGCGTTTTCCTTCGCCCACCTTACCCAGAAACCACATCCCCATACATGAGTGCCGCCGCCTAGTCAAGGGCGATTCTAACGACTTGAACCGCAACCCGCAATGCGGCAGTATCAGCAACAGCTGCTGCAGACGTAGCTGCAACCCGTGTGGCCCTAGGCCGGAAAGGTCTCAGGGCCCGACTCAGGCATGCTGCGCAAGAGGCTCCCTTACAATGTCCTGGGAAGGGGGGAAGGAAGAAAAGGAGGAAGGAAGGGCGCAACGGCAAGCGAGGAGCGTAACAACAGTGACAGGGCGGCGGTTGAAAAGACGGTGGCCAACGAGGCATGCAATGGACGGGACCCGGACGCACCATCAGACCCCGCCACACACGCACGCGGCCGCTATTCTTAACACAACTTCATCTTCCGGCAATCACAGTACGTTCCGGCTCGCGGCCAGTTTCCTTGCAACACCCAGCCTGCCACCCACCTTCAGCTTGCCCGCCAGCCCCCTGTTCCGGTTCTCCAGCTCCTTGCATGCCGCCCGCAGCTCCGCCAGCTCCGACTGGTACTCCGTCTTGCTGCTCAGGAGCTGCTGGTAGCGTGCCTGGTGGCAGGCAGGCAGGCAGGGAAGGTCGGAGGGAGAGTGAGACCACCCACACGGAACCAAACGTTAGGCAGTTAGGAAATGGAGGGAGGTGAAAAGAAGAGCAAGGGCAAAAGACAAGTTGGTAACGAGTGACAAACCATAGAAAACCACAGGCTAGACAGGCAGAGGCAGGCAGGCAGGGTAGCCCAGTTGTATGAGTTACTTGGAACGGGCTGTAAAGGTTGTAGACGTGGAGGCAGGGGACGGGACACGGGACCGACAGGAGATAATAAAATGATGAGATCAGGATGATAATAACGATAAGAGGGAACCCTTGACGAAGGCCAGGGAGGGAAGGGTAATGTGTGGGTGTGGGTTTTACTGGGAAGGGAAGGGAGGGGAGGTGGGATGCTGAGTCGTAGCGGGTGGCATGTCTTCCTGGACCTAAGCCGCGAGCCCCGCTAGGAATGCGCAGGGTGTGGATGCATGCACACGAACATGCGACGTTTAAACATCCGAAAATCCTGCAGGGTTGGGTTATATGGGTGCATTGGGATGGTTGTTGTTAGCTTGGACTTGTAGTGTAAGGGGTTGAGGGTGGAGGAAAGGAGGCGGTAGAGGATGTGTGTCTCTCGCACCTTGAGGCCCTCAAGAATGAGTTTCTGTTTGAGTTTGGATCGCGCTGCGGATATTCGGTTGGCGAGGATGCGGCGGGCCTTGCGCGGGTCAATGGAGGGGTCGAGCCGGGGGTCCTCAGCGGGGGCCCGGCCGCCCTTGCCCTTGCGCTGCACCTTTTCCAGCAGGGCGGACACGGTTTGAGGCTCCAAATCGCCTGGAGGGAGAAGGGGCAGGGGAGGGAGGGGAGGGGTGTGGTAAGGAGCTGGGTGGGGTGTTGGCGAGGAGGATGTAGTGTGGGAATGCGTGGTTTAGAGTGAAGGGTGAAGACGGGAAGCAAGGGAAGAGGGAAGGAGAGCAGGAGCAGGAGGTGGGGGCGCTAGAGGCAAGATGAGCCGTTTTGGTGAGAGAGACCGAAAGAGGGGAGGGTATCAGGATTAGAAGTAAGGAAAAAGAGGTGTCTCGACATTCAATGCGCCCCTGCTGCTCCGCATACGCCCCTCAAAAGCCACAGCCCTCCTCATCCTCCTCCACTCCGCTCACCCAGGACCTCCAGATCCCCCACGCGTTCAGCCGAGTGCGACAGTAGCTCCTCAATGGTGGCGTGCGGACCTGTGGCGGCAGGTGTTGGGTGCAAGAGGGGCGGCGCGGTAACGTAAGGGCAGGCAGGTGGGGTGCGACCGGCTGGGGAACTCCTCATGTGGAGGAGAGGTATGTAGCGGCAGCGGCGGCCGCGGGCGAGGCGGGCTCAGGAGACAGCAGGGGCAGGTGGGGAGAAGAGGGGCGTGCATCGGGTACTCCAAGGAGGCGGGGCATGATGGGCGGGGTAGCGGGGGAGGGCAAAGGGCGCAGAGCGTGCGCTGGTGTGCGTGTGTGTGAGGGGGAGCGGGTCACGGCATGGATCGTCCCACATGAGGAGGAGGACGGGTCGGCCTCCACCGCTGCCTCCAGCACAGAACCTGCATGGGGAAGGTCGGTCCGCGGCATCCCCATGTGTGTCCAGGGTCCAATGGTCGTTTTGCCATGCATGCATGCATGCATGTAAACTCCAGCCCTACGCAACCCCATGCCCGCCCCCCGTATCGATGCCCGCCCCCAACACCACGACCACGTAACACATACACAGTAAACAGCTACTCGGCACAGCTGCTCAAACGAACTATTAATTGCGCGTGAGCACGTCAAACCCAAACATACCCGTGCCCGCTTGCTCTTCATCTCCGGAAGCTCCGGAACCGCTGCCTCCCGCTGCCGCTCCTTGGTCCCCACCGCCCTCCTGCAGCCCTTCTGCATCAGCACTGCCAATGTCACCGCCAGCAAAGCCGGCGGTTCCAGCGGCAGCCTCCGCCGCAGCAGCGGCGGCGTCCGCCACCGCGTCAGCAGCAGCCACAGCAGCAGCCCGCCGCTGCCCCAGCCGCCCCGCAGCCATCTTACGCCTCCGCCGCCGCTGTTGCTGCTGCTGCCGCCGCTTCCTCGGGGTCTCCTCGTCCAGCCCCTCATCGTCATCATCCTCTTCGTCCATCCCATTGTCGTAAACTTCCATCAAGCCTTCTGCCTCGTCCTCGCGCACGCCGCGCTCCTCCCCAACCTCCATGAACTCCTCCAGCTGAGGCTCCTCCTCTCCCTCCACCCCCTCGCCGCCCTCCTCTCCAGCACCCACGCTGGTCCCACTGCTCCAAAACACATCCATCTGAGGCATTGCAAGTGGAACGTCCTCCCCGTCCTCCTTCCACCCAGTCTGCCGCTTGGGCCCCCTTCTGCCCCGAGCAGAAACAGCCCTTGGCCGGCCTCCAGCTTTGACCTGGCCCTGTTGCTGCAACTGCTGCTGCTGCGGTTCCAGGTATAGCTCCTGCTTCTGCTGCTGCGGCGGCGGCAGGAGCTCCTCCACTTCCTCATGCTGCTGCTGCTGGTCCTGCTGGCGGTGCTGTTCTGGATCTTGCAACGGAAACGAGGCAAGGGGGTGCAGCAGCTGGTGGGCAGCCTGGGGAAAACTCGGGTGTGCAGGCGGGTGCCGGCTGAGACCAAACACAGCTGGCAGCGGCGGTTGCAGGGCGGTCGCGCAACTGCCTCCGTCTCCGCGACTCCAACGAGTGTATGCATGCAACGAGTCGCTTTCTGCAGGCGCCATCGGAGCCCCTGCCATACGTGGGCGCTGCTGGGTGATGCAGTTGCCTTCCGCCGGAGTGAAATGCTGGGTTTCGGTGTGCATGGATGTTGCGAATGAGTTTTGTCGCGGCAAGTGGTCGCAGGGTTGACTTTCGAGGCTATTGCGGGCGGGAAGGTCGGCTGCTACGCCGGCGCCCATTGCCGTGGGGCTCCCTAGGGCGCCAATGGGGCTTATTTCGGGTTGCGGCAGACCGACGGCGTAGGGCGCGGCGTTCTCCATGCAACGACCCATGGGTCGCGGGACACGCAGCCGCACGCCGGGCGCAGATGTTGACGCCATCATTAACCTGTCATGAAGCGGGTGATGCTGCTGGGAATGCGGAGGCTCCAAAACCATAACCGGGCCGGAGCTTAAGCCCGTTCCAAACGCATGCAAATGCACTGGCTGCTGTTGCTGATGCCCCATCAACCCCAGCTGCGAATGCTGCTGCTGCTGCTGCTGCCACGACTGCGTTGCCGCCGGCGGCGGCAGCGCCACCAAAGGCTGGTGCTGATGCTGCTGATGCAACAGCGACCCAGCCGCCGCCTGCCCCGCCGCCAGCTGCGGCGGCGGCGGCGACTGCGCGGTAAGTCCGTAGCCTTCCGCCAGGTCGCCGATCAAGCCATTCAGCTCCGCCTGCAGGAGCTCCTCCTCCTCGCGGTCGCTGGCGCCGCCCAGCGGTCCGCAGCCCGCCAGCTGCTCCATCAGGAGCTGTTCCGGAAGTTGCAAACCGGGGTCGCCGGAAGAAGGCAGCGCGGCGGCGGCGGCGGTGGCGGTGGCGAGGGAGGTGGAGCAGGAGGGCGCGGCGGGTGCAGAGGGGGCGGAGGGGAGCGGCGGGGGTAGGAGGTGGTGGTGGGGAGCGGTGGTGGGGTTGGCGTTGGGGGGCGAGTTGGGGTTGGGTTGGAGGTAGGAGAGGGTGGTGTGTGCGTCTGCGCTGAAGGCCCGGCGGAGGGGGTCGATGGCGTTGTGATGGTGATGGTGGTGATGGTAGGGGACGGTGGGTGGATCCGAAGGGTGCAGGGAGTAGGGGTAGGGCTGCACATGCGGGGTAGCGGCTGCGGCCGCAGCAGAGTAGGAAGATTGGAAGGGCGTATGCATGGCCGCTGGTCGGTCATCGTCGCTGCCGGGCATGGCTCCATGCGCCAGAGGCGTCGGCGGCACCGCCATGCTGTGAGCGCTGGCAAAGGAGTGCTGCAGCGACATACCACCATTGTACGGCGCTTTTGCAGCAAACTCGTCGTACATTATTCCGTACGAGGGGCCGCTTGCCGGGAAGGCCGGGACCGTTGACCTCTCACAGGCAGCCTGTGGCTGTGTGGTCTGCATGGAAGGTAAGTCTAGAGCTGCGACTGATCCATGAACGTTCGGGAAAGCTCCCCCAATCATCCCAGCAGGAGAAGGAGCGACGCCAGCAATGCCAGCTCCGGGTGCCGCCGCCGCCAGCGCTGAGGCGACGGACGAGTGGCGCGTTAACGGGGCTCCAAAACCCAGATGCGGCATTGACATGGAGTGGTGCTGGCTGTTGGTCAGTCGCCGGCTGTACACTGGGGGCACGTCTGCGAGGCATGGGGAAGAACGGAGCAGGAACAGTCATTGGATGAGGAACACTGACATTGACGATCCAGGGACGCGGGGTGCAGGGGGTACAGGGGTGTGCTGTGACGAAAGTTAACAGGAACGTCCCACAAGCAATTCTACCGGTGACGTAAGCAACAGCAGCAGGTTCCAGCGGACTTGCCTTCCGGATGATAGTAGTGCGGCGGCGGATATCCGTACATCATGTGCCGTGATCTGTATGGCATGCCATAGGGCACGCCGTACGTTGGAGGCGGCGGCAGCGAGTAGTGTGCAGGCCGCAGGTTCGTGGCCATTGCCGCGGCAGCGGTGGCTGCGCTTGGTGTGCCTCCGCCGCTGACTGCTGACGTGGCGCCACCGTCGCTCGACGACGCGCCGTGGCGGCCGCCTCCGCCGGCTTCAGTTGTGCCGCCTCCGCCGCCGCCGGTGGACGGATTTTGTGCAAGGGGATCCGGCGGAGCTCCGCTGTCGCTTTCGCCTGTCGTCATGCCCGCCGTCAAAGCTGCTTGCGCGTCGGGACCTAGGAAGGGAGACTGACGGGGGAAGGAGGATAATAGAGCAGGGAAGGAGGCATTAATGGGACGCAGGGCAATCAGTGTGCACGGCAGGTGAACGTGGGGGTCGTCGGCTACCCAAGGGGCTGGCGGGGAAGGGCGTGTGTGACTATTAGATCCTAAAGGGCACCCGCCAGAAAGGAGGTTTGGGAATTGCAACTATGCGACAGCAACGTGCAGCCAACAACAAAACACTGGCTTCATGAGGACCGCCCCGTCCTATCCGGCTAGGCAGCCACCCTACCCAGGTACCAGCCGTGTGCGCTCAAGCCCCAACCCATGAAGCAGGGGACCTCACCTGAAAGCCTCGTGGTGGCATGGGCGTTGCGTCATCATCGAGTGGCATGCCGTACGGGGGTGTCGGCAGTGACAGCGACGACAGTAACGGCCGCTGTACGGTGTGAGGTGGGTGCGATGGGTGGTGGCCGGGGAACCCCACGAGGACCCGCCGGGCTATCATGGGAGGGGCAGCTGGGTACGGGTGCATGGCGACACCGTAAGGAGGCATTCCTCGAGGGTGGCGGTAGGGAGCGGGAAAGTAGGGGTGGCGATGCGCAACTGCTCGATAGGGCTGGTTGGGTGGCGGGCGGCCTGGCCAATGACGTAACGGCGGATAGACTGCAGGACCGCTTCCGGGAGTATATCGGACAGAAGTCGGAAGAAAGTTGCCATGTTCCTCTTCAGGACTAATGGATAAACCACATGGCGGTAAGCAGCTGGCCTGTTCGGTGTCCAGAGCATGATTGTCCGCGTCCGCGTCCATGGCTGCCCAAGTTGCTGTAAGAAGCTGATGAAATGACTTCAGTAAAGGGCAAAGCTGCTTTGGTCGGGCGCTTCAGCCCTGCCTTTGCAAGGCGAAGATACGTCTCTCTCCAGTGATGGTCGCCGCAAGGACGTACTTGCAAAAATTATTACTGTCAAAAGATAGGAAGGTCTCGAACGAGACAGGATGTTGAAGTTACCGCTCTCGTCCGGTTCAGTCGTCGGTTTCTTGCGGCTTGCCACACCCCGAAAGCCAGTCGCAACAAAAAGCTGGTAAAAAAAGGCACATCTCCACTTGCTTTTAGTCACGTTTGCATAGTTAAGTGGGACTAGAGCCCTCAAGGTCACTTTGGCGTCAATCAGTGCCCATGGACTCGTTGGCGAAGACACCTTGCAAGGTTAATCGATGTCGGAGTCTAGATAAAGCTCAACGGTGAACTGCCTAGTAAGTTACTCAAAAGTATAGGATTGTCGATACACAAAGAAACCGCACTGCACGACACATGATCGCTTGTTGCCGTACTTGTCCTTATTTCAGGTTACTCCGGGCGTAACAGAACGCACTACTTGCTTCCGCTCAGGTCGCTTGGTTGCTAGAAAACTGTTGTATTAATACGTTTGCGGCACCGGTATGGCCCTCAGCGCAACATCACAAGCTAGGCGCCTCGTGCCCGGCTTCGCAACGGGATTTCGTTGGCTAGCTTCAGCAGCTGCGCCAATCTCAGCTGCAGCGGCAAACACGGTATGTGACGCAGGCAGGCGAGGTTTGCATGGAGGAAACCCTTCTAAAAATGTCCTTACTGGAGAGGCCGACGTTGCCTATTATCATTGGACACACTTTAGATCGCTTGTCTGCATATTAACGCGCGGAAAGCAGGATACTTCTTGTTATGGGAACCCTGCTGCTGCGTCAGCTACAATGTTCAGCTCTCACGTTGGTCCCTTACGATGCCACAGCCAATAAAGGTCAAGCTACTGATTAACGGCAACTTTGTTGATTCCGCAACGGATAAATGGATCGGCGTGCATAACCCGGTAGGTCGAGGGCATGAATGCCTATACAATTACATGGCAGCGGAATCCAGCTTTTCAGCGATGGGTGTTGCATCGTCGCTACTTGAAACTTAACTTGACCAGGCACTTGACATGCTCCCAGCTGAGTACAGCAATTGCCTTCACGTTGCTCCGGCGTCCGGGACCGTCCCCACCCCAACAGGCAACACAGGATGTCCTCTCCCACCTGCCCCTCACCACCAAGTCCGAATTCGACTCGGCGGTGTCGGCTGCTGCAGAAGCATTCCCGCGTTGGCGCGCCACACCCGTCCCAACTCGTGTGCGCGTCATGTTCAAGTTTCAGGAGCTAATCCGCGCCAACATGGTACGGCACCGCGGTGCTAACGAGCGACCAAACCTGCCAGGAAGCCACACATCCCTGTACTTCCATCACCATTCCAGCATGAGCACGCAGCCTGTACGTCTTCACAAAGACTGGCAGACCAGCAGAGGCAACGATGTGTCCTCCACAACATCATATTTCATCTTCTTGGCGAGGCGAACCCCTTGTGGCTGTGTTTTTGCATATCCTTCCTTTGCCATCCCTCCCACCCCTCCTCAACCCTCACACCTCAGAACTACCCACCTTCCAACTTCCCACATCTCATCCCACCTCCCCCCAACACACCCTGCATGAGTCGTGCTTGCGTATTGGGACTCTGTTGCTGCACTTAATCAATTATTTTCACCCTCACCACTGCAGGAGGAGCTGGCTCGCAGCATCACCCTGGAGCAGGGCAAGACGCTCGCGGACGCCCGGGGGGACGTCTTCCGAGGACTGGGTGGGTGGGAGAGAGGGAGGAAGGGTGGGAACTGGGAAGTGGGTGGCTTGTCGAGGAAACAGGAACCAGCTATGACGACCAGGCGCAGCCAGTTCCCCACCTTCCGACGTCCCAGATGGGCTGCTGTTTCCTAATCCAGCCTTATCCATCTGGGTCGCTTGCTGCATTGTGTTGCTGCTGCCTCTGCAGAGGTGGTTGAGACGGCGTGCGGTATTGCGCCCTTCCTGACCGGGGAGATGCTGGAGAACGTGGCGGGCGGCATCGACTGCTACTCCGTTCGGCAGCCACTCGGGGTGAGAGGGCGGGCGGGGGCAGGGGGAAAAGAGAGGAATTATCTCCCGGGAGCGGGGGAAAGGGCGGAGGAAGACAGGGCTGTGGGGTGGAGGAGTTGGTGGTGGATGCATGGAGTTCAAAGGGGCTGAACGAGGCGTGATCTTACCAGATCTTATTTTCCTGCACCCTTCCTCACTCCCTGCCTGCCCTCCTCCCGCTTGACGACCTCCCCCCCCCTGCCCCTCCTGCCATGCGCTCACTGCATGAGTCGGGATTCGGGATTGGGACTCCGTTGATGGACTTATCTATAATTTTGCCCCCTGCCCTACCCCGGCAGGTGGTGGCCGGCATCTGTCCCTTCAACTTCCCCGCTATGGTGCCGCTGTGGATGTTCCCGCTGGCAGTCACCGCCGGCAACACCTTCCTGCTGAAGCCTAGCGAGCGCGACCCGGGCGCCGCGGTGATGCTGGCGGACCTGGCGCAGCAGGCGGGGCTGCCCAAGTAAGAGGTTACTGCGAGTTTAGGGGGGGATGTCAGGGGGGCGGCAAGAAAAGAGGGAACTGACGAGCTGTGCGACGAGGGGGATGATGGCGGGAGGATGAGCGGGAACGCAGGGTGCAGCGGAAAGAGCGGGATGGTGGGTCACACCCCAGGATATCACGCCACCATCGCCGAACTGACCATAACCTCCGTTCTCGCTGTTGCTGTTGCTGCTGCTGCTGCTGCTGCTGCTGCTGCTGCTGCTGCTGCTGCTGCTGCTGCTGCTGCTGCTGCTGCTGCTGCTGCTGCATGCATGCAGGGGCGTGCTCAACATCGTACACGGCAGCCGTGACGTGGTCAACTGGATTTGCGACGACCCCACCATCCGCGCCATCTCCTTTGTGGGCTCCAACGCGGCGGGCCGCTACATCTACGCGCGCGGCTGCGCTGCCGGCAAGCGCGTGCAGAGCAACTTGGGCGCCAAGAACCACGCGGTGATCATGCCGGATGCGGACGTGGACTCCACCGTCAAGGCGCTTGCAGGTACGTGCGGTCCGGTGTGGACACGTGCCGGTGTGGAAGCGGAGCATTGGTTGAAGCAGCGGGCGGGAAGCGGGGAAGAGCCGGGGTGTATTGGCGTATGAGGTGTTGTCCGGAGGGGTGCGAACACTGGGTTCTGGGGTGGGAAATGAAATAGAGAGATACATGTTTTTGCACAAGGAGACCTTTTCAGCTGCTGCGGTATAACAGCCCATTAGCCCCGCCCGCGCTACCTCGCTTACCTGTGTCGTAACAACCCTCCCGGGCGTCACACCTCTCATCACGGTGTGATGGGTCCCCGTTCTGCATGCAGGTGCTGCCTTTGGCGCCGCGGGTCAGCGCTGCATGGCCATTTCCGCGGCGGTGTTTGTGGGCGGGCTGTCGGAGCGGTGGAGCGGCCCGCTGCTGGAGGCGGCTCGCAGCCTCAAGGTCAACGCGGGCTGGGAGAAGGACGCGGACCTGGGGCCCATGATCAGCCCGGAGGTGCGAGTGGGGAGGTAGAACTAAGGAAATAGCTAATTGACCGTGTGATAAGGAGGGGGGATGCGGGATGAGGGGATATGGGAAGGAAACGGGTGAAGAGGCGGGTTACGGCGAGTACTTTGGTGCGGTGTAGCACCGCGTAGTGACTCTTCCCCGCTTCCTGGACGCCACCCTTTCTTTGGGAACCTCTTTGTGTAACCTCTCTTCCCACCTTCCAGGCCAAGTCACGCGCCGAGCGGCTGATCGCCAGCAGTGCGTCCCAGGGCGCCCGGGTACTGCTGGACGGGCGGGGCGTGGTGGTTCCGGGCTACGAGCGGGGCAACTTCCTGGGCCCCACCGTGCTGGCAGGAGTGACTCCGGACATGGAGTGCTACAAGGAGGAGGTGTTTGGACCCGTGCTGAGCTGCATGGATGTGAGTGTCGTGGATCATGACGGGGGGGTGTTTCGTGAGGGGCTAGGTGCGTGCTAGTTGACGTGTCCTCTCACGCTTGACACGTCAACTGTACCTTTGAACGGCGTGCATGCAAGGAAGTCGTTACGGGTTAGTAACAAAAGTTGTGCATGTGTATACATCCGTCCGTATTCCACCCCCTTGCTGCCCTGCCTGCCCCGGTCAGGCTGCGACCCTAGACGATGCGCTCGCCATCGTGAACACCAACGAGCACGGCAACGGAACTGCCATCTTCACTCGCAGCGGCGCAGCAGCCCGGCGCTTCCAGGTGGGGGCTGTAATGGGGGGAGGGTTAGTGTAAAACCAACTGACATCCAAAACCATGTACACAGGGTTTGTACGGGTGTGCGCGCTGTGCAGGTTACCGTACCTCTTGTGTTTTTCTTTCCGTCGCCGTCGCCTTCTCATGCCTCCCTAGTTGCATAGCTGTGGCCAACAGGGGATGCCCGTTTCATGTACTGGCTACTGAGCCCTCTCCTGTTGTGTGCTCAACCTGCGCAGAATGAGGTGGATGTGGGTATGGTGGGCATCAATGTGCCCATCCCCGTTCCGCTGCCCTTCTTCTCCTTCACCGGCTGGCGGGGGTCCTTCGTTGGTGAGTGGCGACAGGGAGCGACCATTTGCCAACAGTACAGTTCAGTTCACCGTTGCGTCTACGTTGCGGGTCATGTAGCCCAAATAGTACCGGTATTCATGTTACGCAAGCCGCCCGCCGCACCTGTCTTGTTGTGTTCCAGACTTGCCCACAGTTTGTTGGTCACCATCACCTGCTGTACAGCACTTTGCACCCTTCTTTGCCTGCCGTACAAGTCCGTACTGCTATCGCCGCTCTGCCGTACCTATTGGCTATTGCCGCCCTGCCGTACAGGCGATCTGCACATGTACGGCCGCTCGGGAGTTCAGTTCTACACGCAGAGCAAGACGGTCACCGCTAAGTGGCCTGCGGAGGACGTGGCGCAGATCAGCAGCGGTCCCTCGTTGGCTGGCAAGGCGGCGTGCGGCGGCGGCGCCAGGGAGCGGTTGCCGGGACTGGATCGAGTGGGTGCTGCTTGAGGAATGAAGGGGAGGTGTTTGTGGTGATAAAGGGCGATGGTGGGTGTTGTAGGCGTGTTGGTGAAGGTACGAATGACGGGTGATGGTTGCGGTTGGGCCGTTGCATGGAGGGATGTATGTGTTGATGAGAGTGTGGAGATGGGAGGTGTACTTGTACTGTAGAAGGTTGAGTGGGGATGCAGGGATTGCGTTAAGTCTGGAAGTGGTCCCCTTGTACAGAGTGTGTATTGTTTTGAAGGAGATGTGTATTAGCCTAGCAGTGGCAGCTGGATGTATTGTAAGGCGTTGAGCTGAGGAAGAGTCGCTGCTTAGGTTACATGTACCAAAGGCGTATTTTTGGACGCGAACAAGTGGTGGAGCACTGTTGTAGCGACCAAGGAAGACCGGATTCGGAGCAAGGTACCTGCATACCATGGGCATGTTGGTAGTGGTAGTGTTTAACCAGGTATGGGCCTCGTAGGGCTGAAGAGTTTCGGATCCTGTGTCTATGTGCACCGCAGTACATATAGCATTACAGGGTTAGCAGGTGTTGCTCGCTTCACACGTCCCTTTTGGAGCCCTCGTGTCGGTCATTGTCTCATTGGACGTGCATCATGTGGGGGTTGGAGGAATAAAGAAGAGGATCAGAGGGCGCTAGACTCCTGGATGCGGCAGGTTATAACTGTAAGCGTTTTCGCTACAGCTGGTACGGCCAATACATGCCGTACCAGCGGTAGCTGTTGGCTTGCAACCCGGCGGAGCCCCTACCTGCCTGGTTGGGATCTGCTGACGACATTTTGCGCGCGTCTCTCTAGATAGCTACCAAACCACTGTCGACAAAGGACCACACAGATCCGGCATAAAATTCCTGCATGCTGTATTATTATGTCATCCAGAAAACAAGGCCGGGGCCAGTCAGGGCCTCCTGTGCACACCGTGTCTGCATCACTCGCCCAGCTACTACGTCTGGCCATGTGGAATCAGCAATGGGTCCGCCGACATTCGGTCCCTGGCTGGCGACAGGAATGCATGGACGACAGCAACCCCTACACGGCGCCTAGTTTCGACCTAGGGGATTAACTTGCCCTGCCATCCATTAACATAGGGTTAGAACTCCTAGCCTTCGCACGCCGGGACTCCCCATCTACAGGATGATTTCTAGGTGCTCTCTTCGTCAAATACGAACGATGAACGTTGCTCTCAGTCTGCACGTTGCCTATGAACGACTGGGATGGTAGGACGTCAGGCACGTAAGCTACTTGACAATATATATGGAGGCTAACATGTGCCTAGTACGGTACGCTAGGTTCCATCAACGCTAGAATAGAGCAGCGGCTCTTGCCTCGCAACCCACGGGCCCACGTATGCAAGCATTTCATGCAAGGTGCCAGCTAAGCAACACTGCGCATGAGCTCGCGATATCTCTAACAACACCATACGAGCTCGCGACCTCTCTCAACCACACCATACTCCACTTCCACGAGAGGGCGCCCACTTCGGGACCTTGTTTCCCACTAACTTCCAAGAACTTCCCCCATCTCCACATCTTCAACCCCGGTCGCCTCCACCGCCATCCCGTCGCCCCCGTTTACCTCCTGGCTTCCATCCCCATTCCCCGCCAAACTCCTATGCCGGCTACCCCTACCGCCCTCCCCAGTCCCGCCTACCATACCTGCGCTCTCTGGCCCCACATGCTGCTGCTCCTCCTCCTCAGCCTCCCCGCCGCCCGTCACCCCAGCTGTCCCCGGCTGCAATACAACCGGCGCAAGCGCAGCCCCCACCGCCTCCCCCGCTACTGTGTTGCCCTCCATACCAGCAGCAGCCAAACCGTACTGCATCTGCTCCTCACTCAACAGCGGTGCTGGCGGTTCGTCTTCGTCTCCCGATAGCTGCCCCGATGGGTGCAGCAGCCGATCCGCCGGCACCCCGTCAAAGTCCAGGTTCTCCCAGGGCCGGCCTAGCTGCCGCCACCAGTCGGCTCCGTAGTCCCGAAACAGTTGCTCCCCGGGAGCGATGTCGCGGGTGGCCACCAACACCGGCAGCACCAGTCCGCGGACTGACACAGGCACCACCTGAGGGGTGAGAGAGGGGGGAGCAGGGTGGGTTAGCTGGCGGGACCCGTAGTTGCTGCAGCCGGCACTGGCCGGTAGCGACCGATGTCATGTAGCATATGTGTCATGTGTCATATGGGGTCGACGGATGTACTAAAGTGTGCGTCTTGTGTGACCGCTGTGCCACACACACCATGCAGTTTGGCTCGGGCGCTGAGTCCACGTCGTTGCCCTCCTCCCAAGCGCGCGGCTGGACCCGTGGGTCGTTTATGAGGGCCGCGAAGTTGCCGTACCCCAGCATGTTGATTTCTAGCGCGGTGGGACCTGCAGACACGCCACAAAACGGTGGTTGTTGGGGCAGTACCGGTAAGTAACCATGGACAGCCGCAGGACAGATGGGCAGCATGGCAATGCATCAACCTCGACCCGGCTTCAGGTCCTAGTACCGGTAATCGTACCCCAGCATCGATCAAGCCTCATCCATCCAGGTCAGCACATGACCTTTCCGCAACCCTCCCCTCTCAGTCGGGATATGGGATTGGGATTCGTTGTTTCACTTCTATAATTTTTTCTCCCCTCTCACCCGCCGCTCCCTCCGGCGTCAGCTCCAGTTCCGGGTACGGCATCCTAAAGGCCCCGGCCACAAACTGCCACGCCACCATTAGCTCAGCCGGCGCCGCCCGGCCCCCAAGCTCCGAAACCAGCGCTCCACGACACTCCCGGAACCCCCGCGACGCGAAGTGCTGGCCCGCCGCCGCCGTCATGACGTAACCGCCCACCACACCAATCACATCGTTCCGCCGCAGGGGCACAAAGGCTGCCAGCCCCGCACCGCCGCGCTCCATGTCCCCCACCGGCTCCACTCCCTCCACCAGCTCCAGCCGCTCTGACGGCAGCTCGGCGTCCCATTCCCGGTCAGCCGTCAGGAGGCCTAGGTAGCGAGCCAGACGCGAGCAAACGATGTTGGCACTCAGTCGGTAGCGATCAAAGGTGACGCGCCAGGGCGCTGGTGACGGAGCCGTTGATACTGCTGCAGCAGAGGATGGTACGGCATCCGGTAGGCGGATCTGTACGGCAGCGGGATCTGCATGGGCCAACCGGTCGCCCAGGGCCTGCTCCCATTGTGCCATGAGGCGTCGTACTGCAGGTGCGATGTCCGGGTGGAAGGTCAGTCCGCACAGTCGCATCTCCCCGGCTCGAAGCGGCGGCAGACCGGAGCTGCCGTGATTCCCCGGGGGCACGCAGCCGTGCAGGTGGGTGATGGAGGGAGCAGGCCCGGCCGGCATCGCCGCAGCTGCGACCGCCGATGCCACCGCGACTGCGACCGACGGCGCCACCGTGCGACGAGGCGACTTTCCGCTGGCGCCAGCGGTGCCAGCAGCGACAGCAGCAGCAGCCGGTTGACTAGCTGCCGGTAGTATACCCTGCCGCTTGCTTGGCCGCGCCTCCGCGTCGCCGCCGTTTGAGCCGTCAGCGTCCCCAGCGGTACGCTTGCGGGCCGCAGGAGCGGAGCCGGAAGGCCCACCAGCGGCAGCAGCAGCGGCAGCCCCGTCTCCAGTGGCAGCTGCCGGCGCTGCTGCTGCTGCCGGCGCCGCTGTTACCGGCGGCGCCGCCGCCGCTGCCGGCACCGCCGCTGCTGCTGCTGCCGCTCCCCCTACAACACCGCCACCGCCGTCACTCCCAGCTTGCGGAGCAGGGTCCAGCCGGAAGTGCACCATGTCTGCGGCGTCACCCTCAACCCTCCACATGTGTAACCTGCTGCCTGAGCGCCCCGCATGCTTGTTGATCACGCCCCTTAAGCGCTTCAGCACCCATGTCACGTAGGCGCGCTGGTTTGCGTAGCCATGCAGGTGCGTCTGGAACACCTGCCCATCGGTATCGTCCACCATTCGTACCACAATGTCCGAGCCCGACCCATGGGTCGCCGTAAGGCCCGAAAAAAGGCTCCGACACAGAAGCACCGGGAGTCGTATGGAGCCGTCGGTCACAGACCGGTCGTTTAGCTCAACGGCTAGGCCCATGTTACTGCTGGGAGTCAGGGCCGAGGCGGGGATGGGCACCGGGCCAGGCTGGACAACCCCCCCTAAGGAGCCTGAGCCGGCGGAGGGAAGGGGCAAGCCCCCAGCTGGGTTACCTCCAGCGTCAATCGCAGCACCCGCAACGGCTGCAGCAGCAGCTGCTGTTTCGCCAGCAGGAACGGCACCACTGCCATTCACAGCAGCGGCAGCCGAGCTCTGCAAACCCGCATCACCGGCGGCTACAGCCTCACCAGCCGTTGCCGCCGCCGCTGCGGCTACTGCCCCAGCGTCGCCTGCAGGGTTCGCCGCAGGCAGCCCTGCCGCTGCTGTTGTTGTCTTGCCCACTTCATCTGCCGCCGCCGTCTGCGCGCGTATCAGCCGAAGCGACAACCGGCCGTCCGGTCCCGCGCTCAGCTCAGCCTGGTCGCCTGCTTTAGCCCCCAATCGGTCCATCCACCCATGCAGCCCACCAATCTTCCAGCAGGGCATGGCCTCGGGACCCCGGGGGCCCGCGTAACGAGACAGCCATGCAATGTACGGCGCCCCATCCACCAACAGCCGCAGCTCGCGTTGTTGACCGCTGACCGTCACCAACTGCCCCAGGTGCGCCTGCCAAGCGGGACGGTGGCCTATCCGCATGCCGAGCGTGCCGTGCCGTATCATGGCCGGCGTCAGTTCCCTTGCGTAGATTAGTTGCGAGCGATCTGCATGCTGCCGCTTTCGCGACTGCCGCGCCGCAGCCGGCTCCGCCCCAGTCGAGCCATGGTTGGGGCCAAGATGCCTGGAAGCGGGGCAGGAAGGCCCTGCAGCCGATCCGTCCACGGCGCCGGCTGCTTTCGCCGCCGCCGCTGTCGTACCAGGATGTACGGCAGACGGTACGGCCGCCGCTGCCGTACTGGTCGGCTCTCCCTGCGCGTCTTCGGCACTGCCGGCCGCCGGCGGAAGTACTGACAACGTTTCCTCCTCCAGCTCCTCCTCGGCCATCTCCTCGTCCTCGTCCTCATCCTCATCTGCTGAATAGCTGCTATCGTCAGCATCGGGCCCCTCTTCCACCTCCTCCTCGCCTTCCTCATCCCTTTCCTCATCATTCCCCACCGCAGCTCCGCCCCGTACCTTCATGCCATGCCCACCCTCTCCATCGCCCGACGCAGCCCTCTCGCCCACGGTTTCCGTGCTTTGGCTGGGTGCAGCCTCATCCCCAGCACCGTTGCTGCCTCCCGCCATTGCCCCACCCCTGCCTTCATGCGCCTGCATGGGGGCTCCACACGCAGGCGGCCTGCCGCAAGGCCCCGCCGCAGCAGCCGCTGCAAAGGCCCCAGCAGGGTCATTAGGCTGTGCATGCGCGACCGTACAGCCCCCCTGCGGCTGCTGAGGGCCCCGCTGTAGAGGGGGCCGTTGCTGCTGCTGCTGCTCCCCTTGCTCCGTTTTGACCACCACCCCCAGCACTTGCTGGCGGCAAGGCTCCTGGACCTCCTCCTTCACAACAACAGTACCGGACGGCAGCTGTGGACGCACCGGAAGCGGCTGAGGAGGTTGCTGCTGACGCTGCTGTAGCTGCGGCGGAGGCGGAGGCGCGTCCGGCTGCACAGCGGCGGCACCAACGCCAGCAGCCAGCACCGTTGCAGCCCCTGTCGCCACGCCCCCGGCATCGTCACCCGCTCCGTCTCCCTCCTCCTCTTCCTCCTGCTGCGGCCGCTCAGGTCCCAGACCCAACCCCGGAATCTGCACTTGCTGTCCTTGCTGCTGCTGCTGCTGTTGCAATTCCTGCTGCTGCGATCCCTGTTCCCGCTGCTCCTGCTGTTGCTGCTGCTGCGGTCCATGCTGCACCTCGCCCACCGGTATCAGCATGGGCCCACCCACCGCCGCATCATGCATGAGCCTCACGCGGCCCCCATCCTGCACCCCCAAATCCATCATGAGCGCTGTAAGCCGCGTCAGACGGGCCTGGCTTTTCCAGATGCGCAGCTGTGCGTTCCTGCACTCCAGCACCGGATTGCGCCCCTCGGCCGTCCTGCCGTACACTGCAACGTCAACCAACCGCTCTCGCGCCGCCGCCTGCGTCTCCTCATTAAAAAAGGCGCGTACGGCGGCTATCGGCAGCCGTAGGCGGTAGGCTGCCCAACAGGCTTCGAAGGAAGAGCCCCAGCCGCCGCCCGAGGAGCCGCTTGCGGCTGCTGTGGCTCCTGCTGCTGCTGCTGTGGCGGCAACAGCCGTCGAGTCCTCCTCTGCAGCGGTCGCGACCGCTGCCCCTTTTGGGGTTGCGGTGTTGACATCGGTGGTACCGGTCGCACCTGGGTCAGCGGCTGGTTTGTGATTGCGGTTTGCGCCGGCGGAGATGGCAGCTGCCGCGGTGCTGTCGGCCGCTGGTGCGGTAGCCGCCGTATGGTTGGACGAGGCGCCGGCGGTGCTGGCGTGGCGTGGCACGCTGGCGGTGCCAGCCTCTGGCGGGTCGGAGGCGGGACCTGCAGCGGGTCCTGCTGCAGCCGGAGGCAGGGGACGCAGAAGCTGAATGGGAAGTGGCGGTGCGGAGGCGGTGGCGGGGATCGCAGACGGGATCGAGACGTTGGGAGGCGTGGGTGCGGCCTGAGGAACAGGCCCTGGAGGCTGTGTAAGAGGTTCAAGGTCCGGGTCGGATTTAATGTTCATCTGGGGCGCAAGTGAAGCAGTTGCAGTATCTGTGCGCAAGGCTGCTTGGGTTGATGGAGCTGCTGCAGCAATGCTGATTGGGGGTTGCGGTACTGTGGATGGGTTGACCTGCGCCGCTGCAGAGGCGGACAGCGAAGCAGCCACCGGCGCATTTTGATTAGCGCTCGCTCGCGTGGAAGGTGCTGGTGCTCGCGATGAAGACATATGCAGCAGCCCAGAGAGGATGGACACCAAAGAGGACGCCCGTCCAGCAGGTGCTGCGCCAGGTTCCAAATTCTGCATCTCGGCGCTTCAGCAGATGTTTTCGTAATCTAGCTATCTGGCCGTGTTGCACTACAAGGCTACCCGTATCTCAGAGATGTACCCCGTTGACCGCCGAACAACGGAACCGAGGACTCTGAGAATATTCATGATCCCTTCTATTATATAAGTCTTTGGTGGTCGCGTAGACGTGTAAGGAATCCCTTGCTAGCCAGGGTCCCGGATGGCTGCTAAATTCCTAGTCGGAAGCACGAACTAGCACCTTAGGCGCCGAAGCAATTCAATTATATAAAAATCTAACCGTCAAGATAGATGCCTTGACGTCTGAAGTCGTTTGTAGTGCTGTGTTCCCCTTGCAGGATCGGTACGAGCGAGGGTGTCCGCCCATGCTTCCGATCATTCCGGCGATGGAACAAAGGATCTCGGCTGAGCATACAAAACCCGTTACAGGTAATACTCAATTCACGGCTCGTTCATGCTGCATGCTACAAAGGTCCCCTACACGACGTGCCACGGCAACCGTCCTGCCAAAGCCCTTCCAATGTTCTCTACTGCATCCCTAACCTGGGAGTTGCGACATGCATATCCGCCGCATCCTTTAATACCGGTATGCGCACGCCAACCTGTAACACCTTGGGTGACCTGCGTTACCCAACCACGCAAGCCGTAATCCCAAGGCGCGCGGCGCGCCCCACGGAGAAAGCGCCCTGGCCCTCCACCGAAGATCACGACCGTTCTAGCTCTCCCATAGTTCATAAGTACAACACGCTGCTCGAATACTCGTTCTCCCATGCGCCCTGTAGCAAGGTAGCAGACCCCACACCCCTGGACGTCCTGCGCTGTACCAACGTGCACAACATGGCTACTCTACCCATGCCTTCCTCGCTCACAAATAGCCTTCCTAGACCAGCATGCAACACCGCTAGAGGTCTGGACCAACCCATCGCTGCCTACCACGCGCCGTCGTTTCCCATCACGCGCAATCACACAACTGCATTAAGCTTACACCCGCGTTGCCCAATTTTGCCGCTCACTTTCGGCATGGACCTGTAGTTCTATCGGCTCCTTTCCTCCAAGCAAGTCAACACACCATGCCCATGCTCCAGCACCGCTACACTTCGCCCCCCGCCCTACAAACTATGACCTGCGCCGCCAGAAACCCCACGAACCGTGCTCAAAGCGCGAGTGCTTATCTTTACACTCCTGGCTACACACGCAGACCTCCTTGATGCTACTAGTGTCACCGCTGCTACCGCCGGCACCGCCGCTGCTACTGCCGCCGCTGCCGGTGCCGCCGCTCTTATTGCATATCATGCACCTGTGCGGCAGTGACAGCTCCTGCTCGCTGTCCCCCGCCAGGTTGACGCAAGCAGGATTGGCACAAGGCCCAGGCAGCGGCAGCCGCTTCCGTACCTCCGAAGGCGGCATCATCCGCAACGCAACTGTTGCATCCGGACACATGCTCGCCAGCAGCTCCATCAACACCCCGTCTGCAGCCAATGACGACGATGACGACACCGGCGGCGGCGGCGCCACCGCCGATCCTGCCGGTGAAACCCCGGCCACTCGCTCCACCTCCGCCATGACATTTGCATCCGGGAAATGTCCGCCGGGGCCAAACACCTCCAGCAGATCGTCGTACCGTAGCGCCGTACGATGTACGGCACCCAAAGCGTCCAACACGCCGGCCATGGCGCCACCAGCGCTGCCACCAGGCCCGCTGCAGCCACCGGATGGGGCCTGCTGGACCTCAGGAGGCCGCGAACCCTCCTGTGAGCGCGCCTGTCCCCCTCCCCCCGTCCTCAGCGCCTTCCACAAGTCCCCCGCATAGCCAGGTGTCGCTGCCAAGGCTCGCAGCATCCAGCCCAAAAGGCAACTTAGATGCTTCAGTTGGCAGCTGCTGTAGCCTTCCCCGCCGGCTCCGGACCGGCGTGAGGGCCCGCCGCTGCCGCTGACCCTCTCGCCCGCCAGCAAACGGGCGGCGGCCCCAAGCACACCGACCAAGTCAACGTCCCGGAGCAGCAGCGTCCGCAGCTCGGCAGCGGTCTCCGGCAGCGGTGACGGCGACGTCGGCGCCGCCGCTGGCGACGATGCTGACATGGACGCCGCCGCCGCCACTGCGGCTGCTGATGCTGCGCCCTCTGCCTCTGCCACATCAGCGGCGTCCGTTGATGATGGCTGTTGCCGTACAACGCCCTCGTCAACGCCGGCGCTAGCGCCGCTGCTGGGCTCGTGAACGCAGTGCACGCCCATGCTAGCCACGAGCAGCAACCGACACCAGCGGAGCAGCTGGCATGCGAAGAGGCAGGCGTTGGGGGCTTTTTCGCCCGTTGGGGCCTTGGGGCCGTACAGCACCACGGGTGGCACCTTTGACAGGTATGGAGTGAGGGCGACGACGCTTTGCAGGAGGAGTGCCGCGGCCGGCAGCAGATGCAGCGAGGCAAAGGACCAAAGCAGCAGCGCCTGTTCGAATGCGGGTCGTACAGGGTAAAGAACGAGGGGTAATGTCACATCGTGGGCAGCACTTGCGGTGTCCGCTGAGTTGCGGCTGTTGCCGCCACTGCTGCCGTCACGGCTGCTGCCCTCGCCGCTGCTGCAGTTGCCGCTGCTGCCGTCACCCCCATCTGCGCTGCCGCGGTTGCTTTCCCCACTGCTGCCGGCACCGCTGAGCCGCTCGCCGTCCTCACTGCCAACCCCGTCGTCACCGCCCTGGGTGCTGCTGCCTCCGCCCACCTCACTCCCGCCCGTCCCCTCCACCTCCTCCTCCTCCTCCTCAACCACAACCCCCACTGCCAAACAAAACTCGTCCATGTCAAAGACCTCCAGGATCCAAACCATGGCGTGATGCGCCGCCGCCAACTTCTGTCCCTCGGCCGCGTTGAGGCTCCCCGGACCTCCCTTACGAATCCTGGCACCCTCCATCGCCTGCCCGGATGACCTGCGCGTGCCAGAAGGCTCAAAACCCCGACCCACATCGCTTGCTCCGGAACCCGGCGCCGGTACCGTCTGCACCCCCATGGCCGCTTGCCGTACAACCTTGGTCCCCGTCATAATGTACGACGCCACTGCATGGAGCTGTCCGTACGGCAGGACCTCGGGCCAGTACGGATGCGCTGCTGAGAGATCTGACAAGGATCCCGTGGTACGGATGCATCGCTCCAGGCAGGGCAGGATGCCGGCGTCTAGCAGGGCGGTTGTGACAGGGCTGGGCGGCCGGGAGAAGTCATGGACGGGGGCGCCTGTGGCCACATACATAGGCGGATTGAAAGAGCAAGATGAAGAGCCCGATTATAACGGAATGGGCCCGATCAAGATGGATGAGCCAGATCAGGATCACCAGGAGCAGGACAGGAAGCTCATTGGATTTATAGGGGCAATGTGTCGCCCATGCGTCGAGCACATCCACACACCGTCATCGTTGTCGCATAGGTGGCGTGTTTGAATGCGCGTGCATGGAGCGACCCAAGGCACAACAACTGACTAGCCCCACGCGTGTCAAAACGGCATACAAACGCCGACGTCAGAGGACGTCCAGGACCGACCGTGGGACACACAGCTGCTCGCTACAGCCTCGGCACGCACGCAAATCACGCATCAAGCCCCAACTCCCCACTCACTAAAAATGCGCCTGAACAATGAGAATTTCACATTCTCCAGCCCCGGCCAGATCTTCTGCACTCCGGGGCGATCCCGCGTGTGCTGCCTGTCCGCTTGACGCCCCGGCGCCGCTGCCGCCGCCGCCTCCTGGACGCCGAGTCGCGGTCCGAGGGCCGCTTCAACGCTGTCGACAAACGTACGACACAGCAAATGAAGCCGGCGGGCATCGCCCCGCGTCCAGGATACGGCCGCCGAGCGGGCTGCTAACACGGCTAATATGGACAGAGCCCTGCATGCGGCTATCAGGCCCGTAGTGGCCAACGTTCCGCAAAGCCTCCAATCCAACGGCGCCACTGCAGGCGCCGCAGAGCGTGATGATGACGATGATGGCGGCGGCGGCGCTAGGTAGGCGTCAATGGCTGCGCGTGCTAATCGGATGGCAATGCTGAACACTGCGCATGTGTTGTACGGTGGTGCCGGGTTTTCGTCGTGCGCCGAGGTGACCTGCGCCATCATATCCGAACTCTTCTGCTTGGACGCCTGTACGGCATCCGAAACCGCGCCATCGTCTGCCGTACGGTTCGCCGCTAGCCTCGACGCTGCTTCCAACATGGATTCCGCACTCCGCTCCAGCGTAGGCAGCACGGGCGAAATTAAGGACGTCAGGAAGGTCGGCCAGATTCCCAGCGTCCAGCCGAGCAGTCGCGAATCGACAGCGCCGGAGCCGCTCCGCCGTACAATCGCGCCGCTGGGGCTTAAGACGGGTACTTCCGGCGCGGACTCCGGCAAGCCGAACATGTCGCCTCCATCGAGAAGGGCGATGACCCGGACGACATGAACCATTAGCATGTAGTTGAGCTGCGGGGAAGCTCGCAGCAACGCCACCAATTCATGCTCGTCGAAGACTAGGTCGAGTCTCCGGTGGACTATTGTGGTAAAGCTCCTGAGGAGTTTGGATGCGTGGATGTCGAATTCCTCGCGCGACGCCAGTCGAAGCAGGCAGGCCGCCCATGCTTCCAGCACGTGGCTTGTGGCCAGGGCATGTAAGAACATGTCCTTGTAGGCTAGTCGAGCGAAGCTGTTGGCAGTCGTGCCCATGGGCGACTTGGATCTTGCCCACTTCCAGACGTCGTCTGCGTCTGAGAGCGCTTCCAGGAGGGTCAAGGTCTCTAACATAAGATCCCTTGCAGCATCAGCGTTCCGCCGAGTAGGCCGTTCCTGCAGCGCTGTTGCTAGCTGCAGGAGATGAGTGGCGTAGCAGTCGAGGACATCCGTGCGAAGAATGATGGTAACAATTTGCATCTGGCGAAGAGATGTGACAGCGTAGTCCTCTGCTAAGATAGTCTCCGATAACTGGTTAACGATGAAGGCGCGAAGCTTGCGGTAGCCCGAGCGGACGGCATCGTCGATCCCTGGCGAAAGCGCATTAGTAGACCTACGCAGCGCCAGTCCAAATAGTTTAAGAATCCGCAGCACAATTTCCTTGTCCAGGTCCACGAGGAGCAGCCGCCCAGCTACCCGCGAGCTGCGTGCCATGGATGACAGGCGCTCTTCCACAGCTTCCAGCTGCGCAGCCGTTATTCGTTCATCAAATAACACATCGCGAGACAGGAGGTCCGGCAGCCTGATGCGTCCGGACTCGGCGTTGTTAGTGGCATTGCGCCTAATCCGAGGCGGCATAGTCTGAGGCGCCTGTAGACGTCACACTTGCGAAAACGTAAGCTATAGCCACTATATATAGCGAACTTAATCAAGAGTAACTTGGTTAGGAATGGCTGAGAACAGATACCAACATTACGTAAGATAGAAGGGTCCCGGTATCCGGTAACAAGCTAGACTGCAAACAAGTCAAGATGGCCGCGTTACTTTGCTATTACACGCTTTGCATCCTGGAGAGATGTCCCAACTTTTGCTGAGTGTACGTGCAGTACCGGTATATACCGTATGGCGACAAATGATTTGTAACAGCGGCTGTTACTCCATCCCAAGCGCGCAAGCCACAACTCCAAAGCAAAGCACCTTTTGCACGGCAATTCTCTGTCCTCGCGACTTACGTGCGTACGGATGGTACAACATTTATGAGATGTGGGTTTGTGTTTTGCATTCACGCTGTGTCCATGCGTTTTGTCGTATTATCATACATGTCGACTCCTCTTCCTTTCTGGCGCATACGGGCGTTCGCTAACTGATGCACACTAACCGGCGAATGCATATCATGCCGGCATTCCACGATGTTCCGCAATCGCGGTAGAAGGCGAGATACCATTTTGCCCAGTTGCGTGAGCAATAAGTTTGCTGCTCGCCACGGGAAACCCAAATGCCCAGCAGCATCCCACGATAGCCAATGCCGTGCAACATTACAGTCCCCTGCCGTCGTTCTACTGTCCCTACTTACAGTTCGACCCCAGAACGCCGCCGTACACCCCAGCGCCCTCCTCTAGCAAAAGAATCCGTCTTGCACATCATTCTTTCAGCTAGACCAGACCAGGGCATGCAACCCACCTACCTCGTGATGCCGTTCCCCGCATCAAGCGTCGAACGCTCGCAAGCCCTTATGCCATACATACAAAGCCAAAGAATGGCCACCACCGCATATACCTTGCCGTAGCCTGCCAAGCCCTTTATTCACACAAAAACACAACCTGCTGTCTAGCCATTCTTCGCTATCCCCCACTTCGCCATTCTCTGAAACGCTATACTCTAGCAGGCCATATGCCTTGCATAGTTGCATTCCTTCTCCATCGCTCGGTAGCTCAGATGCGTTCGATCCTCCTCACTTGCGCGGAAGCAGCTCCACATCGAACTCCAGAGTGGCGTTGGGCGGGATGACACCGCCAGCTCCCCGGGCGCTGCAACGCATGGGGGGGGCATGTTGGGGAGGGTGGTCAAAGATAACGACCAAGCATGCATGGAGATGTCTGGCATGTACCATGTAGACGGGGACATGTGAAGCAGGAAGTAGTACGACAGAAGGGAGATGAAGCAGTACGACATGCACCGGAAGCAGGGGCCAGCAGGGGTCATGCCTGCTGGGCCAGCATGCGTGCATGGTTGGCAGGTGGGAAATTATCCTAAGCGACCGACAACGACACAATGCTTGCCGTACCAACTCTCACAGAACCGGGCGCAACGGGGCGTGATCACCCACCCGTATCCCAGCTCTGGCGGAATGACCAGCAGCCGCTTGCCGCCCTCCTTCATGGCCGGGATGTCCTGCGCGTGGTGCGGTGGGAGGGAACGAAGGAAGAGGAGGGGGGCTCGCCGCATGAATGGCATGGCCTTTTGGTTTCCATTTGGGTTGGGCGGTTGGAACAGGCCAGGGGAACAGGGGGGCTGGGTGGGCCATGCAAGCCAGGGTGCAGCGCGCTCGCTCTCATACCCACAACCCCGGGTTGACCTATACCTCCGGCAAGGGTTCGCGCCCCTTTCGTGTGTGGAACTCAAGAGCACAGGCATGTCCTGCGCCTCTGACTTTAGCCAGGCTCAAGCCCAACCTCCCTACCCTGTATCAGCTACCCGCCCTGCCCTGCCCCCCCTCACCTCGGTCCCCAGGATGCCCATGTCCCAGCCCTTGATGACCTGACCCACTCCAATCTGCGAGTTGTTAGAGGAATGGGAAGGAAATGAGCGACAATGAGCAACATATACCTATTTATCCTAAATGGAAATAAGGAGGAGAGCTATGTGCCGTTGGCGCCTGATGTGAAGAGCCCCGAGGGTAACGGTGGCGGTAGCAGGCTTGTCGTACAGCGATCTGGGTCACTGTGACCGCTATCGGGATGTCGACATGCGGTTGAGGGTGGAGGGTGGCGGATGGAGGTGGAGGGGGTGCTTACCTGGAAGGAGAGAGGCCGGCCGCGCTCGACGGACGAGTCAAACACGGCTCCATTGGTTAGGCGACCGGTGTAATGGCACCTGAGGCGTGTGGATAAGGAGGGGACGTCGTGATGGGTGAAGAGAATGCATGCATGAGACCATTGCAATGCCCCATTGCCCCACGCAAGCAAGTAAAAGCAGCAGCAGCACCGCCAATCGCAGAGTAACGGCTAGGGGTAGCATCGGGGGCTGCAGACGGTTAAACACTCTTGTTTTGCAGTCTGAAAATCCCAAATGTCCCGACGCATGGCCATCCCGACAGTTGTGCGATCCGCTCTAGCAACCTACCTGATCGTTGATCCCTTAGCAGGCGCCGGGCCGGTCCCGACCTCCACGTCCTTCCATTGGAGGCCGCTCCTGCTCACGTTGAGGGCTCCGGCATCAGCTGCCACAGCGGGCAATGCGGAGGGCACGACGAACAAGGTTGCAGCAGTTGTAGCGATCAAGGCTTCCCTGCGACTCGCAACTTGCTGGTCGACGGAAACGGGCGAGGAGCGAGCGAGCTTAGTTGACCTGCCTGACGCGCGGATGCTTGTGGTGACGAAGCGGATTGGCCCTCGCCGCAAGACCTGCGTCAAAAATAGCCTACTGAAAATTGCTTGATTAAATTGTACCCTTTCCAGTGGTGTTAAGCCGCAATGCGCCCACAAAAAGCTCTGACTAGGGGAGATCCGCACCGTCGCGGCCGCAAGGCGACCTTGATAGGACGAGCCCAGGCGAAGCTGAAGAGCGGTGGCCATTGCTGTAATTGTGGCTGAGTAAATTAAAAACTATCGCCCGTTCCTTTGACTTCAATGTATCTTTCGTGCGAACGCTTCTGTCGTACGGCTGTCGTACCGGTACGTTACCCGACATGCTTCGACCAAGATTTACAGCTGCATCTGCGACGGCACTCTACGGCGTCCAGTGTCTGCCGCAGGAGCTTTCCCGTCTTCACTACACCTCATGTGTTTCTGCCTCCATTACCACAGGCGGACACCGCCTTTCCCGAAACCCCTTTTCCAGCACCTACACCTCCCTCCGTCTTATCACACGGTCAGTTAGATGTTTCCTCTTTTCCCTCCGTCTTCCTCCTGAACAACCGACCCCCCCATGCAACCCCGCTACCAGGGCAACACCGTTCCATTGCGGTGCCAGAAGGTCCCCGAGCTCTCCATGTTCAGCTGCTGCTGCATGATGCCCACCAGGTCCTCAGCGCTCTGCTCGGGGGAGATGACACCGTCCATGCCTGTACGGATGGCGCCACATGCGGGGGCTCTGATGCGGCGGCGAGCGATGGTGGGTGCAGCTAAACATACAGCGAATGGCTGTGGAACGTTGGAAGGTTGCTGGGGGAAGGCAAAACGGATACATGGCATACCTGCGCTGGTCTATGCGTCTGTTGGATACCGGTAGGACATGGTGCCCCATGCCGTACCGCAGATCCTGGTGAGGAGTGGGGCAGCAGGTAGTGGGCTGTCAGGACTGCACCAGCCCTGCAGTCACCCACCGTGGTATTTGAGTGTCATGTCGGTGGCCACGAAGCCGGGGTGCAGGATGCCCACCTGTGGGGGGCAAAATTAGACCAAACCATATGAAGTGTGTGTGGGGCGGAGCAGCAGCAGCAGCCGCAGCAGCAACAGGGTCACCGGGATGCGGAGGATGCAGGCGATGGAAGCCGCGGGGGGACACGGGGTTCAGCGGGGCTTCAGACCTTCAGTTCGGGATGTTTCAGTTGGCGCCGGTTGAGATGCCTCCAGCACTGCAGCACTGCTGCGTCCGTCTTCCTCGCTGCACGACACATCCTCGGGTGCTCTGTTGGACCTTCTGCAAGGAGCCTCCAGCAACCCCACCAGCCTTGTCCCTATTCCTTACTACATTGGACTAACCCCTGCTATGTTACCATGACACGGCGCGTGAGTCAGCCCGCAGCTCACCGCAATACCCTGATCCTTGAGGTCCTTGGCCAGGTTCATGCCCAGCATGTTGACTGCGGCCTTACTCATGCGGTAGCCGTACTGTACGACACATACGGCAACACCGGAGGGCAAAGTACGGAAGAGATTTCTGTAGTAGGTATATGAACTGGTCTATACAGGTAATATTGAGGTAAGCAACGAAGGGAAGCCATGCATGCAGAGTGAACCTGGGTGCCCTGGAGGCATGGAAGAAGAAGTACGGCAACTGGAAGAGTACGTGTGCTCTAGGTGATTGTCGTATTTGTCGTACCGATGCTTTTGTGTCTGGACGAGCTGGCTTAGGTATCGTGTTTTCAGCGTTGCCGCTACCTTGCCTCTACGTACGGTGGGTTCAAGGAAATACAGGAATCAGGACAAACCAACCATCACCGTCAACAACGACAATAACCCCAGTCGTAAGCTGTCTCCCAAGCCAGCAGTCCCACGGGTCATACTCTCCATGTCCCACACTCCCAAACCAACCGCCACTCCCACTCACATCGCCGCCGCTTCCGTTATCCGCAATGGATCCCATGCGGGAGGTGATGATGGCAATCTGCAAGACAGTTGGGAGCGGGCGGAAAGATCCTTGTTTTGCAACATATAGCGTGGACAGGTGTTTGTTTTGTCTTTAGTTCACATCAAGAGCGTTAGTTGGCAGTAACAGCAGCACCTCATCATCCCCACCTTGGCCCCCGGCGCGAGTCGATCTTTCACTGCCAGATAGGTCCGCAGCGGCCCCAGTGAGTTGACTTCGAACTGCGGCAGATGTACGGCAGATGATGAAGAGTACGGCAGAGGATAAATGTGAATGTGAAAGAATACGAAAGCCTGCGCATAGAAGGATCCAGTACGCCAGTACCTCACAGCCGCGGGTAAGAAACGGCCAAACGCATGCCCCAACGTTAGCAGCTCCCCTTGTGTGCCCCAACCCCTCCATTGCCCCATCACCCTCCCGCCAGCACCCCCCCCAGTGCGCCTTCCCCACCTGCTCCCGAATGTGATCCAGGTTTAGCTCTGACAGCGAGTCCTCATGCAGGATCCCCGCGTTACACACCACCAAGTCAACCTGCTGCATGGTTGGCGGGGGAAATTAAGTTGGGAGCAGTAACGCTGCACGGTGGCCACACCGGTAGCAGCACGTGCGTGTATGTGTGTGCAGTTGTGTGCGGTGCGCCCCATGCCGCACCTGGCGGGCTGGGGGACCTGCCAGGAAGGTGGTGAGGGGCGCGCAGCCACCGTCCCGACCCACATCAACACCTGCAGGTGCGGAAGAGGAAAGGAGGCCTAAGTAAGGCATGGCTGACTGCTGCTGCGACCTACAGCGAGCACCAGGCGTAACGCCCTCAACTTTAAGGAACAGGTGGGTTCGCAGGCGCATTTTGTATTGCCATTTGTAGCAGTGTCATACCTTCTACAATGGACACGCCGAGCGCCTCGAGCTCAGGGCTGCGTTTACGGCATGTGGCGATGACTGTGTATCCTTGCGACTTGAGCTTGCGACAGAGCTGCAAGCACACATACAAAATTTTGAAGCCTGATGTAGTAAGTGTTTAAGTTCTGCATCGGCTGCTACTTTCTTACGTGAAGGCCGATGCCACGATTGGCACCGGTAACGACTGAAACAGGTGCCATGACTGCTCTGCCGTGGCTGAGCGAAAAAGTATAAAGCTATAAAACGCGTATCAAATGCGCCAAGCTAAATGTTTTTGTGGGAATCAAAGCAAAGATCATCAGCTGCCGTGATCGCCGTGGTTTCTCTCTTCTCCCGCCCCACCCCATCGCGACGCCGTGGTTGTGTTACTTACGTAGCGACGTCCTTTACAAAACGTCGTTCGTATTTCGATTTTGTCCGTTTCTCTGCCGATTCCCGATGCTGGATGCGGCCGGATGAGGCACGACCCATAGTCAAAGCACAACTGTGGCAGCCAGGCATCTAACGCGCCTGCGCGTTGCCCTTGCGCGATCGGAGGGGGGTTTATAAAATAAGCCCATCTCACCCGGATGCATTATCTGTAACACTCCAGTTACACTGGATAACCGGCAGATTTTTGTTGCGTGTGCTTCAAGACCCTATTGAGTGTAAGCAAACAGGACTCCTCTCAATCTATGAAACTACAAAACCCTCAGCATGCAACCGCTACCGCACCCTCTCCTGCCAGCTGGCGACATAAGAACATCTAGGCTAGGCCACTCCCCTGCTGACCTTGACCTATTCCACTGCGCGACTTGCCAAGACCGCTGATGCACATGCACAACATCTGGCCCCCTACCCCTCTACACCCCATGGTGAAGCCTTGTCATCCAGCTCGTCTGACTCCTCCTTGTAACCCCCCTCTTGACAGGACCTCGACGCTCCAGGTGGCAAAAACACCGAGCCCCAGCCCGTGGGCACCTTGCCTCCTTCGCGACTACGTCCTTTCATGCGTCCCTCAATCCAAGTTAGTACCCCACCAAGCACCGATCACACGCCTGCAAGCCTGCAAATAAACCTGCGCCAAGGCTCCCCAAACAACAGGGCTCAAGCATACGCACATCCTTCGTATAGTCCATCCGAGCTTTTCACAGCCCGACACCCGACCTACAGCCCAGCCTACAAGAAAACGCAGGGAAGCAGCTACAACAGCAGCAGCAGCACTACAGCTGTCGGCCATAGCGGATAACCCTTACGGCCACCCTTACAACCCCGTTTCGCAGTACACCATGCCGTAGTACGGCTTGGCAAGGTACGACATCGCTGCCGTACACTACGCCTGCGTCATAGCAACATCCTTGCTAGGCGGTACACCGTCCCCGGCTGCCGTTGACCCTTCCGCCGTCGCCGCTGCTACTGTCGTTGCACCCGCTGCCGCTGCTGTCCCCTCGCTTGCCGCCGGCCGCTCAGCTTCGGAGGCTCCCGGCGCTGCAGCGGGCGACACCGCAGCCGCCGCTGTGCCATCGCCGGCGGTTGACACCTCCATGGGCGTTGCAGTTGCGTTAGGCGCTGCGGGTGCCGTCTTCACTGCCGTCACACCAGCAGCGGGCGCAGATGCCTGCCTAGCCATCCCGGCGGCGGCGTTGTCGGCAGCCGCTGCCACCGGCGCCGCCGTATCCGATGCCGGCTGCGGTGGAGGCGGAGGCATAAGGCCCATGCCTGCCGCCAGGGCTGCCATCGCCGCCGCCGCAGCGGTGGGATCCGTCGCCGTCGCAGCGGCGGCTGCTGGCCCCAGGAGCGGCGCTAACGACGCCATAATCGCCGCTTGATGATGCGGCGCCGTCGTACTGGGCCCCGCCGCCGCCGGGGCCGGCGTCGTTAACGCCCCCGGCGGAAGCGACATGAGCGCTAGCGCCGCCGCCGCCGGCGTCGCCACCGTCGTCGTCGGCCGGCCTGCTAGCGAGTCCATGATGCCCTTCACCGCGATGGCGAGTTCCGGGCCCTTGACGCTCGTACATACCAGCTGGATGGCTTGCGCCTCCGCTGCCGAAAGGCCAGGACCCGTAAGGCCCAACGCGCTGACGTCGGGTGCCAGCGGTAACGCCAGGTGTTGTACGAGTGTTGACGCAAGCGTGGCGGCGCTTTGGAGCTGCGCGTCGGTTACATTGTTACCGGCGGCGGCGGCGGCGGAAGCGGGGGCGGAAGCGGCAGCTTGCATGCCTGGGTTGGAAGACCCTGACGCCGTCGCCGCAGTTCCGCGGGCGCCTGCGCGAGTAGCGGCGGCCGCCGCCGCCGCCTGCGCGGCCCGAGTGGGTAACCGTATCGTAAACGGCGCCCGGCCGCCGGCTGCCGTACCGTTTCCGCCGCCGGTGTGGCCCTTGACGTCCGCTGGCCCCGCTGCGGCTGCCGTACCGTCAGCAGCCTTAGCTAGCGACCCCAACCCCAGCGCAGTGATCAACGTCATTGCCGCCTGACGGTTATTCTCCTGGTTAGCCGCCGCCGGCGCCGCTGTATTCCCAGCCGCTGCTTTACCGCCACCATTCGCCGTCGCGCCCGGCGCCGCCGCCGTCGCTGCCACACCGTCAGCTGCATTCGCCTTTGTTTGCGCCGCCGCGGCCGCCGCCGCAGCAGCCGCAGCTGCTGCCTCCTTCCGCTCTCTCTCCCTCTCCGCCCTCCGCTCCCTTTCCCTCTCTCGTTCCCGCTCACGCTCCCGTTCCCTCTCCCGCCGCTGCTCCTGCTGCTGCTGCTTGCCTGCGGGTGCGGAGCCCCCGGCGAGCGTGCTGCCACGGGTTGCGCTGCCGCCTCCGCCACCTCCACTTCCACTAGCACCCGCTGCTGCGGCAGCGGCGGCGGCCGCCGCCGCCGCCGCTGCCTGCGCCCGCCGCTGCTGCTGCGTGAGGGGCTTATCCGCCGGCAGGGCGATGGTGGGGCTGACCCCCAGCAGGTCCTTCACGCAATTGAGCACGTCGAGTACGGTGGCGGGGGGCATGACGCCGCCCTGGCGGGGACCCATCTTGAGGAAGCCGCCTGCAGGGTACACGGTACACGGTGCGCGGTCACACACACGGAGGTGGTTTGCGGGTTGTGGGTTGCGGGGGGGGCATGCGGTGGCCGCATGCTTTGGGAGTGCAACTGGGGCATATCAACATCAGGTTACCGGGCGTACCGGTACTCCGCTGCACTCCGCTGCATGCATGTACATGCACGCATCTGCATGCATCCTACATTGCGAACCCATTCAGCCATCCCCAGTCCGCATCAGCCACCCCTGCTCCTCCTCCTGCTCCTTGCCTCACCCGCCGCTTTGAAGCTGTGCCGCCACTTCTTGGCGCTGCTCTGCGCCACCTGCGCCTCGAACTGCGCCGGCGTGGTGGAGGTGAGGGGCCCCTGCGGGGACTCGTACACCACCCTGGGGCACACAGCTCCGTTGGCGTCGATCTGGGTCGGGGCAGGAGCCGAGGAGGGGGGCAGGAACAGAGGAGAGGGGGAGGAACCAAGGAGGGGAGGCATGGTGGGCGGGCTAGGGGCTTGAAGGGAGGAGGAGGGAGGCAAAGGAAAAGCCAACTTGTACTGGGCTTCGGGCGGAGTCTGCGGAGCAGGCTGATATGACTTAAGCTTCATGGTTACCCCATGCCGCAAGGTCAAACTCATGCGAGGTCCTCCTAAGTAGCATCAAACTCGCACGAGCAATGCGCGACAAGCGGGCGAGCACGCATCCACTCCATCACACGCCACGACGCAACCACACTCACCTCGTACGACATCCAGCCCTTGGATTTGTCACACGTGATCACGACGTACACTACGGCAGCAGCCGGCTTGCCGTACACCGGAGATCCTGGATCCAACACGCTTCGGAAGTGCGCCGTCACCTCCGCTAACGTCGCGAGCTGCATTGCGGAGGAAACCGCCACCGTACCGCAGTCGGGACGAGCAAACCCTGCACGTTGTACGGCATATCGTACCAATGCACGGCACCGTCGTCTCCGTTAGTACACGCATACTTTAACTTCTGGTCGTGTGTCTAACATGCACGCACAGTACGTTCCGACTCGTGGCCCAGTACATTGCTCCTCTACCGTGGTTCAGCACTGGTCAGGTCACGGTATTTACGCGACTCCAACCACCCGCAACCAGCCATCCGCAGCCTCGCAAGCTCACCCAGGCACTTGAACTCCTCCAGCGGTCCCTCCTCCGCCGCCTCCGCCTCCGACAGCCTACTGGGCTCCTGACCCACACCGTTCTCTCGGAACAACAGCGGCCGGGAAAAGGAGCCGTCAAACGCCAGCATTAGGCCACCGCTGCGACCCTGTGCGCGGAAAAACAGGGTGCCGTACGGAATGCCTCCGCTGGATAGCGGCGAAAGGCCGACCGTAAGGTTGCCGGGGCTGGCGGCAGCGCTGGCGGCGCCGCCGTTGACGGCGGTGGTGGGGGAGGCGACGGCGGCGGCGGAGGAGCCTCCGATGGTGGGGGAGGCGTCCAGAGGCTCGGTCTGGGGAGGGGTCGTGGAGGGGGTGGAGGGAGCAGCGAGGGAAGGAGTGCGGTGGTGGATGAGAAGGGGGGAGATGGTGAATGCGCCAGAGTGCGCACAGAAGGGGAGGATAGAGGCGATCGGCGACAGCAGCAGCAGCTCCCAAAAGGTAGTAGCTGGGGGAGAAGGAGAGGAAGGAGGAGCAGCAGCGGGGAGGCGTTACAGTGGCCCCCGCGCCCCCCGTGTCCCCAACCCACACCCACACCACATCCCGCCCGCTGCTGCACACGCGCGTATCCAGAGCTCCTTCCACACCAAACCACCCGCACGCACCCGCACACACACACACACACACAATCACAGTACGTTTCGCCTCGCGGCCAGTTATTTTAACACACACACACGCCCCTTGATCGCCCAATAATTCCTAGCCGCCTTACCTCCCCCGGCCCCTAAGCTCCGAAACCCAAGCGCACACCCCGTCGCACACAACCCCAGCGCCGCCCCCAGCGCCGCACCTTGGGTCTCTTGGAGGGCGCCACCCCCTCCGCATCCATGTCCCAGCCCGCGGGGGGCCGCCGGTGTCGCTGTTTTCGCTGCAGCGAGAGCGGCAGCTCATCCCCTGGTGCCGCGCTGCTGCCCCGCCGGGGCTGCCCGCCGTTCGCCGCTGCCGCTGTGGGCGCGGACTGAGGAGCCGCGGCGGGCGGGTCAGGACTGGTTTCGGGACCGGGGCTGGGGCTGGGGCTGGGACGGGGGTTCGAGGCGGCAGCTGCTGCCTTGGGAGCTGGGCCGGGCTGGGAGGTGCCGTCTTCGGCGGTAGCAGCTGTACCGTCTTGCGGGGAGCTGGCAGCAGCTTGGGATTCCACAGGATCTGAAGGATCATTTGCGGGTGTGGGGTCTGTTTGGAGGGTGCCATCGGTATCCTTGTTGGCGGTCTTTTCTGCTGCCGCGGCGGCCTTGCCAGGCTGCGCGTCCGCGGCGCCTTGCACCTGCGGCTCCGCAGCGTTCTTGTCTTCTTCCATGGGATCCATAGCTTTTGGAATGTTGGAAGTTTGGGCCTGGGAAGGGCTGCGTAAACGTGACCTCTCCAATGGCCTTCTCGCTTTGTGCTCTCCGCGGCTCCGCAGGCACTGCACAGCCTAGGCGGAAAGCGACGGCGGCCTCCAAGCAGATAAAGCAGACTACGTTATCCTTGCGCTTGAGGGCAGGCGTCGCAGGTGCCGGTCGCTGCTCTGGCGGCCAAGGTGCGCGATGAGCTGAGGCGGCAGCGGAAGCGCTGTTGCAGGCTGCGTCCCAGCGGCGCTATGGACCTTAAAAGCTTATTCAGCAAGGCGGTGGTTCCCCAAGCCCTAAAACGGCGTGGTTGAGGTGTCTAAAGAGATGCTCCTTAGTAGCCAACGAGTGCTTCGCGCCAACGCGACGGCAGCGTATTCAAGCGGGCGTACAGTGGGCTGTAAATATCTAGGAAACGTAAAGCGAGGCGACAAGACAAGAGCCGTTAGCAGAATGGTCCGGGAGTTGCACCAGCGGAGCTGTCCAGCGACAGTACGGCCCCGCGGGAGACTTCACAAGCCTTGCTTCACCTTGCAAGGTGTTGTGGGCACAGTTGTAGAGCGATGGGCTCTAAACATGCCAGATAAAGCGCTCAGCCAGACACGCGTGTGCAAAAGCAACAATGAGACGTCGACACGTCGTCGAGGCCCCTACGTCGCCGGCGTCGATGGCGAGTTGTGGCGATCCAAGAACCACTAGAAGTGCTGCTTAGCACGTTATCGGCACATAGGGAGATAAACGAAAGTGCAACTGTGCATCCATGGTGAAATATGCTTGCGGAGCCTCCAGATCACCTAAGGCACATGCCTCTACTCTTTATTGTGCATGCGTAGTTGACATGTAGTGGCTAGAGGTGGCTCGCGTGCACAGCGGCGGACATGCCGCCCCTTTTTGCGGGGTTGCCTCGTTGTAGAGACAACAAAGCCGATGCTCGTCTTGCTATTGAATTTTTTTGATCTTGCGAAAGCTTTATGGACACAGCTTTAGAGGGCCCATGGACCCTTTCTTGATGCATGGAAGTCGTTGAGGGTTTGCATGCATTTTCAGCTTCATTTGCAAGAGGTCGTTCCATTGGTTCCTTTACTGCAGCTGGTGTAGCTCGTTAGGTTCCTCGCACCCAAAATACGTGCAGGAGGGTTGGTAGTTGCATACAGAGGGTGCATGCTATTACCGGTAGCGTTGAAGGCTTGAAGTAGCATGCACTGTCTGCGCGTCGCTACAACCCAGCAACTCAGCGGCAGAAGTCCCCGTTGCCGTCGCTCGTCGCATACTTCGTTCCCGCTCCATCCCCGTGCTCTTCATACCGGTACAGTCCAGCGAAGTACACCAGCCAGCGCGGCATCGCCGAACGGATCCGGCTCCTCCTTTGAGAATAGGCAGGACGACTGCGCCGCTATGCTTGACGATGATTTGGCTCAGCTTTTCAGCCATGCCATGCCTAAAGCGGAGATAGGCGCGCTCAGGTTCCTGCAGGTGAACTAGCGTCTCCCTTCGCCTTCCTGACAATGAACCATTGAACGAAGCCATACACGCCTTGCACGCGTAGGAGTATCCTGAATACGACGGCCGTGGTGTGAAAATTGCCATCTTTGACACCGGCATTGACCCAGGTAACTCTTCGACGATCGTTCTTTGCTGCGTTCCCACATGCAGTGGGAAGGAGCAGGGACGTTGAACACGGTTTGATCTCTGCTTTTGCCTTTCCTTCCCCACTTTTCCTCCTCGCTGGCCTCCATCCATTCCATCGCCAATGCTGCTCCCCTTCCATTGCCAACGACCCCAGGCGCTGCAGGCCTCCAGGTCACCACGGATGGGAAGCCCAAGGTACGGCAGCTGCAACCTTCATCTGGGTCGGGCTGGGTTGGGCTGGCCCTTTCAGCGATGCTCATGTCAATGGAGCTGCTGGAAGGGGCAGCCTGGTGCGACCAACTTCAAATTTCAAAATTTGCAGTCCTTAGAACGTGGTTCCGGTTCTCCTTCCTGTATCCCTCACCCCTCTCCTCCCACACACGTCCCGCCCCCTCCTCCTCCCTGTCCTCCCTGCCCTCCCTATCCTCCCTGTCCCCCCACTCCCCCGACCCAGATCCTGGACGTGTTGGACTGTAGCGGCAGTGGAGACGTGGACACCTCCCGAGTGGAGCGGGCGGATGAGGCCGGCTGCATCCGGGGTGCCAGCGGCCGCAGCCTGCGCCCCAACCCGGCCTGGCTGAACCCCTCGGGTAGGCCTGACTGGGCTTAACTGGGTGTGGAGTTGTGGTGTGGTGGTGTGCAGGTGCGGCAGTTGCGGCAGCAGGGGTCTTACTAACATACTAAAATCCTCCATGCACTTCTTTCTTAAACACTCCTCATGTCGCTCCCCTCCCCCTCCATGCGCTCTCCCTGCACCCCCCCTCTAACCTTCGCCCTCCTCTTCCTCCTCCTCCTCCTCCCGCAGGTGAGTGGCATGTGGGTGTCAAGCACGTGTACCAGCTGGTGAGTCGGGCGCTGGTGGCGCGGCTGAAGGAGGAGCGGCGGAGGCGGTGGGAGGCGGAGCAGCGGGGCAGGCTGGCGGAGGCGGTGGCGGAGCTGGCAAGGTGGGGGTTGGGGGCGGTCAAAGACCCTACCATACCATGGGAAACCAAAGGTTAGGGCAAAACAATGGGGGGGGGAGATTAGGGGGGAGCTGGTAAATGTCAGGTAAATGGATGACAAGGACATGGTGGCAGGAAAATGGGGCCTGGCGTGGCTTTGTAACGCGCCGTAATGGCCGTCTGACGTCGCCTCTAAACATGGCCGGTCGTGTTTCAGTCCGTGGACGTCCATGTGTCCTCATCTGCCCAGGTTTGATCAGGGCACCCCGGGGCCCAAGCCAGCCTGCAGCGATGCGGCCCGGCGGGAGAGGGCGGAGCTGGAGGCCAGGGTCGGACTGCTGCGGGTGGGTGGGAGGAGGCTCCAGGGAGGGAGGGAGGGAGCCTGGGAGGGAGGGGGGATGAAGTACCCAGCACAGCATCAAGTAGGAGAGCATGGAGGGCAACGGCAGTGGGAATGGGAGCGGTTTTGGACTGACATAAGGTTGAGTGCAACTTGGGATGAGGGATGGCGGGGCTTGGAAGGGGTTATGTTTTCGGCATAATGGGGACGCTGGAAGCGGCGATGGTGATGCTTGTTGTCGGCACGCAGCGTCTTCAAGCCCTCCATTGCGCTCACAGCGACCCATGGGTCTGGCGCTGATCCTGCCTCTCCCGCTCCTCCCAACCCCACTTTCTCCCTGCCCAGGACCTGGCCAAGAGCTATGAGGACCCAGGTATGTACGCACATTCTGTTGGCTGGGCGTTGGGTTGTTGGGTGTTGGGTTGGTGGACCACCACTGCGCCTGACGTCCATCCTTGCGCACAGCCCGTTCCGACCCTAGTTCCTACCCGACTAACCCTATGCACGTTACCCCGCCCTTCCCCCCAGGCCCCCTGCTCGACTGCGTGGTATGGCACGACGGATCCCTCTGGCGAGCCGCCCTAGACACCTCCGACCTGCACCCCCCAGGCAGCTGCAAGGGGCGACTGCAGGACTTCCAACCGCTAACCAACTTCGCCATTGAACGACAGTACGGCACCTTCAGGTGTGTGCGAACTCCACACATCTCCACACAACTGCTCAACTTTGCGCGCTTCTCTCTCTCTCCATGCCTCCCCCCACCCCCCTCCCTCCCTTTCCCTCCCCCCAGCTTTACTTTTCAATAGTTCTGTTCCACCCCAGCGAATCCTAAAATCCAGCCTAATGCGGAATATGTATCCCTATTTACCCCCATCCCCCCATCCATTGGGTATCCTTCTCCCCTCCCCTCCCCTCAGTCAGTTAGGTGTTTCCTCTTTTCCCCTCCCCTTCCCTCCCCGCCCCCCAGCGAGTTGGACAGCTGCAACTTCGCGCTCAACATCCAGTCCGGCGGCACCTGCCTGTCCATTGTGGTGGACTGCGGCGCACACGGCACCCACGTGGCGGGGATCACGGCGGCGCACTTCCCGGACGACCCGGGCAGCAACGGAATCGCGCCGGGTGCGGGGGAGTGGTGGTGGTGGGGGTCAGAGACTATACCTATCCAGGGAGAGGGGCGCGGGGCGGAGGAGAGGGAGGAGCGGGATGGAAAGGGGTGTATTAGGGAGGTGCTGGGGCGAGGAAGCTGGGAGGGGATCCATGGACGCCTTTCGCCGCCACTGTCAACTCCCAGCCGAATGCGGCCGAATACCCAACCTCCGTACCCTCCCCCCAACCCCCGCCTCCCGCCTCACCCCCCCCCCCCAGGCGCCCAGCTGATCAGCTGCAAGATCGGCGACACGCGGCTGGGCTCCATGGAGACGGGGGTGGGGCTGGCGCGGGCGCTGGGAGCTGCGCGGCGGTGGGGGGCGCACCTTGTCAACATGAGCTACGGGGAGCCAACCAGCTCGCCCAACCAGGGCAGGTGAGGGGGGTAGGGTGAGGAAGACGCTGCAATATGAGCCAATCATTCAAGCTGCCCAGAAGACAGACAGGGAGAGAAGACCATGTGGCACAAGGAGAGGGGTGAGGGGGTGAGGGCTGGGACGGGAGGCTGCCTCTGTACCCCCACCCTCACCCCCCGGCACCCAACCTTACATACCGGTCCCGCTCTCCCTGCACTCGTAGCCCCCGTACACTTGTACAGCACTGTTTAGCGGCGGGATGCCAACGCCTCACACATACACCAGCCCCCATCACTGCGCCCCATACGGTATGCCTCCGTGACCCTTTACCCTCACGCATTCCTCTCCACCATCCCCCCATCGCAACCCATGATGACGCCTTACAACACAGTCAGTGAGTTGTTTCTTTCCCCCCCCCCCCCCAACCGCGTGCGTGCATGCGCCCCCGCCAGGTTCATCGAGCTGGCCAGTCAGCTGGTCCGCAAACACAACATCATCTTCGTTGCCTCAGCAGGCAACGCGGGACCGGCGCTCTCCACCGTGGGAGCCCCCGGCGGCACCTCCTCCGCGCTGTTCGGAGTGGGGGCCTTCCTGTCGCCGCAGCTGGCGGCAGCGGGACACAGCGTGAGGCTGCAGGCGCCAGCACCGACACCGCTGTCACCACCACTCGCAGCAGCAGGCGGGTGCGGCGGAGGCGGTGTTGGTAACAATGGTGCTAACAACGGGTGTAACGGTACGGCAACGGCTGCGGGTACGGGTACGGGCACGGCGGCGTTGGTGGCGGCAGGAGACGGGGGTGCAGCACCAGTAGGATTAGTACCAGCATCCGCAGCAGCAGCGGATGGTGGTGCAGGTATTGGGGCAGCAGGTGCAGCCGCAGCAGCGGGTGCAGCATCATCCGCAGGTGCAGCAGCAGCAGCGGGTGCAGCCGCAGCGGGTGTGTGTGTTGGTGGCGGGTTGCAGTACACCTGGAGCTCCCGAGGCCCCACCGCGGACGGGGCGGTGGGGGTGGCGTTCTCGGCTCCTGGGGGGGCCATCGCGCCCGTGCCCACCTGGACGCAGCAGCGGCGGCAGCTCATGAACGGCACCTCCATGGCAGCTCCCAACGCGGCGGGCGGCATCGCACTGCTGCTGTCGGGGCTGCTTGCACGCAAGGGGGGGAGCAGCAGGAGCTGTTGTGACGCTGGGACCGTGGCAGCAGAGGCATGGGGGCAGGCGGCGTCGGGGTCGGCGGAAGAACCGGATCTGGGCGGCGCTGAGAAGGCGGAAGACCTTCCGCGATGGCTACAGGAGCAGCAGCTGGAGGAGGGGAAGGAGGGTGTTAGGGGAGAGGGAGGGGGCGGGGTATGGGGCCCTGTGGCTGCCCATGTGCTTCGGAGGGCGCTGGAGAATACGGCACTGCCACTGGGGGGTGACGCTGCGGATGCCGTACTCACGTACGGCAGGGGACTCATCCAGGTGTGTTGTCGTACGGGTTCACGGGGTATTAGTGGGGGTAGTCCAGATGAGTTGAGACGCGACGTGTTCGTACCGGGCTTCTTATATGTGTTTCCTGAAGAGATACACTGGCAGTCGGCGTGGAATTCCCATGCCATGCCTTTGTGATTACCCTATGCGTCTTTCCTCTCCTCACCCACTTACTAGACCATCCCTGTTGTCTTGCCCTGCCATGTGGGCTGGTCTCTCCCTCTTAACCCCACCCCATCTGTGGTTATGGTACATATCTGACCCCCAGATTGACGCCGCTTGGGGGTACCTGATGGCTGAGGAGGCAGCAGCAGCAGCAGCAGGGGCTGCTACTGTCACTGCTGCTGCTGCTACTGCCTCCTTCCCTGCTGCTACAGCCACCACTCCCGCCGCCACTCCCTGGTACGAGGTGGAGGCGGTGTGCAGCGAGGGGAAGGGACCCGTGGGTCGCGGCATCTACCTGCGGGAGCCGCATGAGAGCGCCAAGCCGCAGAGCTACAGGGTCACAGTCACGCCCAAGCTGCCGGAGGTATGCCGGAGGAAGCGGGGAGCGATAAGAAACAATCCTGGACCATGTGTGTGAGGGGACCCTGCATGTGTCTGGAGGGTCTGCCAATCAATCCCCACGCAAGATGAGGTTATGCCGCTGCGAAGTTACCTTTTCCCACACAACCCGCCCCCTCCCGCCTCAACACCCCCCCCCCCCACCCAGCACGCCGCCAACTCGGACCGGCTGGGTGTGGAGGAGCGGCTGCTGTTGGAAAGCAGTGTCCCGTGGGTCACCTGCCCGCCCGCACTGCTGCTGCACCACGCGCCGCGATCCTTCGAGGTATGTGATGTGAAGCGCTCCACCTGCTCCTGCTCATCCTCCTCTTCCTCCTGCTGCTGCTGTTGCTAAGACGACTGCTGACTCCCACTGCTAACGCTACCGCCATGCATTACCTGGCTCTTGCCCCCTGCTACTTCGGCTCCTCACGCAAGAGGTCTCTTACCCTCTGCACTTCTCCCTTTCTTGAATCCCCCTCACCCTCCTCTTTCCCCCGCTCCTCCCCCCCCGCTCCCATGTTTGCATCCCATGGTGAAGCCTTGTCATACAGCTCGTCAGTCTTATCGTCAGTGTCTCATTATATCCTTCTTTACCCCCCCCCCCAGGTGCTAATCGACCCCACCCGGTTGTCCCCGGGTCTCCACACCGGGGAGGTGGTGGCGCTGCAGTTGTCAGCCCGCAGCCGGGGGCCGCTGTTCCGACTGCCCGTCACACTGGTCAAGCCGCTGCAGCTGCTGCCGGGGCCAGGGCTGCAGGGGGCAGATGCGGGGGCGGCGCATGCGGCGGTCGCTGTCGCTAGCGGCTACAGCTCTAGTGACAGCGGCAAGGATGGTAACGGCAGTGGTGGTAATGGGAATGGGAAGGGTGCAGCGGTGGGTGGGATGGTGTCGCTGGGGCCGCTTAGCTTGGCGCCGGGAGCAGAGTTCAGGTGCGTGGGGGGGGGATATTTGGCTGGTTGCTGGTTGCGGTGTCTGCTCGGGAGTGTGGTGGCACGTGCCCTAGGGCGACTGTGGGCGACTGTGGGCGGCAGAATGTCAGTGTAACCTGTTATCGCAAAAACCGTAGTTTGCGATTTTTTTGAAAAGGAAATCCTTTAAAATATATTTTATCAAAAACACAGTAAAAAAGGGAATAAAGAAGGGTGAAAAGAGGTGTGACTGTAGCTGTGTAAGCACTGAGGGACCAGGCACTGTGGGAGGTCAATCGGGCTGCTGCTGAGGGCTGAGTGTGCATGCTTGCCGTCCTTTATCAAGCCTACCCGGGGGGCCCAAAGGAGCTTCCTACGCGCTACCTACCCAACCTAGCGCGCCAACCCAAACCCAAACCCACCAGCCCTTCCCCCCCTGCCCAGGAGCTTCCTGGCCGTGCCCCCCGGCGCCAGCTGGGCGGAGCTCACCCTGCGGTCCGCGCCCTACGACAACCCCAAGCTGCTGCTGCTGCGAGCCACGCAGCTGAGACCTGCCGCGTCGTACCGGCAGCACGAGATGAGGACGCAGGTGCGAGGCGGGAGGTGGCGCACCCGCCTTGCTTTGACCTAACCTGCGGCTTCGTGTGATTGGGTCTAGGGTCTTTGACCCCCCCTCCCCGATGCCAGGTGACGCTGTCCGGCGGCAGCGAGTACCTGACCTCCTTCCCGGTGGTGGGCGGGGGCACCCTGGAGCTAACCCTGGCGCTGTTCTGGAGCGCGCAGGGGACCGCACACCTGCAGCAGGTGGGGGGTGGGGGTGTTAGGAAAGGAGACTGGGAGGGCGACGGTAGACTTTGCGGCCAGTGCAGCGGGTGTGCGTGTGTAGAGGGGTGAGAAGTGAAGCAACGGAGTCCCAATCCAAAATCCGGGTGAGGGAGGGAAAGAAGAGGAAGCATGCGTTGCATTGTAGTGTTGCAACACTAGGTGAGGGGTGGGGGGGCAGGTGAGGGGATTGACTAGTACTCGTCTCTCTTGAGTCCCCGTCTTTTCTCCATCTCCCCCTGCTGCCCCCTCCACCTCCCCTGCCCGCTTGTGCTCCCCTAGCTGGAGATCTGCTTCCACGGGGTGACGGTAGCGGCGGAGGGCGGGGCGGCTGGGGCCGGCGGCAGCGGGGGCGGCACGGAGCTGGCTCTGCAGGGGGCGGAGCTAGCCAAGAAGATCATGGTAAAGCGGTGTGTGTGGGGGGGCGAGGTATGCCCCTGACGTGGGGTAAGGCGGTGTGGGGGGGGAGGTCCACCCCTGATGTGGCGTGGAGGCGGGCTGTGGGCACCTGCATGCCGCTAGGATCATGGTGTGCTGGGGTGCATGGGGGTTTGGAGACACCCACACATGTGTGAGGGGGTCTGCTGCCCAGGGGGCCGAGGGGTGCGATGTGTGGTGAGCGCCTGCATGGTGGCAGACATATGCGGGGGGGTCACTTCTGCTACAGCTCCTCTCGCTCTCCCTTTCCTTCATCGCTCACCTGCCCGCCTTCCCTCCCTACCCCCCGCCCCATTGTGTACTCTTCTTCACCCCCCCACCCCCCAGGTCAGCCTCCCCCCCTGGGCTGCCCCCACTCGGGTTCGCCCCGAGGCTCGCCTCACGCAGCTGCACATCCCACTGAGGCCGGCGGAGGCGGTGCTGGAGCCGGCGACGGGGGAGAGGTGGGGGACGGGGGGGGGGGGGGGGGGCAGGGAGGCGGGGGAGGGCTGGGGTGTGTGGGATGCCGGAGCGCATGTGGCTGGCTTGCGGAAGCTTATCTTGACCTGTTGACCTTGACCTGCAGCTGTTCCTCAGGTGGGCTCTTCGACGTTAGCGTTCCGCTACCCCTACCCGGCCCCCCTCGTTCCTCGTTCCTCCTTCCTCCTTCCTCGTCCCTCGTTCCTCCTTCCTCATCCCTCGTTCCCCATTCCTCCTTCCTCGTCCCCCCTCAAGAGACGCACTGCCCGAGGGTCGGGTGGTGTACCGGCTGCTGCTGAGCTACCGGACCAGCCTCAGCGAGCCGGGCAAGTACCGCCCATGCATGCCGCTGCTGGAAAAGTAAGTAGGGGGAAGGAGTAGTACAGGGAAAGGGAGACGGGGGAGCAGGGGAAGCAGGGAGGGAGGTAGCGCAGGGCGAGGTTAGGAAATAGCAGTGGAGGGTATGGGGGTTGGCTAGTTATGTAGTCGTGTCACGATCCCAGCATCCAAACCCAGCGGACGCCCCCCGCTCTCTTTCCACAACCCGTCTCCCCCCCCGCCCCCCTCCCCCCCCAGGCAGCTGTACGAGTCCCCCCTTGAGTCGCAGCTGCTGCAGCTGTACGACGCCTCCTCGCAGCAGCTGCTAGCCACCATGGATGCGGCGGACCCGCAGACGGTCACCCTGCCGCCGCAGGGGTGAGGCGGAGGGGGGGGGCGGGAGGAGGTAGAGGAGGTGGAGTAGGGAGGGCGGTGGAAACCCGAACTATGCTGCCAATGAACATATCGTACGACCCATGCTAAACCGTGCCGTACCCATGCCACGTCGTACCTCATAGCTCATACCCTGTCGTACCCCCCCCCCCCCCCCGCAGTCGCAAGGGCCCCCTGGAGCTGCTCATCCGTCTGAGTCTGCGAGCTGACGAGGGGGAGGTGCTGGAGCGGCTGCGGGGGCTGCCGCTGCTGCTGATACGCAGTCTGGAGGCGGGAGGAGGAGGTGGCGGAGGGGGACTTGTCGTACCTGTGTACGGAAGCCGCCGGGACGCTATCCTGGCTGCTACTACTACTACTGCTGGTGGTGGAGGAGGAGGAGGAGGAGGAAGTGGTGGTGGGAACAGCGATTATGATACTGATGGTGTGTGCGCTTTTTCCAGTGCGGACGAGGCTACGGGCGATACGGGCGCTGCTGCTGGTGCTGCCGCCGCTGCTGCTGCAGCTGGCAGCCCCGTCGGGGAGATGTTGCTGCGGGCGGGGGAGGTGGTGCCGCTGTTCGTGGGGCCGATGGCAGAGGAGAAGCTGCCCAAGGACGCCACGCAGGGTGCGGAGGGGGGATGGTGCGGATGGGAGGAGCATCTGCAAACCAAGTGGATGTTGACTGGGGTCAAGGAGGGCGCATGGGGCGTGCCCGTATGGCCCGGGTGTGCCAGCGGGCACCACAAAAGCAAGAGGGGTGTCGACACCAACAAGAGAGGCTTCGTCACAAACATGAAACTCGACCCAAACATGGAAAGCTGTTCGCACACGCACCGTACAGTGCGGCTCCATACCGCCACCAAACACCAGCTTCACTCCAGTGGCCTTCCTGCCTCTCATCGCTCTGTCTCCCCTCCACTCCCCCCTCCAACCTAATGCGCGGAATACGTATATATATCCCTATTTAACCCCCCTTACCTCCGCAACCCCCCAGGTCGGCTGCTGGTCGGGCAGCTGACCCTGGGGCAGCTGAGGCGCGGCGGGGGGGCGGCGCCGCACAGGCTGGCCCTGTCGTACCTGGTACCGCCGCCACCGGCTGCTGCTGCGGGGAACGGAGGGGGAGGCGGCGCTAGTAAGGACGGTGATGCGGGTGAGAGGTGTAGGACTGGTCGTTGCATACACGGGGCTTAGTAGGGTTTGGGTTGAATTCGACCATTCTGTCGCATGCCTGCAGCAGCCATCTTTCCCTGTAGTACAGCTTCTAATCACAATACCGGTACAGACTCAGGCTCAATGGCGGTTTCCCTGCGCATTGTTCCTGCCGTACCGCAGACAAGGATAAGGCCCCCGAGATCAAGCTAGCGGAGGCAGTTCGCGATGCGCAGATGCGGGTGCTCCGAGATCTCAAACTCTCGGATCCAGCACAGGCAGCCCTGTACGACAAACTGTACGGCGAGTTGCGCTCATCGTACCCTGCCCATCTGCCACTGCTGGTGGAGCACCTGAGGAAGCTGGACGGACGGGAGGTATGCGACTGACCCATGGGTCAGTGTGGGTCAGCGACGGTGCCTGTGAGGGTCCCAAGTGTGTCACTCTCTCCTCCTCCTCCATGTCTCTTGGAGGCTGCTGCTACCGCTGCCACTTCTGCTGCTGCTGCCGCTGCGCTTCACGTCAGCTGCACACTCAGACGCTGCGACTTCCTCAAACCCCGCATGTCCTCTGCTGCTGCCTCTCCCGCCCCCTTCATTAGTTGCCTCATCAGTTTCCTTGTTTGTACCCTTCCCCCCTCCTCAGTCCTCCTCCCGCCGCACCCCGGCGGGTCTGGCTGCGGTGGTGGCTGCCGCGGAGGTGGTTGTACGGCAGGTGGACAGCGGCGCGCTGGCTGCGAGCCTGGGGGTGCGGGCGGGCGGGGAGGAGGGAGCGGGTGAGTGGGGGGGCGGTGAGGGCGCGAGGCACATGAGGGGGGGGGGGGGCGGTTCTGGCTTGGCGTTACGGGGCGAGGTTGGCGTTGCTTGGCGTGCGGATGCGGCGTTGGTGGGTGCTGGGGGTAGGATGGCGGCGGGGGGCCCCTGCTCCAACCGTCCCTACCCCTTATTCCGCGTGCCTTAGCCCGTCCAGCCCTCGCCCCTTTACCCCCCCCCAACACCACATTTTGACTGTGGCATCCTGCCGAATCCTATCTCCATTGCTTTGCCCTAACCTGTGGTTTCCTCTGGCTTCGGTATGGTCTTTGACCCCCCCCCTCACGTTACCCGTCCTGCTACCTCTCCAGAGGCTCGTCGGGCCCGGCGGGCTGCGGAGGAGCAGCGCGGTGCGCTGGTGGAGGCGCTGGGGCGGCAGGCGGCGGCACTGCTGGATGCGGAGGAGGAGGAGACGAAGAAGCGGGAGGAGATGGAAAAGGAGGGGGAGAAGGCCAAGGGGCAGGAGGCGGAGAAGGAGGTGCAGCTGGGCAGCGAGGGCGACGTCGCGACCGGCGCAGCAGAAGATGGAGGCGTAAAGGGAGCGGCGGAGGATGGCGGGGTGGCAGCGGCGGAGAAGGAGGATGGCGGGGTGGCAGCGGCGGAGAAGGAGGATGGCGGGGTGGCAGCGGCGGAGAAGGAGGATGGCGGGGTGGCAGCGGCGGAGAAGGAGGATGGCGGGGTGGCAGCGGCGGAGAAGGAGGATGGCGGGGTGGCAGCGGCGGAGAAGGAGGATGGCGGGGTGGCAGCGGCGGAGAAGGAGGATGGCGGGGTGGCAGCGGCGGAGAAGGAGGATGGCGTGACTGCCTGCATGCGGGTGGGTGGGTGTGCTGTGGGTGTGCTCCTGGCTGCTCCCCGCCTGTCTGTCGCTGTCCTTCATGGTCGCTCTCCCGACCATCTGACCTAGATGGCTTGCTTGCGCCTTCTCCTCCATGTCCCCTCCGTATCCCGCCACCCTTTCCTTCCCACCCCCAACCTGCCTGTCCTCCTGTCCCCATGGCCTCCTCCAAAGCCTGCCCATCACCACCACCCATTACCACTTGTCTTGCCCCAGCCTGTGGTTTCCTATGGTTCGGTACCTGGTCTTTGAACCCCCATTACCGCCTCCGCCTCCTCTCCTCACTCCCCCCAGGAGCTGCGCAAGTGGGTGGACACCGCCTCCGACCCCGCACACCTGCTGCTGCACGCGCGGGTGGAGGCACGAGCGCGCAGGTGGGGGGGGGGGGCTTTCAGGGGTGCATGAGGGATGTCAGCAAGTGGGGAGACATCACAAGAGATGCGGTTTTTGAACCTAGGCTGTGTGGGAAAGGTGTTGCCTCGCCTGCCGTACCTACTCTCGCGCCCCGTGTTTCGAACCCCACACGCCAAACTTGAACCCCACAACGCCACAATGCCCCCAGGTATGCCACGGCGCTGAGGGCGCTGGACAGGCTGCTTGCCTCGGATGACAAGTCCGTGGCGACTGGCGCGGGGCGTCGGGAGGTTTCGGAGCTCAGGTGCAGGTGAGTGACAGACCATGCAGCGGACGTGATGCGTGGTGTGCTTGTTAACAGCAGTTGCAGGGGGAGCAAGGGGGCATGGACAAGGAGGTATGCGCGGATACTCACCGGAAAGGGAGGGACGGAGGCTATTAGGGCGTCGGTTGATGGGGATTAAAAGGGTGTAAAGTAAAAGGACTCCCGCAACAAATGGGTGAACACGGGGTTTCTCGAGGTGCTAGTCACTGCAGATGCCGACTGTGACAACGCCCTGTCCGCTGTCCCGCCCTCCACAACTATCTGCCCTGACTCCTCCCTCCTTTCTATTTTGCTACTTCTCTGCGACCCTTCAAAAGGCTGTTCGCGGCGTTGGGCTGGTCTCACATTGAAGCACAGGAGAGGGAGTTGCAGGTACGGTGCACGGCACTTTAATGAATGGCCGGCCATAGTTCCCTAAGACAGCGTTACGCTGTGGTCCATTGTGGCACGGGTTGCTGCTTGTTGCACATGCTTAACCGCATGCTTACTTCTTCCCTCCCATCCCTCGTTCTGTACTGCAACGGGCGGACAGGCGATCCGCTTCCCCAAGTCGTTGGCGCTTCTGTGATCCATGCCGTACCAGATGGGTGATCCTCTAATCTGGGCGGCACAGGCGTGCCGCATGTGTATTATACCGGAGCCCGGAGTGCTTTCCTGTGTACTTTTAGATTTGATTCTTAATCAAGCGAGGGATCCGCGGTTCAGCGGCGAGCGGAAGAAAACGGTGGTGGCGGAAACTGGGTGACGAAACTGGAAGAGAGACCAACAGGACCCGGTGATCAAGGGCTAGTTGCCCGCCTGTGGGCTGTCGCTTCGTGAGGGGGAATGTAGAGATCACCCTGTCCTAGTATTATCGGACGGACCGCATTATGGGTTGTGTGTGTGTGTTCCCTGCCTTCCTCTCGACAGTCTCGAGCGCACGTAACGGTGCAGTAAAGTACGCTTTTGGTAAGTAAGTCCCCTGGGTGCGTGGAATTGTCACGGGGCTCATGTACGCTTACTTGCTTGGTATGGGTGGAGGGTGAGAAGCGGAGAGTGCAAGGGATGCAGGAGAGGAGAAGAAACTGCTGACTGGTCTTACACTTGCCGTACGTACATGCGCGCGTCTGCAAGGTACGTGCCGGCGCATTGCGGGTTTGCTTGTATGAATTCAGCTTCGCGGGCGTTTCCTTCACCCGCCGGGGATACTGTGCAGAGCGCACGGAAAGCAGGCACGTTACACTTGCATGATTGGTCCGCACGAACAACTAACTGCTTATCCATTGCACTACTGCGTATCCACTCCTCACCCTCTGCATGCACCCTCTGAAAGTCCACTTTCACACTCTCATTGTTAGCAGCAGGCCCACCGGGCTACCCTGACAGCTATATCAGCTAGCTCACCACACGTCAGTTAGTTTAATTACACACCACGAACCCCACTTCCAGTTCCAAAAGGCCCTAATCACCCCATTCGGCCCTCTCATCAGCCCCATTTGTTACAGATCCACAGGTATCGCGACCACGCTCACACACAGCTCACGTCAGCACCAGCAGCTGCGCCTCCTTGCGGAGGCACATGGCCCATGGGTCGGCCAGCACCAGCACCTTGAGCGACTCCAGCGGACCCCCCGCACCCAGCACCCGGAAGATGACGTACCTGCGGTACCACCGGTTTACAGACAACTGTTGACACCGTGTACTGATGATACCTCCCGGGGGGAGTTCGTGGATTAAGGACGCAAAGGGTTACCTCTACACATGTTATTGAGCCCATCCTCGTCCCGCCCTTCCCTCGGGTTTTCTCCCGCCCCGCCCTCGGTTTTCCTCCAACCCCTTCTCCCCATGCACCCCTACCTGCTTCCCGCCTGCTGTGCAAACTCCAGCTCCTGCGCACTCAGCTCGAAGCTGTTCCTCACAGCGCTCGTGGTGCTCTTCACCTCCACATACAAGTGCTCCAGCCGGCCCTCGGCGTCTTCAGTCGGGCCAGCAGAAGCTGAATCGTTGGCGGCGTCACCGGGGCTCGCGTCGTGCGCTTGACCAGGCGTTACCACTGTGGGGGTACAACACCGAAGCGACAACAAGGTCACCTCTCGCCTCATGGCCCTCGAGCTCCCCCACCATCCTTGTCTTTACCTAAACCTTTACCTTAGAAAGCAGGTAAGTAGGTCAATAGTCAAGTGCAAGGGTTTCATGCAAGGATATCCTCTGCCTTCCCTACCTCGTGAAAGCAGGATGTCGTACGGCGCAAACTGCATGTCCGGAGTGGAGCTGACCCACTCCACCTTCCAACCGCCTGCCAGCACGGAGGCATCCCGCTTGAGCATCGCAAACACAAGCGCCTCAGCCCAACGAGAGGAAGCCGCGTTGCTGATTCCCGTGATCACAGCGCCGGAGTCACTGCTGGCTGCAGCAGCATCAGCATCAGCATCTTCTGCTGTTTCAGCTGGTTGCTGCTGTTGCTGCTCCTTGGATGCCAGGTTTGCCGTACCGCCCGCTGCCGCCGCCGCTACTGCCTGAGCCACGTCGCTACCCAGCTCCGAGAGCAGGGTGTTGTCTGCACCGCCCAGCATGCCCGGTAGTTGCAGCTGCGGGGGGAAACATAGTTCCAACATTCTTAGTGACCGCAAGGATGGACAAGTTGGGCGTTGTAGGGTATTCTTAGACCTATGTTACACACTTTGACCACTCTTTCGTCAATGCGTTTCATGCAAGTTACCGCCCGGGACAAGTTATCGGTACAACGCTTAGGAGCGCAGCTCAAACATTCCTTTAGCGACAACGTCCCTGCGTTCCGCCACTTACCCATTGCTGCCGGCGTTCCGGCTGCTGCCACAACCAAGCAGGGCTGCCTGCGAAGGCTGCAACCCCACGACCACCTGCCTTCACCATCCAACTCCGAGGAATGAACTGCTGCTCCCCTACTTCCGCTGCTGCTCCTGCTCCTGCTTCTGTTCCCATGCTTGCATGTGCATCTGGTGTTGCTGCCGAGCTGCCCGTGTCCCGTACGTCGCTAGCTGCCGCAAGCGGCACCTCCTGCCCCGGCAGGCCCAGGAGTTGCCCCAAAAGGCCTGCCTGCTGCTCCGGCAGCTGCTGCTCCTGTTGCTGCTGCTGCAGCTGTTCTGGCTGCAGCTGCGGCGGCAGTAGTGCTGCCCCTGGCTCAGTGCTGTGCGCCATGTGCGGGCCAGGCAGAACTGGGGGACCCACCAAGGGCAGCAGAGAACCTGCGGGTCTGGGACCATTGCCGCCACCGCTGCTGTCGCCCATGACCCCGCTGAAGCCGCTGCTGATGCTGCTGAATCCCAGCCGGCCTGTGGATCCTGAGGATGAGGAGCTGCTGCTGGCTGCGCCCTGTGGTGGGGTTGGGTTCAGTGGTGGGGGCCAGTTGGCACAGCACAGCGCAACGAAATACAGCAGGTTGCATGGGCGCTTGCAGCTGTTGGGAATTGCAGCGAGTTTAGCAAACCTACAGCCGCATTTGCCTGTGCATGGTCTGTGCACTCGGTTGCTGTACCTCAGGACAGCAGTCCAGGACTAAATTCCTGTCATCAAACAAATATGAGAGCAGGAAGGCATTTATCCGTGACCACTTCAACCAAAAGCCGAAACCATGTTCGCTCCCTCTTCCATCCCACCTGCTCCTGCCCCTGCTGTTGTGCCGCGGCCTCCCTCTGCTGCCCCGGCTGCCTCTTCGAAGCCCACGCGTTGAGCCGCACCAGCAGCTCATCTGGGTCCTCCTGCGGTCCCAACACAACAGCCTTGCCACCAGCAGAGGAGCCGTCCTGCGAGGTTGACGCGTCGAAAAACACCTGCAGAACAAGGAAAGGCAGGGTTGGAGGTGTTCACGCATTGTGGGGACGAAGGGGTAGATTTGTTGCATGGATGAATTGCAGTGTAGGTTGACACTGCATGGACGTGTATGTCAAGATGGACGTGCAAGCATACAACGTTCCTCTTTCACGCAATTGAGCCAGTAATGAGGGCAAAAGCATCAAGTCTACGCCGTACTGCTTTATTTACGCCTTGCCGTGCGTACCTTCCACGGCTCATCTCCGTCTGGTAGCGGTCGGCAGCCCCTATCCAGCGCATATTGTTTGGCGGCCGAGAGCAGCTCATCTCGGTTGGGGTCGGTGTCCTGCAACAAACGCATCCGGGTTGACGATGGCCGAGCCGCGGAGAAAGGAAACGCCTCTTACAAACCGGTAGCTTCACCGTTTATTTAGGCATATGACGCTTAGCGTATTGGACAGGAGACGGCACACAAGGGGCAGATGTTTGACGAGAGCTAAAGAAAGAAGAGAAGAAGATGCGGCTTCACCCCGCATAAGCAATGGCCTATGGTGCATAAGGACCTGATCTCCTCACTCAGCCAGTCAGACAACCAGCGGTAAGAGCACTCATGCAGCAGCAGCCCACCTACCTGCTCGTGACTAAGAAGCAGGCACAGCAGGAAGGATGACACGTCCGCATCAATGGAGCAGCTGGAGCTGAACAACCTGGAGAGGACAGCAGCACAACACAGCGATCACAGTACGTTCCGACTCGCGGCCAGTTTTGCTAACACTCTCACGGATAGTTTATTTTGTTAGCGTAAATACCGTCCTCATGGGTTGCTGTACACTAGCAGCACACTACCCCCCCGCCCGCATACCTGCTGAGCTCATCGCAGATCTTGATGTAGTTCCGCGGGTCGTCCACGTACAGTACGACACTGGCCGGGGAGCCATCCCGTACCTGCAGTACCAATACACACACATGGGTTTTTTTCCACACGCCGCCCTCCCGTACACCCCACCTGCAACACGGCGCTCTCCCCTGCCGTACACCCTACACCTCCACTCGCATGCAACACCTCCACTCGCGTGCAACACCTCACGCCGCATGCAACACCTCCACTCGCGTGCAACACCTCCACTCGCATGCAACACCTCCACTCACCTGCAGCACGGCGCTCCGCAGCTCCGGATCCGAGTGCACACGCCGCCCGCCGCCCCCGGGCAGCCGCAACGCGTGGCCCACCTGCACGCACATGCGTGTGTATCGGTGACAGACAGACACACATGTCACTGATTACCACTGTAATCGCTTCGAACACAGAATACGCGCCTTCAGGCCCTCCCCCAAGCTTTCTCACCCTCAAGCTCCCCTTCTCCACCGTCACAACTCGCAGCGCCGCCAGCCGTGCCGCTACACCCTGTCGCACCGCCTGGTAGGCCGCGGGTCGGTGGGTCGCCAGGAAGCGCTGCGTGAAGGGCACTCCCAGCCGCAGCAGCCGCTCCACCTGCCAGCCTGGATGGGAGCAGCAGGAGGATGGCAGGGGCGGAGGATGGCAGGGAGGGAGGAAGGAAGGAAGCACAGCGGTGTTTCCAGACACTCCCATGCCGTATGTGGACAGCCGCGGAGCGCAGCAGCAAGTTAGAATTATAATAAACCTAAACCACAGGAGGGAGAGATACATGGACAACAGAGAAGTGCGGGTGAAGCGAGGGGTAGACTTGGGGAGCGGTTGTGTGGTACCTGCTATGCAGCCCTGGAACGACACCTCCTCCTCCACCAGCTCGGACAGCCTGGGGGCGCCCAGCCAGTGCAGGAACTCCTGCAGGAGTGCCTCTCCACCGCTACTGCCGCTGCTGCTGTTGCTGCCGCTGTTGCGGGTGCCGCTGCCGGCAGCAGCTCCAGCCGCCGCGATGAGCATAGGGTGCAAGATGTGCACATCTGCAAAAGCACCAACAGCAGCGGTTACAGCAGCGATCTCACTGCAGCACTGGTTGCATGCGCGTCAACGACAGCTTTACAACAGCCAAAAAGGCAAACTTCTGTGCGACCTAAGCAAGAGCCCGCGCACCCCGCACCCCCGCTTTTCCGCACGCACACACGGTCCCTCGCGGCCAGTTTTCCCAACGCACGGCCCCTCCCCTGCAGGCCCCACCTGACGCCGCGTTGAACAAGCGGGCCAGGTCGGCCGCGTCGCCCAGGAGGGGCTGCTCCTCCAGACTGACCCACCGACCCGCGGCGGTTGGGAACACCCGCATGCTGCCCAGCTGGTGCCGCAGCCGCCGCGCTTCCTCGCTGTCGTGGGGCAGCAGCCCGGAGACCAGGTCCGCAGCCCAGACCCCCAGGATAGCTGACACCTGAGGGCACAAGAGGGGTACAGGAGGGGTGTGGTGTGGGGACGTTTGGTGTGGCCCGACGATCACAGTACGCTGTTCCCGGCCAGGCTTTCCAATACGTGGCTAGGGTCTTCGTATAACACATACATACACACACACTCGACCCCCTACCTGCCGTACAGCTTCCTCGGTAGGCTCCTCCTCCGAGTGCCGTACCGCGATACGGCGCAGCGCGGACAAGTAGTCTTCCTGAGAGGGCCGAGCCGCAATCAGCCGCTCCCCTCGCCGCAGCGCCCCACCGCCGCCTCCCATGCCGCCCATGCCGTCCGTGAAGCCGGCAGCAGCAGCAGCAGCGGCTCTGCCGCCCCTGCCCCAACCGGTTGTCGTGAGGGCTGCTGTCGTGGAGGCCATGTTTGAGTTGCCCCAGTCTGGCGTTGCGACGCAGAGCTCCTCGAAGAAGGACAGCACCTGTTTGCGTGTGGGGGGTAGAAAGGAGGAAATTGACAAGCTGTATGCCAGGGCTTCAGTTGAGGGGGGGTATAATGGATGAGACTTAGGGTTTGGAGGTTAGATTGCGCGGTGGGAATAGAAACGGGGCAAAACCACGCATGCAGCACGCATTGCATGGACGCGTGTTGGGCTCGCCTATCTAGGATAAAGCGAACGGCCTGGCCAGGAAGGAGACGGCGACGTTGTCCCTTCCCCCCTCCACGTACCTTGAAAGGGTAGTGCGCCTCCAGAACACGAACAGGCTCCTGGTCACTACCTTCGTCTCCGCCCAGGTCCGAATCAATCTCCCAGCTTTCAACCTCCCCCTTTTTCTCCTTCCTGTTCCTCTTCTTCTTGCCCTTCTTCTTGCCCTCCTTCTTGCCCTCTCCCCCTTCCTCTTCTTCGGCTTCGTTCCGTGCCCCCAGGAGCTCCCATGCAGCCAGCTGCTCCAGCACGCCCGAGGGGTCACTTAAAACCACTCGTCCCGCGCCGTAAAAGCTGCCGGACTTGGACGTGGACAGGCTGCCGGCGGCAATCGCCACGGAGGTGGAAGACAGCGCGTCGCCTTCTTCGCCGCCGTATTCCACATCAGCCTCCTGCTGCTGTGCAGTCCTGGAGGAATCTGCTGCGCCCTTGGCGCCCCGGCCGCCCTTCTTGCCCTTCCGGCTGCCGCTGTTCCAGGAGTCTCCGGTTGGTGTGGGAGCTGCTGCTGCTGCTGCTGCTGCTGCTGCTGCTGCTGCTGCTGCAACCATGGGGGCAACACGAGGGGAGGGGATGAGGGGATGCGCAGATCAGGGGATGAGGCGATGTCATGACTACCACACCACCACTCTTCTACTACCCTTCGCTGCACAGCTTCAGCTTCGTTTCCAACTCGCCGCCCGTGCTCCCTTTTTGGACACAATTGCAACAACCCTTCTAACCCTTGTAACGGCCATTCATTCAGGTAACACGATCCACCAATGTTGTACGACACACAGGTCGACCCAGATCCTGTGTCTCCATCACAGCCACACCATTCGTCGCACCTGGGTCGGGTATCCAGATGAGCTCCGCCTCCCCGAACGCCCGGCAGATGGCCTCAAACACCCCGCCTCCCCGCTGCTCCCTGGCCGCGTCCAGGAAGCGGTACACCCCACACATGCGGTCCAGGCTCAGCAACAACGGCTGCTGCTGCTGCTGCTGCTGTGTTCCCCTTCCACCGCCACCTTCACTCGACTCCGCTGCCGCCGCTGCTGCTGCTGCCGCCTGCGACAGGCTACGCAGCATGGACAGCACGATGTCGGCCGAGGGCTCCAGAGGCAGCCCCAGCGCGGCCAGCAGGGAGCCGTCGGGGGGCAGGTTGGGGATGTGGGCGAGGTAGGGCAGCGGGGTGTTGCCTGGGGGGAGGGAGAGTGGAGTGAAGTGGAGTGGAGTGCAAGCAAGCAAGGAAGCAAGCGGGGTGAAGCAAGAGCAGGGTGTGCAGGGCGAGTGTGTTGTGCGTTTGGAAGGTCAGGGCGCACTGAGGGAAGTGTTTCGGTCGTGCTATGCAGTGGTCAGTGACTTGCAAGGCACCCGCATGTGCACCCGCCTTGAGCCTGCGACACGGCAGGTGCACACGCACATACCAGGCCCCATTCATCAGACCCATCACATCACTCGAGGAGGCTTACTTCCGAACAGCTCGACGAGCTTGGGCAGGCGGGGCAGCAGCTCGTAGGGAGCGGCGACGTAGCCAAGGGTGCTTGGGAGCCACCTGGAGGTGGGAAAGGGGCGGGTCAAGGGTATGTAGACAGCCAGCAGCAAAGAGGCGATAGAGAGTACTGACCGAGAAAGATGGGTGTGTGGGCGTACAGCGAGATCTAGGATTAATTAGGATTGGACGAATGGATGTAAAAATACTGACAAAGACACACGTCCACTGCCAAGTGCTGATGGCATGCATGCAGAGTGTAACAGCGGTCCTGAAAAGGCCTCCTAGGATGCTGTGCAGCCGTAAACACAGAGCCCCTAGCAGATACACAAGCTGTACGACCCTTTGGGCCATGCGTTTCATTGCATTGCAGGGTGCAATGTCCGCAAACCGTGTTTTGCAGGTAGGCTTGCACACCTTTGTGCCCCTGCCCACGAATGATGTTGTCCGTCATGTCGCTAGTGAGAAAAACAATTACCTCTTGGTTTGAAGCTCCAAGAGGAATGAGCTTGGAAGAGGCTTGGAGGCGATGCCGGACGGCAAGTAGCCCCCCACTAAGTCACCTAGCAGCGTATCCGAATCCTTGCCTAGGAGGTCTTGCATCGCGTCTTCTGCCCAAACCACCTGCACCGGAGAGCGAAGCCGCGTAGCCTCCTCGTACCCGCCCTCCTCCCAAAGCGCCTGCAGCGTCTCCGCTAGCGCCGAGAGCAGCTTGACTTGCTCAGGTGTCAGGGCGACCCGTGGGTCACTGCCCACGTCATGGCTGCGATCACATCTGTCATTGTCGACCACAGCGACGTCCGTACCGTCATTGTCTGAGTCTAGCGCTTCCGCTCCCTCTGCTTTGCTGCTGCTCCGGGCAGCGCGTCGCTCCTTCCTGCTCGCCTTCCAAGATGCGGATCCAGATGCTCCGTTTGGATCCACGACTGGATTTAATATGCTGGACAACAAATCGTCCAGAGCTGGGCACATGACGTCATCAAAGCGGTACACGGAGCCCTTGTAGCACTGCGGCAGAGTGTACGGCCCGTACGGCCACACCTGCCGCGCCCATGGGGACTCCTCCAGTCGCGTTACCGCCACAAGTGACCCATGGGTCCGTCCAGCCGCCGCTGCTGCCGCCGCCGCTGCATCGCTGGCGCTCAGCAGGCTCTCACTGTCACAGCCGAGAACAGATGACAAGGCATCCTCTGAAGTCTCCTCCAGGGGGTCAAAGAAACCACCGAAGTCATCTTCCTTTAGCCAGGAACCGGATTGGTAGCTGTGTTGGCGTCCGGAGGAGAAGTCAGGCAGTGCGTATATGGTACGATTACGCAACCTCAGGAAGGGCGTAGCGCCCAGCTGCCCGAACAGCCACGTCCATGCCTGCGGGGGGGGGGCAATGCGCAAGGGGCGGCAACCAATTGCGAAAGCTCTCGATTCTGCCATGCACGGAGTAAGAGGCCACCAAACCAGAATCCAGACATCCAGGCAGTGCACTCAGCATATGTCGGCGGCGGAGCGGTGCCACAAAGAGTCCCAAAATGGGACTGTTACCGTTATTGTTAGTCGGAAGTTACTGAACAACAAACACGCCACCTTCTAATACCGTACTTCTGTAGTCAATGTCAGGTTCTACGGTTCAGTTTAGCCGACAGACCGGCGCACCATAGTCCCTTTCACGGAGCCCCTAGCCTCTCAACACCCTCAACACAAACCCCACGCTGCACCCTCACCTTCCGAGGCACTGCCTCGCACTGCGCATACGCCTCCGAAATGATGGTGGCCCTCCGCTCGGCCCACTCCGGAAAGGCCCTCCGCAAGTCAAACCCGCGGGGACACAACGAAGCCGGCAGGAACAAGTCCTCCACCACAACAGCGGCAGCAGCAGGAGCAGCAGCAGCGGCAGCGGCGGCGGAAGTGCTATTAGACTCAGGTCCAGCAACGGGCACAATGTCGAAGCCCAAGCCGTTGCTGCTGCTACTGCCGCTGGCGCCGCTCTTTCGGCACCTCACGACGCCGCGGCTGGTGAGCAACACCGCACAGGACTTGAGGTCCTCCAACACGCTGGCTCGCAGCAGCGGCTTGTTGCGGTTGATGGACGCCGCGGGTGCAGCTGCTGCTGCTGACGTAGCAGCATAGCCGCTGCCACCGCCGCTAGCGTTGCCGCCGCTGCTGCTGATTCCCCAGAAGCCTCGAAAAGCAGCCTCGCGTCTCGGGCGCTTCAGGAACCTGTTGTTATTGCCGCTGCTGCTGCTGCTACCGAGGAAATCGCCTTCTGTGTTCCCATATGCTTCCTCCGCCGTCGTGCCTCCGAAGCCCTCCTCCGCCGCCGTCAGCAGCTGTGACGTCCCAATCAGCCCCGAAACCAACGGGAATGCCAAACATGCCACCAACGTGGCCTCCGGTGCCTCCTCCATCGCCACCTTCTTCCCACCTCTTTTCGCAGCACCACCTCCAGCATCAGCAGCAGCCGTACCTGCGTTGCCGGCCACCGCAGATTCGTACGCCCGCAAGTAAGGCAGTACGGCAAGATCGTACACGTCCATCGCTTCCAACTGCCGTACACCCAGCTTTTCTAGACCCGCAAGCAGTACCTCCCGCTGCTCGCCCGGCGGCAGCTGCAGTACAAGATCTTGTCGTACAAAGTGCAGGCCGGGGCTGATGCCAGCTCGCCGCAGCGGATCTAGGAGCGGTCCAAGATCAGGCGGTAGTCCAACCGCAGCCAGCTGCCCTGCCAAGCTGTTGCTGCCCTGTGTGCCGTCATCACCACCTCGAGCGGCGCTAGCGGCAGCGGAAGAAGAGGCGGAGGTGGAGGTGGAGGGGACACCCGAGGGCCGCCTTGAGGCAGCAGCAGCAGCAGCCGTTGCCGCGGAATTGCATCCCGGGAGCAGGAAGACCTGCTCAGACGCTCCCAAAGTCGTGGCGTATGAGGTCGCAGGCAGGCGTGCGTCACTGCCCAGAACAGGCAGCAGAGGCAGCACGCGCAGCCTAGACCACAAGTACTCGGTTGAGGAGGAGATGCCGCGTACGCCGCTGCTGCCGCCGTAGACGCCGCCGTAGCCAGCTGCCGAAGCGGAGGAAGACGACCCATGGGTCCCCATCCAGCCGCCCCCGCCCTGGCGGTTCCTTGGTTGACGCGGGCGCGGGTTGGATGATGCGCCGGGCGACCGGAAGGCACCACTGTCGCTGTCGCCGCCCAGGCCGCTGCTGCCGCTGCTGCTGACTCCCAGCATCCGGAACACGATGAGGAGCAGCCGAGCCAGGACCTCGGTGCCCAGCTGCAACGATGGAGAGGAGGAAGAGGAGGAGGAAGAGGAGGAGGACTCCGCCGTGTCGGGCGCTGCTGCTGAGGGCTGGCTTGCGGTGATCTTCTCCAGCAGGGTCACCTGCAAAACGGAGTGGTGGTGTCAAGTGGTGCGCTTGTAGGCAGGTAGGGTAGCTTGCGCCTTCGAAACACCCCCCCAACAAACCCGCATGTTGTATGAAGCGCATGCATAGCTGTATTCCCCCGGGTACCCCGCACACAACTAACCAGGTAAGTACATCCCTGCTCTCAACACGCCTCTCCTTTACTAGCCGCCACACGCACCACACTCCCCACACCCGCCAGACCTGCCCCACTCGCCCCCCCCCACGCACCCCCCCCACGCACCATGTCACTCGCATGGAACTCCTGCACCCCCAGCAGCGCCCGCAGCTGCGGACTGGCGTGCAGCGGCGTCACGGAGGCGTGCACGAAGAATATGCCCGCCTCCGTAAGGGCGGTCTGGGGGGCGAGGCGGTGAATAAAAAGGAGTCGCAAAGGAAGGATTTTAAAAAAAGGAAGGAGGGTTGGCTATGCTAGTAAGGTTCTTGCGCAAGTCGGGATCCGCAAGAGCGACATGCTTGTATTATTTAGACTGGAATGAATACCGTAGTTGGGGCCAATAGGAACAAGGTCAGGAATTGCGAGGCGCGAAAATGTGCCGGTGCACAACCGCAGCAGCCGCCACCACCACCAGCCCGCCCAAGCCTGCCTACCTGCATGCCGGGCTCCGCCAGCAACTCCCTGACCCGTGGGTCATGGCACACCCGCAGGTGGTGCCGCTGCGGCGACAGACTGCGACCGCATGTGGTTGGCAGCAGCACGGAGGAGCGAACGGCTTCCGAGATGCGTTGGGGCAGCGACGCAAACAGATCCTGCACGCGCAATCCACGATGCAGTTATCCTTTCATTCATTCATTTAATCAAACCACTAACGGAAAGTCGCAAAACCGATAATCGTACGCCACGGTAATTCCCAACCACAACCCATGGGAGTTAGCTCCGTACATGTTCGCTGCCCCTTTTCCCCAGCCTAAACTGCATCACCGCCCCTATCCGAAGGTCACCTGCGGCTCTTCTGGAAGCGGCAGGCAGCTGAGCCAGTAGTTCAGCCAGCCGTGACGCGGCATGCGACCTGACCAGTGCGGGTCGCTGTCTAGCTGCTGGAGCTGGGCTAGCGATCTGTGCAGGGGCAGGTGGGGGGCACGAAAGGAGTGGAAAGGAGGTTAGGATACTCTGTGGAGAGCAATGACGGAGAACGGAAGGCAGGGAAGCTAACACGGTAGTCATGAACAGTCCGAACGTCTTAATAGTTGTTTGAAAGACATTGATGGGCGGAGTGTGTGCATTGTAAGTACGGGTAAAGAAGAAGCGCAACGGAGGACAACCCCCACCTACCTGGCGAAGAGCTGCGGGATGCGTGCGACCAGCATTTGGTTGTATGGGCTCCCAGTGTCCACGGACTCCCTGGAAGCGGCAGATGCAGGAGGGGGAGGCAGTGGGGCAGGAGGAAGCAACACTGGGACACGAGAAAGCAACACAGAGAAGGCAACGCAACGGCAGCGCATGTCTCAACATGCCCATGGCGAATGTGCAGCATGTTGCCTCTCCGCTACAAACACACAACCCTAACTCGCCCCTTACAAGAAAGCCACCGCCAAACGCACCCCCAATGCGCACCTCACATGCACATCCCAACACACACCCAATACGCACCCCAAACCGCACCTGCTGGTGGTGACCACGAAGTCGCCGTTGATGACGAACCGCAGTCCGTAGTCGCGTGTTGGCAGGTACGCAAACACCTCCTGGCGCGCCGGTCGAGGCTGCGAGTAGCGACTGAACCAGTCCGCTGAACCGTCGCCCGACCCCGCGGCGGCCGCTGCTGCTGCTGCGGCGGCGGCGGCTGCTGCGTCCGCGAGCTCCGCTGCGGCATCCAGGTCGAATGCGAGTGAGATGTCGGTTTCACCCAGCTCAGCAACTGTGAGGTCGCCCCTGCAGGAAGCGAATGGGCGTGAGGGGATTGGATTGGAATTGGAGGGGTGTAGGGGCGACAGTGTGGAAGCCCCAAAGAGATATGTCGCCTGCTGTAGGAGGCACCCACTAGGATCGATCCCAGGCTGCAGCGCGGCGTATGCCACACAACGGCTTTCCTTGGCATGGAACAGAAAAGAGGGAGAGGAGAGAAGGACAGGAGAAAGGGACAAGTAACTCAGAGCCTAGAAACTCTAGCATATAGGACTTGGCCCCTTCCTCCCAACATGCTTTACCCAACTAACCACCTACCTGTCCACCGTTGGTGCAAAGCTCTCGCTGACAATGAGCCACCGCTTGTCCTGCAGCCGACCCACGGGTCCCGCCCGCAGCAGCACCTGCCCTCCACTCAGCTGCTCCTTCTGCACCTGAACGCCCCGGACTGCTGAGGGAGCAGCAGTGGAGGCAACAGCGGCTGCGGTCGCAACGCCAGTGCTGCCGTTACCGCTGCTGCTGCTGTTGTCGAGGGATGCTGCGGGAGCCGCGGTGACGGCCGTTCCGTCGGTTACAGCAACCCGCTTGAGCTTCTTGAGGAAGAGCAGCAGCCGCGGGTCCACCTCTGACAGAGCTGTGGAAATTGGAGAGATTGGCAGATAGCACAAACTCAGAACACGGTAGTTACCGGTATAAAGGGTTACTGGGCAGAGTGTAAACATAGCGGTCGTTCACGGAAAGAGCATCAAAAGTTATGGCAAGAAGACTGGACGCAAAACGCAACGCGGCTGAGGACGCACGCAAACCCCCCGCATGCAAACCTACATTTCTTCAGGCTTGCCAGCGCTGCCGCCTGCTGCTGCTGCTGCCCCCCTGCGCCATCACCTCCACCGCCTCCACCGCCTCCACTGCTGCCCCCATCCGCCCCTGTCGTGGCGGCGCTGCCCTTGAGCGGCAGGCGGATGCATGTGTTGGCGGGCAGCAGCCCCAGCTGAGAGGGCAGCCCGGCTCCCTCGTAGGGCGGTACGGCGGAGGGCAGCACCATACCCAGGTTGCCGTTGCGGATGCGGTCGAAGGCGATGTGGAAGCCGTTGGAGTGGACCTCGGGCGCGTCGGAAACCTGGGGGCAGCGTGCAGCAGCAGGTTAGGGGTTCATCACCCGTGTTGCCTTTTGCCCGTTAGCCAAGGCGGCATTGTAACGGTCATTTTTTCAGGTTTGGAGTGGGTTGCGGTTGCGGTTTTGGAGAGAGAGGCTGTGGGCTGCAGCTAGGTCAGACCACAGACGTGTTTTGCCCAGCAGGTACGTATGCATAGGGAGGAAAGGCAGGTGGCACGAACCTGGAAGACGGATTTGAAGCCGATGCCCTTCTTCCCGATGAACCCGCGCTTCTTCTTCTTCCTGTCGTGCATGGGTGGTAACAAGGGCGAGGCCAGTCCGATATGGCATTCGTTGCAGGCAGGAGCTTCCGTACATTGCCATGACCCATGAATGTATTAGGCTGGTAAGCGACCCGAGCGCGTCACTGATTTCACCGCACGCGCATTAGAGAACGGGAGAACGGAGAGCACGCATGCCATCCCCCAGGCTAGCTATGGAACGGCACACCCAGCAGCTGCTGGATGTTGTTTGACCCATACCGGTACATGCCCGCCCGCACTCACGTGCTCATGTTGACGTCGCTCAGGGCGCGAACATCCCGGTCCTGAGGAGGAGGATATTGAGTCAATTCACTGTCGTGGTACTACACAAAGGAAGCAGTCAGAGCGCACTACGGATGGATCTGTCGTTGTATCCAGTATAGGGAACATAGCCCCTCCCTTCCATCTCTCTCTCTCCCTTCCCCTCATGCGGCCACATGCACCCACGCAATAAGGCCCTCCCCGCACCGTGAAGCCCCTTTCGTTGTTTAGCACCACCAGGTGAGAGGGAGTGAGTACGAACTCCAAGCAGGGTACGACATCCGCGTCGTACGAGTTGTCCTCTGTGCATGCATGTGCAGGAAGGCCAAGGGGAACTCGTTCAGTGTTGCACAATGGGGGACACAACATCAGTCGCAGTTGGCATGCATGGGAGCAAGGCCCATAACATGTATGATGATGGGGCTGCTGGAGCATGTCAGACACAGAGCCCAGCAGCAGTGCATGCGTGCGAGTAAGGTTTGCAACCGTCCTAAGAGATACATGAGATATATATGGGCCGACAGCAGGGCAATTACAGGAACCGGTCACAGAACAGCTGCAAGTATTGGTATATGCAATTTTTCCTTTTCCTTCTTTGGAGCTTCGAGCAGCGCCACTTACCCGCGTTTTGCAGCAGCTCCATTACAAAGTGCAGATCCTTGCTGTACAACTGCTGCGAGAGCTGTCGTACAACAAGGGAGGGTTACCGATTTTAGCTAGCTACAGCAAAAAGGAGTACAGTTTAAAGGCAACTGCTAAGTTTGTAGTTACATGTGATTAGGATGTTAGCAGCAGCTAATACCGGTATGTATTCCGTCAATGACTCATCAATCACAGCAGAGTCATCATTTGCTATATGCAGTGAATCTGCATGGTTAAGCAACTGCAGAGCGTATCAACGTTGGTTGGTAAGCCCGCCCCGCCCTGCCGACCCATGGGTCGCACCTGCACCACCGCATTGCCGACCCGCTCGGTGTTGCAGCGAATGGTGTCGGCCGCGTCCGGGTCGCTGAACACCTTGTCGATGCCGTAGGACTGTGGGCGGCAGCGGTGGGAGCGACGGCAGCGGCAAGGAAGGGATGTTAGGGGTGTTAGGGGTGCCTAGCAGCATAGGCTGAACACGGAGTGCTCTACTCTGCCGGTACGTTGTTGGCGAGGAGGTACAACGTCAAACACACAGGACACGATATATGGTACGACGGGAATGCAGCCAAGCAGCAGACACCACGAAACAACAAGCAAACAAACAAGGAACCATGCAAACCCCACTCACATGTCGAATCCTCTCCACAAGCGCCGCCGCCTCCTCCCGACTTCGCTGCAGCCGCTGCCGCCGCTCCACATCTTCATCATCTTCATCAAGACCACCACTGTTCGCCGCAGCAGCCGAGGTATCCGCGATAACCTCCTGCACTGCTGCTTGCCCAACAGACGAAATCGTCGCCGTAGCGTCTCCTGCGGTAGCTTGCTCTCCAGAAACCCCACCCAACGCTCCCTCGTCTACCGCCACTGCCGCCGCCGTCCCTTCCACACCGGCGTCCACGCCCCCTACAGCCGCCGTGGCATTGCCCTCTGAAGGTGGTGCTTGCTGCTGGTGTTGTTGCTGCAGCCGATTTGTTGTCTCTGCTGGCGTCTGCGACAGGGACAGCATCTCCTGCTGTTGCACCTCCTCCTGCTGCACCTCCTGCCGCAGCTGCAGTGATGTGCGCCCGGCAGCCCAGTCCGCAGCCCACTCCTCGAAGCCCAGGTCGCAACCCAGCTGGTGCAGAGCCGACCTGCGAGCACAATAGCGGAAAGCGGATTAGGAGGACACTGCAACGGTTTTATATACTTCAACGTATACCACAACCACAAGCACACACGCATGCACACGCACACCTGTGTTCCCCGCTAGCGCATGCGGCCAGCAGCACGCCCCTCCAGCCCCGGCCCAGGATGCGGGGGCTCTCCAGCGGAGGCAGCAGCACACTGCGGGGGGAGGCAGGGGAGGCAGGGGAAGAGGTACGGGTTGTGTGGCTGGATTTAGATAAGGAAGCCTCCTCTGGCGTGTAGCTGCATATGCATAGACACCGGCTAGCCAGCAGCCAGTGAAATGAACTTCAAATGGGCGATCTCCCCACGCTAGACTGGCCTTCCCTGCCACGTTGCCGGGCCCAGGCCGCACACATGCCCACCTTTGCGCCACGCTCCTTCGCACGGCCCGCAGCGGAACGGCTGCCAGGCAGTCCAGGCAGCACCGCAGCAGCGGCAGCAGCGCTGCGGAGACCTGCTGACCCGGCAGACCGGCGGCGGCTGGAGTAGCAGATGTAGCAATAGTAGCAGTAGAAGTAGCACCTCCGTTGGCCGAAGCACCGGCACTACTGTCGCCGTCGGACATCGTGAAGGAACTAGGGGACAGAGGCAGGAGATTGCCACAAAAAGCGGTACCGGGATTAATGTGTGTTAGACCCCAGGAAGGAAGGGTAACATTGGGACATGCGATAAAAGGGCTCCGTGAAGAGAGCGGCCGTGAAGAGGGCGAGGCCTTGCGTGTGCGGCAGAGCAGGCGGATGCGCCGTTTGCGTGACCAGCGAGGACGCCACACGTCGTCGGGTGAGGGCTTAAAGGTTGGGGACATGAACCATGCATGACTTCACCTATCGAGCAGACAAGAGCACCACACGAAGAAGCAGTGTCATGCCTCCAAGCATGCTTTATTCATACCTCCCATCCAGCAACTCCCGCAATGCAAGTTGAAGAACCTAACTCCCCATCCCCAACCGAACCTGACCCCCCCCGGCAGCCCTACCCTACCTCCCTTCCGCCAACAGGGCCGCGGGCCCACCCCGCTGCTCCACCCACGCACTCCAGCAGCTCTCCACCAGGCCCTCAAGGTACTGTACGACGCAGGGTGCGGGTCAGAGATACACCAAAACCACAGGATAGGGCAAAGCAATGCGGATACAGGGTGAGGGGGGCAGCCCTCAAGCTCCTTTCAAGCTCCAAAACCAGCGCCCGACTACCGGCATCTCCCTCCCTCCTGCACATGGGGATGATGCGCATGCGATGCCCTCCTCCTGCTCTCACCCTCAGCGGCGCCTGCCCCACGCCCCCCGAGTCCGCCACCACTGCCAGCAGGGCCGCCGCCATGCCCCGCCCGTCCAGCTCGCCCAACCGCTGCTGGAACAGCTGCAGAGAGCCCTGCAGGGTGGGGGAGGGGCGGGAGCAGCAGCGGCAGCAGAGCGGTTCGTAAAGGGGGTGCGATAACAAGGCATGGTTGATAAAGAGACAATTGGGATATGGGTTCAAGTAAAGACGTTACGAGTGCGATCTTTTGCTATTGTTTGTTTCCTCAGCACCGCTTACCTCAACACCCAGACCTGCGGGTATCTTGATCAGGCGCCCGCCGGGGCCCTCCACGGCACGCCACGTCAGCGCCGTACTGCCATCCTCGCTGCCGTACTCCTTACGCCTGCGGTACGAACGAAGCAAGTCCTTCTATGCAATCTAACATGTGCAATGAAACACCATGCAGTCTATCTCTTCGGTCTCGCAGATTTACACCAGCATCAGTTTGTTCATTCGGAGTATTGCTCATGTGCGCGTGTTGCCTTCTGCCGTCTTTACCGGCAGACACCCCGACTCCCACCTCCCACCTCCTGAGGAAATGCTTCAGCGGTCCAAGCTGCGGTCCAAACACCTCCTCCCACATGCTCCACTCCCCCAGCTCCGAAAGCATCGGCGCCGCATCCAACGCCGCCGCCGCCGCTCCACCCGCCGACCGCCCCTGCCCCGTCAGCTGAGCTAGCAGCGCACCCCCGGCACCGCCGCCTGCAGCGCCGACGGCACTATTACCGATGCCGGACGTAAGGCCCAGTTCCGGAAGTACCGCAGATTGTACGACGACAGCAGCTCCTCCGGAAGCTCCACCGCCGCCGCCGCTGCTGCTGCCGTGGAGGGACTGCGCTGCCTCTTCCAGGAGGCGTTGCGGCGGTCCGAAACCGAGTGTGAGGGCGCTGGGAACACGGTACTGCCGCTGCAACGCGCTTTCGAAGGCGTCGACCACCTCGGGACTGACTGCGGACGCGCCATTGCCTGCGGTTTGGGTACAGAGAGCGTTGGATGAAGGTGGTGGTGCGTGAATCTTTCTCGGAAGGTACCATGCGAGCTATTTGCACATGCATGGGTTACGGCCTGAGACGAACCCGAACCTTGCAAAGTAAGTGGCGGTACTTCCTAGCATGCGGCTCATCCTGGCAAATGTACCAACCACCAAGTGTTCCAACATAGTCCTTTTGTACCAACATAGCTTCTAGGACACAAACCCAAAGCACCTGCGGCATTGACGTACGCCGCCTGCTCCGACTCCGCCGGCCCGCGCGCCGCCGCCGCCAGCACCAGCGCCGCCAGCAACATGATGTCCTCGTGACCCACGGGTCCGCCGCCCGCCGCCGTAACACCCGCAGCGCTGATCCCCGGGCTCGTGCCGAGCAGCGCGGCTGCCATCTCGTGATCCTCCGCCAGGGCTACGACCAAATGGAGGCAATGAAGGCAACTGAAGTAACTTCCAAGTAGTACCATCCATGGAACGTCCATGTTATTCGGGTACATAGGCACACCCCGGTTGACTCGAGAGCACACGTTCGCAGTCCTCAGCACCCACCTGCCAGCAAGCTCTCCCCGCGCCCCAGCTCCGACCAGCTGTCGGCGCCCAGCGCTGCTGCCACCTGGCGCTCCAGGGATGCCAGTGCGGGGAAGGAGAGACCCTGCATGCAGCAGATACCGGTAGAGGAGCACCGTGTATCGGTAGCATGGGGTTCCTTGGAACGGATTGTCAGCGTTGTCGCAGCGAACAAGAGGGCATGTAAGGGAGCGGTAATCAGCCGAGGCGCTGGACTCTTCAAGAATGAGAGCATTCGGGGACTTTTACAGCAAAGTTCCTGTGGTAGTAGCTTAAAGAGGCGACTAGCAAGGCTCAGAAAGGAAGCCGTGTACCCGAAACCCGCGATGTTGTGTTCATACAAGGTACCGGTAAACCATATTTCGGGGGGTTGCCCCCTCCCAAGTACGTTTTCGCTGGCCGTGCCACATAAGACAGTGCCGTCCACTTCTCTTTTCTGCAACATTGCGCGCTTGCCTGATTGAGGCTGGAGACGGCGTCCCTCAGCCGTTGCCAGCTAACCGGCGTCCTCCCTCGACCCGAACTGCTATCACCTCCAGCAGCAGCAGCGTTGTCACCCCCGGAAGCAGTATTGCTGCTGCTGCTGCTGCTGCTATCTGCCGCCGCATCCGTGCCTTCTGCTTCTCCTTCCTCTTCCGAGTCCTGCTGTCCAGCCTGCTGCTGCTCCTGCTCCTTCACTCGCCCCTGCAGCCTCCGCTGTTGCACATCCAGCACGTCCTGCGACCTCGCCGCCTTGCGCCGCTCCTCTGTTAGCAGCTGACGTAACTGCCGTACCAGCAGCGTCGTACCGTGCAACGTCTTGAGCACATCCGGCGTCAGCTCAGCCGCGAGCCTCTTACCGAACAGAGTGAGATTGCCCTTTTCCGCTTTCTTCGCTCTGCTTTGCTTTTCCGCTTCCCGCAGGGCCTGGGAGATGAAAATGACCGGCGGAAAAAAGAACACTGTGAGATGACGGGATGACGTGTGTCTTTCGCATGCTTTGGGAACCTGACACCATGCCGTACATTTAAAGCCGTAACGGTAACTACCGTAGCTCCTGACGTTCCCCCTTCCCATCGTGCACGTCCGTCCACGCCAACACACACCAACCCGACACGCACCCTCGACCCAGCCGCGACCCATCCTCATCACCTTACCTTGGGCACCGAGCCCACAAGTCGATTCCACTCCTTCACGACTTGCGAGTCATCTAGGAGATGTGAGCTGTGTTCCAGTCGAGCAATCCGATCTCGGCCCTGCCCCAAACCCAAGAGCCGGATTGAATCCACCACCACTCGCTTCAGGTGGTCTGCGTCAGTCAAGTCAGGAGCAGGCGTGCGGGTTCCCAGGTCGCAAACAAAAAGACAGTGAACGTGTTAGGGTTCACACAGGTCCAAAAGGAGTACAGGGATTGGTTGAGTTTGTCATGACGGACATAGCGGCAGGTTGACTGGATCGGCATAACTAGTTAACTACCGGTGTTCTATCGCTTGTGTTCTACCCAAGGCTGCACTACTCCCGTACCTTCCAACCCGGCAAGGGCGGCCATGGCCGTGTGGTACTTCTTGCCGGACGGACCGTCTGCTGACAGCTCTGAAACCGTCGCAGCTTCCTGTGAGGGTGTAGCGAGGAGGGTTGGCGTTGTGTTACATGGTGGGGGTGTGATATGATGCGATGATACATGGTTGGGGGGGCCTAGCGTAAGCGTTGCATTGGGCAGTGAAGGGGGTTGGTGTGCAACACCTGGGTGCATGTGGGTAGGACTGCAAAGCGAGAGAGATGGTTAGGGAGCGTTTCAGGAGCCTACTGGGGGTTGGGAAGACCCACGGGTCACAAACCGGTACCTCATGCGGATATAGTCAGCATTCACCACTTTCCTCACCTCGCATAACCGCACGACTTCTTCGGCTTCAATCGCGATGGCCTCTCGAAGCTTCGTCGCCACAACCTGCGAGCATCACGCCAAACAGAATACGTACTTCAATCGCACCTTATGAGGGGAACTAAAACAACGGCGCGCGACACGAAGTTCCCATTGCTCGCGTGCTGGCTAACTATCCAACAGAACGAACCGCCACGATACGATGCGCCGCATTTCCTTGCACACGGCAACCCCAATCATTTATTCCTCTCAACATGCACGCATGCAGACAGGCTACCTTGTGACCCACGGGTCACAGCAACCCCATTCTTTCCATACACGGCAACCTGCCTTTTGCGGCACTCTCCGCTCCTTACCGGGAACAGCTCGGTGCCCTGCTGCAGCAGCTGCTCCACCTCCGCCACCGCAGCCTCGTCCAGCTGCGTCCTGGCGCGCCTCAGCTCCCGAGCAGCCCACCAGGAAGCCTGCAGGCGCCCGGCGGGGTTGGGAAACATGGTTTCCAGCGGGGTTGCCACACATTAACACACGCAAATGCCGCACAGCAGCAGACCGACAGAACCAATACAGTCAACAGACAGAACAGCAGTAGCTGAAGCCAATGTGACGGTCATTTATTCAGCCCCTGCTTGCGCACCGATTTGATGTCAACGAAGAACATCTTGATGTTGTTCAGCTGCACGCCCAGCTCGCGAGGAGATCTGTGGGGGATTCCACCGATTGGTTAAACATGATGCAGCTGCTTTTAAAGGAAGGCAGCTTGGAAACGCACCTCACCCTTATAATCGTACAGACACGGGCATGTGAAGCTGCGGACCGTATTGCAGTACGTATGGCGCCGTACAGCGCACATCGCTACACATAACGCATACGTATACTTCCATGCCCCTCCACGGCACCGGCACACTCCCAATCCAAGCACCCTGCATTACCCTGACGCAAAGAGGACAAACCCCAATTAACGTATACTGCACCAGCGTGAAACCTACTTGCTGTACGTTTCTTGCAAGTGGCTCTCCAGGACTTTGGCGGCGTCTTCCTCCCCAATGCGGCGCTCCTCCCAGAGCTTGGAAAACAGCAGCAGCACGTCCCTCCGAGTGACCTGTGCAGCATGCAAGCGGTCAAGCACTCAACCCGACCCCAGCATTAAATTACCAGTACCCCTGTTACGGCACCCTCGTACGGCGGGTTCCCACCTTGGGTTCCGGCATGTCGCTGCTCCCTCCCTCGACTGCCAGACCCGCCTGCAGCACCAGCGGGTGCCGGCTGAGCGGCCCTAGCAGCAGGTCGTTGTAGTGCAGCAGCCTCTCCGTGGCCGCCTCCGCAGCCGCCTCGCCTAGCCGGGACTGGAAGCTCTGGGAAGGGGAAGGCAGGGAAGGGCGGGGAGATGCAGGTGGGAGGCAGGGAGGTGGGAGGCAGGTGGCAGAGCGGGCAGGGTTTGCACGGTCAGGATGCGGGAGGGCCCCATCTGCTTCCTTTGCCGCAGATAGCCCGGTGTCGCCCAGCCGCTTTCCCAGCCCCGCTCCCAGCCCCCCACCGCCAGACACTTACCCGCTCCTGCTGCATGACAAACTCCGCGAGGTCATGCAGCGTGAGAATGCCCAAGCTGGCTGCCAGGTAGGTTTCGATGTCGGCGTGAACGCGCTGCTCACGGTGCAGGTAAGCGGATGCGTAAGCGCTGCGTTGCTGCTTAGCCAAGGCCAGCAGAAACGTCGGCGAGGTAACTCCAGGCAGGTTCTGGAGAACTGGCCACGCCTGTATGGAGGTAGGAGGCGGCTCAAGCGGCTTACTGGAAGCTCTTGGGCCGGGGAACGGGTTGGATGGAGACATGGATGGATGGCTTGTCGGTTGGTTGGCGCCTTGCATTGTCGGGTTTGTCAGCAATGCTGTACACCCAATAATGTAAAGTGTGCGTTGGATGGGGTTTCAAGAGCATGCTTTAGGCTGCCCACCTGCTCCATCGCCTGCAGGAATCCCGCGTACATGCCCTTGCCGTGTAACTCCTGTCGAGCGGCTTTCAACGCCTCTTCGGCGGCCTGGACCAGCTCTGGTGTTAAGCGCGGTGGAGGTGCAGGTTGTGGTGGGCCCCACGAACCTCGCTGTCGACCGTTAGGCACGTTGGGCTCAGGGACGGGCGAGCGATAGCCCCTGCCTGCCCTCGCATTGCCTCTTCCATAACCGCATAGCACCAAAGTCCGTTTAAGTATAACACCTGGTAAGCGCGTTCGAGGTGGTGCTGCAAGCAGCCCCGACTGGCCGGGTACATGCTCACCAAATCGGAGCCTGACCCTGCCAGATGCCATAAGGCTAGTCATGATTTCAATTTTGCTTCGTAATCGCAACCATTTACAAAGTTTTTTAGTTTATGGCAAACTCACAATCCGGACTGCCTGTGACGTCTCGAGCGAGACTTTTGTGGTCGACGACAGTAAGAGAAGATCTTAACTCTTAACACGCTCTTCTGGGTAAACAATTACGTAAGATGCGCGTCGCTCGCGGCTGTTGTGTGAGGTCCGCCTGCGTTTACGACAGCTCGTCGTGCAAGCCCCTATCTAGCTATTCCGCAATTGCCAATCCTATTCGTGAACGTTGAACCTTGAGTAAAAAGAGTACATATTAAATCGGCCTTGTTGTTGGTCGAGTCATGCAGGCCTATCCAGGCTAGTAAATGCAGGCTACTGCTGGTTGCTTCCTACAAACTGCTACTGCAGTCATCATCACCTAACATCCACAAGAGCGCGACAGGCCCCTTGCTATATGAATACAGCCATATGTCCAGCTGCCAGCAAAAAAATGAGTCGCGAACAGACAGTTTGCACAGGCATGCCATGTCAGGATCTTGTATGGGATCCGTTGTGGAGGGTTATGTATGCATGCTGAATTAACCTTTGCCTCATCATGAGTGCATGACCTGTTGTAAAGCAACCCGCAGTCGTCAGCGTCGAGCAGCAAAGCCGAGACCGCTAATGGAAACCCCACAGAAAGCCTCAGCCAAGGGAAAGCTGGCCAGACGTGCCAAACACGGCGCCCTTCTACCGCACAGGGCCTTGCAAGCCTCGGACGCATGCAGCTTTCCCATGGTTACAGCCACATAACTGCGTCTGGCGCTAACGCCTATACAACTTCCTTTGCTCGCTTTGCACCTCTCCACATTCCATCCCCCCTCGCTCCCTTTCATTCACTGGTTCCATTCACAGGTTCCAGAACGCCAGCACCCCCTCAACCGTCTCGCCCCGCCGTAACACCGCAAACTCAAACTCCCCACACCGCCTCGCCTCCCTCGCCCACCAACCCGGCATGCACCCTGCGCCCTCCGCCCCTCCTCCCACGCCTCCCTCTTCCCTCTCTCCCGCCCCAGTCCCCTGCTCCTCCGCCCCTCCCACCTCCCCTCCCACCTCCCCTCCCACCTCCCCTCCCACCGCCCCTCCCACCTCCCGGCGAACCCCCCTGAAGCCCAAGACGGGTGGCGAGCAGCGGCTGTTGTACCGGGAGTACATGGACAGGCAGTAGGCGCCCACATCCGGCACCACCACCCAGTCACCTGGAGCCACAGGCGGCAGCGACACCGCCTCAGCCAGCCGGTCGCCCTGGAAACACAGCGGGCCCACGACGTCGGTGGGAGCCATGGCGCTGGGACCCGCATCCGCATCCGCTTCCCCTGCTGCTGTGGTAGCTGCTGCCGTTGACGATGGCAAAGGCAATGCGGTTGTTGATGATGGTGTTGACAATGCGGACCGTTCCGCTTGTTCGTGGGCGTCACCTTGCGGGTTCTGCTGCAGTTGTTGCTGTTGCGGCAGGCTGCATGGAGCAGCAGCCGCAGGGTCCGCATGCGGGTGCTTCAAGTGACCCATGGGTCCGCACAGCTCCACCCGCACCGGCCAGGTGTCCGGCAGGTAGACCGCTCGCACCAGGAGGTCGCCTCCGAGCCCCGAAACCACCACCCGCCGCCCGCCGCACTCCTTGACGTACTCCACTCGGCCTGCTGCGAAGGCGCTCTTAGCCACCAGACAGCGACCAAACTCCGTCACAAGTTGCGGCGGCGGCAGCGGCGGTAGGAGTGGCGGTTGCAGCAGTGGTGGCGGAGTGTTCACGTCGGCTTCGCCGTCATCAACGGCGCCGTTCGAGGCATTCCCAGCTCTACAGCAGACGGATTGTCCAGATGCGAATAGGTCGGGAAGGCGACGGCGCAGGAGCGTTACGTACCGCTCAAAGACGCTGCAACCCGCTTCCATCTCTCCTGCTGCCGCTGCTACTGCTGCTGCTCCTGTCCCTCCTGCTGATGCCGCCTCCGAAACCGGCTTCTGTCCTCCCTGTGCCTCTGCCACCACCGTCGCCAGCCCCTCTCTTGCCGCACCATCTGCCCCCAGCAGCCATCCCAGGTCATCGCTGCCGTACTGCACAGGCAGCCCACCGCCAATATCAAAAGCAAGCAGCCTTCGCCTTCCCGGTTGCTGCCGCTGCTGCTGCTGCTGCTGCCGCTGCTGCTGTCCCACAGCTACCTCGCTGAGGCTTTGGACGGAGGGCAGCCCATCTGCGACATCAGCAGCGTCCTCCTGCAGACTGCTGCTGCCGGCCCCATCGGCGTTGTTGGCAGAGCTGCTGAGGCTGCCACCACTGCCGCTGCTGCCGCTGCTGCAAGTCGCCTCAATCTCCTGCGCCAGCTCCCACACGCGCGCCACGCCCTCCACCGTCAACTCCAGCGGTACACCCTGTGTGCGGGTGTGTTTGTGGCAACACATGATGTTAACCGCACCGGCGGCTGATCCCTTCCCCACCAATTCCTTCCACCAATTCTTCTCCTCTCTCTCCCTCTTCCCCGCCTCTCCCTCCCTCCCTCCCACCCACCTGTGAGCCCACATGCAGGTGCAGTGCGTTGAGCCAGGGGTGGCGTGCGAACGCAGTCAGAACCTCGGAGCGCGCCTCCCCGAGCGGCACTCCGAACTTGGAGACGCGGCCGGCGGTGGAGAGGGCGGCGATGCGGCCCTCACCAACCTGGCGGTCAGGAATACCGGTAGGTTTGGATCAGGATCAGGATCAGGTGTTTGGAGTTGTGAAGTCAGGATCCAGGATGGGCAGAATCGGGAATAGGAGGGGCGAGGAACAGAGGCAGTGGGGAAAAGGCGGGCATGAAAGAGGTGTAGACGGGGCCCGTGGGAAGTTTGGGGTCCGCCACAGCTGTCGTACTTACCTGGGGATTGATGCGCAGCCCGATGATTCGCTCCGGCCCTCCCGCCGGCTCGGGCGGCAGCTCCCGAAGCAGCGCGGCCACTCGCTCCACCTCCTGAGGAGGAGGACAGCGCAGTAGAGGGAGAGGGCTTGGTGTGGGTTTCAGTGCCATCATGGGCGAAGCTGTTGACTACCGTAGCTGACAACCAACCCGGCGAACGGTGCCAACACGATCCAAGGCACACACGGCAGGGCAGGATGCAGGGAACGGTGATGCAGGGAAGAATCACGTCCCTGGTACGGCACGACGCTGGTGCCGTACCTGCATGTTATCCAGATTCAGCCGTACACCTGCAGGACAGAGACCGTGGTGACAATCGTATGGGCAAACGGTGAATCGTTGGTCGCTAGGTCTTTAAACTTACGAACCTACCTCCACAGCCACCGACTACCGGCCTAATTGAGCTGCTCACGGCTCAAACAACCCACTTAAGATCGGCTCGTAACTCACGGCCACTTTCCTTAACCCACCGGCTTGCAGCGCGAATCGCAGCTCCTGGACGGTCTTGATGGGCGAGTCAAACACCACGCGGTGGGGCGGGAAGCCGCATGCCAGAGCCTGGCGCAGCTCACCCAAGGAAGCGACCTAGCAGGGAGGCGTAGAGCCGCAGGGAGGCGTGGGTGGGTGCCGCATGGGTGACGAGAGAGAGAGAGAACGCTAGGAGTGCGGCGCTAGGAGGGAGGTTGGCGGTTGTGGGGCTCGCCAGGTAAGCCTCTCCTGTCAGCAATACCGGTAACCAAGGCTACCAGAACGCTGCGCTTGGTGTCAGAGCCTGCCAACGTGCGAAAGGATACGTACCTCCGCGCCCAGACCGGCATCGCGGATAATCTCCAAGAGACGGCCCACAGGGTTTGCTTTGACCGCGAAAGAGTGCAGCGTGTCGGGCGGGAAGGGAGCAGCCTGCGGGGAGCAGGCGGGGTGGGCGGAGGAGTTACTGGTTTGGAGCAAGGATGCTGTAGGCAGATATGCATAGCTTGTCAGAAATTCGTTTGCAGCTGGAAATATGTAAACCACGATAGCTAGGCATGGACATCCCACACATCGCGCGTCTACCGATACTCGCGCACCTTTAAAGCACGCAGCGTCGCTTGCAATATATCCAAGTCCAAAAGCATTGCTGTGGCTCCCTCATCTCCGTCTCCTCCAATAAGCCCAGCTTCAATGGCCGCTTGCAGAGCACCGCAACGCCGATCGCGAGGATGGGGCATGGTATTCTTCTCCACAGAACTTACACACACGTAATGGACGAACTCTACATGGGTTACATGGCAGGAATTGCCCCTCATCGGACAAGAGTACGGACGGCAGTTGGCTGCTACGACGACAAACTGCCGATGAGCAGATCATTAGACCCAAAACGGTTTCAAAGTGGTAGCGTCAACTGAAAGTTACACGATAGGCTGCGCCAGGACTGCCAACATGTCCTCTTTCACAACGCTGCAGTCGTTAGGGCCAGTTCGCGCAGGCCACGAGATCAATGTTCAACGTTTGCAAGCATACCTGCGAAATAGGCTACCTGAGTTGTTTGCAGGAGCTGGTTCCGAGGCGACCCTGCAGGTTCACCAGTTCAGCCATGGCCAGAGCAATCCGACTTTCTTGGTGTCACTTCCCTGGTCTGGCCAGAAGCTGGTGCTGCGCAAACAGCCACCTGGAAAGCTTCTGGCATCAGCGCACGCTGTGGATCGCGAGTATGCTGTCATGGCAGCACTGAAGCCCTTTGGCTTCCCGGTTCCCAAGGCGGTTCACCTTTGCACCACCACGGAGCCGTTAGGTACTCAGTTCTTCCTGATGGATTGCGCCGAGGGGCGCATTTTCCTCGACCCTAACCTGCCGGAGCTGCAGCCCCAGCAGCGCTCCGAAGTTTATCGTCACATGGCGCAGGCAAGTTTTACCTCCATTATGCGCTCAAAGTCTAAGCTCTAGCTTTTGACTCTATAGACTTCCCGGTATCACTATAGTTCGCTTTGCTGTTCCGGTCAAATTACCTGTATAATCGTAAACCTCCAGGTCTTGGCCTCGCTCCATTCCCTGGATCCAACTGCTCTGGGCCTGCGTCCCGGCTTCGGCAACCCGGACGCTTACTGCGCCCGGCAGCTACGTCGCTGGACCCAGCAGTACCATGCTTCCGTGCCGCAACCCAGCCCGCAGGTACGGCTACACCTTGTACCCAACAGCTATACCGGTAACCATCAGAAGTTCCTACCATCCCCCAAGCCGCTTTCCCATTTTTACCCCCACCCAACCCTACTCTTTCCTCAGTAATCCGTCATCCCCGTACCATCCCGCATCCTTCCTGCATGCGCTTTCCTTCCTAACCCCAACCCCCCTCACGTCCGGGCCCACCTACCTCAGGTGCTGCGGCTCATTGCCTGGCTGGGCGACCACGTGCCCCCCTGCGATGCCCGCCCGCCCCGTCCCGCTGTCGTACACGGGGACTACCGCCTGGACAACATCGTATTCGCAACCGCTGCTGACGTGGAGGCCCGCCCGGCAGCTGCAAGCGCAACTGTGTCGTACAATCCGCTTGCCGTACTAGACTGGGAGCTTAGCACGCTGGGGAACCCCTGGGCGGATGTGAGTGGGGGACGTGCTCACATGCATGCATGCCTGCATGCATGCATGATATGTGTGCGAGATGGGCGGCACGGGTTAAGGAGGAGGGGGATTATTACAGGCAGGCAGGCGGCCCTGCCAGAACACAGTCTCTTAGTCTGCTTGCTCTCAGACGTCAGGCCCACGAGCTGAGCCGGGGGGCGGTAGCACACCAGGCGGGAGCTGTCTGCGGGGAAGAAACCCCTTTTTCCTAACCTTGCGGCATACCGGTAACACGTTACGCGTTCCTGGATAACCCAATCCTCCTCCACTCTACCCGGGTCCTTCCCCAGGTCGCCTACAACTGCCTGCCGTACCATCTGCCGCCCAACCTAACCGCCATCCAGCGCCTCCGCCGCTCACCCACCCTGCCGGCCGGCATCCCCAGCGAACGCGAGTACCTCTCCTGGTACTGCGCCGCCGCCGGCGTGCAGCCCCCGTCGCCCGCCGACTGGGCCTTCTACCTGGCACTCAGCCTCTTCCGCCTGCTCGCCATCCTGGCGGGCGTGCAGGCGCGCGCAAGGCAGGGCAACGCCTCCTCCGCCAACGCCCTGCGCGTGGCGTCGGATGAGGTCCTAGCAGCGCTGGCGGAGGCGGCGCTGGGCATCATTGCCGCGGCGGAGGCGGCGGAGCCGCCTCCGCCGCCGAAGGCGGCGGCAGCTGCGCCGCCGCCAGCCGCCGGCGATGACACGGCGCTGTTGGGTGTGAGTGCGCGTGCCGGGGCTCTGCGGGCGCGGCTGTCGGCCTTCATGCAGGAGCATGTGTACCCCGCTGAGGAGGTGCTGGAGGCGCACGCGATGGGGCCGCTGGAGAGCCGCTGGAGCATCCACCCGCTCATGGAGGAGCTCAAGCGCAAGGCGAAGCAGGTGTGTGGGGGCAGGGCAGGGGAGGCAGGCTTGGGAGGCTTGGGAGTGGGTTTGGAAGCGGGGCTGGGGATTGCTGTGCGGGAGGAAGATGGCTCGGATTCTTGGTTGTTTGCTATAGACTGCTCGCACGATAGCTACTTACCTCTTTCCTCATCACAGCCCAATATTCCAGCATTTATCTGCCTGTCCCATCTTCTCGTAGGCTGGCCTATGGAACCTATGGCTGCCGGCTCCCTTGGCCGCCCGCCTAGAGTGGCTTCGCGAGCACCTGCTGCAAAGCGGTGGCGAATGCCCGGGTGGCGACCCACGGGTCGGCGACCCCGCCTCCCTGGACGCCGGCGTGCTGCTGGGCTCGGGGCTGACCAACCTGGAGTACGCACACCTGTGCGAGCTGATGGGGCGCAGCGCCTGGGCGCCCGAGGTCTTCAACTGCTCCGCTCCGGATACGGGTAAGGACACGGGGACTTCGGGAGCTTGGGAGGGCAACATGAGCACGTTTGCTGCCCGTGTTCTGGCCTTATGTGTTATGTGTTATGTCTAAGCATGGGCGGTATACCCCGTCTTGCTGCTTATTCCACGTTCCCCCTGAGCCACACGCGTGTATGCATTGTCGTGAATCCTCACTCCCTCTACCGTTCACACGATTGATTCACCGGTACCAACGCTTCCCCCCCCCCCTCGTCAGGCAACATGGAGGTCCTAGCCAAGTACGGCAGTCGCGAGCAGCAGCTGACGTGGCTGCTGCCGCTGCTGCGGGGGCGCATCCGCTCCTGCTTCGCCATGACCGAGAAGGCGGTGGCCTCCTCGGACGCGACCAACATCACCGCAAGCATCACACGCAGCGCCTGCGGGGGCAGCTACGAGCTGAGCGGTGTCAAGTGGTGGACCAGCGGCGCTATGGACCCGCGCTGCAAGGTGAGGTTGGGCCTGGGACCGGGGCTGAGGCTGGCGCCTAGGTTGTGTGTTGTGCATGAGGAAGATGCCTCCCACGATCTGGGCTTTGCGTCCGCATTCTGTCCGCAAACAGGCGGCCATCATAGTCACACTGTCTGCTTGTTTGAAGACGTGCCGCTTACTCCCCAACACTCAGGCAGCCTTCTACTCATCATGAGCTGCTTACCGGTTTCCTTAACACGTGCTGCTGCTGCTGCCCCTGCTGCTGCTCCCCCTGCCGCTTCTGCCCCTGCCCCTGCTCCCTCTGCTGCTGCTGCTCCCCTTGCTGCTGCTCCCCCTGCTGCCGCAGGTGGCGATCTTCATGGGCAAGACTGACCCACGGGCCGCCACCCACAAGCAGCAGTCCATGGTGCTGGTGCCCATGGATGCGGCCGGCGTGCGGGTGGTGCGGCCCATGCTGGTGTTCGGGTACGATGACGCGCCGCATGGACACGCGGAGGGTGAGTGCGGGGGCATGCATGCATGCGCCATCCAGGGCTTAGCGTCCCACCTGTGTGCTCCACATCTGCTTGGGTACCTGCCGTGCACCCCCCAGCCCTCCCGTTAACAGCCCCGCATGCACCTCTTTCCCCGGCCCCCTTGTTTCGTGACAAACTGCTTCCCTCTATCTATCAATCTATCTATCTATTGCTTTGCCCTAAACCATGGTTTTGTATCTCTCATCCCTCCCCCTCACCCCACATCTCACATCCACTTCAGTGCACTTCACCTCGGTGACCGTCCCCGCCGCCAACCTCATTCTGGGCGAGGGCCGCGGCTTCGAGATCGCCCAGGGCCGACTGGGTCCGGGTCGGCTGCACCACTGCATGCGGCTGGTGGGGGCGGCGGAGCGCGCCATGGGCCTCATGACGCGGCGCGCACAGGAGCGGCGTGTGTTTGGGGGGCCCCTGGCGGCACAGGGCGCCTTCCGGGCTCAGCTGGCGGAGTGCAGGTGGGATGACAGGACGAGCTGATGGCGTGTGATGGGTGGGAAGGAGCCTTGACATGGCAGAGCGTATGACTTGACCGTAAGGCGCGCGTGTAACGTGTAACCTTCCGCAGCAAGCCTGACCGTATCGGTTACGGTACCGTACCGTACCGTACCTCCGCCGCACCCTTTTACCATTCACAGCTTTCTTTCCACAACTACTCATCAGATCTAATTTGACCTACCTATTCCTGCCCCTGTTTTCCTCCCGCCCCGCCCCGCCCCGCCCCTTCTGCAGGATCCAGCTGGACTCTGCTCGGTTGCTGGTGCTCGCAGCGGCTGACAGTCTGGACCGGCGGGGCTTCAAGGGCGCAGCGGGAGCCATCGCGGCTGCCAAGGTGGCAGCGCCCAACGCAGCGCTGAGGGTCATCGATGCCGCCATCCAGGTGGGATTGAGATTGGGTTTGGGGGTAATTGCAGCGGGGTTATGGTTTGGGCGCTACAATGGTCGGCCTTGCTGTTATGTGCTGTGAATGTTGAGGGCGTGAGAGGCCATTGGGGCTCTGCTTTATATGAGACACTGTGTGGCCCCGTAGGAAGGGGGATTAAGGGCATTTTGACAGTCACGGAGAAAACCTGCCCTGCCCTGACTTGGATGTGTGTGTTCCGGCATTTTCAGTTCCTACTCGCCTCCTTTAATATCGCTGCGCCCTTGCGCCCTTGTGCCTTCAACGTTCCCCCTTCCTGACATACGGAAGGCCCACGGCGGCGCCGGAGTAAGCCAGGACTTTGTGCTGGCGCGGCTGTGGGTGGGCGCACGTACGCTGCGCATCGCAGACGGCCCGGACGAGGTGCACCTGGCCACCATTGCGAAGCTGGAGCTGGGACGGGAGGAGAGGGCACGGCAGCAGCAGGGGAGAGAGCGGGCGGAGGGCTTGGGACTGGGGTTGCAGGCCAAGCTTTGATGAGCGGCACGTAAGGGGGCGGGTGGTCGGGTCACATTTGCAGCGGCAGTGGTCGGCCGGCATTTAGTGCTTTACAATAGCCAGGGTCTGGCGAGGTGCCTTTGTCTTCAGACGGGAAAGGGTGAATTTGGTTTGGTATTGAAGGTGGCGGAGTGGCAACTGCCTTTTGTGGAAGGCAGCGGCCTTACTTGCCAACGGTATCGCATGCGCCTTGCTGCAGTGAAATAGCATGGCTTGAACTGTCCGAGGGGCTAGAGAGTAGCGACCCATGGTTCACGAAGGGAAACTGCAAGGGCGTTCGCATGATCTGTTCCCTCCGGATGCTGAGCCACATATCAGAATACCGGTACATACTAAGCAAGGAAGCATGGTGTGAATGTCGGATGTGCGGAGCCGTGGGGAGGAAAGGCTTGGGCTGCAAGGCTTGTCGGCTGGCGGGGTCGGGCCGGTCGGGGCAATGCTCCGCCTGCTGTGGTGATGTTCCGGGGATGTGCGAACAATTGCAACAGGTTCAAGAACTATAACTTTGTGAAACGACATTGGAACCCTGTCATGCACCGTTACCGGCATGTGCACCTCATCGGCAGGTGTGTATACGGTTCTGCATATGGCCGGCTGGAGCTGTAGCTTTGTTGCTCCGGGTGTGGTTCTCTATAAAAACGCCATGCAAGCAAAAGCACCCTGACTGTCGCAGCCCGTGCGATAGCGCCTAGAATTAGGTCGCATCTTTCTAAGCCTATATGCTCCAAGCCTATAACGTCTTGTGTGGGAACCCGCCATCCGCAAACCGTCCGGCAGCGGCCTGTTGACCGGCTCCACATGGCGCCCGTGACGGTGCAGTAGGGGCTGCTGGCGCACATGGGAAAGGATAGCAACTGAGGAGGATGGGGACGGCCGGCCCAGCACTTCAATTGGTACGTTTGTAGGCTCGAGGAGGGTGCCACGTGTGCACAACGCAACTCTTAAGGACAAACATTCGCAGCAGTGACCCATGGGTCAGGAAATTCCAGCTGGCGTAGATTTGGGCGGCTTGTGGATGGCCACACGTCTTCACGTTGCGCAGCGGCACCTCCCGCAACCCCTTGGTTGCCTTCCCCTCGAATGCGCTCACTGCATGAGTCGGGATTCGGGATTGGGATTGCGTTGTTGCACTTATTTATAATTTTCCCCTCGACCCTGTGTCGAGTCCTTGACGCAGCAGTAGTCAAAACAGCATGGCACAAGGTTAAATGATAGCATAAAGCAATGCTATATTTCTGCAAACTGGAGAACAGTGCCTGTGACGCCCCCTTTTTAGCCCTACTAGGGTAACCTAGAAACCCAACAGACTCCAACAAAAAATTTCTGGAAGCACTGGAAGCACACCTGCAACACGGGGACCCCAGCCTTGCTTCCCAGACCACCAGACCCAGGGGAACGCTCGAGCCAAGCTGTTTCTTTCTGCTGCCATACCCAACTCTCGTACTGGCAGTCCTCTGTCAATGTACCTCTGTCCTGCGCAAACCAACCACAAGCAGCGACTACCCGCTCTTACTGTACCCTCTCTACGCTCGCTACCACCATCACAACTGGACCTTTCCGAGGCATGCCATGCCTCCAAGAAAGCTATATATGCTGAAACGCAACCAGCGGTCAGTGCTGTGAAAAACAATACATGCATCAGAACTGTGTACGCGCGCGCGTTAGGTTAGGGAGTGAAGGACACGTACGGCAACATTAAAGCATGAAACAAGGGACGAACAAGAAGGGCATGGATGGAATGTGTTCAGAAGTTCATGGGGGGAAGCCATAGCCACTAGCCATTGTGGGCAAAAGCTACAACGCGGTACGACAGCTAACCACAGTACAGCTGACCCGACGGGACAAAACACACACGCACCGCATTGTAGTTATCCTGTACCACTGCCACATGTGCAAGTAAATAGTAAATGAGTCACAACCGGCTGCTTGTGCAGTATCTTTATCTAGGTACCGTATACCACTCATTTCTCTTCAGTATTAGAAATGCACATGTGCTTACTTCAGATGCAGTCCAAAAGGATATGCGTCATCTCTTACAACAGGAGCACAGAGCAGAGTCACACCTGAACACCTCTTCTCCGTTTGCTTGCAACGGTTGCAAGGTCTCGATCGTTCCTCCACGCCAACTTGCATCGCCGTCTCACTCCGCAGCTTTTCCTCCCTTCCTGCCGCCCTCCCTCCCGCACCGCTGCCATCTTTCCACTATGCGCGGCGCGGGAATGCGTAAAAGCCACGCCCAATCATCCTTGCTTACTGCACATGTTTCCTTTTCCTCGCCACATCAACCCCGTCCGCTGGCCAACAACAACCTTTCGCACAGGCACGCCCCGCCGTGAGGTCCCTGCTGACCCCGCCCCGCCCCGCATGCGCTGCTTCCATGCATCTCTTACAGGTGCGTGGCCCCCTGCCGTACGGGTGCCCCCTGCCGTACGGGTGACCCCTGCCGTACCTCAAGTGGCTCCCTCCCAGGTGCCCCTCCCAGGCGCCTCCCCGCGGCCTCCCTCGTTATCCGTCATCATGCATCTTGAAGTCGATGTTCATAGCTGCTAGGATCTGGGGTTGGTGGGGAGGTGTATGCATGCGGCAAGAAGGGAAGAAGTGGAGGTAAGGGGCCAGGGCCAGGGGCAGGATATGGAACGGGGGCACAGCGCATCGAACTGGGGAACTGCATCCCTCATCTAGGCCCTATTCCTCTACCCAAGTCCCTCAGGCATGTACTCACGCCAACCAGACGCAAGCAGGCCGCCGCACCTTGAGCACTTCTCACCACCACCACCACCATTAACAGCCCACAACAGCCCAGCCTCACCGCACCTTGATCCAAGCCACCAGCAGCGGCGTCATGAAAAGCGTGCCCAGGATGTTGGTCAACGACACCAGCTCCACCCCCCTGCCGTACTGTACTGCAAGTACGAAGGACACGGCGGCGGCGGGCGACAGCGTGAGCAGCGTCAGCGCCGCCACGTGCTGCCCGTCCAGGCGCACCAGCAGGCCGCAGCCCAGCATCAGCAGCGGCAGCAGCCCGGCCTTGAGCAGCAGCAGGACCACCAGCTGTGAACGTGAGGGGCAGGGAGGGGGCCGAAAAGTAATAAAATGAGGAGATGCAGCAACTGGAGTAGGGATGGGGAGGGCGGGATGTGCGAGTAGTAAGGATGTGTACTGCGGCGGTCAAGAGCTCATGCAACATGTGTGCAGTACAGAGACGGGACCGACAACGCATGCAAGGGAGAAAGGCTCGAGAGAGAGCAGGAGGGGTGGCAGGGTGTGTAGAACTGGGCACGGTATGGCATCACGGTACCTGGGTTATACGCTTATACCTAAGTAAAGTTCCTGAAACGACCCATCCTTCAACGTGGATTTGTTCCTGCTCTGCTGACCCGCTGCTGCCCCCCTCCCACGCCCCCAACTGCGCCCCAACCCTACCTTGCGCTCCTCCCCTCGGGGCAGCCAACGCTTGCCGTACAACTGCGGCCAGCCGGGTACGACAGATGCAGCAAGCAGCACCGTGAGGTTAGTAGCTGGTACTAGGTGTGGTTACGTTGCGGTTACGTTATTGCTTACCGGTATTGGGACATAGTCAGGCGATGGCTCCGTTTCGGGGACAGAATCAGTCGGGGCTCCGTTACAGGGAAAGGCAAGTGGGGTTCCGCCATGGGAAAGACAGACGGGGTCTCCTGTTGCCGCCTCCTTCAACCGCATGCACCTCATCACCACACCCCTTGGCCTCATCACCACACCCTCCGTTTCCAACCCCGTTCCCCCCACCCTCACCACCACGCCCCTGTGCTCACCCACACCCCGTTTGCGAATATGGACAGCGGCACCACCAGTCCGTTGATCCAGGCCAGCACCCCCGCCACCCAGCCCAGCTCGGGGCGGAAGTGCGGCGAGGCGGGGTCCAGGAAGCGCCGCAGCCCGGTGACGGAGACGGCCATTGCGATGAACATGGTCCAGATCATGGGGTTCTGTGATGGGGTGCGTAATGGGGTGGGGCCGTCGGGGCGTGTTGGGGTTGGGGCGTGGGGGAGTGGTGGGGTGGGGGCGTGGGGTCATGCCGGGGAGGGAGGTTCCTTCCTTTCCTACCTTTGCCAGAATGGCCAGTATGTGCCACAGCTGCGGGTGGCCCCGCACGAAGGCCCGGAAGGCGCCCGCCAGCCCCCCGTGCCGCCGCAGCGCCTCCGCGGTGGCCGCTCGCACCAGCTGCCGTTCCGCCTCGTCAGCGTCGCCACCGCCGTCGCCGACGGCAGCGGCATCAAGCTGGGCGGTGGCGGCGGTGGTGAGGCGGAGCAGGGCGCTGCGAGCGTCGGCGCTGGACTGACGGGAGACGGAGGAGGGCGGGAGGAGAGCGGTTCAGGAAAGGGCAGATGATGCGGAAGAAGGGCATGTCATTTGGCTTCTGATCTTGTCAACGGGCAGGTAAAGACCATGTTGGAGCATGGGCGACATAGTACGTGCACCTACCTTTCCCTCCCATCCATTTTCAAACGGTTGCAGACCCGACGCTAGCATCAACAGCAACCTATCGTCCCGCTGCTCCGTCTCCGTCTCCGACGCCACGCCACCGCCTCGGCCGCTAGTGGCCCCTCCGCCACCGCCGCCGCCGCGCCGCCACCGCCGGCCCAGCCCGCCTCCCTCCGAAACCAGCGATGCCAGCGCGGTCCAACGCCGCCGCTGGCGAGGTACGGAATCCAAGCGGCGGACCGCTCCGTACGACGTCGCTGGCGTCAGCGCAATCTCTCCGCCGGCACCGCCGCCGCCGCCGCCGGCGGCTGTACGGCAGCTGTAGATGGGTGTGCTGGTACTCGCCAGGCGGCCCGCCGCAGGAGGCAAGGATGGGCGGCGCGTGGCGGCGGCACCGGCAACGATATCGGCGGCGGTATCGGCGGCCGGAGGGGGGAAGGCAGCGGGAATAGCTAAGGGGGCAGCGGCGGCTGCCGAAGAGGCTGACGGCCCCCCGGCGGGTGTGGTGCCGCCAGCTGCAAGGGCGCCGGCGGCGGAGGCTGTGGCGAACGGCGACGCCGCCGTCAAGCGGCCCAGCGGCGCGACGGCTGGCGGAGCCGACAGCGGCCCTGCCGTCGCTGTGACGGCGGCGGTGGGCGCGCCCACGACCTCGCCTGCTGGCAGATCTGCTGCTGTTGACGGCGGCGCCGCCGCCAGCGCGGCGGAAGGGCTGGCAGGCTGCTGGGGCCCGCTGCCAGCACCGCCGGCGGCGGCGGCAAGCAGCATGCGTCGGAGGCCGGGGTCAGGGCTGGCGGCGGCGGCGGTGGCGGCTGACGCAGCAGCCGAGAAGCCCCGGCTCATCCGGGCTAGCTGCTTGGCCGTGCCTCCTGAGAGCTGGTGAGTGAGGGCAAACTCCAGACCCTGGAAGGGGTTGAAAAGAGCATGGGTCAATGGTGACGGTAAGGGATGCAAGGATGGGCTCAGCAAACGGCCATGAGATAAGGTAGGAAATGGCAGGCAGGGTTCGAACGCGCAACATGAGGGATGTATGGCGCGCCGTGTTTTGTTCCCTGACGGCAGTTTATACGGGATCGAACAACCCTAAAGACTTGCTAAACACACTTGCTGCTCCACCTGATGCACCTCTCATGCGTCCCAGCATGCTCTGGATCAACGCTTACCTGCATGCTAACAGGCTTCTCGCCCCCACGAGGTGTCGTACCCATGCCTCCGCCATTGCTAATGCGGCCCCCAGCAGACACTCCGGGGATCCCGCCTGCCATCTGCGTCCCTCCCGCAGGCCCAGACGACTCCCCGAATAACCCCGGCGGAAGCGCGCCGGAACCCGCCAGCGCTAACCGCTCAAATATGGATGCCGTACGATTAGCGGTTAGCGCCTCGCCCGCTGCTGCGTTTACCCCTGACACTCGGCTAAGGCCCGACGGTAGGATACCGTTGGCGGCGGCAGCTGAACCGGCGCGAGACAGCGGACCGGCGCCAACCGTATACGGTCGCCTTACGACTGTGGGTGACGAGGGTTGTTGCGGCGGCAAGGGCCGGAGTGGCCGCGGGATTGCTGACGGCGCTGACGGCGCCGCAAGCGACGGCGGCGGGCGGGGTGATGGCGGAACGGCAGCTGCTTCGGGCCAAGCAGCAACGGCAGAGGCTTGAAATGGGGAGATCACTGCGCCGGGGCCAGATGAGGGGGCACCGTCGGCGGCGGCCCCGGTTTCGGGTGGTGGCGCTGATGCCGACGCCGGCGCTGCTTCTTGCTGTAACAGCAGCGGCGATGGCACGTGTGTGCCCCGCAACTCCTGCTCCGGCGGCGGCGGCGGCGGCTGCGATGGCGGCGGCCGCTGGCGATGCCATGCCAGCCATGGCTGCCGCTGCGGCGACGGAAGCTGCGGCGACGGAAGCTGCGGCGACGGAAGCTGCGGCTGTTGGATTGACGACGCTTGCGGCGGCAGCGGCGGCGGCGGAAGCATCAACTCATCATCCACGGTGTTACCCCCGCCGCCGCCGCCAGCCCCGCCCCGACCTGACGCCGTAGGGACATGTGGGCCCTTCTTCAACGGCTGGTAGTCCGCGTTGCTCCACCAGCAATAGCGGTACTGGTGGGGGAAGCCATCCGCGCCGCCGCCGCCGTCACCCTCGCTCCCTTCCTCCGCCACTGCAGACATACCCACCGCCGGCGCCGCCGGCTCACCCGGACCCTGCCGCTGAGCAGTGTCGTACGACTGTGGAGCCGTCGTACCACCTCCGCTGCCTCCGCCTCCGCCGCCACCACCATCGCCGCCGCCGTCGCCAACGTCGGCGTCTTGTCTTTGTAGCTGCGTGCCGTCGTCCGAGCTCAAAGACGCTGAAGGCAGCCCTGGCGGCGCCGGCGGTAGCGCCGCGGACGACGGCGGCGGAGGTCCGTTGGGTTTATCCGTCGTGCCGTCAGCCGCCTCCGCCGCCTCCGCCGCCTCCGCCTCCGCCGCTGCCTTGGTCGCCGCCTCGACGTCTAGGGCCGCCGCCGCCGCCGTACATTCCACGAGCTGCTGTACGGCCCACTTCTCCCACTCGAACGCGGTGAGGGAGAAGGGGAAGATAGTCAGGAAGAAGCCCATCGACTGGGGGACAGCGGGGTGAAGACGGCAGCAGCAGCAGCAGCAGTAGTAAGAAAGCGTTGCGACGGGACGCGAAGAGGAATGCTGGAAGCTGGTGGATAAGACTGACAAGACGAGCAATCCAAGTACCCAACCCAACCGCTGCGCCCCTCACCCCGCACCATGCCGCTCCTATCCCCATTGTCTTGGCCCAACATGCGGTTTCCTAGGGTTCGGTCCTATGGCCCCTTTCTCTGACCCCTCCCCGCCGCACCATGAGCAGCGCCAGCGTGCCCCACTTGGTGCCAAGTGTGGCGTTCAGCGCCAGTAGCCCCACAATACCGAAGTTGTCCATTAGCAGAACCTGGGGGTGGGGCGGCAGGGGGGCGAGGGGCAGCACGAGCGAGGAGAAGCAGGGGGCGGGGGCCGGGGGGTAAGGGACAGGGGCAGGAGGCAGGAGGGGGAGGAGTAAAGGATTGTGGCAGTTCGTGGCAAAGCTCAGCGACAGCCGGGGTGGTTGGGGCCAGGGGCGGTGAGGAGGTAATCCATTCCTGGAAGGCTAGGACCCATCCCGCCCTGGCCACATCCGCCCCACCATGTTGATCACCGCCGCCTCTCCCGCATCGCCTCCGCTCAGCCACCACGTATACAGCAGTATGGCTGCTTGCGTGGTAGCCACCCATAGCAGGAAGGCGGCAAGCGACCTGCGGGGAGAAGGGGAGTGGGAAGGGATTGGTGGGGCGCAGGAGAGGGAGGAGAGCTGAAGAGCTATTCCGATCACCAATCACAGATGGCAAGGCGTAAGCTATCTGAAAAGGCTGAAATAACCAGCACCGTCCCGATTTCTGTTGCAGTAGTGCTATTCGCAAGCCGATGCATTCCCATCGCATCCGACAGCTCCAGAAGCGCAGGGCGCCGACTTACTTCCAGGGCTCAGCATTTTGTAGATCAAGCTTAATACCCATAAGGTACAAATTGAATGCGGGAAGGGCAAGAAGCAGGACGATGAAGTTCGATTGGGGCAAGAATTTGGCCTGTTCCAGCAACTTGAATTTTGCGAACAGCCAGCCAAGAGCCATGAGCCCCAACACTTGAACGCCTACGGGTTTAGGACGGATGGAAGTAGAAATGAGCCAAGTTAGGCGGCTCTGAGGAAGTGGAAGCGCCGGCGAGCCCTGGTCGGCGGAATTGCAGAGATGACTCGGTCACTGAGCAAGAATGGTTTATTGTATTCAACTTCAAGGGCAGCATGAGGTTGCTGCAAAGCTTTGATGGATGGCGAATGAGGGGATGGGTCGATGGCCTGAAGAGAACATCGGGTAGGAGGCTGAAAAGGCTTACCGACATTTGTCACCGCCTGATAGATCCACATTATTTGGTGGAGCGACCAATACGCCTTAGTTTCCGGGCGCTAAGCGTAATTGTTGCAACTTCTAGCATACAAGCAACCAATTGCCACTCGAACGAAGACGTCTGATTTTGGCCGTAAATAAGCATACATTGTTACTAATAGGTAACTGCATTACCGCACAAGACGCTTTGTAACCTTCGCAGTACGGTCTGCGATGTACTGCAAGCTACGAGCGCGCGCATATCAACGCCGACCGGCCCCTGTCATCCATATGCATAAGCTTGATCGATTTGCAGTGCGCTGCTAATGGTTTGGATCTTCAAGATGCACGGAAACCTGGTCTACCTGCACCCACATGGGCACAGCTTTACATCGCGTTACCAGGTGTAAGCCGCTCAGGAGCCAGAACTGAACGCCAGCAGTTCAGGTGGCGATGCCAGGTCAGGAAAGGAGGTACGGGGTCCACCTGCCAGAGGGTCGTGCAGTTTCGTGGTATGGGGTAGCTGCGAAAGTGCGAGATACCTGAGAGTGCGCCCAAATGCAAGGGCATCTTCGCATTCCAGCATTTCAGGCGGCCATGTTTCGCGTCCCCACTTTGCTGTATCCACGCACGACACTAACTTGCATTGGGTTAAGTGCCGGTAGCTACCCGGGTGTTAAGTAATCGACGTCGCTACGGCTCCATGGTGCTTCACCGCACCCCCTTCTAGGCCACGCAGGCCGCATTGTCCACTCACGATGTAGGCTCATGTCACACGCCTGCAGGTATCCCAACACAACGTCTCCGGACCTCTCAAATACCCTCAACATTTCCTGACACCACTCTTCAGGACTCCTCTGCAGAACCGGACCACCCCGCTCTCATCATCCAGAGTAAACCCGGGACTGCCGACCCATGGTGACCCGTGGGTCACTCAATTGCATGAGCACCAGTTACAGTTATACTCTGTACACACCATGCATGGCTGGCCGAGCGTACCTAGCATCCGAACTAAGTATAACTGCCTGCGGGTCTTGCCTATACACGCAAACCGGTAGTGTCAAGTCATTCAAGCAACTGCACCCGCCCCTCACTCTGCACTCGTACACCATCCGGCATGCACCTTGTATAACAATCAAACCATGCCCCGACCCATGGGTCTTCAGACGAGCCGCAGCGCTAACCCGCAGCTCCTGAGCAGTGCATTAACATCAGACCAGCTAAAGATGCAGCCAGCCTTCACTCCCCAGAACCTACTGAACTTACTACTACACCCTCAGCGCTCCCATGCATCGTGTGCACTTCCACGCATTCTTTTCATCCACAACACTTCCATCCCTGCACCTCCCTGGAGCCCTCCTACATCCTTAACACGACCCGGCGCCCTCTGTCGTCTCTTCCAGCGCCCTCGCTCATCACTCTACACCCTACAACCTCACCCAGCGCATCCCCTCGCCCACCCTACACCCTATCACCTCACCCAGCGCATCCCCTCGCTCATGCATCACCCTACACTCCGATCTCGTCCAGCAGCGCCCAGTGCTGCCACACAGGCACCAGGCTGTTGGCTGCGATGGCCCCGCTGGCAGCCACCGCGGGCACTCCGATGCCGGGGAAGGTGGAGTCGCCGCAGCAGTAGAGGCCGGGGATGGGGGTGCCGGGGCCTGGGGAGGAGGGGGGAGGGGTACGAGGCGTGGAAAAGCATGAGTTACTTCGGGGGACGCAGAGCGACATGGCGGTTGGGTCAGGTTGGGGTGTTGTTGACGAGTAGGATATACAGGCTGTCCCGTGCAATCCCTTAATGACGTGTTGGTTGCGTCCTTCCACCTTCCTGCCGTGCTCTGCTGCCACTTTGACAGCGACCAGGGTGGCGAGGATATCGGGAGGGAAGAAAGGGGACCGTACTACGGTGTCCTGCACGGTGTGTAAACCCATTTGCTTCTGCACATGTCAACACCAGTAGGCGCCCTGCTACAGTAACCCAGCTGAGGAGACCTCCTCCACACTCCACACAGCAGCCCGCTGCTGCCCGAGCAACACACCTGGGAAGAGCCCCTTGCCGGCCTGAATGGCGGGTCCGTAGGTGCCCCTGTGGCGGCGCAGGAAGCGCTCGTGCGTGAGGGGGGTACCCAGCAGGGACAGCCGCGTGCGGGAGCGAATGTCCGGGATCACCTGGGGAGGGTGGGAAGGTGAGAAGGAGGAAGGGGAGGAGGAGGGGCGGTGTTAAGAGCGAACAACGGCGAGGTAAAACAGCCTAACGTGCCAAGGCGCCAACAAGTGGGTGGGACGGTTTGGCGGGGTGGGTGAGGATACGAGGATGCAGGACGCAGCATCGGCGGCTACGCGGAATCAGGCATCAGTCCCCGCAACACCGGTAATCATGGAGTGCCGACTACCGGTAATGGGTTCCGCTGTTTCTCCAGCTGTCCCTCCGTCCCGCGTACCTTCTCAATGCCCTCCCACAGGACTTGGCTCCTCTCCTCCTTCAGGGCCTTGTACTCGGGACTGGCGGAGGGTGTAAGACAGACACGGGGTCGGGGCAGGTTGTTATTAGATAGGGGAGCCACGCAGGCAGCAGCCACCACCACCACCATCACCATAACCCGCCACCACAAACAAACACGATTGTTGACAAGCACAAACACGACAGGATCATGCCCAGGAAACTACCGTACTCGCGCCCGCCCCTGCTGCAGTTTTTCCAACACCACGCACTCCCTGTTCCCACCTGCGCCTGTCCAGCCCCTTCCACAGCTCGTAGGGCTCCGTGGCGGGCAGGTAGGCATGCAGGCAGTGGTGGCCGGCGGGCGCCATGGAGGGGTCCTTGACGGACTGCTCGAGGAGGAGGCAGGAGTGAGGGTCAGGGGGTGGCGGGGGAGTGGTGGGGGGGGGCAGTGGTGGCGGCAGTGGTAGTGGTGGGGGAGGGGCGAAGGCCGGGGGGCGGGCGGAGACGGCAAGTAGATCTGGTTGGAGCATGTAGTGCAAGTGCTATACCGGCATGCGGCTACTAGTACCAGGCTTTAGCAACGAACAAAACTGCTAGAGGCAGCTAGAGGTATGGAAATGGGACATGCCTCCTAAATGTGCAAGAGGTGTTGTGGATACCACCGACCAGGCTGGGTGAGGGAAGCCGTCGTCAGGATGATAAGGACAAGGACAAGGATCAAGGCGAGGGCATGAGAAGGAGGAGCAGCAAACGAAACAATGATGAGTAGGACGGTGGCCTGGCCAACCTCCTTTCAGGCCCCACCGGAATGGAGATGAGCACCACGTTCTGCGGCGCCGTCACACCGCCCTGCCAGCTGTTCACGATGATGTGGTGCAACTCCAGGGAGGGGTCCAGACCTGGGGCCGGGGCGGCAATTGTAGCAGCAAGCAGCAGCAGGGGCGGCAGGAGCAGCAGCAGCGGCAGAGGAGGAAAGTGATGGCGTGAATGCTCAGTCTTACGCACACAGTCATCGCCGCTGGATTAGGAAGTGAACGCGAACAACACCTCCCAACAACCGATGCGTAACAACCAGCATGCCAATCCTCCACCAACCCATTCCCCTCTTTCCTGCTTCCTCTCTCGTCAATCCATCCCCCTTCCCATACCTATCCTCCCGGTCACCTCCACCCCTTCATATATTTCTCCCTCTGCCCTATTACGTCTCCTTTCCCACGCAACAGCCCTCCCGCCACACGTACGCACCGGCCGCATCGAACCCCAGGTGCAGGTGCATGAAGGAGGGGCAGGCGGGGGTGCTGCTGAGGCCGCTGCGCCAGGCAGGCGGCACCCGCTCCGGAGGCAGCAGCTTGAGCGTGTCCCAGCTGCTGGCGTTGGACACTACCGCCTGCAACCGGGGTTATAGAATTGAAAAGTTGAGGAAAAAGCCAGGAGGCAGCATTGAGGCAGCAAGCGGCAGGTGCATGAAGTAAAGAACCGAGGGTTTGGGAAGGAGGCTTTGAGTAAGGGCATAACGGTAATCAGCCGGACCTTTACCCCCCACGCTCTTATCTATCCATCCCCTTTCTCCAATTTGCTTTACTAGCGTCGCCTGGCCCGATTTTACCACTCCAACAGCAGTGAGGAGCGGGTTTGTGTTTCTGTGTATGCACCGCAAACCCTACCTTGCGCGCCTTCACGGTGCCCCCGCCCCGCAGCGCCACACCGGTTGCCCGACCCCTGCGTACGTGCACCGGATGATGGGAGCATGTTTGTGTGGGGACATACATCAGGAGTTCAGGACGCGGCATCAGACACGCCGTGGTCATGTGGAGGTGGTGGTGGCGGCGGTAATGGTGGCAGCATGCATGAGCGAGGGTGGTCAACCGCAGTTGTACGTGCATGTTGGGCACAACCTCCTGGCATGTAAGCATGGTTTTGACCGTTGTTATCCGCGGACAATCCCAAGAGGAGGAGTGTCTGATGAGTGGCGACTGTCCGTAAACCCCTGACGCCGCTTGCTCCGCACGCACCCTCAGCAGCCCTGTCGTCCCGGCCCCCCAACCCTTCCTGTGCTTGCACCCCATGGCGAAGCCATGTCACACAGCTCGTTTATTGCCTCGTCAGTTTTCTTTATTTCCACCCCCCAACCCCTCCCTGCTGCAGAGCTGCTGCTGCTGCGGCACACGCACCTCGCATCCAGCAGCACCCGCTCCACGTGGCTGCTCAGCAGCAGGCGGCCGCCGTGCCGTTGCAACCCGTCTACAAGCCCGTTCACGACAGCCTGCAGCGGGGGGACGTTGAGGAGGGGAGGCAAGGAGGCAGCAGGGGAAGGCAGCAGGCGGGATGGGCGGGTGGTTGGACGCCGGGGAGCCAGCAGGCGATGCAGAGATGACCTAGAGTGGTTGAGTGTGGGGTGGGATGGTGGGAGGAATGAACGCAGGGAAAGCTAGCAAGCGCTGGCTGCATGCTGGCCCAGCTGGCGCGCCCGGTATGCGTTGGGTCTGTCTCTGTAGGGTTTGGGGATGATCCACTGCGGCTAGCCCAACGAGAAATAGTACGGTAGTTCAGAAGTCTAAGTGCATTTTGGACGTGGCTCTTGCAAGCTCCCATGCTTGCTCGCATGCCCCACCTGCGCCCCTCCTCGCGGGAATTCCAAGAAGCAGTTGGGTCGGTACCACTCGTTGAACATGTAGGCCTGCGTGCGGTGGGGTGTGAGAGTTACGGTTAGGTAGGAGGTGAACGAGGATAGATTGCAGGCGTGATCGGGGAGAAGATAGGAGGTTCGACAACACTTCACTCATTCCCCTTTCCAGCCTGTTCCTTCCCTTGCCGAAGGAAGGGAAGGAAGGAAAGCAGCTTCTACGTCTTACCGACCCATGGGACAGCACCCTCAGCCAAAAGCCCCTCTACCGCTTCAACACGGGGAGCGCCAATACCCGTACAGACCCTACTCACCATCTCTGCGGCGATGGTTCCGTCCGCGGGCAGGCCACTGAGCAGGAAAGCCAGCAGGTCCAGCCAGTTGCGAATGAAGGGGTCGCTCACACCCGAGCCGTCCAGCACGGAGGAGAAGGGGCCGCTCAGGCGCGCGGCATCGCCTGCATGCGCGTGAGGGGAAAGCGGCGCATGGGACATGGGAAAGGAAGGGGTACGGGGGACATGGGACACCATGCAGCTCTCCATAACCCCACCCACCTCCCCGTACCCCCACCACCCACCTCCCGCGGCCAGCAGTGCTGGCAGGTAGCGCCCGATTGCGGTCACCAGCACTCCCGGATCGTACCTGGGGGCAAGGGAGGGGGGCAGGGGGTAAAAGCAAGGAAAACTGTTGAAATGAATGTCTCTGGGGGGGCAGGGGGGAGGGCGGGTACATAGGGTGCGCCTCAGGAGGTGGTTCCAGCAATGACGCATACCGGTAGGGTTTCCCTTCCCAATCAATTCCTCTCAGCTGCAGAGCCGCACCCCTCATGGTGCATGCTCTACCTCCGCACCCCCAGCGCCGCACGTACGACGGCGCCCCCTCACACTCCCTCCTGCTTTGTGGCCGCCTCCTCTCCTTATTGTTTTGCTTTCACTTGCGATTTGGTTTGTTCCGAGTAAATTCCGCACCTGAAGGCAGCTGGCGGCATGAGCGCGGCTGCTCGAGCCAGGGGCCGCATCACCTGCTGCAGCCGCGTCCACTCCGCCACCGCAGCGGGGCCGCGGATCTGAGACGAGGAGGAGATGGGGATCGAGGGGGCGGAAACGAGGGGTGGGAGGGAGGTTTAGGGTTTTAGGGTTTAAGGAATTGGAATGCATGTACTGGCATGTGCCCAGCATCCGCAGGGCCGGGAGGTGAGGTTGGAAGTGCAAGACGGACGGCTGCGTGTAGCAATGTATGTAGGCAACGGCCGGTAGGCATGCGCTCGAGGCAAAAGAGAACAGGAGGCGGAAGGTGGCGACCCAGGGGTCACCCACGGCACCCGCGATGCCTACGCACGGCCTACCTTTGACAGCACCTCGGAGAAGTTGTCGTTCCCGATCTGCGTTCAGACGAAGTCCAAACGGGGTTAATGGTTCGGGTTCAGGCTGGAGATCACGCCAGCTGTACACCTTCTACACCCCGTGATCAACCACCAAGCACTACAGTTACGGTTCATACCTCCCACTCGCTCCTACCCGCCGCTCACCCGTGTGAGGAAGTTGCCCTCCGGAACCACCACATTCCAGCTGTCGTACCGCACCAGATCCAGCTGCACCCCCAGCGCGCTGAGCACGTGACTCAGCGGGTTGGCCTCCTTGCCCTGGGAAGCCAGGCCTGGGGGGCGGCCGGACAAAAGGAAGGGGCATTGCAGTTGAAGGTTGAGGTGAAACGCCGCCACAGAACGCCACCACAGAACGCCACAGAAGACCGGAAGAAGAGGCGGCGGTGGGGAGCTGGACTACTGGAACAGTACAGCATGCGCCGGTGTCCGAGTCGCCTCTGCTGCACCTGGCTTATCGCCACACGCGCCCCTGCTGCTGGTCCTTACAAGCCCTTCATCCTTGTCACCCAGCTTGACCCTTGCCGCCCCCTGCCGCCTCCCGTCCCTCCGCTCACCCGAGAACAGCGAGGGTCCCGACTCGAAGTGGAAGCCATCCCGCACCCAGGAGTGTGCGGCGCCGCCTGGAATCGAGTGCGACTCAACCACGGTAACCTGGGGGTGGAGGGATGTGGGAAGGAGGCAAGGGGGTGGGAACGAGTGGCTGGCTGAAACGCTGCGGGCTGAAGAGGAAGGAGCCCAAGGACGCCTGGCAGGAGAGACTGGTAAGAAGAAGCATACCTCGTAGATGTCGAGGTATTAAGGATAATTATTATACGCACATTGTGTTTAGGGCGCACGTGTAGTGAAGCATACTGGATTGGGGATACTTGCAGAAACGATGGGTTGCAAGCATATGAGGAATGGAGGTTCGAGCGCAGGCTGGTCGCGGCAACCTAGCGACGAATACCTTCAAGCCGTATTTTGCGAGCATGCCGGCGCAGCAAAGTCCGCCGATGCCGCTGCCCACGACGACCACATCAGTTTCATGGCTTCGCGCCTCGCCGGTAAGCGGCGACCTTGGCTGGGTAGGCTTAGCGTCAGCTACAGCAGCCTTGCATTTTACAGCGATTGCGCTCCTTCTTCCTGCTCGCGTTCCTGGGCATCGTGTGGCTAGGGCCTTCTGTTGAAAGTGGAGCATATGGCAAGTATGGGTATATACGGGTAAAGACAAGCAAGTGGCTATGTAAAGACTTTGCTTAGCAAAACAGCTATACTCAAGTACAAAAAGGCAACGCGTTTGACTATGCACCACCACCATCTCACAGTTGACGGTTGTGACAAGTCAGTTCACCAGGTCCCCCACTTCGCAGCTGCACCACTGCTTCTGTCATTGTCAGGCGTAGTATACCACTATAACTCTTGGTGCGGCCGACATCTTCCTCGCCTATCGCATAATACAATGAAGGCACACTTGCGGGGCGTCGGACAGCACAGATCCCTTGCCTCAGTTGGGCTAGAACGAAGAGCTCCCTTCAACATTCGTTGCTTTAGAAATAGTCAAAAATCCTGTTATGCCTTGTTGAAGGATGCCGACGGGCGAAATCCGCTTGCGGGAGCGGACGAATTACCGCTTCTGGGAAAGCGCATCATTGTTACAGGTGATATCATTGTACACGACACACATACCTTGGCAATCCGGTATCCCTCTGACCCTCACACCCACGGGTCCATGGCTCGCACGGCCCTGCCTGCGCCTGACTAGTCATGCCTACGTAGAAGGGCATCTTCCAGCATCGTCGCTTTCTAACTATTGCACTGTCGGCTTTTAAAGCACGTTTCACACCTTCGTCCTCTGACACGCTTTTCTCCTCCACCTCCTCCGCATCCAATGCAGCCCCCAGGCAATACAGTCAGAAGCTCTGCGCCAAGCTGGTCAACTCGGGAGCTCGTCCACTTGTCGTACCTGCAGTTCAAATCACTGAATTGCCTCCCGAGCACCGGGCACAGGCAAGGCTTGCTTCAACGGCATGTTTGCCCCCTTTGTTTGCCTCCCTGGCTTGGCTTGCTTCCGCTATCTGCTTTGAAGTCTGCCATTCAGATCGTAGCCGGGGATTGCGACGGATGTCCTAGGATGGGGCGCTCCTTAGCCTTCTCATGGGGGTTGCCAACTCACCATTCTCTAAAGCATCAACAGGCCAACGCACGTTTCGTATCAACGTTTGCAGATGCTTGAAGAGCTGCATAGGCTGCTGCTGCGGCCTCACTCGTCCACCAGCACCGCTACCACTGCCGCTTCCACTGCAAGTCCTGCTACCCCTACCCCTGCCACTACCAGCAGCCACAGCAGCCACAGCAGTCATCACAGCACCCGCTGCGAACCCGCCATCAGTCACATCGCCTTCACCTCCCGCAACGGCATCTTTGCTTTCATGCAGGCACTAGGGGCGGCGCTGGGAGGTGAGTGCCGCGGTAGAAGAGGGGGGGGGGCAGCCAGGGTCAAAATGTGGTAGCAGGTGACTTTCTTAGCGGCCACGGACACAGGACGTGGACAGTACAGTGGCTTAATCTGCTGCTGCTATTACTGTTCACTGCGTACACCCCACCCCACCCGCTCCTCCTCTTCCTCTTTTTCCTCCTCCTCCGCCGCCGCCTCAGGTATCCCCGCTGCGGTGGGCTGGCTGGGCGGCAGCGGCATCCGGCTGTGTGCACTGGGGGCGGACGGGGAGGTGCTTCGGGAGCTGGGGCTGATCGTGCATGTGGCGCCGCAGGAGGCGAGGAGGGGAGGGGAGGGATGGGGTGGGTCAAAAGAGGCCAACCGAGGGGTGGGGTGGGGCGGTGGGCGGGGTAGGTACACCCTGCAGCATGCGGCGGCGCATGCTGTGATAAGACCACCATCACCCAAACCTGCACCCCCTGTCTTTTCCCCAACCTGGCATCCAATGTCTTGCATTACAATTGACAAGACGCTGGTGTTCCCTAAACCCCATCCACTCTTCTTTCCTCCTCCCCGGCAGGCCTCCACTCAGGGTCTGGTGCGGGAGCTGGTGCAGCGCGGGGAGGCAGCGGGGGCGCGTGTGCTGTGCCCGGTGCCGTTGGTGGCAGGTGAGGGGGGGATGGGGTGGCGGGAGGGGGCCGGTGTTGGTACTGCAGAGGGAGCCTTCCCTACTGCATATCTAGTTATCTACACTGCGTGCGTGCTTGCCCCTGCAATACTGGTGCGTCGCTCCTGATTTTGGTCAAGAACTCAAGATGCATCAAAACAGGACGAAGTAGTGATGCCACCATGCGCCACCTCCTCCATTCACCCCGGGGGTGGGAGTGGGTACTTCCCCGCCACCGGGCCATCTACGTGCGTGCACGTGCCTTTCCCTCCTGCTGACCTGCCAGCCCCCATGCGCAACACATGCTGCTGCTACAGGAGGACTTGTGGAGCCACCCGTGGTGCCGCGCTTCCTGCAAGCACTGCAGGTGGGGCAGGGCTTGAGCCGGAGGTGTAGCGGAGGGGGAATGGCGGAGAGTGCGACTGGGGGGGTTCTGGTTCGTATACCCGCACGAATGCTCGTGGGCGGACAGGGCCCCACCACCCGAAACCCCGGCCCCAACCTTCACCACCCTCCCTCATCACCCCTTGCCGCACATGCAGGACGCCGGCGCGACGCCCCTGCGTCTGTCCGCCTACCTGACCTCGCCCGCCTGCTCCCCGCAGCAGTGCATCACCGAGCTGGGGGCGCTGCGGGCGGGCCAGGTGGCCGCCATCGCATTCAGCTCCACTGCGGAGGTACGGGGGGGCATGCGGGGGGGGGGGGTGCGTGCGGGATGTGCAGAAGGAAGCTGAGTGTATGTAGGGGTGGGTACGGAGGTTTGTGCCTTTGCAAGCTAAGGGCAGCCCAGCAGGACTTAAACCTGGCTACTATACCGACGCTGCTCCACCTGTGCTGTTCCTCAGCTCCTTATCCATCCGAGCCACCGAATGCACGCCCCGGCGGCTTCGAAAGTCCGTTTTCCAGCAAATCTCCGGCAACCGCGCTCTTCCCGCTTCCCGCCTCCACGCCCTCATTCCCTCCCACAGGCTCAGGGGTTGGTTCAGCTGGTGGGCGGTACGGCAGCGCTGGCCGAGATTGTACGGCAGCACGGGGTGGTTCTGGCGGCACATGGCCCGTACACGGCGGCAGGGGTGCGGGAAAGCACGGGGGGCCTGGAGGTGGGGGTGGTGTCTAGAAACTTTGCTAGCTTTGATGGGTTGGTTGCGGCTCTGGAGGAGCACTTTTCTCGGTGAAGAAAAAAGAAGAAAAAATAAAAGTGAATGAAGACGGTGCCTTGGTGAAGAAGAAATATTACCGGTACTGGAAAGGAGACGGAACGAGGACGGAGAAGAGGGGAGGATGGCTGTAAGGAGTGCTGGGGAGGAGTCATGAACTCATGATGTGCGGGTGCGGGTACGGCAGACTTAGGGAGGGGCCAGGTGCCCGGGCATGTGGTGGTGGAGTCAGACCTCCTCTTGCCTGCAGTTACCGTACATTGGCAGGGGGGCAGGTGGAGGTAAAGAGATTCATGCGAGCCCCCGACATGTCGCACCTTTTACCGGTAATTGCACCGAAAGGCCTATTGCAGACGAGGCGTAAGCGAGAGACTATATATAGAGAGAGACATACAGTACACGTGTGCGTCTGATGCGTAAATTCCAACAGGGCATTGCGCCTGCATGTGCATCTAGATATCGCCCATAACACAACTAGAATTGTTTTAGCAAAAAGTAAGCGCGCGCCTATTAGATACACGTTTCCCTGGCGCCCGTTTTCCAAGTCCGCAAAATTACATCTGCATTTGAACCACTAGCACATGCACCACAGCTCTCAACAACCGCACAGGGGGCACCCGCGCATGTGCCGTACTAGGTACAACACGCTCGCCGTACACATCAGCCTGACTAAGAGCTTGTCGCCTGCTCGGCGGCGAAGGGATGAGAGATAGCAAGCAACATCAGCAGTGATAACGGCTGAATTACAATGCCCAGTTACCTAAGAGTCGCAGTTCGGACAATACAAACCCCCATAAAACGCCACTTCTCTCATCCACATCAATGAAGAGTCTCCAACTACGTCCCAGAACGCAAAACAGGCAGCAACATCATAAACCCACTCCAAAGCCAAAACTAAGCCCCCCACCCATAGCCGACCCCACCCCTCACTCCTCTCACCCTCCACCACCGACACCGCCACCCCCTCCTCCCGCAACCCCCGCAACCCCTCCTGGCGCCGTCCCACCCATTGACCCCACCGAGGACGCGCCCACCAGCCCCGCACCCTCCTTCTGCTCCTTTTGCTTGGGTGCGGGACCCGGCGGCGGCGCATTCATGGTCTTCAACGACTCGGCCTTGACGTACGCGATCTCGTCGTACGTCAGACACTGCCGTACCTGCGGCGGCGCGCGACCGTTCAAATCCCGCATTCGCTGCCACATGAATCCAGCCGCCGTCAACGCTCCGCTGCGACGATGTGGCGGCAATCCACCGCCGCCGCCGCCGCTGCCGGCATTGGGCTCGTCACCTCCGACTGCCCCTCCCGCGCTGACGCTACCTGAAAAGGGGCTGCTTTGGGGTCGTGAGGACGACAGAAACAGCGGGCCTGTACCGCCTCCAGCGCCGCCACAGCTGCTGCTCCCGCCGCCACCGCCTATGCTTGTGTAGGGGGTGTTGGTGGTGGTAGTGGTGGCGGCGGCGACGGAGGCGGTGGTGGCACCACGGAAGGGAGCCCCTCCGGTTGAGGCGGAGGCGCCTGCAGGGCCGCTACCTGTAGCAGAGCAACCCCGCAAGCTGAAGCGAGGGCTGTTGTCGGAGGGGGTGGGGGCGTAGGTGCTGGCGGCGGCGGGGGCGGAAGTGGGGGCGAGGGAGGCGGCTGCCGCGCGGGATGAGAGGCGCAGGGGGCTGGGTGGTCGGGGCGAGGCGGCGGGGAAGGAGCTGGCGAGTGGGGAGGCGGCGCTAGGGGAGGGCAGGGCGGTGTGTGCGGATCCGAGGTTGGAGGCGGCCGGGAAGCGCTGGGAGGGCGAGCCGCGGCAGAGGGGGCTAGTGGGGCTGCTGAAGATGCCTGGGGGGGAGGGGAGGGAGGTGGAGCGGAGGGGATGGGGAGAGGTGAGACAGAGGGGAGGAATGCGCGTAGAAAAAGGTGAGAGGAGGTATGCTTGTGCTTTTTTGTGGAGCAGGCATGCGGTCAAGGTGACCGCTCCCGCCCTACTACCCCGCCCTAAAACCCCCTTCGCAAACTTCCCTACTCCACCCGCGCTGGTTTCCAGTGACCCTGCACACATTACCCTCCCGCCCTTTCACGCACACTCCATCTGCCAGCAAACAAAAAACCCGGTAGTGTGTGTTCCTAACTCGCGGCCAATTTTCCTAGCACCCCCACTCCCCCCTTTAAATCCCCACCCACCCACCATTGGGGCTGGTGGGTGCCATGATGGACAGCATGCGCCGCACCGCGGGCTGGTCGCCGTGGTAGAGGTCCAGCCGGCGAGCAGCCTTGGCGGCCAGGGCCTCAACCTTGGGGGGGGAAGGGGGGGAGGGGAAGGGGAAATAAATGATTAGTGCAGCAACGAGACCCAATCCCATATCCCGACTCATGCAGTGAGGGGGGGGGTCGAAGGCTATAGCAATCCAGACCGTAGGAAGCCATCGTTTAGGGCGAAGAAGCAATAGGGATAGGAGGCGGCAGAGAGTCCTCCCATGGTGTTCATTCCCTGCGCCCCTCACCCCGCTCCTCCTCCTCGTCCCTCTCCCACCTTATCTGCCAGCGGTGCAAGCCCATCCCCATACACGCCCGCAATCAGGTTGGGCAGTGCGTTCCCGCGCGCCGTGCCGCACAGCAGCGGGTTACGGTAGTAGCGCTCGGCGGGAGTGCCCTGCGTGACAGCGTGACAGCGGGAGAGGAGAGGAGGCGAGACGGGCGTGGTGAGAGATGGGGGTCCCGGTACAATACATGTGTCTGGCAAGGGTTGGGTGATTGTACATTGTTGGCTCGATACTCAGTAGGGTACCTTGCATCACCAATCACGAGAAGCTTGCACCATGCGTCGCCACTGTGTTCCTCCTTCTTTCCCCCCTGGCTATCCCTTTCCCCTTTCCTCTCCCTCCCTCCCCCGCATGATGTTTCTTCTCTCCCTCTCCTTCTGTCCCCCCCCATCCCCACCCCCCGCCCTCCCATCCCCCTCACGTTCTTGTACAGGTCCAGCGGCTTGCCCCCCGGGTTGTCCAGCTCCGCCTCCAGCTCGGCCATGTACGACAGCACCTTGTCTACCTCCGTACTGTGACCGCCCACCTTCTTGAGACCTGGGGGGAGGGGGGAGAATACCATGGTGTTGAATGATGATAGCAAGCAAGCTGACAAGCGGGGGGAGGAGGAGCGAGAGTGGAGGCGATTGGGTTGGGGGGGGGGGACAACACCTTTTCCGGCAGTTCACAGTCAACAGTGCACTCCTACTCCGTGTTCACACACGAACCCCTCCCCACGCACCCTTCTTCTTGCGCTGGTTGGCTCCCCGGGCTTGGGCCATGGCACTCTCCTCGTCCTGTGCCAATCGGGAGGGGGGCAGGCAAATGGCGGTGTACGGCAAAGGCGACGAAATGTAACGTGACGTCATGTTATGACGTCAGCAGCAGCAGCGCCGAGAGTGCAAGCGATGAGAGCGTGTAGTGGGGGTATCAAATTGGGGGTGAATACTCGCGGCCAGTTTTCTTAGCACAGACCACGGACGCGCGGTGAAGCCTTCCGAGGCATGGGAGGGTGGGTTACACCAGGAGGAGGTGGCGTGTTGCGGCGATCCACGGGTGTATCAATCCGATCAAAGGGTGAACCCAATCCTGGCACCCTGCCGCCGTCTATCCCCATTACGTGTGCCCTAACTTGTTTTTCCCTTGCTTCGGTATTGACAACCTCTTCCTACGGGACACTGGACACGACCCTGGTGCGGCTCTGTTGGTCTGCGCCTCCAATCCATCGGACCCTGGCAACTGGCTTTCCCTTTCCAGGTAAGTTTCCCGTAACGCGTCTCGATAACATGTGTGCTCTTATACCCCATATGCGTGTTGCTTTGCTTTTCGTGACCGGCGGCGCGGCGCATGTCTCCCTAGTGTTACCACGCAAGGCGGCTTCTTCCTCAAGTCGTCTCGGTTTACGGTAAGCAACGATTTGGTAAGTAATTTGAGATGCGTGTTCTTAGTGCCTCCGAATGCGCTCACTGCATGAGTCGGGATATGGGATTGGGATTCGTTGTTTCACTTTTATATAATTTTTTCCCCACCCCCCCCCCCCCAGCCCTAGCTACTCCCACCTGCAGCGCCAGACCCCGGGTGGTGAGCGACGCCTCCCCGTGCCCCACCACCACGTCCTGCCCGATAGCGCCCAGCCGGCCAAAGTAGTAGGTGAGCTTGAAGGCGGTGTCGTCGCGCAGGGCCCTGCAGGACCGATCAGGGGTGGGGACAGAGGGGACAGGTAGCATTCAGGGAACCGGCAGGGTGACAGTGCTAAAGGGACGGATGCGAAACCCCCATACCTCCTAGTAAGCCACATCCCAACCTCCAAACCTGCCTTCCCCATGTTCTCAGCGTATGGCTCATTGGTAATCCCTTATCCTTCCTCTATCCCCCCCCAAACCTTCACCCCCTATATCCCCGAGGCCCCCGAGGGTGGCCGGCGGCCAGCTATGCCGGTACGCACCTGGCTATACCAGTAACCCTTGCCATGGGTGCCCCTCAACCCTCCATCATCCACCCCCTCTACCGTACCACCACCCTCTCGGTCCTGGCGGATATGCGACACTGCATGCACCTGACTACAGCTCTGGCGATGGGATGCCCCTAAACCATCCACCCCCTCCTCCGTACCATCCCCCCTCCGGCTGTGCGAGGCTGCACGCACCTGACTAGCTCCGCTGACGCGCACTTGAAGAACTGGTCTATGTGCATGTGATACACGGTGATGTCGGTGGTGGCTGTCACCTGGGGGGGGGGCAGCCGCGTGAGAGGAAAGGAGGTTAGCAGTTGGGGGGGTGGGTTTGAGAAGAAGAATACACAAGTTGTTGAATGAGAATGGTAGAGTCGTGCATCCAGGTTGCCCCGCGCATGCAGTGAGAAAGCACAGCAGAAACTACGAACACACACTCTCATGGCGGGGTAATGGGGGAGGAAGAGGAGGAGGAGGGTGAGCTAACCACTATACAGAGTCAGACATTACGTGAAGCCGGGGTCGACCAATGTTGCTTTTCCTGTCATCCTGCCCCCTCCCCACCCTTTATTATAGCCTTCTTTGCCCTCTCCCCCCACTCCCGCTCCCTTACCTCTCCCGCCCCCACCACCACTCCCGCCCCCAACCCACCCCTACCTTCATGCAGGACTGCAGCTCCCCCTCCCCCAGTATGCGCATGCCGCCGCCAAAGCTGGAGCCCTCCTCCAGGGTGGCCACCGTCTGGCGGGCAGGGCAGGGTAGGGTAGGGGTGGGGTGGGGTGGGGGAGGGGACCCCAGGAGGGCGGGTCAGAGAGGGGCATCGCATACATGGTATGGCCGTATGGCCGTTACCAGGAGGGTTAGCAAGAGGCTCAAGAACAGTCCGCCGCAACGTGTAGTGGCTATACACGCAACTGTAGTATCCATAAACCATTACCCTCTGCACCCTGCACCCTCAACCGCACAGCCCACCCACCGCACATCACAGCCTACACCACACACTCCACGTCCCCGCTCACCTTTTTCGGAATGAGCGCCCGTCTCAGGCGCCGCAACTCGTCCTCATGCCCCAGCGTCCCCACCGCCCGCCCGTCCACAATGGTGATCGCCGCCAGCACCTCGTTCTCCAGCGTGTCGGGGACATCCAGAGCCACCAGCGCCGACACGCCCCCGGGCACGTTGGGAACCGCGGTGTGACGCGGAGGAACGGGCGGACCGCCACCAGCGGCGCCGGAGGCGGCTGCACCGTGGCCGCCATGGCCGCTATGGCTGCCGTGGCCGACTGCGGCGGCGCCGGCCACCAGGCCGGTGGCCCCGCCGCCTCCGGCGGCGGGGTGTGCCCCCGCCGCTGCACTCCCATGCCCCCCTCCATGTCCTCCTCCTCCATGCCCCCCCCCATGCGCCCCATGACCTCCTCCATGCCCCCCTCCATGCCCCCCTCCGTGACCACCGCCCCCTGCCAACCCGGCTGCTGCTCCCCCGCCCGACGCCGCCCCTCCCCCCGGCCCCCCAGCAGCAGCCCCCGCTGCCCCCGCGGGAGCTCCCACGGTGCCTGCGAAGCGGCGATCCAGGGCCTCTAGCGCAGCAGAACCTGTGGCGGCGCGGCAAGTGGCAAGACAAGGAGGAGGAGGAGGAGGAGGAGGAGGAGGAGGAGAGGTTGCGACGGCGGCGGCATGGCGAGGCAAGAAGGAGGAGGAGAAGAGGAGAGGAACAGTCCCGTCCAACACCCTCCCAGTCCCCCTTAGTTACACCGGTAGGCTGTCTCCCTCCCCCACGAGAGCCGTGACCTGTCCGTCCATCCGTCCTCTTATCTCGGCCCTTACCCCGCCATCCCTCAACTCCCAAGCCCCCCTCCCCCCTTGCTACCCACCTGTTTTGATGAAGTAGATCTGCTGGTCAGCCACGGGCTCCCAGTCCTTGCCGGCTGGGAAGGTGGACTGCATCATGTGGCTGATCACCTGCAGGAGGGGCAGGAGGGGAAGTGACGGTAGGGGCAGTGGGTCAGGAGGAGCAGTGGGTCAGCAGGAGCAGTGGGTCAGGAGGAGCGTTTCACCCATGTACAGCGATGTCGTTTGGGCGTGTTTTTCTGCGACCAGCACTCTTAACACACACCAGGGGTATAACAGTTGGCACAGCAGTTACACCCACCCGCCGGGTAAACTACAGTCAGGGTCACAGTGTTGCCGCGGCTCCGTTCATCTAACCCACCCACCCACGACCACCCACCCACCCGGAGTGTGTGGTGTTTCGGCAGCGCCTGGAACACGGGCACGCGCGAGTGGAAGAACGCCTCCGCCGCCAGCAGCCGCTCCCGGAAGTAGGGCCCAAAGGTGGACAGCAGGTCGTGGCGGTGGAAGGTGAGGAAGGTGCAGTTGGAGGTGGGGGTGGCGACCTGGGGCGGGGAGGGAGGGAGGGAGGCGGGCCAGAGAGACATGCCAGAACCACAGGTTAAGGGGGGTTTGGAGATGTGTGGGTGTGGGTGCCGGGGTAGAGGCGGTTGGGAGGCTGGATAGTGCGGGTGGGTGGAGGAGGAGGGCATGAGGGGCAGAGGTAGCAGTCGGGAGAAGAGGGAAAGCGAGGGCGCAGGGCGGCATGCACATGCAACATGGCAGGCTGGGGAAAACCAGGAAAGAGAGGGTAAACATAAGGGAACTGACAAACTGTGTAAAGGGAGAGGGAAGGGGCACGCGGGAGCACCCCAGGCCTCCTGCCGTACCCTACCTCGGCTCGCGGCTCGTCGTTGAGAATGGCCATCTCGCCAAAGCTCTGCCCCTTCTTGAGGGTGGCGATGAGCGTCTTCTCACGCCGGTTGCCGCTGGGGTGCGTCCAGATCTCCACCACGCCTGTGGAGGGTGGGGAGAGGGGGAAAGAAGGGGAGGGGGGGAGAAGAATACCCAATGTGTTGAATGAGGCTGACAAACAAGGAGAGAGTGGGGGGGCGGGGGGAGACTCACGCTGTCAGGTGGGGTCAGCTGTCATGCGGTGGGGCGTGAGGTCACATGGTGACGTGGAGCGAACATCAACCGGCATCCCCCTCCAACTCCTCTCCTCGCTGAGGTTGCCTCATCCCCGCCCCCTCTCCTCCCTCTCTCGTACTGCCTGGCTAATCCGGACTGGGCGGGTCGGGCTGGCTCACATGTTGAGCAAACCACGATGTGAAGCCTTTGCTGTTTCCTCTTCCTCTTCCTCTTCCTCTTCCTCTTCCTCCCCCTTCCCCGCCCCCGGTCCCACCCGTGAGTATGAGGTGGAAGCGCTCCGGCGGGTCCCCGATGCGGTACACCGTCTGGTCCTTTTTGTAGTTCTCCATCTTGGCCGCGAAACACGCCTCCATGCGCGTCTCTTCGGGGACCTAGCGGGGCGCAAGCAGTAGGGGAGGGGGGGGAGGAGGAGGAGGAGGGAGAAGAATATCCAGTGTGTTGTGTGACAGTGAGGAGGAGGAGGAGCGGGGCACCGGGGTAATGTGGACACGTAGAGGAGTGGTCTCTGCGGTTTTGGCACCGCAAACAAGTACCGCAGCTGCGGATAACTACCGTCCCTAACAGCCAAACACCCAAACAGCCCAACACTTACCAGCCTAAACCCCCAGCGCACCCCGCAATCCAAGCACCCACGGCCCACCAACCCCTCACCGCCCATACCCCCCATCTTGCGCACTGCTATAAGTCACTGCCATACGACACAGCCAAACCTCCTCCCCCACCCCCCCCCCACACCATCCCCCCCACCACTATCACACCACACATTGGAATTTCATTTTCCCCCACCACCCCACCTTGCGCAGAAAGTCGCTCACGTACGACATGGTGGTGCTCAGCTCCTCCAGTAGCTTGTCCAGACTCATCTTGTTGCCGCTGCCCGGGTCGTCCAGCGCCATGCCCTCCATGTCGGGCACGTAGCAGGACATGTCGCCCGCCGCCAGGTCTAGCTCGGAGGAGCGCAGGCCGGTGGTGGTGGCGGCGGTGGCGCTGGTTAGGCCAGTGATGCTGGGGAATGCAGGGGAAGAGAGGGAGGGTCCGAGGGAGGGATCAGAGGGGTGGATCAGAGGAGGGGTGAGCAAGGGGAACAGGGAAAGGGAGGGCAGGGGATTAGGTCGATAGGGGAAGAGGTGTTTGGTTGGGAAACAGGCCGTGTGTTCAGGTGCTTGTCAGGGCCAGCAAAAAGCATCGAAAACTGCCCAGCGTGAAGCTCTAGGATGGCGCATGAAGGTACAGGCGTACAACGCGTTAAGTGTGCATCAGCCTGTATCCGGTGCATATGTAGCTGCTGGGAGCATGCAATCGCTGTGCACGGGCGCATCGCTGCACCGAAAGCAGTGGAGGAGGAGGAGGGGGCCGAGAGGGGGCCGCCTTACCTGCGCGCGGGGGAGGGGCTGCGGCGGCTGCGGCTGTTGTATCCGTACCCGTATCCGTATCCGCTGCCGCTGCCCTCCTCCTCGTCCTCGCTGCAGCCCGCCGGGGAGCGACCGTCCGCGTTGAGCTGCGGTTGCTTGGTGGGAGGTGGGAAGAGGGAGGAGGTGGGAGGGGAGGAGGGAGGCAGGAAGGGGAGGGAGGAGGAGGAGGGAGGATGCAGCTGGTGTGAGGAAGGAGGGAGCATGGGGAGAGGGTGCATGAGTGCCAGGGCCCTTTACTGCCAGCAGCCAGCAAGGGCCACATCGTCGTCACCACTCGGCGCCCTTACCCCCTCCCCCATCCTCCCCACCCACAGGAAGCCGCTGACCAGCCCACCTCTCGCCCCAGTCCAGCCAGCACCCCACACAGCAACCATAACCCATCCACAACCAAACCCAGCCCCAAACCCAGTCCATTCCCCGCCCCCCCCGCACACACCATCCTGGAGGGCATGCGAGAGAGCACCTCCATGGGGCCCGAGGGCAGGTGACCGCCAGCCCTGGGTGCGGAAGGGAGGAGGGCAGGGGAGCACGGGGCACGGTGAGGCGACGAGGCGATTCCCGATGCTCGGAACAAGGCCCAGCACCAGAGACACACGGCGGTTCTGTGGGGACTTCATCTTCCGACAATCACAGTACGTTCCGCCTCGCGGCCAGTTTTTTTAACACATCACTTTCGGCCAGTTTTCTTAACACACACACCATCTTCCGACAATCACAGTACGTTCCTCCTGGCAGCCACAGTTATCTTACACACACACCTCCCATGTAGCCGCAACGCTCGTAACATTCATCCTTCTCCCTGCAGGCGCCTCGCCCCACGCGCCCCTTCCCCCTTCCCACCTTCCCGCCCCCCACCCGGCCCCCCCACCCGCCCCCCTCCCCCTCACTTCCGCAGGTCCCAGTTCTTGATGGCCGACGCCACCAGCTGATCCTCCTCGTCCTGCTCCGGCCCGCCCCCCGCCACTGCCGCCACCGCCCGGCTGACCCCCTCGCCCGGCCCGCCGTCACCCCAGGGGGGTGCCGCCACCGGCATGGCGCCCATGCGCCGGCGGGACTTGCTGCTGGCGGGGGCGGGGGAGCCCATGGCGCTCACGTGGTCCTTGAACACCTGCGGGCGGGGTGGGGGAGGGGTGGAGGGAGGGAGGAAAATTATAAATAAATGCAACAACGCAATCCCAATCCCGAATCCCGACTCATGCGGGACTCATGAGGGAGAGGGAAGGGGGGGATAGAGATCAGGGGTGTAGGTGGTGGTGGGGTAAGGAATGGTTCGGTATGGTCGTTGACGCCCCCGGTCGCCCTCTCCCTCCGGCCTCCCCCCCCTCCCTCCCCTCACCGCCAGCCGGTCCAGCAGCAGCTTTATGCGCGCCAGCACCAGCGGGTAAGGCGTGCGCTGCAGCGCCTTCAGCCGCGCCGCCTCGCGCAGCTTGCGGGAGGAGTTGTTGGCGGCGATGCGGATGGCGGAGCGGCGCCACCTGGGGGCAGGGGTGCATGGGAAAGGCGGTGCAAGGAGAAGGCAGGAGGAGAGAGAGAGGGTAAAAAAAGAAAGGGAGGGGAAGGAACGGGAAGGACCGGACGAACCGAGCAACCAACCATGTCACTCACACGGTTTCACCGTGGGTTGTGTATCATGGTCATCCACACCACAAAGGGTTGTGTGTCATGGGCCGGGGTGGGGAAAGCGAGGGGGGGCGGCAGGTGGGCATGCGGTGGCGGAGTGACCCTGGCGGTGCGGCCCGAGTGGGGTGGGGTGGTGCTGTACGGCATCATCCAACACCGCCCCCACCCTCCACACCGCCCCATGCCCCTGCCCTATCCTGTGCCCCCTCCTACCAGCTGTACTCAACTCCTCGCCCCCCCCGGCCCTCCCTTCCCCATGTAGCAACAAGCCCCCCCCACCTGCGCTCCGCCCCCCCTCCCCTACCTTGACAGCGGGCTGGATGGCGCCCGGGCCGCTGTCGCCCCGAAGCGAGCCAACACACTGAAGGCGCCCTCAGAGGTCTCCTTGACCTGGGGTGGGAAGGGTGGGGTGCGGGCAGGGTGGGGTGCGGGCAGGGTGGGGTGCGGGCCGCACCGGGTTGGTATACCGGTAGCTGGTGATTGTGCACGGGGCTCAGCGGCGCATGGAGGAGCTGCAAGGACTGATTCGGGGCTGGCCGGCCCCTTCGCCCGTGCCCCCTGCCCCCCCCTCCTCCCCCCCTCTCATTTAGCCCATCCTCACCGCCTCCTCCGTGACCGACCCCGAGCCGCCCCCCTCATCCGTGCCCCCGCTCAGCCCCGCCTCCGCCAGCCAGTCCCGGCTGCGTGCGGTGAGCCGCGGCTCCGAGCGGTCGGGGGAGCGGTCGGAGCGCTCCGGGGAACGAGGGGCCTCGGAACCGCCGCCAGTCCTGTAGTGGGGAGGAGGAGGAGGAGGAGGAGGAGGAGAGAGGAGGAGGAAGGGAGAGAGGGGGGAAGAGGGGTGGAGGAGGAGGGGGGGTTACAGGAGAAGAGGCTAGAGGGGAGGCTGGGAGTGGGAGTGAGGAAGGGCTATTTAAGGACTTTGCCCCCGCCTTGCAACGCCGCAAGGTTCGGGGCTGTGGCATTTTTGAGGGGGGAGAGAGTGATTGGTCGCAGCTGTGGGCTGTGTGCATGCACTTTGCTGTGTCTAACCCTTAACCCTCCGGTACCACATGGGGAAACAGAAGGTGACGGGAAGCTGGTTTCTTGTGATACATGGCCCGGGACAAACCTGCCCTCCCTCGAGGAAGTCAACAGCGCTCCCACTTTGCGTTCTTGTAACGTACCTCCGAGCGCGAGCACGGCGCTCGCGACTATTGGGCGGGGACTGCCTGTCCGAAGCCATGTTCGTCCGCGAAGGTCCAGCCTACTGAGTTCTGAACAGCACGCAGTGTCAAGCTGGCGTAAGTATGTGGGCTACAAACAACGGCACAGGTTGCTGTGGTAGCTGCGCATGTGGGGCTTCGCGGAAATGGTGCAAGAGCCTATGTTAAATTTTTTAACTGCATATGTTTGTTAGCTACATAATCTCTGTGAAATACTTGATGGAAGACGTTGTAAGGAGCTCACTTTTGTTTTGCTCACAGCTTCAACTCTCAGGATCCCAATGTCCAAATGTGACCAGCATGTATAACTTTAACTTGCGGCTATACAATCCAAGTGTCGTAGCCATGATAGAGTAATTTGGGTTGCCTCGTCGTGGCAAACATATTAATAGGCCAGCGACAACTCCCTACGCTCATAAAAGAAGAATGATTTTTAAAAGTGGAACGTGAACCTAAGAGCTATTGTAAGACAGCAATAACCATCAAACCAAGTCCGCTCGAAGTGGAGGTACGGTAGGCCCTAGACAACAACCCCGATAGTCCGTGCAGTTCGCTACTTCGCTTGTCGCACCACTTCCAGATAAACGTCCTCTAACGAAGAAAGCTTGACCTGGATATCCGTTACACCCAGCTCCGAACCACGGGCCTGCGCGAATGGGCAACCAATGGTTATGAGGCGCCACAGCAAATTAAGGTACTCACTACATGCTTTCTTCTTACCTCCAGTCGCTCGAAAAGCTCCGGAAGCAGCGCCTCACAGTGCCGGGGTACCTGCGACCCGAAATTCCAACTCCATTGGTTACGAACGCTTGCTCTGTGGCCCAAATCTGCTAATGGAACCAACTGCATATCCTACGTTTTAAGTTGCCTCTTTCAATATCCGTAGAAATACGACGCGCGCGCGAGCAAGTGACATCCTAACCTAGCCTTTTAAATGCCATCCTGCTGTCGACCCGTTTCGCCCCTTCCCTCCCCTTACCTGGAAGTGCAGGTGACTGCGGCCCCGCTCCACCAGCAGCATCCCTCCTCCTGCTCCCCTATCTCCGCCTGCTGCTTCTTCCCCGCCGCCACCGCCCGCTAGCTCCAGAACCCGCCCCAGCTCCAACCCCAGCACCTCAGCCACCAAACGCTCCAGAGAAGCCACCGTGCTGCTGTCATTTTCGCTGCCACCGCTGTCTCCATTAGACCCACCGCTGCCGCTATTACCGCTGCCGCTACTACCGCTGCCGCCAGTTCCGCTGCTGCTGCTGCTGCTGGCACCACCATTACCGTCATCGCCCTCGCCGCCCCCACCACGCCCTCCCATCAGTGCACTCCCAGCCCTTTCCAGCCCTACCCCCACTGCCCCTGCTCCTACGCCTGCCCGCCCGCCCCCTACTTCCCCTCCTGTCGCTGGCCCTGCTCCCCCTCCCACCCTGCCTGTCATGCTGCCAGCCCGGGCGTCCAACCCGCCGCTGTAGCTGGTGTGGTAGCTGCTGCCGCCCACACTCGCAGCCGACATGTAGTCCTCCTCTGCCGCCTCCTCCCCTGCCTCCGCGCCCGCCTCCTCTTCCCAGGCGGGAGGACCGCCACTGCCACCACCGCCGCCACCGCCACCGCGTATCCGTCTCTTGGGTGCTGCCGAAGACGCCTGCGCGCCCGCGGGTGGCGCTGCTGCTGCCGCTGCACCTCGGCTCCCCGGGCCTCCGCTGCCCCCCTGCCCCTGCCGTTGCAGCGCTTGCTGCCCCCCCTGCCCCTGCCCCCCCTGCCCCCCTTGCATGAGCTCGCGCAACCCCACTGCAAGCCGGTAGCCGCCCCCGTAGCGCCGCTTGAGGGCAAGGCTGTGACCCAGGCAGCGCAGACGACCTGCATGTGTGGGGGGGGGGGGGCCAGACCAGACCAGACCATGGGAAAACACACGTCAGGGCACAGCAATGGGGATGGGATGGGACAGGGTGACCTAAAGGGGAGAGAGAGGAAATGAGCGGCAAGAGGGCTGGGAGGAGGGCGGAAGTTGTAATGAAAGTAAGAGAGGTGCTTCCAGCACCCTCTCGACACCCCTCACCTTCTGACAACCACAGCCCAACCTCGCACTCACCCACCCTCCCCGCATCTCTTCACCCCCCTCGCCCCCGCCTCCCAAGACACGTAAAGTTAGAGGAAACAGCCAACTGACCGGGACACCCACCCACCTGCCGCCAGGATGGCAATACGGTCCCCCAGCACCTCCGCCTCCTCCATGCTGTGGGTGGTCAGCACCAGGCAGCGACCCGCCTTGCTGCGGGAGATGAGCTCCCACACGTGGCTCCTGGGAAAGGGGGGTGGAGCCCAAGGAAGGACGGAGGGGGGGCAGAAAGATGATAGGAATAACGCGCCGGGAGCTAGGGCCGTAGCGGCGGTAGCTGTAAGGCAGTACGAAGAGGCGAAGAGGCCTACCAAGGTATTTATTACATGTCGTACATTTTTTCCGCCCGGTACATCCGTACCTGGACACGGGGTCCATGCCGGTGGTGGGCTCGTCCAGGTAAACGACCCGTGGGTCACCCAGCAGCGCCGCCGCCACACTCAGCCGCCGCCGCATGCCGCCGCTGTACGAGCCGGCGGGTCGGTCGGCGGCCGACTCCAGCCGCACCTGTTACCGTACAGCATCGGCGTTGGCGTTATTTTTGGGTTACCCATGCAGTTTCCGGTAATAATGACGTTCCCATCAGCTGTAAGAGCGGGACCGACCCCCTCCACAACCCTCTGCGGTTCTGCACATTCCCATCATTCTGCATCCCCACCTGTTTCAGCATGCGCTCCACCTCCGCCCGCCGCTCCCCCCACGCCAGCCCCTTCACGTCCGCCGCTAGCAACAGGTGCTCCCGACCGCTCAGCCCGGCCCACAGCACATCGAACTGAGGGCAGATGCCCGTCAGCGAGCGGGCCGCGTCCAGACCCGCCGGGTCGGCCGGGCCGTCGCACACACTGTTGCCGTACACTAGCGCCTCGCCTGCGGTGGGCCTTATGGCCTGAGGAGGGGAGCAGAGGGGAGATAAAGAGGAGGTAAGGAGGAGGAGGAGAGGAGGAGAGTAAACGAGAGGCAGATGAGGTACCGGTAATGGGCAGAGGCGCTGCAAAGCGAGGGGAGGAAAAGAAGGAGGCGAGGTGTGACGGAATGAACAAGAGGGATGTAGGAAGGGTTGGGGGAGAGGAGGACGGCGGGGGAAAGGAGGATTGAAGATGTGTATTTGGATGAAACAGGCTGCGGTGTGTCGGTATGCACTCACTCCCGCACTCACCCCGACGAGGCTCTTGATGGTGGTTGTCTTGCCGGCACCGTTGGGGCCTGCGAGTGATGCGCGAGTGGTGGTTGTGGTGGCGGGCGGGGGGGAGGACAAAGACCATAGGCCACAGGAAACCATCGACCATAGGAAACCAGTGGGGGTGGCATGTGTACGGGGATGGGCGAGGTGTGGCAGCAAGGGGCGGGGAAGTGAGGTGTGTGAGACGACGGTGCGCCTCTCTCTAGGGCGAGGCCTAGCTACGAGGGCATTGCGGAACTGGAGCTAGCAGTTCGGTGTAGGCAAACAGCTATGAATGGAGGAAAAAAGCGCGCATGAACATGCCAAGAGTTGGGGGCAGCCGGGGCACCGTACCTCGCAGCTCCTTCACCCCCCCCCCCCGCCGGACTCACCCAGCAAACAGAAACACTCCCCGGGCACGATGTGGAGCCATGTGCCGTGCACGGCAACATGCCGACCGCCGCCGCCGCCGCCACTGTCAGCAGCGTTGGGCCCCACAACCGTCAACGGTCGTTGCACCAGGCTACTGCTGACGTGGCCCACAGTGCCGTCAGCGGCGGCGGCGGCGCCGCTGCCAATGGCTGGCGCCCAGCGCTGCTGCTTCCGCCGCCAGAACTGCCAGGAATGTGGAGCTGCTGCTGCTGCTGCTGCTGGCGGCGGCGGCGGCGGCGGCGGCGGCGGGGCAACTACCGCCAGCGGCAGCGGCGGCACCAGCGGCAGCACTGGCGGCGGCGCCGGCGGCGGCCGAATCCACCGCCGCCAGCAGTCCTTCAGTGCGGCGATCATACTTCGGTTGCCGTACTCTTTACGCAAGCCGAAAAGTACGACGCCCTCCTGCCAGTCGGCCCTCATGCTTCCGACGCCGTCGCCGTCGACGCCACAATCACTACTGTCGTACTTGACGATTGCCGCCACCATCTCCTCGGTCGTAGTAGCAGAGTCGGCGGTAGCAGTAGCCGCGGCGTCGGCAGCAGCGATCGGAGCGCCGCCGCTGCCGCCACCACCGTCGCCGGCGGCGGCAGCAGATGACGTGAAGACGCTATCTGCAACCGGGCCAACGTCTTTGTACGACACGTGCTCCGCATCTCCCAAACCCCCCGGCACTCTAAGACTTGTCGGCGTCGCCGCCGCCGCTTCCGCCGCTCCCTTGGACAGCGTTTCCTCAACAAAACGGCGACAGAGGGACTGTACGACGGAGGTTTCCGCAGCGACCCCTGGGTCGGCGTGCCCTTCCTTTAGCTCCCTTAGTGCAGGCGCCGCCGCCAGCATTAATCTTGAACTTCGTCGCACCCTCCCGTCCCCGTCACCGCCGCCTCCGTCACCGCCGCCGCTGCCGCTAGCTTCCACCCTGCCTGCCGCCGCCGCCGCCGCCGCTGCTGCTGTTGTTGGCGGCACTCCCGCTGTAGAAGCTACAGTCGTAGGCAGAACCTGCTGATGCCCTGTTAGCAGTTGTTGTTGGTGCTGCAGCTGATGCAGTAGCTCCAGGTGTTGTTGCTCTTTCAGTTGCTGCTGGTGTCGCTCTTGGACCGCCCGCTGTAGTGCGGCAGCGGCTCTACGGGCACTGCGGGCCTGTGTGGTTGGGTGGGTGGATGAGGAGGGATGGGGTGATGCAAGAGGGAGGTGGAAGCAGGAAGGACACAGACGAGGGAACGAGAGGGGGCGAGAACCGTAAGTAACATATCGGTGTGCACAACCCGTAAAAATTATCGTAAGCACGCAACCCTCGGACTCCCCGCAGTCCCAGCACCCACCCTCCTGCTCGCCCGCCCCGCTCCCGGCCGCATGCAATCTGGCAGCGGCGCCAGCAGCAGCTGCAGCAGCGGGCTCCAGGGGAAGCGGGCCGCCGCCGCCGCGCCCTCCTCCCGGGGTAGCAGCTGATCCAGATAGACAGCGAGGCAGGTGTAGCCCGCAGCCTGCGAAGAGAGGCGGGGAGGATAGAGAGGTTGGAAATCCCGCATTTGGCTGGATTTAGAATTGTGCACGTTCCTTACTTGCACAGACAGAAGAGGGGAAGGGAAGCAGTTGGAAAGGATGGTTAGCAATCAGCAGGAGATGACTATTGTGGCACGCCGGATGCGGATGTCAATGTACGTGTCTCCCACTTCTCTCGCCTTGCTTACCCACCCAGAAACTAAACCCTGCTGACGCCTTATCACACGGTTTGT